TTTTTAGGCTTGTCATGCCAAGTGATGTTATTAACAACATTCCCAATTTTGGTAGACACCGGTATCGGGCTGCGCATCAATGCTCTGCGGACGCCAAGGCTATCAAGGATAAAGAGGATCGTAAGATCACTGCTCGGATGAAAATTGAAGAGCATTTAGGAAAACGTCCATTGGAGAAAACAGCTACGCCTTCCACTATAGTTAGACCTAAGCGGCTCAATCCTAAGTTGGAATTGATGAAATTGAAGACGAGGGCTAAAGGAGATGACGGTGTGCCACAAGAGTCTCGCCTCTACTTCACTGTTCACTTTCCAGAAAGCAGTAAAAAGGACCCCGTTCCTCTCTTCTTTGATAAGGTAAAAAAAAAAAAAACATCATCCTCTGCCTTCCAAAAAAAATAATTTGGGATTCGACCTCAGCTTGAAGCTGCTACCAGTCATTACGCCATGTTGCTGAAAAGTTTTTCTCCATGTTAGACTCAGTCGATTGGCCGCATGCTAGACCGGATAGCACAGTTGGGCAATATATCCAATAACAATCATAAATTAGACTCTGTCGATCCAAACGTAAGTGATGCTCGTGACTTTTACCCCTAGTTTCATGATCTTTCTATAACATTCTCGGCTACTGCACCTATTACAGAGACTGCATTTACTGACTTGGCCTGACAAGACAAACTTGGCCACGGAGAAACGAATTGAGCATGTGCTCAACAACGGGGTAGATGTTATGATAGAATATGGCAACTCAATATAGCCTTCAACCTTTTTGTTTGTATATTTTTTATAGCATACTGTATGGCTAAAAAAAAAAAGAGGGGAAGGGGAATGAATGAATTCAATGTATGAAGAAAAAAATCGAATGAATGGAAGGGGTTAAACCGCAGGTTTTCTTTAGCCACAGCGGATTTTTCTTTGGTGATATTGGTTTTTTACAAACGATTAATGGAAAAAGAATTAAATAAATGAGCTATATCATCATATTACATTACACTGTCGGGTTTGTTATAAGGTTGGTTGTAAGGCACAAACTGACTGCCAACAGAACTATGCTCTGACGGCGTACCAGGGCTGGACGCAGAGCGCGGATGCATGGTAATGTAGTCTACATCCGAGAACCCAGTAGAGGTCCAAGGCACAGAAGCATAGACGTCGGAAGGTGGAGTACGCTGCTCTTGATTGAGAACCGGAGGGTTGATACCGAACATGTTGATGGTATCGGTCAAGTCATTCATCATATGGTCAGCATAGTCGTTTCGAGGTACATAAGGTTGCTGGGCTTGGAGTCGAACTTGTGCCTGCACGCGTTCCCAAAGTTTTTTGTTTCTGTCAATGGCCGCCATCACCTTATCCACTTCAGAAGTGATTCTTTCCATGGCGGACTCGGCTTGACTTCGCACTTGTACTTGGAGTTGCAGTCTTGCTCTTCTAGTATCTGAGCCACCAGAGTTGGCAATGATATAACGAGTTTCATTTTCAGCCAACGTCAGTTCTCTGATGGCTTCCTTCAATTGCGCTATTTGATTGCGAAGATCGATACGAGGTCTAGGAAGGGTCATCAGGATATTGTTGGTCATAAGTGCCTCATTCAGCATACGATAGCCGTCAATTGTAACCTATGTTGGAAGGATATGGGGGGATGGTTAGTTACCGGAAAAACAAAACGAATTTGTCACTTCATGCTGCATCGTGGTCATTGAAAAAAGAAACTTACGCTATTGTCTTCAATGTCAAGATAGGTAATGGTTTGGTTGACCTTGATAACGTCGGCCAGAGCTGTAATGCCAACATCGCCAAATCGAACTCCACGCAAGACCAACTTCTTCAGCACAGTGTTATAGGCAAGTGCAGAGAGTGCAGAAGACATGGCTTTTCCAAGACCAATTCTGGTGCCATTCTCGTCTTCTCCGCCGGACAAGTGAAGTTCTTGTAACTTCTTGTTACGTTCAAACAGGGTGGCAAGTTTCTTGATGGTATCCGGACCCACGGCTCCACTTTGTCTGGAGGACGGAAGGACACGCATACCTGACAGATCCAATTTAACAAGCGTCTCGTTGTCCATCATACTATCCAAGAACTCTTGCAGAGAGTTTTCATCCCATTCAAGGTCACGGAAACCCATGCTAAGGGGTGTGTAACTCTGCATGATGGCATACCAAAGTCTAGGCAAATGATTGGTATGTCTGAAAATTGGGTTCTGCGAAAAGTCAACATGGATGGCCATGTTCTTGGACCGGGCAATGGCGATCAAGATATCCCGAACATGGCCAGCATGTAAGCCACATCCGTCCAAGTGGAGCGATTTGATGTTAGCGAAAGATGGCGTTATAATCCATTGACACAAAGTGAGCACATGTTCATCCGAAAGTGGTGTTAAGCCGAGATCTAGAGTTTCCAGCTTAGTTAGATCTAATGTCATTGGGTCTGGAAGGTAGCCACAATTTCGGAGTCTGATATGGTCGAGACGATTGCAACGGCGGAAGATGCCGTCAACTTGCGCGACACTGATGTTGCTGGTATTGGAGGATATGTCCAAATATTTCATGTGGCCAGGAGAGCGCATATACACGGCTTGCAGAATTGTATCAATTTGCATGGCATCCAAACCACAGCCACTCACTACAAGCTCTCGAATTGCCTTTCTTGCCACTAGAATTCCTCGGGCGAGAGCATCCACATCATTGGCAGAGAGGGTATTGTTCTTGAGGTGAAGGCTGTTCAAGCCTGTTTGCTTGGACTGCAAAACTGTACCAATGACGGAAATGGGAGAATGCGTGTGCTTGGATCCTCCGATATTACAATCGGATAGATCCAGACCCCGGAGTTTCTTATTGTGGAGAATAAGGGTATAAAGTTCACTTGCCAAAACGTTTTCAACATGTTGACCGTCTTCAATGCTGACGGTCCAGCCATCATCTTTCTTTCCGGACCAAGAGTTGATTTCGCTTAGATCGACATTGGCAAAGGATATTTTGCGGAAGGTAGTCTGAAGATGGCATAAAAATATGAATTGTGTGTGAGAAGGGGGCAGTGATTTGAAATAGTATTATGCATGCTCAGGCTGTGCATCAAAGTTTAACTTACATTATGTCGTAGAGATCTCATAAAGGCTAAGAGCTCATATCGGGTATACAACGGAGTAGATTCGCCTATCTCGTTGGCAGGGTGAAGTTCCAAGCTCAATCCATCTTCTGTATCGGCTGTAGAATCCACCACGTAATTGAATCTAGCTTTGTTTAAATTGAATGCGGCGCAATAAGCTTCTAAAAGGCGATTGAATCCAAAATCATCGATTTTGCTAATGTCGGTCATAGGCAACATGCGTACGTTTTGGATACTGTCATTTGCAATCAGTTGGTATGGAGGCGTGGGGTAGAGAGGGACCAGAGAATGGATAGCTCTACGAATATCTTGTAGAAGTTCTTCGCAGTGACTGGTGGCCAATTCCACAATTTTGGAGTCAGCTTGGACTTGGCGAAACTTGAGGCGCAGTGTATCGTCATTCCCATCCAAAGTCATCGACTGCAAAGCCAAAAAGCCATACCTATCACGGCCAACAGTGTTGATATGATCTTCGTCCGATTGTTCATTTGGTAAGATATAGATACTGAACTTTCCCAATGCAACATTGATGGTAGCGAATAATTCCTTGTACTGTCCCGAATTATCACTCTTCAGTCGCTTATATCTAAAGATTGCCTTATGCATCACTATTTCGTCGTTATTGTCGGGAATGTCCTTATGTCTGGAAAGGCGATGCGTACCACGAAGTCGGTCTTGTCTTGAAACAAAATGGGTTCGGGGCAGGTAGACACGAGTGAGAGAGCGAAGTCGGTCCATCCATTTTAAACGATCGCTGGAGGACACCACCGTAAAGTTAATGGATGATACCTGTCTTGCTTCTTCATCAGCTACGTAGTCTATGCGGAAAGTGTAGGGAGCTCCACCAACAGCGTGAATTGCAATGATGTTGTCCACTCGCAGCATAAAATGATCCTTGCTGGTAAAGATTTTGGACGGTGGTGAGACAGGGATGCTACGGGATTGGTTGGACGCAAACAAGTCCAGGGACTGATTAGCTTTCTGTTGGTTTTTAAACCGCAGTAGATGTTGATTGGTGAGGACTACATATTCCTTTTTGGTTCTCGATAACCTGCTACGCTCAAAGTCGTGAGTAACATCACTGGCGTAGACGACGTTAATTGTGGCCTCATGCTGGTTCATAGCATTTCTGGCGGCTTGCTTCTCGGCATTTGATGGTGGGTATGTCGGGAACTGATTCACATCAACTACCCCTGGAGTGTGAGGAGGGGAAAGTGGTATCAATGACGAACTACCCATCACAGTGTCTGAAGTGTTGCTCCTTGACAGGTTAGGATGCGACAAAGCCGGGGAGTTTGGGTCCGAAATGGAAGACGACCTATAGGCATAGACATCGTTTGACAGGGCCGAGAGAGAGGTGTTCGTTCTCAGGGGTGCTGATCTTATTGAATCACTGGAGTGGACAGACATGGAAGAACGATGTTGTGAATAGTCCCGAGGATGCTTGTAAGAAGAAACACTTATGTCGTCTTCAGTGGCGGCTGTGGAGGCTCTGGAGAGAGTACTGAAGATGGACGTTCTGTGACTAAGTAAGGTTGAACGGTTGGATGAAGGTGGTCGACTGGCAACGGTGTTCTTCCGAGACGAATCGCTAAAGCCAAAATTTTTGAGCATGGAAGTACAGGACACCAGTATTTAAACTACCGTAACTGATCCTAATATGAAAAGCAAGTTCGAAAGCCCGAAAACTTCGCAGCTGGTTATTATTACGCTTGTATATCCCACAATCGCCTGTGCCACCTTCCAGAATAACCGCACAGACAACATGGCAAAAAAAAAAGTTCAATACAGTTGTCCAATCATAAGTCCGCTTTCCTCCGCATGTGTCAAGGGATTTGCAATAGAGACACCACCACTTCATGCACGTGGACTGCTCTCTGCTGAGAGGACTGGAAAACATGGAAAAATGTCTATCCACCACGACATCGGTTTTTCATTTTTATAAGCTATTCTGTTTCTGCTTGAACTAGTCCATCTATGTTTCTTTCAAAGAACATGGAGTACACTTTCAGGGCTCAGGCCTAGTTGAACAGGCTATAGACGAAGAGGTTCTCCGCTGTCAACGAAAAAGGAGGAAAACAATACTACCTTTCTAAGTATTAAAAAAGAAAAGAAAAAAAGGTTGAAAAACAGAGTTATGTATGGCGTGTCTAGATACTATTTACAAGGTTTAAGGCGGTCAACAGTATGGCCAACCTTACAAGAAAGGATGCTTGTGAGAAATTCCGTGGTACTGAATTTTGGCCTGCAGAGTATTTGGTGACAGACGGGCTTGGTGCAACAGTAATAGGAGCGAAGTCGTCCATTGTAGACGATGCTGTTGCGTGAAGGGTGCCGGTGGTATTGATGACAGGTACAATTTGCGCCTTACTGCCATCATTGACGTTGTGATTTACCGCCTCATCAAACGGGTTGGAATTTGCAACATCTCCGACTTTCTGCGTCTCACCTTGCTCGTCTATATCCCAGACAAGAAACCGTTCAGCAATTTTGTGTGCCACAGCTTTAAAATAGAATAGCTGAGCATTTACTCACCTTGTGCCGACACTAAAGTGGCTACTATCAAAACAATGACGATGTAGGAAGATTTACGAGCGAACATGCTAACATACGGTGACACAAGGAAAGGAATGAATGGGGGAAGCAAGACAAAGGAAAATCCAAAGGTAATTACATAATAAAGTCAATGGGAATTTGCACTTGTTATAAGGCACATCATATCTTTGCGGAGACAATGCATAGTTCAATGCAAGAAAGACGGGGTTTTGCCTCGTTGATTATTGAATGAGGAGTTGTAAAGGGGGCCCTGAATGGGGCATCGTTCACACGGGCTGATGGATAACTTCAATTTGACTGGTTTTGTCGTTGATGGCTTCTATCCTCAGCTTATGCCAGCAAAAGATACCGTCGTCAACGCAGGCCTGTCACTTTGCCACCTTTGCCCATCTGAATGGCAAAAAAAAAAAACCTCGCTGCTGTATTGCTATATGAATGTCAAACCTTACCCCTTTTTTATAGTCACTTTCTTAATGTGTGCCTGTCCGTTTTGTTGGCCAACAAAGATGACCTCCCCTGTCTTGGAATGCATTACAAAGCTATAGCAAGTAAGCTAGCATTGATTTTTGAATCACTCCTTCCAGTCATTTGGTCAGAACTTAGCCCCTCATCCATGCGTACAGCGTGCAATCTCCTGGTAAGAAATATATAATTGAACATGGGTGTTTGAGCAACTTTTTTGTGTGTTGTATCTTTACAAGATAAAAATAAGGTCTGATGTAAATGTGACAATTTGAGTACATTAAGAAAAACGGTGGGTAGGATGAAAGGTAAAGACGGCTGTCATAAGAATCAGCAAATGATTGACTTCTATGGGGGGGGGGGCTTTGCTGTTGTCTCAGCAAGGGATATGAAATGAATGGCATTCATTCAGGCTTTTGCTGGTTTAAAATCTGTGTCAAAGAGACGCTCCCCAAATCAGTACAAGAACCTCGCTTATACATGCTTCCAATGAAACTTACTTATTGTCTGACATGAATCCGCGGACCCGGTTGTAGTCTGGAAGGGCTTCAATGGGACCAAGGCCAACAATGGCAACTTCCTTGTCCGAAAGATATTCCTTGGCGACACGACGAACATCATCTACAGTGATGCTGGAAACAGCGACTTCAACCTCATGTGGCGACATTCGCTTGCTTGACGTCAACATTTGTCGTCCAATGTCTTCAGCAATGGCAGTGGATCCATCCAAACCAAGCAACAAGCTAGCCTTTAACTGCATCTTGGATCGTTCGACCTCTCCCTCTGTCACAGTCGTAGCAAGTCGTGCCCATTCCTTTTGTGTGAAATAGATCAAGTCGTCCAGTTGTGTTTTGTTCTCGGAAATGAGATAAATACCCCACAAACCGGTATCTTTGTAGGAAGTGTTGAAAGACATGAAAGAGTTTGCAAGTTGATGCTTGTTCACGACGGCTGAAAGTCTAGAAGACATATGACCGGTGGCTCCCAAAGTACGATCCCAAGATCCAATAATGGATTGGAGAACGAGGATAGGGAAATAATCAGGGGATGTCCAGCTAACTCCCTCGACAGCCATGGCAATGTGTGCCTGAGGCATGGTGTCGTCACGCATGCGGATTTCAGAACCAGTGAACTTGGGTTTACCTGTCATGACCTTGGATCCAACCGATTGACTAGTCTCGCAAGGCAGATTGCCAAAATTCTTTTCAGCCAGACTGACAAGATGGTCATGGTCCACACTTCCAGCACCTACCAAGACCATACGGTCACCAGAGTAGTTGGTCTTGATGTAATTAGCAAGGTCATCTCGGGTGAGAGACTGAATATTTTCCTTGGGTCCCAAGATAGTACGGCCAAGAGACTGTCCCTGGAAAGCAGTGGCGTGCAAATGGTCAAACACGACCTCTTCGAGTTGCTTATCCACTTCTTCCTGTTCTCTCAAGATAACATCTCTCTCGCGTTCAATAGCTTTGTATTCGAGTTTGGAATTTTGAAGAATATCGGACAAAATCTCGACAGCTTGGGGAACGTCGCTTTTGAACGCTTTGGCATAATAAACGGTTTGTTCTCGAGAAGTATAGGCGTTCAAGTGAGCACCCATGTTTTCAATTTGAAGTTCCAAGTCTCTTTGCGTGCGAGTGTTAGTGCCCTATAGGAAACAAGTGTTAGTAGTTCTGGACATTGTCTTCGAGAAGTCGGAGTCGGTACTCGCCTTGAATGCCATGTGTTCAAGAAAATGAGCAGCGCCATTGTTCTTTTCGTTCTCTGCGCGAGAGCCAGCATCAATCCATACGCCAACAGTTGCTGTTTGAGCAGTTGGATTCTCTTCCGTAGCAACTGTCAATCCATTTGCCAAAGTGGTGGTGCGAGTGGCTGGGAAGAGATTAGTAGCGGTTGCGAGAGGTCGAATAAACTAGAGGAATAAGAATAATTGTCAATCATGGAGGTTATCGTACGGCTTTTCAATACATAGAAGCAGAAGGAAATGGTCAACTCTATTGCACGTTTGACGATCGCCAATGTAGATTGGGTAGATCGTATACACTAAAGAAGCTAGGAGGCGCCTCAAATAGAGCAGCAAAAAACACTAGTTTAGTTCTAGTTATTTACCTTCTTAGCAATGCCGGTGCGAGATTTGATCGCATTCGAGAGCAGTAAACGTGAAGCCATATGAATTACAGTAAGGGTTTTTGGTCAGCAAAGGGGGTTCGATAAACTTGGTTACTGGCACAGTCAATGAATTGTGACGTGGAATTCGGGTCAACAGTCATCAATTTTTCGGGACACTTCTGTGAGTCAAAAAAATTCAAACATTGCTGTGGTGGCAAACATCTTGACCAGTTTGTAAATATTTGGTAGCGCAATGTAATTAGCCCATATACATCGTTATATTGATAGAGAAGGCACATCATTAAGAAGAGGTCTATTAATAGTGTAGTAGCGTCTATTGTATGTAGCTAACCAAGGAGTTGTAAAGTTATATGATATGGTGGAATACCATTTTTCAGTTAATAGAATCTTCAGTCGGCCACCATTTATGAAGTATTGTCCTCTTTTTATGAATATGCTATATATTAACGCTGGACCTGTCTATGACCACTTCTCCTTCGTGTTACCTCTCCACTGCTAAGTGCTGCACCGCCTGTAGCAAAAGTCTTGTCTTGAGCTTGGAGAATCTCACTTTCCAAGGAGAATTTCCCTGGAGAATACAAGTCGATAGGCGAGAATTTGTATGGGAGTCCCTTTGCATCGCATTCACTTTCTGATGCTTTTTTCTGCTTTTGTTCTTGCTCCCAAGTTCGCCAATCGCTGTGACCATTCAAATACGCAATATTTGGTCTGGCTCTACGACCAAATTGAAGGGTGACATGGTTGGAACAGAGGATGGCGAAAATCATGACGATAAGCTGAACGGGAACAAATGAAAATGCCACTATGTATGTAGTCTTAAGAAACGAGCTTTCAAATTGATGTAATTTGTATTCGCAGCCTGGGAGCAGTGACTTTGGAAAGCAGCGGTCAAAATAAGTCGCATGATCGGAGGGGTTATCGAATCCACAACAGTGTAACTATAGTGTCAAGGCAGCATCAATAGCAGAAAAAACGGTAGACTGTCAGAGGCTTATCAACTTACGGTATTCTGAAGGGCTATGCGAGCATTACTGCTTAGGTTGTAACGCCATTGCATACCTAGTTTCGCGCTGAGATTCCAAGTGTCTTGTTTGTAGCCGAGATATCCAATAGCGCACAATAGGCCAAAGCATGGCCACAACCATAGACAATACCAACCAAGCAACCTTCTGTCTTTCCTGATGATACCTGCCATTCCAATACAAGCAACCACCATGCTTAGTAGAGAGAAGGCGAGAGTGACTGATTATACATGGTATAAGTAAAATGGGCTTCACGAAGGCGGGGGGGATTAATTTTTTTTTTTTACCTCCTAGAATACTTGCGTTGGCAGCAACAACGATTGGAGCGTTGGTGTAGCCTGTCAGATAGTAAAAGGAAATGACGTTTTCAATACTAAAGTACGCAAAAAATGGATCGAAATTGATGAATGGTTGTCCATGTACCTTCTCCATACGTAACCATGCAGGCAATGAATGCCATGGTGGCATATAACATAAACTAGTACGAAACCCAACCAGTGTATTAGCAAATCATCGTAGCAAACTTTCTATTTTCCCTTATCCGAGGAAATTACTTACGAAGATGTTGGAAAATAACAGCAACCATCGGGATTTTGTCCATCCATAATACAGCCTTCCTCTCTGAACGCCAGGCTTTGTTGGTGACCTATCTTTCTCATCCTGTGGCAAGTTGGGCCCTACTTCACTTTGATTGTTCGGTATGGTGTCTGTCGAGTTGCTAGTATTGCAATTTTTTTATATGAATAAAACATTCTTTAACGCATGAGAATTCGTTTTCGAGCATGATGCATTACCTGAGACTAGTTATCGTATACATCTTGTTTTCAACTTCGTTGAAGTCGGTGATCTTAGGTGGTAGTCGACGGTCTGTCATTTCTTTTCTAGTATATGCCGATGTGAATAGAAAGAATGAGGATAATAGATAGTGTTCTTGATACTGATGTACCTGTAGGCAAGTTAACGTTTTGCGCGAGCAAGCGAACAGTAAAGACAAAGGAGCCACACTATTGTGAAAATTATGGTAAGAAAAAGAGGCGGACCCAAAAAAAATCTACCATCCGGAAGAATGAATGTCACGACTGGTACGCATATTCTCGGGTAGGACGATATGACGAATGCCGTGTCTTACTTGGCTTCTCAGATAATCATTGTAAGGCGATTCAATTGGTTTGGCGCATTGCAAATGCGACTAACAGTAGAAAATGCAAAAAAAAAAAAAGTTTATGGTCTCGTCCAACATGTTTACCGTTGGTTGAAAACATGTGAAAAAGATAGACTGACAAATTGTGTAATACATAACGTTGTTCTATGAAGGTGGGACAATTTTTAAATAGCTTCTTCGTGGGAGTCTAGTTTGACAACGGGAAGTCCCCAAGTCATTCCACGACTTGGACTGGTCAAGAATTATGTAGAGGCCTAGGAAAGAATGATTCCGAGAAATGTAGTGGATGATTTCAAACAATAATGTAATTTACGGTTCATGTCGCTCCAATAATATTATTAAATGAAATAAAAATATAAATAAAAATTACGAAAAGCAGGCATTACCCACATTCAGTGCCAACCATTTCACGAGCAAGCTTTTCTTTTCTCTTCTTCATTTGATATGAGAGTCCATAAAGGAAAAAAGAAAGGAAAAGAAAAAAATGAAAAGGGGGAGAGGGGTAAAAGCTGGTACAGTGAGAGATTGAATGCTAACAAAAGTGCTTGCAATTCTAACTTACAATTATTCTGGCAAATGAAGGAGGCTAACGAAAACGTGGTGAAGCACGAAGACAGATGAGCTTCTACTTGGGGGGTGATTGGGTAGCGAAGGTTAATTTTAAAAAATGGGATGAAGTAAGGAAAAAGGTCGTTGGGATAAGAAGCAAGATGATACATGTTGTGTTGTATAAAAAAAAAAAAAAAAAGATACTTCAAAGAACAGAGATAACCGCGTAAATATCTAATTAATAATTAAACTCAATACACTCGTTGTCATTCGATACTGTCATGTCCAGACATACCAATATCGAACGAATATGAGAGAGGAGAATGAGGAGTGGGGGATATAAAGAAGAAGAGCCCATTATGTCGCCATGACCAGGTTTTTGACTCCTTTGGGAGTGGAGTCATCATTGAGATGCTTCGAGTTGTAGCGCAAGGCAGGCATCAAGTTGGAAGCACTCGAATTCTGTGGAATATTAAAAACGTTGATTGCCTGAATCAACTTTACCGAGTTCTTAATCTAGTGAATAGGAAGCAAAGTGTTAGTCATGAGGGCTGAGGCAATAAAAATCCGGAAGAAAAAGTCAAGGGGGCGCGATGAGCTTTTCCGTTTCCAAAAAGAAAGAAATAAGTATAATTACATTGATGGGAGATTGTTTAGAGAAGGCACCATGGGGGTCAATATGATCATACAAGATGATCGACACAACCATGACTTTAAGGCAGAACGCGGCTGTTTCCGGTCGTTGGTTTCTGAAGAAAGGTAAAAAAAAAAAAGGTCAAAAATCATTAGATAAAAGGTAAATCCACGCTTAAAAAAACATACCTCTTCTTGCTAACGGCAAGGAAGCAGGAAGCCCATATGGCAGTTAAACAGTCGCAAACACTCTTTTGAACACTGTGCTTAAGAACGTAGTTGGCAGTGGTGTCGATGACGCATTTGAGCATTGGAGTGGGGTAAGCGATAAACAATGAAATGCGGTTAGCTTGCTCGTCTTCAATCATGGCGTTGCGAAGATCCGACTGCTGACCGTCGTCATCGGTATTCTTGTTACTGTATCGACCGCGTTGAAGCATTCTTCGGTAGTATGAGAAATCATTCTGCAAGCTGGCGTTACGCATCTAGAGAAGGAACGGGTGGATTAGAAACGAGAACGGTGGGGATTTCATCACTTGAATCTTTCATTCCGGTACCTTCAAATAATCAAACTCAAAGACGAAGTCCAGTATCTCGGCCAACAACTTTGTAAGACCTTGATACTTCTCCAAATTCTTGTTCACGTCTCCCGAGCAGAGCATACTGAGCAATTGGGGGAGGCAATCCTCTAAAAGGGGAGAAAATAACAAAATGATCAGCTTAAGGACAAGACAGGGAAAGGAGGATCGGCGGGCCATCGATTGGCAAGCCATTTGGGTGAATGAAACATTTCTCTTTACCTAGTTCAGCAGCATACTCGTAAAAGTCCCGTAATTTGTCGACAATGGGCAAAACGGCTTCCCATGCACGGTTTTCGTTTTCTGGCGTGGGAGACGCAATGGCTGCACGAATAAGATCAGATGCCGATTGATAGTTTTTCAATTGATTCAACAATTCCGGAGCAGGTTGGACCAGCATGGATGAGATTTGATTATACAAGAAAAGCTCTTCGTCATTTGGCGTTGCGTCTGTGAATAAAATAATTAATTTTTTTTAGTTAGGGAGACCTTGGTTGGTTCGAGAAAAGAGACCCTAGTGGGGCGGAATCCCATCTGTAATGGTTATCCCCTCCCCCCAAAAAGAGTCCCTTGCAGATCACTTTTTGGTCAAGGTGCGAACATCACTTACTCTCGATATCGAAAGCGACGTCTGGTACCATAGCGTCAGTACCGTTGCGAATGTTGAGGTTGGAGAGGAATTGGCCCATTGTGCGGAATGAATGTAATGATGATGTACAAGATGATTATGTGGTAAGAGTAGTAAGAGATTAGATGACCTCTTTACGGGTCAATGGGCAACTTGCGAGATGATGATGATTAGAGAAAGGGATGTTGAAAAAAATATATAGTGTATATTTAAAAAAATTTATTGACTTGCAAAAAAACAAAACTCACCCAAGCTTAAAAAAGTTTTCTATGGAAAAACTAGTGCTAGCCCAGCCCTATTCCTCCATCCTAAATAAGATGGTTCAAAAAGCCTCTCCCCTTTTCCCCTTGGTCTCTACTCTCCTCTCCTTTAAATGATCTCTTGACAGATCATGTGCGCTGCTCAGCGTCATGATACCGTCGATCGCTGGCAAGGATCAATTTTATAAATATCGCGCCAAAAACTTTCTATGGATTGCCAATTGCGGGGTTATTACGATGTGTAACACTTGTGTTCCCAGTGGATAAAACTGAAATTTTTATAGGTGAAAAACAAAAGGAAAGTAAAGAAGACAGAAAGGGTTCTATGCGCTGGAAGGCAATTCAGCCTTGATCTTAATGCCATTGTTGTAGTTTGGCTGTTCAGGCTTATCTGACCCTTGCTCAAAGTTCGGGGGCTTGGGTACAATGCCTGAAAGTAGAAAGAGATGAACAGGGTTAGTTGGTTTAAAATAGATGCCGTGTTTCCAGTTCAGTCCGTTATTCGCGCTTACCTAAAAGCTCAAACATCTTTTGGTCATCTGTGAATTCGTTGTTGGGGGTAGTGAGTAGTTTGTCACCAGTGAAGATGGAGTTAGCTCCAGCCAAGAAGCACATGGCTTGCTCCGACTGACTAAATCGGACGCGACCGGCCGAAAGGCGAACCATCGACTTGGGCATCACGATACGTGCAGTTGCGATCATACGAATCATTTCGAAAATAGACACGGGCTGAAAAGATGCATGTAATGTTACTTCACTGGTCTAACAACCACGCGCGACGTTTGTTTCTGTCTTACCTCTTGCTTTTCCAGAGGAGTACCTTCAACCGCCAAGAGAGCATTGATGGGGACAGATTCGGGGTGTTGACCCAAGGTGGACAAAGTATGGAGCATACCGACTCTGTCTTCGTTCGTTTCACCAAGACCAATGATACCACCAGAGCAAACTGATATACCAGCACCTTGTGCGTGGGAAATGGTCTCCAATCGTTCATCGTAGGATCGAGTGGTGATAATCTATAATATGGACAGGCCCATATTTAGTAAGTGATGGTAGCCCATTGTCTGAGTACTGGGTAAGGGGACAGGGTTTACCTTGGGATAGAACTCGCGACTAGTGTCCAAATTGTGGTTATAAGCAGTAAGACCAGCGTCCTTCAATCGCTTGGCTTGATCTTCGTTGAGCATACCGAGTGTGCAGCAAACTTCCATTCCCATTCCGCTAAAGAGATAAGATGACGCATTGGTTAAAACCCCACTTACGATCATCCATACCTTTCATAACAAGGTGGGTGTGATGAAGCCTGTGATAAAAACAACACTTACCGAATCTCTGTCACGTAGCCCAAAATCTTGTTGAAGTTGCTCTTTCTACCGGCCAAATCTCTCCATGCTGCACCCATACAGAAACTGTCAATCCAAACCCAGTTAAAAACATTGTTCGAGTCAGATAAGCCCATCGCATTTTTTTTTTTAGCACTCCGGTTATGGTGTTCCCCAATGAAAGACAATGATCGATCTTACCGAGTACTACCGGCAGCCTTTGCCTTACGAGCAGCATCCAACACTTCTCCAGTATCCAACATCTTTTGTGCCTTGACAAGTGTCTTATGGTGTGATGATTGTGGGCAGTACTTGCAATCCTCGGAGCATCCACCAGTCTTGATAGAAAGGAGTGTGCATTGCTGGACTTCAAGTGGGTTGAAGTTCTCACGGTGAACCTTAGCCTGTTGCATATGGATGCAGATGCATTGAGAAAAATTAGCGACAGGTTACATAAGACGAGGCGAGATGGGGAGGATCGCGCTTTTTCATTGATGTGTCAATGAACAGTATTTGTCGATGATGATAATCTTGATCTTTTTTTTCCCTACTTGATCTCTCAAAATATGCCCTTCACGAGATTGATACGTACACCATAAAACAACAAATCCATGAGGGGAGAGTCAAAAATCTCCTGGATTTCCTCTCTCTTCCAGTCGTTGCGTAGAGGTCCACTGGAGTGAGCAGCAGCAGCAGAAACGGCCTTGGGGGCGACATTCTTAGCTTCGGTTACAGACGCCATGCGAGCTGGAGTGGCAGTGCCATAAAGGCGTTGTGAAAGCTTCAAAGGCTTGAATGCAAGGCGAAAGGCGGACATGATCCTCGTCGGTAATGCAGAGTTGGGGGAAGAACTAAACAACAGCAAAGATATTCAGTCGGTAAAAAAATCTCTATCGTTCAAGGCACCGCTCACACCCCAAACAGATCACGTGTGCTGGGTAGCCCTTGATTTCTGAATGATGGCCTGGGGTGGAGCTGAGAATGATTGGTCAGCCAAATCGCTAGCCCGCACGCTCAGTTCTCAGGATATTAAATAAAAAATCGCGACAACAAAGAATGAACCTAGCAAATTTGCAACTGCACTGATGGATCTTTCGTTTAAGACGCGTAGAAGGCACCTTTGGCCCATGATGATAAAGGATACCAATTTGTTTCCGGCCCAACACTTCGCAACCCCATCATCTGGGCTGGACCTCTCGGGGCTAAGGAGGGGTTTGAAAAAGGTGACTGACCATGTATCGTTGGGACCTGTCAAAAAATAAAATACGAAAACCGCGTTGGGGAACGGCTTCTATTTCGTGACATTTGGAAATGCCTTCATTACATTTGCCGTCCCGGGCATTCCAAGCTTACAATGTCTTTGCTGCCAACACCAATGTCGGAAAGACCATTTTCGCAACCGGTTTATGTAGAGCAGCAGCACTTCAAGCTCAACAGAACAACAAACGAGTTTTTTACCTGAAGCCCGTGCAAACTGGATATCCTGTCGACAGTGACGCCAGGCATGTCGATACCTTTACAAAAGGCGTTTCCACAACCACGTTGTATGCGTATAAAGACCCTGTTAGCCCTCACGTTGCAACTTTGGAGGTATGTACTGCACGGATGAGTTGCCACGGTATCGTGTAAATGTTTCCTAAAGGGTTATTGATATAGGCACCACGCGATGAAGAGATTCTCGAAAAAGTTCGAAAGCATATGCTAGGATGTGTGGAAGATGGCAAACAGGTGAATGGATCTTACCTGTTTCTCGAAACAGCTGGTGGAGTTCATAGTCCAGCAATGTCAGGTACGGCTTAATGGCTTGATTTAGCTGGTGTATCGTGAGAAAGTCACTATCGAAATGGTACTGACTTCATTTATGGGTATATAGGCACATCGCAATCCGAGCTATATCGCTCTCTTAGATTACCCACTGTTCTGATTGGAGACTCTAAGTTGGGAGGTATTTCTACCACCGTTACCTCTTACGAATCCTTGCAGATGCGAGGCTACGATATACCAGAGATTCTTCTCTTCAATGACAAAGCATGGAATAATCATGAATACCTTGTTAAGCGATTCAAAGACGAAGCCGATGTATCTACCGTACCGCTTCCACCAGCGCAATTGGAAGATCCAGTCAAGGAATTGGAGTCGATGAAGAAGTACTATGAGCAAGTGGACGAACATCTTCACCCGGTGATTGAACGACTGGATCGCAAACATCAAGAAAGATTTGAGCGCTTGGAAACCATGGCACAGAAATCGCGTGATGTTTTCTGGTGGCCATTTACACAACATGACATGGTAAAGGAAGTCACGGTCATTGACTCAGCTTACAATGATCATATGTATACCTATGCTCCCGAAGCTCCTGGTAAAAAGGAATTGCAACCTAAGGAAATGTTCGATGCATGCGCTAGTTGGTGGACACAAGGATTGGGCCATGCAAATCCTAAACTAACTCTCGCTGCTGCCTATGCTGCTGGTCGTTATGGACACGTCATGTTCCCTGAGGCCACAAATGAACCCGCCTTGAAGTTGGCGGAAGCGATGTTGGAACAAAATGATTGGGCTCAACGAGTCTTCTTCTCCGATAACGGTAGTACCGCAATGGAAGTCGCCATCAAGATGGCTATCCGGTCCACGACGATTCGTTACGGATGGGACGATAAACTCAAGCCTGAAATCATTGGTTTGAACGGCAGTTACCATGGTGACACTATCGGCGCTATGGATGCTTGCGCTCCCAATGTGTACAACGGTCAAGTACAATGGTACCAACCAAGAGGTCATTGGTATGATCCACCGACCGTGCAGACTCGACGTGGAAAGGTAGTTGTGACCATTCCGGATGAAATCAAGAGCAAGCAGGACTCTGTCAGTTATGAATCCTTGGGAAGTCTGTTTGACCCAGAGCGTCTAGAGAATGACGAGTTGAAGGATGTTTATCAGCGATTCATTCGCCAGTCACTGGAAAGCCTTTCAAGTCAAGGTCGTAAGTTTGGCGCATTACTTATGGAACCCGTTCTGATGGGATCTGGTGGTATGGTGGTGAGCGATCCCTTGTTTCAAAAGGCTCTTGTGGACGTCGTCAGAAAGGATGGAGCCGAGCTGTTAGGTAATGGTACACAAGGACAAACAGGCGAATGGCAAGGTTTGCCTATCGTCATTGATGAAGTCTTTGCTGGCATGTACCGTCTGGGCCGATCAAGAGCTAGTAGTTACCTTGGTGTGGTAAGTAATTGCACCTGAGGGAGTTTCAAGAAAAATAGAAGTACAAAAATTTTAACTTGGCTATTTACAGACTCCAGATATTGCCGCATATGCAAAAGTTTTGACAGGAGGTTTAATTCCACTTGCCTTGACCATTACAACCGACTCTATTTTCAACAACTTCTTGTCAGACAATAAGGCCGATTGTTTGTTGCACGGTCACTCCTACACTGCCCATCCAATGGGTTGCGCAGTTGCAAAAGCTTCCATTGACATTTTGGAACAATTGAACAGCGATGGCTCATGGAGCCACTATAAGCAGGATTGGGGAGTCAAGGCGAATGAAAACATTTGGTCCATGTGGAACAAGAACACAGTTGATTTCCTTTCCCACTTGCCCAATGTTCAGGGTGTCAATGCAATTGGATCTGTTTTGGCTGTTGAGTTGAAGGATGCCGAAGGAAGAGGTATGTAATTGACAAGACTTATAATTGATTTGGACAGTAGACTAACAGCAGGCTCTCAATTTGTTTTAGGCTACACATCAGCTGCCTCGGCTAAGATCATAGCGAAGATGAGGAGCCATGAGTTTGAGCATACTAATATCAACATGTTTGCTCGCCCACTTGGAAATGTGATCTATGTTATGGCATCTCAGAGAACCCGACCTGAACAAATTAAGGTGCTTGAACAGACGTTGTTGCAGTGCTTAGAAGAGGAGTTGTAAAATAAAAAGTCATTCTTTAATTGCTGCATTGTGTCATGACAGCTTTTCTCCCCACTTTGTATTCAAAAATAAAAAATTATAGACACTCAACACCAACCTTCTCCCATTCTTCCCTTCGATATTACTCCTCCAAGACATTTTTCATTAGTATACAATATGAGCAACCACGATAAACAGTTGAAAGCTCATGAGACCTTGAAAGCCAAAGACCAAGGTATGCATTGATCGCTTCGAAGCGTAGCATTCATTGAAAAAATTTGATACACCAGCTTTGATCACAGATGCAAACACCGTTCTTGCCACGGATACCGATGCATCGCAGATTATTGACAAAGGTCAGAATTTACTTCTGACTCAAGCATTCATCCCGACGTCTTCTGAGGAAATGCATGGTAAATCAACATGTTTGAATTATATGTCAACAGTAGGGAAATCCCGCTGTCTGAGCATACATCTGAGTACTTGAATTTCTAGTCGAAGACATCATTCACACGATGCCAAATGAAGTTTGCGTCGACAATATTATCACAGATCTACCTATATGGCCATCGACGTTTCACATAGCTTCCAGGCACGTTTACAGTTCTGGCGAGCCAGTTTCAGGTCTAAAGATGGTAACTTTTTCGTTATTTTCGGTATGAACTTCTTTAATAATGGGGTTTACCGATACACATAGTCCAATTCCGTCTTTAGGATAAGTCGGACGCAGACCCTTTCATGGGATATACCAAGGATTCTATGTAGACATGTTCTCGTCATGCTAATAAATTAACTGCCACACTGTTTGTTTTTCACAAAGTCTTCTCAACACCAACACCATTCCTTATGTACACACAGTTCGATTTATAGTTTCTGCTGTTATTTGTTGATCTTTACATTACAAAGCCTTTGCGATTGGATGGAGAAGAGGCGTTTATAAAGGCATGCTTTCACAATTGCTGTAAATTTTATGCACAAATAAACGTGAATTTGCACTAGCTCAACGTTGCGTGATGCAATATGAGTGATCATAGGGTAGATGTGGATACAATGGATCACAACCCGTCAAACTAGGTGAGTGGTGTATTTTTCGTTTTCTGTAAATGGTTAAGGGGTAACAATGCGATACTGAGTGGTAAAAAGGGTAATGAATGGTAATGAATTGTAAAGATTATTTCAACTCCACAACTTGAAAGCCTTCAGCGTCCAGGTCGACTTTGAAATCAACAGTGGGTTTTTCATCGTTGTTTATCTTGCCAACTTTCTTCGTTTGGATGCAATGTTGATGAATTCCAAGTGATAGGAACAACTAGAAAGAGGTCGAGTCAGATATTGCTGTATACTAGGTGATAGCGGATTTGTAGATACTCACATTGATGACAAGGTTGAAAACAACACCGAGAGATTGCCACATTATCGATGCTGTGATGATTTCAGCACAGAACTGATGGGTGTCACATCCTGGGCACGGAGGAGTGTCAAGGTACAGGCTGGCACAAGTTGCGACACGTTGATCTCTAGCTATGACTGTGGCAATCAAAGTCGTCAATGAGTCGGCAAAGCTCAACACTGTCAAAGCATAGCTCAGATAGGCGGTGATGATAACCCCTTTGATGAATTTCTAAATGGTAATTTCAGCAGTATTCAGTAAGTAACCTTCCGATATCCTTTTCGAGATATGGTTTGAGCAAAAGGGAGATCTCCTTTGTTACCTTCTTGATCATATACAACGACGCACAAGATACAACCACTAATAGTAAACTGAGCGAGTAGCCCACGTAAAGGATTGGGACTGTCAAGTTAGATAAATAGGCTAAGGTAGGTGAGTACATGATACAGATTCTACATGTCAAGCGTAACTAGATTCAATTCTTACTGGGAGTCTTTGCGCGAAATGACATCCATGCCTCCCAAGCCAGTCGAACCTGACCAAAAAAGTAGAGTTGAATGAGTTTCCAATGGCTCCGATCATACCACAAGTACTTTCCAATGCGATTCTCACCATCTGAGCTCCAGCAAAGAAAGCTATCCACTGGTATAGTTCGATATGCATTCCGAAGAAAACAATGTGCGCATCCGATTCTATTGTCTGATCACTCATGATGTGTATGGTTCAAAGATGAAGTGGAGTAGAGTGAGATAAAAATGCAGAAATCTATATGAAGGAAACAATTGTTCAGATCCTTTATTTTCATCACAGATTCATCAGTTTTTATAACTGTGATGCTATCTGACGGATTTTAAGGAAATAACCCTTAATGTGAAATTGTAAACAGATATTGGCCTGCTGAGAAACGAAGACTTGCACATATTCTCTAACGTCAACATTGAAATTTTTGGCTGCCGGATAACTTCAAGCGCAGCGACGGTCATCAGCAAAAATTTAGTCCATCATATAAATGAAAATGAGACATGTTTTATACACTATAGGTTTGGAACCTACGATCGACCAGGGTTTGACGATATGCTATAGAAAATTATATTGTTCATGTACAAGGATATACAGGAAGAGAGTTATGCTCCTGCGATGCTGGTCTGGACACAAACTCCAATTCCTCAAGTTTTCGTAACCGCTGCTTGAGCAGTGGAAGCAGTATCTCGCCACATATTGGGAATTTGGATATGGAAAGGTGAGTTAGATATGAACAGCAGCCTATAACGGCTTTGTAGCCTGCCGAGATACTTTCGATCAGCGAATCCTCATCTTGATCCTCCGCCATCCACCCTAAACATCCACGAACTTCTTCTTCACATGTGCCACTGAGCGTCAGTCTCCTCAGTTGATTTGAGCATCGGTAAAGGGCCCTACAGACGCTTGGTGCAGAAGAAAACAGTGCTATACCCGCTATATCAAGATCATGTATTGATGGCCAGTAGCAGACTACTTGTTCCAAGGCATGTCCATTCACTTCTGTAGCCACAAAATGTTGTATATGCTTTTGCTCCTTCAAAAAGCTGACGCTAGCCATACTCATGAATCCTTGTATGATTACTTTTTGAAGTTTTGTGTTAACAAAGCACTTCACGAGAGATGCATACAGACTTCCGCTACTAATTGGAAAGGAAATTTGTAATTCCTGAAGTTGATGTTCAATAGGCTGAATGAGCTGACATAGTTGTACCTCATGAGATGAACAGTACGTATATGTATCGCTGCAAGTAAGGGTGATTGACGATATGTTTGGGAAGAGACGAAGAACGTTGCTATGTGTGTATGGAGACAAATCCAAGGTCTGAAAGCGAATGGAGTCTCTTTCAAGTTGTTTGGAGTGCAGTGAATCTAATTGAAGGTAGACCGCTTTGGGTACGTGTAGTAACTCTCGGCTTACTGGGCATAATGTTGCAGTCAGAGAATATTCCGAGAACCGTATCTGCTCTTCTTCGTTGAACGCTGGTAAGACTTCAAGAGAGACTTTGATGTACTGATATAAGTCAAGAAATTGAGGATATGCAAGTAACAGTGAGAAACCATCCAGTAGAGCATCGGTATTGGAGGCAGCGGGTGCGTCTAGGCTTAGTCCGAGTAGTTTGAATATGTATTGTCTTATCTCAGTAGGACAAGTATCGAGCCAAGAAGCGGTCAGCAAGGACGAAGTTAGCATTAGGACAATACCACAGGTTGGTCAAAAGTATGCTAATGGCGACTTGCAAGGTAGTAAGGTCAGTTGAATTCGAGGGATGAGTGTTATATAGGCTTTAATTTAAGTTGAGAACTTGTGGTGGGATGGTTGCCCAAAAAAGGGGTTGGACTCCAATGGCGTGCTTCGCCGCTTTCATGACGGTATAACTTTAGGTGTATAAATTAGTTTTGGGTAAATGGGAGTTTTGGTAATGAAACCGGTCATATAAGATAGTTCAATAGTTACTATGTTCAAAAAACTGCCTTTCGTCCTTCAAATGGTGCTATTTCGCTTACCGGAACAGGTGGTCGTTCGCTCAAGCCTAGCATCGCCGAACTCAAAAAAGAAATGTGGCATATCCATCCCACAATATTATTTTCAGTTTAAAGTAACAATGCAGATGATTGATCTGTGGACAAAAGGCTGATCTGGTCATATCTCTATGTTGGAAACTGTCCATAGAAGATGATGGCAATGAAGAAAGCTGGGTCAAATATTAGGACGATGGAGTTGTGTTCGAAGAAGAGCATAGATTGAAAAAGGTCTATACAGAAGTAGTCAATTCATCATGGGAAAAGAGAGTTGTAATATTGTATAAAATGAAGGCCCAGATCCGTTGATTTCCCTCATAGACACTCTCAGTGACTACAATGAATTTAATATGCAGGGCATCTCACTACTACCAATACAGCATCATTATCAGCACAACATGGCTACCAGTGATTGCCGCGACCTACAAAGATAATTAGGCATTTTGAAACAATATATCTTAGCATATGTGCTGGTTATATTGATTCTTCAGGAGACTCGATCTGGCTACCTTGTAGAAGCAAAAGATCATCCCTTCACTGCCAGTGGAGGCTCGTACAGTCAAAACGGAAAATTCAGTCGGACCTGCAAAAAAATTGGTCTTGTAAAAAGTCAAACCGTTTACCAGAGATTCGCAGGTGCTAAGCAAAAAAAATATTCTTCGAAACTCAATGCCAAGGTCGTGCCACTTTGGAGTACCATTGAGCATGATACGGTCCATGGCACTTCCAAGGAGGACACCGCAGCGGCCGAACTGTTGGAAAACGCATTTAATCCGGACTCTGACACTGGCGGCCGATCGCTCATGGACTTCTACAGTACCTGCAATAACTCATTCACCTCATGGAGACTTCTTCAAGCGAGCAATAGCACAGCGACGTGTGTTTGCACATGCTCAGGTACTAGGTCGCCTGAGATTTAGTCGACATCTCTCTTATAACAGTCACCTAGTATTCAATCTAGCAAGCAGTTTGGAACTGTCACATCTTGTACAAGCCCTCAAATTGCGACAATGCGAACGAGCTTGGTCTATATATCGTTCATTACGGAAAAGCAGCCGGAATCCAGCCATCCCAACTGAGGTTGTTGGTGATCTTTATGCATTGCTTCGGTATGCTCGCCAACTTACTGTGATGGAGCCGGCAGCGCTTAAGAAAGATCAACAGATAGAAAGTATTTTAAACGACGTTGAAGTCTCTGGGGTTGGCAAGGAAGATTTTTTAGCTTTTGTCAACGATATACCCATTTCAGACTACAAGATGCTTCACCGTGCCATACGTGCAAAGGAACCCGAAGCGGCCATAACGATATTTCGACAAATGGTGACAATGGGAGATGCCAAAAAGTTGACGAGAAGCTGGATATATCAACTTTTACATCTGTTCTCACAAGGACAAGAATCGGAATTATGTAGCGAGGTTATAGAATATGTAACCAAGAACCAGCTATCCAACATGTCAGAAGATGATTTCAAGGTGTCAACTGACATTTATTCGCAATTCAAATCTAATAATGGCGCAGAGGCAACAAAGCGTTTATACAGCCTTATGGAGACTGGCGAGGTGGCAGGAAAGTTGGAGCATCTAATGTGGGTTGCATATCATTGGAAGCAATATCACCTTTTGGAAGATCTTTTTCAAGCGATGAAGGTGGACGGTACTATACCAAGGTGCGAGTCCTACGTGTTTCTTATGAGACACTATCAAAAGTCCAAACAGCACACCAAAGCTCTCGAAACATTTCAGGAATTAATGTCCAGTGATATCAAACCATCCATCGAAGCGTTCAACGTCCTTCTTCAAGTGTTTTCAGACCAGAGAGCAACGGACCAGATATCAATCATGATACAGGCTATGATCGATCGAGGATATCCGCCTGATGCGGCGTCATTTTCAGAGGCAATGAAGGCCAACGCCCAGGCGGGGAATCTTCACGCTTGTATAGAATATTATCATATGATGAGAGATCTCAACATTCAGCCTAATATCTACAGCTACAACATCCTGATTAACGCATTTTCGGAAGCCAGGAATACGCCGGAAGTGATTCACTGGTTTCAAGCAATGTTGGCGGACGGAATACTACCCAACCATGTCACCATTACCACTTTGATCAAGGCATTTGCGTCTGACGATCCGGAAGCCACGGTCAGGAATTCGATTCGCATTTTTGAGCAGGCCGTCGCGACTGGTATTAAACCCGATGTCGTCTTATATACCACCTTAATCAAGATGTATGCGGATACCGCCAACATGCAGGCAGCGCTTAGCATTCACAGCGATATGCTAGCAGTGGGTATCAACCCAAATGTATATACCTACACGTCCTTAATCGAAGCTTGTGTCAATACGTCTCAGATGGATGTGGCGCAAAAGATTTTCCACCTCATGAAGGAGACAGAAAACAAGCAGCCCAACGCGTTCACTTATTGTGTCATGCTTCAAGCTTTCATGAAAGTTCAAGATGTTGATAAAATCAAGGAGCTGTACGAAGAAGCCATTGATCAAGTGCAATCGGGTGCCATTGAGGGAGACCATGTTCTCATCGACTGCCTATCACAAGCTAAGGTGTACTTGAGCGAAGAGACGGCAATGACCATTGAAGTAGCGTGAATGATGGAAGTGTAATGTAAATTATAGAGCATCCATACCGTGCCTGGATGGCATTTGAATAAATATAATTGAAAGGTTTATTTTGATTGCAAGACGTAAAGAAAATCTATCAAGCCATATTTATAAGCGATACTGCAGCCATTTTTTTTTTTGGTCTTTTACAACTTGGCACCAGCATCGTAGATGTCAGAACCCCATGAGGCGGAAGGATCGACAACACGTCGGGGAGGGTTGTTGGTACCAATAGCGTCAATTGCAGCCACATCTTCAGCAGTAAGAGGAACCTCGTTGAAGTTGTTGACAATACGGGATGCAGTGACGGACTTGGGCAAAACGCTGGTGCCTCTCTTAACAGCCCACGAGATCAAAACTTGAGCGGGCTCAACGTTGTACTTCTTGGCAAGCTCCAACTATTTCAATGGAACCCAAGTCAAGTTAGCCACTATCCTTCCGTTTCTATTGTTACGAGGTACGCCACACCATCCTTATAATCACCACGAGTAACTTACAATGACAGGCTCTTGCTGGACAGGGCCAGAAGTGGAACCGAGGGGAGAGTATGCGGTGACTAATAGCACGTGTTTAGTAGTCTATCTCGTCATTGAAATATTCAAAGATAGTATGACTTACCGTGGATCTTGTTTTGCTTGCAGAAGTCCAAAAGTTCGGTTTGGGGAAGATAAGGATGCAATTCAACCTGTGAAGGGTAAAGGTTTAGCCTTAAAGTGCTACACAGTGTTTGTCACGCAATAAGTTCCACTAAAGGCGATCCGTCACATACCTGATTGACAGCAGGTGTGATTTGAGCGGTCTTCAAGAGTCTCTGAAGCTTGGTGATAGTGAAGTTGGACACTCCGATGGCTCGGACACGATCGCCAACAAGCTTCTCCATTGCCTAGATTGAAAGTTTTAACCATTAGACCTTGATGGTTTTTGTGATCAACATCCATTGTCATACTTACAGCATAAGTCTCAGTGTAGTCGACTGGGCTAAGCTCAACCTTTCCATCGGCATCCTTGGGCACGGCGCTAGCACCAGACTTGAAAGCAACAGGCCTAAAAATTGAGCACAATAGTAGATCAGCGTCTGTAGGGGTTGGCTATTCCATATATAGTTGCGTCATACCAGTGCATCAAATACAAGTCCAAGTACTCCAATTGCAAGTTCTTGAGGGAATGCTCGAGAGCCTTCTCAACATCTTGGGGAGAATGGGCGTTGTTCCAGCTGCATAATATTGCGTCAGTACAAAAAATTGAAAATACGTCGCATGCACTGCCAATGCCCCTAAAACCTACAGCTTGGTAGTGACAAACAATGACTGACGATCGACACCAGAGTCCTTGATGGCTTGACCAACTTCCTTTTCATTACCGTCTATTGTCATTATAAAGTATTAGTGCATCTTAAGTCTTTTTTTTTTTAAGATCCGAATCAATGGAGTTTAGAGTGGGGCTTACAAATCCAAGCGGTATCAATATGGCGGTATCCCGCCTTAATAGCAGTCAAAACGGCTTCGTAGACCTGACAGTGTTTATGTTGGTTAAGATTTGATCTGAAAACAATAAAGCTGGGCACGTCATGTTACCTCATTGGGCTGGGATTGCCAGGTGCCGAGACCAACCAAAGGCAACTTGGCGCCAGTGTTAAGAGTAGTGATAGCAGTGTAAGTAGCAGACATTTCAAAAGAGAGTAAATTGCTGAGAGTTCTAGCTGCTGCCACCCTTTAAATATGGAACCGTATCGGAGCAAAGAAGATTACGTCGACATCTGAACACACTCCGATTGGGGGAGCATGTACAACGAAAATGAGATTGCAATAAAATTTTGAACGTGAAGATATCTCAAATAGCAGTTTGCCTCGTAGCATAGCATAGCACTTTCTAAGTATGATTTCGTTACGTTTCAACAAGGGGAAGAGAAGATCTTACATTGGCTGGCTATCCTAACAAGAGTGTGGGGGGACGAGCGGGAGACAGGGACCGATAATTGACTTGTAGAACGAGGTGGGTTGTGAAAAAAAAAAAAAACTTGTCCTTCCATTTTTTTCATACACCCAACCCAACCTCTTCAAGAGAAAGGGAAAGAGAGTGCTACTAAGCTGCTCCATCTCCCATCACATTCCTTTTCGTCACACGGTTATTTCAAACTACTTTCCTTTTTTAAGCCCACCCACAACAAATCACGCTCTCTCTCCCGAGCTATCCGCTATTGCTTCATCTTATTATTTTTTTGCAATCAAACAAGATCTCAATCCCAGCATAATTCAACTTGATTATTTCTCCTTTAATTCTCTGGGCATCCCATCTTTCCTCTTGCATTGCATTGCCATCGCCCCATTTGCCCGAACACCACTCCTCCTCAATCTGAAACATAGCGAACATACGCCCTGGCTTTTCAGAAAATAATTATGTCTAAACCAGAGGATACCTCTTCACTTATACCCAAAGTGTCAAGTTCAACTCCTTTGTCACAACAAACCTCGCCACAGCCGTTGAGTGCTTCAGTTTCACTTCAAACCTCTAGTTCACCAGGGGTTAGGACAAGAAGAATTCCTCACACCGATAAACAGCGTGGTGGTCTACAACCTTCTCAAAGCGACACAACCCAAAGTATGTTGCAAAAATATGCCAGTCAAGAAAAGGAGAAGGACGCCGAAGCTGCTACAGCGGTCATCAATGAGGATGACTTGTCTCCAGCTACCAAAGAAAAATTACAAACTCTGGAGCGAGAGCTGAATGCCTATAAATCATATGCAGGTTTCATGGGCTCACCTCCATTGAAACGAACCGATAAGGTAACGTGGAACAAGCTAAAATAACTTATGCATCATTTACTGCTTGCATGGAGAATGTCTTTTTAATTGTGGTATGTTTTTGTATTCACTAGTTAAATAATCGTAACTCAACTGGCGATCCTTTACCTACTCCAACTTCATCCACCATACTTCCTCCACCATCGACTTCATCCTTGCTACCTCCTCCTCCTCAAAGCACCACTCCAACCAAACGGCGCTCAAAGGTACCGAATACCGACAGACGCAATAATGATATCGAATTTGCAACGGAAATCGGCCAAGGCCTGCTGTTGGAGGTTAGGAAAATGCAATCTTTACTGCAGGAGAAGGAGGAGCAACTTCGCCGACTAGAAACAGATAAAGCAGAAAGTGAAAGGTTAGCTGAAGTACTTGCTAAGCAGCTTAAGCAAAGCCAAGAAAGTGAAGGTAAAACCCCCCTCTGCCCCGTAGTTGAAATCACGGTCGTACACAATGGTATTTTGACGCTAACACTTGTATGGTTTTTTAGAACATCTGAAAGAGGATGCTTGGAATTTGGAACTCGCAAAACAAGAGCTTGGAAATTCTATGGCTGAACTTCAACACTCATTAAGCAAGTCAGTCACCGATCAAAACAAGATGTCGAAGCAGCTTACTAGCCTGACTCAGGAAGTGGAGGTGTTGCGTAGTACAGAAGAAAAACTAACGTCACAAGTCGAAACCATGAAAACTCGCCATGAACAAGATATGAATACCATGCGCAAACATTCCAGTACTCTACAGCGTGAAAAAAATGAAGTCGCCAAGCAATTGGAAACTACCGCCGCAGAATTGATAGCGGTTCGCAGTCTTAGCAAGTCCAACAGAAAAAGTATCACAGATGCTGATCTCGCTGGAAATGGTGATAATGCAAATACGAATGGTTCTGACGACGAGGCGAATGGAAAGCAACATGGTCACTCACCAAATGCTTCACCGCCGCCTTCACCAACACATGCTCCCCGCAATACTGCTCTTGAATTGGAAACCCTCAAGACGTCGCTCTCACACGCGCATCGCATGATTTCCAATTTGAGATCATCTCTCCATAAAGAGAAACAGGATCGCTTTGAACTAAAGAAACATTTGGCTGACTCTCAAGAGACCATTGAGCAATTGAGAAACGGATCCCACATGTGGGCCGATGTTGGTGCAGACCGTGCTAGTGGATCCGGTTATGGCACAGGTGAAGGTGCTGCTGGTAGTCTCTCTGCCTCTGGTCGCCGACTCAAGAAAGCCGGAAACAAGAAGCGTGCTCCTGCTCGACGCGCCAAAGGCCTCACCCCTCGACGACCTAGCGATGATGAAGAGTATGAGGATATCGACGAACTTGAAATTCTCAATAGCGATAATTCCGAAGACGATTATGACGACCACCCTGATGACCTTCATAGACGTTTCGATTCATCTGGAGGTTTAAGTGAGACGAGCGATTCGGACAGCATTCATACTCTGGATGCCAAAGCCTCTCTCGGTTTGGCTCAAGCCAATTTTGTTCCCTTGTCATCCGAACTTTCTGGCAGCAAGAACTACAATCCAGGTGTTGATATGGGAGTGAATACAGACCCGGTTGTCTTTGTTAGCGAATCTATTCCTGCTGAGCAACCCCAAGTGATCCACGTTGATACAGGGGTCAATACAGATGTAATTGATACTCCATCTGCATTCAATGGACTGTCTGCTGTTGCCGGATTGGCTGCTGGTGGTTTGGCTGCTCATGAGCTCACTAAGCGTGATGGAGCGTATGCTGCTGCAACTAGTCCAACACAACTCACTAAGCGTGATGGAGCGTATGCTGCTGCAACTAGTCCAACACAAGCTTCCGAGCCTGAGATAACGGATAAGTCCATCGTTTCACCTATTGAGCAGAAAAAGCAAAATGCAGTTGTAGAACAGGTTACTGCTCAAGAGCTCAACGACAAAGTCAGTACAGATTCCAGCCTTCCTATTACTGAAGATGCTACTCCCGTACCCGTTGATACTGCCCATAAGACAGAGCAAAGCGAGGAACCCGAAAATGCCCAAATGATCGACCGTACAATGGAAGCTCAATCGACCTTGCCAGGTGAAGTAGAATTAAACGACAAGGCAGTTGCCCAACCGGAAGTGGCTCAGTCAGTTGTTTCTACTCTTGCTATCCCTGAGGTAGCGAACAACACTTCTGTAACATCAGATGAGCACGAGGGTGCGAATGATGTAATGGACACCAGCGCAGGTATGCATACAAGACTCATTATGATTTTTCCACATCAAACAGTTTCTAAATTTTTTTTTTCACAGCCGAAGTACCTGAAGGTCATGCCCCTACTTCAACACCCACGCTTGCCCAAACGGATAATGTTGCTACCGTCCAAGCGGTTGAGAGTAAGCCTATTCTTGTTGATGCTGCCACTCAAACTGCGCCAGATGATACACCTTCTTCTGAACGTAACGTTGCAACGGCTTTGCCCATTCTTGTATCTGCTGATCAAGAAACCGAAGGCAAGCCCATACCCATCGACCATGCTGCCTCATCTGAGAAAGCAGATATACCTTCTTCCGATATTTTGGCCACCACTGCTTTAGCTGCAGGTGTTGCTGCCGGTGCTTATGCGTTAGCTGATAACAAATCATCTCCTTTGCATACTACCGCTGATGAAGTGGTGTCATCACATCCAGTTGTTTCTCCACCAGTCAATGGATATACGCCATCGGGCGATGCAGTTCCTGATCAACAATATAAGGACTTCGCCGCGGTGATGCCAAGTGCGGCTGAGCAGATGGCTCCAGCTGTAGCTGAAGCCAACATGAAGACTGGTGACATGACAGAAGGTGGCGAAGATGCTGACGTTTTTGGCGAAAAGTCCCATGCTAGCATACCTGCAGTAGTCGATCATGATACTGCCACAAACACTGCCACCGGGGTTCCCGCCAAACAAGTGCAACAAGAAAATATGTCATTGCCACAAGCCACTAGGGATGTTCCAACTGCAATTTCTAGTGATGAACAGTCCAATGGATCAGCTCAAAATACTTCATCCAAGCTTGTGGAAGCAGCCGCTTTAACGGGTGGTATTGTCGGTATTGGTATGGCGGCAGAAAAGCACTCCTTATCCGCACACCCTACTGTGGCCCACCAGGAAGCCCCCATTGAAGATATTAAAGCATCACCCAGTGGAGAAGAAGCAATGTCATCGCTCCGGACCGCAGTGCCACATGAAGATCGTGCCCACGGACATGCTACCATTTTTAATACTGCATACCAACCCAGCAAGCTCACCCAAAAGAACTTGGCAGCGCTTTCTGCGTCTCCTGATGGTAATGAGATTACATTTGCTAACAAGCGCGAGTTTGATAATATCAGTCGCAGTGATCTAGGATCTGGTTCTCGGCGTGCATCATCGTCTATTTATAAACCAATTTCTGAAAAGGAAGGATATTCATCGACCATGGCGCCCAACATTGTATCCAATATCACTCAAACCATGATCGGTGGTTGGATGTACAAGAACACTCGCAAGGCAGTGGGTAGTGGATTTTCCGATAACCGACATCGTCGATTCTTCTGGATACACCCTTACTCTCGTACGTTGTACTGGAGTATGAAGGAACCCGGTTCGAATGGTGAAGCCAAGGCGAAGAGTGTCAACATTGAGAGCATCACCTCGGTCCCAGAACATTCCAACAGTCCTCCCGGTCTACCCAATGTCAGTCTTGTTGTCAAAACGTCGACTCGAGACATCAAGTTCACGGCACCTGATATTGCTCAACATGAAATTTGGCTTCAAGCTATCAACTATTTGCTAGCTCGACCCACTGGTAACGTGCTTGGTATGGCCCAGCCAAGACCAGATCCACAGTCTATGCGAAGCAATCCATCGATTCTTTTGAGAAAACCAAGCTATCAGCGCATTCAAAGTGTGTTTAGTAGCTCAGCAAGCCATGCTCCTTCCAGGGCCGACAGTGCCAGGTATGCTGGTGATGGTTTGAACGACGACGACCTTGAAGATTTGGAGGATGTCCGCATGTGTTGCGATGGAAAACATCATATATCCAAACTAGAAAAACATCAACACCATCATCGCTCATCTAAACAATACCGTCCAGTATCTGGAGCAAGTTTTGATCAGCCTTTCGCCACGAGTATCACCAGTGGAAACGGATCTGTCAATTGAACCGGCTTCTGATATTTCTATTCAACTAGTGTTTCTTTTTTGTCAATCTTTTTTGTTTTGCACATATCATTCTTTCATATCTTTTCTTCCAATGCAATGGAGAGATCCCACCTGGGGAGAAAGTATATGTTCTTCCCTCTTTCGTTTTTTTTTTTTTGGTTTCTGTTCCTTCAACACTAATTCACTCATTCACTCAGTAGCTTTGTTTTACAACGGCATATTTTTGAAAATTCGCAAGTAATGGCTATGCATGTACGTGGCTGCTTGATATACTCCTTCCTTCCTTCCATTCATTCATTCATTCAATTTTCTTTTTTCCTAAAAAAAAATTAAAATGTCCAATTTAAAACAGTAGAAACAAAAACAAAAAGGAAATGACCCACATCCGCCATCTAAGCCGCAAGGCACATCATAAACATCGCGCAAGGCAAAGCGCTTTTTCTTTTTTTACTTTTGAACAGCATCAAATGGTTTGGTAGATTGCTCTCTATGATTTTTGAGCACAGGTATGATGTTCTACAAGATGCTATGACTGCCGCTTCTTGACACTGAAAAGCAAAGGTCATCTTTGTCATGGTAGATCATAAGCCTTTATGCTGCCTCCTTGCTCAAGCCTCGTCCTTAGCCAATTATATTTTTACCAAGATGGCGGATCTTGCGCTTCAGTGGCTTAATGCACCATAAAGGGGCGTGCCGGGCGGTATCCCGAAGCTCATTCTAGTCCAAATGACCCAATGTTGTTATTGATTTGAGGCGCTTGTTTCTACAACACAGCCCAGGATCAGCCCTCGCCTCGGCAGCATTCGTTGATAGAAATGTAGCTATGACCATTAGCATAGACATTTACTATTATTCAGAGCTTGATGGTGGACGCGCGACAAGTTCTTGAGAATACCATGGTTTATTCTGAAAAGTGACAGCGTGGATCAAAGTGTTTATTTCAGTACCTGTGTGGAGAAAATTTTCTAACAGCCAGCCGTATTTTGAGGCTCATGCGTTAGCTAACACAGCCTCTGCCTCATGTAGCTATACGCCATATCCATAAATACTGAACGTCTATGAACAAACCTCTTCAGACATCCTCTACTCAACATGAGACTGTTCATAGCTGCTGCTGCACTTCTTGTGACAGCTCAATTTGCCATTGCTGCTCCATTATACCGACACACCAATGACGGTGACTCCAACACAACCGAACAAGAATTGAACGCGGGTCTTGAAGATCTCCACAATTATATCCAGCAAAACGACCCTTCCGCCGAATCCGACTATCAATCACTGGTTCAAGATATTTATTATTTCGAATATGAATATTCCGATAGTAATAAGGAAGAAGCACAGCAAAAATTGCAAGAGCTAGAGGCTCTTGTCACCAAACTCAAATCCGAGGTCCCCGGCTGGCAGGGCTGGAGTTACCTGCCTGATATGACCAATTATGGCGGTGACTCTTACAGTGGTGACTCTTACAGCGGTGACACCACCACCCACTCTGATTACGATGAGGATCACTCATGGAACAGTGGACGTAATGGGGACAGGAATAACAATCATGGCTCAGACTGGAACAAAGACCACGGCAAGAACGACTGGGACAACTACCTTGAGCATTCCAATGGTGGCAACGATTGGAACAAGGGCCATGGAAGTGACTGGGACAAGAGCCACGGTAAAGATTGGAAGCATGGAAAGGACTGGGACCATGGAAAGGATTGGAACAAAGACCATGGAAAGGACTGGAACAAAGACCACGGCAAGAATGACTGGGATCACCACAATGATGGTGACCATGACTGGAATAGCGGTCGTGGAGGTGATTGGAACAAGGACCGTGGTGGTGATTGGAATAAGGACCACGGTAGTGACTGGAACAAGGACCATGGAAAGAATGACTGGGATCATAACAACGGCGGTAATGATGACTGGAATAAGGGCCGCGGTGGTGACTGGAACAAGGATCGTGGCAGTGATTGGGACAAGAGCCATGGAAAGGATTGGAACAACAATCACGGAAAGGATGACTGGGATCATAACAATGGTGGTGATAATGACTGGAATAAGGACCATGGCAGTGATTGGAACAAAGACCATGGAAAGAATGACTGGAATAAGGACCATGGCAGTGACTGGAACAAAGACCACGGCAAGAATGACTGGAATAAGGACCATGGCAGTGACTGGAACAAAAACCACGGCAGTGATGGTAACAAAGATCAGGGCAAGAATGGAGGCAGTGGCTGGGATATAGTCCGCAACACAAACGACTACCTTGATCATTACAATGGTGGTAACGATTGGGACAAGAATCACGGAAAGGACTGGAACAATGACCATGGAAAGGACTGGGACAAGAGCCATGGAAAGGACTGGAACAATGAACACGGCAAGAACAACTGGAATCATGATAATGGTTACGGCGATGACAGCCGCAATGATGACTGGGACCACTACAAAAACCACGACTGGGATAGCGAACATGGCAAGAACGACTGGAACCATAACAACAAAAAATATGATGATTATGGTGGCAATGGCTACGATGGCGCTAACAAGCCTGGTGACTGGTCTGGCGATGATGGAACTGGCTATGATGGTGCTAACAAGCAAGATGACTGGTCTGGCAGTGGCGGCAATGGCTATGATGGTGCTAACAAGCAAGATGACTGGTCTGGCAGTGGCGGCAGTGGCGGCAATGGCTATGACGGTGCCAACAAGCCTGGCGACTGGTCCGGCAATGGTGGTAATGGCTACGATGGTGCCAATAAGCCTGGTGACTATTAGTGACTAGAACGACTGAAATTGAACCCCCCAAATCCAAACCAAAGGCTTACAATTTTCTGCATATCCCTCCACGCTCTTGTCAGTAAACAAATGTAGCATAAGTATATTTAAACATTAAAAACCCATTTTCTACCAATTTCCCCTCTACCACTCGAATTCTTAAATTCATAAAGTATTTTTTTAAACTGTTGTTATGTACCCATCTGCTGTCTTCAACTTGATCTCATTAGAATGATTAGGCTTGGACTAGGAATGACATAATATGAGTAATCATACGCGCTTTCATGAAAATGATATATAATGATCCTTTTAATCAGTCAGCATAGGAATTGAAAGTTGTACAGAGAAGTTCTCGGGTGAGCATTAGCGAGCATCAGAAAAATGTGTTTTGGTATATTCTCTAATATGGCAAGAGATCAAAAGGCTTATTGATTTCAGTACCAGCCGGTGTATGATAATGCTTCCAAGTCAATGGGTACTGCTTTCCCTTAGCATCATAAGGTACAGTCTTCGTTCCAAAGATAATGTTGAGCTGTTTGAGCTTCGTTCACATATTCCGTAACGGCTTCGCAACTAGCGGGTCAACAAAATGTTGGCAGCTGTGTGACTGTACAGCCACCTGCCGTGTTTATTTTTAATCGACGCGAGCCACCGAATACAGAGGCTGAGCTTCCCCCAGCCTGCAGGTAACTAAGGCTGGGCCGAAGAAGGGATGATAAATAAATAAAGCCTTCAATGTTTTTCAACAAAGCCTTGCCCCTTCCCGCGTATATGCGAATCTTCACTTACATCGTCGCGCTTGCCGTCACTGGAGCGTTAGTGCAGGCTGCTCCCACCTCATACGGTGACTCAACGCACAGTATCTCTCAAGAACTAGACAGCTTGTTTAACTACGCAGTCAGTCGTAATAAATATGTTTATCCTCTACGGCAACAACTTCAAGCAGATCTAGCGAAAATTCAATCCACATCCGACCATTCATCTTCAGAATACAAGGCTGAAATGGCAGACTTCAGGAACAAACTTGGTATTATATATACCGATTTCCCTCTCTGGCCCGGTTGGAATGATCTTTTCGACGAAATTTATCAAGGCGACTGGGATACTACCACCGCACACTCAAACGATGGAAATACAGACAACTACGAAAGTAACTCAACATCCAATCAATTTGAGCAATATGTGGAAGACTTGGAGACCTATGTCAAGCAATATGACATCGGATCTCTCGGTGACGTTTTGATCGTCAAGCAGGCTATTATCTGGCTAGACCAAAACGAACACAACATTGCTACTGTCCACGACTTTAACGACCAGGTCTCAGGGCTGGATGAAGCGTGGGGAAGACTGCACAGAAACAATGCCGCCTGGCCTAAGTGGGAGGTGGCCGAATCCACCTTCAAGAACATGTATTCGGATGCGCTGAAGGACGTGCCCAAATCGGACTTGACCCACCTCTACGCCGAGGAAAATTCGCATACCAATAGTGTTCAGTATGAAGATCTGGATTCCTTTTTCTACAACCCAAATCAGCATAATGACGAAGTGAATGTTTCGGATGACATTGACCAGGAATTGAACGCTATCTTTGCAGCATTTACCAAGGTGAAGACACTTCCTCATATTGACGGATTGCTTGAACTTGTAGAAAATATCAATCATAACGATGCCATATGATAAACTTCAACCCCTATAACTTATGTAATAAAGATTTTGAACTTAAAGGCTTTACTGGCTAATGTTATTTTTTTAATTATATTATTGACATTAGTATTGTGAGACAGAGTATTGGATGGGTCGCATGCACAAAAATATAATATGATCGACATGAATGGGAATCTGAGATGATTGATTGATTCATGAATACAAAATAGTTGATGTTTAGAGTATAAATAGGAAAAATTACAAAAGATCTATGGCGTTGATCGGGCGATGAGATGAAATTATGTGTTGGTATAACATGGAGGTAGAATAGTGCTTGCAAGATAGGCGAAGTCTATTGAGGCTTCGTATCCGCATTGTTGTTCCATTGTGATGGTAATGTAGGGGTGCTGGATCCTTCACTGAGGTTCGGGGTAGATAAGCCAGTTATACTGCCCTCTTCCAAAAAGGATGGAACGCTACTGCGTCGCTTATCCTGTGATAGTCCGTTGATAACATCCAAAGGGAAGTCGGGAAGCATATCAGGGTGAGCAGGTGGTTCGTTAAGGTAGTGGTTGCTTTGTCGGTGGCGGTATTGTCTGCTATCAACAATCTGCAAACAAAATGGTTTGTTAGAAAAAAATTGTAAACAATTAAGTTGCCACGTTAAAGATCAAATCACTTACCATTCCGCAGTTTTGACAATATGCATGATGTCCCATTTTTTCCGGCTCGAAGCGAAGTGCTTCGACCAAAAGGGTAGATTCGATGATTTCGAAGAAAACGGTGAGGGCATCGCTCTGGTTTCCGAGAAACAAGCTGATTTTGAGAATATTCATGATCAGGTTGACAATAAAAGTCAATATGAAGCAGAGTAGTGATTTTCGAACAACGATGCCAACGAGAGGGTTTTGAGTGGTGGTCATGCCTTTCTGGGTTTTGTAATGTTGGTAAAGTCTGTTGAAGTAAAGTCAGTGTGTTGCCCCAGACCACGTTTCGTTCATTCTGGCGTACTCACCGTATAAGGAATAGTCCACTTAAAAAGAGGTTTGCAAGAAGGTCTCCAATAAAGTTGAGAATAACCACACCAGTGCCCCTAAAGTTTCATAATAAATAAATGGAGATTATGAATAAAAAGTCAGTTACCAATTATAGTAATTAGTGGCATTGGAGAAGGCGGGATTTTGTTTTCAGTTGATGGCCCAGTCTCCGTTGTTAAGAACTGTTTGGATACGTACCAGCTTGCCCAGCAAGTCTGTCCGTCTGTCGCGGTTTGCGAAGATACTTTGTTTACAATGGATCGATATGCCAGCTCAAACGGCCAGTCAGCAAACCGGATTAACAGGAGACACAAAGCGATGATGGTGATGGCTCTATTATACTTGAAGTCGCAAATCACCAGGACTCGTAGAAGCATCACAGTATACATCAATAGAAACGCAATGTGCCACATACTGGAGTTGAAAGATTTTGGGGAAGGAGATCGGGTTGGGAAAGGTTAGACACTGAGATTGGAGGTTCCTTACAAAGTTTTTGTTTGCCCGCTGACGAACTACTTACGATACTAAAAATGGGAATATCGCGCAGGACATAACTTCGAAGATGGGTAATAATCCATAGACTGTACGATGAATGAGGACAGCAAGCACTTGCGCCAAGTTCACAACATGTCTGTGTGGTGTAACTGGTAAGCATCGATGTCGGTGGATTGAAAAAAATCGGGTTGAGCTGTCTACTTACATAAGTCCTCGTGTTCGCTTCCATTGTCCATAACATACAAATGCATTTCGAACGCATACAAGGACTGCCATCCATGTAAGGACCAGGTTGACTCTGGCCACAACTCGTACTCCGTAATCTGATAGTTCTATCATTAAATATGTAAAGTGAGGAAAGCCATAAAGAGAGTAAGAAAGAAGATTGATCAACGGTTCCTTTCGTTGGGCAGCTGGGACAAAATAAAAAAAAAATATAAAAAACGGGCTTTCAAAGCGGGATTTTCTCCCCTCAGAGCCGGACGGACTTTTCATGGAGCAATTATTGGTCCCGTTTCAACCTGAAATAAAATGGTCTGCGCCATCGCTCTAGGGACACCACGTATAATTTCCATCCTGGGTTCAGTATGTTTCTGGGAAAGTGACTGAAAGATCCGGAATGAAGTTTCAAAGAAGGAGACAATTGATTATTTCAAAAAACTGAATGATAGAGCATTGCCCTGTAGTGTCAGCTTTTATGTAATTAGTTCACATTGGTTTCAGTTTAAATAACAGATATAATTTGTGGGAAACAGAACCCGTAGATCACGGAGAAGACAGAAGAAAAAGATTCTACTGACCACCTTGTTGCTTTGTAAATCGCTGAATATGGTATATGTATACCAACGTAGCAACGCTACAATACTTAGAGGTGTAAGTGGTCATGGTGGGATAAAGTTGTCTTCAAATACAAGATTTCAGCTGTCAGTTTCATACTTCTAACATGGTTCCGAAAATAAGCAACCAATACCAATGACAGTATACTTTTCAACGAACTAATTTGTGTCCGTTTCGCGGGCTGGCCAGGCTCCGCAAACTTTGCAAAACATGGCTTTATCATCCGGTAGCTGAAAACGGCAGCCTATACAAGGATCACTGCCATTGCGCTCAAGACCATTGTCTAAGTTGTGCCCAAACACTCGTTGGAATGCCTTGAAATAGTATAGATGTTCAGGGTCACGGATTTTGATGGAGTATTTCTCAAGTATATCTTGTTGAGTGGTTTCGAAAGACTTGTCCGCTTCAGCCTGAAGGAGTTGTGGAAGTATCGTTGTTCCACTTCCCTGTTCAATAGGATCCTTTTTGCGCCAACAAGACGTTGCCTCAGGAAATGCTAGGCGAAGGACCATCTTACCATGGAGTGCCTGCTTTGTATTACCCGTGTCGCCATCCGGAATATTGACTGATTGAATGAGTTCCCCTCGAGATGTACACGATTTGGCAAATTTGATGACCCGAAGGTCCAAGTATGGCTGTATGATGCGAATGCCCAGAACGTCTCCAAATTTCTTGGCACAAAATGTCATTGTCTCTGTCATATGCTTAATATATAATAGCAGTTTTTCCTCGGGCATACCGTGCATAAAGCTATAACCAGCGAATATCTGGATAGAAAGGGTTAATTCCAGGCCGTGTCCTGATCATTAGAAGTGGCAGAAATATTTACCTCGTCAGCTCCATCTCCAGCAGCAAGCGATTTAACACCAAGTTCCTTTGCCAAGAGCATGGATTTTGCTATAACAATCGAGTTGCGCAATTCCATTGGATCAAATGTCTTTAGCGTTTTGACAGAGAAGTCGAGTAACTCCTGGTCTCGAATAAGTTCCAATGGGCTATCAAACTCGATTAGCTTATGCTGAACGCCAAGCTTTCGAGCTATCTCCGTTGAAAATGGACGATCAGATGCAGTTTCACCACAGCAGACAGTAATGCCAGTACTGATGTTTAGGATGTTAGGTTGATCGGAGCAGGCTTCTGCTATGACGGAGGTATCCAGTCCGCCCGACAATAAAATGGCATCGCAGGGTGAATTTTCTTGTAACACTTGAATAAAAAGTTCCCGCAGCTCCTTGGATCTTGGAGTGGGATTTATGTCCTCTGGTTGTGCGCACTGATTCTCTATTGTAATTGGCATTAAAAACGATTCCGAACGCGCGATCGAATCGAGATGTCAGACGGGCCCGCCTATACGATGGTCAGGAACTCCGCCGTGGGACAGCTTTTGTCTTATCCCAGAGTTGGTGCGCCTAAATTGAGGGGTTGCTAACTACAATATGTGAATAAAATTGCTTAGATTTGCCATTGGATGAAATTGGCTGCCATAAACTCAACATAGTATATAGAGCTGAAAATACTTTCCTATATCTTGTCCTTTTTCTTTGCTTTGGGCAGTTTGTTCCAATGGAATGTCATAAAATCACTATCCGACTCCTACCACAGACATCTGTATGTGAACATAGGAATAGCTTTATTCGTGAACTTTGCCTATCTGATGATACAATGAGATTTATGGACTATTATTCTTGAATAGAACTGGTAGAATAATCCATCACTTCGTGGCACTGCCACTTTCTACTCAAGGCATTTTTCGTAGCCCTTGTGACTGACTTTTAGGTATAGAGTTCAGCGGTTTTGGCACTCACCTCTTGATCTACAACCCTTTCTCTAATTCATTTCCAACACAAACCCTTTTTCAAATGGAAGATTCATGTAGAAACCTGATTCTAGAGTATCTATTGCACAACTGCTATGGCAATACTGCGAAAGCCTTTATCTCCGATATGCGGAATTTAGACATGCTCAACGTGAATACATCTATCCTTGATAAGAATGGCAATGTCATTCATAGTGCATCAAACAATAATACTTCCGGTAAGTTTATGACCTCTATTGCCAACTCCATTGATTGAAAAGTCATCTCAGCTACTCCGTATTCCATCATATACCGCCCCAATATGTGATACTTGCATTTCAGTAATACGTCAGGTGTACTAAATTCCATATTCCTACCCTCAAAGGTGTCCATGACTGTAATGGAAATATGCGTGATCGAATAACAGAATCAGATATGGAGTGGGTGTCTTCAACGGATAACGACACCAATCATGAACGGCCGGATCACTTCAGCCGCCTCCATGGGATAAACAATGTACATAGCCAAGTTCGATGGTCACAATTGGAAGCACGGAAAGGTAACCATTATGACATATGGCTTTTACAATCGGACAATTGAAGTTTATAGTGGCTATGTTCCATAGATTTATATTATGCGATACAGAAAGGCGAAATAGCGAAGGCTTTCGACTTACTGAATGAGCATTTCCCAGTGTTGACGTCGTCAGCAGATGTCACGAACCGAAAAGTCCAATTTCGGTTAAATTGCCAAAGATTTATAGAAATTGTACGATTGGGAGAAACATTGGAGGCACTCAAGTTCGCACAAACGACATTGCGAGCGTTATCAAACGATCTTAAGATCAACGGTACCCCAGAGGAAATCGAAACGCTCTCTACTGTGTCCTCACTTATCGCCTATCAAAACCCTGAACAGTCGCCGATTGCCAAATACCTCGATCAATCTTACAGAGATGAAACCGCCGATATTGTGAATAATGCAGTTTTAGGTACAATCTGTTCACTTTGCCCAAATATGATGATGAAAAAGTCTTGCTTAAACTGTTTCAATTCATTTTTCTCCAGAGTTGGTGGACCTGCCTGTTGAAACACGCCTGGAAAAAATCGTCAAGCAGATGACTGTGGTTCGATCGGAAACCAGTGCATTGAGCTCAAAAGATGAAACCTCTACACCATACGATGACATTGGTAACATTTTACAGTTGTAAGCAACGAATCTAAGCAATGTTATGGAGATATGACTTTTTACAACACTGTCAATGCCTTTACACACTAGTATTCATCAGGTCTCATATAATTAAAGGCTGCTCGCGTGACATGCCTGATATCCCTTGTAACGTTAAAAACACATTCGTGTATGCTCTACTACTTTTGATAATAAGGAATTAAAGTCGAAAAATGAGGTTTTCGTTTTTTATTGCTTGTATTCGATATTCCTTGAACATTTAAATCGCCAAAGCTAGCATTTAGATGTCCTTAACAACAAGAGCTGTAAGGGGTAAAGAACATGTTAGTTATATACGATGATTTGGCGGAATGTATCATCTGTATAAAAACGTACCAGGAGGAAGAGATTGGCGGAGCTTCTCAGCCTTCTGGGCATCCTTGACGACCAAGGTGTAAAGGTAACGAGAGCATCTAACCTTGAACTTGACAGTGTCAGCGTTCTTCTTGATGCGAGCAGCTGAGAAAGATAAGATGGGTAAGCAACTACATTGGAGCGTTCTAAAGTGGATTAGACCTTTGAGGGGGGGGGGGCGAAAACACCTACACTTTGCGTCCTTTCTGCGGGCGATCTCAAGGAAGTTCTTAATGTCCTGGACTTGCTTAGGCTATAACAAATGCGAAAATAATGTTAGTGAACCGTACCGAAGGATGCAGAAATTATGTGTCATTTTCAGCAAGAGCAGTTGAGCAAAGAGTAAATTCGGTTGAGCTCGTGGTGCCTAGTACATTAAAGTACTCAAGCAGCCCGTAATGCTTGACGGACATAATTCAGAGGTCAATGTTGTAAAAAAAAATATGCGAAGGACGAATGTCGAATCAGTAGGACGTTCTGTTCTTGTCGATCGTTCATCCATCTATGCATCCATCGATGCATCCATGCTCTATTGCAATGAAAATGACACAGTAATGAATATCTTTGATATATACCATTGTCGTAGATGGAAAAAGGGAGGATCATACGGTGGGAGGCTTTCGCAGAGTATATCCACCTGCGCACCACAACGAAGTAAGTCACATGATTTCCGCTTGGACAAAATTTAATTGGCGAGCGTTTAATTTTCTAACGAATCAACATGAACCATAAAAGCAAATTGCCAAATGAAATTCTTTTAATTCACAATCAGCGAGCTTCTGTCAATTCCAGTCAAAGGCTCCGCTTCAGCATTCACAATATGTTTCAAAAAACGATAGCTATATCTCAAGTCATCCCTTTGAAAATATGTTAAAATAGCATTATTGATGCATCTAGCTCATTTATTGGGTATCCAAAGCATCACATCATATAAATTACACACATATTTCCACCTCCTCATTTACAATTCGTCTCTAATAGCTCGTCCATGCTTAGCTTGTTCGAGGTCAATACCATCTACATGCTTCTTTCCAGTGTTATCCGGATCCAACCATGCCTTGAGCTGTTGATTTCCAAGCGGCGCAGAGCTCCAGGAATCCTTGAAGGCACCATAACGATCATAACCTTTATAATGGCAACTTGCAACGCCTCCATGAAGCTGTCCAATAATGCGCCCAGTGGATTCGTACAATGGTGATCCAGAGCTACCAGGTTCAGTGGTTCCTGTAGTCCATCTCTCCACCTCCCAATGCATATTACTTGGGCACTCGCTCCAGCATGCAGGAGTTACGTCGCCATCGAAATGAGAAATCTTCTTCAAGTCTCCACTTGGGTGGTGGATGGTCACGAAAGGTGATACGGGAAACTCCTCTGCTGACCAGCCAGACAAATAAACTTGATAGTCATCGGGAATGGGTTCCATGACTTCCAATAGAGCAAAATCTGATGACCTGTATGTGCCTAGTGATAAAGGTTTTCATTTAGCATCAGATATCAATAAAGTTGACGTTATATTAAGTGCATACCTAATAGGTTCAGACCATGAGCCGTATCCTTAGATCCGACGTCGCTGTCATCTACCCCACAAGCTTGTCTTTCATAATTGAACATAACAAGATGAGTTTTCATATCGTTCCAGCCGGTACAATGGTTTGCCTAGTGAGAAGAGATTTGTCAGGGGTGAGTGCGTATTTGGCTTATAGCTGTTTCAATACTTACGGTCAAAAAGTATTGCTTTCCATCCTGTCGCATGTTGTTGACCATTGCTCCGGTGCAGTATTTTTGGTTGTTATCGGTCAAAATGACAGCTACAGACCTGGCCTGGTTATGCCAATCCGCGCCGTCTTTGCAAGCAACATCAATATTACAGCTTCCGGAAGAGGACTTCTTGGGAGTAAAAAGGTGCTTGTATCCATGTATAACCTTTGTAATTCGAATACGAGGAGATTCTTGAACCCAAGAAGGCGAGAAGTACTCAAATACAATTTCATTGCCTTGGATAGGAGCAGTGGCAAACATTCCGGAGTCTTTGTTGGACGGATTAGCTTTGAATGCACCAAGAGTTTCCTACAAAACGTGTCAGTATTATATCGATAACTATTTCTTGTTGACAAACAGCATTGTTGCTTACTTGATCATTATATACATATGCTTCTGCACCTTCAGGGATCCACCATTCTCCAAAAATCAAATTGAGAGAGATGGCCTCCTCACTACGAATAACGGCACGCCAGACCCAATCACCATTGTCGAGGTGAATGATACTTTGGTCATTCAAGGTTAGTGGGATGTCCACATCGATAGCCTTTCCAAATTGGCGAGGAGCGTCCTTTTGTTCGATTTCCGTGGCCATAAGCTCTGCATTTGACAAGGGTGGTAAATCTAATACATCGCTTGATACTGACTTCAGTAGCCGGTGGTATCCTGGAGATGAGACTTGCGCTGCGCTGTAGCTAATCAGGAATGTAACTACTAAAGCCAAAACTGATTGAGGTTTCATTGGAAGAGAATGATATCAGAACTCTTCACACCTTACTGAAGTTATCTGTAATTTATACAGGGCATCATGCTCTACAGGTGATGGGCAGCTCACGTTGAACGTCTATCAGTTCTCCGCGTGTTGAGCTCAAAATGAAAGATATGGTCAATCTGTGATATGTGCCTGCTCTATCACTGACAGACAGATGGTTGGCAGTCCAAAAATTGGATGATGAATTTGCACTGGCCGGTTAGCCTGACAAAATCGGAACTGCACCGTATACTGATGTATGCATATTCACATTTACCATTTGACAATAACACTTTGGATATGTTGATTGATTGATCGACAATGGACCCCAGGATGGTTGGTATTGTTAATTCGTACCTTGTAGAATGTCCCATTTTATCCATGTGATGATATCATCTAACCCATAATGTCAGCAGGCAAAACCGTTGACAGTATCATGTGCACAAGTTATAGTCGTATTGGCGGAATAAGCGTATCTTATGATTTTTTAACAGAGACTGTACTGACTAGGTTTCGGTAGGTTGGCACAAATGTTTAATGTGCTTGTTTGTCAGTTATGAAAGTCATAGGAAGTGTTTTGATCTGTTGTCTTATTTTCTTTAGATTTAGACAGTGGTGACGGATATTACATCGCAGGCAATGCCTAGCTATCAATAGTTCGATAGCAGTTGCATTCTCGCCTATTCATATCGTGCAAAGGACAGTTTTATATTCTTTTTGTTTTTAAATAGACTGTGGGGCATGAAAGTCAACGGCTGTCCATTGGGACGGTTCAGGTCCCTCACGTCGTCCGGCTTATTCATGCCTCAGTAAGATCAAGCAGTGTAATTTAATCTAGTGCTTCGCGAGAGGGAGTAAAGTAACTACAGATTGACATGGCAAATCCACGAAAATTGATAAAGACTTCACTAACGTCGTCGACAATGCACGAAGAGTTGATCTAAAGAAAATTTTTTATTTGGCTGGCAACTAAAAAGTCCGCCCTACTGCCATAGTACAAATTCGAGTTGTGGGATGCTCAAGCCTTCCGCAGTAGTGATATGGTACATGCCAAGAAATTCGTCACAACTACAGTCCCAAAATATAAACTATTCCACCTAATACTAGATTATTTCGCACGAGAACCTGCCATTTGAATACCATCATTTGCTGTTATGCTGATACGGAAGCTGGCTCTGAAGTAAGCAATATCGCAACCAACCACCACCTTTGGTGTACCTTTTGCAACAACACTTGAAATGAACAGGTTGGAAGGGTCCAAATTAAGACATACCGATTTAAGCTACGTGCTTTGAAACAACTTGTAGTTCGGCAGTGTTGCCCGAGCATCTCTGTCGGTAAACGGTGATTCCTTATTACCGATTAAACCGAGCGCTCCACTTACCTTATAGTCTTGGCAGACAGTTTTTTTTACGAACCTTATATAACTTTCGGGACAGCATTTGGCATTCATGTTACCAGAATTTGACCCTATATCTATCAATGAAGGTCGTACGACATTTTTCTGTCATAAAATACAAGCACTGGCCATTAATTCGGTGAATAGTATTGCCGCTGTATGGGCCTGCGCGATTTGTTAATAGCGTTAAACCTGACATGTTATTACTGCTAAAATGTCTAAACATGATAGAACTACTGACCTTGCTCTCCTTCCTATGACAGCATCCCGTTCACAAGGGTTCTTGCGCATAATGGTTTTTAGCAAAGCGAACGCACACAAAACTAAACGGCTCAGTCTAATATAAGGCCCGCTCAGACTGACCGCTCTGAGATTTCCTAAAATGAGCAATTTCATCACTAGATAAGTTCGACAAGAGGCGGTGTCTGTGGCACCTTCTTCAGAAAAAGGACATATTCTTCTTGGCTCTCGCCACTTTCTCTTCTCCTTCGCCTTTTCCTATGTCGAATAATACAGACAACGATCAAGATCAACCAACCGAGCAATCCTACAACAAAACAGTTGTATACACTCCTGACTACCCGATAACCGTCCCTGTGGATGATTGTCAGAAAGTCAGGATGTACCGGATGACTTCTATGTACGAAAACTCGGATATCTACTTACATTTTGGTTACTGTGATGACCTAGGTGACGGTCGTGGATATACAAGTGGAATAATTGGATTCTGTACAGCTACAGGTACTATATCCATATTTAATATAGCTGTCTAACCCTTCGCAATGGTTGTTAATGCAAGTTATTTAGGAGATGCAATTCAAGTTATTCAAGCGTATAACAACCTTGTACCTCAGCCAAACGAGTTCTCTCGATACTATGATACTCTTGTTAGTCTTGCAAATGATCAGGATGACTCAACGTCCAAAATCAAGAATTATTGTCAGATATGGTCAGCTGTATCAAGAGACCCAATGAATGGTCCTCTTTTCCGTCAAGCACAGATGCTGGTAGCAGATTCAGTGGACTACGTTCCAGCAATGAATATATCGAATGGCCTTGGTCTGAATTATGCAATTAGTCGGGGCCAAATGTATGACGCGTAAGTAATTTTTTTAAGGAGTATGGAAGTTAAACTTCTGTCGTTCACTGACTTGCCATGATCACAAAAGATTGGTTCAGCACGGCAACGATACTGATCAGGACAGCATCCTCGCCTTGGTAAATAGGACCGCCATTTATTTTGCGCAGAATCCAAACGCAACCAACCTCACAGCTTCCGACTCGGGCACTACAGGGCCATCGGGATCGGTTGTCACCACCGCACTTGGAAATCAGGTGGACGAAATAACGTGGTTGAAGAAGTTCTTGGAGGTCAGAAGAGACGATTTAACAAATCCATCAGACAAAAGTACAGCCTCAGCATGGAAACAGTCGGTTACTCGAGTCGACAGCTATAGCTACGCGGTTGGACAAGGCGATTACAACTGGACAAACAATGCCACTTTTGCTTTGGATAATGACGGAAACGTGTTCAATGTGACATGTATTGGAGGCTTCTTGGCATCGGATGATACTAGCGTTCCGGAGCAACTTCCGAGCGAAAGCTCTTTCAATCTTACCTTATTCCTTGAGGTTTTTATTCCCTTGATGATAGCCTTGATTGCTGCAGTAGCGTTCTTCATTTGGTGGCGGTGTTGCCGGCGGAGAAGGTGGAGCGAGTCCAAGCAAAAAGCATCGGTTGTTGATGTATGGCAGTGATGACGGAAATTCCGTAAGTCACCTCTGCAATGGATACCCTTTACTATACACTTTGACTATAATAAAGCATGTTGGTTTGTTTCTTGAGCATCCCAGAAATCAAAATGTTTTCTCGCTGGTGTATGTTCGCGAGCTTCTTACCATGTTAAAATCGCATTGATGTGCGTATTCTTCATTTTTTGAAACTGAAAGATCACAGACCAAAAACTTCAGAGCGTTGTGGAGCGTCTTGGCAACGCTAGCTTGGATCTTCGGTCCAAAATAAAGGTCAGAAACCGTAAGCTTATTTCACAGTTGTACAATATCAAATTCTTACCTTTCCTTATTGGCGTCATCCCCTTTCATAGGACTACGTGATCAGGCGTAACCCAAGAGTCTGTTCCGTGACTTAAGCAGAGCTACGGCCATTGCATTGCTTTAGAGTTTTCAGTTCAGTGGTACTACCTCATTTCACGATAGCTGGCTGGCCTGCTGAGAATTTCAAATATTTTATGCAGCCCGCTTGAGTTTCTTTGCAGGGCTCTTCAGCTACATTTTGTTTTGAATCAAAAACCAGTATACCGTGGGTATCCGGTTCGCGTTATTTATACCGTCAGGTATACGCCACGAGTTAGCTGCTTCATACTTTAAACTCCCTACTTGCAAACAATCACGCAACTTGCAAGTTCACAATCCTTCTACAATTATCGGCATTTGCCCTCCCCGAAACCAGGAGGTGGAAAGGTATCTCTCTAGAAGGTAAAGAAGTCAGTTGTTTGGACACGGGCTGCATAGGGCTGCTAGTTGGTTTACTAACCAGCAAGTTGCCTTATGATCTTCAGCAAAAGCTTGACATCAAATAACCTATCATATGCCTCTGACTTTGACCTACGAAAGATTTCATCACGACTACGAACGATGTTGCTGGAGATAAGCAATCTCGAACATTACTGTAATACATCATTCTGCAATTATATCAAGCTTCCTACTGTTGTTCCATATTTGACACTCCTGGTTGTTACGTATTTTACGCCTCAGCTAGGCAGACGCCCAGTCACCGCAACGCCAACTATCAAAAAATGCAAAAGTAGGAGCGCAAAGATGAGCTCCCCTTGTTCTTCACCTCATTTCTGTTTAAATCCACCAGGGACGAATATTTTCTTTATACTGGATTTAAACCATACAGGAAGCTTCTGGCAGTTGGAATGCGTTGATACTTTTCATGTGTTTATCACCACTTAAAGGCACCCTTGGATTATGCATTGCTCTTTTCTTTTCGTTCTCAATACCGGCTTTATCAAGGAAAAAAACAGCCTCAGCTATTGCCGACATCATCAAGGACAGACAAAGTTGAATGTCAGTTGATTGTCAAAACTTTGGGAGTATCGTTTTTCGCTTTACCAGCGACTGACCGCTCTGTCAAACATTGGAATGTCTCAGGGAGATATCTGACGACTTTCGACACCCGAATGTCGCATAGCCTGTGGAACCACGAGGTCCATTCCAGTGGAGATGCAAAGTCTTCACTGTACGCAATATCGTTGCTGAGGGCCAACATGACTTAATCAATTATGATACATCGAGATAACCAACGAGCAAGTACACTATCGCAAAAGTGCTTTGATACAGCATCTTGCACCGCTATGTTCCGACATGACATGGAGAGAGCTACCGAGACTTTACAAGAAGGGCAAAGTCCACCGATTTCTTCATTAGAGAAATACACGAACTTCGCCAGAGATTGTAGCCAACCTCCTAAGCACGATCGGAAGGCCATGGTGAACATAATCCAAGAGTAGCAACGACAACAAAGTCTAGCTTATCAAGTAACATGTATTGCAAACTGATCGATGGAATGTAGCCAGAGGTGAAGAAGAGACTTAGGAAGGTCAAGAAACAATGATAGTATATTTTACTTCGGACTCGCAGACCTGAGATCCAACATAGCAAGTCTACAGGTTTCTGAACACATATCTTTAAATGAAGCAATATAGTGTTGCTGAAGTGCTCCAGTCTGAGAACTGCTGGTTCTTTAGGCATCGACGAGAGGATGTCATAATCTAGCCCTAAGAGCTCTCGCCAGTTGATGAACTGCGGTCTCTCACACCCTGCTGTTTGGCAGAGATCCATTCTATTCACACATCTACGCTAGAATTGCCCACCCTAGACCAGCCGCCTGTCAGGCCACCGGTAATGTTTTCTCCTCTCACTTCCGCATTCCGAACAGCGATTCAGTCGTAAAGAATGTGCTCTCAGACTACTTGAGACACTTCTTCGATCGCACCCTTGACTGATTCTCAGCAGGGAATATAGTGTTAATTTGTCGAAGACAGATATGTGGAAACGCAGAATGCAACGTTAACAGAAGAGAAAGAGATTTCATGAAAAGGCTGAACGATTCAGCTTCGAAAGCAACTGATTGCACCGCTTTACTTTCTGCTTATACCAGAGCACTCATGCTTGGAATTTCCGAACGAGGGTTCAATATCAATATTGACAGTGATACATCTGTATTAGTGGAACTTCGAAGCGAAATTCGATCACCAAAAATAGGAGACTTTCTGCTACTTTAGGCACAAAGATACCCGCTCTTCCTTACTAAGGATCATGCTATTCCAGTAGCGCCTCTACCCCAAGCCAATTGGGACAAACTTGAAAGCCATGAGCTGATGAATATGTTCAGACAGTCTCATATCGACTATGTTCATACCAAATATCTGTCCTCACGTAGTAGAAGGTTCAAGGAAGCCATACGCAGGTCGTCGAGTACGACAGAGAACTTCCACCACCTTGAGTAAGAAGATCTACAACCCTAGGTGGCACATCGAAACGGAAGTACTCTCCGATTGTAACATGGCGACCACAAGGAAGAGACCTCGGACGGGGATCCCAACGGCAACCAAGACAACTTGGAGCAGTACAACCGATGAATAGGAAAATACATAACCTATAAAAGAGTTGTTAGAAACATAGCAAAACAGCATCGAACTTTGTAATTAACTATAGGGTAATTATCGTCCTTACTAACGATGGAGAAATAGAACAAAATCCTGACGTAGAGAACCTCGTCTTATAGTTTAGCGATAGAGAACTTTTTGTAAATGCGATTATGGACTACAAGACTTTAATGAAAATAAACATCTCCAAATGTTACTGTGGTAGAATGGGCATGCAAACCCCTTAGGCATTATTTCGCCTGATGATGTGGATCAAGTGAGACGCTAAAGCAGCATACAATGTCGATCAAGCGGTGTTATATACATCCTTCGCAACAAAGTATCCACCGAGAATTCAGCTTGCTAAATTGAGATTTCGCCTAATAACACCCAGAAGATTCTACTGTGCAGAGATAGCCTTACTTCTACATCAAGAACTCGTTCATGGTATGTGCAACTTGATTCACTTTTGCTTCAGTCCAGAAGTCCAACGTGAAGGTTTCTGCATTTCCCATGGACATATATTTCCTACATACAACAACTGTCACCATAATTTCAACCCATACAAACATTGAGAAAACTAAGGAATGGCTTTGTACAATGTAAGTAAAGATCTTTCGATTACATCTATTAGAAACTGACAAATGTACAAGACATGTCTGTTCGGGGGAGCGATAGGGATATTATGAGTTTGCATAGAAGGGGGGTGGATACAAGGTACAAAAACATTTGCATGGAGAAGAAACAAAAGGGCATGGTAGACTAAGAAAGAAGCTCTTATGAGACTGGTTGTTTACCTCGGGCAACAGCGCTAACTTGATCACATTGCATGCAAACCCAGTTTATAAGTGGATTAGTACCAAGTTGCATCTCCAAGCATGCTCGATGGTAGCCATGTCCACAACGGAACAAAACAATGCCGTCTTTGGATGGAGTAGCGGGAGCACGCGAAGAGGTCGAAGACTCGCCTTGTTCACCACCTTCCAAAGCTAGATGAGCTTGGTCTGTAGCAACGTCGTTGTCATCCACATCAAAGGCGAATGGTTTTTGAAGAATAGATAGATCCAGTAACGTAAGATGACATATTTCACAAACGATTCGGCGAGGTCGCCATCCTCTGCTTTTCTTCTGTATTACCGACCGTACTCCTACAAATAAATCTTGCTCGAATAATCGATTGGTCATTTCCAGCAGATGGCCTTCGTATTTGTAGGTGTCGAGCATTCCGAGGAATATATCTCTAAAGTCAGCAAACGTTGTATCTCCCTTTGCTTGAGATTGTATCAAACGCAGGAGCAAGCGCGGAAGTGATACATGGGGTGAAGAGGTTGATAGCAGCAACGAGGTTAGGATAGATTGAACGAACGACTTGAAAGATGAAACAATGGAATCGTGTAAATTGGAAGGCATATGGATAGGCTGACGATCTAATGATCCTTTCTTGATAGCACCGCCGATGGCTGCGATAACAGAGATAGATGATTCAACGTAGGTATCCAATAGTTTGAACCAAAGATCTTCACTCTCATTTTCGGCATTAGGCTTATGAACAAAAGCTCTAGGTGACAAGAAAGGAGCTGAAGTGGCACTATTGGAATGTTTCGAGTTGATTTGCCGCGTCAGCGTCGATGGAGAAGTCAACATCATGAGCGACGCAAAGCCTTGGTTATCATCTTGACAGACGACTGTGCTATTGGCGAGAGCCAGTTTACGACTACTGTTTTCGCAGAGGTGTGTTCCCACTCGCAAAACACCTCGAATTCTGGTCAAGCAATCACTGACGATATTTTGCTCTGTCAAAGTCCATGGTGGTAAATCTTCTTGCGCATTCGTAGAATGGTGCTGTCTAAGAAGGTTAAGAACAATAGTTATTTGCTCTCTGACAATATCAAGAACTTTGGTGAGAGCGCCTTGTGGATCACCGCTTTTCTCCATAATCCAGACAACGGCATCGAGTACACCGTATTTTTCACAGCTCTTGAGGACAGTAGTGAGGTTATAGCTGACATCCAAAGTAGTATTGAGATAGTTGTAAACACCGGAGGGGTCAAATTGGCACATGAGGTCAACGTAGCGCTCATGCAGTTTGGCATCTACATCAGGTACCATCTTTTGCCAGGTTTGATCGAGCACAGCCGTAAAGTCGACTGGTTTAGCTGCAGCCGTGTCATCTTGGTCAGGTTGGGGTACCTCAGGTTCTAATAGACCACGTAGATAGAAGAAAACATGTTGGTCAACCGCTAGTCGTGATTCTTCGTCATCCACTTCTTGCTCATCCTCCAATCGCCTTAGCATATCTTCATGGTCTCCACCAAAGTAGCGTTGTACCAACTCTGCTGTTTTTTGACCGTCAATTTCAACAAGTCGAGGAATGCGCAGGAGTACAGCTTGTCGCACATCTGCCTTTTGTCTATCCGTCAATTTACTCTTAACGTCAATCAATTCTTCGATCGATTCGAATAACGTGGCAAAGTGCTTGGTATCTTTGATGTAGGTTTCCACCAATTTTCGGTATTTGCTGTCTCGTCGATAGATATTTTCAAGTACTTGGCAGAACCCAGCTTCTTCGTACAGTAATACCATTTGATCTGCTTCAGTTGGGGTATATACAGTCAAGAGATTCTGCACTGCTTGTTCACGAGCGTCCTGGGTAGCTGCATCATGCTCCTCTGCTAACGTTCTCAATATTCGATGAAGAATAGTCGGTGGAAGTAGTATAAAGGTTGTGTACTTGTGCAAGTTGCGTGAGATAAATATATACAAGTATATCAGGTTTTGATGTTGCTGCGTAGGTTTTACGGAACGATTGTTATTCAATATGCCGTTCAAATCGGAGCCGCTGGACTTGACAGTGGATGCGGATATAGAAGGTATAGGGTTGGGTCTTGGAGCAGGTGGTGAGTTTGTACCGCCAATAACATCGAGAAGTGTATTGATAATGATTTGCCGTGATACAACTTTGCCAGGCATTTCGTCATCAAATCCGGAGCTTAACATATCATCACTTCCATTAAGCCACGGGTCTTCAAATGCTACTTCCAAAGCATCCAAAAATTTGACCGCATTGAAGCGAAGTAGCAGACGTAGGTATGGATAGGTTGGTTCAGATGATCCGTCGCCGCCCTCAGCAGTCAAAATAAGCTTTCCACCCATACGAGGCCAAACGACACATCGGCCAGAGAAGATAAATGAATACACTGCGCTCCTTGCCACATTGGATTCTTGTGAAGGCAGAGGTGTATTATCTGGATAGAGTCTACCCGTAAGGATGGATTTCAAGTAGTTGAAAATGTGTTCAGCTCCTTCCCGCATAGATTCCGCTTTGATAGTGGCACTAGCAACGTCTGCAACGGTTGGAAAGCTATTGCTTGCTGTGGAGTGAAGTCGAAGAAAGTATTCTGCGCCCGTCGTTTCCGCGGTATTCGAGCTTTCAGCTTTCAATACCATTCGAATCACCTTCAGCAATTCCACAACAGGGCTGACATAATCGTTCATGCTCCTATTCCAGACGAAAATCATAGCGCTATAGAGTCCTTCCCGCTGACAGGTACTGATGACTTGATCGATATCCAGGCATTGTGGATTGACGTGCCAAATGATATTCTCCAATCGAGTGAAGTACCTCTTGTGGCTATAATGTGCCACCAAGTCTTTCATTATCGCCGGTGGGAAATCACATAGCTCGTTTTGTAGAATATATGGCTCCAAAACTTCAAGGAATACACCTTTAACTCCAGCATCGGCAAATCTTTCGTAAGCGACATCAAACAAAAACTCTTGGTTATCCATACGAATACAAGCTTCGGTGCATCCTAGGGCGAGATCGTGAAACAAAACGCTTCCACCGCCAGACATCTCATCAACCATGCCTTCATACGTTCGAGTCGATGAAAAGGTATAATTGAGGGACGCATTGAGTAATTCGAGTAGTTTGTCACCGACGATTTGATGTCGAGCATGTTCGTCTTCGGGCAAACCCAGAACAGTTTGTGTCGATTTTCCAACGTAAAACGAGGTAGCCAGTGCAATGCCTTCGAGAAAGTCACCAGATTGTACCAAAGCAATGATACGGTCTGCCCAGGATAACAAGGTTCCTATAAAAATATGGTCCACGCCCTGATGGATAACAAAATCATCAGCATTAGGTTGGTTTTGGGATATAGTAAAGAACATAGGCGAATCTTACCAATATAAACAATCTTCCTTTGTAACTTCGTAAGGAATGGTGGTATGCCATTTCTATTATACGATGGCCAACACTGTGATTTTCGTCACCAGAAGAAGTAAATTTAGCATCAGATGTCATTGTCTCTTGGGCGAGATCTTTCAAAGCCGTTGTAAAACTATCGTGGAAAACCAGTTTCTTGGACTTGATGTTTACACGTTCGGTTTCCGTCATTGTCTTGGGGTCAAATACGATCATGCTATCGTTTGAGGTCAGGATAATGAGTATCTGCCACCCAAAAAAAAAGAGAGTTAGTGGCCGTCATTTTAATGTCACATCTACCTTCTTTCTATCTCACCTGCCGATTTATCCATTGAAGAGCAACGATGTTATCACGACATCTCCATTCACCACATTTAGTGAACTCTAACCGCCCGTATTTGTTCCGACTGCTGGTTGCCACAACACTGGACCTACTTGGGTCTTTGGACTTGTTGGTAAGTTGCGATTCTACAGCTACCTGAATAATTATGAGATGCTGGCCCCAAGAGAAAGCCAGTGTTGGATCGGATTTGTTATCGTCATCTTTTTTATCGGCTAGACACATTTCGGGTTAGTGAATTGGTATGTAAAAGTATGTATCCACAGTAGTTTGCGTTACCTTTGCCATTTTGACGTGATTTGACTCCACCAAGCTTCATAACAGGCAGCCAGCTAAGGCATCCAGAGAGACTTTCAGATGTCGAATCGAGAGGTGCGTTGGGCTGCTCATTGGCTAGACCCTTGGATATAATTGGATTGTGATGAAAGTGAGTAGACGATTTCGGTTTGACGTATTTATATTGCGTTTGTGGGGAGGGTTTGAGCCCGACAATGATCATCTACAGTGAAAGGTGTATTAACAATGGATTGAAATTGCTACAATGTGATGGCCGCAAGGCATCTATCTTACCTTATAAGGCGTTAATAGGGCCACCAAGCCGAATGTTTCTGCAATATGCATTGCCTGGCCAAGTGGTAAAGGTTGCATCGCGAAGACGGTGCTGGGTCGCTTAGGTTTCGCGGCAGAACTATCAGAGCTCAATCCGGCAACAGGTTGTGTAAGCTTACCCGCGGACGCACTTTCCAATGACAAATTTTGGTATCTTCCTAAAATTCTGGTAGTTTCGATTGCGTTTACCATAACAACCTTGTAGAGCACATGGTAGAAAGCCATGCCTCGATCATCGCCAGACACTATTTCTGTCTTCTTTAAGCCAACAAACCCAATATGCAGGATAGCAGCATCTTGTATATGACCTTCTTTTCTTGGTGCTGGTTGAGATCCGCCAGAAGACACACCTGGTACCTGACTATACGATATTGGGTGGATTTTGCGCACAGGCTGATTTGGGTAAGCCAGATCCCATACTACTATAGATCCTCGACTGTATCCACAAGCAACCGCTGTATGGTCAGCGGAAATGGCGATTGAAGTCACTGGACCAGAATCATTTGATTGCGACTCATCTCCTAAAATGCAGCGTAGATTTTGCGAGTAGTCGTACACCAAAACTAGTCCTCTTGTTGTTCCGATGGCGATGACTCCACTAACTGCCATAACGGTTGGCAACCCACCACTGTGTCTGACTGCTTCAGAGTGAAGGTGATCTGAAATTTTTCTAAGAGGGGTCCATTTGAAAGCTTCCCAAGGCTCCAAGTTATCCTTTTCATTCTCTCCGAGCGTCATCGACAGCTCTCTTGATAAATCATGGTTGATGTTGGAGCCTGGGGAACCTTTGTAGGTATCGCTATTCCATTGGAAGTCTTGTTCCGATGAATTTCGGGAACGGGAAGAAGAGATGGATGCACTGGAAGACTTGACTCGAAGGAGGGACGCCGGAAAAGATCTGGCATCTGGTGAATTGCTTGTCACACGTCTTGCTGGTGAGGTTGATGGAGAAAACAAATTTCCTTGAGATAAGGCTGATGGGGATAGAAGGGCAGGTGTTGAAGGCATACTAGGTGAGGTGGCGAATATAACATTGGGACCACTAGACTTGGACACATCGGAAAAGGAGTCCTGATGCAACATAGGTAAGACAATTTGTATTGAATATCAACCATCAGAAGGTAACTTACGAAATTATTGATGCCAGATTCGGTATCCAACGTTTCTGAATCCATAAATTCATCTTCGCTAGAATCAGATTCATTCAAGATATTCTCAAGACTCAGGTATTTGGCTATAGCAATGCACATTAGACAAGGGTATAAACATTATACTGAAGAAGGGTGGAGAAGTCCTTACATTTGTTCGCGAATTCTTCGTAAAATCCAATTTCGCTCATGACATCTTCCAGTAACTGAGATATCTTCTTTTGTTTAGCCGAAGTATGCATGTCGTTTGATCGGTCTTGGCTCGCTAGCGGGCCACCTTGCAAATGGATTTGTAAGTCGTCCTTGACTTTTTCCAGTTCATCAAGTTTTGCCCGTATGGTGGTCTCAGGCATAGTGGGTAGTTCTAATTCTGGAATCTTCAGGGCATTGAACTTTTGCTCTAAAACCGCAACGGACTGTATTCCATGCACCAATCGAATATTGCGTAAAGGGTTGTCCTTCAGGTTCGTAAACGGATACAGCCCTTTTCGGCTTTGAGGATTGGGTGCGTTATCTTCCAGGGATGAAAAGGCTTGGCCATTTGTACTATTAAGAAACGAGTTAGCGGGCGTTGGGGAGCTGGCATAAATCTGGGCTATCTAATACATACTTCGGGTGTTCTCCCTTCATACTCTGTACTGAGGCTATAGAAAGACTGCGCTGATGCTGAGACATAAAGCTTCGCAGGTTAGCCAAGTACTTTTCCGCTAACGCACGATCTTCAAGCGCAGCTCTAAGTTCCACCGGCAATTCAGCTGTCGCGGCGTTGACATCGATGTCGAAGCTATTGATTTGGATTTCTTGTTCATCTTCGGAAGACTCGTCCAAAACTTCCTTCAACAGGGAATCATAGTTGGAGCGAAATTTAACGGAGGATGTGCTGGTACTGTTTTCTGGCTTAAGTCCTTCCGAAGCAGGTTCCTGTATTGAAGGCTGTACACTGCCTTCCATGCTTATGCAACTAATGGATCAGCAGAGCGGCGTGGAAATCCGAACTGAGAGAGAATCAAAAGCAGGGAGACAAGAATGAGGAAACTTTGAAAGTGAAAATGCGAAAATGCGATTGAAAGCTCAGCGGGGATGAATGCGACGACGAGCTTCCAAAAAAAAATAGGGTCTGTAAGGGTTTTTGCTGATGAAACGGGCCGACTGTATTAACATTTCAATACAAGCAAATTATAAAAAAAAAAGGCAAAACTAAAAAAAAAACACAACACTATGTACTGTCATTCTATGATGTTCAGCTACAAGAATACAAATAGTCCCATGACAGAGATTACAGGGGTGATCATACTTCAGTCTTACGTACAACGAGTGCAAGCATCACTTGGCGGCGGCAAAGGAATTTTGTGAAGAAATTAAAACTTGAATTCCTTCTTCTTGGAGTCCTTCTTGCCATCATTGAGTTTTCGTTTCTTTGCATCCTTACTAGCTCGTTCTGCGACCATGTCTGAGAAATCTTCCTTGACTCCTGCTGGTTGTTGTGCGGCCTTGGCTGCTTCGAAATTTGCACGGAGCTTGGATTCTTCTATTCCGCCTTCAAGTTCACTTGGATCCAAAGCAACGTCCACAGATTCTCCCATTTTTCTCTTTGAGGTTCGAGATGTGGTATCTATTGGTGGTGCAGCGCTAACATTGGAAAGGTTGTAACCATGCTGTGATCCCATAAAACCTTGGATGTTCTTTTGCACTTCAGGAAGCACGTGATAGAGTTGTTTGGGTTCATCACTTTCAGCAACAGGCTTGCGAGTGTCCTTGCGAAGTTCGATGAAATCCGGTGTCTCCAATCCAGATGCAACAGATGCCATACCAGATGGCGTGACGAGACCTTCTGATAGTGCCTCTTCGGATGGCTGTTCTTCCTGGCCTTCGCCTTCTGCTCCCTCTTCTTCCTCTTCTTCCTCTTCCTCCTCCTCTTCTTCTTCTGTAGAGAATGAAACCATTATCATGTTAGCTTTGTTTAATAGTCAGGGTGTAGCTCGTAGATTGGCCAATTTACCTTCGATGTCTGAATCCAATTCTCCCCACAATTTCTTGTCCATGGGTTGAACAATCTAAGGTTTCAAAAACATTAGCGCAATGCAAAGCAGAATATAAAACAGGCTGAGTGCACTTACATCCTCAGGAGCAGCTTCTTGAGTGTTCAAACCAAAGACGTCTCCGTAAAGTGGTCGGTTATACTTCAAACAGAAAATGATGAGCTAATGGATAAGTTTGAACTATGCACTGTCGTCGATATTTACCTCGTCAATCGGTGGTCTTCCCCAACCTCCTGGATGATAACCCCACTGTGCTCCTTCTGGAATTGGCGCATTCAAGCCTGGAATTCTAAGACTTGGATAACTAGGTGGGGGACCAAACCGTTGCATATTAATCAGCCATGGTGGTGGGGCGAGAGGTGGAATACTTAAAGCCGTTTTAAGATCGTCTGAGAGCAAGCCTGGCTTTTTCTCCTTCAGCTTGGTCTCGAACTCCTTTCCTTCATAGTAGCTTTTGATTAAACATAAAATGAGTCCAAATGCTCAATGGTGTAGATGATATCATTGCCGTGTACAAACTTACATTTCGCCGTGCTGCGTAAGTCTTGGTTTGGTTTGAAAGCGGAAGAATGCATCGTGAAGCTTTTGATAGTCAATGTCTAGTTTTCCCATCTTTGGTTGCATTCGCTCTCGCATTTTGCTTTTGAGCTTAGATGCATCTTCTTTTTCTTTGACGGATTCACGCATTTCCATGATGCCAGTATCCTTGATGAATTCTGCCATTTGAAAGAGATTAGTATCTATACAACAACATGTATGGAGTTGTGTCGCACTTGCTTACCTGGAAGTTCCCATGGTTGCTTTTCAATACCACGCTTTCCTTGAAGATACTTTCTCTTTTGACTCCAATGAATAGGAACAGGCACCGTGTTTCGGTATGCTTTCAACTGTACAAGTAGTTTGGGGTCTGAAGCTGTCACGTCCCACCACTTTTGCAATTAAGATGAAAAATGTCAGTAAATGTCCATGATATAGGTTTTTAAAGAAATAGTAAACTATGACTTACTTCTACAACGTCTGGTTTATCGACCAGTTGTTTTAATTCGGCAACGCTCAGTCTGCTAACTTTCTTCAACTTCTTTTTTGATAGTGGACCACTGTCTTCTTGGTTTTCTTCATCAGAATCGTCACCTGCGGCAACCTTTTTTTGTGCTTCGCCGTCTTGGTTCTCATCAGCCGCCTCCTCCTGATCCTTGTCCTGCAAAAGTAACAATCGTTAGTATTGAGTGGGAAGCGAATAGAAACATGCAAAATCGACAATGGTACCTCTTCATCGTTGACGCCCATAAAGTGCTTGAACACGGATGAAAACTGTTGTAGGGTTTCTTCGTCAAGATCTTCAAATCCATTTTGTTTCATGTCCTTGATCTCGAGAACTTCTGGTGTATATTCAATTTCAACGTCGGCTAGATCATCGTCAGCTTCGCGTTGATGTTCCTATTATAGAGGATTAATAAAGATGAGCAGTGGATGTTTCGTAAATGCCATAGGTTTTGCTGCGGTACTCACGTTTGCTTTTGCTTCCTCTCGCTGCTTTTTAGACTTCTTCTTCGTCCTTCGGCGCTGCTTTTGTTCCGATCGCTTTTTGTCTGCATTCCCATTGCTTGCTCCGTTAGGCAATGACTTATCATTAGCAGGCTTTGGAAGGTCCTGTGTTGTTTTGCTTGCTACCTCAGCAACCATGTGTGCAAAAAAGGGAAACTGACGGTGTCAAATGTTAAGAGGAATCTGACTGGCGAGACTGGCGAAAATTCAACGTTATTTACGTTTAGCACGTGACCTCTCAACTCGAGCCATTCCACAATTTGGAGCGACTGTGAGAAGGTTTCGTAATACCAACGTCCTGACAGCCGCCTCCACAGCTCTCCAAAAGTCCATGCAAGAGCTCGGTGCGAGTGTCAATCATAAAGCCGAACTTCTCTATCCTATTCATGCTCCTCACTCGGATGCCGCTGGCGGATACCCTCCATACCTAGATGTAAGTCGTCGCCACCTAGCAATCTCTCAAAAGGCGGTATAGCAGCTGTGATCGAGGAATGTGACACTGATACTCCCCCTCCACAGGTGTGCGTTGCCGGTGGAATTGGTGGATCTCTCGCGGATTTCATGATGCACAGGTTAGTAAAAAAAATGTTTTGCAACACCATGCATGACCTGCCAAACTCATTCTGTACACGTAGCGTCGACACCGTCAAAACAAGACTGCAAGGTCAGGCACAGCATCGTCCGATGAAGTACCATAATATGGTTCAGTCTTATAGACTGATATTGAAGGAAGAAGGTGTTCTAAGAGGGCTTTACGCGGGCATAACGCCTGCTATGTTGGGCTCTATTCCTGGGACAACTCTGTATTTTGGAACATATGAGTTCACGAAACGAAATCTAACTGCCAACGGTGTGCCAGAGTTCATTGCCCATCTTTGTGCTGGTTCCTTTGGTGACCTTGCTGCTTCAGTCATTTATGTTCCATCAGAAGTCCTCAAAACACGTATGCAACTTCAGGGGCGCTACAATAATCCACACTTCATCAGTGGCTACAACTATCGAAATACCTGGCATGCAACAAAAATAGTAAGTTTTCAGCCTGACTAAAAACTCCATATGAGCATTCTTTTAATGGATACATCTCAGATTGTGAAGTACGATGGAATAGGCGCCTTGTTCCATGGATTCAGAGCCACGCTTGTTAGAGACGTACCATATTCTGCCCTACAATTTGCATTCTATGGTAAGTTCACGTTTATGTGTCTGCGTTTTTGTCATCATCGGGTAGTTTGGATAGTTAACGAGCATACTTGTTTAGAACAATTCAAGAAACTGGCCAAGCATACTTTAATTGAACCAGGAGAGCAACTTCCAATATTAGCAGATCTGACAACGGGATCTTTAGCCGGTGCCATTGCAGGCGCAATAACAACGCCTCTTGACGTTATCAAAACTCTGCTACAAACCCAGATAAAACGGAAACGGCCAATCGGTCAGACGGAAGTCCATGCTTCTAACAACGTAGCGTCAGCAACAGCTATTGCACCATCTCAACCCCCACTACAGCCAAAACATTATTCCAGCATTGTCGAAGGTTTGGTATGGAATTATAAACACCAAGGTATTAGCGGTTTATTTCGAGGTATTGGACCTCGTGTATTTTGGACAAGCTTGCAATCAGCTGTCATGTTTGTAATCTATGAGCAAGTTCTACACTTGGAAGAACGACTACGCGAAAAAGATGATTGGCCACCAGGAGAAGTATTGTCCAAACTAACCTCTGGACGAAGCTCTCAATAAGGCCAATGTCTCGATGGCTATATCTCTCTTGTGAATATTTTAAAGAAAACCGAACATAATTTGCCCCACATACCTCGTTGGAAACGAAGTTATCTACCACCACGCCCAACGTTATGCAAGCATTGATAGAATTTGCTAGTCCCCTCGCTGTCATTATTCAATGGCGGGATTGTATAAAAGTTTGACACCCTATGCTACATAGAACAACTAGACCAAAAAGAATAGATGACTACTATCACACTTTTTATATAAAACACTGTTTTTTTTTTTCATATATGTTTGTCATATACACACTGTATAAGCAAATGGCGCATCTATATTGAATCAGCTGGAAAAGATATAACTACATTTTCTTTGTTGAAGGCCCGATCTGTCTCAGCAATGACTTGACAATACGTCGTCCGGCATATAGGTTTTTCAACTTTATACGTTCATTGCACAAATGAGCTTGATCAGAAGCCTGTATAGACATGAAATTAGTATGTTGATAAAGCAGAGCAGTGTAATTCCTTTAAAAACCTCACCTGGCCCATAGGCAAGTGAACGGCAGGAGCCGAACAGAATCGCTCTAGCCATCGAACGGCAGGTATGGATCCACCTTCACGAATGAAAAGTGGCTTAATACCCCACTCCTGCTCTATAGCTTTCTCTGCAGCTTTGAAGTACGGACTATCGCAATCTCCAAGCCAGTAGTCTGCGGTGTTGTTAATCTCGACCTACAGTGTAATTGTATATTAGTACAAGATACATCATTACATGGCACTATTCATTATCTTACCGTCACTTTGTTATCTGTGCCAAGCGATTGAGCGGTAGTTTCGACAAAAAGCTTAAATTGCTCGCAGATGACATTGATGTCTTGGTCTGGCACAATGCGCATACTGATTGCTGCAGTTGCTTGGCGAGGAATGATCGTAGGGTTGTTGAGCGAAACATCAATTTTATGGACAGTGAAAGTCGGATACCTCCAGCGAGCCATTAACGATTTCTTCAATTGCTCTGGATCACACGCCTTGGTATGCTCTTCGTTGTTCTTTCGTTTCTGGCCATCACCCAGGGATAATGAGTTGAGAGTAATGTGGAGAGCATTATTCACATCTGATGAAGCCACTTGACTTGTCAAAGAAAGGTTAAAAAACGTCAAGTGAATGTCACGTCAAACAAGTTGAGGACTAACCTGTGCATCCATGATATTATTGGGTCATACAGACGCTCTTCGGCAGAACTAACAGGACGTACATCATCATAAAACCCTGCAAGTATGCTTCTAATTGAGACAAACAGTACAGGTGACCGCAAAGTAAAGGGTAACGCATCATACCTGGAATGAGCACCTTGTTATCATCACTAACCAACTTGGCGAGTATCTTGATCATATCAATTAGTGGTTCAGACGCAGCCCCACCTTCAACCCCAGAATGCAGGTCAGCTTGTGAAGTGGAAACCTGCCAAAACGATATGATGAGTCAATGATGATACCATGCTGTTACTGCATCAATTGCATGGTATAAAATTTACCGTTAGACTTGCGCGAATCACACCACGCAAACCATAAGTCAAGCATGGAACGTCTTCGCCGAGCCAGTAAGAATTACTTAGAAGGATCATATCTATGTCTTGGAAAAGTTCCTTTTTGGAAACCATCAATACCAGTCATCATTGAGTACTGAAATCGTTGTGATATGTACCTTATGCTGCATTGCTGCATTTGCAAAACCGATACTGCCGCTTTCTTCTTCTCCTTCTACCAGAAAGATGACATCAATATCCAGAAGGCCTTCCTTGACCAGATCAGAAACCGCAAAAACCGATGCTAATATTGGTCCCTTTCTATGGAGTCAGAAAGATATATCTTTCAACACCGGTATGGTATCATCCAGTAAATGCTTACCTTGTTGTCGGTCACACCTCGTGCATACAGATATCCGTCTCTACCGGTCAGTTTGAAAGGATTGCTAATCCAATTTTCTTTCTCATGCTCCGCATTTATCACGTCGTAATGGCCATAAAACAAAACGGTTGGAACTTTTGCATTGGGATCTGCTGTTGATCCAGGTTTTTGAGAAAGATGCGAATTTGCTGTGAACTTGCCGTATACCAAAGGGTTTCTGCCAGGAGCACCGGGAATCATGCGGCTATCTGCTCCGAGCTGCTTGAGGACAGACTTCAAAAAGCGTGCACCTTGTCGGCATTCATCCAAATACTTTGGGTCACCACTGACGGTGGGTACAGAAATCCACTGTTCCAGCGCATACAGAAGAACATCGGTTGCAGGCGAATCACTGTCAACAGAAGATCTCCTGTTCGTTTCATATTTGTTGTAGCTTGATGGTATGTCCCATATTTTCATACTGTGGTCGCTAGCTCCGCTGATAAGATAGGTCTGGGAAGTTGCTAAAGATAATACAATACCATCGTGATCATCAAGTGTTTGTTTGCATTCGAATCGTCTATCCCATCGTTTGATGGTTCCATCCGCTGATGCACTGAATACGTCGTGGTTTTTGACACACAAAGAAAGGACATCATCACTATGGGCCATAATCGACCGGATCATTTGATGAGTTTCAAGGTCCCACACTTGAATATTTCCACCGTGAACACCGCAGAATAGGTAACCATCGTCCATGACCGCAAGTGTCAGGATACCCTTCTCTGCACTTCCTTTAAGAGTGTTCAGATGCTGTAGTCCCTCGTTGGTTATACGCCATAACTTAACATCTCCATCTCCAGCACCGCTAATCAAGACTTCTCCTTCGATATTCGGCAAGTCATATTCCAGAGCCAAACAATATACATATCCATCATGTGCGTTGACTAGAACATTGCTGTCTCGAATGACACATTGAATAACCTCTACATCCATTGGGTTTTTTCGTTCTTCAGCAGAGGGAGTATCAATTTTCGAGCCGAAGAATTTGCTGGTCTGAGCAGTATATCGAGGGGATATAGATGTCATAGGTGCAGGATCCGAAGATCCATTCGTTTGTGGATCTGAAAAATCGTACCACTAAGCCTGTATCAGCGCCTCATATCTTCTTGCAAGAGCTAGCAACAAAATGAATACATACTTGAATGCTTGTGTTTTGACTACCAAGGAACAGTAGATTGGACACATCCGAGTATACAATAGAGAAAATATCGCCGACATCATGGCAACAATGGATCAAGTATACACACTGTAAGCTTTCGATATCCCAAACCTTAAATCATTGTTCAGTAGCTCATCCTAATGAGTATTTCCATTGCATGCACAGCAAAGCTTACCCTCACGGTTCCATCACCTAGATTCAAAAACGAACGGAGTTAGCATGAGATAATCGCAAATTTTTTGCCCAATCCTTTTGAGGGTTTCTTCACCTGAAGAACTAAAGAGCCACGTTTCATCTGGAGACAATGAGAGAGCAAGCACACTTCCTTGATGTCCATAAAGAAGTTTAACAAGAGTGAACGTTGCTAGATCCCAAACCTTCAAAGAGTTGAACAACATGCAAAATGTAAGTAACCATGGACTCTGGCGGCCTTTGATTAAAAACAATATACAGTACAGCAATATGAGCTCCTTGGCTACCACTGAAGAGATATTTTTCGCTGGCTGCTAAAGACAGAACCGAAGTGTGATCCTCTTGAGAAAGAGTATGTACGCATCTACTCGGTGATACCAACTCAGCTGCCGTATGTTTGGTAATGTTGCCTACAGCGACCGATTCGGAGGTTGGAACAACAATGTTACAATGAAGCATTCAAATTGTGGTTCAAAGAGTGGAATGACAGAGCATACCCAAGGACATCGTGGCAACGGTTCCAATCAAGCTTTGACAGAAATAAAGGTAACTCGAGGTATCCCTTACCCCGTAATATTCGCAAGTTCATAATGAAAATTGCAAATTTGTGACCGCTTCACTTGACAGTGCATGAAACAAACATTGAACCTCCTTTCGCGGCAGGATGTCTCGTTGCAGCCAAAACGCGTACTAGAACCTGGAGAATAAGCTCTCGGTACGATTTTGGACGTGTATTCATGTGCTTTAACCCACATTCAGTTGGTACCTTTTCAGTCAAGAACTTTACTTTTACGTGCTTTAACGTACAGGTGGTCGCAACTACTACCGTTGCTTACACATAAAAAAAAAGGGACTCTTATAAGCGATGCTTGATGTGCGTCTAGGACACATGGTCCAAAATATGAAAGTGAAATGTTTGAAAAAAAAAAAAAAAAAAGCTACCCAGTGGCAAGGTAGATCAGTCCATCTTGAGCACCTCGTATTTATAAGGATAACAGCAATTCCTTTCATTTTTATAAAACTTAAGGTTTAGAATTAGCTGGTATTTTGCAATTGATCTTGGCGCTGCTTGACAAGTAGGCCCTTGTTCATCACGTGTAATATGGCTATCATATCACAGACGGGAGTCATATGAAAAACTGCGTCAGTATGAGAGAGCGCATTTGGTGAAACTAGACACGTCGAGACCTCCATTAATGTATTGTTTCCTCCTAATATGTATTATATTGACCACTCCATTCCTGATGCAGCATTGTACATGGATTTTAATATGTAAAACAACATAATTACAAATAATAGGTCAGCATAAGGTTTATGGTTTAGGTACAAATTCCAAGTGTCACTGGCTCGACAGGTGCAGTGCAACCCATCTTTGATAAAAAATTATAACGTGTAATACAACTGAGCCATGATGTCAGATTCGATGGCCAGTCAGTTGTTGTAAGCCTGCAACACAGAGACTTGCGTCAGTATTGATATATTTGTCCATTCTTCACGATCGATCACTACTTTGCCCTAACAAAAACGGGGTGAAGGTCCGACAAACCGATCTTACCAAGATGGCACAGGGTACGTTAGGCAGCATGGGAAAATTGTCGAAGAAAACAAAGTTTGAAGTGAGTACGTATGCATAGGAAAAATTAAGAGGTATGTGAGAAAGCGGCGGATGGATTTCCCAAAGTTCTATACCTGGAGAGTACGTCGCTTCACAAGCACGATGAAAATGTCTTTAGGAACTGAACGATACCAGCCATCAATTGATTGCAAATGATGGTCAAACTCAGATTTTGGCTGGTCGCTCGGAAACCTCGGTTATCTCAAAGATATATATGGGTTAGAAGTTGGCGCAGCTTAAAGCGAGAAACAGGCGATTGTATAACAAAAGCGGCATTTGAGGTTGACCGCAGATAAGGCAGAATAGCTCGCGCGATATCGGGCTTGGGAGATTGATATGAACCAACTAGTTTAATTTCTATCTTTTGGTGTTACAGGAATTGACTTGAACGACATCTTGCTTCGCTACTAGAACAGGAACAGCATAGTTCTGGCATGTTTACAATAGTATAAATCTTCACGTACAGAATTGCATGACATGGTCATCGAAAACAGTACCCTTTCAATAGGGTTCGATTGTACTTTAACCATATGCACGGATATGTTCTGAAATGATTGGAATATCAGATGTCGATGGTAGACACCAAAATCCACGCCACCCATGAATAGTTATTTGTAATGGTCGGCCAATCATATTCAAATCCGCCAAACCCATTGGTTAGTAGCCGTAAAGTAAGCACATGACCCTCAGTTGCCTCATTGAGCAACGTGAGAGATGATATCCTCCTGCAAGGATTGAAAGGGTTTATAACCTAGCAGTATCGGTAGCGCGCTCGTTATCTTGCAGTTTCTTCTCTCTCACATTATCAATCCAATATGGACGAGAAAACCGCTAATGAGGGTACCCAGGTATGTCACTCACAGTACAACGCAAGTTACCTCCCCACACACTGACCTCGGAGATCTTCTGACAGCAAAAGACAACTGACGCACCTACAAACGTCGATGTTGAGCACATAGAAAGCAATGAGTTGGACTATGATGCTCAAAGGTTACACGATCTTGGATATAAGCAAGAGTTCAAAAGATCTCTGGATATGTTCGTACAATTCGGCTTTGCCTTCTCTACCATGGCTGTATTGCCTAGTTGGAGGTTCGTAATCCTTTTTGGTAATGTATGTTGTATTGGGTATGGTTTCTGACTGAGTTTCTACGACAGTGTTGGATTTGGACCATCTTTAAACAGTGGAGGCCCGGTAGCTTTGTTCTTTGGTTGGATTATTGTTGCGACATTTGTCAGTCTTATTGGATTGGGAATGGCTGAGATTGTGTCTGGTAAGTTTTTATGTACTCTGATCAACAAGTGCATTGAATTATATATTAATGGATTTTTTTAAATAGCGATGCCAACGGCTGGTGGTGTATATTATTGGTGCTTCAGACTTGCCGATAAAAATTGGGGTCCTTTTGCTGCCTGGATGGCGGGATATACCTACTTGGTCGGTTTGCTTGCTGTCAACATGACATTGGCATATGGAGGAGCACAATTTATCCTCGGTATGGTAGCCATGGGCGAGGGAACTTATCCTCAAGGCGCTTATGTTGGAATCTACGTCGGACTTCTCGTCCTGGCAGCTCTTGTCAACTTGTTGGGCACAGGGGCCACTGGTATCATTAACAAGTTTATTGGTAAGATACTCATCAGCTTTATCAGCATAAATTTTAAAATCTATCATACTAACCAGTAACACCATTTTTCTTATAGTTGCTTGGGCTTTGATTGGAACTGTTATCATTGTGGTTGCCATGCCAGGTAAGAAAGAGTTTAATATGAAAGATACCTTTTATATTACAACCCTACTGACAACCACTTTCAGCCATGGCACCTACCCATCAGCCTGCACAATGGGTGTTCACAGAGTTCATCAACAACACTGGTTATACTAACGCTGGTATCGTATTCTTTCTCGGAATGTTGCAAGCTGGTTGGACTTTGGTATGTTATATTTTATGAAGCAAAGTACGTAAGTGACCTCGTACTAATTGATAGTGTATATATTGCTATAGATTGGTTACGAAACATCTGCACAAATTGTTGAAGAGACTTACCGTGCAGATATTGCTGCTCCCAGAGGCATTATTGTGTCCATCGTTGGCGCATGGATTCAAGGTCTTGTCCTTATCTTGGCTGTCTTGTTCTCCATTCAAGATGTCGATGATATCATGTCATCCACTGTTCCCATTGCCAGACTATTTTACACTACAACCAATAACAACGGCTTGACTATTTTCTTCCTTCTCATTCTATTGGGAGCTCAGCTTGGATCTTTGTTCAACTCAATTTTGGCTTGTGCGCATTTGATTTGGGCTATGGCTCGTGATGGCTGCTTGCCATATTCAAAGTTCTTCTACAAGCTGAGTGACAAAACCCATGCCCCTGTTCGGGCTATCTGGTTGCAATTGGTCATCTGTATTGCCATTATTATGCCGGTAAGCTAAGATTTTCATTCATTGTCTTTCGCACTTTCGAACCCTGTCGCTCATCACTGTCACTAGTCTTTTGGAAGCACCGTCTTTTGGCAAGCTATTATGTCGACTGCTGTTATTGCTGTCAACATCTCCTACGGTCTTCCATTTTTCTGTCGCTTGGTCTTCACAAGAAACACCATGGAAAAGGGTCCATTCAATCTCGGAAAGTACAGTCTTCCCATCAACGTCGTCTCATTGATTTGGATCTCTTTCTTTGCCGTTATTTTGTGTTTCCCAGCTGTTTCTCCCGTTTCTCCAGTCAGCATGAACTACGCTAGTTTGATGATTGGCGCCGTCTTACTCTTTGCACTTTTCTTCTGGATTGTCTCTGGCAGACATTTCTACAAGGGACCAATGCAAAATGCCGATAACTAGTCGTGCACCTTACACCCTGATCTATCTTGAGATGAAATTGTACTTTTAATACTACTTTCTGTCAACTCACGGAATGATTTTCAAGGAACTAAAATTAAAATGTTTAATAGTATCTTACAAAGATGTAAAAAAAAAAAGTTGCGTATTGCAATTTAACGAGTACAAAATCCGGGGTTGTGGCGGTCATTTGGAACGAGGAAAAAGTGTAAAGCCGTAACATTACGATTTAGTAAAGAGAATGCCAATGACCTTACATTTGGTATATTGTAGATGTGTGGCCCATGTCTATCTTTCTGCCATAGCAGTATCCTCTTCCATTGTACTATGGTCCCATGTGGGTTTCTTTGGCTTTTTCTTGCTGCTAAATGTGAGTGTACCTAGGACTGAGTTTGAAGACGAAATAGTTAGTTGCTATCTCACTTATCCCTAATGTATCATGGCTAACACGTACATATATCGCCATCTTCGTCTGGTACCAACTGGTGGTCTTTTGGAACATCAACAGCTGTATTTTGAATGGTTAGATACATAGCCAATATCAGTAAATACGGTCAAGCGGGACTATGACACGTACATTCTTCAGGTAGACGCTCGCCAATCCAGTCGTCGCTCAAGACAGCAAGTTGTGAAGTTCTCCAGTGAATGTGAGTGAAGTGACTATCCTGGATTGCATGCATGAGTTAATTCTGCTGCTACTTCATTTTTGTCCAAAGTATAATGAGCTTACCATGTTCAATTGTGTATAAAAGAACAAGTGACTGTGATATTAACATTTTTCCCTTGTTTTGTTTGGGCCCGCCTGTCTCTGATCTCTCCTCATGGCTACCAGAAAGTTACCATTCGGTTTGAAAGCTCCCTCCAGAGGAACTCTCATCTTCAGCTCAATAGTAATTGGAATATCTGGAGTTGTCTATGGTAGCAACTATTACTCTAAACAATCCCACCAAAGACTATACGACCGAGTGACATGGTTGGCTGATCGACCTTTAGGTGTCCGGGTAAGATGGATGGAACGTGTATTGACAAATAACCACATTTGAAGGCTAAAACATAGTGCAAATGTTAGGAGATGCCTCGTAAAGTTACAATTTATATTGCACCACCACCGGGCGATGGTATGGACAAAAGCCGTGTTTGGTTCCGTGAATATGTCAAGGTAAGTTGTAAAAATGAAGCAATGGGCTATTCCCGTGTACAATTCCATTAAATACATCGTTTTTCTATCTTAGCCCGTGTTGTATAAGGCTGCCGTGGACTACGAAATTAGAGAAGGAAGAAACAATGGCGATATCGAGGCAATGATCTGCGAAGAAATTAGACAAAAGCGCAAAGCAGCCAAAGAAGGTACCAAACCAGCTATGGTAGTAGCAGCCAAGGCCGGCAACCCATTTTCACCTGTCCCTGTTCAACAAAACGAGATCGACGGCATCATCGCTATTGGTAGAGTGGCTTGGAAAGAAGTACTGAATGGTTTAGCGAAAGGCTGTGAAGCTTCTCTGAAGGACGAGAAGATTGAAGAAGTAAAGCCGGAAGCAGTTGCAATTGTAGATGAGAAATCTACAACACCTGAAGACAACAATAATCAGCCTGAGCAATTGTCTTTCCAAGGAGAAACCAACCACCGCGACGAAGATGCTCCTCTCGCTGGTGAACCAGCTGTAGTTGTATCCGCTTCAGGCGACGAAAATTCACAAGACTTTGCACTAGTCGATGGTAATATGGTAACCGAGGAAGAACCAGCATTTTCGTTGCCACCATCCTTCCCTCCCGTCATGTATATCCCTCACAACAACGTTATTGGATGGTACAACATCCCGTACAGATTGTACATGTGGGCTGCTGACTACAAGCGAGTTGACTGGATTGGAGAGTATTCTGTTGCCGTTGCGCTGAATGAGAGAAAGCCTCTGGAAGAGAGCGAGATTGACGTCGGCCAGGAAGAAAAGAAATACTGGCTTGGCGACGAGGCGAAGGAAATGCTTGCAAATGATACACCTATCAAGTTGGATGACCGAGTGCGAGAGCATTTGACTACTTTTGTTCGTTCTTAAAGCCAGGGTTAGATAGCTGGCATGTTTTGTAACGTTTAGACATTTCTTGTTGTAATATTAATTTTCTTCTTTTGATGCATAAAAAAAAATATATCTAGAGACCATTTGCTGGCCATACTTTGTAATCAGATGCTATCGAGCCACAGCAGCCATGCCATATGAGAAAAACTTCCAAGCATAAAGTTAGCTTGGGATGAGTGTATTTTTTTTAAAGCGAAAGAAATTTACTACAGAAATGAATGTCAGAAACTTTTTTTTCCTAATTACTATTTTATGCGAACACGTCCTCCAAGTCAGCTTCAATGTTACTTTCTTCCATCGTGCTAAAGTTCATGAAGTGAGCTGTGCGATGTGATTCGTGATAGAACTCTTTAGGTACATCCAGTGTCAAACCGTAGTTCATGTTGTTATTAAATTGAGCACCCATGACTAAAAACAAAAAAAAAAAAAACCGTTAGAATGAATGTTTTGAACCTGGTTGGCAGCTCCTATCTCGCATAGATCAACTTACAGTTATAGTTCCAAACATCGGTGGGGACCATGAAGTAACCAAGGAATCTGTCAGAAAGTAGAATCTGAACCTTTTCAGCATGTGTAGGCAAGTAACCTTGTGGGTTGTTGCTTGTATCCATGTTATTTCGTCCCCATTCAAAACCGGATGGGGTGAGTTTGTAAGCACTGAGAGAGCATGAACCTGGTGTGAACGAGCAAGTCATTGTTATGGTCTTTTCACCATCCCAAGTCTTATTTTGAGCCAAAAGGCGTGCGTGTGTAGAGACATCTTGTGGTGACAAGTTCATCAATTCTTGGGGTTGTGTATGAATCCAACCTAATGGTTCTAGATCAGCAAGGTACTCGTGTTCAGGAGCACCATTAGGCAGATGAACCGTTTGATGAGTACCCCATTGTGGTGGAATAACAATACATCGGATTTCCTTCACATTGGGTGCGTCCGGTGGACTGACACCATACATGTAACCAGCAATCTGTGTGCGCAAGTCCGCTATCGTGATGAAGCGCTTGAGAATATTCTTGGGTAGTACATAAGTGTATGCTATGGAAAGAAAAGTTGAATAAGTATTGAAATCATATTCATACAACTTGTACGGAGAGACATTGTATAGAACTTACCATTTTCCTTGATATCATCTGAGTTGACATAAATATGGTTTGTACGCAAATGAAGGTTAGTGGAAGAGATAGCTCTAACACGCCACTCAGTCTTGGATGAGAAGGTTTGAGTCTCATAGTTGCTAGTGGTAGTGACAATCATTTCATCACCGTGAACGTTGTGAGTCTTGGTAGTAACAGCTGTGAGCTGAGACTGTTCCTTTGTTTGCTTTTCGATTTCAGCAATCTGTTGACGTTGCAACGATGGAGCAGAGATCTCCATACCAAGAATGATATCACGGATTTCAGATTGGGTTAGGGAAGCGACGTTGACGTTGTTCTTCTTGCCATAGTCGCCAAGGATGAGATCCTTCAAAGCAACTTCGACCTTGATCCATTCTTCGTCTGACAGCGTTGGCCAAATGTGATGTGGTTCAGTGATGGTGCTACGGTCAGGTCGCAAAATGATCTTGGTCTTTTCATTGTTAACATGCAGAGCTCGCAAAATCAAAATAAGACGTGAGAACGCAGTATAAGATGAAATGGATCTGAGCCAGTCGTCGTAAAGGTTGAATAGAACCATTTGAGGTTCATTTGCCTTCAAAATGAGATCACCGAACTTCTCAATCTTGAGACAGGCTTGGAATGGAAGTTGCAATTCACTGCCCTTGATGACGATATTGGGGAAATCGAGCTATGAGGTACAAGTATGGAAAGTCAGTACGATGAAGAAGTGTACCTTGCACAAAAATGTAAAACCAGTGGAGTGAACTTACCAAATGAACTTCAAGGGGATCCAACATACCCTTTCGGGTAACAATGATCTGCTTGGGCTGTTCTTCGACAGGAAGAGATCGAATCAAAGCAGCAACTTCTTCTGCTGTCTTCCACTTGGCCAACTGTCCAAGACGCTTCTGACCGGCCCATACTGAAGTATGAATAATCTTCAAGAACAGCTGTCCAGTACGTGGGTTGAAAATGAAAATGGCACCATTGATAGGCTTGGTGGTCAAATTTCCTTCGAATGTCTTGTGAATAGTGACACGATAAACGTTGGTATCGTCAACAAACCAGATGATTTGGTTACTGAACAATTCACCCTAAATGCAAGAAATATGTACAACGGTTAAAGTTCTGATAACAATGACATTATACATTACAGCAGCAGTGTCTAAGATTACTTACGTAGTTGGAAGATGAGAGGTAAGGCTCAGTAGGTTCGGAAGAGTAAAGCTGAAGACCCTTTCTGATACGCTCACGAAGGACATACATGGCCGGATTGGCCTTCATGATCTTGCCCATGGCCTGCTGAAGCAATGGCTTCATACCAGGAATGTAATTACCATAGCAAGAATGCAAATTATATGCCAAATCGATACCGATCATGACACCAGTAGGTGATGGATAGATACTCATGCTGTCAGTAGTGTAATCCAAGAACTTGGCACGAGTATAGCGTTCGATATCGTGAGAATCGAAATCACCCCATCTAAGTTGAACATCAACCCAATACTTGGTTGTGGTGGGCCCGTCCATGGTATCCTTGGTATCGCTCATGAGCGATGGACGAGAGACTGGCCATTTGTAAGCAGCAAACAGAAGAATATCAGCACAACTGCTGGACATCTTGTAACTCTTTCTAGGGTGAATAGTTTCCTTCTGTACAGTTTCGATTTGGAGGGCTTCCAATTCTTGATCAAAGACTTGACAAAGATCCATAACAACACTTTCGTGAATCTTCTGCCACAAATGCGCACGGAAGATTTGAATGAGAGAAATCTTGAGAGTAGGAATCTTTCCGTGCATGAAGATACCAGTCAAATCTAATTGGACTTGGAAACCGACGTAGACATTGGCACGATTGATAGTAGGACTCCACCAGAGTGTGAATCGACGATTGGGAATTTGATTCAAACCACTACGCTGAGCGTTGGTAAGCTTTTTGTACTTCATGCTCTCTTCGAAACCAGATGCTCTTTCCCAGAAAAGACCTTCCCATGAGGGGAAATAAGTTCCCTTGAACAAGGTATGTTCTAAAATACCTTCGACACCTCCAAGAGCTTGGATCATATCGGTACGGTAGTTGTTCAAGTTCCAAAGTTTACCATCATGACGTTGATGAGTCCACCAGAAAGGATTGTTCTTGAGAATCTGATATTGCTTGAAGTCGGTACGCACACGCCAACCCTTATCGTAAGCAAGGGTATGTCGGTCCTTTTGGAACAATGTGTTGATTCTTGGAATACCACGATCCCATGAGTCTTCCAGATCTTCCAAAGTCAAACGTCTATTCTGTGCATTTGCTTCTTGACGCTTCAAGGCATACTCGGCCCAAACACGTTGAGAATCAATGAATTCAGATTCCCAAGGTTGGATGTATCTGAACAAGTTAGGAATGAGTTGATCTTCATCGTGGCTCATACCGGAACGGAAATGAGTGATGCCCGTGTCGGTTTGCTTGGACCATCGCAGATCGGATTGAGGAATCAAGACGTGACCCATAGACAGCATACCAAGACCACCCAATTCCTTTGGACAGTAGAAAACGGTTGGGGGGAATCTGGAAGGCATCTTGGAGTTGAGACCAATCTTGATACGGGTTTGAATCTTGTTTTCACACTTGACCAATAGATCCAATAGTTCACGAGTATGTACAACGGCTTCTCTGAAATAGGTCATCAAACCAATAAGTGCAGTGTTGTACTTATTGGCAATCTTGGTAAAGGTTGTGCTACCAGACGCCATCAAAATTTGACGAATGCGATTATTGAACTTCTCCATCGAATCACTATCTACACGAAGGAAGGCTTGGGCTGTGCGCTCCTTGGATTGCTCGTTGATCAAACTCCAGACACCGTCGCGCATGGAGAATTCCTCATTCACGTTGCGAATCTTGGGAAGAATGCGAACCTCAAATCCACACATGGCGAAGAGAAGGTTCGGGTTATCCTTGCTGTAAACACTAACAAAGCTGTCCTCCCATTCAATGGTGGTAAGCGATCGTGGCAATCGATTCTTGATATCCCAGAAAGTAGCTCTTCCAAGGTTGACATCGTGCTTCATCAATCGCATACGGCAATCGCGGGGCCAGCACTTCTTGTTATTGTAACCAACGACATTCTCAAAGTTGGGATCAGGATGTTCAGTCAAGAATCGCTGAATGAGATCACGGCTTTCGTCGGCACTGAAGCGTAAGAAGATGTGAATGCGATCAATATATCTAGAATACAATCTAATGGGATGCTTGGTTTCGGTTTGAACATCGCGGAATTGCAAGAAGTCGTTTGGAAGTTGAGGAGGTCCAGCCATTTCGCTTGCACGGTGAAGGCCAAGGATAAGAAGATCCATAATCAAACCATAGTATTGGAAGATGAAGGATGCGAACTGAAGACCACGAATCATACCATAAGCGTTGACGTGGTTCATATCCTTGTAGTTCAATACGACGTTGTTCTTTGCGGTCATGTAATCAGCAAGATTGTGATCCAAGATGAGACGGAGCAAACGGCCAAGCAGTGTAAGATCCACCTTTTCATAGATCTTACTCAAAACTGTTTCCATCATGACGTTGCATTCACCCTCAGACGTCTCCCAAACATCGGTAAGGTTATTGATACCTTGACACCACTTGTACACAAGCAACGGTGGTGGTTCAGAGTCGGACGGCTTGATCCATGCTGGGAATAGATGGCGCTTGTCAGCCTCATACCACAAGTATTGATCCAAGTAAGCATCTGTAATCTTTTCCAAGGGTTCGACATCATAGACGGGTACAAGATGAGAGTACAAATCCATAAATTCGATGCCGACTTCCTTGAATGCTCTTTGGGTAAGCAAGAGACGTTTGATACGAGACAAGGCTTCGTGAGGATTGTCGTAGGCTTGTTCAATGAGACCAAGTTCTTCACGCTGATTCTGATTCAAGCGACCTTGAACACTGTAAGCTTCTCTCAATCGCTCCAGAGCCAAAATCAACAACTTGGTATCGTGCTTGTAAGACAGAGGTGGGAATGGAATAGGAGAGAATTTACGGCTCTCCAACCAGTGAACAGTGGCAGTGTAAATTGCGACAGCTTCTTCAGCAGAAACATATGGACCATCCTTGAGGTAGTTATGTTGACGCTCTTGTTCAGCCTTCAACCAAAGACGAGTCAAACGTCCAAGATTCTTCTTACAAACAGTCTTGTCAACAGTGGCACCTCTTCGAATACGTTCGCGGTTATAATGTGCAACACTGGTCCACCAATCCGCCTTAGCCTTGACATATCTCAAAATCATGTTTTCGATAGGTGTGGGCATTCCTGGTACTTTCCATGGGATATTGGCCTTGAAGGTTCTCCAAGCTTCAGACAAGTGCTGAAGGATGGTCTTGGACTTGTTACCTTTAACACCTTCTGGCATCATATCAATGATATCGTGCATGACGGCAGCACGAAGTTCCAAATCGTAGTGGGATTCAACACGCTGTTTGGTAACAGTCTTGGCAATACCCTTAGAATGACGACCTTCGAAATGACGTGCAAGCAAGTTGCCAAGCCAGCGCTCGAGCAAAGGAACAATACCACGAAGGAAGAAAAGCCAGACTCTCCAGCCTGGTGCCCAAAAGCCAACACCAGGACCTTTACCAACTGGACCAGTGTTGAAGCGGTAATATAAGACGTGCTTGAGATCCTTGGTCATACGAACTTGACGCATGAGTCTGTATTTGTATCGATACATGCCAGTCAATTGACCAACGTGAGCAAAGATATATTGCAGACCATCAGCAAGCTGGAATGCATCAACGTTACCGAGACGGTATTGAACATGTGAATCGACAATGAGTTTGGTAAGACGTAGAATTTCACGGCAAAGATGGAAAGCATTTCCGAATCGAGACTTCTTTCGTTCCTTGGTGGTCAAAGTCTTGACGGGCTTCAAGTTGAAATTATAATCTAAATGAAGGTAGTTCAAATTCTTGCGATGAATCAAAAGATTCAACATGTTATAACCTTGTCTACAGACTTGCAAACCAGCTTCAACCCAATCGAGCTCAGTGGATTGGAAGAATTTGGTGGCTTTAAGCTGTCGGAAGAGATAACGCTTGTTCTTAGCCTTTTCAGGTCGATCCTTCAATGCATTGAGAACATAGCATTTCAGCAGCTTTTGATATGAAACGCGGACTTTCACAGGTTGTCCAGGAGGGCAGTGTTCAAGATACCAACTCTTGATAAGAGGAACGTCTTGTGCTCGGCGGGTTCGACCTGATCGTTGATTGAATGGAGTTGGTGCCCAGTACAAACCAATTGCACTTGCAGTCTGGTCGGTGAATAACTCTGTGGCCTCCAAGAAAGGTCGTACTTCTTCAGGCAAACTGAAGATTTCTTCGCTCTCCTCATCTTCATCTCCAAAGAGCTCATCCTCAAATCTCGCACCGTCCGATTGCACGTTGCGTGAAGATATAGGGTTGATGACAGGATCGAAATAGAACGCTGGAAGATCAGGATCCTCATAAGGAATGTATACATTGATAGGGAAGTGGTACCACGACAAATGAACACTTCTGGGTAGGGAGTTGTACAGGAAGGGGTAGGCAATCTTGTATTCTGTACGGATAGGTTGACGAATGATAATCTTGTTGATGTCATTGAATTCGTTCCAGTCCTCATCAGCTGTATCAAGATCGCGATAAAGTGGTTCGAATTTGGGTCCTCCTGGGATAGCCATGTTCAAAGCTTTGGCGGTAAAGAAGGCCTTTTTGTCGAAAAGATAAAAGTAATTTGGATCTGTCAAATCCGATAATAATTGACGTGCAATACGATGGAGGCTGGACATGATAGGAAGATTCAAATGCCACTTTCGATATGAAGGTCCGTTGACAAATGGAGTGTCTATCAGGGGCTTATGGTCATAGAACCAATCAATAACGGCGGTATCTTCTTCTTCGTCTAGATCCATTTGAATAGCTTCGAGAGGTTCGACATCGAGAATGTTATCACCATAGTCCAACGGTGGCTCTTCATCGTCGAAAGGTGGGAAACGCATACGCTTGAAGTGTCGTCGGTCGCGCTTTTCACGTCTCATCATTCTCCACATGGAACCCCACTGAGCGGTATATACAGGTTCAATAACCCACGGGATTTCGTTGACAAACGTAATAGCGCCAGTTATATGGTACAATATAGGGACTTCACGGACCTAAATATCATGACTGTCAGTGGGTTTTGATTTATGAATTTTGAAAGATATAATGCAATCAAGGCACGCACCTGCTCCCATGGCATAGGCATGTTCTCCAAAAGCTTCAATACAGCGTGAGGAACGTACTTCAAAGCTCCGAGATAAATACGTTTGTCATGACGGAACTTCTTGCTTGACATATCACCGTGGTCCTTGATGATCTTTCGGACGTGTTCCGGTGGCATATCAGCCTTTTCGTGTTCGACGAAACCTAATAGAAGGGAATGGTAAGAAGAAGAACGATTAATATAACGTCTCAATCATAAAATGCTTACCGAACTTTCGCTTTTCGCCATATCGTTTATTCTGCATTTGCTGCCACTTTCTGGCTTTTTCGTTCAATTTCTCTTCCCAATTATACTCCATGCTCGAGGGATCGGATTGATCAGGATTGAATTGTGTGTTTTGTTGTGCACCATATGGTGAAGGTGAGCTCCCAACAGGAACTGGGAACTGATTTTGTTGCTCGCTGCCGAAATCCGTCATGATCAAGGCTTTGTCGATGTCTATCTAACGATCAGTGCTACGATGAAGATACTGGAGAGAGATTCAAGTATTAGTAAAATATTAATCTGCTATGAATAGCATTGACTTTGAGATTAACGTACTTTCAGGATAGAAATAACTGGCGAGTTACTGATTGATTGATTGACTGAACATAAAATCTGTTAAAGTGCCTCTCGGGTGTGGCAAAGCAGAGTTTTTCAAGCACCAAACTCCAAGGTCATACGTCATATGTTTTTAAAAAATTTAATCTCTTCATAGAAATTTTTGACCCGCTTATTCAAACGCGACAAAGCACGACACAACACCACCACCATTGGATCACTTTGCGATTGCTTGTGCTAATTTTATGTTAAATTGAATTGAATTTTCTCTATATACTATTATGTTTGGGAAAAGTGAGCTTCTGGTTTAGAGAAGCTTACCTGACCGTCATTCAATTTTTCGCTATCATAGTCGTCTAAAATCTTGAGCTCACGGCGAATATATTGTACAATATAAGCAAGGTCATTTGCATTGCCAGTTGTTGGTGTGAATACGTTTCTATTGATCATCATAAGTATCACATTATTCGTTGTGCGCTATATGCAAGTGAGTGGCTTACCTCCATAAAGCAGCGGCAAGGACAGGGTCGTCCTTGCACATACCTTCATCGTATGCAACGACGCCGCCGTGAAATTGCGCTAAGAGATCCTTTACATAACTTTCCACTATACGTCCAGATGTAACCTATTTGGGCCAAGAATTGATCGTCAGTACTGGTTATAACCAACTCAAGGTAATCGATCGAATCCATACCCCGTGCGATCTGATTCTATCCTCTGCATCCTCAAAAAATCGGTTCACTAGTTCTTGGATATATATCTTTCCGTGGTCCTCAGCTCTTAAACGAACCATAAGCATCCACACATGTACTTGAGTAATAGAAAACCATGTCTGAAAGTTGTCAGGCAAGTTGCAATCTAATTGATACAGTTAGTTCCTGTTTGAGTGCTTGGCAAGCGCTGCATATAAACATAAGTCATGGCCAAACCTTGGTGGTAAAACTTCTTGTTTTCTTCCACTTGCTTGGCACATACGTTGTATAAATCGCGACTAGCACGAATAGCCGTAGAGCTCGTTGAATAATATCCCAGCATTCGAGCAATGCCAAACACCACCTTCTTAGTCGTCTCTGAATATTCCTTTTTTGGCTGAGTCTCTTTTACTTCCGTAGAATAGTGTTGGTTTAAAGCGCCATTCTGCTAGCGTACTGTTAGGAAAGCTCAAGCTACCCATCAGACGAACTTATGACTTCACGATACCTGAATTCTGGTGAATATACCGGGGTTGACAACTCTTTGCAGAAGCAATCGTCGTGACAAAGGGGTAGATGTCTAGGCGAGGTTAACATCCAGGCGACATTATGAAATGATTGGCTGCTTCATGAGTAAGCCTACCTTTAGGAAAATGCCACGAGCGGCCGCTCTACTGATGGCCGACATTGAGTGTGTTGTCTTCAAATGTTAAAATGGAGGGGCTATCCCACAAAAATTTTGGTTGTGACTTTTTATATGGCCGACCTTGGCCAACACTGAACACAGTTCGCCAAAATTATATACACAATTGTAATATTGATTGCTGGGTTCAAGTATACTGTACACTATACGTCGTCGAGCTAGCTCACTGAAGCTGACCGACATTACACAGGGACTTTTATTCAAAGCCAACAGAAAAATCGTTCAACGTGAATATGTCCAATGTGGTATACCAAAATTGTCAATTTCGATCGTTTCACCTGTCGCGCGATCCATATCATCAGACTTGTCCAATAGCCAATTTTTTCCCAAGTCGAATTTGAAGATCGAAATGAGGACTTTTGCGTCATCCGCCGTAGCGCCAAACCATCTACATCAACATCGATTGTGTGTTATCATTTTGTTCGTCTGGAAGTTGGTTCGAGCCCAATACAATAACAGGGGATGATGCCAAGATTTTAGCTAAATTGAATTGGCTACATACACCCCGAACGTATTATCAATATCCTCACTTCAATGACATTAATTCATGCCGATCAAGATGAATAATCTGAAGAGTGTAATTAGGTCGAAGAACTAGCAAATTCTGAAAGGCTTGAATGACACTACTTTTACAAACTTTTGATGTGTGCACGTCAAAGTTGAAGGCATTGATATTGACAAAATTTTATGTTCACGAAGTGATATTTGAAAGCAAATGAGACGATGTTCTGGCAGTAAACGTATTATAATGTAATTTGAAGGTATGTTAAGATAATAATTCCATCAGGCAGAGACACTGGTTAAGGCGCGAAAGATCTCGAATAAAGGCCAATTACTTAGCTTCGCCATGATATTGATGACATATATAATTCGCAAAATTACCCTTTGCTAAAGTATCTTTGGCACTTTGTAGGCGAAATGAATGACATCCTTACTACAAGACTTGATCATTTCGATTAGTTTTTGCATGTTATCGTTGATACCAATCATACCGTTTCCAGTGATTGACTGGCCCAAATTAACAACTGCTTTTATTGTTTCTGTCAACAAAAGATGCTACTAGCTTGATTTCATCGAATGTTATTGACAGACAACTACAGTATATTGTAAATTATACAAAATAAAAAACAATAGAAATACAGGATATTCTGCTGGTATCTAAATAACCAGACATGAATTGAGTATGTAGATCCCAACGCCAACTTTTTTATCCAGATGTTATGCAACAAATATCTTTCAAGTTAGCTTGGAAAATAGATGTTTGGCATGTACCAGCCAGCGGAAGCTGAAGAACATCGCATTTCAGCCACATTTGCATTGTGGCTTGATAGGACTGCGCATAAACTGCCTTCTTGATTTTTTGGTGCTGCCACATGAGTTAGTTAGCTTGATTGACTACTACAATGGCATCACCTCCTCACACCAGCATCGTACTTGCCGACGCATCCTTAAAAGGAGTAATAGCAAATGCCTCAAAGCTCATTGAGGGATCATTTGCCGCCAATGAGAAAGGTATATGAAGCATACCTAGTATACTCTGTTACCACCACAACGTATTGTTAATCACATAGAATGTCACGATTTATAACAGACGAAAAGCAATTGAATGATCAGCTAGCTAAAAGTCTAGCAAAACTTGATATAACCGAGCATACAGACGGGAGTGACCAAGCAATGGATGTAGATATTCCTACAGACGACATAAAGTGGCAGTTCGTGTTACGATGCCTAGAATACCTGAAGCTAATACAACGAGAGCTGAATTCCAAAGTAGATAGTGAAGGTATAAGCCAATGGAGATTTTGTATGTATTACATAGTATTCATGACTTATGTAATTGATTTCAGAGGCAAAGGGTCTCAAGGAATTATTGGGTGTTAAAGATTTACGAGTGGTCCATACACTTCTGGAAATTGTTATCACTTGGGGAGAGTATCCACAGCTGCTGAACGGTGTTGGACTACCCCTTAAGCAACGTGTAAAATCAGGCTATGCTAATAGAGGTACAGTGGTTCTTGTCCACCAGCGAGTGATCTAGCTTACATACTGATAGCTGCCTACAATCAACGATTCATCAGGGTTTGTCAGCAATTCACCAACCCAGCAAGAAGCCGAAAAATCTCTTGACATAGGACATCTTTCCCATATTATGACAGAATTAACCGACATTATACAATCGAAACCAAAGGAAGAAACATATACTTCAGTCGCATCCATATTGTTGAACCGCCACTTGATTGATATATATGCTGGTTTGCTTCAAATGGCCTATGCACCTTTTGCTGCAATTGAGAAGGAGCAATCAGAATTGAGTAAGAAAGAAGGAGAAAGCGCAGAACAGCCTCGTTTGTCACCTTTTCAAGTGAATGCTCCACAGATTCAAATTGATCGCGAGAAATTCGTTGAAAGATTTCAGCATTTGTTCAAAAGGTAACTGACGATACCACGCGTGCTGTTCTGTCAATCGGACGCTTACTTTCACAATTTGAATAACAGTGTTGACTCATACAAATCCATGGAATCATTGTCGTTACTACTGGGTACTTCTCCGCTTCATCCTGTACCTAATTGGCTTCGCAGTATATGTGGACGATTCCTATCTCAGGTGTTGTTACGACCAAAGGGAGTAGCAGCTGTGCTTGACTTTTCTATAGGAGGAGTCCAAGAAGGTGACCTACTTTGAGTGGACAGCCTTTTTTCTGTCTACCCAAACTAATGCATTTTTTTTAGTCAAGTTAGCGCAAATGGAAAAACTTTCAACGTTGATTACTACGCTTCCTTTTCAAGTTCGATCCGTTGAAGTAAGGAGCTAACGCATATTACAGAACGCCGCACGAAGTCTTTTGATACTAAATGAGCAATGATTTAGAGCTATCTTTCCGTTCTTTGTCCTCAATTAATCGATATAATCGCGCAAGGCATTCCGGATGCCAAGACACAAGTGGTTTCGTTCATCATTGCAAAATTAATGGTGAAATATAGATCATTATCCGAAAAGTATCTCATTGATCCCGTCATCGGCTTTCTTGCCAAGTCTTGGGACCAGGACCAATGCCCTCCACAAGAGGAGAATTTAGCAGAAGATTCTTTTGATCCCGTTGTAATTTCGGAAGAGCGAATTCGGCAAATAATGACCACAATTCACACTCTGCTTGTATCTGCAGAACCCTCTCCCGAAATTATACAAGCATTTTTATCATCTAGCGTTCCAGCATTATACCATCTATACCAGTTCTCTCACCACTCCAAGTCGGGCTTGAAGGATACCACAGGCGACATACTAACGACGTACTTTCGAATTGTCTCGACATCTGAAGCGACAATGGAACTCAAGCGAATTCTTTTTGATAAAAAGGGCGATAAGCGACTTGCATATTTTGCACCTGGTCCCACCGGTGGAGTGGTGATGCGCTTACACAAGTTTGTATTCCCTTCTGCAAGATAATTATTCATTCCAACGTAAACAACGTTTTTAATCGGCTTTACAACCAAATCTTGATTCAACAGGAAGCCTCCGGTTGTGGCGGGAGATCACCTGCAAGTGGACACAAACATCTTTGTTGACTTTATCCAAACTATTGGAATTCAGACATTATGCGGGGATTTCTTTGTCGCTTTGCTCAACGAGTATTTCTCACTCCAAGCTGAGTCAGGTCGCTCGGTTGCGCCTAAAATGTAAGTTCCATTTGTCCATATTAACTAATTTCACCTGCACGTTGGCAACGTGTATTCAAAAATTAACAATGGAAATTATACTATCATGAAGAATTCTCATGGTATTGAATCTCATCATGACCATGTTGGACAAGCTTGGGCCAACAATATTACAAAATCCCACCCAAATTATCGCTTTTGCAAGTAATGTGATCGATAGCCACCTGATGCAAGCAGACCATCAAGGTTACAACGAATCAGCACCTACTTTGGCGACACCAGGCAATGCAGGACTAGCTGGAATTTCAAATTTGGTGTCGCAAGAAGATAATTTTGAGGATGCAATGGAAGGTGATGATGAAGCCGCTATAATGGAAGATGACTTAGGCACCCTATTTTTGGCAGTCAACCTATTGGGTGCGGTACTGAATGGTATGTGTTACAATGAATACCCCAGCTGTGTACTCGCCTGCAAGACGAAAGGGAGTGGTGTAGGCCAACCCCCCACCCCAAAAAAAAATAACTCAAACGAACACAAGATTGTCTTTTTATTGTATGTTATATTATTCTAACGTGATTTCCAAACCCCGTAACAGAAAACGACGAGTTAGATAAGCAGGCAAAACAATTACTAGGTGCGCTGTTACCCAAGTTACAAGTCCTTCAAAATCACCCGATACCTGCCATTCAAGAGTCGGCCAGAGAACTTTCTTTAGTCATTAAGTCACGGGAGGCTGAGGAAAATGTCAGTGACCGGATGGCCGGCAGTAACAACGCCAATATGCAGTCGTCCATTGATACCTACAAGCAGGCTATGGAAGCGCTCCGTGATGAATTGATGCCTGTACGAGCGCACGGAATGGGCATGCTGAAAAACATGGTCTTAGCCAAAGATCCTCTAGTTGCGGAAGGCAAAGGATTAGACGAAGTACTAGACATTTTTGTTAATATGGTACAAGATGACGATAGGTAAGTAACACCTAACAACAAGCAATCTGGTTTATGCTATGTTGCTTTAAATGATTAGCCAGTCCATGTCTTTTCGTTTGCTAACTGGTTACAGTTTTATTTACTTGAACGCCGTAAAGGGCCTATGCGCCTTGACGGATGTTCATGGGAACAAAATCATTACAAAGTTGGCAAAGATATATGCGGACCCTAAGAGGCCCCTGGATCACCGGCTTCGCATTGGGGAGGCTTTGCAGCAAACTGTCCAACGATGTGGTGAAGCCCTTGGCAAATACGGTAAGATGCGTGAACCACTATTTGTTTGGCATACAATGACTAAACGGTTGTTTTAATGAACGTCCCCATGATTATGTAGTGGATTCGTTGCTTGAGCCTTTGGAGGCTGTTTTAGGTAACCGAGAGACAGATAAGCACCTTCGTGTATCCGCTCTGTCTATTATTGGGGTCGCGTGCCAAACCTGTCCAGTGGCTTTAACCGATCGGTTATGGTCGCTCATGCATTGGATTCTGACGATCCTTGACTTTGAGAAGGAAGTGGAGATCCGACGAGGTGAGTATGGAGAAGTGTACTGATAACGTATTTTTGCAATATGAGAGGCATAGTTTATTAATGAATGCAATGGGAACTTTTTTTACTTTTGGAAACACGACCTAGCTGCAACCGTGGTGATTCTGTCACTGTTCCGAGGTTTTGCCAGCCAAACACTCTATTCTTATCCGGCTGACCTTCTCAAGAAGACTTATCGCACATTGCGCTATGTGGAAGACACAGACAAAGACGAGCTCACCCGGTATCAAGCACGCGTAGCACTTAGTGACTTGGACACCATCATGCGTAATGAAATCTTTCATTGAAGAACGCATAAGATTCCGTTTAGATCACGCCATAACAATGCACATACAGCTTCTCTCATAATGAGACATAATGACATGGATGACTCATAGCGTGATAGTAACAGAAAAATAGTCATTTCAAACAGCGTTCATTTATTGGCCATAAGCGGGAAATTAGAGCTGTCATCCCAGCTGAGCTGAGGGCAACAATGGAAGTCGGTTGATAAGAATAAAGTATCAATAAGAAGGAAAAAATATATGGTATCTTGCATGTCCAATGCATCAAAGGAAGAGAACAGAGTCGGTTACGACGAGTAGGGGAAGAGATCAGAACGTTGAAAGATACGGTCGAAGACCCATCTATCAGATTATGTACAGGTGGCGGTAGAAACCATCTCCGGTCTATCGACAACGTTGAGGTATGTAGGTGTGCGTATGCGGGTTGTGTGTGTTTGTATAGTTTGGTATCGAGTTACAGTTAAGAAACGTAGAGAATTAAATGTGTGAGAGTGATATAAAGTCGTGGTCAACACTAGACGTAAAGGAACAAGCTGGTCCGCAGTCAGCATTCATCTTCTGAACACTGATCAAGATCAGGTTGGTATGTTTCGTCGGTCACATCAAGAGAGGGGTCCAAAGTCCATTGGGAAGGATGTACACCCTTTCGTGGGCAATTGCTCTGAACGTGACCAGGTTAGTTGACAGGCGAACGAAGTAAAAGCGTCACGGCAGTGGGTGTACTTACAGCATGGTTGGGAAGCCAGTGGGCGCATAACTCACATGTAGCAGGGCATTCAACGATGAAGTGAGATAGAGTTGATTCAAGACACATTGTAATTATGAAGGGAAGAAGGACTGGAGAAAAAAGGGTGAAGGGAGGGAAACGAGGGTTTATATAAGTGCTGAGTTCCTGAATGGTACCTCCGCTTGCTTGTATCATTGCTGTCTGAATTTGGCATCCCCTACAATTAGCGCCTCGTCTCTCACATGAGCAAGCAAATTTACAGTTTTTGGGGGGAGTGGCCTGAAGAGAGGCATGCATATCTCAATTCCTTCAACGACTCCCCCCGGATTGCAATGTCGAAAGAATACCCGAATTTGAATTGTCAATTCAGTATATACCCGATCCTTAATGGCCATGACTCAAATGTCCCACAATTCTATTGAATTAATTTAACACTCCGACGTGTAACGGTGACAGAATACATTGCTCTCATTTGATTCGCCTTGTATGGATTCAACTTGTTAACGCTTGGCTGGTGCAACACTTCCTAGTCAGATGACTGCTCGCACAAGAGCAGCTGCGCTGTATACAATAGATTCCGAAGTATCTAGCAAACAACCGCGGGAAGACGGGGGTGGGACACAACGAGGAGGCAGAGGAGGAAGGAGGAGTCGGTTTGACATGTTCGTCTCTCATACCTGCCAGGCAATTCCATAATCACCCCGCCAGCCAGCCTGCATAGTGCAATATGCTTTGAGACTCCATTATTTTTATGCCGGTCATTCCTCATTGAACTGGGCCTTTACAAACGGGTCCAATTAGACGCTTACCGACCGGTTTAAAATGTTCATCCCTTTTTTACCCCACACAATGTGATTAATGTGTGTGTGCAAAATTTGCGACGACCCTTACGCTTTCTCTCGTATTTGGCTTAGAGCCAAATACCTGACCACTATTTGCTCTCACTGTACAACCCAAGCCGTAACACCAACCCATTCTTCCATCAATACAGTACGTCATTTGCACTGACTTTGAAAATTAACCATTGGATGGAGACACCTGAGCCCTTGGCTTGGCGGGCTGGCGCGCGCAGTGCCATACCGCCCGCGTGCGTGAGTGCGTGCGCTCCCTTTAGCCGTGCCGTGAAGGGTGGTGCGGTGCTAAAAAAGCCATCTGGGAAACCTTAAGAGCCCCACCCTTTTTCTTTCCCTGACCTAAACACTATCTTAACATATGAGAGAAATGTTTGTATGAGAATTACGTCGTAATGCATGATCAATTAAGGGGATGCATGCTAAATGGTTGATACAGTGATGAGAAAGCGGAACTTGACCGCGTTTGAATAAGAACTTGGGGTAATTCCTTTTTGACGTTTTCTGCAACGGTGGCAGCCACAACCGCCAAAAAAATTACCCTAATTTCCTGCCCCTAACCGCCAATACGTCTGTCACACTATCGTCACTGAACAAAGAACTGGCCTTCGTTCGAATCTATTGCCCCTCCTCCGGTACGTCCCCTTATAAAAGTGTCATTCTCGTGAACAGCTTTAAGTTTAGTCCAGGTGATGTGTGCTGATACGCGAATAGTCAAAGTTAGGTACAAAAAGTAAGGTACACATATAATTTAGTATATGCGATTTTAGACTGGCAAAGAAGAAAAAATTATGGAAATCTTAACCCAGTGTGGGCAAAGCTGAACCTGTCATAATTGATCACGATGGAAAAACAAGCATACCATAAACTGGCTAGAGGTCATCTGGTTAAATCGAACAAAGGTATCAAACCAGTATTGGATTAGGACAGCCGTGATACCCACAAACTGACCAAAGTGCATGGGTACTGACTCTCGTAGAGACTGTCAAAAAAATATTACCACTTTAACGTCTTTCGCAATAAATCCGGCATGCCTGGAGACCCATCAATGGCGTCAATCAATTCCCGCAGATGGCATTTTCCCAATTTCATCATTTTCGCTTTTGTTCTTTTTTGACCGACAATTGAACGTAAACATTCTACTGCTGATCTATCATCCTAGACAAACGCGTTGTCTAATTGAAAACCAGCTGCCCATTAATCCTTTATTGCAATATCAAAGTTTAAATACGATGGTGCCAGTGATGCAAGTGATGGGACGCTCGTCCTCCGTATAGATTTGAGCCATCACAGTGTATTTACCCTAAAACAGATAAGCTTAGTTAATAAAATGTCGCTCTAATGTTAATTAAACTACGAGGTGCTTACCGGAGGAATATCCTTAGGGAGGGCAACTGTCTTATTGGCAGTGAATTCACCTTGCTCGATTGGGCATTCTTTATCAACTTGCGGCGCTTGTTCACACAGATCAAAAATTCGGTGGAGCAAGCTATGATGAAATGCGTTGGTGAGATATTCATGTGCAGATACATGGCAAACGATACAATGACGGTATGAAGAAGACTTTCTTACCGAACCGCTCCATATTTGACAACTACGTCAATTTTGGCGCCGCTGCCAACCTCTTCTTTCAGGAAGCCCTTGAAATCAACGTGCATTTCTTCTCCCTTTTTCGGCGGGTTTGGCTCAATGGCAATATTCTGAACACTATTCTCGTAATAAGGATTAATAAAAAAGCTCCGTCGTTTTGGTATAGTGGGCTCGGATACTTTACACTAGAAGGTCATTATTATCTCCGCACAGTTTGAGGTTATCTGGGATGTTCGGTTCTTCAAGCTCGCTGAAAGCTGTTTGTTGACCAAACGAGGCAGAGGCAGCGAGACCCAAGAATGCGCAAAAAGTAAGTAGTAAAGCCAGTGATTTCATTGCTGACGAGGAAATGAACAAGTGAGCAGGTAGAGGTTTTTCGTTGTAAGGATGCATGATCGCCAATGACGCTTGCGGCGCTCGTGATCAACAGGTCTCGTGATCTCTGTTGGGTGGGAAGCCATCTCGTCCCATGTTGTATGGGATTGAAGGCACAACCATCACCCGTCATGTACAAAGCGCTCTTTCGTTACAACTAGCCAGGCTATGAAATAATGTAATCTAAATATCTTTGCCTTCATTTAATAATTTTGAAAATATTAATTTTACTGCAGACCCATTAAGGGCAATCAAGGAGTTGGTTATTATGATTCTCAATTTTTTTTTTTCTGCTGTGAAGTTCAGAAAGTCCACGTTGCTGTCATCTCGTCTGGCAGTGAACTTGGCTGACAAGCTCCTCTCAAATTAGATGTTGCCAGACCTCGCCTCAACCAAGCCACGCCTGGTATCTAACCTAACCTGCCTATTCAATCGTAGAAAAACCCCTCTTTACGTACGGATGAATGACCTCATTGCACAGTTGTATCCACTCCAGCAAAACATTTCTAGTCTCACTGCATTGTAAAGAGTAGTGAAGGTATCGGGGTTTGTCAGAAACAAAGAAAGCCAGTCAGTCATTGGGACGACGGAACCGGGAAAATTGAACGACCGTATACGGCTTTCTCCCTTTCTCTCCCAACTCCACCTTTTATAACACTATTGAAACTTCACTGCACTACGCATTCTCTCTTTTTTACCGCATCTTCACCCATCTGACCCGCTCCTTGTATCATGCTGATTTCACAGCTCTTCATCTCAAAGAGCAGGAAGATCGATTTTGAACTCAGCATCCTGTTTCAAGATCTTGCCAATGTTCCGCTAGTCAGTGGAAACTATCACATCAAGTGGAAGATCAAGTATGCCGACCTTCCTAGTGGGTCTACGCCAAGGTTAGTGTTCTTAAATGTTGCAGTTTTGCCAATGAGGGACGAGTCAAGGAATGTTACGAGGGGAAGGCACATTGGCATATACTGGCTTGTCTCGTAATATACCGCTAGTTTCAGCGATATCTCGAGTTATTCAGCATGGAGCCAACCAGCAAGGAGGCGCAGTTGAAGAAATGGGGCAGTTGGGGTTATTGGGAAATCCCACACTCCTGAAAAAGGAATACAAAAAGACAGACGGCCATATTGACAAAACAAAAAAAAACCATGCGTTACTCTGGTTTGTTAACGCTCCCCTTTGTTGCTTTTTACAGAGCCCCTATTACCGACCACAATGTCGTTTGGAATCAATCAACAAATACCACTGTACATTTGATTGTTGGAAAGGACAATGTCTTAACGCCATGCGAACTGAAACTCGAAATCGTCCAGGAATTGAATGGAGGAAAAGATACCCATACTATCGGAACGCTGATGCTTAATCTATCAGAGTACGTTGGCTCTGGAACAACGACTCGAAGATATCTACTAGACGAATGTAAATTTAATTCAACCTTGAAGGTTTGTGCAACCTCATTCCCCTATATGTCACGTCGCCGTCGGATCCCTTAGTATGGAGACTAACGAAATATTTGTTGTTCAAATAGTTGGCCATCCGATTGTTGCAAAAGTCTGACAATGGAATCAAATTTGAAGTGTAAGTGATGGAGAAAGAGTTTGAATGGCGTCCCCTACTTATAATGTTTGGCATTGACTGACGTATCATTTGTTAGGCCACCTTTGAAAAAGCAGCAGATATTTGCTGACATTCCAACCATGATAACGGAGAGAAAAGACAAAGGTCTTGTGAAGGATGATTCGTTCATCGCAGGTAATGTTTTGACACAGTCCTTGACACTTTTTGACGAGTTGGCTAATTTATAAGCTTACGATTAATAGACTCAAATGGACATACCAACTCTAATATCAATTCAGTACAAGTACAAAAATCGCATTCCGCTGTAAACTTGGTAGGTGTTGTATTCCATTCCATTTTTTTTTTGCCTGTGTAGAGCCATAACCAACGTTTGTACATTCTTGTAGGAGCACTTTTATAAAAAATCACTGTCACCGATTCCAATGCTCAAAAACTCGGACGACCAATCTCCTACTGACTTAGTAGAACAGTTGTTTCAAGGTCACCAGATTGATGGAGTTACGACAAGCGCAGGACGCTCATCAATGGATTGGTCATGACATGGTCTTCCTCGTTCTCTAAAGTTATAAACAATACGTAAAAAATTGATGTTATCAAATTAATAAAAATTATTCTCTATAGCATGATAGTTACGCCGCCCACTTTTGACACTGCAAAACCCTAACGCACTGCATTGAAACCAGAACATCCACATAATCTCCATTATCGTCTCTATGGTAGAAAACGCCACCAGCTTGTAGTGTGAACACAATTCATCGATATATTTTTCGTTGCATTTTCAACAGATATGTAAAAAAGTGGATTGAAAACAAGATTCTAATAACGTAGCGTAAGGTCTCCTAATGATCGAACTGACAGTTGTCGAGAACATAAGCAAGTTAGAAAACATATCAAAATAATTGGCAATATTGCATTGGTGCATACGTACCATTCTAGGTGGGATGTTACGCTCCCACTTGGTACCCTCAGGTCCCATTGGCACTGCAAAGCAAATAACAATATGTTAGACGTGAACGTAAGTGCGTTGCGATGTAGAATGAAGAATGCGACACATACATTTATATGGATCGGGATGAGCGAATTCTTCGAGTTGCTTTTCGGTCTTTGCAAAGATTTGCTGGAGTTCTTTTGGGCTGGTGACATTCTTGTTCAATTCAAATTGATGGCGAATATCAAGAGCCTTCTGACGCCACAAATCACGGCGAATGTACCAGTCAAGTGAAAGCTTTAGTGATCGCTTATAGAGGGATTTGACATAAAGTCGGTGGGCTGTCTGGAAGCTGACTGGTGCCGAAGACATGGTGCTGTGATGAGGACTTGTTTTTGGTTGTCAAGGGAGGTGTTAAATGGCCCATCCCAAAAAATGAGTGACGTCAAATTTTTGGTAGTATTTAATTTCTCGCTCAAAAGAAGATGCTTCAATAGTACTTCTACCCATTGTGCTTTCCTCATACCTTTATGTTTATAAAATCATTCTTAGCACCTCACTCAGCTCTTTTCTCTGTCAGATTTACAATTTTATTTTATTGCTCATGGCCATAAGACAGCTATCTATATCATACAATATCAACATCTTCGCTGTCCATGTTATTACTGTCATGACTCTCGTCAAGATCCTTCTCTATTCCATTCATTGCATTTGACCTTCTCGTGCCTTTTCCGCTGACCGGCGTACTAACATCCATGTCGAAATCTGTATCTGTTGGAGCAAGTCTATTCGACGATTCAATCATTTTATCGATGGCGGAACTACCAAACTTGTCGTTCCCAAGTGATGAAGACTCAGGCGATGGAAAGTTAGGGATCTCCAGGTCCGGAAATGATTTTGAAAGCTCGGATTTGAACAAATCGCGGAATTCCTATTGCGTTCTGAAATAAATACAGCTACCAAGGAATACCTTTGCAGTGGCATGAATTGCACCTACCGAAACCGCTTGTATCTTTCCGTTGGTATATTGGTTTTCACCTGCAGCTCTTTCTATGAATGCCCGTGTGAAAATGTCTGGATTTCGTCCTTGTTCGACATAACTGTAGATACGAAGTAATGCAAGCTTTGCATCAGTATTTAGGTCAGGCCGATTCATACTTGTTTGAGTTAACGTACTTTATGACCTCCTCCGGTATGAACTCTGATATGTCGTCTTTGAGACGATCGATATTCTGGTAATGCGTTATAATATCATTTCTATACGAATTGTTGTCAGTATTGCGCCATTGCAATCCTACTGCCTCGTGTACAAATCGACACTCACATCTTGTTCCACACGAGTCTGTTTCCATCGGGTTGAAAATCGTAGACTATTATGCTTAAATCAAGAAGTGATTGTAGTAATTCTTGTAACTGTGTATCGACGGCGTCTTTGGCTGCATTACTGGTGGAATTATAAATGGTGTTGCCGGCGTTGTCTGTGATTGCTTCATCGTATGGTGAGGACGCTTCCGACATGGTGAACTATTGTATGTTGTGTGAATGGACTGGGTACTAGTGTGATTAATTGTAAAGGATCCGCGATCTGGTATCACTGATACAGGCTTGTTCAAAAATCTGAGTTCGGTTTTGTGAGTTGAGTTGAGCACAGGTCAAGCAAAAACAAAAAAAAAAATTATATATTTTCTAATATGAGCATTGCTATCGTGCTACTAATATCTAGCAAGCAAGTGCAGATGATTCATCCGCTACTTTCCTTCAGCTGACAAGTTATACGGACAATGACTAAACCACTTTAGAAACTGCTACGCTGCAATACTTGCAAATGCAATGTCATTTTTCGTTAACCTCTCGTTCAAGCAACCCACGTATTCCTATACCCAATTCTCATGTCTACGCCCGTGAATAATGCAGGCGTTGCTGTTCACTGACCAATTCTAGGATACTAGACATGGCTAACATCAAATGATAATGAAATAGAAAGGCGATATGGATACCAATTAACAGGGTAAAAAAACGCATAAGTTTGCGGGTAGACAAGACGAGCACACTTAGTGCTCTATTTTCTGCCCGTGTGATTTAATTGGAAACGCGCAATTCATTTGGTACCTTGACCTCTGTGACTGATTTCTGAAAGTGAGCACGTTTCAAACACCCTGTACCACGACGTTCGACTTGACCACTCACTCACTTACTTCTCCAAAATGGATAGGCTTCAGGAAGTAGCACAACAGACCAGCCTTACAACACTTCTCAGTCTTCACTTGGTATGTTTTGCACTCCCATTCTATATCCTGGCGCGCATGTAATCATGGTGCGAAAGCCAGCCAATGAGCCTCGGCTGACTTTGGATGGTATCCACATTGCCAAGCACTTAAACCAAGATCTTTATTCGACATTAACCAATATCTGGTGTTTTTTTAACAGTTCCTTGCTCTACTTGGATCTATCGCTTCGAACCCCTCTTACAATATTGCCATTTTTTTCTTTGGTATCTGGGCATACCATAACCGTGACTCAAATGCTCCGATAAAGACTGTAGGTGATTTCGCGGTATTTTATCAAGAATGTTATCCAAAACTAATTGTATGCCGTCTACCAGTTTACCGCTGCATTGGCCTTCAGTGTTATCATCGATATTGTGTGGTTTAGCTTGCACGGCCATAACCCTCTGGATGAGAGAGGCTTTGGATTTGCCTTGGCGTGCGTGACCAATTTCATTTTGTCTTAGACGGCACAGACTATGCATGGGCTAAAAAAATTCTCATTTTTCCTATAGGATGAATATCATCTCTTTGATTGGAAAGCCAGTTACTTTGTTCGCTTGTGTTGGCGCTCTTCAGAGCAGAGGTGATAGCTTGAGCGTTGGCGGTGAGTAAACAAATATTGGACACGTCCTGATGGATGCATATCGCTCATGACCCTCTATTTTCAGCTTGGTCGGAAGCTCCTGGTGCCTTCCCTGGTAGCTATGAGAGAGTTAGAGAACCAGATAATGAAGATTTTGCATAGATTAGCCGAACCGCCAGCATTTCTATCATACGCATATTCTCAAACCCTGTACACCAAAAATGTTGACTTCGTGTCGTTTCATCTTTGTGTTATACTGTAATACATATGCTTGTTCAATTTTCAGTGGGGTACAAGCTATGAACGCTGCTACATGAGAAATTTATAATAACGTTTTTTTATTCCATATGGATAATTTTGACATGGCTTATTGTTTGGCAAGAAGTCGCTTGACAAGTGCTTCGATACCTTCGCTACCCATAGCACCTTCCAAACTCTTGAGTGCATATTTACCAACCATATCAACTTCGACATTGACTCGGTCGCCAGGCTTCTTGTCAGCCATAACAACACAACTTTGGGTATGAGCGATCATCATGATGGTGAACCAGCGTTCGGCATCATTCACATCGCAGACGGTAAGTGATGCACCGTCCAAGCAGATAAAGCCTTTTGGTATTATATAGGGGAGAAGAGCGGTAGTAGGAAGTTGAAGCTTGAACCACAAGGAGTTGCCTTCAGGTGTGATGTCGATGATAGTGGCGGTATCGTCTACATGTCCCTGCACCATATGTCCGCCGAAACGCTTGTTGGCTGACATTGCTCGCTCGAGATTCACCTTTGATCCGACCTTTAATTCGCCTGTACGGTTCCTGCGTCAGTACACAAGCTAATAATGCTGTAAGTAGGGGTCCAAAGAACTTACCGAGATTAGTTTTTCTAAGTGTCTCTGGTGCCATTCCGACCTTGAAAGTATCTTGGGAGAACTCAGTCACAGTCAAGCATGTACCTATTAAAGCGGATCATTATAATGATGTGTAAATAACAGAGAATAAAACGACATGTTGGAGAAGTTTGAAAACGTATAAATTCCATACCATTGATGGCAATGCTGTCACCAATGTGGCAGTCGTCCAAAATGCAGCTTGCATCACCGACGGTTACGGTCCATCCATTTCCGCCGGATTCAGTAGTGTCATTTTCAGACACGGCAGAAATAGTGCCCATGTACTCGACGATTCCCGTAAACATGTTTAATAAAAGGTGAAGGAAGAGGAACAATACTGCCCAGCTGTCGAACAATTACAAAGAATTGAAAGCCAGTGGGGGAAATTTTTTGGGATTTGTAAAGGTTACCCCTCGAAATGCTCTGTATGACTCAGACTCAAAAAATACATCAGTCAGCTTACGGATGTCGCCCCTTTACAAGATAATATGGAGACCTTAGCCGCTTTATTTAACTGCTTGAATACATACACCTAAGATTCCTTTAGCGCGTGCACCAATTGCAGTAGCGGGCACAACGGTGACCGCTGGTTGTGCGTTTGGTGCAATAATAGCTAACCTGCGCTTGAAGGCAGTTTCCCATGCTTGTCCTGTTTGAGCGTCATTTTTCAACCGATAAAACACTCTCATAGACAATGCTGTGTTCCATCCAGTGCCGAAATTAGAGATAGATTTTTCGACATCTGATAGTAGTACATCAACAATCGTGCTCATAGGTACATTGTCACCTATTAAGGTCAGACGCTGTTAACTCGAAAACTTGAATTCACTTGAGTATAATGAGAATTTACCTTCAATCGCCGCACAGGATGTGGCAAAGTATAAAGTGCTTGAAGACCACCACTGTGTTTCTACCACTACATCATTTTTCTCGGCTGGTATACATCCAAAGTTATTAAACATGCTATCGAACAATGGAATAAAGTTCTATATACAAAGCGTACTTACAAGATGTGGAGCTAGATTCAGGACGTTGTGGTAGCGATGGTATTGATGGAGAGTCATCATCATCGTCATCATCTGCTGATATTGGACTTTGAACTCCAAGCATGGCCTGCCACTCTATCAGTCCATTCTTTGGAAGGGACGGAATTGCAACGTATATGGTTGGTGGTATGCAATTATCCTGAAATCCGTCCGAAAATATTTTCAATTTGGATAGCAGTCTTAGCAGAATGTGTAAAATGTATAACATACCTCAAAGTAACCCGCCCATGCTTTTTGCGCCTGCGGCAGCAAATTCTCATCACTCACATAGCAATGGCATATCGCAACATCCTTTGTGAGATCTAGGTCCAGAACACTTGTGATGCATTCCAGGTTACGAAGTGATAATGCTGCTTCGCTCACAATTGACTGGGGTTGGGGTAAGTCTAAAGTATTAGGTATCATCCCTATCTGGCCAGCTATGCACGCCAGCTCTTTTGTCTTGAAGAGAGGATTATGCGTGAATAATGATTACAACCTCAAACACTTTTTAAGACATACGAGACGAGACGGGTGCGATAGCTTACCACAACACTTTGTGAGTAGGGACCAATATTAGCAGGCGCCCAATAGGACATTCCCTGAACATGCATAGTTTGCTTCTGACTGTGATCATCGAAACGCCTTGTAATCACGTCCACTTGTAATCTTGCAGGTCCTTCCAAATCTGCTCCAACTAAGGCACTGTTGACGGAGTATATCAATATTTAAAATGACCAAAGGCAGAGCTTGTGAATACATACCGAGGGGGTGGATTTATATCAAAGAACGTCTTGTATACTTGATTCACAAGAGCGAAGTCTGCCATGTTGGAAACGTAAACCTGAATCAGCAAAACATTGTCCCAAGTCTGACCTGCATCTTTCAATCTGTATTCTACGTTCTTCATGCACTGCTTCGTTTCTTCTTGTATGGATGTGATTTCCGTTGTGGATCGGGAGTCCGTGTACGCTGTCATTCCAGAAATGGCACAATATTGTCCACGCTTGGCGGTCGTATATCCAGCGAATAGCTCTTCGGTCACATCTACCAGTGGCGTGTGTTGCGGCAATGTGATGGTTTTGTCAGCTTGACCCATGCTCTCCACGACTTGATCGTATTTCTCCCAAGACTCTTCCCAATTAGGTATCCGCACCAAATCGAAACTTTTTGGCAGTTCGTCGGATGCTTTTGATTCCAAACGGCACTTTATGAACTTCAAATACGCGACAGTTGCGAAGGCGGCATCATCGTGCGTGATAATTTCCGATTCTTCTCTAAAAGTTGCATCGATTCGTTAGCGAAATTGTGTATAGATTTTTTGGACTGCCGCTTGACATACACTCACACTACGATCCGCTTTTTGAACAATGGGCAATCAAGGGTAAATGTTTCGTACTCTCCACCTTCACCGCAAATGTGCAAGTCGAAACGTTCATTCTGAAATCGAGAGCTACCTAAGCAATTGGTAACGCATCCACTATAAGTTCTTATTTCCTTACCATTGTGCATAGCAAAGGATACATCTGGCCAATAGTTTTCCCCAGATGTCTCTCTGTCAAGCCCATGGCAGCAACTTTAATGAGTATCGCCTCGACGCCAGCCGCAGCCATTTCCGCTAAGAGCTCTTTTTGCTCACGTCGCCAAAGATACGCTAACGAAATCAACCCGAGTCGATTGCATCTGGTTGAAAGAATGTCATGAGTTGACAATAGTGAATTAGATCACACCAAGGGGATCAACTTACACATGCTCTACACGTATACGTTGATAATTTGATAGAATGGCTCCAACCGACACACCTTGCACATCTGGATGATTTTTCTGCGTCGATTCTTAATAAATACTCTCCTCCTTTACACATATTTCTCGTCTAGGACGTACCAGAACATCTTGCAGCAGGAAGAGCAGATCCTCAGTTTCATCATCACGCGTAACAACATAATCCGGCGTTAAGAGAACGGAAGAACCTAAAATTTCGCGGCGGTAGAGTGGTACTTCCATACATTCGGCGTAAAAATGAATTGCATCATGTCCAACTGTTTGATACATGAAACTGTCCAGTTCATCTGAGTGTGCAGTGAAATAAGAAATTTTAGGTGTCAATACAGAATCGTTGATCATTCCTGGACCAACCAGTATTACCTTTCCCGGACTCCTTGGAAGGCTTCAAATTGGCCAGTGCAACTATTTCGTGGCCATTTGCCACGCACTGCATCATATTATAGCAGCTGTCCTTGCCACCACTATGCAGAACATAAGTGAGAAGAGATATTAGTGTCGGAGCAACCATTCATCGCAAAATGTGGACGACAAGCAAATGGGAGGCTATAAATCAAGGTCATTCGCGAATCGTTGTAAAAGGAATCCTACCTAACAAGCGCAACTACTTTCATTATGGATGTAAGGTGTGCCGATAACTGTTCTGCAGTAACAAAGCGACCTGGCAAAAAAAACTGAAGGTTTGTGCAGTCACAGCAATAAAGGATTAATGTGGCACTCATCAAAATTTACGGTTCACGATATTCTATTACTACAGTGATGCAAGTGCTGTAAAATATTTATAACAAACTGATTAATCGATACTTCACGGCCATAGCGCACGAAACGGCACGTCCTAATCGTTGTTTATGATCATTGCTTGCCATCTACAGGGCTCTAACCTGCATATAGTGACCGTAAACAGTCCTTTCTGAAGTAACTTTCTTATGCACTATGGGGTCCCATTTAGAATATGTTGGTCTCAGTACGCTAGGGTTGCACCCGGATGTTGATCATCACTTTAGTCATCAATTTTTGGTATATCACGTACCTTGTTCGTTCTCTTCCGCCGCTCATTGTAGCAAAGTATCAATGTGAAGAACCGCGAGTAATACTCCATGATATACATTCACTTGGAGTCTAAGAAACTGTAATGTCTTTCTACTACGGTAGCTTACTGTGCAACTGACAAAAGAATGGCGCAGTCTTAGACATAATAAATTCTCACAATATCCAAACCTGTCACTGAGATACAAGGACAATTATATTGTGAGGATATGGTACCTCAAGTTGTACAACCAGCCCTTCATGTTTCGTAGTCGAGCGTAACATGTTTCCTATGACGTTGACCAAACGTCAAGAAATTAAGCTCAATATCTGGAAAGTGCGAAGAGTCTCGGGTGGCGCATGCGATTGGAAGTAAGTAAGACTGTATTACCCTGTACATGGGCGGAAGTGCATACACAGAACCACAGTAACAAGTAAAACCTCTCCTACTAATGCGGTACCTCTGGTGAGATCTCCAGGAAGTCCATTCAGCGATAGGTCCCGTGCCTTACATACGATATATAAAATCGAAGGGTGCTATGGCCAGATCGTTCCAGATGTTGGTAAAGGTGGATGTAACAGGGGGCTCTGATCATCGAGGTGTGACCAATGAAACCGGTCTGAACGTTACAGCGAAGTAATTTACACGTTGTAAGGATTTCCAAAAGTGGGTGGATGTTATCCTTCAGCAAGCCGTTTAGCGGTCGAAAAGAGGACAATTGTTTTTGGCCCTCCGAAAAAGGAAATTGCGTGGTAAGGTAAAGCCTGAAGATATAAAGAATCGACAAGAGCCCGTAACTGTTCGTTTTCCCCTTGCATAAACGTTTTCAATGTCTGCAATATCACTGATAACGACTTCGAACTCTTCGCACTTTTCACACCATAAGCATCTCAGCAGCTATAGAGTTGACAATGACCTCTCCAGGATGCACACATCAAATAATAAATCCTATTCAAACGAAATCAATGTCTTACGGCAGAAAGTCCATTCGTACGAGGTTAGTGGGCCACCTTGATGTGTTCACAGTTTAAAGAAATGCTAATTGTGTGGACATTATAGATGGAAATCCAGGATGTTAGCCGCGAACTGACAATTTGGAAACGCAAATGCAGCGAACTAGAGACATCACAACATGAATTACAAGTGCAATATGAAAGTATGTTGTCAATCATAGCAAATGGCTATTATAGAATTTATTCTTATCAAATTCAATTTCTACAGATCGGTTACAGAAGATGAAGACTAAATTCGAAGAAGATGCAAAGCGATCACGACTGGTACAAGTTGCCAAGCACGACGAAGCATTAAACATGATAACTCAATTAAGAAAGGAGAACGAATCTCTAAAGGATGAGTTGAAGTCTCACAAAAGCTCTGGTATGAAAATGAAATTGCTCTCGTAAGACGAAACAGTGACTGGATATTAACAGACATTTATTTCAGCCGAGAAAAAGGTCGAAAACGCCAATACAGCTGTGGAAGTTAAACCTGTGGCCAACAACAAAATCAGCCTAAAATCACATATTCCAGACCAAAGTGTTATAGAGGTAACTGTCGTTATGCAGCATATAGCATTATGTCTCGATTCTCAACTAATACAATATGAAGGCTGCTTATCAAAATGCCGTATACAAATCTTCAGCTTATCGAGAACCGACCGACAAGCTGGTCAACAAAATTAATGTAAGCTATAGTGGCTCAATATATGCCATCACTGATTTTCTTTGAAGAGCTGTTTTTAATTGCCCTCCTTCATATAGGCCACTGTTGAAGCTTTGGAATACGAACTTGGTATGATGCAGCAGTCATACGAAGATATGACAGAAGAAGACGATAGTCCAGTCATCGATATTGCAGCTGATAGCCAAGACGCTAAACATCCAACGATTGTGATAACTCCACAAAAGCCAATTCTCAAAAACACCAACGATGGCACCATGGTGCACTCTAAACAGGAGAGCCTTGAGCTTAATGAACATCACAAGCTCATGCACAGTAAATCAGCCATGAATTTGAGAAGCCCACGCATTTCTATGGAGCCAAGACCAATGTCACAAGGTCAAGAACGAAAATTCAGCAGTGCATCGTCGATCGATGCCTACATGAAGACAGGAAATTCAGACCTCGATACAAGAGCAGATGGTTTCAACGGCTCACCGCTCAAAACCAAATCAGCTAACAGCTCGCCTGAACCAAGTTTGAATAAAACTCCTTCCCCAAAGTCGAACCTAGCTTCTCACTGGCTTCATCGCAAGCGCAAATCCATTGCCGACCTAAAAATGGAAGGAATATGGCGAAATGAACAAGTAGCGCTACGGCCATCAGCCTCCTTATCCACATCGGAGTTGGCATTGAGAGCAGAATCCATGGCTGCCCAGGCAATGGAAGCAAACATGTCTAGAGAATCATCCTCAGCGTCAAGAGAGGGCGGTCGTCGCAGGACAGTTTCATCTGTGTACGGATTTGATGTAACTGCTAGCAGTGCTAGTATTCAGCAACAAATTCGAACCATCACACCGCCTCCTTCTCCCAAAGCAAGTCCAGTGTATTCCAATGCGGGCCCTAAGCCATCACCAACAGATCAAGCTAGTGAAGATGTCATTCCTCGTGCCAACATAGATTTCGAGACCATGCGCCATCGCAGCAGTATGGGTGGCGAGTATATCCAATTCCAGACGTCCTTGTCAAAAAATCGACGAGGCAGTGTGGCCGCTGCAAAGGCACTACCTCAGGTACCAATTTCTTCCGCGTCAACGCCGTTTTTCAGTACAAAACCGTCCAATGAAGGTCCCACACCTACACCGAGTGCTTCCAAATCAAGATGGACCAAGCGTCGTGTAGTTAGTACCATTTTCAAGGATGCCACAGATTGAAGCACCATGAGTTAAACATGATTTAACTCCACTCTCATTCATTATACCATGTGTAAATTGTAATAGTCTTTTGTTATTCCCAGTTGTAGTATTTTATTTCTTGTTATCATTACTTGGTGGTTTTCTTGATGATATATTTGCCAGTAAAAGTTGAGTAATACACTAACATTCATTTTCCAAAATGTGTTTGAATCACGCTGGTGTAAGTAACTTGTTTGAGTCGACGGAATGCACTGTACCTGAAGGACCGTGCAACCTACTATGCCGTAGACGAGATATTTAACAGATTTGGAGATATTGGGGCCAACGTCGATGGCTACTGAGGTGTTCAATCGCGTCAGATCACGAAGTGTATTCGCTCCAAGATCAACTGTCAGGTACAAGTTAGTGTCGTCCATTGCAAGGTCGGTGGATGGAGTGTTGCAGAAAGTGACAGTGGCATGAAAATTATGGACTGTCAATTTTTCAGTTCAGTTTGACATGACCCACGGACCAGCAATTGCTCTGCGCTAACTGCCATACCCACGCCAAAACAAAAAGTTCAATTTTTGACCAGTGCCAGATCAACTAACTACATAATACCCTGGAATTAAGTTTCTAAATCAAACAACCAGTGATGGACCCAGCATCCCGCGATTATGACTGGTGAGTTTGCTTCATTTCACCGTTGCTGTTGGTAGATATCCTTCATCATTGCCTCGCGAGTATCGTTCTGTTGATAAATAGTTTTCCATATTCTCCATAACTTAACGTTCACCAAAAAATGATTTTGTAGGCAAGACAAGAATACCTTTATTGCCGAACAACAAGGCCCAAGTTTAGACGGAGCGGAGGATATTCAACAAGCGACGCAGATTGAGACTGTGAACGACAGAGACGCCGTTAACAGTCGATCCAATAGTGACCGCCGTGATTCCAAAAGTGATAAGCAAGTGCGTTAGCATGTTTATAGGAAATTTAGTCATATGTCCTTTGCATTGATTTCCATTGACAGAGTCATACAAGAAGGTCAAGCAGTGATAAGCGGCGCTCAAGACGTGACTCCAGGTCTCCCGAAAGAGACCATCATTCTCATCGACGATCGAAGCACCGTCGTCGATCATCTCCCGACGACAACCATCATGTAAAACTTTTTTATCGTATGACACCGCTTATATCGCATAACTAACCGTCCTGCTATAGCACTCGAAGCGGCGAAATAGCGAAATATCATCCACATCATCATCGTCTTCACACCATCGAAAGAACAAGAAGCACCAGCATCATAGTCATCACCATCACCATCATACACGCCATTCACACTCATCACACAACCACGATGAAGAAGCTCACTCCGGGAATACACCAATTCGATTGAGCGAGTATCTCGCCCACGATGATAGTAGCGACAGTCGAGACTTGTAATGGTTGGTAGCAGCGTTTATTAAGTAATCTGATATTAAGCAGTAGGGTATTTCATATCATCGAGTTTGCAAATATCGCAAGCTATATTCCATACTTGCTTTCCTTTCTCTAAATCATAAGAGGCTTTGGAGCTATCGGCTTGCTTCCTGTCTCTGAAGTATTTTCCTGTTTCTGTAATTTCCTCGCTCGTAGCATAATAAACGTAATCTGAGCTACTCTGATCTTCCGATGTAGTGAAACTGGCGCCTGCCAACAGTCGCTTCATAAGGAATCGTACGGCCATGCTGCTTTCACGGTTCAATGCCGTAGTAGGTACAAAGCCTGGACAGAATGCGCCAACCAATACTTTCTTGGAATTCAGTCGCTCTGCCAAAAGGTAAGTGGCGTACATCACGGCCAGTTTGGATATTCTATAGAATGCTGAACCGTCCCATGCCTTTGAGCCATCAAGATTATCCAATTCCAGTTCCATTACCTTGCCGCCTCCTCCTCTGACTTCAGGATCATGAAGACTGGATGTCACGAACCAGACACGGGAGCCTTCATGTAATCTTGGCTCTAGTAGCAAAGTGAAATAAAGGGTGCCTACGAAATTAATTAAGATGGTTTTTTCGACCCTCTCGGTGTCAGGCGAGAATTGTCTTTTGCCAAGATAGACACCAGCGTTGTTGATTAGCACGTCGAGAGGAAGATTCAAGGCATTGAACTCTTCGACGGCATTACGAATGGACTCCAAGGAATTAAGGTCCAAGCTAATCTTATGAAGCTTCTCAGTACTGACACCTTGAGATTCCAGCCAGGAAACAGTACTTGCAGTTTTCTTAGGGTCACGACCTGTCATAACCACTGTATGGCCATCCTTTAGCAGCTTCACAACAGTCGCTTTACCGAGCCCGTCGGTGCTTCCTGTGATGAGAATAGTCTTGCTTGACATAGCTGTATTCGAGAATTTCCGATTAAAGAAACTGAATCGATTTCGATCGGGTTTTTGGAATCCATAAAAGAGGCCCGCCTTTTTATTTTAGATTTGCTGGCCAATCAGCTTTTGTGCAGCTGAATGGGTCCACATGCGAGGTTTATACCATGTATGAGTATTGCGCGACCCAAAGAAGTTATTCACTCACTCAAGTTTTGATGTCACAAATACCGAGTACGCTAGAGCGACCGCCGCCATTGGCGTAGGAAATTTAGGACAAATGTGAAGTGAAACGAAGCAATAAATGCATCCATATGACATCATTCCAATTACATGGTATATAAATCGTAGAAACTCCAACTCAACCTGCATCCTTCACTCTATACAATGGATAAATCAACAACAGTACATCGCGGCCGAGATTTTGGAACAGGCGTCACTAGTGAGGCCCGGCAGGAGAACGAAATGAAAAGCACCACGTCGTCTGACCAATTGAGAGGCCGATACCAAGGCACTGGAGTTCCTAAGCACATGGAAGGCGAGCTCGATAACAATACACAACTCAAAGGCGCCAAAGATAAATGGCCATCGCAAGATGATCAAAGCCAGGAGAGTAAATGAAGCTATTTTTTATGTATATAAAAGTAGTAACAGCACAAGGATCAAACTTTTGGTACTATGAAGTAGCTATTTTGGAGTTAAAAAGAAAAAGAAAAAGTGCGTTTCTCACAAATGTAATAAAATATAAGCAATAAATAAGTGGAATAATGGAGTGATGCGATATTCAAATGCAAATAAACTAGATCAACCGGACGTCAGTTTAGATCATGAAGGGTCTCTTCAACGTACCGGCGTCGAAAGCGATTGATATGACGGTGGGGCTATTAGTTCTGACGGCGTCCGACCGGCAGTAAGCATCTCGATCATAATATGTTCGTCATACGGAAGTGATTGCCATGAATTCTCGTATGTCGGTAATACATTAATGGATTCTTCGTTGTTAGCTGCAACGACTATAACAGGCAGTGCGGCGCGCAGCTCTGAAATATGACCATCTTCATTTTCCAGTGACATAATAAATTTTATACGGTGTCGAATTTTCACAACGTCACCAGATGAATCGCATCTAAGCGTATCGGGAACAGGGATGTTTTCGGTGTTGTACCAGCAGACGCCCTCTTCTTCCTCTATCTTAGTCAATTGATCGTTACGCTGATGGTGAACCACTCGACCACGAGTTTTCTGATGCCCTGGCCGAGCTTTGTAAGTGGTATATTCTTTGAAAGTAAAGGAAAGGTAGCGGACTCGCAGTTTGGGGTTAAGTGGTATAAGTCGCAGTATAACCGGAACTACGCCGCCAATGTGGCATATTTTGGAAGCTACAGCAATATCATAGCGAACTTTGTCAGTCCATTCTGATGAAATTTGAATCGGCTCCAAAAAGTCATCTACAACCGACGAAGCAATATACCGACTAACATAGACTGGCGCCCGTGCGGCAATTTGGCTGAACAAAATTCCCGGTCGTTCGGCTATGGCTTTTAGTTTGTAATGTACATAATAGGTGGTGCCAATATGGAGTGACTCTGGCAGATTTCCCGCCAATGGAAGCTCAAATGGCCATGTGTGTGTTCCCGCCGTCACTGAGTGTTGCTTATGACCAGATGCCAAGAATGACCACGTGTGCTCAATCACAGTGCGTTCCTCTTTAAATTCTTTTTGATGACCTTGAGGACCTGTGAGGCAAGAGGTTGGAGATTAGATAACGCACATCAATCTGTTATCAGCATCAGCCAATTTTGTTGTTACCTTCTTTCCATTCAATATGCATCACGCCTTTAAATTTGAGTCGAAGGCTCTTAAACTTGCACTGCTCCATTGCTTTGAGTGAAACTACCCCGCGTAGAACACAGCCCGCGGACTCAGAAGGAGAACCGTGCAGCACTAAACGATCATTCTCTAGCGATATCTTCAACTCTGGCATTAAAGGTACCATTGTAAGAGTGAAGAAAAGGAGAGTTACAAGAGGAAAAAGGTAAAGCCAGAGTTTTTAAAAAGTGGGGAGAGAAAATAAAACCTGTGCTGCCTGACAAGATTTTTATCTGGTTTTTTTTCCCATTCCAAGGTTTTGCGTGTGAATTGTGCTCTGGGATAATAAAAATATTTAAATAAGCTATTAACGCTCTTTCAATGAGAGGGGCTTGCTTCCATATTTTTATGAGCCATTGCGTACAATTGTTTTGTGAATACTAGTATATTGTATATAGCGGTCTGATGAAAATGAGGTAGGGTGGTAAGGCAGGGAAAGAGAGACCTGAAAAAAAAGTGTGACTCGGTTCATTTTGGAGCAAACCATGCCAACACATCCTGGGCACATCGACATTTTTTTCTTGTTTTTTCACCTTCTTCCGCGAGACTCATCGCCTTTGAAACTTCAAGATCCTAAAAAAAATCATCCATTGACTACTTGATACACTAGTTCATCCCACGAAAGCGAATTTTTTCTAGTCTTTTTGGTGGTAGTTAACCCTTCTCACATCATGATGAAATCCATGAATACAAGAAGTGTGGTCAAGCCATCCAGCACCGCACAAACCCCTCTAGACCTATCAACTGTGAAAAGAACATCTGATCATACACCACGTACTCGCCCTCGCATATTCGGATTGAAAGAAGCTCCAACATATTATCCCACTTCAAAGGAGTTTACCGACCCTATCAAGTACATACAAAGTATCCGAGCTGAAGCTGAGGATTATGGCATTGTCAAAATTGTCCCTCCCAAGGGCTGGTCTCCAGAATTCAGTTTAGATACAGAGGTGAGCAACTTTTATTTCAGCTGATCTTTGGCGATAGATCGTTTGTTTGCCCAACACTTTACATGGAAACTTTGCAAATTTCCTCCATCAACCTACCAAATATCTTCCACATGCCACAAATCGCAATTCCGCCTTGACGACTGCACTCTCTACCGTCATACTTTTTATAATCGCAACTTTTCCAACTATTTCACGTATCATAGACCACGATTACCTCTTGGATACTCCATCCCTCAGTTTTCATTGATTTCTTTACTGATATACTTTACCCATTTTTTGTTTATATTAGATATTTCGATTTCGCACCAGGATCCAGAAATTGAACTCAATGGAAGGTGAAACTCGTGCAAACCTGAACTACTTGGAACAACTATACAAGTTTCATCGACAAGCTGGTCACCCTGTTCACAAAATTCCTCAGCTTGATAAGCGTCCTATTGATCTCTTTCGCCTCAAAAAGGAGGTCGCACAAAGAGGTGGCTACCAAACGGTACATATTTCCCCTGTTATGGGAGCTGGGCCACAGCAGATAAACATGGAGCACTGACATACTGGCATCTGATTATTATAGGTTACAGCTCAAAAGAAATGGGCAGAAATAGGTCGTCTACTTGGTTACACTAGAAAGCAATGTACTTCTATGTCCAATGCTTTGAAATCCGCCTATAATCGCGTGATTCTCCCATACGAGATATGGCTCTCAAAGCAAACAAAACTCAAAGGCGCCGACGAAATCAATAAGGCTATATCTTCCATCAACAAGGATGGTGGTATGAAGCGTGTGAAAAAAGAAGCAGGTACGAGACAGAAATGCCTGAAAAAGTAAATGTTCCAATTGGCCTTTCCTTTAACGTTCCATATCTGTACCAGAAACAAATGAGGACGACGATGATGAAAATGAGAGAGATTCTTCCTCACCTGGTAGAGGAGAAATATGCGAAATTTGCAACATTGGCGAAAACGAAGATGAAATCTTACTCTGCGACGGGTGCGATAGAGGATACCACATGTACTGCCTTGACCCACCCCTTAACAGCATTCCTCGAACAGAATGGTACTGCGTAAAGTGTTTGACCGCCGCAGGAGAAGATTATGGCTTTGAAGATGGCGGAGAATACTCGTTGCACTCGTTCCAGCAGAAGTGTGACAAATTTAAGGAAGAATGGTTTGCTGCTAAAGAAGTCAAGAATCCGAAAGCTGTCACTGAAGAAGACTGCGAGGATGAATTTTGGCGTCTGGTTGAAAACCCACATGAATCATGCGAAGTTGAATATGGTGCTGATCTGCATAGCACGCAACACGGAAGGTATGGATCTATGAACAAAACAGGCTTAAAGAAGCTTTCCCTCATCTTATTTAACACTAATACATCTTCTCTGTAGCGGTTTCCCAACTATGGAACGACATCCTCAAAATCCATATTCGAAGAACCCTTGGAATTTGAATGTCATACCAGTGTTGCCAGACTCTCTTTTTACCCACATCAAATCTGATATTTCCGGTATGATGGTACCATGGATTTACGTAGGCATGTGCTTTTCTGCATTCTGCTGGCACAATGAAGATCATTACACCTACTCCATCAACTATCACCATTGGGGCGAAACCAAGACTTGGTATGGTATCCCTGGAGCTGATGCTCTAAAGTTCGAAGACGCCATGCGAAGAGCCGTACCAGAATTGTTTGAGCAACAACCCGATTTGCTGTTCCAACTTGTTACTATGCTTAGCCCTGGAACACTCATGAAAGAAGGCGTTCGCTGCTATGTTGTAGACCAACGTCCCGGCCAATTTGTCGTCACCTTCCCACAAGCCTATCACTCTGGTTTTAACCACGGAGTAAGTAAAGTTCCTTGGTTACCATACTCAACAGCTTTATGATATGCTAATCGATCTATGACTGTAGTTCAACTTTTGTGAGGCTGTCAACTTTGCCCCATACGAATGGGTAGATTACGGACAAGAGTGTGCAAAACGGTACAAGCAATACAAGCGACATCCTTGTTTCTCTCATGATGAACTACTCGTTACCACAGCTCTTAATGATGCAAAGGCTGATGACGCGGCATGGCTTAAGGAAGCTCTAGTGGAGATGTGTAATCGTGAATTGAACGATCGTGCAGCCACTCGTAAGCAGTATCCTTCCTTGAAAGAAGTGATTGATGACAAGGACCGACCTGAAGGAAAGACTGAATGCGTACACTGCAATGCATTTACTTACTTATCACAAATCTCCTGTACCTGTACCGAAAAGGTAGCATGTGCGGATCATCTTGAAGAGGTACGTTCTTTACTTAAAAGTAGGCTTTTGGATGAATGCTGCATACAAATAACTTAAACGAATCTCCACTGTTTTATCAGCTCTGCAGCTGTGAAACCAAACAAAAGACACTGAGGCTACGATTCTCCGATGAAGAACTTGAGCAACTCGTTTATAAATGTACAGACAACTCTCAAGTAGCTTCGGCTTGGGTTGAGAAGCTTCGCAAAACCATGTCGAAGTCTCAGGCACCATCGATCAAGACGCTGCGACCGTTACTACAAGAAGCTGCAAAACTCTCTCTTGTCATTGAAGAAGTACTCACTTTGAAAGATTATGTGGAACAAATCGAAAAGTGGTCAGAAGAAGCCAACAGCTTCCTAGTACGCAAATCCAAGTGGCGAAAGTCGGAACACGATGATAAGCAATCATCTCTAGAGTATGCGCGTGGACCTACATACGACGCTATCAAGCGGCTTTTACAGCAGAGCAAAGATCTGGCGTTTAGTGCTCCAGAAATCGCCTTGCTTCAACAGTATGTAGACTTGTTGGAGGATTTTGCCACTAGAGCCCATAACGTTCTCGAAAACCCCAAAGCAACAATCAGCGAATGTCAGAATGTCATAAAGCTTGGATCGACCATCAATATAAATACCATAGAATACACGCATTTGCAAGTCCTTGCTGGTCAATTGGAATGGAAGCGAACTGTTGGAGACAATATTGACCGGTTCCAAGACTATAATCAAGTAACATCCTTAATTGACCAAGCCCGAGAGTGCGATATTCCAGCCAACAACGAACTATTGATTTCACTTGAGGAACGGGCAGCTGAAGCCTCTGTATGGGTCAAGCAAGCATCTAGTATCTTGGAACAACCTTTGATCAAGCCAGAAGATTTGCATCAAGTTTTAGATTCAGCCAAAAATGCAAGAGTGATTAGTGTTGACTTGCGAAACAAAGCTCAGAATTTGTTGAATCAGTACAATGAGGCAACTCGGCTGGCGCAGAGTCTGCTGCAAGCACGGCAAGACTTGAGGACCGACTGGAAGCCACCTGTGAGCGACCTTAACAAAATCTTGAAACTGATCAACTATCTCCCTATGACCATCATAGGAGCAGATCTATTCCATGAAGAGACGTACCTTATGGATAGATGGAGAGCCAAATTGAAGCAAGTCATGTCGGTCAGTGAACACAGTCAAGGCGCTCGATCCATGGAGATGGTTCTCACTTACCTTGAGAACAATGCCATCCAAGTCACAGCTCATCGTAATAACAGCTTCAGTCCAGCACATCCAACTGACATCCCCACTACGCAAGACGTATTCTGTATCTGTCGTTCGTCGGAATCTGGATTAATGATTGAATGCGATACCTGTGGAGAATGGTATCATGGAAACTGTGTTCGAGTATCGAGACGAGAAGCCAAAGCACAAACATCCTATGTCTGTCCCGTATGCAGCATTACTGCTCCCTTCAGTGATCGACCTCATCTTGAGGAATTTGAAGAGTTGCTGCAAGAAGCAGATCAACGCTGGTTTGCAACTTCAGAATACACCATTTTGCAATCACTTGTAGCTCGAGTGGCACGATTCCGCGAAGAAGTTCGAAACTTCTGTCGGTCGAAACCTCAATTGGGTGTCGAGGATGTACCTGATATTCGAAATTATTTACGAAAACTCATGGGCATTGACGTGTATCTGCAAGACGAAACCGAGTTCCTCAGCGAGAAGATGCGTGTGTTATCTCCACCGCCAGCGTTAACCACTGGTAAAAGGCTAAGTAATGCTGGGCGAAAGACGTCCATTGATCGACCTCGAGGTGGTAAGAAACCGATGGGCAGCAGCCAGCATCCTCGTAACCGCAAATCTTCTGATACGTCGATCTCTTTCAAAAATGAGTCTGATGATGACGACGATCCCTCTTACGAACCGATAGCTAGACAACAGCAGCAGTCTCCACTACAATCACATTCCTCTCTTCAACGGCTTCCGTATCATGATGTCAACCACGCCAAAGTCACTCAACCCAAAGACGAAGTTGAAGATTCACAAGTTTACTGCTTATGTCGACGAAGAGTTAGTGATGCCAAGAATAATTCAATGATTCAGTGCGATGTCTGTGAGGATTGGTTCCATCTTGACTGTGTTAACCTGTCATCAACTGTTGTGGACCGCATTGGCAAATACATGTGCCCTGCTTGCTCACATTCCAGACATTTGACCTATCCGTACGGCCAAGTTCGTATGCTGGATGCATGTAAGTTTCAGGGATTGAAAAGCAGAACATGACCCCAAATTTATTTATGGCTTTTGCACTATAGACTTGGAGACCAAGAGAAGATCGATGGATTTCAGCCAACTTCCCGAGCCAACTAAACCGGCCCTTGGACGACCACCCAATATCATTCGACTGAAGTTACGACCACCCCTTTCTCCAGAGATGTCAGAGAAGAAACGAAAATTCTCGCAAGATCAAATCAAGGATAAGAAAAAGCGTAAATCTTCGGGTGACAAGTCTAGCACATCACCTACTTCAGAACGGTCAGCCTTGCCTGAACCGTCGTCTATTTTATTCGTATAGCTCCCTTATCGTTTCTTGCGATACCTCCCTCCTTGCATTTGTCCCATCACCCTTCTCTCCTTTCTCCTTTGTATCATATGCAGTCATTAGTCTCCACTTTCAAGTTACATAATTTTTGTTCTCAATAAATTCAGTACAGTTCAAACCAATCCGGGGGTTTTTATTTCATCTATAAGCGGTTGCCACGAGCAACCAATTCGAAATTGATGGGCAATGCATGGGTTTCATACCGTTATGCACATATTTATTTTTTCTTAATGTTTGTTTATTTTAACTTACATTCAGTGTGAAAGTGTTTGATATGTGTCAATGCTACTATCAAACAAAGCTCATCGAACCTCCAAGAGGTTCTAAGCAGCGTTAGCGTTACAAAGAAAGTTACTCTTGCAGACCATTTATTCCAAACACACAGTCGCTCAAAGAGCATTCATGAATGGTGATATTAGTTAGCGTGATAATGACTTTTCGATTGGCGGAGTTTGCTCTGTAGATTGAATTGCACAATAGTATGGAGGTTGTGGGATACCTGGGAAAACGGCTGTCACGTTACCAATATTTTGTGTATGGCAAGGGCAACGCTTTCCGAAGCATGAATAACATATATGTCTTACTCGGTTGGTTCATGCAATGATTGCAATGGCAACGTGTGCCTCTAGTCACCCTGACTTTAGGCCGCCGAAAGGGCAGTGAGAAAGAAAAACCAGACGAGGCACGGAAAAAGTTTGGTTTCAATTGAGCAGTATCGATAGAGTTATCCTCAGCTTTTTGTCCGCAATTCAAATCTAACTCTAAAATCCCAGAATGTGAAAGTATGTGGAAGAATATGTCTGTGTTTCCCTACTGCGCGTTCTGCCCGTACGTACATTCCAATGAGTTGCTTTATACTCCGGCCCTTCCGTCGCTCTCTCGCCAGGAATCTCACTTCTCCCCCCCCCCCAGGAAAGACAAGCTGTTGTTTAAAAAAAAATTGGCTGAACATGGGTGGATTCAATTCGTGGCTAAGGGAGGGCAGGGGAAAGAAGGGATTCCATTGGTCTAAGTTGAGTGACAGCTAAAGTTTGCAACCTAGTACAAAGAATCAAAGGATGCAAAGCAGTTGACCCCCGCTCAGCTTCCAAACATGACTCTGGATTTTTCTCTAACAGCTTGGTGTGTGTCCCACAACGGTGTATTCCCGCCAGAGACCGACTTAATGTGCAAGCGCGCGCTGTTACTCCGTACCAAGCACACCCACCCCCTTTATCCCAAGCTGTCAGGTTTTTTTTTCACTCCGATAAAGTTTCCTTTGCGATGTTGAAGAATTTGCAATTGAACAATCAACGGAAAAGCAGTAAGTGTGTTCCTATCAGAAATATGCATGCATGCATGCCTCTCTAACCGTTGCCACATAAGCGAGGGGAGGGCAGAGAGAGAAATTTAGCGCAACACATAATAAAACATAATATTGTCTACTATTGCTTTATATGTTTACATTGTAACACAGCGAGATATGGTGCACCAGGTGATTGGATAGTAATTACGGATACCACAGAGGCAACCCTACCCTTTCCTTTGGGAAAGCCCATTCGTGTGAAATAGAAATATAAGGAAAAAAAAAAAGAGTCTGAAGAAAGGGAACAAAAGAGAAGGAAACGGTTGGGGGTATATGAATGCTCGCCACAGAGTGATTTGTTGTTGTTTGACCTCTTGTCTTTTTTGCTTTAAAGATTAAGATAGGTTGGTTGGGGGTGTAAAATAATTTTTTTTAGCTTTGCTAGACGCGGACTGAACTGGATGGGAGGGCGGAGGCGGGGTTAAGGCAATTGCTGATGGATTGCCATAAATCTATCGTTTCGTTTGAGATTATGGACAACGATGGTGCGAGCGTCGGCGGTTAATGGTCTGGCGTAGACGCTGTCTGACTCAGGGTCGTCATATATATAACAGTTCCTTGGAGCATAATGCACACTGCTATCGATACTGGCCCACTTGAACCATTTTTGTACCTGAGAATCCTCATGACCAGATTTGTATTTCTGAGCTGTCTGCGACGTACTGACCCACTGTACCAAGTCGAATGAGAGACCATAGCATTCACCTCCCATAAAGGTATCGCCGACTAAGTAGCCCCAGTAGAGCATTTGTCGTTTCTGATTCCTCATGTCCAGTTCCAATCGGTCCAGCCGAATGTAAGAATCGTCATCGGCTTTGAACACATAGTCGAGTCCTGTGGTGTTATAAGTCTCAGCCATATATCGAAAGTATTCGTATGTCTTTCCTTCGTTCATGTTTTCTTTTATGTCTAGAAACATGAGGTCGCCATATTTATGATACTCCTCTTCAAGCTTGGCTATGACTTCAGGGTCATTGCGTGGACGGCCCAGAACGAACTTGAATATCACATTATCTGGCTTGTACATTAAATAGGTGTCTCGAATCATCTGTCGTCTATCAAATTTGGTGTCCATGGTCAATACACCCACAAAGATATTGACCGGATCTAGCGTAGCGTCTGGGGTATGAGAGTCGCAGTATTTCTGCCATACCACCGGTCGGCCCAGGTTGGGTAGGTTTAAGAGATAACCTAGATATGCGTAGTAGACGATGGTCGACGTCAAGACGAAGGCAAGAACGACAAATCGCATGGAACGTAGACTGATCTAAAAGCCAAGCAGGTACGAAAAAAAAAAAGGCAAAAGATCGTCCATATTTTAACCTCTAGTAATTTTTTATAACTGAGTGACGTAAACCATTTTTGGGCTCACTTTTTTGACTGAGTTGTTTTTACCACCGAGAAAACGATAAAAAATTTATTTTTGGATCAGGACAGCACGCAACTACGTACATTTCTATATAAGAAGCCACGTCCAGATATGTTGGATCGCCCTCCGAAAAACACGTCTTGGCAGTCTATATTTTTGACAGCGTATTAACACCATTTTACGCTTCCCGTGACCTAATCATTGTAAACATTGTCGTATCATCCGCATTCCATCTCCGATAAGCGTGTAATCTAGCCCAGTTCTATTCGATGACGATCGAAGCAGGTACTTGCCAAGGCTTGGCTTGCTTTACACTTTTGAAAGTCAGTGTTGCTTCTCTCAGTGTTGCTCAGCCACAGCTAAAGGATGATATCTACTAAAAAGAATAAAGTAAGTAGTCTTTTGTTTCATGTTGGACTGACGTGAGGTTCCAGATTGGGTAAAAGAAAATGGGATAAAAGAAGTAATGTTTTGCCGGAGTATCATTGATTTTAATGGATAATAATGATGGAATGTCTTTGGTGTTTCAAACAAGTCTTGGGCTCCGAATGTACGGGGCCCAAGCTATTTGCTTTTATACATGAAAAAATTACACTCTCTCCCCTCTTAATACGTATACATGGTCTATAGCTTGCTCTTGCTAGGTTGAACCATGATGCCAAGACGTTTAGTAATAATTTCTTCAGCATCACGGACCATGCGTGAACATAATTCATCACATGTTGGGATATCATCAATAAGGCCAATGACTTGACCAGCAGTCCAAACACCGTATTCGGGATCTCCCGTAGTGTAGACTTGACGTCCTCGTTGGCCACTGACCAACTCCCGAACATCCTCGAACTGGACGTTGGGCTTCTTTTCCTTGGACACAACCTCAGTAGCTACCGAGTTTCGGAAGATACGTGACGTGTTGCGGAATGGGCGGAACACGAGAGCAGTGTTACGTTCATCAGCCTTAACAATAGCTTGCTTAACATTGTCATGGATAGGACTTTCCTGGGTGCACATGAAACGAGTACCCATGTTGACACCCTCAGCTCCGAGAGCCAAAGCAGCAGCCAATCCACGGCCATCACCAAAACCACCTGAAGCAATGTAGGGGATTTTGAGGGTTTTAGCGGCCTTTGCCAAAAGGATAAGTCCAGTTACATCGTCTTCACCAGGGTGACCGGCACACTCGAAGCCATCGACGGAGACAACATCAACACCGAGCTTTTGGGCAGAAAGAGCATGGCGGATAGCAGTGCACTTGTGGATAACAATGATGCCGGCGTCCTTGAAAGCCTTAATATGAACACCAGCTAAACAGACGCGAATGATAAAAAAAGCGAAAAGTTAGAAACAAATTAAAAATGAGTGCCCAACACTGTGGAGAAAATCATATGACTGTGCCTTAAAGCTCTTTAAAATGCCGCTGTTGATGTATATTTTTCACTCTAGCAAGCCAACCCTTAATGAACAATCGATGGACACTTACGATTGTTTCCAGCAGTTTCAACCACCTTAATGCCTTCCTCGATGATGACTTTCACATATTCAGCATAGGGAGGAGGAACGATGGCAGGAAGGAAAGTGAGGTTGACACCGAAAGGCTTGTCGGTCATGGTTCTGCATCGTCTAATCTCGTTACGCAAAGCTTCTGGAGTAGGCTGGGTCAAACCAGTCAAAAGACCAAGACCACCAGCGTTGGAGACAGCTGAAGCCATTTCAGCGGTACCGACCCACTGCATGCCACCTGATTGCGGGGAAGTACGGTTAACGCTATCATAATTTTGAGGTTTAAGCTTAGTGTTAGAGGCACCAACAAACCTTGGACAATAGGGTGAGCGATGCCCAGCATCTGAGTGAGTTTTGTAGTGAGAACCATAAGTACGAGTGCCAATGGAGAAGAAGCAGAAGGATGGAGGGGTCAAGTGCTTTTTATTTTGTCTCCTTTGTCCACCATTCTCCATTAATTTAAGAACAGTCATTTTCACACCTTTGCGGCCTGCTGTCGGGATATAAATAACGTTGAGAAAAAACTTTACGTAAGCTATAAAGAAGTTGTACATGAAGACGTTTAGATTGTTCGATCTACCAAGTATTGATCATGGTAAGCCATCCCAGAGGGCATACTTGCTCATTATCAAACGTATCAGCTCACTTTGTCGTATCAATTTCACGTGTCAGTCGCTTCAAGCGCACTAAATGTTGCTCATGTGCTGGACAGTGGTTTTCTTGCGACGTTCCAAACAGACTCAGTTGATCTTAAACCCTGATAGTTAGCTTTGCATACAGGCACCCTTTGCTATTTTTTATTCATCTGCTTTCCATTCCTCTGTAAGCTCCCATCTTCTGATCGAATATGATAGTGCCTAATCATAATACGGCTGATCTTTGGCGTATAGCTGTTGAACTATGTACAATGCGGCTGTGGTGATTACAGGATACAAATTGCTTAACCCCGCCAAATACTGCGGGTGATTTCCCCACTCTCAAATGGCCATTGAAGCACAAGTATGGCGAATTAGTAAGACGCTTAATCGTACCGGCGCCAGAATAAAAATCCGGCGGTTTGGTCTTGATGATCGGCTGTGCATCCAATCAAGGTAGGTCTCCAGCACATGGCCACAAATACACTCTCTTATTCCATTGTACGTACTCACTTCTCTAACATAATGGTTCATGTTTGAATTAAATTTTACAATGCTATTATCATATTTAGTAAAAGCGAATTATATGCAATAAAAATTTCTACAGCGAAAAAATAAAAATTGCGATGTCTATCGTCGCCAGTATTGAGCCCACTTGTGGACGGTCTCCATAATTTGGGGGAACAGGGCATTGACGCTTTCTGCAATTAAGCCTTGGAAATAACTGATAGCCGCCTCCTCCGAGAGATCGAGTCGAAACTTCTCCTGCACTTTGAAGACAGCTTTATCCGGCTCGATTTTGATATCGGGGATGTTGGCATCAACCATGAGGGCAAACAAATTGAGAATGAGATTTGCGTTACGCCGGAGAGTAGTAAAGGCTGTGTAGCAGTATTGACGGAACTTTGCATAGTGAGGAGAGTTGGCTCCTCCCATAGCTTCAATCATTTCCTTGCACAATTTCATTGGCGGCGGGAACGGCTTGGGGTCTCGTCCAAGAATGAATCCAAAGTCAACGTGGAAGAGGAACCCGTCAGGGGACAAAAGCAAATTATCTAAATGTCTGTCTCCAACTCCCAACAAATAAGTTATGACACAGTAACCAGCTAGGCAGGATGATGTTAAAGATATAGTATGTGGTAAATCAGTGTATTCAGGGCAATCCAACTTACCACAGCTCCGAATGTATGTCTCCATAACTTGACTGTCAATACCATAAATACCATCAGGTCCAGGGTCAGGATGATGCTGGCGGAAGAAGGAAAGAACGTTGTTTTGATGATCGTTCAGAACAGCAGCTAGGGACTTGGATGGTACAAATTGCATAAGCCCATGATCGGGTCCGGTAGCCAGCACTTTGTAAGGTGTTAGTCTCAAATCAAGATTTTCCTTCTGCAATAGTTTGTCCATAAGAGTGATGATCTGAATGACGAGCTGATCTTGTCTGAGATCATCACCAGTTTTGAAAATGATTGGATACTCGATGGCTTCCGGGGTAGCAAATGTTAACCTCAGTGGTTGCAAATTACTGTTAAATACACCCGATTTTTCTACGAGTTTTCACCATATGTTAGCGCGAAGCTATGATTTAATTCAAAAAGTTCCATATGCACCCACCAGCGATGACTTTGCAAACTTCATATCGAGGATCGAGAGGAAAAGGCAATGTTGTGAACGAGAAAAGAGGACCTTTTGCATCGGCGATCATTCGTCGAAGCTTTTCCACCTAAAGGAGATTATATCAGATACAAGGGAAGGCTTCTTTACTTGCATGGCAAAACAGTGTACCTTTTTGGGCCGAGTGTCCTTCATGGCTCTCACATCTTTGGACAAATCGGACAACCTTTGAATAAGCTCGCCTTGTCTCCTGAGGATGTCCCGTCTTCGGTGACCGCCTGGCACCTACAGTGACCACATCTGTTAGATAGCCATCAATAAAGAATGATCATATAACATGAATACTGCTTACCTCCAAAATGGCCGTCAAATAATGATATGCTACTTTTGCATACATTCTTCCAACCACCTTATCTTCACATTCTACCATAAGGTACCTGAGTAAATGATAGGGACAGCGACATTAACATGACGATGAGTATGGTACGCTTAAATGCTCAAAGGAAATTATATATATATTTCACAGAATAAAAGGTTCATTTCTTACCAGTGAAAGTAGTTGCCCAAAATTGGATTTCTTATGGCTCTATCTATCAAGAACTGTGCCAGGGAAGAGTCATACGAAATTGGGCCGTTATCCGTTATCCTCTCAAATTTGAGGGCTTGTACCAGTTGTAAGAGGTAGAGTAACAAATCCTGTAAATTTGGGATATAGTCAACGTTAATGAAACAATGCATACAATACCTTAAATGCGAGAATTGACTTACATCATCATCTGCTTTTCTGAGCTGGCCGACAGCATAAGCACGAACATGTCGATTTGCAAAGTCTTTTCCTAGAAGCTCCAGGGCATCGTCAACATCAATATCTGCCCAGAGTGGAAGCAGGTCTACAGCTTGTCGAACTTCAGTAGGATCGGTCCACACAACACACTTCAAGAACTTGGTCAGCGCCTAATGAGAGCAGGGCACGGTGAGCATTTTTTATATCGAACATTAGTGATAGGATCATTCACTACTTACCCTCTTATCCCTTGTCAAATAAAATCTGAACTTCCATGCAAGATCCTTCTCCTCTGCTGTGAGTGTTTTTGTAGAGGGATACGACAGTATACTCTATAGTACATATAAAATTGATTGAATCAGATACTGCAGCCGTCTGTATTTGCCTCAAGTGCCCTTGGTGCCTTACATTAAGTTCGTCTCGAATCTTGGGATTGGGTTTAAGATCTCTATCGAGGGGACCATTTCTATGACTTCGGACCAGCCGTCGATGTTTAGCTTCCACGGGGTTTTCCCTGTGAATTTCATGATCCAAAATAATATTGAATTGTGATATCGCTGTCGGAGGATACTGGGCGGTGGTTATATTATCTTCATCGATGGCGAAATTGATTTGCTGGCTCATAGCGTTTGCAATAGCTGCATTTGGCTGTGGTGTGAGTGGTTGTCCAATCATAGAACCAGTTGATTCTGGTAGTATGCACTCCTGTAAAGGATAAGTTAATACAGAAAAGTCTATTTGGCAAACGGCTCGAGTCGTCAGTTATAGCACTTGCCATTTCACCATAAACAAGTGGAAAATCAAACTTTGGAAAGTCGATGTAGAGGTGCAAATCATGCGATTTCTCAGTTTCCTCCTGTATTTTCAACAAATACGTAAGATTTAAATGAAGTTCGCGATATAACATGGATTATTTTCCTATGTACCTTATGTATCTTCTCTATTTGTCGAAATGCAAGAGCATCCAGCCAGTCGACGGGTTGAATGTCGCCAGCGTCATGCTTTTTCACAAGTCTTTCTAAACGATCCAGCTCGCTAGTTGTCTTAAGTTTGCTTGGCGTACTTGTATCGTTCTTTCCATCTGCCTCTATACCTGGCCATACATACAACTTGTGCTTTCCTTTTCGCATTGTCCTAACACCAGCCAACACTTTGCATTAGCTATATTGAAATGGCAGAAATCTGATGCCTGCGCAGCTTACAAATATTCTCCAAAGAGCCTAAATGTCGTTCCTCCTACTGGTACGGTCTTGCGAGGTTTCTCAATGTCCCAAATGGTGATAACTAATTGTGCTGATGCAGGCAAGTCTCGATATTTGATGGGAAGAACCAACCATTCATTCCACCTGAAATAATACCCAGTCATCAGCACAGAGCCACACACTGTTATAAAAGGTATCAATCCCCCTACCTCCACTGCTGTTTGAACGCCTTGTAACTGGTACGAACTGATACTGTCAGCGGCTTGTTATCTGCGTATAGTTGTACGGTGACATATAGGTCGGAGTGATCGCTGTGAAAATGGAATAGATTAACCCACGTACAATGACAACACTATGGCATACAATTGACGGGCTACCAACCTCACTTGGAGGCCAGCGAATTTTAGCTCGGGATTATCAAGTAGCTCTGTGAATGACTTTTTCGTCCGCGTTCCTTCCAAGCTGGAACTGATCAACAAAAAAGCTTAGCTTCATTACTTTTACGAACATAGAGCAGTGGTGGTGCTTACATTCGTACGCTGACAGGTATGTCCAGATCTCGAGTCAAGCAGAATGAATAATCCATTACCGTGAATAAGTCACTTTGTAGCAACGTGCTGGCTCTCACTTTCATCATATGAGCGGTTGAAAGTCCGACGGGGCAAGCAGCCAGAATTCCGCTATGCTGATCCAAAAGGTTTCCTGGTACAGCAACCCATTTAAACAACGTACCTTCCTTGCACGCTTACATCGAATATATGGCAGAAATAATTTCTTTTCACTTTTTTGTTTCTCTGTTCAGATTATTGAAGAAAGAACTTAAGAAGAAAAAAAAAATAATGGACAGGGATGAAGAGGAATACGGGGACAAAAAGGCGACGGAACTCTACAAGTGGGGATGATAATAACAAATTTGACAAATTACACAAACAGGATACTCTAGTCTGAAAAGAATTCGTCTTCAGAATCATAGTTGAGCTGCTCAAAGTTAACCTTGTATCGGAGAAGACCTCCAATACCACCAAAGCCTTTAACGAACTGAGCACCTTCTTGAGAACGGTTGGTAACGAATTCCAAGGTGGCACCAAAGTCCTTGTATCGCTCAGTGAACCATTCCAACAATGGCTTGGTGTCAACGATCTCCATTTCAGTGTTGGGGACGGCAGGATCAAGGAAGATGGTTCGGTCCTTCTCTTGCTCCTTGTTAGGGTGAATGACATGTTCGGCACCTTCAGAGTCACGGAGAACATAACGGGTAAGATCCAAGCTTTCCCAAACAATAAGGGTCTCAACGGCACCGAGTTCAAGCGCCTTCAAAGTATCTTCAATACCGAAACAGAACTTGCCGGTATCTTGGGAAATTTCGTCAAAGTATTGTTGAATGAGCTTCTTCTCTTGAATGAATTTGACGTTGGACAAAGATTCAGCAGACAACTCAATTGCCTGGTTAAAACCGTTCTCTCCACCATATGAAACGTCAACAACCTTGATGATCTTGCTTTGGAGACGTTGATCCAACATGTCGGATTGACCCAATTCGGTCTTGAAATCAGCGGAACCAGCAAGAACCAAGCCAGCGACGTTGACCTAAACGAGTGTTAGTGGGAAAACAAAGACAATTCACGCAATGATAGTTATGCATACCTTGTCGTTACTAATAAAGAAGGAGACAGAAAGTTCGGCAACCTTACGAACGTAGTTGTGACGCTTTTCTTCTCTAAGACGGGCAAAACGAACAGCAGACTGACCACCTCTTCCGTGCTTCTTGGGAAGATCGACCTGCATCTTGTGTATAATTTCACGGGTATTACCCGACAAGGTGCCGAAAAGAGCACCGTTACCATCCATAATAATGAAGCCGAACTTAGCATCCGACTCAAGAAGCTCTGACAAAGCTTCGGTGTGGAACTTGTTGTCGCAAAGATACAACGATGTATTGATAGGCTTGTGAGGTTCGAAATCAATGTTGACACGCTTTTCTTTGCCTTCATCAGTGACGATGGTACCGCAATACACAACCAAACCATTTGGAGGAGCTAGAGAAAAAACAAGGTGAGTTTTAAACTGTAGGAGGTGGCGCTCCAGTCACGGGAAAGACTTTGAATCTACTTACCCTTGTTGTACAGCTTGAGTCTTTGTTGGGTAGATGTAATAGCACCTAACACAGACGATCTGTTGACACGGGATTTGATGTTGGATGCTGTTCCGTATTCATCGGCCAACATTTTGGCGACGCGAGAAATTTGATCCTTTGGAGCTACAAGTCGGATAAGGTTTGGGTAAATAAAAATAAAATAAAAATGGCCCATGACGAATGTTGGGCCGTAACGACGACGACTCAGCGATAGAACATGTGGGTACGAAATTGACTTGTACACATTTCCCATTGTGTCTTTGCTAGTCATGACGATGGATTGCGGCATAGTCGGTATGCTGTGCGAATCGTCTTATCTATCGCTAAAGAAAACGTTCATGGTATGTTTACTTACGAATAATCAATGAAATCATAGATGTGCCGTTGCTAGAGGATATGAATAGATGATGTTAGCACTGTATTCGAACTGGACTGATGGGATGAGGTCCAGGATGTTATGAAAACACTTGGACTTTGAAATCGAAGTGAAAGGCTGGTTGCATGAGATGGTTGGAAGATGACAAAGAAAAACATACCCTCTTGCAGCTTCTAGACTCTTGATGAGTCGCTTGATCTTCCAGATCTCAATATTATGTTCAGCATTGTTTTCATTCTGAGCGGTTGAAGACATGACGCTTGATATGGGGCTTTACGATGAAGTAAAGGTTTAATCTATGGTCTTTAGCCAGTCCCAGTTTTAGCGCAACTTTTTTTCTGGTCCAAAAAAAAAAAAGGAACCGACGTCACTTCCAGTCTCAACTTGTCCGCTGAGCCATCCATTGTGAGTGGGCTAAGCCACTGCTGGGTCAATCTCATAGGCAGACAAATTTCGAGCCCGAACGAACAATACGCGTATTCAAACTTACAAACCATGTACCAGCGAGAACGCAATCCCAATCTGTTCCTCGGCGGTGAGCGTACATCTGGACAAGATGTACGTTCAGCTAACGGTAGGTTTCTATACATTTGACTGTATACGTTAGCTGGTAACTAGTTTTTGATGATCTCGTTACTGAACCTGTCATCATCTATTTGAAATCTAGTCTTAGCAGCAGTGTCGATCGCCAACATTGTCAAGAGTTCATTGGGACCCGTTGGTTTGGACAAGATGCTTGTCGATGAGATCGGTGTAAGTATAAATACATGGCGAATACGGGATGATCCCACTTGGTACTGATATTGTCGTGATCTACAGGACGTTACCATCAGTAACGATGGTGCTACCATCCTTCAACTTCTTGAAGTCGAACACCCTGCCGGAAAGGTCCTCGTTGAACTCGCTCAACAGCAGGATCGTGAAGTTGGTGACGGTACTACATCAGTCGTTATCATTGCCGCTGAATTGTTGAAACGCGCCAACGAACTTGTCAAGAACAAAATCCATCCTACTACCATCATCACTGGTTACCGATTGGCTTCAAAGGAAGCTTGCAAGTTTATTGCCGACCAGATGGCTGTCAAGGTTGATACTCTTGGAAAGGACTGTTTGATTAACGCTGCCAAGACCTCTATGAGCAGTAAGATCATTGGATCGTAAGTCTTAGCGTTCAATGGTATTGCCCATTTTTTTCACCAGCATACTGATAACCTCGCTCCCTCTCTGTCAGTGACTCTGATTTCTTTGCAAACTTGGCTGTCGAATCTATGCTCGCTGTCAAGACCACCAATGCTCGTGGTGAAAGTAAATACCCTGTCAAGGCTGTCAATATCCTCAAGGCTCACGGTAAATCTGGCCGTGAATCCATCTTCGTTCGTGGTTATGCTTTGAACTGCACCGTCGCTTCACAAGCCATGAAGACTCGCGTTCAAAACGCAAAGATTGCTTGTTTGGACATGAACCTCCAAAAGACCAGAATGCACATGGGCGTCAACATCGTTATTGATGACCCTGACAAGTTGGAGGATATTAGAAAGAGGTACGTTGTGGTAGCATGCCATAAATGTATGCGTGGGGATCAAGGTTTCTAATACATAGTTGCCTCTTGTAGAGAAATTGAAATCACAACTGAACGCATCAAGAAGATATTGGCAACTGGTGCTAACGTCATCTTGACTACCAAGGGTATCGATGACTTGTGCTTAAAGTTGTTCGTTGAAGCTGGAGCAATGGCTGTCCGTCGTTGTAAGAAGGAAGATTTGAAGCGTATTGCAAGAGCAACCGGTGCTACATTGACCTCATCACTCGCCAACTTGGAAGGAGAGGAAACTTTTGAAGCTTCCTACCTTGGATCTGCAGAAGAAGTTGTTCAAGAACGTATCTCCGATGATGAATGCATCATGATTAGAGGTACAAAGACACAGAGCTCTGCATCCGTCATTCTCCGTGGTGCAAACGATTACATGTTGGATGAAATGGAACGCTCTTTGCACGATTCTCTCTGCGTTGTCAAGCGCACCTTGGAAAGTGGCTCTGTGGTTCCTGGTGGTGGTGCCGTTGAATCTGCTCTCAGCATCTACTTGGAGAACTTTGCCACCAGTCTCGGATCCCGAGAACAGCTTGCCATTGCTGAGTTCGCCAATGCTCTTCTAGTTATTCCCAAGACCCTTGCCGTCAATGCCGCCAAGGACTCAACTGAATTGGTTTCCAAGTTGAGAGCTTACCACAACGCTGCTCTTAATGCCGGAGCTGATGAGCGTCAACGTGCTTTGAAGTGGTACGGTCTTGAATTGATCAAGGGCGAAGTACGAGATAACTTGAACGCTGGTGTTTTGGAACCTGCCATGTCCAAGATCAGAAGTTTGAAGAGTGCAACAGAAGCTGCCATTTCAATTTTGAGAATTGACGATATGATCAAGGGTAAGACCCGTTGCTTAATCATCCATCCATCTACCTTTGCTAACTGCTTTCTTTTATTATATAGTTGCTCCTGACCAACCACAACAAGACGACGGCCATGGTCACTAATTTTCTTCGCATACAACCCTAAAAAAAATTCGATACATAAAGAACTGTAGATTCAAATGAACAAATGAAACATTCTATTATAAAAAAATTTGCTTTTCAACTATTTGAACATTTATATTTGTCTAATGCTGAACCAATTGACTGTACAAATAAGCTGTATGGAGAGATGCATGGCATCCATGAGTATTGGCTTGAAGACAACCGTACTATTAAACCTTTGGGTGGATTTAAAGTGGTAGTTCTGAAGGGATGCGAAGAATGGACAACAACCACAGATTTTCACTCTTAAGTCTGCCTGCGACAGCTTAACTTAAAATATGGATTGTCACACCGCGCCTTTGATTGAAAGCGCCAAAAAAAATAGAGGAAATTTGCAAGTCATGTGCCTGCATAAACGTAGGCTTATTAACTTGCAATCCAGGACGTAGGCTTTTCCCTTCATCTGGCCCTTTTTTTGTTTTTCATTTAACACCCCAAGCATCTGAAATAATGTCAAGAGACGACGAATACGACTACCTTTTCAAAGGTAACCTTTCGTTTTGCGTGCAAAAGCATCCCCTGCCTTTGCGATTTTGGTGTGATGACCTCCATCATCTGGAATGCAAACCTTACCATTCTACTTCATCTAGTTGTTCTCATTGGAGATTCCGGTGTTGGTAAAACCAACCTTTTGGGACGTTTCACTCGTAATGAATTCAATCTCGAATCCAAAAGTACTATTGGTGTTGAGTTCGCAACACGTAGTATTCAAGTAGACAATAAGACGATCAAGGCTCAAATATGGGATACAGGTATGTGGCCTACGCATGTTTGGAGGCAAAGAAACAAAACTACGGTCAAACACACGACGTCAAACATCTTGGTTGTGGCGATAACCAAGAATGCTTGATTTGCCAGCGTGTCGTAAGCTGGCGGGGTATCGGACGAAGGCAGTAATGTTACCAGGAATTTTATTTGAAGTGGCCTATGTGATCTAACCCGCCGTTTATTTTTTTCATGTTTATAGCTGGACAGGAACGTTATCGTGCCATCACCAGCGCGTAAGTACCTATGGGGAGATATTGTTTTTTTTTATTTGCATGTTGCAACACCTCTAACAAATATTTGGTTTGGGTTTAACAGGTACTATCGTGGTGCGGTTGGTGCATTGCTCGTCTATGATATTTCTAAGCACAGCACATACGAGTCAGTTAGCAGATGGCTCAAGGAATTGCGCGATCATGCTGACAGCAACATTGTCATCATGCTTGTTGGTAACAAGAGCGATTTGAGACATTTGAGAGCTGTCCCCACTGATGAGGCCAAGCAATTTGCTGGTAAGTCAATTTTTTTTTTTTATATTTTTTAGGAAAGTGGTTACAAAATTGTCACTTTTGCCACATATTGACACGTTGACATTGTTACCGCAGCCGACAATGGCCTCTCCTTCATCGAAACCTCTGCATTGGATGCCAGCAATGTTGAAATGTCGTTCCAACGTATCTTGACAGGTTAGTGTTTGCTGAGGAATGGCTTCATTCATTTTTCCATGAAACTTATCACTCCGCCATAGAAATCTACCGAATTGTGTCCAACAAGGCTTTGGAAAACTCTGGTGATAACATCAGACCCACTGGTGGCCAAACCATCTCTGTGTCTCAATCTCCTGATGACCAACAGCAGGGTGGTAAATGCTGCTAAAGAACGTTCTCCCATTCAATCTCTATCCCACAACCCAAAAAATACCGTATAACATTTGAACTATACATTGAACTCAACCCGTTTATTACACTTTGCGTAAAATGATATCTAAATTTTTTTTAATAAAAAAAGAAAGACCATCTACATTATCTTGGCTGTCGCATGCAAAAGAAACGCCAAGCAAGCTGTCGTCAGAATGGAGTAAGCTTGACTTCATGATTTGCGATTGGTTCAAATGTCGTCTCGATCATTTCCCTTTCTGTCTGTGCCACGTTTACCCATTTAAGCCCAGGCTAATTTTTCTTTGGAAACTTCTGCCTTGGAACCTTCCACAACAAGCCATGAGGGAGGGTCTTTAAGTCCGTGGAAAATAAAATCGCTCTGCATGTTTGATAAAACATCAACATTGACTGCTCTTTTCAATCCTTTGCAATGCAACTTTCAATACCCGTCTTCCAATGAACTGCTGTGCCCTTGTTTCAGACCAGTGTGGGGGAGAAGAACCCGCACATGACATCAATCGAAAAAAGTCATCAGATATTGGCACTTTGTTTCGGCCGGATAGCATTGTTGTTTGTTAGATCATGACGACAAAAGCGGAAATGAGGTGGCGTGTGTGGTAAAAATCAAAGAGCTTCCAGAGGCTCAAGTCTATATTTTTTTACTAATTTTTCTGGTCTAATCTATTGGAATCAAATGTACAAAGATGATGATGATGGGGATGAATTCAATTTTACAAATGGGGGGTAAGTGTGGTATTTTTAAATATAAAGGTTATAAGTGTCTAAAATGAATCGATGGACCAGTCAATCCAATCGACCATATCTTCCATCTTGATGGTGGTTGATTCTTGGTTATCAGTGTAAAAAAATTCTTCTGGACTCAGGCTTTGCTGCGGGACAAATTGGAGTTGCTCCCAATCGTTGAAAACCGGCACTTGCACTTCTAGCTTCACAAAGTGATCTGCTGGCGTTGCTGGCTGGTTACCCTTGAGTTCAGTAAGCTGGGCCTCCATTTGAGCAATCTTCTTTTCCAGGTGAGACATCTGGAGTTCTAAGTCGTCGTATTCAGCTAGTAATTCTCGTTCAGCTGGGTTAAGGCGAGTTCGGCCTTGGGACTGATCTGGTCGGCAGGTATCATATGCACGCTGAAGACTTTCGATCATCACGACAATCGTCGCTAAGGTATCGCATGAGAAAGCTAGCTCCTTTTCTAAACGTTTGATTTCGGTGGTATCGGCTAAGGCTTCTCTGGTAATATTCTTGATCCACTGCTTTTGAGGGGCTGCGGAGTGGTTCTTGGTGATCCGACCTGATGATTTCTGTGATTTGGCTATGGGCATGGAGTATTCACGGGATATAACAGCAGGCATTGTATGAGGTATATTGAAAAGGATGAGGGTAAAAAGAAATAAAATGGTCTATGGAAGGAAAGAGAGAAAGCGAAAACAGGGCCTTTATATAAGAAAGTTTTTTTTTTTGGTCTTTTTGGGTTTGCCGTGCTGACAAAATTTTTAGTGGTCCAAGTCCAGGCAGGCCTTCGACTGAAAAGGGTAGGTGAACGCACTGGCCTATAATGGGACGATATGGGTGGAGTTTACCCGATCTTCCATTCCGCCACTGGGCCGCCACATCGGAGGCCGGCATATATTTTTTCTATTCGGATTTTCTCTTTTATATTTTTTATTGCGCGGATGGGGGGATTGAAATGCAAATATACCGTTTGTAACTAAAAAATCTACTCTAAACTGCAACGGTCTTGGTTATACCGTTAGCTTCAAAGCTCTTATGGAAAATGGGAATCAACTGTTGAGCAACAGTGAACGAAAAGATGAGCTTCGGGCCGACCTATAAAAGTTGTTAAATATAGATTAGCAATGATAGTCGGAATCCCCCGCGTTAGACGTTCTACCACGCGAGCAAGTCAAAAAAAAAAAAAAAATTGACGTACCACAAGAATCTTGGGTGTTAATCCCTTGAAGAAACCGGCCACACCTTCTTTCTTCAACAAATCCTTGATAATGTTCATACCGCTTTCAGGGTTGTCAAAGTTGCGGTTTTGAATACGAGTCTTGACGACATCCAAAGGAGCGGCCACCGTGATGGAGGCAACGGCTCCTCCAATAGAGGCACAGAAGTTTTGGAAGAAGGTAGCCTTGTTGTAATCGTTAAGATGGAAGATGTGTTCCTTAACAACAGCAGAGCCTCCAAAAAGGGCGAATGAGCCCGGGGCGTTACGAGCTGCGGTCCATCCTGCACCCCTGATTGTGTCGCATAAGAAAAATTAGTCATGGCATACATGACGACGATCGTTGACAAATCCATGTTTTCGTGCTTACCTATACAACCCCATGCCTTCGTCAGCAACAATCTTGAGGAAACCACGTCCCTTGAATGCTTCAGGGTTGGTCTGTCTCTTGATCTTCAGCACATCCAAGGGCAACAGAGCAATTTCACCAATGCCAACAAAACTAAAATTGAATAGAAAAAGGTGAGAACGGGCCGTGACGGGTAGGCTGTGTTGCAGACTAATTCGACTTGGCAAATGTCTTACCTGCCAGCAGTTGCGTGCATCATGGTCTTGCCGGTCTTTTCACCGAATGCCGAAGTGAACACCGACTTGTAGTTGTTGTTCAAGAAATCGTTGACAAAAGGTTGACCACCAAACTTGTAGACACGCTGAGCAACCTTGTAACCAGCAGCAAATCCAAGACCAGGGAAGAGTGAAGCATACTTCTTCAAGGCTGTGGCATTGACAGCATCCTGTATAACATCTATCGTCAGCACCCTGCTTGGTCACCATACAATATGACACTGCCACGAAGGGGCTACGTAACTTACCCTGAAGACGACCTTATCAAGGGCGCTGAATCCGACAGAAAGACTCTCTCCGGGGACAAAGAGCTATAAACGGAAATCATTATTAATGCGAGATCTACCAGGAAGGATATAATATATTCCTTCCATGCGGCGTTGTGCTTAGCGCAGCATCACTGTATTTGTAAATACGGTTTTGGACACACAGATTGTTTTTGGGACGTTTTATATTGTTGGAGCTCCGTTGTTAGACCCTCTTATGCACCTCTTTCACTTTGTTGAATGAATCCACAGGGATGGTCGAATCTGTGCCTCTTCTCTTAATGTGCAATGCATCTCCACACAATTCAAAACACAACTTACTCTTGCTTGATTGCTCATTAATCTCTTGGCGACAGTGTCGACGGGGTGAAAAATGAAAAGCTCGAGAATACCAGAGGTGGCACTTCCGAAGAAGCGAGCAAGACCGGATTCAGAGTGCTTTTTGCCGGAAGGTGGGGGAGACATTGAGGGAAAATGTAAAGAGAAAGAGCTGCTTGCCTCAATAACAAAATATTTTTTGTCTCAAAAAATTTTCAGGAACCGCCCGCCAGTTCATCAGTAGCCTGTTTTTGAACCAATCTACATACACAGATACATTATAGCAAAACTGAGCTATTCTATTGCGTATTTAACTGAAGATGCTGACGATGTCTCCAGTGGAACTTTTCTGCGTCAAGATATGGTCTGTATAGGCCGAACTATCGGGCTACCTTTATCCATCTTTGAAAAATGAGCCTGAGTCATTTTATTGAGATTCCGATCCGAATATCGTTCACTTTCACCTGCCTGTGACTTGTTACCACAGCTATTGCCAGGTTGTTACTGCCATTAAAAACTGCTGTAGAGCAGTGTAGGGCAGAAGTTTCACTCAGTGGAGTATGGTAGCACGGTCATGAAACCATCCGTCTACGAGTCCCAGACTAGACTTCAATAACCAAAGGAAGAAACTTTTTTGAAGCAAAGAGCGCAAGCGCGTAGCATTGATGGAACATGCTAGGGCATTTTTTTTTGTCACATTGGTTAAAGTATGAATAAAGACAAGATATTATCGGAATACGCACATTTCAGCCGGATTTCCGGCTCTTTGCTGCGCAAAGCATGGCGCGATTCGGATCGCAGAACGCCACATTAGATGAGTTTGGACTCGCAGTTTATTCGCCACTGACTTGCCAGATCAAGGCAATGACATAAGCGCCGTATAGAGTAGAATGGGGAAATGACGATTTTCTTAACCCGGATGTCTTTTCCTTAAGCTCGTCCTGCATTTGCCCATCATTTAGCTTTGTCATACCCGCATTTACCGAGTTTACCCTTCTTTGTATTTTATTTTGCAGTAGGCTCGTAATCAAATTCAGCCGTCGTATTCATGACATAAGCTATCCGTAAGCTATCTAGCTAGGAAGAGCTGACCTAACGTGCTTTACCTGAAAGATCAATGACGGACTCAAAAGCCGATGATCACTCTTTCGAAAGTGGAAAGTCTGTAGTTTTTAGTTTGGTTAGCATCATGAGGGAGGTAGCCAATATTGACGGACATCAGAGAACCCTTGGCATTCATTGTCCAGCTTTATTGATCGCTTACTGGTTATTTATTTAAATAGTATATTTTTTAAAAAGGAAAAAAAAAATTACAAATCCCCACACACTGGCCTGGTTCGCTTGGTTTCACTCCAAGTCATTTAATGCATAACATGGACAAAGTACATCACAGTGTCACTATCAGATTCGCTCGCAAACTGGTATATGCTATCTGTTGATTGCATTGGATCAATATTAATATTTAATATGACGTTAATGATAAGACTAACTAACCTTGCAGGACCATGAAATGGCTAGCTTTTTTGGCTGTAAAAGAATGCCCATTTACTGTGATGGTTACTAGACCTTGGATGACAAAAAACACCAAGGAATTGTCTCTTGTATTGGCAGCAGACTTTTTCTCATAAGGAGGCAATATGAGAATGCCAATGGAAATACCAGGCATGATTTGAAATGTTTTCAGGAACAGAGATGAGTCAACGGTACATAATAATGGAACCAGGTCTTCAAACATTAGGGCAACTGTATTTATAAAAGGATAATTAGAAAAAAAATTACATGGTTTTCCAGAGAAAGAAAAATTTACACAAAATTACATGGTTCACATTCGGTATGATCCATGGAAGTCCAAGACAAATCAAACCAATTAGTTACTTTGTCTGTAATCTGCGACATACTTTGTGAATTTTTCTTTATCCACCGTCTAAGCAATACTGTGTCACTTGAGATTTTTTTTGGGCTTGAAGGCAGCATCTCTGGCGATTTATCTTTTGAAGCGGTACGTGGTAGCGAGACCATGGTAGTCAATTTCCGCTTGGTGTGTGGAATTACAGGACGAAATGTAGATCGAGAGCTGCTTCGAAATGACTCCTTTGAAGACTGTATATTAGTTGCTTGACTGTCAGGAGAAAAATCTGAATTTTTTAATTCGCATAGACTTGTTGCAATTGGAGTTGACGTCTTAGGTGTATGCACATGCTGATAAGTTACTGTAGCCACATGTGAGCCGGTAGCGTGGATCAGTGTAGGTGCTCGAACTAGCTTTTTGTGCCTTCTTGCTTGCTTGTGTTGGATAAAGGCGAGTGTATGCGAATAGGTGGAATCCATGGATATAATGTATTATAAATCAAACTTCTTTGCTGCGATTTTATCACCACGCTTGGTCCAACACACCGAATTTTTAATGTGGATTAAAAATCCAAAATTTAACCGTACTCGCCCACGTGATAAACATTTTGGCTTTTGTAAAATCTCCATTACCACGGCCGCCTTATTCCAAATCTCACTCAACTCGTCCAAGTTCACAGAATGACAGAATCTGCGACTATGAAACCTGTTCGGTTCGTGTTGGAAAACGAATCGTCTAGTGGAATAGAACCGCGGCCACGGGGACGAAAATCCTTGGACAATCACCTTGAAGGCGATCGCAAGTCTCGCAACCGTCGCAATCAAAGAGCATACCGTCAACGGCAACAACAGCAGTTATTGGAAGCCGAGAAAGAGCGTGACAACTATAAGGAAAATTATGCCAAACTGCAACAACGATTAATCGATAAGAACGGCAAACTGGAAAGAATGGCAAACTTGGTATATGACATGGAACGCCTTTGCGTATTGCAAGGCATCGCTGTACCAAGTTCGATCAAAGAGCGACTCAGCATGTTCAAGCAAAGAGCAGCAGAAGATCTTGATGAACAATTTGCTGATATAAACGAATCCCTACGCTCCATACCAAATCCTGTATACGAAACACCTCATTCTGATTCCAGTGTAATTACAAATACAGAACCTAGCCCCCACAGTATCATTGAATCTCCGCCATCAGCTTTGGAAGAGGTCTTACCGACGTTCGATAGCCCATTAACAGAAGACATGGACCCAGTCGCTATGCAGATCGATGACATGGCGGATATCCCCGCACTCGAAGAATTTTCGACGCCAGAAAGTACTGAAGGTTCTAGCATGTCAAGTCAAATCAGTCCACTTCGGGGTCCTATACCGAGACATGTTGCTTTGTACTACATTCAGTCTCAATACCTCAAGAAACTGACCGACCCAGACAAAGAATATCCACCTTCTGGCCTGGATCCTACTCCGCTTGAACTGGCACTGAGTGACAAGGTTCGCTTCCACCCAAGGCTTCGATTTTTGCCTTGTCCAAAGCTGCGCGAACGGTTAATCCTGTTCCAAGATGTCCTTGATATTAATTCCGTCGTCGATCATATTGTCAAGGGCGCTACATGTTGGGGCCGAGATCCACTACAAAACGATGCATGGGAATTGCCAGAAGTGCTGTTTTATGATTTTTGGTTCATTTGTGATGAAGATATGCTGCGTTGTACCAATAAGTGGCGTCTTCTCAACGGCAAGCCCCCGATTGTCTGGGACAACGCTGGTCGGCATGTCAAGAAAGACGCAGGTCCTTTAGGAAAATCTCAAGGAAAGCTCTTAGGATTTTTTGCGGAAGAGTCTACGAACAATGGTCAATCATTAGCCATGTAAGATGATGTGTATTTGGGTCTAGACTTCGCATGTAAATAAAAGCAACGTTTTGTATAATATTTAAAGAACGTTTTGTTGCTATGAAGTGATTCTGGAATGTCATACAGCAGGTCGATGCAACCCTTGAAGTAACGATGTAGAGTGAGTGCGCCTTTCTAAAGTATACCCTCGATATTTTTTACACAGCGCTCTAGTTGGCCCCTCTTCAACTTTGTTTGACACCATGTCTCACGGCAATGATGATGCCATGGTATATACGGAATGATGAGGGCAAAAAGCTAGGATATTCGAACATCACCAGTGAACCTGTAAGTACTGTATTTATTGAGATGCATTACATCGTATGTTTCCTGTATATCTCAAAAAATGAGCTACATATTTCTATCGAGAATGGAACAACCCGTTTATATGCTGCTATGCTATGGCTGTTTGAAAAGTTACGCTAAAGAAGCAAAAAATGCAGCTGCATTGGGAACCACTCGAGCACCATTGTGGCCAAGGCCAGGAATAACCTGTAGCTGTACGTTAAGACCAGCTTGCTTCCAGTTGTTATATAAGATGTGCATTCGTTCTAAACGATTTCTGCCCATGATGGCGTCTAAAGCTTCTTGACTAGAGGTAGCAAGGAATTTCTCTGTGGCTTTTTTGCTATAGACCATATCATTTGTATCTTTGTCACCAACCAACATCATTACAGGAACCTTTTTCATAGCATTTAGGTCCAAGCCGCCGTGGAGATCAAATGCTTTCTTCATGCCTCGGGTTCCGTACCACCAATGATGCTCATCGCTGATCACTGTAATAGCACCAGGAGCGCCAACGAAAAGTGCAGTTATCCGTTCCGGGTGCAAATAGAAAAGCCGATGTACAAACTGACCGCCTCCAGAATAACCGTGGAGTAGGAAAGTTGGTATGTCTTGCTGAAGATGTAAATCATGATGACAGAGTTGGTGGATCATGTCAAATAAAAGAGTGTCATATCGAATATCTTTCTCGTGTAAAAACTTGTAACCTTGCTCCCAACCATCTCCTAGGATGCCAGCAGGAAACAGTGGGGAAAGCATAGCATAGTTACCAGGCGCTAGGTGGTTGGCATTTTGCTCGTAACCTTCCAATAAACCCTTGGCGTCGCGTTCGTTACCATGCACTGCAACCAGAAGTTGGAGAGGGTCTGACTCCTTTCCTGGAGAGCAGTATAGCCTATAGGAGTAGGTGAATCGGGTATCAGTCTTGAGTTGTATATTGTCCATGAGGAATGTGAGAGGAATGGCGCAGGAAGAGGTGAAACTTGAGAAAGGGGTTCTTTATATACTAGTGCGGAGGTGGTGGCGGAGACAAAGACGGAAACGTTGAGATCTTGGCAAACACAATGCACTAGTGTTAAGATCGCAGAGCTAGCAATGTCTCACTCAGTCACGTCCGACTGTGCTAATGCTGACTAGTAACTGCGATGAGCAATACAAAGCGAACCATTGTATTTTTTATATTTTTTTAGAATTATTACAGCAAACATTATTTCATTTCTTAGTGTAGTTTCTACGCACACCCATTCTAGTTGGTATATAAAAAAGTTGGCTCAATATCAGCCTTGATTATCCTGTACATCCACAATATATTACACAGAAACTAGTCTTGGATCCCGTCTTGCCGATGCTATGACAATGGAGCCAATCCTAGAAAACCTTGCATCAAAGCCATGATTTTCATTTGTGTGCAGAATTCATTTTTGCTACTTCTGCTGTCTGTTCAGCCGCCCTGTCAGTTGTCTGATTTGTTGTATTGTCGGAGACTTCACTGAAGGCTTGCGATTCCGCTAACAAGTGCGTTCTCGCTGACATTTCGGGGTTGGCTGACAATTCCGCATTCGCTGAAGATTGCGCGCTCGCTGACTCTTGCGGCTTTGCTCTGTTATATTCTTCTTCCTTGGTTGTCGCTGATAAAATCATGTTCCGAATTCGAGAATTGCCAGGTATACCAGCTCGCTCCATCATCTGGTAATAGCTCATCGCTCCTTGAAGATTGCCTCTCTTGAGACTATGGCGAATGAAGGTTCCATATGTTATGACATCCGCATGCTTGCCTTTGCATGTCATATCATGGTATATCTCCATCGCTTTGTCGTCCTGTCCAATAGTGAGGTATATGTTGATCAAACTATTGTAAATGTGCTTGCCAGCGACCAACTTGGATTTGATGATGGTGGTATCATAGCCGCCATTCTTCATAATGCCGAGTTCCCGGGAAAGCTTGTCGATCTGCTCGATTTCACCACACAAAAAGTAACAATGGATCAAGATTCCTATGGAATGGGTGTCCTTTTCAACTCCAAGTTTGTCCATGGCTTCGGATAGTTTGAATATCGTGCTAGCAGTTGCCTTTAACGTTCCTGCGTTATCGTCATCTTGTCGAGAGTGAGACCTTCTCATTTGCCTGACCAAACCTGCCATGAGGGTATTAAATGTCTTAGTGTCCGGCTGAATGCCATGCTTCATCATCTTCCCAAGCCATAATTCTGCTTGCTGCTGCTGACTGTGCTCAAGTGCTTTGAGATAACCATCCAGAAGAATGTGATAGCTGACTCTATCGGGTTGAACCATCATCTCTTCAAAAACCCTTTCGGCTCCTTCAATGTCTCCAATTTTGACTTTGGCGCTGAGTAGGATATTATACGAGTATGCATCCGGTCCATCAGGCCCTAACCTGACTTTCTCCCATATGCCTTCCAATCGTTCCATGTATTCCTTTCGCTTCTCATCTTCTTCATGTCCATGCTGCTTTATATGGCTGAGGTAAACGGTCATGAGCTTGTTGTATGTGTCTGTCCGTGGCTCTGCTCCGCACTCCAAAAATCTTTGAAAAATCCATTCTGCTGCTTCAATAGCGCCTGCTCGACCATAAATCTCCAAAGCACAATCTGCCGTTCGCCTGTCTAATCCTTCCAAACGAAACCATAGATGTCCCAGTAACAGTTCAAGTCGCTGAGTATGATACCGATGTTGCAGAGTATCATGGACAAGCGTCCTCGCACTTTGTTGACGTAATACTTCAAGTAGTCGATATACTTCTGACACATGAAGAAGTCGGAAGAACTTTTCCTTGCCCTTTTCGTCTTGAGCTAGCAGTCCCATGGAAGAATAGACTTGAAGTGCAAGTCCTTCTGCACCAGATTCCAAGTGTTTTCGTATCGTGTATTGCTGCCAATTTCGCCGATCGATCTCTTTTCTTCGAGCACTCGAATATTTACAATAAATTTTGCTTCTTGTCGATACAACTATAACGTGGATCCGTATGTTAGTTACCACTACGATTTGGTAGACAGCGACCATATTTAATATCCTAAGTGATAGTTACCTGGCTGAAGTATTTTGGTCGCATTCGTAGCAATATAAGTTTGACACGTTGAGGGTATCGTAGGGTTTAAGAATGGTAGAGTTGAAGTGCTCATATATCTATTTGTTGCTTGGCAAGTCCTTGCATTAATTGGCAGAATTGGTGGTCGTGCCAGCGGTCGACTAATCCACTCCATGACAGCAGCCGTTATCGTCCGTGTCTGAAGAGTCGACATTGTGTATTGTACTAGTGGGTCTCTATAGCAATTATGAAAAGAAGTATTGTACGGAGCGTAATGATGTGGTTGTCTAGGCTTGATTCATACAAGTTCCCCTGTCTTTTATGAATGTTGAATGGCCGTTGCAGGACGTATATTTTTTTTTGTTGAAAAATTTCCACTCACTGATTATACGCTAGTCACATGTTTGACGTGGTTCTAAAGGCAGCCAGGGCCGAAATACTGTCTTTCTCAAAATAATTGGCGCAGATCCTCTGATTTGTATACGCAAACTATAACTATATTTCGCCTAGTAGCCTTAAACGCAAATTCAGGTTTTCATAGAAAATTGAATATACGGACTATAAGCCCTTGCATAGTGAGCATATGACATGGAAAACAGTAATATCACATTTATTGAAGGCGAAAACATGATCTTGTGTGAAGCGGATAACTCTACCCCTACAGGGTCCTACATGCAAAATGAGGAGACTATGATGGAAAAACCAAGTCAACCGATGGATATCGAGGAGGAAGGCGGAAATGACGATGACGTTCTGGTACCGTTGGAACTTTGATGGATATTGATATGGTGGGACCAGACCACACGCTATCCACAGAAACGGCTTCACCCATAGCAATCGTCGAAAGCTCAACAGAAAGGCACCAATCACGAAAGATAAGAGGGCCATATAGACGATACACTGGACATCAGATTGAACAATTATTTAGTTACGTGATTGAACAGGGTAAGACTGCCAAGGAAGCTGCGCTCTTGACTGGAATTAACGTTAGGACAGCGCAACACTACATCAGAACATACAATGACGATGACGAACGACGTTTACCGATAAGCGGTACAAAGCCAGGAGCTGGTCGTTAGCCTAAGTTGACAGACGACCATTCGCAATTTCTTATATGTTATGCCGATGAGCACCCGACAGCTATATTGTTGGATATTAGAAGAGCACTCTGTGCGGCGTTTCCAGAAGTATCTATATCAATATCCGCGTTGCATAGACACTTGGTTGAAAAATGTAAGTTGACTCTCAAAAAACTGGAAAAAATACCTGCTGCAAGAAATAGCGAGCGTGTGCTCAAGTTACGAAAGGAAAGAATTGAGGAGTGGGAGGCCATTTCAGAGCTGAATTTTGCCAAGAACTGCGTGTTCATCGAGGAGTCTGGATTCAATCTCTATACTCAACGAAATTATGGTCGTTCTCGAAGAGGAACACCTGCCAAGGGGATAGCGCCAACAGCCAAAGGTGTGACAATAACGATCTTGGGAGCGATATCGCAAGCTGGTGTGATAGATATATCTCTAAAGAAACCACAAGCCGTGTCAGCTTCGAAGAAGAGAAAAGTAAATTATTCAACTGCGAGAGTGATTAGTGGTCGGCGGATTGGAACTAGAACCGAGAATTTTCTTGCATATATATCTAACGTGATGGATGTACTTGATAGAAACGGTATGAAGGGACAGTATCTAGTGATGGACAATGCGCCTATACATACTCCAGGCAAGGTACGCGAGTTAGTGGAAGGTCGAGGCTACAAGTGCTTATATCTTCCACCGTATTCGCCCTTCTTGAACCCCACAGAAGAATTTTGTGAAAAGTAAAGGCTGGTGTCAGACGAAATGCCTTGACTGCTGAAGATCGACTGACTGACTGACCGCATATGCGAAGCTGTCCGAAATGCAACTCAAACAGACAGCCAAGTATGAATTATCCATGCCGGACCATACCTTCTGAGGTGTGAATTGGAAGAGACGAGACCTCGTCATCCTATCATCATTATATTTCCAGTTTCCATTGTTGACAACAAAATATAAGAGGCACTCTACGACAGTAAAGGGGTCCAGCCAAAGACGATTGAAGCTGTATTGTTCAATTAGTCGACCTACTAAATAGAATGCATTTAATTGATGATTTATTTCAGCGGTTTTACACTTTTCATTTATAGACATAGTTGAACTCTACTGTTCATTCATGCGTGTTTTCATTAATACATATAGCATACATGTGGCCTCTTAATCTTTTATGTTTCAGTTGTGGATTAAGACTGTGGTTATCTCATATTACCACAGGACGCGATTACAAGTAGTTTAGGCTTCACGTTTGCTGTCGACTGATATGTTGATGTGGCACTTTTACCTCCATTTTTGTTGTCTTGTTGTCAATTGAAAAACGTAGTATAAGATTTGAAAAAAAAACTTTCTCTTGCGCCTCTTTGCTTTTCTCTCCTTGCTTCATCTTTGACACCTACCAAAACCTTCAAAAGAGAAAACGAACAAGCACCATAGCATGTGAGTAAAGAACTACAATAGTTCCGGCCATAAGATTACTAAGCTAACCATACGTAAAGGCCAAAGCGAAAAACCATTCGCACTGGTGTTCTAAGTATCTTGAAACCCGAGTATCAACATCTTCAAAAGGTCTTCCAAGAAACTGCTGTTGTAGCATCGTTCTTGCGTCGTCAAGCTTCTCTTCTTATCAACACATATCTGAACCAAGATGATGCTCACTTGCCTGAGGACAACTTGCAAAGTTTCTACGAATATGCGCAAGGTCTATTCTTGACTGGATTTCGACCATATCAAAGTGCTTTGACTCGAGAGAAATTGGCATTGAAGAGAGTATTCGAAACAGTATTTGCTCCATCGTTCGCTAGTTCAGAAAACCCGGATGGCATTGGAAAACCTACTTCTACAATCTGCCCATCTCAAATGAGAGGATTCAATGCCAGGCAAATGATCGCCAACCAGAAGGCTCAAATATATACTCATTTTCACAAGTATCAGTATGCAACCATTAAAGCTCAAGTGGACCAGCACATTACCGAGGAGCTATCAGACTCTGAAAAGCGGAATGTGATCAAAAAGATTTCATTTTTCATATCTCAACGTATCAATCAGTTAGTGTTTGTTACAGATCTGGACCGATATCAATCATACGCCAACGCTCACTCAGGAGTCATTACCGATCAGTTGTGGGACGAAGCCATCTCAATACCTGTTCAGGCAGTCCCCACTACGTCTGAGGCTGATGGCACAGATATTGAAACTCGGGGGCAAGAAGAAGAAGAAGAAGAAAATACACGCTTGGATGACAATGAATCTGATGAAAGTGACTCTGATGAAGACGATGTCATCACTGAAGCGGAGCAGCGGGTGGCAACAGCTGGAGAGAGGTTAGCCAGGCAGCATATAGAAAACGATGCATTGTCGGGTATCATCACGTCACATAGACGATCGTTGGGGTTCCTCCTTCTTGTCACTTCTACACGAGACAGGAGAAAACATCGACTGAATAGGCGACTGCTGAAGGAAAAAAAGTCTATTGCTGCCATCATAAATTACATGAAATTTTTACGAATTGAGCGAGCACTATTGAATTGCCGGCGTTTCCAATTATTTCCCGAATACAAGATGGTAACCAAATACTTCAAGCTGGATGAAGTCATTCTCAAGCACCTTTGTCGACCGCAAGTAGCTACAGTGTTCGGAGTAGATACCAAAGGCAACATACCCTCAGAACAACAAGGCATATGGGAAGAAGTATTCCACTTTGACAAGATTGGCATCAGGTATGCAGTATAATATTTTATTATAATATATATTGGTGCAAAGTCTTACGAAATATTCTTTCTGTAGCAACATGACAGAACATGTTAGCATTGCCACTGATGGCTATGGCTGTTGTGTGACCATTGGCGGGGGCCGTAGCCCACCAGCTGAACCTGACGATGATGATGAGAGCAGTGCTGGAGAAGGAACATCAAGTGCCGTTCCTCGAAAACGCAAAAGGAAGCAAAGGAAGAAGCGGCGTAAGAATGAAAAAAAGGACATTTCCAGCACCACCAAAGGAAATTTTCCGCTGGAAATGGTAACCCCAGAAAGCCTTTCTGTTATCCTGGCTACCGCCAACCTTATCGGTGTGGATCCAGGAATGAAATCCCTTGTAACAGCGGTACGATCTGACAATCCAACAGACAATGTCCAGTTGACTTCAGGTATTTGGGAGTTGTAGGAATATAAGTTATATTATTCGTGATGAGCATTTTAATAATGCGTACACTTCATACTTTAGGCTATTGGAAGAACGCCAGACTGACATCTGCTTTCGAAAGGAAAGAACAAGGCGTCCGAGAGCGCTCTCAAGTTCTTGAACCGCTGGTTCAGTTGTCAACTTTACGTCGCGACAATTATGATGAATGGGTCATCTATGTTCACCAGTACTATGCTAATTTCGAAATACTTCATTCATGGTCACAACTGCCATTCTATCGCAGATGGCGGCGTAGTAGAGAGATAAGGATTGAGAGCGCTATGGCTGGCATGAAAAACGCAATTCTTAGCTCAAACTCAAGACTTCCATCAATAAAACCTGTGGCAGCAACTGGTCCAGCAATTGAAAGACCAATCTATCAAGAACAAGATGTACCAAAGGTCGTTGCATGGGGCAGCGGCAACTTCGGCAACAGGAAAGGATCCCCTCCCATGCCAAACAAAGGCTTGTCTAAGTACGTGGCTCGATTTTGTCATGTTATCAAGGTGCCAGAATTTAGAACTAGTATAACCTGCCCCTGCGACAATCGCACCGTTGAACACCATGTCTCAAGGCATGCTATCGTTTGTGATCACTTCAAGCGCAAGAAGTATACAAATAGGTTGGATGGGAAGCATTGGACAAAACGCTCAAAATGGTGTTGCCAAAGGTAAAAGATTAGAGTTTTAATCCAATTATGATTCGAATTTCGTTCTAATTATACTTTGTATGGACTGCTGCCATAGAGAGGATGGTAACTTTGAATATCTACACCCTTTCCGAGAATGTCCAGATTTGCGAGAAGAGTTGAATCTCCGCGTTATTCGCCACCGGGTGTGCCCCCACTGCGCTGAGCAATACGCAAACAGTTCCCTTCGCAACGATGAGCTTCTGTGGACCCAGTATCTTGCCAATATCTGCCAACGTCGAATTTTCGATCATCTACCGTTATGGCATAAAGATGTGATGGCTGCATTTAACATGCGCCGCATCGTTCATCACTACGCAACAACTGGTGCTCGTCCAGCGTGGAACTTGCCAGATAGGCACAGGGTGCTTTGAAAGCCCCATGCGTTCGTAACGAACGATACTCGAAAGAGGCAAGTAAAAAGTATCTAAAGTATCTAAAGTATCTAACGCAAAGTATCTAACGCAATATCTAACGCAAAATGATCATTCTATCTAACGCAAATTATCATTCCATCTTCCGTAAATTTGTGATCAATAAACAGTACTGTCGGCTTGATACTGTCGGCTTGTCAATGTCCTCATGTCACGACTGCACCATACTCTCCTTCGCAGCATTCGAGGCTCAATTACTTCAGACATACGCATTGAGAGAAAAACTCAACCTCAAAGTTGACGAGTGGTATGATCACCTATGTTTCTTTCTCGAATTTAAAAGACAAGTGTGGTTTCCTGTCTTCAAGAACACTCGAGATCAAGTGAATCAGCTCACTTCAGCCATCAAATGCCTGTTAATGAATTTATTCTGTTGACAATGGTTACGAATGTAATGGTGTGTAAAGTACTTTTCCTGCATAACGGTTTTTTCGCAATCTGTCATACAGGTGTGTGCTCCTGCACGCACATATGGGCAAGGAAAGGTACTAAGGTCTTTCGGGCTTCCTTACGAATGAGGGTCGCGCATTATATATGTACCTTGACGAAGCAGTGAAGCATCTTTTTGCAAGCGAGGAGGCTTTATTTATCAATATCTGCCAAGCTGCAAAACTTTTCAAGGAAAAGGACAACTTTACGAGGTGGGCGGAACGAACGTTATGTGCCTTCGAAGTGCAAATATCACTGAAAATGTAACATATGTGCCTCGACAGTTTAGCGTAATAACAATAACGCAGCAATAAATTTATGTTTTCCCTCGGAATATATTCAAAGGGCAAAAGTCTCTATTTAGCATGCTTCGTGGAAATATAATGAGATAGCATACCCAGTGGCTCCTGATCCATAAGCTCATATGATAGATATCATTGTGAACGCTGTCTTGCTCATGATCTGAAAAACGCTGATATTTCATGTCATTCAGACTGCAGAAAAAAGTTCATAGGTGAGGAAAAAGAGTGTCTCATGGTAGAACTTGACCGAAGTATTCGATATATACTAAGTCATCGAATGCCATTTTCTATAACTCTGCTTGGACATATCGCTAACATTCTTTGATTCCTTGGATGGTACCACATAATGAAAATATAGTGAAGTAATTGGCCTTACTAGAGACTTTTGAGGTCGAGACTAAATCTCAATTTGTTCACGCCATTGACTACTAGGTCGATACGAGCTGTTACCAGAAAGCTCGTTGAAATAAAAACGAGGCGTACGACATATGAAAAAAATTTTTTTTACCATTTAAAAAAATACATGCTCTTTTTAATAATACTATGCAGATTACGAACACACGGTTGGTGAAAGTATCATTTTAGTAGCAAATATTCAAAATGTAACAATTTTAGTGCTACAAAATATAATGTACAATATTTTTCGGAAATTAAAAATCGGGGTTGTGACGCAGTGGTTAGCGTGTCCGCTTTGCATGCGGGAAGCCGCGCGTTCGAATCGCGCCTACTCCATTGATGAATTTTTTTTTATTCGCTCAGTTATCTCTACACAGAGATTTCGCTTGTTTTTGCTTCTCATGCCCATTCCCAACCTTTTTTCTCTATCATACAGGCCCGACAACAAGGTATTACTTTTAAATGCGGCACGTTTTTATTCATTTGTAAGAGATGTTTTTTAAAATATATCTATGAGCGTTCATTTCCGACAATTATTGGAAGGTACGACGGGCGACTGGCCCTGCGGTACCTTCAGCTTCACCTACCTACTTAATGCGACATAGCTCTGAATATGTTCTCTATGGTCAGATCGCTCAAAGTCCTTCCTTTTGCCACTTTACTCACGGCTCCTGCTCGACCCGTCTCCAGTCATACGTGTGATTCAATACATTTCGTTCGATGCCGTCATATCTGTGCAGACTGACCAAAGCGTATTTTGTATCGCATTTACTCTTTCTTGAAAATAAAGATAGCATTGTAACCTTCATTATTCTGTGTATTGCACTTGCTCTAGTTCAGCACGACGTCTTCTCCAAGTAGGACCATATCTCTGAATGACCCACAGTAGCAGGCTCGAAAACATTAAGACTAAACCAATGGCTAAAAACATGTACTGCACCCCGATTCCAGCGATACCAGGCTCTATAGCAGCTGTCACTGCAGCTCTGTAGAAAATATCGTAAGCGTTAGTTACGAATAGGGTACTTTCTTTTTGGCGAACGAAGCGCATTAGCCTACCCAAGTAAACATCTGACGATATTATTCGAAGCGGCGATGGATGCTGTGTGCTTTGGATACAGGTCCACCAACAAGGTATGAAACACATTGAAAATTGATGTTGCTGAGTAACCAACTGTAACAATGAAAAATGATACAAGTTAGGTTTAGAAGGGTCATACCACATCGTATAGGAACACACTTACAGATGAATTGGAACACCAGAACGACGGCTAGCGGCGCCTTTATATAAACCATGAATCCAAATAAAATCAACGTAACTGGAGGTTGAATAAAATTCAGTATTCAAATTTAAAACTGCAATCATTTAATCAAGCTTACCATCAAAGATGAAATGTGGGAATAAGATTGTGCGTAAACGAGCCTTGTATATTGGAAAGTCAAGATCAAGATTTCCTCTTTTCAGCACCTTTGGATCATATCCGTGCTGTTCAGCTATAATGCGGAAATCTCTATCCAGTATCTTTCCTTCCAGCAAGCTTCCAAAAATGCAACCTATTCCAGTGGGAATGTAGCAAAGACCGGCATGAAGTTCATTGAGGTTGTAGCTCGTTTCCAGTAATCTGGAATATGCAGCAAGCATAGCGTAAAACACTGAATAAGACATGCCATTGTAGATCAAGCATAGTCCAATGTCCTGTTGGAAAGCATAAGTCAATGGCGTCAGTATATTGGGGAATTGCCTGAATCGTTTTGTATCAGCAGTACTGGCTTTATCGGTGCCTTTGAAGCGCTTATATAGCCATTGCGTTGGGGTTGGATTTGCGTATCCGGTGCCATTGCCTACCAGCGATCTTAGAGTTTCACGTAGCAGAAATACAATGGAGAGCAATAGAACTCCTGCCAGTACAGTCAAAATCCAAAAGATCCATCGCCACCCGAGTGAGTTAGTCTTAAAATGAACATGTCAGCTTTACTTTATGGCAGTTAGGCTGAAACACAGCATGCAAAGCCCCATTGAAAGAAACACTTACTACGATCCCTCCCAATACAGGGCCAAACACAAAGGCTAATTGAGGACCAGACGTATAAATCCCAAAAAACGTGCCACGTCTGTAATAGGTTTTAGAGAAAGGATGCAGTAGAAAGCTTTGAAGCAACAGTCGCTAAAAACATACTCTGTGGGGTTTGCAATGTCTCCGATGCATCCAGCACCTACAGAAAACGATACAAATTAAGTGATTCGTAACATGAATAGCATGTATGAATGCGATCGTACCTAGCGCAATGACTGGACCTGAACCAAAAGCTTGCAACATACGGAGAACAAGTACGGATGCGTAATTTGGAGCCACGGCTAGCGCAATATTGGACGCTAGATACACTGTGGTTGTTGCAAGATATACCGGGCGTCTACCCCACAGGTCAGCCAGAGGTGCCCAAAAGGATGGAGACAAGCCTTGAAACACCTGAGAAAAAATTAAGATTGCGCTTTAAAAACCAATTTGTCGCATGTCAGTTAAAGTAATGAAGCTGAGATTACCATATAAAGTGAAATGGTAAGGTTGATCAGTTCTGGGGTGGTGTGGAGATCCTGTAATAGGTTGAATCAGTGATACTGATATGTAGTCTTGATGCAGATCAAATAGACATACATTTTGCACCACTCCCAAGGCAGGAAAATAAATGTTGGCCGAAAGTGTGGAAAGAAATCCAGCAGTTGCAACAATTGCTAAGATGCTATATCTTTGACCTACACTGAAAGCGCTATACACCTCAGCATCGTTTGTATCAATTCGGGATATGGGGCCGGCATCGCTACTACTTGGGTTTTCGAGGTCAGTAGTTTGAGCATTAGCCATAAATTTGTAGAGGGTTTAGATGTTTCTTCTTTTTTGAACTTGTTTGATACTCCAAAAACCATATGTGAGCATTACATAATTTATATTTAATCATCTGGCTAGCATCAAGGTTTGTCTATGACTCAGCTCTCGTCCTTTTTTGGCGGAGATCATACTGCTTTAAAGTTGCGGTGCGTGATCGATGAGCTATCATTATCAGGGATCAATCGACCGAAATTAGCAGTTATGGTGCGTCAAAAGTAGTAAGTGAAGGTAATCGTATTAAATATAATCTTTCATCAAGATTATCGAAAGATCAAATGATAGTGAGTAGCTACTTGTTGCGATATTGTGCTTGTGTCGAAAAATCATTAATCATAAGGTGGCAGTTAACTTGGCTTAATGAATAGTACATGTCGCCAAAATTTGATCCAATACGTCTGTATGTCATCAATGCCATTCCTAAAGGTATCTGACAACTCGCGCAGCAATGTTGAGTTGTAAAAGTCAAAGTAATGGAATTAAAAGACTTCTCTAAAAATTTATCGTCTAAAAAGGAAACAAGTGACAATAAGGGTAGTAACGTATGGAGCATTGCTATGGAGTTACAAGGTGCGAAGTTACCACGGTTTAAGGCGAAACTGCATCAAGAGGAAGAGAAGGGCTGATGAAACAAGTCGCATTCCTTTGGCTATTCTCTAGATTATATACGCTTAGAATGTTCACAACAGATCTTATTTCCAACAAATGTTTTCATCTTTCATACATGTCAATTGGTATGGACTAACATCATAGTTCGATTGGACCATTAACAAGGAAGCCGCACTCAAATATTTTTTTTTCACGTGGATGAGACAGGGAAACGAAAATGATACGAAAACGCATTATACAACCTCAGCTCGGGATCGGCAGGAAGCGGCTCAGTGGCAGGGAACAAGGGGAGGTACGGAGGGATGAAGAACGAATACGAGTAACATTGCCGTGAGAACTGCTTTCATCTTCAGTGAAGAAAGTGTGGATACGGAACACAATGCCTTTTGGCATAGAAGGAAAATGGAAGAAGGGACTGAAATGCAAGTTCAATCTTCGGTATTTCTTCCAAACAGAAAGGTCATTCAACTCTTTGCTCTATGATACTTTATCAGTTTGAATTCCTTCTATGAGATGTTCGTCTTGTCTTCATTTCATTTCCGTGCTGACTTTTATGACAGGCGTGGTATTCTCGGGGAACGATTCTCCACAGTGAATCATTTAAGGAAATATTTCAGGTTCGAATAACATTAGTGCTTTATGACACCAATGTTATAACGGACAATACAAAGTCGGATACTAACCTTAAGTATTGAAATGTGGTGCTATCCGCCTTTTCAACTTGTTTAAGAAGACATATACAAGGCTGAATATGCATGCCAACCTTGAGCTGCTGTTGCTCAGCCATTTCTACACTGACAGAATTTTGGATCATTGTTTAAAAAGTCACAAACCTGCATCTAAAGCAAATGCAGTTACTTTCACTACAGCTCAATGTCGATAGAGGTACACGATTTATCTTCATAATGTTCTTACTATAGTCTTTAATTATATTCATTCTTGCCTTTCCTCCATTACCACATGCTTTGCATTGAATTAGCCTGAAGTTCCATACGATTTAGACGACGAGATTGCCGACAGCTGGCGTGATCCAGATGTTCTACGAGACGATATCATCGGTCGAGCTCGGACTCAATTGAGCATTACCCCAGGCTTAGAAGTATCTAGCCCGAGCAACGACCAAAATTATGACAGCTACATAGAAAATATCGACGCTCCTGATCGGTTTCCAGATGATTATTGGGTGGTAAGTAACTCAGTGGAGGATTTGTACTATTTACAAAACGTAGACAAGTATTGAATCACCTTTTGAAGTTACCAGCAAACAGAACCCTTCGAGATTTACTGGGAAACGACCGCAAAGCACGATTTGCTCGTCTTCGTGAGGAGACAACGGCGTATGTCGAATACAATGACGCGAAGGGTGTAAGTATACATGCGGTTTCTATGACGCCATAGACACATGGTACTAAGCATCATCTTTGACAATGTAGCAAATAGATATTTGGGGAGACTCAATTGCTATTCAAAAGGCAAAAGATCAACTAAATATGCTTGCCACTAATCTACACGAGGTAAAATAAGGGTGCTTTACGATCAGCCTAGAATGCTAGCTAATTAACTTTACTATTGAAAGAACGAGATGAATTCGAGAAGACGAAGAAAAGGGTGGGCTCGTCCCGAGCGACCTCTTACTGAGCGAGAGCAGAGACGGGTAGAACGACATGAAAAGCGACTTTTAGAGGAGAGGGTTTATCAGCAACATCCGACAGGCACGCAACCATATAGCGGCGTCTTCATGATCCCTGATAGGAATATGCCTATCATGAAGTATCTCGGAGATAAAGAAGTCTATTTAAATAGTCTCAGAGCAGAGTGTAAATGCTACATGTGGTACGACAAGGATGCTAATGTAAGTACATGCATACAAGGAGAAATCGAGGCACATGTGTGTTGACTTGAATGAATTCGAAAGGCTATACGAATGTCGAGCGATTCGCCAGAGAAGATTCTAGAAGCTGGCCGCCGTCTTCGAAATTGGTATCTCAAGTCTGTACGTAGGATCACCCCTCAACGACTACATCTGTTGCGTCAGCCGAAAGAGAAACTGCTAGTTCGTTTCAGTCGACTACCACCTGATTTTATCATCAGTGATACACTTGATCCAAGACAAGAACAGAAATTGGAGAGCAAATATAGGCTAATGGAACCTGTGAAAACTGGCGTTCCTGTGACTCTTCAAGAAAAGAACCTGATCGACTTGGATGACGACGATATGTTGCTTATGAAGAACACAGATGTTAGGAGCCTATCACCCGAGTTACAAACGTGAGTACATCGATGGTGTGTGTGAGTGATGGTGTCTTGTCAATGCTAATTAAACATTTAGGCTTGATGAGAATAATGCTCAACAGTTGCAGGATGTACTGGAAAAAGCGCTTGAAAGCATTCGGTTATTTGATTGGGAATTTGTAATGAAGATCCAGTGAGTGTAAATTCGTCCGCTATGACCTGTCTCCAACGCTAACAAGTTTCAATAGGTTTGGGCAAATATGTCTCATTGATTACCCGAATCGAACCGACCCACTGTCGCTGGAAGACCTGGCCAACAAGTATTTTCCAAATCCTAAGTTCAGATCAGGGCTGGCCCCATGGTAAGATGCATACACCATGACCACTGATGAAAAGCGCACCCTGTACTTACCATTCATTATAGCATATCTGTGGACAAAAATCACATCAACCCGTTGTTAGAGTATCTTAATCGAAACTGTCACGAATATCACGATTCTCCTAGGGTTACTTTCTCAATGGATACATTACAATACCCGACCTTTACAGTGCCAGTAAGAGATCGTCGTGACTCTCAGCCACAAAAAAGGTCTAGATGGCCAACAACTATCACTTGTACGTTCAACTCTAATGGATCCATTAATCTTTGGAACTGCCTGACCGACCACGACGACCTTGTCATTGCGAACTGTGTAAGCTTGGATAGGTATGTACATGAATAATGGTGATGCCGAGTGTCTTAGATCCACTTGTTCGTGGAGTGGTGTTTCTTCTGCCAGCCCATTCAGAGGTGCATCTATGTATTTTTTTCTTACACTAATATGCCTTCACAGTGACTATTCTTGGGAACTTAAGTTACAATCGTCCAGAAGACTCCCGTCCGATATTGATACACCACAGGGCCAATTGGCGACAAATTCAAAACTTGGGTTAGTGATCAAGTAGAATATATCGATTGCATTTCAGTGACATCTGTTCTAATGACTTATTCAAAATGGTAGAAGTGACAATAGTTTGGTATATCCTGTTATCCGAGATGTAGAGGTACAGAAAGTCACAAAGAAGACAAAGTGGCTGTATGGATGGGGCGACTGGGTGGTCGAAGTTGGCAGAGACGAGGTTTGGGTTAGACAGCAGCTTGCGCAGCAAGAAAATGGAGTTCATTGCGACTTGTCTTTGCTGGAGCCGATTAGAACGGTTTGGAAAGTAGCTATATACCATGTGAGTCACAGATTATGGCAAACGACTTTTTGTTATCGTCCATCAAGCTGATAGCTTTACGCCTTTTCTTAAAACAGGAAAACTGGCATCATAGACTTGCACAAAATTTGACGCTGAAGATCGGAGAGGCACCAAATTGGAAAGTTGCAGATTTTCTGTCAAAAGATGGAGAGGATACCCGCGTCATGCTTGCTACTGCCCGTGCTTTCATTGACATATTGAATAATGAAGTTCCACTGTATTGGAAGACCGATGGCAACCTTTTCACCAAAATTCCACTGCTTTTCTAACTTTTTTTCCTCTGTAATAAACTCTATTGAATAAGGGCATCTCACTGTAACTGTAGAGAAAATAATGTATTGCATGGAACGCTTTTGCTCATCCTGTGGTTTAACTTCCTCATTACCTACCGACGGAGCTTGTAATCTTGTAATTGATAGACACTTTTCAGACTGAGGATAGAGCGCCAGACTACCATACTGAAAAGTAAAAGCAAAGCTAAAATAAGCTACTTGCTTATAGATAAAAAATTGAAGTCGTGCGTTATGAAAATGCAATGTGTTAGGAAGACCAAGGGGACGTTTTTGAAATCCAAAACCAAAAAAAAAAAAATCAACATTGGAGTAGGCGCGATTCGAACGCGCGGCTTCCCGCATGCAAAGCGGACACGCTAACCACTGCGTCACAACCCCATTTTTTAAAATTTTTCATTTTCTTTATTGAGGTCCGCTAAAGCAAATCTATTTTTTGCTAATCTGATCAAGAAAGTCAAAGCTGCAATGCTAGCTTGCTTATTTTTGGACTGAAGACGGTTATAACAGCAATTTTGACTATAAAATTGCAAATGGTAGGGTTAGTTAGGTACTTGAGCGCTATATGATGACATTGTGGTCTCAAACAGGATTTGGATTTGACCCATCTAGCTGTTACTTGCCTTTTTATCACAGATTACGAAGGGTTATATCATTAAAGGCATAACAGGTAACTTTTTATGGGATGGTATAGTCATGTAGATTTATTGCCTTGCGAATAACGAGTTGATTGTTTCTCATTCCTGTTTAATCCAAGCTCTAATGTACATAACTTAAAAAATCATAAAGGCGCTCTCTAATTACATCTTTTTTGCTTTAAAAGAGTAAACAACACTCGTAATGACTCACATCCTCTCATACTAAAATCCATACACACTCACAAACAACCAAAAAGAATACATTATTCAGGCACGACCATTATCTAGTCGATCCTGTAGTTTAGTGGCACTGAAAATAACATAAGGGAATGGTAATCTACAGTTTCGATTTAAAACAAGCCAACAACCTGGCCATCCTCATCAAGATCTACATCAAAGAAACATGGTCTAGTGGGCAACCCTGGCATAGTCTGCATAGCGCCCAAGAGTGGGTACAGGAACCCTGCGCCAACGGAGGCTCTGATATCGCGAATGGGTACGGTGAAACCAGTTGGGACACCCTTGAGGTTAGCATCATGAGAGAAAGAGTACTGGGTCTTGGCCATACAGATTGGCAAGTCCCCAAAGCCTTGTGCGGTGTATGTTTCAATCTTCTTCTTGGCAAGATCACTGAGTTCAATTCCGTCAGCACCGTAGATCTTTTTACAGATTTGCTCAATCTTGGCTTCAATGGGTTGTTCAAGATCGTACAAGAAGTTGAATTGCTTTTCACGATCACAAGCCTTGATAACAGCCTCACCAAGATCGATAGCACCAGCACCACCCTTTGCCCAATGGTTACAAGCGATAGCATCGTTAGCACCAGCTTCAAGAGCCTTGGCACGGATCAAGTCCAATTCAGCTTGTGTGTCAGAGCTAACAAATGGCAGAGATGAGTTAAAAAATAAAGTCCATAGGTTGACAGTACCAAAGTACAGGTACTTACGTGAATCGATTGATGGCAACAACAACGGAAACACCAAACTTCTTTGCATTTTCCACATGCTTCATCAAGTTTGCGCAACCCTTCTCCAAGAATTCGAGGTTTTCTTCAGTGTAAGCATCTGGCAAAGGCTTTCCAGCGACGACTTCAGGAGCGCCTCCATGCATCTTGAGGGCACGCACGGTAGCAACAAGAACGACAGCATCTGGGACCAAACCAGAGACTCTGCACTTGATATCAAAGAACTTTTCCATACCCATATCAGCACCGAAGCCAGCTTCTGTTACAACGTAGCCAGGTTCCATATCTCCACCGTCGGTACCTGCGAGTTTGAGAGCGATTCTATCAGCGATGACCGAAGAGTTACCGTGGGCAATGTTGGCGAAAGGACCAGCATGAACAAGGACTGGGGTTCCTTCAAGGGTTTGCATGAGATTTGGCTTGATGGCATCCTTCATCAAAACAGTCAAAGCACCACCGATACCAATATCATCAGCAGTAACGGGGTCACCGGCCTTGGAGCTAGCAACAACCATACGACCCAAACGGTCACGCATGTCCTTAAGGTCTGTGGCAAGGGCAAGAATGGCCATGACCTCACTTGCGACGGAAATATCGTAACCAGTGGAACGCTCATGTCCCTTTTCAGTAGCAGCTTGACCGATGGAGATTTTTCTCAAGAAGCGGTCATTGACATCGACAACGCGTTGCCAGGTGATGGTTTCAGGGTCGATATCGAGACGTGCGAAACGACGGATTTCATCAGCGTCGAGATCTTCAGGCTTATCCTTGTTAATGCCAAGCTTTTGGAGACGCTTGAGCATGACAGGAGCGAACGTGCGGACACCCTTTTTGGCGGGACACAATCGGTTGAACAGAGCCTTGTCCTTTTGAGTGGCTTCATGGAACATACGAGCATCAATAGCAGCGGCAAGCAAGTTGTTTGCAGCAGTGACAGCATGAATATCACCAGTCAAGTGCAAGTTGAATTCGTCCATAGGGATAACCTGGGAATAACCACCACCTGCTGCGCCTCCCTTAATACCAAAAGTAGGGCCCTGAGAAGGTTGTCTTACGCACGCGAATGCTACCTTATCAAGGTGAGCACCTAATGCTTGAACGAGACCAATGGTAGTAGTGGATTTTCCTTCGCCGAGGGGAGTAGGTGTGATACTGATTGGCATATTGGGTTAGGGTTTAGATCATACAATGAGGGTGGAGATGAGGCGTTTGGAATGCATACCCTGCAACAACAATGTATTTACCATCTTGACGGTAATCAAGGCGCTTGAGAACATCTAAACTGATCTTGGCCTTGGTCTGACCATATAGTTCGTACTGTTTTATCAAACAATGTTAGTGATTAGTTAGTATGGAAGAGATAACCCAATGTACGAAAAGAGTAAATGCGGTGGCGTTTTACCTCGTTGCCGGAGAGACCGAGTTCCTGGCAAATTTCCTGCACATTACGTGGTTCCTGAGAAACGGCGATGTCAATATCGGAAGGAACAGGCTCAACAAGCTGGAGAGGGAGAGGCTGAATAGATCTGTTGCGGCTTCGGTCAAAGAATCTTTTGGCACTGATCAATGTATTCTCTAAGAGCATGGCAACGGTCATTGGGCCGACACCTCCGGGAACAGGAGTGATGGCAGAGGCGACCTGAGATACACCATTGAAATCAACATCTCCTACCCAACGCTGACCTGCCTTCTTGGTAGCATCTGAATCCGAACAGTGTTAATATACCAGAAGTCAATAGCTAGCTAAGCAAGAAATACCCACATACCTTCAATAGCGTTCATACCAACGTCAATGACAACAGCTCCTGGCTTGACCCAGTCCTTCTGAACATATTCAGGCTTTCCAATGGCAACAACAACAATATCGGCTTCCCGGATCTGAATGTGAGAAAATCGTCACGAGTTAAAAGCAGATTCAGCATGCAAAGTCTCGTGTCGAAGCAGAAACGTACGATATCTTGGACATTCTCAGTCTTTGAATGGCACAGTGTCACAGTAGCGTCTTCAGCAGCAAGCAGGCTAGCAACAGGGGTTCCCTACATGAGAGAGAGAGAAAAATTTAGCTGGTTGGGAAAAAAATATATATGCATATCATGCTGATTATTTGTGGTACACATGCACTTACGACAATATCACTTCTACCCAAGACAACAGCACGTTTACCACGAATGTCCTTGATGCTATGCTTCAAGAGTTCAATGATGCCTCTTGGTGTGCAAGGCAAGAACAAAGGCTGACCGGATCTCTTGGCCATATTGCCAATGTTCATGGCATGGAAGCTAACATGCATGATATAAGTATCTGTAGCCGGTGCCTTTTCCGCTAATGCGATTCACTTACCCATCAACATCCTTTTGGTAATCAATAGCCTCCACAACAGCAGCTTCATCAATATGCTTTGGTAAAGGCATCTGGATGAGAATACCATGAACATCATGTCTATTGTTGAGTTCTTTGACTTTGCGAAGAAGATCAGATTGGCTAACGGATTCAGCAAGTTTTTCATGGGTGAAGAGGATACCGGTCTTTGGAAAGGTCACTTCAGTAAATCGAGTTGGGTTGACAGGGGGTATAGGGTATCAGCACTACTTACTTCGTTGGCAGCCTTTTCTTTCATTTTAACATAGAGAGAAGAGTCTTCTCGGCCACCGACTTGAACGATGGCGAGATGAGGGTTGAAGTGAGGGTACTTTTCTCTAGTTTCAGCTAGAGTAATCTTCACACGGGTGCGAACCGATCTGTTACATGGTGGCCGTGAGTAGGGGATGAGTGGTAGCTTTAGTCACAACTAGCCTACTTACTTAGCTAAAGCTTTCCCGTCAATGGGTGATGCGAGCGTCATGATGTTTCGAGATGTACGAGACAAAGGAACTAACGGAGTCAAGGCTGGTAAGCGCAACAACAAGTTCATGACAATTTTTAGCCCGCTCGGGTGTCACGGCCAGGATATACAGACAAAAAAAAAATTGAAGGGGTTTTCAACGTGTTTGAATCTCAGATGTCTCCAACATGAATACTTTTTTCCGTTCCTTGTCGATCATTAAAAATATAACGAGCAGCAACATTGCTGATCTTACAAACATCATTGTTTCCAAGCAACACACAATCTATATTGTAGTTAGGTTGACAGATCGAATCAATACGAATACAATGATCAATGTCAGCTGGCACGTTGGCTCCAAAGTTAGATTCTGTTGGCTTTCACGTTGGCCGTGCGCTCGTCGTATATTGTACAAAATGGTTTTCTCTATATCGCACATGCTTCTTCTAATGCCTCTATCATTGCTTTCATTTTACTGCTTTTCACCATCATCACCCTCCTTCCTGGTGCGATGCCATAGTCTGTGAAGGCACGTCGTGCATCGGATGACGCTTCCTTGTCAGCGTTTGTAAGTTTGAAGTCATATTGAATGTCAGCGTGTTCGGCAATAATCTCGTCTTCCGATTGAAAGTACATCAGCTCCATCTCCTGTGCTTGCTGTGATGGTAATGCGTTAAGGAATGTATCTTGAAAAGAGGCATCACCAATTTTTTTTTTCCAACTAACCTTCTTAGCCTTCTTTTTCTTGGGTGCTACTGGAGCTTCAAGCTGTTCACCTTCTTCATCGAGCGTCGATTGCACTTCCTTGTATGTCTTGGAGATGAAAACGTACCACTCAAAATCGAATCCTCCATTCTGAATGTTAGAAAAATTAGAATTAATGAATAACTGACCGACCGGACTGAGATGAATTAAACCCATTGATGTACTAACCGCTGCGTTGGTCTTCGCCATTTCTTCCATCAGCATTTTGTACATGGGAGGCATGATTTGAACTGGCATATTCAAGAATCGTTCAGAAATAACGATTGCAGCATCGTGACCTTGGTTTGGTTCTCGTGGCTGCAAGACTTGCGCAACTTGACCACGCAATGCAACATCTTTCATTGGGCACTTAGACATGAGATATTCCACTACCCCTTTGACGGAAGCGTTTTCCTACATAGCCGTTTGAAAAATGTCTTGATGAGATGCTTTCGTATAACATCATTACCCAAAGCTTTTCTTACCTTATGAACGTTGGTATTAATGACTGTCAGAAGAGCATATGGATCGGATTCTTTTCCGTCAACTTTGACGGTTGAGCCGACATTGGCTTGACTAATAATTAGATCAGAAAAGTCGGTAAGGTTCAAAAGCTCAGCATCAGCCGAGAACAGTTGGCCCAATAGTCTTTTCACAGCGTGAAAGTCGACTGGATCCACATCGAAGAAGTCGAAGTCAACGTCGACAATTTCCTGCAAGTTGCTCATGTCAATATATACCGACCGTCATTTCGGAGAAATGCTGAGCAGTGGTAACTCTTACCTCATCTTCATCCTGGGAATCGTCTGATTTGTCGACCATAGGTTCGTCTTTGGGTTCTTCAGCCTTGCGTTTGCTCATTGGATCTCGGTGTGCGTCTGTAACATAGACAGGTTTTTTTTTTTTTTTTTTCAAAGGTAAAATTTAAATTCCGACCTACATCATCACATTGCTGAGGTCATTCACCCACGCAAAGTAAAAGGCGCTCGCACCCGATCTCCTCTCGTAGCCGCATTCTTATTACACACAAAATGGTTCAATTGCTCAGCTCAGATAACGAAACTTTCACTGTTGACAAGCAGGTCGCAGAGAGATCTATCTTGATCAAAAACATGCTTGAAGGTGAGGAGTCCATTCTGCTCGGTCCAACTCCATGCGATCATCATGTTCCGCCGCGTCGAATCTCACGCTAAATATACTGAAATTGTTCCCACTAGACGTTGGCGAAAGCGACGCCCCTATTCCCCTTCCTAACGTCACAGCCAAAATCTTGAAAAAGGTACTTTTTCTATCTCACAGAGAGCTTCGTTATCGTACCAAGTATTGATGGTGGTATATCAAATGTTATCCGTACCTAGGTTATCGACTGGTGTGAGCACCACCGAAGCGACCCTGTTTCACAACAAGAAGAAGTCAACGACCGAAAGCGATTGACTGAAATCGATGAATGGGACCAAAAGTTCATGGAAGTTGATCAGGAAACCCTTTTCGAGATTATCTTGGTATGCTATTCATTCATATTGGAGGTAAAAGCGATAACAGCAACGTTGTGCTAACCGTAATGTGCTTTCAACAGGCTGCCAACTATCTCGATATCAAGCCTCTTCTCGATATTGGTTGCAAGACCGTTGCTAACATGATCAAGGGAAAGAGCCCTGAAGAAATCCGCCGAACATTCAACATTGTCAATGACTTTACTCCAGAGGTACCTTCATTGATAAAATCATTATTAATTACCCAGTCTGCATATAATGACACGTTTTCTTTTTATTTCCATTCTTTTAGGAGGAAGCTCAGATCCGAAAGGAGAATGTAAGTAGTCTGGCATGGTGTCATAGTGTTGCTATCATGACAAACCTATTAACTTCGTGTTGACTTGTCAGGAATGGGCTGAAGATCGATAAATTTTTTGATAAAGTTGTTGGATTCGCTTCTGGATATATTGCTTTGTTGCGGACCGATGTTTCCCCTCTCCCCTCCCTTGCACCATGATCTTTGTGATACAAGTATTACAGAAATGAAAACTATTCTTGAGAAAACTATCCCTTTTTGCCATTATGAGAATCACTTGCGTTTGTCAATGTTTTTGTGGCGCAAGTTTAACCATAGAATTGCGTTACACTGTAGCATAGCGACCGTCCCACAGTGATGCAGACAAAAAGTCGCACAGTCATACTTGATAGCACGATTGCAGCGTGACATCAGAGGATAACAGTAGTGATGGTCGATGGTTAAGATTTATGATAATTCTTATCACGCTGTAGAAGCATATTCGTCTAGGGAAAGGGACAGGAAAAGCGCAATAGGTGGTCATAGAGAGCCGGCCCATTATAGCGCTTGTATGGTATGATATGAAGAAGCACTATAACGCTCTAGTGTACACTCCGAATGCACGGTATCTGAATATCGGAACGACAGAGACGTAAGAATATATTGATTCACAAGCTGATGTAAAAAGCATATGTACTTAGGTCGGACGGCACATTGCGAAGAATCGCTGAACCTAAGGTTTTGTAGTACGACGCTGCATATCGCTATGGACTTACGACAACTAGTCTCATATTTGGCCAAAGGACTGAGAAGAGTGATGGAGAGCTGCGTCGACGATAACCACAACAGTACACAGTATTTCATCATCAGCTGGCTGACACCCAATCAGAAGTCATAAAACTGGCTATTGGCTTATTTCAAAGTTCCGCTCTGTCTGGGTACCTTCCCAGTTATCCTTTCTTTTCCTCTAAAGAAAAAATATCCTTTTTCGAAACCTACTGAAAAAGATATCTTATTCTGTCTTTAAGTGACCATCCAAGCTGCAAAATCAAGATCTAAAAGAGAATGGAAGATCTAAAACTGCTACGAAAACTGAAAGAAAAAGGAGCAATAGACATTTTGCATCAGCTAAAAGCGTTATTTCCTCCAGCAAACCACTTTACAGTAAGTACTTGCCGTTCAACAATAGTATGGCAACACTTCACACGATCTGATTGAAGCTTTTGTAGATCCTGCCAAATGAGCTGCTTACAGAGATATGCTTAAGGCTGGCCGAAATCTCTCCTCTTACCCTCCTAAGCTGGCAGCTCACTTGTTCTCGCCATCAGGACATGATCAAGTCGAACCCTCAAGTTTGGGAGCATGCCCTTCGTTTTCATTATCCTCAAGTCCAAGTAATAGGCCCCCATAACGCTGAGCAACAATTTATGAGAGCTTACTTATGGGCTAGTAACAAGCAATGGTCGTTTGACCTAAAGCCCAGACATATGGGAGTCTGGAACATGAATCAAGTCATGCATTTTCATCAGCAAGTTCCAAAATCCAAGTCGTTGGAGAAGTGCAGGGAAAAGCTCGATTTTCAAATCCACGAGAGTTTTGAAGTCTTTGGCCATAGTGTGGTATCCTGTGGAGTTATGCCTTACGAATACTCAGTCCCTATTCCCAACACTAGTCTTTGTGCTCATGTTTGCCGACCCTTTCGTATCCAGCACAGAAATCAAGGCGGATCAAACCGTGTTCTTAGTCTTGCCGACATGCACTCTAATACGATATTCTACCCTGGCGAACAGCATACGGATTTGATTTCTGATGTAGCGTTGGGTCAAAATACCCTAGTTACAAGCTCCGTGGATGGCAGTGTGAAGGTTTGGGATATCTGCCCTTCAACCCTAGAACCACTACAGCTTCGCCACACGTTGAATGGTCATGATGGATGGGTCAACGGTAATTGTTCGCGTCATCACTTTTTTGAATTCATGATCAAGCTCTCTCATGCCTTCAATAGCCATAGATATAGCTGGAGATACCATTGTCAGCGGAGGAGCTGATTACAAAGCTAATTTTTGGAATATCACAACTGGTAAACTTCGTAAAACGTTCAGTGCGGTTTTTGCGGTATGTATTACATGATGTCTTTATGGAACTACATCCTTTCAGATACCTAACATTGCATGCAATAGGACTTTGGGTTTGGAGTCTGCTCAGTGTGTCTAGATGGTGAGCGCAAGCTCTTTGGTTGTGGATCTGTATTCGGACCATACTACGTTTACCATACAGACGGGGATCAGCTCTTGCTTACTTTGGATGAACCATTAACCTACAGCCAGTACACTGATTTCGTGAGCTTCAAGCATCAAGAATATGCGAGCATTATTAAATTCACAAGTTCGACGATTGTCACCACTTCCAGGGTGAATGATCAAATATGCGTTTGGGATCTACAAAGTGGCCATCTCCTACATCGACTTGAAGCTGGCGGTAACATCCACGACTTTAGAATCTCACTTGACAAAGAAATACTCATGTGCAGTCTATGCAATGGCTCTATGAGGCTATGGGCAACCAAGCAAAGTAAACAGCCCTGGAAACGAAATGTTTCAAAGAAAAGAGGTACTGGACATGGTATCACCTGGGTTTACTACGGCGATGCTGACGAAGGTACGCTTTGCCTAATATGATGCAAAGCGTATGGTATGGTTAATGATCAGAATAACAGCATGCTCTATAAAAGCGTACAAGTCTTCATTCAATAAAGTGTATTTATTATATCAGAGGTCCGTATGCGGTATTTATTGGGAATGGTTTAAAAAGAACAAAGCTATTGTACACTATCTTTTTGATTACACTCTCAAAAGACTTCATCGGATGGGCCTATTGTGTATGCTAAAGTGATACTATATGGTCGTATTCGAAATGAGCTTTGGTCTATGTAAATTTGCTTGAATCAGGTTTGCCTAGCAACAGGAACACATTGTATAAAATGTCAGCCCAAGCATCTAAAGGTCCAGGTATACAATAACGCATGCAGTCTTGGCCACCAATGTGTCCATCTGGGCGCAAGTCCGTCATTTGAGCAACGTCAATAAACACTCCTCCAGCTGCTTGAACAATCTCTTTGGCAATGAGGTTCTGTCGCTTATAGTCGCCCCAATGATAAGGCAGGTCTTGCAATTCTGACTCGGTAGGCCTTACTTCCAAAGGTGCTGTAGCTGAATCACAATCGGGGTGGCCGATAGGGGTACTTCGATAGATAATGAGGTGATCCATTTGAGCACCTCGGATGATACGCATAGTATCAATAAGCTGAGTGCGGAACATATCATCGTCCACATAAGAGGCTCCACGATTCAAGATCAGGACTGGGTATTTGCCAATCACGTTGGAAGTGATCCATGGCCATTGTACAACTCGCATTTCAGGATGACCTCCTGGCACCTCAGGATTCTTACGAACTACAGACAGAATGTCGTTTCGCAAGTAACGCATCCTAACTTCGGGTTCGCTGCAGAGGGTGTGGTCTAAAAATGCAAGCACCTTTAGTATCCAAGGAAACATGATTTTGGAAAGAAAACATATAGGCTTTACCTTTGCAGTTGAGTTCACCATAGCAGACGGCGGGACCATCTCGGAATGAATCTAGCAACAGTTCATGCATCTGGAACTGGAGAATGTCGCCTACAAGCAAGATATGGCGTCTAGCCATAACATCGCACCAATTCGATTTGTCTACCGGTATCAATGGGCACTGGGATCTATCTAAAGGCGTCCAAATATATTTAAGTTCATTGCGAACTTTCCACTCGCTAGTATCGGTCTCTTTATAATCTCGCTCATATCGTTTATCACATTTTGAATACAGGGATTCTTGCAAATGGATCAAGAGCTCCCTTGGAGTCGGGTTGTAGACCCAAGATCCCTGAGTGAAGCAGTCGAGCTTGGCGTAGATAGTTTGAGCCTCTTCATGTGTCTTGACAGCCGTACCAGGAATTCCCTCAATATTGAATTGGCTGAGTACTTCGAGGGCTTCATCGCGAGCCAGCTTGCTTGCTTTCAATTCGAGTTCTATGCGATCGGCTGTGCTCAATTTGGTTTGCTTGGGGTACCAAGGCAGATTGAGTTCTTGTTCTGGCTGAGATTCTTCCTTGGTCTCGAAGTCAGGAGCTGGCATGTCTTTGACATTCTCATTTCGATCGGGCTGATGTGGAGCATTATTCGACGCAGGGGGAGTATAGGTATCCTTGAATTCCTCGGCATCGTTCACCCAGAAACTGGCGAGCAGTCGATACACTAGGAATATGAAGACGGCATAGATGATAAACCGTAGAGTCGACCGTCTTGACGTTCGCAGCTGCCGTTGGTCCATTTGCAAGCTTTGAGGTAAGTAATAGCACTGCCCCAGAAATATTTATCCCAGTTAAAAAAATTGCCATTCTAGGCACGCTTCTGTTTTCGCTTGCCCCGGTTCTCTTCATTTCACTTCATAATACTTTTTTTTTTTTTAAACAATTAAGCGATAATAAAATTACAATTTGCAATGTACAAGTGAAAGAGATCTATTACAATACAGTGACGCTGGGATTTCCATTCTGTTAACAAACAAGTTAGAATTCAGTGACAACAATCAAGCATAAAAGAGACTGCTACTTACAAATGGATGTCTCCAGCCGCATTGAAACTCATTTTTGTTATAAGAGCGCTCATCGCTAGTGGAAGTATTGTATCCAATATGATGCATGAGCAGTCGCTTACTCGATATTAAGGTATTCGTACATTCTTGACATTCAGGAAGTTCACCCAAGAGGCATTTTTGGAGAATGATATCTGGTGGTACATCAGTGTACTGCAGTAAAAGCTTGGAGGCCTTTTGCGCAATATTGGGCTTCATGATCAGACCGCTAAAGGCAGGAAGATTCCATAGTAAATAAAGAGGGCTCTAACTACCGCGTCGAAACGGAAACATTTTATCCAATACATACCTTCCACCGGTGCCTACAAATACTCCACAATGATTGGGGTATTCGACATTTGCCTTGTACACCACATTCAGGAGTTCTTGCCATTCTCTTCGTCCACAGATAGGGAAGTCATCTTCCGTCAAACAGACGTAGGCGCTATCAAACTGGTTAACAGCCAATTCAAGCGCCTGCGAAACATGAAGCCGTTGGTTGAGATCGGAGCCGTTGCCTTTGAACCACTCTAGGTACTGTTGCCCACGAACATCGCGCGCATAACTTTGTCTAACCCGATCATACTGTTCGTGCTGAGCAAAGTTGGTATACACCATGATTTTAAGTCGAGAATAGAGGGACCCTTCAGTCGGAATTGGAGGCCAATTAGCAAGGTAAGAATGTAAAGTTTGCGACAGGTAGTCCGGATCTCCACGTCTCGGGGCAGTCATGGTGACGAAGGTGATGAGATTTGGCTTTTCCGATATGGCGGCGAAATCCGCCGGCTTGACATATTCGGCACGCTTATAGTAAGAGTTGCACAATAAGAGGGCAAGGAACGTAACGACAAAGACGCTAGCACCTTTGATGAATGTGTCCAAGAGTACACGCCACCTTGGTAAACGTCGGTTGATGTCCAAGTTTCTTGATCTCACCTTGGCGTCATACTTGAGCTTCGCAGGGTAAATGTAATCTTGTTTGGTAAGGGCGTATTGAGCAAATAAAGTCGCTATAAGTCCAGAGATCAAGCCGGTGAATGACCACCAAAACACATTTCTGGTCGTGAAATTGACGAGACACATCGACAGCTGCAAAACCACCTTACGAACGGTGTACTTGCAGTTGACCTTGTCACTACCGTATAACAAGATGTATTTATCGTTGATGCTCAAAGACTGAACAACCAACAGAGAAAATAAGAAAGGTAGAAAGCCTATTGGATGGTGAGTGTTGTAAATATGTCAAGTCGCTGACTTCGAAAGATACTTACCAGAATTGGATTCATGGAGAGAATCACTAAAAAATAAAATGGGAAGGGCAAAGCCGGTAGACTTGGAAAACACATAGCCGAAGACATTTCGTAAGATAAAGGTCAGTGGAGCTATCCCAGCGAGGACACGGACGAACATTAGGGTGCCGCCTAGTACATGGGTCAAACTCTCTTCAAAAAGACCCAATAGAAGCATATTCCAAGCGAAAAAGAACAAGGAGTGTAGGTTGAAATCGAACAGAAATGGCGAGGCTATCAAGCTGATATATTCATAGCGATACAAAAGGTAGATTGGAGCAGAACTGTTGAGTTGAAGAAGGCCAATTGCGTTCAAAGTCGATATAATGGTGGAAAGAGTAATGATATACCGCGTAATGACTGGCAGTGGCCACAAACAGAGGAGCTTGTGAGATTTTTGCTTTAATTCTCCTGATTCCAATTCGTCCCCTAGTTCGCTTTCATCATTGGACTTGGAATACCGTCGAGACGAGGACTGATCCACGGTTGAGCGAGGTCTCTCGGTTTGGTAGTCGGGTCCCAAGTAGTTGGAATAGGGGTATGCTGATGATCGAAGCGGGAAAAATGGAAATGACGAAACTCTCGAGATCGAGCTCTCATTGTATGATGTGAGAGACGAGCCGTGGTTGGAAGCGGAGGTTGCAAAAGAAGCGTCTTGGTGATGGCTGGTAGTGTCTAGCGTTATGATGGGTGTTGATAAATTTTCTGATACATGATTATAAGATGATTTTCGATTTGAGTTGTTGGCACTGCCGTCTATGTTGGATAGTGAGTCTAAGTGGTTACCGAGAAAAGCCTGAGATGACGGTTTTGATCGTCTCCCATCTGAAGAAGACACCTCCTGGACAAACTGCATGGAACCAACCATTCGCAAAAGCGATTGGAATGTTGGCATATCCCGCAGTCTGAGTCTATGTGGTGATTATAGAATACAAAGGGTATTGGATGCAAAGGAATGCAAAGTGTTAAGAGGGATGTGGTATAACGATGAACTTCTGTAAAAGAAAAAATTGTGAAACTGAGACTGAAATTTTACCACTCGTCTCTAAAAATTCGTTCTTCAGGAACAAGTGTGTTCCAGGGATGGAAACCCATCTGAAAGACGCAATCCCCGCCAGTCCCTAAATTCTAATTTTATACTTGGACTATGCCATGATTTATTCCTTTACTATGACAACATGAAGGGAACCAACCAATTAAAAAAGTATCATTCCGTTGGCCGTAGCGTCCGGATCGCTACTGTCACTGGTTTCATCCTCATTGACGGGCTCGGCAACTCGAAATGGTCGCAAATATTCCAAACCTAAGCTCTAAGGCTTAGTGTTTGTGTGTTTGAAGTTAATTTAGGATGTATGTGACTTACCTTGTAAATAGACTTTGCATCGCACATTAGCGTTTGTTCTGTCCAAGTTCAAAGAATGTAGATTGATCATGCCTATGGAACTGTATATGAGCAAGCGCTGGAATAATCGACATAGCCATTCTAGTACTTACTCTTCAGGCTCTTTATACCCTTATTCGTAACTTGGCACCCAGCAACACTTAGGCTCCGGATCACTCGCGTAAAGCGAGTCGTTATTGGGTCTCCGATAAGATGTAGAGTTTTGTCGGTAATGAATGTGTGCGACAGCGAAAGTGCCACAATAGATGGAAAATCTGAACATGATTGATTAGCTGGAGAAGCAGAAAGCAAGCATAAATTATATAATTACTTACTGCGAATGGATTCTATACCCCGGTCACTAACTGTTGTTCGGTCAAGGAACAGTTGCTCGAGATGCTCCATTTCTGTTGTCATCAACGGAAAGGTTGGTACAATTTGCATTGCGTATTGCCTCTCTCATGAATATCAATTTACCTTTGAGAAGTAATAAACCGTCATCTGTAATTTGTGTTCCTTCCAGAGAGAGAAAACGAAGTTGGTGCATATTGGCTATGTGTTGCATGCCAACGTCGTTGGTCTCTTTGAAGTTTCCAAGGTCCAAATGGGTCATATTCAATTTGCTATAGTGTATGAGACAATCATTGAGATCTTGATTTTGGTTAGGGAATCGAATGTCTTCCAAGTTTCCCAATTCTAACATGCAGATGGACAAGCAATGATTAATGACGGTGTAGTCTCGATTTGCAAGGCCAAAATATGATAGATTTTCACTTACCTCGCCCAAGAAACGACAATGCAAACACACTTATTGATCGACAGCCAGCCAGCTTAAATTCTCGTAAGTTTTTCATGCAACTGAATATCCGTCTGACATCCACATCGCACACTCCGGTATTGCTAACATCCAGTGCTTCCAAGGCTTTGAAGCTAGAACTGGTTGGGATATCACATGGAGATGGTAAATTTAACGAGGCTAAGTTGAGGAATAGTAGATTTGGAAAGTCTAAGAGTGGTGGTTAATATTTCGTAATGAAATTGTGACAAAAGCCAAGTAAAATAATATGGAAGGTTGATGACAGGTATGCGTATAAAAAGTATGGACTTACTTGAAATAAGACTGAATGTATTCGCGCCATCAACGCCTTGACATCCATTCAGTACCAATGTTTGTAGAGAGTCTCTGGACAAAGCATTCTGTGTGAAATACTCGAGGCCCTTGGATGTGACCTTTGTCTTGGAAAGATACAAATGATTGAGATTAGGCAGACCTAAAGTTATTGCATGGTTTGTTAGCTTTTGATTTTATGGAATTGATTAAGAAACCGTACGTACTTATAAGAGCATCAAGGCATTTGTCCGTTGCTTTGCAATTGCTTAAATCCAGATGTTCGAGATACCTCAAGGCTGTGACAAGTATATAGTTTGAGAGGTGGAAGAACAACAGATGCAAGCAATATTGCTTCTCACTTACTATAAATGTGCTGAATACCAGCGCTGGTAATGATATCACAGCCACTTAAGCTTAATTTGCGAATGGAGCAAGACGATGCCGATTGGCATAGCTCGTCCAGCAAGGAATCCGTTGCGTAAGAGTATGCATCAAACACACATTCTTGCAAGTAGCTTGATAGACGAAACCACAAATGGTAAAACCATCAATGTTTTATCAACATTGCTTCGGCCAATAGTACTGAAGACACTTACCAATGGCTTATCAATCGCTTTAGTACAGTCCGGTCAAGCTTTCTCATGTATATAAGATGGTTAAGAAGCACCGCGGCTATCTCGGGTGAGACCTTGTCCAGCGGCTTGAGGTAAGCAGATGTCTGCTTTGTTGGCGAGGTTAAAAATACTATTTGACTTTTTGGTGAGTGCTTTGTCATTAGACGTCAGGAAGGAGACGAAGTAGATTAGAATATTACCTGCCACTGCGGATGTGCATATGTCTCTCAGTGATGAGATCTTCCTTTGAGATTTTTTGACGACCTTGCTGGTTTCAGTCATGGCAGCGTTCGGTTTATTGCCATGCAGCCGAGATCGTATTTGCCTAATCGCATCTCGATCTGCAAGATTTCGAGGTAAATATGAGAGGCATCATGGCTGGACTCATACCCATTGTTCTAACAATCATCTATGTGAAAGTATATTACCTTCAATTGGAGGGTTGATAGATACAGGTATACCGTTGCCTTCGCCCGTTGTACCGGTTGAATGATCATCGTTGTCAGCAAGACTTCTGCCTACACCACCCCAAGTCCTCGCATTGAAACGCTGAGATCCACGCTGGCCACGTGCTCTACGACCTCGGGCTGATGGACCTCGGCGGGCCATCTGTGGTGGCATTCCAAGCGTATGGACATCTATGCCATTCAGTTCATTAATATCGTCATTAGTCAAGAATGAACTTTCAGTGGAATCAATGACCATATCAATATTAGTCGAAGTTCCTTCACTTCCGACAAATGTATTATCCTGTTGTGATCAATTTGAGCATACATTCGTGTTAGCTGATATAAAAAGATGTATATGCTTAGAAAACATCAAACCTGCGGTGGAGCTTCGCTTGCTATTATGGATACATTTAATGTACAACTTGGCGCCAATCCTATTGCCTCGAATGGTCAACTATAATCTCTAGGATCAAAAAAGGGTATCACAGATTACCTGTTTGCTTGGCAGTTGAGGAGCCATCCGCTATAGTGTACGTTCTTCTTGGGAAAGTCTACAGAAGAATTAGGCTAGTGTGAGCTACAGCCAATGCATAAGAGTATAAATGTGATTAAACTGACGGTAGACATTTGAAGACTATCCAACCCTTGCCGAAAATCATTCGAAGACAGAATTTGCAATGCGTATTCAAGGATAGTTTTAATGGTGTCCTCAGCTGTAAATTGCTTTCGCTCCACATGGCCATCTGGCATCCGAAACTAGCACATGCAAGTCATTAAAACGGTTGATCCACGGAAAACAGAAGGATAGGTACTACTTACTTGGATAAGCGCATGGTCTCCCATCTGTACAACTTTAGGTTTCTCTAGGTTGGCACTAGACGATTCCGCAGGATTTGTTATTTTATGTGCGTTGCTTCGCTTTCGAGTCTGCTTATCCTCTTCTATGCTTTGCAAAACCCTTCTCCGCGCCTAGAATCATGATAAGTGCGTTGCTTATTTGAATGACATTAGCTACTGGCGTACCTCTTTTTCACTTTGCTTCTCTAACTTCATTTTGTCTTGAATCGCTGAGACTTGTTCAAGCGTACCCAGTGATGTAGCATTACTATCTGAGTTTTCAACTTGTCTTTTTTGCGACTTTCCTGGATTTCGTATGTTTCGTTCCTTTATTGTTTCTCGATCCTCATGTATTTGTTGCAACGCCCTCCGATGTGCCTGAATTCCAGAGTCAGTACTGTAATATATCGGATGCACGATTTAAAAATTACTCACCTCTTGCTCCAACACTTTCTTTCGTTTCATCTCCGAGGCTAATCTCAGTGCTGTCTGCCTGTATTCTTGATCTTTACCGGCTGTGCTGTATCGACTCGAGATACTACTGGAAGTAAAGTCTTCAGAGTTCATGGTGACTTCCATGCTTTCAGCAGTTCTGTTCGACTGCACGCTCTCAGCGTGTATGGCGGAGCTTTGAGTTTGAGAGCCAGAAAGGATCCTATTCATTATATGTTGCCACCCAAACAGCTTTTGTTAGTCACTCTATCTCATATGGTGGCTCAAAAAAGTCTTTGCTGTTCACCTTTCAACTGCTTCCTCTACAGTACTAGTGCTCATGAGAGCTGACTTACTGGTTTCCAAGTCGAAGCCCAGCTGCAGTAGCTGTACCAGTTTCTCGTCTGTTACCGACATTAGGTCGTGTAGTTATCTGGCTTGGAACAAAGATAGCATTAGGTTGGCAATCACTGACTTGAGTCAATGAACAATAACCTTGAATGGCAGAGGTTTGGCATTGTCACTCTGCTTCATTTACCTGGTGAAGGTGTGCTTTGTGCTGCCACTATTGAGCAAACGCCGAACATTGTGTTTCAGTGTCAGTTCTGAAGATTTATAAGTCAGCCGGTTTGGCCATAGAAATTTGCCATTGATGTGCCAGCCAGTTCATCCAAGATAGCAAGGAAGTTTAACAGAAATCTTATTTCAAGGATATTGACGACTATACTCAAGATTCTGCTTCTGATTGATATAAGAAGAGTTTGACTGTAGAGTGAGGTATATTTCAAGGCGTCCTAAGGACTTTACTCTACCATCAACGGCTGTGATCATCCGTGAGCTTGGACAACATTCGAACTACAGACAAGAATTGAAGTCGAACTGTAATTGCAGGTCTACCAAGGACATTATTGCTTTATACACGAAATTTTTAGATTTTTAGGAAAAGCTACCATCAAACGAATCGATAAGTAATAGCAAACCAGGCATTTCAAAATTGAAGCAGTCCTGTGTGACAGTTTCGGGAAACAACCACTTTTCAGAGCCAAGCAAATCATCTCCTGGTTGGATTCAAACCCTCAATCAGCAAAGATGAGGTCTCTATTCTCACGGAAAACGTTTATATCTTTGGCGTTTCTGGTAGTCTTTATTTTTCTTTACAAGATCGGAGATCATCCAAAGGTTGTAAACACCATGCAGCCTACGGCTTATTACGATAAGTACGATGAGCCCGTTTGTTTACCGGAGCAGCATATAAGCAGGCACCCACCACCGGAAAAAGCAAAGGCAGCATTAGTAGTGTTGATAAGGAACAGGTAAGCTTTGAGATCGACTGATAGCTGGTGGTTAGGCGCGGCAAAAAGTCATTGTGTATACACCCAAAATAGCTATACAGACTCAATACTGATCACTCTGATTTAAATCCAACTTTAAAAGTGAGCAAGAGCAGATGGTTGGCACCATAAAGAATTTGGAACAAAAGTTCAACAAGAACTTCAATTATCCTTACGTGTTTTTGAACAATGATCCATTCACGGAAGAATTCAAAGCAGCCATGAAAGCAGCAGCACCACATGCGTCAATGGAGTTTGGAGAAATCCCTACACAGCACTGGAGCTACCCGTCATGGGTCAATCAAACTAAGGCTGCTGAATGCCGTCAGAATATGGATGCGGCAGGAATTTACTATGGAGGAAGTGAAAGCTATCGTCATATGTGCCGATACAACTCTGGCTTCTTCTTCAAGCATCATTTATTGGATGAGTAAGTTGTTTCACATCAATATATAGGTTTGTCATCAGACCACAAGTAACTAATGCGTGTTCTCTTGAAATAGTTATGATTGGTATTGGCGTGTTGAACCGGGGGTTCGATTCTTTTGCGATATCACCTACGATCCATTCTTGTACATGCAGAAGCACAAGAAACAGTATGGATTTGTTATCACTTTATTAGAGTTGAAGGATACAATCCCTACGCTTTGGGATACGGTGCTTGATTACGCGAAATCCAGAAAGATTGACCTTGGTATGAGCGCCATTGCCGGAAAATCAAATTCGAAATCCCTGTTTCCCTATTTCCTTGATGAATCGAACCAATACAACTTGTGCCACTTTTGGTCCAATTTTGAGATTGGGTCTCTCAATTTGTGGAGAAGCTCTCAATATCAAGACTTCTTCTCATACTTGGATCAGACGGGCAATTTCTTTTATGAGCGATGGGGTGACGCACCAGGTAAGGAAGCGCATACAGGCTAAGATAGGTTATAGTATCGATATATTGACGTTTGCTATCCTAGTTCATTCACTGGCTGCCGGTCTATTCTTGACCACAGATCAAATTCATTATTTTGAGGATTTTGGCTATCAGCATGACAAATACCGACATTGTCCATCCAAAGAAAGCGGGAAGGGTTGTCGATGTGAGTGCCCATCTGGCACCACTGATCAAAGCATCGACCATGACAAGTACTGGGATACATGTCTTCCCAAATGGAAAGAGTGGGAAAAGATTTCCAACAAGCGGTGGAAGGGATGGAATTAGATAGTTATATTGTAGAGAACTAGCGTCTTCATACCTTCCTTTTTTTTTTTTCTCTCTTGGTCATTGTTTCGATTTACCTAAAAGGTTAAACGTTCAATTTTACTGGTTATGAATATGTAGACAGTAATTTATGACTGATGAGTAAAGAAAACATTGACAATGAAGGAGAGTAGTAGGAGAAAGGCGTCGGGAGGGGGATAAAGAGGGTGATAATAATGCAAAACTGTTACAACAAGGTATGATAATCCAAGGTAGAAAAATTACAAGATGGATTTAGATTTGTAAAACGAATAGTGACTTTGCCCAGTCAAATCTCTTCTGATATGACACTAGTGGCAAACACAGACAAGATTAATCCAGCGTCATGGTTCGGTCTCCAGCATTTCTGGAATACTCCATGGTCGGTGCGTCTCTTAACACTGTTCCATGTTTGAGTTAAATATTTGTGAGTCGACGGATCTATGTTTGAACGACAAACAAACTAAAACTTACAGTGCGCCTTCAGCCCCTTGTCGAAATTCAACCAACATACTATGCCGTTCGCTATAGTTAGAATCAATAACGTCAAACTGACACTGGCTGTAAAATGAGAAAAAGGCGATGTTAGTGAACAAGAAGAACTAAAGTTGCCCAAATCGTCCATGCCCTACCAAAAAAAGTTAAAAAGTCCTTTGTGTATTTGTATTTCGTGGCTTGAGAGGGATCGTATATGCGATATATCTTGAAGATGAAATACGCAACTGCTGCAGCCGTGCCCACAAAGAAGATATAGATCAACTGCCTCGACTCATGTTTAACCTGTGAGAATATCCAATTGTCAGCACCAACTAACTATTTGAAAAAAGATAGACTAATGAGCAGTAATAATGATACAAACCGCGTACACCGCCAATAGCAGGAACAAGCAAGTAAGAGGAAGAGCAATGATGGTCAGAGGGTACTCAACATCACCTGAATGCAAAACCAAAACCAAGAATTGGATGGAAAATCCCAGAAAGAAGAAGATGTCCAGCTTCAAAAGCATCAAAAAAATTTGGTACCAGCGATACATATCTGTGAACAGCAATGTCAAAAAGCCTGATCAACATCGGCAATCATTTCCGTGTTTATGCACTTACTTCGGATTTCTGGGTCAGCTCCGATTTTCTTGTAAATTCGCCAACTAGTAGTAACATAACATGTTTAGCTGAGGACAATATGGAATAGACAGGTCTGAAAAGCGACTTATTCAACATACCCGAACTCTTGGTACAATCTCGCACCAAGGTAACAGTAACCAAGTTCACAGACGCCGATGATGACAGAAGCGGCGATCATGTATTTTCTGATGACAGACTCGAGCCAAGCAGATGTGGCGGCATCCGGTGAATCGGGTGGTACTTGTATAGAGTTGTTGATTTGTCGGAACTGAAAGATCGAGTAAATGAAACAGCAAAGGTTGAACAGCACTATGCCAATAACTTGGATGGTGTTTTGGGCTCGGACCTGAAAGTAGAAGGTTTAACTCGCATGGTCACGAGTGCGTAATAACTAAGAAGGTACACACCGCATCTAAAGCCAAAAACACTTGGAACACTTGTGAAAAGATGAAGATGATGAGGTATATAGGAATGCCTTGTCCGAGTTGGTCTGGACTGTTAAACCTAATACAAGTATACAGGTCAACATCGAGTATGGTGCAAAGGTTCGAACGTTTCCTGCACTGGATATACAAACTTTGTGCCAAAGAAAATACCAAACACAGCGGCTTCTAGAGATATGACAATGATAGCTTCGATGAATGTGAGGGCCAGGTAGTATATGGAATGGCCTGTTCTTGGCAAAAACTGAAATTCAATAAAGGGGATTCAGTATTGAATGCGTGGCATTGAAGGGTTGACGGCGGTGGTTAAGAACACCTACACGTAGCCGAGTTTCTCCTCTCTCTCTAGCGTGAGATTCGGATAGCTTCCGAGGGGACAGATGTTCCTCGAAATCATCCATGAGGTAAATTACGGCTGGATGAAATGGATGGATTCAAAAAACTTTCGACAAAGCGTAGTCAAAGCGGGCTTCGCTAGTGAAAATTGAGAAGTAAAAAAAAAAATGGCAAGTAGGGCAAACAAATGCCTAATACGAATTCAGGAAAAAGCTTAACATTCTGCATCGAAGGTACACTTTGGAAGAGCCACACTATGTCCTTTGCATGTTATGTACCAGCTGTCTCCTAAAAAGTTTCGAAATGTGTTGCTCCAATATACAGTTTTAAAACATTTGACGGGGTATGGATCCACTTGCTAGCCCGGCACATAAACCGTGCGCAGCTCTTGACGTTAGCACCATTGTAAGTGAATAGGAGATGTTTTCAGATCCCATATTCTGCAAATGCATGGCACTCTACACTGGTTTGGAATGCCTGATGAAATATCAGAAGTATATTGTTGTTCCTTCTTTCTAGCCGACATCCATCTTTGCACAGCCAAAATTCTTTAGAGCAACCTTTTGCTTGCTAGTACTGTATTTTGATGTTAAATTACGCACCGAAATCGACCCAACAATTGCAGTTTGTTGAAAAGCGCATGAAAGTTTGTAGAATGTACGATGTCTATAACTAACGAGCTAGTGTCGTTTGATCGTCAGCAAACCGTGAATTTGAAACTTTGTGGAAAGAGCTAGATATAAGCAACCGAAGGTCTAGCGTCAAACGGTCATATCCGGTAGTAATCTAGAGCTTTGACCTCAGCAGGATAAATTTTGTAGGGATGGGTGAGCGACGGGGTTAAATTTGTTGCCTAGAGGTAGATAGATTGGTGACACCGCGGTCCTGGCTGCAAGCAGAAAGCGAGTTTTGCCAGAGGTGGATCTCTTGTGAACTTCAAATGTCTCGTTACCCAAGTCCGGTTTTCTGTCGGCGATACAAGATGGGATGTATAAACCCTGTAGTTAATATACAACATAGCCGCTGTTTACAAGCCATGCAGATTTAATAACTCCTTGAACCCTTTACGGTAAAATATGTTGCTGCCGGAATCGAAGCTGCAAGAGAAGTATTTTGATAGGATCAATGTTCCAAATAGCTACTACCTGCGTTCGAACTTTCTGTACAACGAGACCAAAACGTGCGAGGCTCACTGCCAATTTTGATTCTTTACTTCTTGATAAGAGCAAGAAGTACAAAGGATCGGCTTGCGACGGCGAGTGCATTCATGTGGAGGTGGCTATACTTGTCATATATTTAGTCCCCTTAGTCCAAAGAATTTCAAGAACATTCAATGTCCAAACTTAGCTCATTCACTTTTCCCCCCTCCACCACACGTCGCATCGTTCACCAGGCAGGCAAATTAGAGTAGGTCAGTCAGACTAAGGTAAGTCAAAATAAAAAGGCAATCTACACGGGCTTGTTAGCAGTTTCGGTTTTTTTAGCCATTTTGTGGTTTTTTGAGTGAAAGTCCAATATAGTCGGAGCCTGTAAGAACTGTGGTATTTGTCCTACCATGAGCCGACTTGCCTTGAAACAACGACCCTCCAGGCTGAGTGAAAGATGTGAAAGTTCATCTTTTTGCTCTCCTTCCCAACACATTCCTTTTTCTTACTTTGTAGAAAGTTTCTAGTTTAACCTTTAACCTCAACATCAACTTTTGGTTATCTAAACTCCATCGAATCGCTTCAATGCAACCCATTACTTTCATTTTTGCCTGCGTTGCCTTGTTCATCGCTTGCTTGAGCCCTGTCCAAGCTATCGAAGGCCGTGGCCTTGCCCGTGTTATGGGTTCCGAGTACACCAACAGCACCATTTCCCTTGAGAAGCGTAGCAATCGCGGTACTTGGTAAATAATCTCAATGCAGCAAATGACCCGGTTGACAATACACACATTAACATGTTTTCGCCGTCGTCTAGGTATTCTGGCAACGATTTGAAGAACGCTGCTTGCTATGATCGCAACGGTCTTCCTCCTTACAGTGCCTCTGTCCACTCCATGATCGGTGCCATGGCCATGAAGAAGTTTGAGAACTGCTACAAGTGCATGAAGATCACCAACAAGGCTAACAAGAAGAGCGTCGTTGTCAAGATCGTCGATAAATGTGCTGGTAAGTATTTTAGAACTCCCTTTTTCTCTATTCCCCTCCAAAAAATCTTTCTATACTAATACTCATATGTAATCTATCAACTTTTGTGCATCACCAATCAGGTTGTATTGTTGGTAAGTGTAACGCCTGGACGCGGCCTCAATGTTACCGATATCGTTAGAAACTTTTCTTTAACCCACTTTCCCTTTCCAACTCTAACAGGTAAGGCTATCGATCTCACTCCTGGTGCTTTCCAAAAGATCGGTAACTTGGATACTGGTGTCCTTGACATTACCTGGAAGACTGTCAACTGCGCCAAGTCCAAGTACTATCCCAGCAAGCCCCAAAACTAATTGAGAGAATACTACTCAAAATCACCTTTCTGTTTGACTTTGATGTATACGCATATTTTCGTTATTCGAAGCGTTGTATTCTCCAAAATATTCACTTGACTTTGGTGCTTCTAATATGGAATATTTTCAGTCAAATGCATTGTGTAGAAATTCCTTTCCCTTTTTCAAATAGAATGAAATACAACGTATTTGGCTGCAAATCTTACGCAGCCTTCGACTCCTAAGTTCTCCGCTCAGCAGCAAGCCTTTGGGTGGCGTTGCCTTTTATTGCTCTTTGGCATGAGCTCACGCCATAATGCCCACCTTAATCGACCACCTTGCCTTTTTTCTTTGACTTTTCGTTTATTCTCTGTCTAGTTGATCAGTGAAGTTAGAGTTCTCGGTTTCCAGTCCTAAAATCACCATGTTTAGGTAAATTCAGCGTATTTTGCCAAAGTATGGGCATTATTAAATCTTATGACCCGAACCATGCCCGGGTCAGAATACACTTGTGCAAGAGCGTGCAAAACTTTAAACACAGCGGACTGACAAAACGCAACGACCAATTAAGGCGCTGAGTTTGAAAAAAGACTTTTGGTCGAGCTCCTATTCCAACTGGAATCTAATGACAGCGACTTGTTGAATTCCAGAAAACGGCGATTGTTCTTCCCAACCACGCGTTAATTAAAGAACTTAGTTGTAGGGTTTTTATTGAATCAAAATGGGCTTATAATTTTATTGTACAGTAGGCTTGGTAGGCATCTTTTTGCCAGTATTAGTCGAAGCATTGTCTGCTTCTACAGGGTAAATACCAAGATCATCGCACTTGTTAAGCACCACATTGAATCGTACTGCCATTCGGTAATCAAATTCATATTTGCTGAACTTGAGACCAGTTTCCCAGAGCATTCTAGCCTTTAGTCGTTGATCCATAGTCCAACTTGTGATGCCCGCCTCTGTCAATTAAAAGAGTGATGAATAACCAAAAATCATTGCGTATAGACGAGATATGATGTGTATACTTACCCCAATAACAGAATGGAAGGACCCAAAGTTCTTTAATGCGGGTGCCATGGTCGATAATCCAGTTGAGATGAAGAACAGCTTCACTGTGCTTGCCAAGAGCATTCAATACAGCCGCCTTAATCAACAAAGCTTGAGCTCGTTGGTCATAGTATTCGGGAGGACCAATGTCAGGTGCTAATTCAGTCAGTCGGATTTCGTATTCAACACGCTCGCGTTCGTATACAAGTTCCAAAGCTGCGTCGACTTTCTCCAAACACTGCTCTAAGACCTTCTCTCTCATAAAGGGGAAAGCGTTCCAGATAAGCAGAAGCTCGAGAGCCGGCAAACTAAAGTCCAAATCAGCATATCCACTTTCTTCAAAGAATGCAACACGTCGACGAACAAATTTGTCAATGGGAGATCCTTTTCCTTTGATAAAAGTAGGTACGGAGGCGAAGGCAAGTATGGATTCCGTGCGGTTGCCCATGATTTCGTGACAAGCACCAACAAAGTATTGGAAATATGCAGAGGACCAGTATTTTTGATCTCGTAGGTATTCAAATCGTGTGCATGCGCTCTGCCAGTCAAGATCCATGGCTTCATTCATAGCGATATCATAGGTGGTGAGTAGCTTCATGGGGGATTCTGCCCATTCGCCTTGTGCAGCCGATGCAGCTCCCTCCAAGGATTGCGTAGAAAGTTCAATGTTCTTCACCAGCCTCGACACTCGACCGGTAAAGAATAAATAGAAGCAAGAGTCAGGATGTTGTTTCTGTGCTTCTACAAGGCATTCCAGAGCTGGGTTGGAATAGTCAAGAGAGAAAATTTGAGGTGCAATAGATGTTAAAATGGTATAATAAGCTAGGAGCATCATGGAAGCTAATGGTGATCGAATTCCTTGCCCATCTTGGCATAGCTTTAACAAGGCAAACCCAAGGTTCTTGTCTGGCTTCCAACCCATGGCAGCTGCCGCCTTGAGAACCTTGGGCGGAAGTGAAGAGAGGAGAAGGTGAACTGATCCAATGCTAAGTTGGCATAAAAGACAGTTACGAAACTTTGTACGACAAACAGCCAACCAAACAATGATGAATAACATACCCAAACTGAATCGCTGAAATAGTATCATTGTCAATGTGATCATGGAACGCCTGTCCCATCTTCTTATATTCTTGCCACACCAAACTGTAGCTCTTGTATGCTGAAATATATCGAGATCAGCTTTTCCCTATCCATCGATGATGGAAATCCGATGATTCAACATTACCTCTACGAATACTGAAGCCGCATTTCAGGTAGCCAGAGACATTCTCTTGGCAGAGGTGGAGCATACTGATCAGAAGACTTCCTTCGGCCTTCACGACATGAGCTCTCAGTACGCCATTAGGTAAAAAGGTTTTTGGCTCGTCTGGATTGACTTTTGGTGTATCAGGAAGCCCTGTTCGGTTCTGTGTGATAATAGAGGAAATGTAATGTGAAACGGTTTCTTTGAACGGACGCTTGGCTGAGGCGGCATCGATTTGAGCTTGGGCAATAGCGCAAGTGGTGTTCAAGACATCCACGGCCACAACAATATCATCAGCGTCGTAGGTCATGATAGCCTTGATAAAGGCCATAGAGCCAAGTCCAAGAGCAAAGAGGGGGTCGGCATCCGACTTGGCTTTGAAAATGGATTTTGCTTTCATGAATTTGTTGCTGAAGAAGGCTTCGATACCTTCTCGCATCATCTCATCTGAAGTCATACTTAGATATTTCGTCATGTCTCGGGGTAACGCCACTAAAGTAGAACACATACCAGCCTTCTCTTGGTCCCTTGGGTTTAAAGTGTTTGGTCCAATGGTAGAAATGTTTTCTGCATCCACCCTGACTGTGTTTTCAGTATAATCAACATCTTCAAAGCTATCACGATCTTGACGAGAGTCTGACTTTGGTCTTCCTTCACCATCATCATCATCTGGTAATTCACCAGCACTTTCATACGCTTCAGAGTGAGCTGATGAAGCCACTGAATGGGCGTCGTCGTCCTGGTTATCAGATGATGATGTGTGTGGTACTGATTCCTGTCCATTGATAATTTCAGTGTGTGGGAGGGCAATTTCAGTGGCAACAACAGCAGCTTCCTGATTCATTCGGATAGCAGTATTTTCTACTGCACTGCCCGGCGCTTCATCATTACCGTTCACAACCTTTTCTGAATCTGTTGTCGTTGGTTGCTCTTGCTTCTCAGACACGTCGTCATTGGACTCTAGTTGATCTTTGATTTCTACTTCACCGGCTTCCGCAGCTTGATTCTCCTCAGGAGAGTCAGATTTGACCTGCGAAACTTTCTCTGTAGTGCTGGCTGAGTTTTCATCAGAGGCTTCTATGGTTCCCGGGATAGCAGCAACAGAGTCTGTAGCAGTCAGATCTGTCGTTGGTATCGACTGTGACTCGACAGCTTGCTTTGACTCTTCTTGCATATCGGAAGTGTTACCAGCATCTGTTTTCAATCTGCAAAAGTATCATGAGCAAACACAGCAATCACTTTTGCCACTTTGTTTCAGGATGGAGAGTCAGGTACATACTCCGGGGTTGGTAGCTCATCGTCAACAGTAATCGGTACTGAAGAAGCTTGAGTTTCAACAGTCTGGGGTCCTGCCTCAACTTCTTGCTTTTCAGCTTCCATTTTATGGGATTCTTGAGGTAAGAGGACTAGATGAGATGCCAGATGAATGGGAACAAACAAGCAGCCGCCAAAAGTAGGTTCGTGGAAAGCGCAACTGTGATCGGAGCACAAATTCATGAAATTGCACAAACTCATGACAGTCGCATACTCATTAGTCCCATTCAAAGCTGCTGAGCAGTTTCTCTATTGCTGTCTACTTACAACTAGATGATAGTGTAGCTCATATCAATCAAGGGGAAAACAATGAATATCCTCCTGATCGAGTTCGCTCGAGGGCAATAGTCCAGGGATAGCCAGTGATCTGCATTTTGCAGGGTGCGAGGTGGGCGCTGAACAGTAACCTCGATCATCCAACCTGTCTGGTATGTTCAAGCCGTCGGTGGCAACACATCAATCAAGATATTCGCCAGCGACAGGTGAACGTCATATTAAAAGTAAGGTACGTGAGCTTTTTTTTTTTGTTTCTATTTTGAAAACTTGGTTCTGGGAGTTAATCACACTTTGGTCAAAAGATACTGCTGCTCTGTACTGTACAGTATATAAAAAGTGCAATAGCATACCTCGTCTTATTGGCCGATAGAGTGTTCGCAGAGATACTTGGCCAGACAACAGCGAAATACAGAATCTTTTGAGCGAACACGTGAAGCATACTGCAATAGCTAACATTAGACTTGAAGACTGCAGGGACAACCTGGGGGTCTGTTTGCAAGCTTATTTCATTGTGTCGGTAGAGCGAAACAAACTGATACATTGTGGTTTGGCCTTTCCATCGAATTGGAAGTCCGATATATTCACTCTACGAAAGTGCGTTCCCAGCCACATTCGCATCTCTTTTTTTTTATTCTCTACAACTCGTCTCATTTCACCATGAATTCTTGGAAATTACCTGGAACAAAGAGTATGTGATTTTGATTGGATAAGTAAATGCTCTACCTGGCAGAGAGCTAGGAAGCATACTGCATTGGTGACGTTTTGCTGACTCATGTGTCTACTGCTATTATCTTTGATAGAACATAAGGAGCAGCCTGCTAGTGCACCAAGCCCCAATGCCGTCAACCCATCGGTTTCTAGCTCTGGTCTGAAGAGCGTTTCTCCTGCCATCTCAACACCGCCAGCACCCTCTGCATCTCCAGCTTCATCTATATCACAATCTTCACAATCGCCGAAGGGAGGAGTTCTTATGATTCGTGTCTGCGAAGCACGCGGCATTTCATTACCTCCAGGAATACAGCTACCTCCTATTCCACAGACACACGTTGCTGCAAATAGAAACCGAGACTCTCTTACTCGCAAGCAGCAATGGTGGTTACCCTACGTTGTTCTAGAATTTGACAAAAACGAAATTGTGATAGATGCTCTTGGGGGTGATACCTATAACCCCATTTTCCAATATCGCGCTCACTTGTAAGTTCTATAGGGTGCAACGTGCTTTCGACATCATAAGAGATGTATTGATTCTAATCCCCACTGTCTTATAGTGACGTTTCGCGGGATTCTGAAGTTTCAATATCCATCTATCTCCGTCATCCACCAAGTGGACCAGCTTCAAAAGCCCAGGTTACAAACGATTTTTTCCTAGGAGCTGTTAAGATTCAACCAAATCTTGAGTCTACGAAACTAGACGATCAAATTCTAAATGTCGTGGGAGGTACGGGTGCGATGGCCGTTCAACTTTGCTATAAACCACAGCAAGTAAGTATTTATATTTTTTATACAAGGAAAAAACGAATGGGCTCTATATCTAACCGCTTAATTCAAGCAAAATTCCCCGATTGCGTTCGACCATTTTGACTTGCTTAAAGTGATTGGAAAAGGAAGTTTTGGAAAGGTTTGCGTCATTTTTTAACCATGATATTTATATCCCATCCCACAAACACAAATGAACAGCCTGACTAAACCCTATACTTTTTCTTAATGTTTAGGTATATGTCGTTCGAAAGAAAGATACAAACCGTATCTATGCAATGAAGGTCATTCGAAAAGCCCTCATTATTTCAAGATCGGAAGTCACACATACTTTGGCTGAGAAGACAGTACTTGCCAAGATCAGGAACCCGTTCATTGTTCCTCTGAAATTTGCCTTCCAGAGCCCTGATAAGCTGTATCTTGTGCTTGCCTTTGTCAATGGTGGAGAACTTTTCCACCACCTTCAGGTTGAAGGCAGATTTAACGAAGATCGTGCTCGATTCTATACTGCAGAATTGCTGTGTGCACTAGAATGCTTGCATGGGTTTGATGTAGTCTACCGGTAAGTGATTCTCAATTTTTTTTTCCAAAAAAAAATTAAGTGTATACACTGAATATTGGGGACTGACTGTGTGTTTGATATTTGTAGTGACTTGAAGCCCGAAAACATCTTGATCGATTATAATGGTCACATTGCCTTGTGCGATTTCGGCCTGTGTAAGTTGAACATGACAGAAACAGAAACCACCAATACTTTTTGTGGTACCCCCGAGTATCTTGCACCAGAACTGTTGTTAGGACATGGCTACACTAAGACTGTCGATTGGTGGACTTTGGGTGTCTTGCTTTATGAGATGTTGACTGGTCTTCCACCTTTCTATGATGAAAACACAAATGAGATGTATCGCAAAATTTTACAAGATGAGCTGCGATTCCCTGACGAGGTTTCTGAAAGTGCGCGGGATTTACTTAGAGGCGTAAGTCAATTTTTGGGTTGAGAGTGAGCATTATGCATGTGGAGCTCAAAAGCTGATTTAAACTTGACTCGTATACAGCTTTTGAATCGGGATCCAAATGAACGATTGGGCAACTTTGGCACACAACACATCAAGAACCATCCTTTCTTTGCTAGTATGGATTGGCGCAAGTTGATGGCCAAGAAGGTGCAGCCTCCATTCAAACCATCAGTCGAAAGTGCATATGACACAAGCAACTTTGATGAAGAATTCACCTCCGAATTACCACAAGACTCCGTTGTCGACGAGTCACAGATTTCGAAAACTCTGCAGGAGCAATTCGCTGGTTTCACCTATAATCCAGCGAGTGATGGTGTCATGAGTGAAAGTTTAGGAGGTGGTGGAGTCAGTGTCGGTGGAAACTCGCAAGCAAGTGGACCAAGATGGTAGACAATCATTTACATAAAAAAATCAGAAAACAATATATTGAAGGAAATCCACCATAATATATACCAAAAAAAAAAAAAACAACAAACCTTGTACCATTTTGTCTCTTTACCTTTGACTAAATGATGTTTGTTATTCATTGCATTTGCTGAAAATTTCATCGGTGAAACCACGAGATGTCACTTCAAAATTGGCAACGGACCACAGAGAGTGCTCATACTTAACAAATGTAACCCAGTTACACAATACTGAGGCTTGTCCATGCATTACAACCTTTTACTCCAAGGCGCTAGCCTGGCCAGGTCGGTCAACTGACCTGTTATCGAGTATAAAGTGTATCTCTTTGGCATAAAGTATCCCCCTTTAACCGTTGGTCTTGATTGGCCTCCTTTTGATTCTTATTCCACCCGAAACACTGCCTTATTTTTCCATGTTCAAGTCAAACGCAAAACGCGGGTAGTCAACTTCTTTTCTTTATTTGTTGTACTACATTATTTCTTTAATACCATCAATCGGTGATGCTTCCAGCTATACCAGAGTCAGCAACCAACGGAGACGATTCTGTGCCTCCACCATCCTATAACACAGTCGAACCTCCTGTTCCGCCTCCTAATGACCTGCCATTAGCATATCATTATGACTATTATCAACAATACGCTATTCCAAAGCCAGAGGACGTACATCAAGCTCGGCCGTCGTATCCACCGCCGCGTTATACTCCAAGGCAAACAGGAGAGTTCATTTGCTATATGAATCCTGTAATTCCTGAGGAAATAAACGCTGAAGCACGCCGAAGGCAACGACGATATGTATCACGAACCTACCTCTGTTGCCTTGCTATTTTTTCTGTGGTTGGCCTTGTATCCTTCGGAATAACCAAGGCTTCTACGTAATGCCGACGAGCGGGGCGGTCCAAGAAAAGATCTTTTCTAATCCGGTTATGAGCGCACAATCTATAAACTGACCTCGTAAGACTCTGCTGGCGTTTTTGTAAAAATGTTATTAACTGTAATTCACATTGAATACTGATGTAATATAATCTAATATAATTTATCTTCTAAATCATACTGAACCGTTGGCTACTGTTTCATCTTGCTCATGTCGAGCTTAGTATCATCGGTTGAAAGGCGGTACTTTGCCATGCTAATGGGAGTGATACAAGGATGCTTAACTCCGCGTGCAATTATCGGTGTGTCCTTTCTCTGAGCCATTTATGGGATCGAAAGTAGCTGACCGCGTCCATATTATTTATTTTTTTCCCTCTCAGTTTTTTTTCCTTCTTCTACATTGAGCTCTCCCAACTCTCAATCAGCCCCTACTTCATTCCTTTTTTTCCCATCGCGGTAGAATCCAACCGACATGTCCGGGTATGCACGTTCACCTCAAGCTAGACGCACGCAGAATCTTTCTGAAAACAAATTGAAGCGCATAGTGGAGTACAATACTCGATTAAAAGAACAGTTGGATACTCCTCGAATCAAAATTAGCGAGGCATCACAAGAGTAGGTTATTCATCTTCCTCTCATACACACTATCAAAGACTAACATTTATCATCACTTCAGATTGATTTCTTATTGCCAGGCAAGCCGGGATCCTTTAGTGCCATCTGTATGGGGGCCTGTGGACAAGCGAGAAGACCCATTCGCTCCTGTTGCTAGTGGAGGATGCTGTACTGTCATGTAGACCAAGGCAGTATTTTACATGATCTCCCCTTTAAGTTTATCCTTCCGACCAGCTCCTCTAAAACATGACCAAGAGAATTTCTGTACTTCCCATTTCTTCGGCATCATCATTTGAACTTCTTTTTTTGTCTCTTTGTGTTCCGACTCGACATTCACCTCCATTTACGTAAACGAGCAACTCGCACCCTTTTGCACTAAACTATGTCCATGTAGTGAATGTATATGTACATTTTATACCTTCCAATTTTTTTTTTTCACGAAAATGATTAATAAATGACACAAAAAAAAAATGAATATTAAAATTGCTATGTTGTTACATGTAAGAACGTGGGCAGTAATGGCCTAAACCTTTTCGGCAAGGTTTTGTTCTAACTTAGCAGGGTCCGAAACAGTTGTCTTTTCCCAACCCACGTTTTCGACTGTGACGTCTGATCCGTCATCGTTCACAGCATCATCTGCTCGCGTTATTGGCTCATGTTGCTGAACCACGATGTACGTAGGAACAATGGCTAAGCCGAGGAGGATAGTATTGACAGCCAAAGGTACACGACCGCCATACCAATTTCGCGTGCAAAGACCAAATGCAACGGCTTGACCGAAACTTTCTTGACCACGAAGAATGCCTGTGAGACGAGACAGCTCGGTGATATTGTCGGTCATGGTACTGACTAGATAATACATCCAGTTAGCGAGCGATTGTTGAGCGAATGCCCAGAGTAAGAGCACAAAGAACCCTTCGACGAAGCCAGGACTTTCCCAGTCTAGAACAGGAGTAGTACGGGTATACTTCTCCTGAATAACCCACCCATATGTCCATGCGACAATATGAATAACCACAAGGTAGTAGAAGCCAATCTTGATACGAGTCTTGACCTCGAACCGTTTGCTATCTAGTAGTAGACTCATTATAGTAGATGCAGCCAGTGTTGCAAAGTTGCTAACAAATCCAATGAGAGCTCTAGCTCGGACACCGAAATAAAATGTTTGGAAGTTGCCGGTGTACTGGTTGAAATACGCAGCCCAGAATAGAGGCAGCAGTAAGAGGACATGACGCTTTTTTAAGGTGTTCCAGATTCCTTTGACTTCATCGAGTGCACTCTCCACCTTCAAGACCTTGACCTTGCTACCGTCGGAACGCTCAACCTTTTCCGGTGGCGTCAGGAACAATGCAATGGGCGTTCCGAGGCACTGAAGAAAAACGAAAATAAGGTAGGTAGTGTAACCTACTTTGCCCTTTGATTTGGCATTAGCGTCATGGTTCATTCCAAGTACCATAGCTCCACCGATCATAGGGCCGAGGGTTCGGAAGATCAGCCAAATGTTGAGATATTTTCCTTTCTTCTCCGGTCGAGCGTAGCCTAGAGCGACGGCTCCTTCCGAAGACCAAAACAGACCAGCACTAATACCACAGGTACAGGCGCCAAATAAAACCAGCCATTCCACTCCCCAGCGGTTATTAAGGTAGAGACCAGCAGAGTAGATGGGGTATCCAATAGTACCCAGTACCAAGGTCCATTTGAGTCCGATTTTGGAAGAGATGACCGACCCAAACAAGCAAAAAAAGCCCATCAATCCAAAGACAAGTGCGTTAGCAGCATTGATTAAGAATGGACTGGCCTGACCAGCAGCCCCTAGACTGTTCATAGCATTCCACAAGCCGGGATTTGTGAGTCCAACCAGTCCAATGACAAATGCATTGAACATGGTGGTGCGATACCAGTGGGTTGGCATAGTGAAGAGTGATAATTTTTGCATCAAACTAATGCCGACCTATGTCATTATATGTGTTTGCCGAGACCCAGCTATTGCGTGCTTCGTCCAAAAACGGGGTAAAGCGTTTGAACGATTGCGTGCTGCAGTTGACAGCTTCAATTGTAGGTCAGCAGGTTACCTGGATTTCTATACAATTTGACAAGAAAGTACTCTATCGATTTACAGCTATGCCATTATAGTATTAAGGGAAAATATAGTAGAAGACATTTTACATAACATGTATGCTGTTTTCATGTTGCAGATCATGTTTCAGATACATCAAGAACCGAACGATTTGTAGTTTTGGTCCGCTGAACTTTCAGAATGGAGGGAAGAAAAGTGATAAACCATCGTCGGTATTTGAAACGACCTACATATTCAGGCATGTACGTTTCAAGCGTTTGAATTTGCCAGTAGTAACCTGCGGGACATAGCGGCGTTAGATTGGCCCCGCGCGTGCATCCTCGTACAGTTCGGCATACTATTCGGAAGGCACTTCTCAGCAAATAAGCGTAAAATACTGGTGTACGAAGCCAGGTGATAAAATCCACTTTCAGAGCTGTTATCGATGCAATGAAACCGGAAGTGTAATGTCTTTTCTGCATTGATGCTTGAACTTTAACAAAGAATTTTCTAAATCATAGTTAAGAGGATGATCGATATATATTGTATTAAATGCTTACGAAAGGATGGCGTGCTTGACGGACCGCCGAGCCTGTGCCAAATGGGAATAGGTCTAAACGAGCTTATTCGATTGATTTGACCAATCTTATCGCAGCGTTTTTGAGTAAGGACACATACTGGGCTAAGCCTCTTCCTGTATGGGATTGCATAGATGCTACTCTTTTGAACTCTTATTCAAGTCGAATGCGAAGATACCGCGCGTTTAGTTGGGTTAGCCGATATTCTAGTGCTTAGTCCTGATTGTTGATAAATGCCATCATTATTCGATGGGCAACATACTGGCTGGTCATTTTGTATCAAGTCAGAGGCTTACTGCATTTTAGTGTTCGTCAGGGAGTCGCTGGAGATACTTTAATACCCAGATCCTGTGCAGTATGGGGAGCAAGATGAGTATATCGCTCGAGAATCTGCTGGTGATAAAGATTGTGGTTGGCACAGCACTCATGCGGACAATTTTTATGGATGCAGTGAAAAGGCAAGTCTCCTCTTTGAAAGTAGTTTTCGCGAACGTTAATAGATCTTAAAGCTTAATGACACAATGATCTAGTTTATTCCAAAGAATCTCAGAAACAAAAAGATATCGCGTTTTACAGCTACAGCTAGTCCTATAACTAATTAATCGCACCGCCGAATCAAAGATATAGAGCATAGCTTATCATCAACAAGTGAGTTTCAGTTATGTTCCTTCTTGATCTGCATTAAACAACTTTCGAGATGACTTCCTATAGCAGCACAAGTAACGCGTGGCACAATTTTCGTTTATCAGATTGATTCAATCGAGATAAAAAACCACAAAGCGCTTTCATACTTTTGACTTGAGGGCATCTTATCGCTCGCCTTACGATGTGTCTTTCATACAACAACAATCAGCCTGGGAGCACATCAAAGGTTTACATCTCCGCATTGTTAAAACCGTAATAATAGCAAAGAAAAAAAAAGGAGCGCAGTTCCATACCCTGGCTCGAAAACGCAATTGCTAATGGAACAGCTTAAAAATGGCTATGATTATCAGAATCACTATGGGGTTTACCAATGGCGATTTATTTTTGTTATCACTCGCAAATTTAACACCTGTTACCGGCAATTATCGTTGATGAAGAAAAGAAAAATAAAATAGATGCAAAATAAAAAAAAAAAAAAGTTTTTGTGACGTCGAATAGGCATTACTTTTTTTTTGTTTTATGTGAGCAAATCCTCCACTGGCGGTTTTGAAGCGGCTTCAAATCGACTTTGATTCCTTAACACATTATTCTCGTAATGGCCGACAACTCCATCAAAATCTTTACGGGAAACTCTCACCCGGAGCTCGCAAAGTTGGTGGCTCGACGCATTGGCCTCGAACTTGGCAAAGTCAATGTCTTGAAGTACTCGAATCAAGAAACTTCAGTGACTATTGGAGAGTCCGTCCGTGACGAGGACGTCTTTATTATTCAAAGTGGATGTGGCGAGATTAATGATAATCTTATGGAGCTTCTCATTATGATCAATGCCTGTAAGACGGCTTCCGCTCGCCGTATCACTGCCGTCATTCCTTGCTTTCCTTACGCTAGACAAGACAAGAAGGACAAATCACGAGCACCTATTACTGCAAAGCTTACAGCCAATATGCTGACTGTTGCTGGTGCCGATCATGTCATTACCATGGACCTTCATGCTTCACAGATCCAAGGTTTCTTCAATATACCTGTGGATAATCTTTATTGTGAACCTTCCATGATCAAATACATTCGCACGTGCATTCCCGAGTGGACCAACGCCATTATTGTTTCTCCAGACGCTGGCGGAGCCAAAAGGTAGAGTATTTATCTTTCGGTGGTATCGTTGCTCATGGCGACCAAGACCCTGACCTTGGTTTGTTTGCTACAGAGCCACCTCGATTGCCGATCGCCTCAATTTAGATTTCGCTTTAATCCACAAAGAAAGAAAGAAGGCCAATGAGGTATCTCGTATGGTCCTCGTTGGAGATGTTCGTGGCAAGATTGCTATTCTTGTTGACGATATGGCTGATACCTGCGGAACTCTTGGTCTCGCCGCAAAAACCTTGGTTGAAAATGGTGCTGAGAAGGTTTATGCCATTGTTGCTCATGGCATTCTATCTGGCAAAGCCATCAAGGTTATCAATGAGTCAGTGATTGAGAAGATGGTCGTGACAAATACCATTCCTCATGATGAAAAAATGGTAAGCAAGAGAAACGAACAGAGAAAACGCATCAACGTGAGCTGCATGACTCATCCTGCTTCCTTATAGTCGATATGTCCAAAGATTGATATCATTGATATCTCGGCAACATTGGGAGAAGCCATTAGGAGGTATGTACATGGAATCTGAAGCCTAATTGGCCAACATGTTGGTCAACTGACTCTAACATCCATTTTTTTTAGAACGCACAATGGCGAATCTGTATCATATCTGTTTTCCAATGTGCCAGAGTGAGCCAGACGAAAATCTTTATTAAAAAAAAAAACAAGTATCCAGCTTTAACCCAATTCCAAGCCATCCTCAACCAAATAAAGTAATAAAAGACACTGTTCTCCATTTGTAATATTCTGGTTTGTATCCCTTTTATGCAAGCAGACAAATCTCGTGCGCCGCACGTTCATCGTTTCTAGGAGGAAGAGGAGAGATTACTACTGCGTTCGGTTCGGTCGTTCGGAGATTGGCTTTCTGTCTCTTTGCAGCAAGCAAATAGGAGAGACGGAGATAGGAGAGGATGTACTCATCAAGAGGTCTGTTGCTCAGGGGTGGGAGTGTGTCTGCAGCAAAAATGCAGGGCAGCCACAGTAACCAGGTGAACAGGATGAATACCATGCTGAGCCATGTAAATAAGTGGATGCTTTGATGAAAACGCAATGTGGGATTGTTATTGACTTAAAAGGACATGAAGGTGGTGAAAAAAAAAACAAAACACGTTCGCTATGGAACGATACAGAGGTATAGTGCAGGATAGTTAAACATAGTAGTAGAAGAAGTTACAACAGAAGATAAATTTGCATTTTTGTTGCTATGGGTAGTTTTTTTGGGAATCGATGGCATTGCAATTGTATTATAGGCGGTGACCAGGGATGGCTGCGAAAATGATGGTAATGATAACGCTCAATACAATGGAAAGGGTCAGAAGCCACATTGCTCGACTTTTTAGGATTTTCTTGACTTGCGGTTGTCGTACTTGATTGAAATGAAATGTGGTTGTCTCACTATATGAAATGATATGGTGTGATTAGTTTGTTTGTCTTATACCGATGGACTTGCAAGAACATAGTATCCTTACCTAATGTTGAACACCAGTGCCCATATTGGATCGAGGCCAGAAAGTCCTATCATAACATTCAGCATACCGAAGAAGATAGGTATCAAACCCTAGACGAACAATGTCAGAATTAGATCTATGAAAAGTTTCTGCAATTGTACGGCTATGCAAAACCTTACCCAGAAGCGCTCTCCCCAGCGATCATGTCCCAGCAAAATCAAGCTAAGCTCTATGGCGAATCCAAGGAATAGGGCAGAGAGTCCAAACACTAGGCGACCTAATTGTTGCCACATGGTGGTATTGCCCCATACCTTGCACCTGAGAAATTTGGGAAACCCACGACGCTGCATAGATTCGAATACTATGTCTTTGGCTTCAGCGAAAACAGCAGGGTCATCGCGTTCGTCTTGTTCAATACGCTTGGCAATCATAGACCTTACAGAGCCAGGTAGAATAAAGATTTCTTTATGAGCCGATTGAACAATGTACTTGTAGTAGATCTTCTCGCAAGATGCAGTAACGTCTTCTCGCGTTGGGCTCGAGCCACCACCTCCTGGAATATTGCTAGCAAACGCAGAATCTTGTTGCCCGACTGGTACCGATTCCACAAGAGGTCCTCTAGGCACCATAGGCGAAGGAGACGTTGATCTGTTGTAATTTGGTCTACGCACGCCATCATCGGCCGAGCGACCATCTTCATCATAGACGAGCTGTTGAGTGCTAGTATTTTGTCCAAGTTCAGGGGATCTGGATCTGGCCGGGGAAGGTGATCGAGCTAACTCATCTCGTCGAAGACTTGCATAGCTGAGTCTACTGACTAATTTTGGTCCATGAAAACCATCGGTCAGATCAGTTTCGTCAATATGTCCCGACTTCTTCATTCCTTTTACATAACGACGCCATAAAATTTCGTGGTGCTGAACGTCCAGGTAAAAGTCAAGTAGCTCTTCACTATGTAGTCTGTCCCGCATAATGATATAAAAGTTGTATAGGCATACTGGTGGTAAAGTTTTGCGAGACAGAACTTGCTCTAGCGTTGGCAAACCAGTGGTATCATAGGCAGACAAATTGGTATTATCGGGGTACTTTTCGGTATAACGAGCCTCATCTGAGACATTGTGACCAGCTTCAAGAGCGGTTGCGGACACGCTCATAGTTTGGACCTTGTTGAATTAGTTCGTGATCTAGAATCATCATGACGTTTGTGTGAGTAATTTAGCGGGGGCGAAACACATCATAATGCTTTCACATTACCGCAGTTCAGTCTGCCGTGGTATAGCGCAGCCCAATAAAAAAAAAATTCAAAATAGAAATATCTGGCTGCGGATTGCTTGTAATTCTTGCGTAAGTTACTCTACGTTTTCAAACGTAAGTGTTGTTTCAGTTGACTTTTCTGCTGTAAGGAAGGGAAGAGATGTACCACATTCTAAATTCTCAACTTTGGTAGTCCTTTATTTTTTACTTTCTCTGGAAAGCAGTAACTCAGCCAGCTTGTATTCATGTCGGCCAAAGTGTACCAACTACAGAAGGATGCCTTTGGCAATGCCGACCAAACCATTCCTACCAAACCTGTCGACAACTTACGTATAGTATGTATGTCGGATACTCATGGTACAACTAAATTCAACTTCCAAGTGCCAGACGGAGACATCCTTGGTTAGTATATCAATTTTTGGCCACCAAGTGGCAAACATGCTGCCGCGTTGGAATATGGCGCTAACGTCGTCTGACGAAAACAGTCCACGCAGGCGATATAACTCGAATCTCAAATTTGCAAGAGTTCTCTAATTTTATAAACTGGATGAGTTCATTACCGCATTCGTAAGTATTTGTGTCGTGTTTCTCTAAAGTGACCTGACGAACACCCATTAATCTGGTGAGGCAATGTTTATATTTGCTGCGTGCATAGGGTTAAAATTGTTATTGCCGGGAACCATGATACAGTCCTGGATCCAGACTTTCGTTATTTGGAGGAAAGGCGAAAAATTCTGGATGGATTCCGGCAACATGACATAATATATCTTCAAAATACTGGCTATAGGCTACCAGAGTCATTAGGAGGCTACTTGATTTATGGAAGCCCATATGCCCCCTTCCATATTGGCGGGGCGTTCATGCCGTATGACTTGTCAGGTAAGGCTGTTTGAAGTGCAGCGTTTCTATACCTGCTCGGCGATCTTTGACCAGTTTTGTCCTAGCAGATGTGTGGAAAACAGTGCCGTTTGACACTGATATCTTGGTAACCCACACACCTCCATACGGGATACAAGATACCACGCGACGTGGCCAAAATGTAGGATGCGAACACTTATTAAAGAAAATCAAGGAAATCAAACCAAAAGTCTGTATATTTGGTCATATTCATGAGGCATACGGAGTACATAAAGAGGACGGCACTGTTTACATCAACGCGTGTACATCTAACTCCAGATACAAAGCTACACAGCTCCCGGTCGTCGTGGACCTGCCCAAGTTTCGGGATTAGAGTACATAACGCCTATGTCAATACCCTAAATTACTTGACAGCTAACCTGTCTTTATCATTTTTCAAAACATTGTAATCCGTTGTTTGAATCTCACCCCACCACCCTTCATGTGGAGGAAGAAATTGATCGTGCGTTTGTCGTCGATCCCTCGATGGCCGCGCTCTACATCATCATCCTTATATTCGCAGCAACATCTTCGCCTTTTCTTCTCTATTTTGCTCCTCAATTGCAGCATCCCATGACTCCTTGGTAGACTGCATAGAAGCTCCTGGCTCCGCGCTTGTTTAATAATAAAAAAAGTGTAAAAAGAAAATGAGCTGACTATTTCTCCCTATTATCACATTACAATTTGCAGTGAATGAGCCTCCCTCCTGTGCTTGGCTAACTCCTTGCCTGGTCGTTACTTTAGATATATCATATATTACTTTGTTGTTCCTTCTTCTTCTTGCGTTTTTCATTCAACTTTCTTGGCTAAACATTGTATTCCCACATAAGCCCTATCTAAGCACTTGCGATATGGCTACTCTTGAATGCAAAAGGAAACAACAAGCGAAAGAAGACACCAATGTGAGATATTGAACTAAGCTATTCGTTTTGATAAATCGTTGAAAAGGTGTCTAGGTATTGATTTTTCTGTTTGACTTTTTTTTTCTTTTAAAAAAAAACCTCTGAATATCCACAGCAAGGTGAAGATGCTGGTACATCTGAACAGAATGGCGAATCAGATCTCACAACGAATCACGAAGAGTTGGTCCTCCTAGCAAGCGAGCCTTTGGATCCTACTGAGCTGGATCATATATTTGGCAGCTCTCCGGAGTATTCCCAGCAAGCAAATTTAGCTGCGCCTGAACCATCCAACAGTGAAATTCTTCAGCAAGACTGGAGTCTACAACAAGAAGCTATGTCTGACGATGTTAGCAAGGTCTTTTATGATCTAGTCCTGTAAAAAACCCAATTGCTAATCCTTCTCACTCTAAACATCAGGTCTTTTCTTCTTTGAATTCTTTAAAATCTGTTTGTTTACGAACACTGGATTCATTATTACGACACATCTTATCCACTTCGCCAGTCAACCACAGAGACAGTTTTTCACCACGAAGATTATCTGATCCATCCATATCTTGTGCAGAAAACAGTACTGATGTGCAGAATAACGCCAGTCTTCTCGGGTCAATCGTGCGTTGCACTGAGCGTATCACTTTACCTATTGGCTCGAGGTATCTGAGGCGATGTGAATCTAGCCCAGCTTTAGTCACTTTACGCGATGTGGCTAATAGATTGGATTCTTGCCATCAACAACGCAACGACTTGAACAACGCTGATTATCAGTTTGCATGTGCTTTAGCTGCACTATTAAGCAACGTTTACAAAATTTTGGAAGAAGATAATCAATCCACTACTGATATAAGTGATATTCAAGACCGCGACTCGATGCTAGACAGCCTCAGAACTGAAATGATAGCCATTCGCAAGGAGCATGCACCACCAAGAACTACCACAAACGAGCAGGCATCTCTATGGGAAGAACTTGATAAATTGATGGATGTTGTTGCTGCTTTGGCCGTTGAAAGACCACCGCAATACGATGAAGCCGTGCGGGAGACAGAGTCCAGTCATTTTGATAGCCACGAAGAGTCAGAAAAATCTCACTTAGACTTTACGACTCCATCTGACAAGTTACCACCTTACAACGAACAAGAAGACATTGCAGCTGAGACTAGTAGCATTACCAACGACGAGAAGGCGAGAAAAGATCTGGACAGTTTACTGAACATAATGGAACGCGTTTCCAGCTTGGCGCCAAGACTAAACAATCAGAGAGTAGAATTAACGGAAAAGCAAGCCAGAGAAATGGCAGCTCTTGCTATTGGAAAGGCAATTGAACGCGTGTCTGGCCGACGTCTCAACGAACAACGAGCAAGTCTAAGAGAGGCAGAAGACTCTTATGCATTAAAAAATCTAATGCAGCAAATCTCCCAATCAGCCGAGAGAAGCTTTGTGAATCAAAGAGCTGAACTCAATCCTTCCAGCACAGCGAACAAAAAATTAGCTAAAACCCCAGAGACACCTGAAACTGAATATGAACTATTGAACGAACTTTCGAACTTTGTTGACAAAGTCACTAAACTCTCCTTCAACTCACGGCTCAATAAGCAACGGTACCAATTATCTAGCGCACAAGAACGAGCTGTATTTATTAACAGCATAGTCAAGAAGGTGGACAGACTCCAGACCTTCAGACTTCAAAATCAAGATGCTGCACCTCCGCAGAAGATACTATCAGAACAAGAAGCTACCCAAGAAATGTTAGTTATCTTGGAACGGGTTCAATCAAGCAGAAAACAGTTTGATAACCAAAGAGCAACCCTTAAAACCTACAACATATGATTCGAAATTCTTGATATCACTGGTGCTATCCGATATAACACTCCCTAACCCATTTAGCTAAACTGCCAGTGCATGCACTAGCGGATGACTATTTACCCATTCCTTTTTTCATTCCTTCCTTTCATCCTCAGTTACTGTAGTCGATATCTAACTAGCATACATTGTGTGAATACTCTACCTTTCAATATAATCAACTTTGTTACTCATCCCATTACATAGAATGTTCATCGATTCTGCTCGAAATAAATTGTTGTGTACACAAGTTAATGTTATCAAGTGTTTTGAGTCCCGATAATGATAAATCTCAACTGGTGACAGAAAAGACCAGCTAAACTATCCACTCTTCTATATTGCAAAGGTAATAAAAGTTGGAAGATAGTGGTTCACTAAGATAGTAAAGAGAATAGTATCGGAGAAGATATAAAGAAAATAAGGATTTTCGACTTAATTCTGTTTTCGAACAGTAAGTTTTAGAGAGAACGAGGCGGCAGAGAACGAAATACTAACGAGCGAAAGATAAGCGAAACGAAAATATAAAAACGAACTCCTCGAGTAGGATTAAGAAGAATGGCCTCTGTTTTATTCAATAGATACTACGAGTTTTACATAGGTATCCTATTTTACTGATAAAAATAATGTATAGGCATCATCTATAAATTGCTGCGTGTAAATCGTGACATCACATTTCACTTCACGTTGCCCAGGACAGGTGACCAGAAGTGTGCTCGAAGCCAGAGTTGCGCACATCTCTTAACACATGTCAATGTTATCTATGAGCCGAAATATATTCTCGCAAGCCAGCAACATTTCTCGCGTAAGTAACTACTTCTCACAGTGGGAAGCGGGTCATCTGTCGTCAGTAGATTCTCGGTCTGTTTCACTGGACGCCAACCCTGAATTGTACCAGCGCGGTCCCTATGACCAGAAATAGTGGTTGGGGAAAGCCAAAACAACAACAAAACAACCCACTAAAATGTTCCATTCATTCAATTAATAGGCTTTCTCAACCTCAGCGGTTGCACGATACAATGGTAAGCTTTTATGCTTTTATTTACCACCGGCCTTTTTTTTTTTCTGTTGGGACGCGTAGCGGGGTTAAGAGCACTGAGAGGCTCGACCACAATTATACTTTTGAGAAACGGCGCACTATCCATATCTATACTTTTCCGTTGCTACCACTAGTTTGGAACGCCATCTTTTGAATGTTCTTAATAGCTATCGCATTACGCCAAGTGATATTACTTTGTTCACCGGGTCAAAAACTAACAAATATTTTCTGATTTTTCAAGTGAACAAGGTCATTCTCGTTGGCCGCATGGGAGCTGATCCTGAAGTAGTTAACTTGGATAATGACCGCAAAGTCATTCACTACACTGTAGCCACCAGCGAAACTAGAAGCGACAAGGAAGGTGAGTAAATATGGATATAGAAATGGTCACGCAGCGTTCAATTTCATTTTTCCATTACTCACATGGCTCCGATCACTAGGCAATTTGGTTAAACAAACACAGTGGCACCGTATTACTTCCTGGAATCAGGGTCTCAACAACTTTCTTCCCGAAAAAATCAAGAAAGGGTAAGTAGATGGCCTAGGTTGGTACATTAGTCTCGGGCTGGATACATGGCTAACTTTGAACGAACTTATAGTGATCTCGTATATGTCGAAGGAAAGCTAAACTACAGAGATTACACTGACAAGCAAGGCGTCCAAAGAACCAGGCCTGAGATTTTGCAAAGTAAGGAATTGCGCTTACTACTTTGCGCTGCAAACGGCGTGATCTAGAGTACTAACATCTGATTTCCGTCATAAATAAGGCTCCGTCAAGGTTTTGTCAACCCCCAAGCACAGCTCTGAACAATTCGAATCCAGTGAACAGGAAGATATGTGAGCGTGACATTTAAAAAAAAGTTTGGATCGGGCACCAAGCTTTTTGTTCAGTCCCGGTGTGAATGAGGTCTTTCTTTTTTCGTACTCTTTCATAGCCCTAACCCAATCCTCAACCAATTTGGATGGGGTCTCTTCTTCTTTTTTGTTTTTATCTTAAAGCATTCAACCGGTTTTTTGTTATTATCCATACAAATCTTGTATTGTACACAAATACTGGCTAGCCCCATTGAATTACACGAAATAATGATATCTGCCATTCCTACCATTCTTTTACAATCTCTTTTTTACTTTGGGCGTTGTTTATATCAACAAAAAGAAATGCTATCTGCGACAATTTGGTAAATTATGTGAGAAAAAAATGGGGGGAGGGGAATATTGAACTAATAGAGACAAGATATCTGCAAGAAATAAGTATAGACAAGGTATATAGGAGTTTGGGTTCCTAAGCTGCATGAGAATATTTAGACCCAAGCCCACAGAAAGATATGTATTTTTAAAAGGTGAGCACTTTGGGTCAGCTCATTTGCAGCTTTTGGGGGGGGTACGGTGGGAAGGAAAAGAGGCTAGCTTCTGCCATACGCAGCTTTGATGATTCTGTGTGCCAAAAAGCCGCCTGCTGTAAGACCTGCAGTCGCTCTAAGAGCGGTAACAACGTACAGAGCCCGTCGTACGGAACCATAGTAATCAGGTATAGAAGGGCCGCCGGCCCATGACGTTGAACTACGAGAAACGGCATGAGTATTGATGGCTTCAGTGCAAGGCGACACCGCAGCCCATTTGTCACAGGTTAGTACAAACACTCATTACTCACATTTTAGAATGGTAACCTCCGTTGAGTACACGCCAGCCTGTGCTGGCAAAACAAAACAGTCTGACGAATCCATCCAAGTCCCATTGCGACAATTTTGGGTAGGCTTTGGTCATGCGGACCAGTGGTACTACATGACCGTGCCTGGCGATCTCTTTTGTGTTTTGGGTATAACTTACAAGCTCACTAGTCATGGTCAGTGCGAGTCCCCAGAGTACGATGTTTTCTTCCTTTACCGGTACGATCATACTTGGCATTGCAACAGTGCCAAAGACCGAGGGCAATTTGGGTGACAATGGTAGTACTGGAAGCTTAATGGGACTGGAGATATGGATCTTTGTATTGAGAAAATGATGCAGCGGAATCCCTAGAAAAAAAAAAAGTTCCATCCAAATAAGCGTTAGATTAATCCTTTGTAAGACCAACAATAGCGCATCTGCTTCCGAGGCCAAGACTACTTCAAATTATATAGAAGTAATATAATGCCTCTACAGTGTTTATCTTTTCTATTATACAGAGAGCCTCATGATAAAAAAAAAGCTTTGTACTTACAGTATGTGGCAGCTACTTCTGAATTTTGGCGGGTGATTTGAGGAGATTCTGGAGCAACTTGTAGGTACACTGGAAAGGGAAAGAGATCAACATTCCCGCCCAAAACATATGTGCAATACTCCATGAATAGGCAGGTCAGTGCCGTAGGTTTTTTCGTCCTCCCCCCATCAAAACACAGAAAAGAGATGATTTGAACGACAGCTCGCCCATCCCATTACAAGATATTTACCAAATGTTGACAAGATCATAATCGGCTTGCCTCCAAGTAGAGAAGTAAGTTCACGATCGTCTAGACATCCGAGCTTTACATAGTCGTCGGAATCAAGATCCAATCCAACCTCTTCTCGAACTTCTCGGACAACGGTATCTTGGTCAGTCTCCCCGGCTTCATTACGTCCTCCTGGGAATGCCATATCGCCAGACCATCTGTTAGATTGAAAGGTGCGAACGACCAGAAGAAGAGATCACATGAGGAGAAATGAAATTTGGTTAGAACGTGTCCAGAAAACCAAGAATGTTAAGATGGCTTGCAAAAACAGTGGGGGGCATCTACAAAGGTATTGAGATAGAGTACAAGGAGATAGATATGGATGTTTTCTCGGGGGTGGGAGAGTAAGAGGAGATGAAGGGGAAAAAATAGTAGCGGACAAGCAAAATTGGGCATGTCAGCAGCAGAATGCGTAACGTTAACGCTACAGAGATAAAATAAGAAAAACAGGTATTCTTACAAAACAGTGTGCAACCGTCTTTTGATACAAGAAACGAATAGGGGAGTACAAAAAATTTGCAAGGTTAATTGGCAAAATGGAGGGCAAGGGGAGGGATAAATGCCAAAGGGGGGTGGAGTGGTTATGAAGTGGCGACAATAATAATAATAATAATTTCAAGGGCAAGGAGTCATCCACCTTGGTCCTTGAGCACGCAAACAGCATAACACTGTTGCGAAGAAACAGTAAAGATTCATATAAAATATATCAACAGAGCAGTAACTTACGGATCTCCCGAGCGTTTGGCTCTGCGAATGTAGAGGACTTCAGGATACCCTCCATCTCGTTGGACCATCTTGTCTTGAATGAATTCCAACCAGTTTTGAGCTTTTTTTGATCCATCAATGGGCGTACGATCGTATTGACCACGACGCCAGCGAATAATGATAGCAACGCAAGCTCGGCGAGTATCACCATGGATTTTAGTAGTGTTACGCCTGGAGGTGAGGTTCGAGCACAGTGTATACAATGAATCTGTAGACAAACAATTTTTTTTTTTTTTGGTTCACTTTGGTCAATGAAAGTGCAATCGGTTCATGAAGGCGATATATTGTTATGGTATATACCCTGAGCAAGTTGTATTGGGGTCATGGTGATGGTGAAAAATGGTGATGAGTAGTAATCAAAGTGATCAAGATGTTCAAGGCCAAGGATTTTGAAAAAACTTGATGCACAAAGGTTTTTTATATTGATATGACTGTCCCCCCTCTAAGCAGCAGCTGGCCAGACTGTCTTTGCCCGAATAGCCAACTCTAGAAATGACAGATACAATGCATGTGACGAGTTTTTAGACTTTGGTTAACGAATCATCCCCCCGAGCAACTTTGTACACCCGTCCCCCGGGCGGCCCAAGTTTATAAGTGCGGGTCAGCGGTTCCCTCTCTACTTCTGTAGATACTGGACTTCTGTCGGCTTTTAGAATGTTTGGTTACAGTCTTGGGTCGAATTGGGGTCACTGGGCTCAGACGTAGTAGGCAAAAATGGCACTTACAATGGGTTACGTGTATAAATTTATCGTGGGATGTGTTCTCTGCCTTACATAACTTTCATTTTGTTTCCTTTGTAAAGAGTATTTCTTTTTGAAGCAATGATGAACAAGTCGTTCCTATTGAGGCTATGCGTCAGAACGTTTTTGACATTTGTATTTTTTTTACCTTTCTTTGTAAAACCTCTCGTTGTGAAACTACTTACTTCGAAAGATTGGGTAATCACATAACAAAAAAGCACCTAGACAGACTTAGTAAAGGCCAAACATGAAAACGGATAGAAGAACTTTTTACTCAGCCAAACAAGTTTGTCCATCTGATCAAGCGGTCTATGACAAAGTGGCACTGAATAGGATTGGAATTGAGGCTATGTCTGTTCAACGTTGCAGCTTTTCGCAGTAGGAAGCTTTCCATATCTGTATCCAATAGGATCTATTTGCCACTGAATTTCCCATGCCATGACCAGGTTACTCATCGTCATTGATGGGGCTGGGGGTTGAGGGGAAAAGGGAGGGAAAATTGGCAAGGGGAAGGAATCTGTATGCAGTTGGTTTAGTTCAGTATTGCGGATGACGATTCAGATACGAAACAGCTTGTGTGAGCTTTTGATGAATCCACTTTCAAGATGAGAGAATAAACAGATTCTCGGTTTTAGGGGTATTGTTGAACGGGGCGGGGGATTCACAACCGAAGTTGAAAAAAACAAAACAAAAGGAATAACTAAATGTAAATGAGCCAAGTTACTGAACAGACGAATGGTCGGACCGCCGATTCTGTTGTAGTGAAAGTCAGAATGTCAGTATAGAGGAATATAATCAGTTAGAGGTTTCTAGAAAACAAGGCACTGCAACCACACTGTGGAGGCAAGCGTGCGTAGCTACGAATCACAAAGCTTGTCAAATTTCCTGTTGTGGTAGAACCGCATGCCAAACTTTATTGCACCACGTTTTTGTGTGGGCTTCGGACACGCCTAACAATACTAGAAATCCTTAGCAGCTTTGTTGTTTTGATGATATGTATAATTTATATAGTGTGTGGGTGTGCATTGTAAATGTATAATAGGTATACGGGATGAGAGTGGTACCCAAGGTATATCTTTCGTAGAAGAGATAATTGAAAAGAAAGGGAAAGATAAAAGTTCAAACGAAGAGCAGCTTTACTACCGTTAAACACAAGCAAAAAAGCTGGATCGATTTGGAAGGGGGTATGGTCAAAAGACTGGAAGGGGTGGAAAGAGGACAGACGAACCGGCATCTTGCCTCAAAGAAAAGAAAAATATAAGAAATACAGGTAAACGGCGACGATGTTCAAAGAGTAGTCTCGTACAGGAGCCCAACAGATCAATGATGGTTTTTAGAGGTGATAGGGTTCAATTTATCTAATTGATCTTCTGCTCCGCGAATGACAGATTGGATACCCAGGATTTGTTGATCAAGTAGGGCTTTCTTGCGAAGAATTTCCATGGCATGCTTGTTCCATTGTTTTGCAACGTTGACTTGCGCCTTTGTCTTGTGTTGAGTTCTTTGTTGCAAGTATTGCCACAACAGTTCTCGTTCTTGATCCAAGTCAATAGTAGAAATACCGTGCATGCCTTGAGTTGATGACAATTCAGATAGTTGTTTGTCAACAATGGACATTTTCTTGAGTAAAAAGACGTTGGACAATACAAGGAGGCCAAAGAAGAATAAGGTAATTTGAGCACTAGAAGGAATTCCCACATGGTCAATGAAAAATCGGATGATGTTGGCACTCAGAGTGGCCATTCCAGATATCGAATCCTCCAAAGCGCGATATAAGGAAGCCTTGGAGTTGTTCTCCGTAGCTTTGACCAGTGACTTTCTCTTGGCGTCCTCAGGTAATTCATCACAGACTTTTGTCAGTTTCACCTTTCGAACTTTGCCACTCTGCTTGTCACGCTTTTTCTTGCGGCCTTGTCCGAATTCTCCAGGGTGACTAGTAATGTATGCTCTCATAGCGGCTTCGAGGTTCTTATAATAAGTTATCTGACCATCTGACGAAGCTTTCTCTATGGTTGCTATATATGTGGATGTTAGACTCATCAAACGTCAGATCAGCTTATTGCTCATTTGATGCAACTTACATTTAAGGAAACCTCCCTTTGTGAACTCAACTTGGAATGTCACAAGCAAGCGTACGCTTCCCATTCCAGTTGAAGTGATACAAGCTCTAGTCTTAACTGAAAAAGATGAGCCCATAGGAACATCTGGTGTTTGAGTGGTTGTTAAGACTGTGATGGCCTTGTTAAAGTCGCATTCAAAGCATCTCTCCTCTAAATGGCATTTTGTCGTTTTGGGCCCTATACGCAAAAACATAGGGTCAGTTACAAAAGGTCTGATAGTGATTCCACACGGACTTCTCTGTCTCACCTATTGGCATGCCAAGGTATTTGATATATGTGCTTTTGCGTACAGTTTCTTTCTTATCTGTATCCTTAGACCAATTGCCGATATTAACGTCTAAAAAAAATCCATCCATGTCAATAGTGCCTTGTCGCTGAGTTACAACTTTACGTTTCAAGTTTACCTTGACTTTTCTCGCCTTCCACCAAGAAATTAGATATAAATGAGCTATTAAATAGCATATTATAAAGTGTCTCGATGGAACCAGGGAAGACAGCATCCAATGCCACATTGGGGTAATGGCTACCAGAGTGTTGACATTGGCACTCCGTCTTGGGTAATGTGACTGGTGACTTTACGGAGACATTGGCAGCTAAGCCATTAGGTCGAGGTCCAACATCTGAAATGGCCCTTCGGCGAGCCAACTCCTCTTCGGTGGGTTCTACCTTCTTCTCTGTCTTTTCAGGGGATGTCACCGGATGAGCAATGCCGAGAGCGTCAACCAGTGATGCTTCCGTCCGCGTGTGATCAATGTCATCATCGTCACCTTCACTCAGGGTCGCATCCGAATCATCGGTTTCCTCGTCTGAAGATGTTTCATGTTGAGCAGTACTATTATCCGCTGCAAGTAACATCTTTTGTACAGACGGATTCGTTGGATGAGCCACGCGCCAAACATCCATCATTTGGTCATACGCCATATCACGAGAAAGGAACGATGCAAACGAATGCTATGGATTCCACGTTAGTCATAATCAATGCTATCCTTTCATGCGCTGTCATCACATACCTTTGCGTGGAGGGTGCAGATCTGTATCCCATTGGGTATAATCATAGCCGTCATCTTCTTTTCTACTGAAACAATCTCGGAAAAAGCCAGGACGAGCTAAATATGGAAGGAAGGCCGATTATGGAATTAAACTCATGTGGGATGTTTTGCGATCAGCGTAAAACCCAAGGCTTGCTTACATTGGTCACCCAGCCAAAAATATTGGCGTTAAAACAAATATGATGTTCAGAAATGTAGATACGTCCTTGAACTAAAATCTCCTTCTGAAGTGCACAACCATAATCTAAACATAGAGACAGTCAGAAATTTTTAAGTCGGTGGCGGACATTGTCGCCGAACAAAAAGTTTCCTTACCTTCTATAAGCATGTCGTCTTCAGGAACGCTTCTAAATAATGCATGGAATTCAGCGTTTCTCTTAGCATTGGCTATTTCGAGTCCACATATGGTTGCCACACTCCCTCCAGCCGCTGAGAATCCTCCTTCAGATGATGTAGTGGTGTCTAAAGACGTTCTTCGTGATTTGGCTTTTCTGCGCGTGGCAATTTTGCCGTGGCTGGGTAAGCTGATTGACCTGTTTAAGTCAGTTCCAGACGATCCTAGGGAGGTGGTGGAACTAATGGTGGATATACTAATGCCTCGAGGACGGTTGGAGTCCATTGAATCAAGGCCTGAAGGTGCGGGTGTAGAAGAAGTAACGGGTTCCTTAGAATGTTCAGGGGACGCAATAGGTGTTGGCGCTTTATTATTTCCCAAATCGTCGCCGAAATCGGTGTTTGAGGGAGTTCCTTGGCTTTGGAGGAGTTCGAATGTTAGGCCAGTCGCGGACGTGGAGAAAACCTCATCGGAAAATGTCGCCGTAGTAGGCGTTGGTGCAGAGATATTGATGGTGGTGGGGTAAGGTATATGTAAATGGGGTCCATCAGAGCTGCGACGAGGTGTCGATGGTGCTCGAATCTCATGGGAGTAAGAGGGCATACCACCAGAAATTGTATTACTGTGCTTTCGTTGGTGTGTGAATTTGTCCTTTGAATCTATTTTTGATCCTTCATCACCACTAACATCCTTGTTGGAGGAAGCTTCAGGTGGTTGCATGGTCTCTCCGTTGTTGTAGTCTTTGGTGGAGACGGTACGTAGAGACGACGAAGACAAACGCTTCAAAAGAGTAGGCCGTTTCCGTCCTGTTTGCTTCTGAGAGACCGACTCAGGACTGAGGAAGGAGTTACTGGATAGTTTCTCCTCATCTTTCAGTGAAGCTCGCGACATCTGGTGATGATCTCAAAGTGGAATGTGGAAAAGGCTTTTGCTGCAGCTATACACACAACCGTTTTCCGGCCTTTTGGCCTCAGCTGAAATTGGCTTTTCAGCGCTACACGTGACAATCTTCTGTGACTGCCAAGTTTGCACAGGTCTACAGGCAAATTTTTTTTTTGCTGGTTTTTTTTTTTATCCACCTTAAACAGATATGGCTACTATAGACTCATTCAAGGCTCCCAAGTTGACTAACAAGAACACAGCAAGCGAAGAAATCATCGACGAGGATGAAGTTCTCATTGAAGCCGACAGCCTTCCTACCTCCACTCTCGAAAAAGATGCCGGCATGCAAGTAGATCAGGGCGAAGAAGGTAGCAGCGCAGACAAACCCGAATTCAAGGCATTGAAGGCAAAGCAAATGACTGTAAGAAAAAAAACTAATTGAATCCAGTAGAAACAATAACAAGGAGCGTGAATAACTCAACTTGCACATTTTGTAGTCAACCAGCAATCAAGCTCGTAAAATCCCAATTCCTCCTCATCGTCTGTCCCCACTGAAGAAAAGTTGGCTTCAAATTTACTCACCCTTGGTCGAGCACTTGAAATTGCAAGTGAGATATAACACAAAATCAAAGGCTGTTGAAATCCGAGTATGTACTTTAATTTAGTGAGCATGGGACTACAAATGATCAGCGCATGTGTTTAACGGATTTTGTGCAGATGTCGAAGCAAACTGAGGAAACTGGAGCTCTTCAGAAGGGAGCTGATTTCGTCCGTGCTTTTGCTCTTGGATTCGAAGTTGAGGACGCCATTGCCTTACTCAGATTGGACGATCTTTATATCGACACTTTCGAAATCAAGGATGTAAAGACTTTGCACGGAGATCATTTGTCTCGTGCTATTGGCCGTATTGCTGGTAAAGACGGAAAGACCAAGTTCACCATTGAGAATGCAAGCAAAACTCGCATTGTGTTGGCTGATACGTAAGTTGATACAATCCGATTATATGTCGCACGCAGCATTCATTTTAATTGACTTGCGGTTTTGGGTACACAGCAAAATACATATCCTCGGTTCATTCCAAAACATACGAATTGCTAGAGATGCTCTTGTCAGCTTGGTTCTTGGTAGTCCACCAGGAAAGGTTTACGCAACGCTGAGAACCATCTCAGCTCGCATGAAGGAGAGATTCTAAATCTTTTTGCTCGCTATCGACAACCAACACTACAAAATTCAAATTACCCTCCACAAATGTTTTCGCTTTCATTTTCATCCTCCTTTATTCATTGTGCAACTTAATTCTTGTCACTTTCTCCAATTTTCTCATATTTCCTCATCAATGTATAAAATGCTGCTTTTTTTGGTCATTTATTTCGCGAACGCTATCATGATTCTATCCATTTGAATGATCCCATGAGCAAATGCCGCTTCAAAAGCCGTCCCGGTGCTGGGGATAATATGGTCAGCTTTTGCTTTGCATCATCCACATCCGACCTATGGAAAGTTTTTGTTAACAACTACTTGTCTTATGATGCTTTGCAAAGTGTTTCAGACTACTTACACGTAAATGAACCCAGCAACGTTGCTTTCTAAAGCATTGGCTTCATTGTCTGATTCATCAGCGTTTAGAACAGCGAGAACGGAATGTAACAATATGTCTGGGTTGTCAATCTTAACCAATTGAGTTTCGCTCAGTTGGCGATCCATACCAATAGGCAATGCTGACGTTGGTGCTAGCGAGCTCTCTCCTACTCTCCATATAGATACATCCGCGAAATTCGTCAGTGTAGAATAGGGTGACAGCTCGCACTTGGAAGTTCCGTAGAAATACTCGTGTATCTTGCTACGTTGTAATTGCGTTCGGAACTGCTGATCTCGCTCCACCACCTAAATAGCATGTGTTAGATTGTGATCCTTTGTAAGTCATATTTCCAAGCACTATGTACTCACCCCTCCTGACTTGGCGACTTTGACGACAGATATTTCTGGCTTGTCCCGAAGAATTCTCGTCATATCACTGTACAATCGTTCATGTCCTAGTACAACAACCACATTGACTGTAATAAAATGCAAGTCAATTGCAAGATACGTAAGAAGCAGATAACGTAGCTGATATTTACCCGAGAATTGTTCGATAGCGTGCTGTATGATATCATAGCCGACATTGTCTATTAAACCGGTTGTGTCTATGATTTGACCTCCAAGGCGAGTTTCATCGTCTATAGCACTTCGAGCTTTGACTCCTTGTGCAAGTTTAGATGTCAATAGTTTGTACAATTGAAGGTTTTCGGCTGGATTTTGATATCCGTAATAATATGCAAGTGGCATGGTAGTTGATCCCATGGATGCAGCTGTGGTGGCGGTAGACCCAAATCCTTCCTCTACATCTATAATATGACTTATTGAAGTTGCTGTCATGGTTCCTGGCATGGTTATAGATCCCTACACGAATTGTTAGTAAGCTCAATTGGTGTTACTGAAGCATCACCCCAATCGATATACCTCAGAACAGTCAAGTGAAACATGTAGCGGCCGTCGTCCTTGTCGCAGTGCATAGCTTAGTAATATTTTGCAAAGGGATGTTTTTCCAACGTCATGAGGTCCGAGGACAAGTACCTGAAAATGATGCATTTATAAAGATGGACATTTTTAACGGCTCTCCTGGTGAAGATCGCTTACTCTGGGGCCTTGTTCTCCTTGCTGAGCAGCATTCTCTCGGATCTGCTCAAGTGCAAGATGCAAATTAAGATAACTATTCATGGGAGTTTCGTTCGCAGTGTATTCAACGCTGCATTGGCCAGTGAGTTCGAGACAGCAGCCATGCCAGGTAAACACCGCGATTTTTCTTCCAAAGAAGTGGTAGGTGACGCCGGTTGCCAATTCAGTTCCAAAGATTTCGGCTGTTCCGCTTACAAGCTACAAAATGTGTTTGTTAATCTTTCGAGAAATCAAAAGCTGACGATCTTTTTGCGCGTAATGTGCTAACCTTGACCGATGCTTTTGACGAGAATTCAACTTCAAATCGAAGCTCACTTTCTTGTTCTAGATTGTATTCGCGAGTATCAGCTATAGCCTGTACAAGGCCAACATATGTGTTAGATTATCAAGCGCTCTTTTCGCTTTGAATGAAGGTTTCTGTACCTTACCTTGTTCATTTTAAAGCTAATCTATACTTTTAGAGGACAAGTGCTGCTTCTGACAGTCCCAGTTGCTGAGTGTCAGGCTTTAATTTTTTTGAGAACTTTCAACGGCCGAAGACAGTACGGTTTCAAAACCTGGCTTTTACCTTCAGTCCGTACACCTTTGTGAAATGAAAAAAGCTATACCGGCATATCTGGATAGCGTTTCTAACGCTGCAATAACATGCAGAGGAAAGCAACTTGCCTCGTTACTATCTCTAAGCGATGCCCATGTCAATACGCTTCTGGAACATAATGCGCAGGTACGCGTGGCTTACGCAATTCAGTATTTAAATTGACGTTCATTATCTGACAACCTCTGGAAATAAACAGTCTGCAAATCTCGTTGAAACGGCAAGAACAAAGCTAAACTATCCTTGGGACGATATACTATTACTCCATGTCGAGATCGTTCGAGCTCAGCATCAAGGCGATTTGCAACAAGCGTATGAGGATCAAAAGGAGCTCGTACAGTATGTGTCTGCCATTGGCAACAGAAAGAGGGCTTGCATGTCATTAACATGAGCGTTTTAGGTCCTTTCAGAGAGCAATCAATAGTTACGACAAGTGGTGCTTGCCTTTTCTTTATGCGATAAACAAAGACTTGAGAGATCTAGCAGTTGAAGCCGATGTACAGCAAGCGAACGACAAGAAGGAAAACAAGAACTTGGAGGAGGCTGCTAATGTCATGAGCAAATCATTTACTTCTTGTATTACAGATCGATCTCTTGACAGAGCCAAGTCGAGGAAATGGGGAACATATCACATCAGTAATCTACTGTTCAAAACCTACTTTAAGGTAAGGACATGATTTGTCAGTCAGTTTGGATGATAGACAGGTTATATATCATGAAAATGCCATCACATATTAAGTCAATGGTTTCATTCTTCAGATCAAATCTCAAAATTTATGTCGCAATGTGCTCAAAGCCATTCGGGTGAACGACTTACCACCTTTAGAAAGCTATCCTAAAGCTGATAGGGTTACATTCAGATACTATTTAGGTCGGCTTTATTTCCTGGAAGAGCAGTACATAAAGGTATGTTTGGATAATCAATTGCACTATTCAAAAGTCAAAACTCTTACTAACTTTGCTCTCAGGCTGAACAAGAATTGTCATTAGCCTTCCTGGAATGCTCTACAAGGAGTTCTCGTAACAAGCAGTAAGAGCTCGGCCAACATATTTTCATTTGCGGTAGACAGCATGGTTTCTAAATTTTTGTTTTCAGGCTCATACTGCATTACTTATTGCCTGTTAGAATTTACCTCGGAAAATTGCCTACCAGAAAGCTTCTCAATCGGTATCCGTCGATATCTGCCTTATACTCTCCACTTGTGAGCGCTATTCGCGAAGGAAATGTGCGAGCGTTCGACGTTGCAATGGAATCTGGATATGCACATCTTATCGACCGTGGTACATTTCTAACAATAGAAAAGGCGCGCAGTATGGTGATTCGAACACTCTGCCGAAGGGTCTACTCCATTATGAATACTACAAGAATTTCAATGGAAACGTTCAAGCAGGCTCTCGAATTTGCTGGGCTTGAAGTAGATATGGAAGAGGTTGAATGTATGCTAGCTGTGCTAATTTTCAAGGTAAATTATTCAGAACTGGAGAATTACATAACTGTGTTCAACTTACTGATTTCAATCTATAGGGTTATATCAAAGGATACTTATCTCATGAAAAACAGTTTGTTGTTCTAAGTGCCAAAGATCCGTTCCCCATACCTTCCAGTGTCGTTGTTACTTAAATCATAGATGAAAAGACCTTAAAGTATAAGATAGTGTACAGTGCTTAAAAAAATCTTGCCTCCATTCAACACCCCTTTCACGAATGAATGAGCGGCGTGGAATCAAATATGGTACTTAGTTGTCTAGTTTATCATGACCAGAATATCATACGTCATTTACAGACGTTGTCCTAGGTAGACATTGTTTGTGAATACTCAGATGAAATGTGCCAGTTTACAAGATCAAACTGATGGCCGAACATTGATTTATAGAGTTAATATGTTATGCATAGAAGTAGCATAACTCTCATTCATTAACCACAGAGCCTCCACTTGCCGTCTTAGTAGTTTGGAAGAACCAACCGCAAGCAGTCACGTTACGCAACCGTCTGTCACTCCACAGCTGACAGCGTTTCGTACCGCCTCTTTTATCCCATCTACTAATCCACTATGAAAATATACTCCATTTCCGTTCTACGTAACGATGGTGGATCTGCACATCCCTTGGCAGCAGAGTACAACCTCGCCGAATTTGGTTATTTTCAACGTTCAAGGTATAATTTGAAAACATGGTTGTGTTTGTCGTCAGACTGAAATTCAACTGACCCATCCTCTCTTCGATCCCACTAGTGTCCAAGAGTTCATGGGCTTCTTCTCTAAAACCGTCGCTGAACGAACATTAGCAGGACAACGTCAAAGTGTTGACGAAAGCAGTAAGTTGATTGAATGAGACCGAAACTGATCTCTCTAAACATAGCATTGACTCCAAACTGTTGTTACTAGACTATGTCGGACATGTGTATGCTAGAGCTGAGGGAGTTGCTGGTGTTGTGATTACAGACAAAGAGTACCCAGCACGTGTTGCCTTCTCGCTTTTGAACAAAATATTGGACGAATTCATCATGCGTTACCCCGTTGAAAAATGGTCCGGTACCGTTCAATATCCCGAACTTGCTGAATATCTCAAGAAATACCAAGATCCCAAGCAAGCTGATTCGATCATGAAGGTCCAAAGAGACTTGGATGATACCAAGGTTATTCTCGTAAGTTGTTCAAAAACCCTTTGACAGACCGGAAAAGCTCCATTCACTAAAGTAACTAATTTCGAAAATGTGACAGCATAAAACCATTGAAGGTGTCCTTCAACGTGGTGAAAAGTTGGATTCTCTTATAGAGCGATCAGAAGAACTGTCAAGTCAGTCCAAAGTATTTTATAAAACTGCCAAGAAGACAAACTCTTGCTGCGTGGTCATGTAGTATAGACCTCGTTATTGTATTATCTACCAATTTCATTACTCAATTTGCTATAAACTTCTTTCTTAATGCAAATTTATGCTGCTCGACTGAATGCAGTCTTGTATTTTTCATGAACCTTTGTACAGTGCTTGAAAGAATGAAGGGAAAGACGATGCTAAAAATGACAACAACAAAAAACATTACTTTCCAGATCTAACGAAACCAATACAACTGACAGAAATCAAATTGAATATATGCGTGAAAATAATTTGTGAATGGAGGAAAATCCAAAATTGAGAAAAGTAAGTCTCGAAACTGTTAAGTTATCGACGAGGTGAGAAGGTTGAAAGCCGTCTATCAAAAAATGAGAATCCGCTGTTGCTTTTTTTACGCTCGTGTTGAATGGGTGATGGTTGTGTCGACCACGCCTCTGTTTCAACGTTCCCAATCGCACCCCAGCTATGTCGGGGGTGACGAACTTCCAATTCATCTTGCGAAAGCAGACTATCCCATGGTTGTTGAGACTTTGCGTTGAACATACTCAATGGTCGTTCCGTTGCCGAAGAAGGTGGAGCGATAGGTGTCCTGGTGTTGTTATATAAATCCCAGCGCAGATAAGGTGCAGACGCAATCGGGTGTTCGGGAAGATTAGGTCGCATTTCGCTGTTATCAAACTTTGGTACTAGTCCAAGAGCATTTCCTTTAGTAGGGAGAAAGCCTTCGCCTCCTCGAAAAAGGGCATTAAGGACATCGGGATGTTGATAATTGCCTGTCTTTGCATCGAATCCCATAGACACCGGTCTACCGCTAAAGAGGACCGACTCTGAAGACAAGGATGGTTGTGGCCGCGGTACAATGTCAAGCTCCAAGCCAGATGAAAAGGGTGAATACCAACTTTGCCGTTTTTCATTGTTGGACACAACTGACGATTGGGATAGTGCAGGAGAAACTGGTGATTGTGGTGATGAGATCACTGCGGCGGTGCGTTGCTCGGCAACAGGGCTAGGAGCCGATGTACTGGCAGCAACATTAGCATAGGTGATATTGGTGTTTGATACTCGAGGCGACGACTTAGGCGTTCCTTGAACGTCGTCACACACAACGTCTTCGCAACTAACGGAGGTCAATTTGGGAGACAATTTAGAAGTAGTACGAACGGGTTCATGCGCCTGAGAATGATGGTTATGACGATGTGTAAATTTTTCATTTCCCGCTTTCGGGTTTGATTTTGGTCCTGATGAAGTGTATTGTTCATCTGAAGTTTTCCTAGTGGGTTTCTTTACATGTGATTGATCAGAGGCAGAATTGCATTGCTCCATCTGGGCCATCTTTTGGCGTTGAAGTTTTGCACCACCCCTGGTTCTTCTCCGTTTACGTTTTGCTGCTGTGATAAAATCATCATCAGCCTCGGCGAGATCGACTGTGCTGGCTTCAGGAACTGCGTTCGTTTCCTCTGTGTGAGAAAAAGCGCTAGCATCGGTGGCAGCAAGGTTCTCAACCGAGTCAGTCCTCGTGGAGTGATCTTCAGTTGGTGATTCGGTGGTACTTTCGTATGAGTCGTTGTTGTTCGTTATAATAGGTGGTGATACTTCTTCCTTGGAGTCCGTCATAATATGATTGTCTTCGAGATTCTTTTCCTCTTCCTCCACGGAAGGTGTTTGAGTTGGTGTGGGCTTGGAAGTGCTGCTTACCCTTTTCGATGATTGTCGTGCTGAACTAGGTGGATGACGTTGTCTCGGTTGTGATAAAGGAGAAGATACTTTGGTTATATTGGTAGGTTTTTTGGGGGTACGGGTTTGTGTTGGGAAATTCCCAGCAGAAGCAGTTGCATCGTGCTCTTCATCACTTGAAAATAGGCTGTCCAACGTATCCATGTTATTAGCATTGACAGTCGGTTCCCGATATAGTTTCCAGCAGTGAATCATATACAATTTAGCCTTTTCCACCGCAATAGGGTTCGCCTGTAAATGTCAGAAGTGTCAGGAATATTCTCCCCTCCCTTTATTTTTGAAAATAACAATCGAATGCCCCTTACCTTGACAAACCACCATGTAAGCATTATAACGGCTATTATAACCAGTACGTAAGCCAAAGGTGCCAAGACTGAGTGCAGGGCTGAGAAATTAGGTAATATTGGATGAAGCCATTTCTTTAGCTGTCCCAGGGTTCCGATGCAAAGAATGAGAAGTAATGAAATGAAGAATAGGGCTACTGGCAGGACCACCAGTATTGAGGTAATGCGCAAGCCTCGAGAGGTGCGCATTTCCCTAGTACTCAAGCCTTATTTCTTGCAACTTCGCAAGAATAGCAAAAAAGAAAAAACTTTTGGAATGAGGAAAGGTTGAGTCAATATGTCTCAGCCGAAACAAACCAGAGAAAAATTCAAAGAGCTTCAGTCACATTTTTTTTTCTGTCAAAAAACTAAAAAAAAAAAAAAAAATTTGCCCCCCAAATGAAATCATTTCCATGAGCTAAGATATGATTTTTATTTACAATAGGTAAAAACAAGACAGATAAGTAAAAACAGGTGGTAAATTTATTGCTGTTGTTGTCTGCGACGGTCACGCTCTTCAGAAATGGTGAGCTTGATACCCTTCTGCTTGGGAAGAGAGATCCAGGGCTTATTGCCTTGACCAATAACGAAGACGTTGGACATACGGGTAGCAAATTGACGGTCAAGGGAATCCTTAACGTGGACAATTTCAAAACCGCCGATGTGACGTTCACGGTGAACAATAACACCAACACGACCCATGTTACGACCTCCAGTAGCCATGCAGACGTTACCGACTTCGAACTTGATGAAATCAGAGATCTTGGCAGTCTCGACATCATAACGGATAGTGTCATTGGCCTTGATCAAAGGATCGGGGTAACGGATGGTACGGCCGTCATGGGTGATGACATAGGGAATGCCCTTAGCACCTAATTGGACCTTACGGACCTTGCAAAGCTTGTACTTGGATTCCTCCTCGGTAATGCGGTGGATAGTGAAGCGACCTTTCACGTCATAGATGAGACGGAAGTTCTCACCAGTCTTCTCAATAGAGATGACATCTTCATAGAAGATAAAGGCAGAGTTAATCATCCGTTATTCATCAAAGCTTTCACTTCCAATTGCATTTTCATCTTGAAGCCAGAAGCCAGATCCTCGCAACTTGCATGCCAGTTAGCAGAGCAAACAGCTTGCTTTACACTACAGAGAAAAAGAAAGGGAGGTGCCAAGGGGTATCGACTGATCACGTTCATCCGCAGAATCCTTACGACATATCATTTTTCGTCAATCCTTCTTAGCTGTCCTCCCTCTCCCCTCCCTGCTGTGGGGGAAGTACTGGGCAAGCCAGTGGAGGAGGGAGTTCCAGCTTCGGCAATCAAGTGAAAACACAAAAGGGTTGTAATATTTTTTAATTCAGATGAAATTGAACTTACCCATGAAACCGGCAGGGTAGGTGCTGTCAGTGCGAACCTTTCCATCGACTTTAACAAGACGTTGCATAAGGATGTTTTGGACTTCCTTTCCGTTCAAAGCATACTTCAGACGGTTACGCAAGAAGATGATAAGAGGAAGACATTCACGGGTCTTGTGGGGACCAGCGCTGGGCTTGGGAGCATATGAGCCTACGTGAATAACATTGGTTAGCAACTGTTTATATGTTATTCTGGTTACATTATGGGTTGCTTAAAAAACGGTGTAATGTTTTCGAGGGCCAGCTCAGAACAAAAATTTTCAACATAGTTATGTTCAGCCTGTTGAGCTTGACATAGATTTTTGTACATATCATCATAGTGCTGCTGTTTTGCGATAGTGTGTCGGGTATTCTTATTAAATACGAACATAGATGTTCCTACTTACCAAGGAGCTTGTCAAGCATCCAGTGCTTGGGAGCGTTAAGGCGCTTCATGTGCTTCTTAGGTCCGCGAGCCTGGTGTGAGCAGAAGACTGTTAGTTTAAAAATCTCATACATCCACGTCAATAGCTATCCATCCACATATCCATCCATCCATCCATGGAATATGTGATCGATAGATCGATCGATGATCAGATTATAACGTACCATAGTGTCAGATAGTAATCAAAGAGGAGGATGTTTGGATGGAACCTGTTCCCATCAAATTTAACCAATTTCAAAAATTTTCAAAAACCGACGTGCTTTTGTCATAAAAACTGTGTGAAATGGCAAAGATAGAGGCCGCTACTACTTAGTTTTCTCGGCAGAACAAAAAGTAGAAAAGACTATCAAATTATCTAAAGGTGGAATAACTAACTGCGTAACAAAATGGGGATGAGAGCAACAATTTCTTTATAATCGGAGGAAATGCTGTACAATGTTTTGGTTTTTGGTTCTTAGTAACCTTTGCCATGTTTTCATATTTTGTTCTTTATGCTATCGAGGTTAAACGCGCGTTCTCTAGATTGTGAAGCGACCAGTAGTTTCTGAAGGGCCCTTTGTTGCTGCATCACTATGTGGAGTAAATTCGAGGGGCATGTTGGGGATATTTAAAGTTTCCTTCAGCTTTTTGCTATATGATCGAAGGAAACGTTTCCAGTAATTAGCCAAAAAGTTACAATGAATATATTTCATAAGAAAAAAAAACACGTACCCAATACCATCGAGAACTTCTCTGTTATCGCTGGTTTTGGTCCACAAAGAAATTCTGAAAAACACCTTTCGGACGGAAACAACAGCACCAGTAACTTCATCTTCGTTGGGCAGCTGTTCACCTATGCATGCAAGCAACTATAAAGCAATGGTTCAATTATGTATTATATCTTCAAGGAGAAATAAACAATCAAAAATAAGTATACTTACAGTGTACAACCAGAGATCATTGATAGCTTCGCCAGTTCTGTTCTTGGGCAACTGTACGCTGAATTTACCACCGTGTTCGTTGGCAGGGTCTTCCCATTCAGGTCTGACACCTTTCTTGAACAAGTGGTAGTTTGAGCTGATGTCCAAGCGGCTAACTTTGACAATATTATTGAAGACCCTGAAAGAAATCGAAATCAGTACCCCTTGATACTATGAAACAAGCGAAATAATATCCAGGCTAATCTGGAATGCATCAACGTACGCCCAAAAGTCTTCGATCGTTTTAAATGTCACAATTTCCTTCAAATTCTGTGACCATGATTGAACATTTGCTTTCTTTCCAGGATTATCGAACCACAAGGTCCATTCGTTGTGAAGTGGGTGCTTGACATTATAGTTCATGCGATCATGAAAGATGGTGACAGGTTGATCGTCCTCGGAACCCTTGGTTTCGGTGGACTGGGTAGCATTTACATCGGAGGCAAGAGTAGCATCTACAGGTGCCGGTGTCGTTGGGTCAACACTTGGAGCAGTTTCAACGGCGGACATGTTGGAGATCAGACACTTTGCATCTGCAAAAAAAAATGAGTGTCTTTGACCACTCTCAGCGCTACCAGTGAGAGGCAAGCCACTAGTGACGTAACAATATTAAGTGAGCAAAATAAATAACTGAACAAATTTCAAATCGACACTGTACCAAGTTACAGTCATGACACTGGTCAAGAGAGGGATTCGTGTAAATAAATTATGGATTCCATATGCATTTGTCTATCTACCTATATAACGGTGTAGGCAATGAACGGCCATTCAAAACGATTTCCCATCTTTGGATTGGGTGGTGGTAGGTCAAATTTGACAAGACAGCTTATACGCGAAGCTACTTGATTTTTTCACGGTCATATTTGCATAATAAGTTCAAAGTTGCGAACAGCAATGAATGACTTCCGTTTAGAGTGTTAGGAAATCAAACTTCACTCCATAATTTTTGGTAGCTTGAAGCAGGACTTGTGATACACAATAGCAAAGTTGCTAAGTGATATACAAATGTTTACTTGAAACTTTTCGGTAACAGCAGCCATTCATGCTTGTTTTACCACGAAATATCATAATGCGACGAGACGAAACGAACATCTTATTATGAGAACATATATTGCACGATGTTGTTCACTTAGCCTAATCATATTGGCCATATTCACGCTCTGCTAGGCATAGCTTCTTATTTGAGGTCTTTTTCGCACTGCGACAGAGTTAACCACGAACTCTTGGGATCTGAATTCCTCATCCAGATGGCGGATATTTTTCACGACGAAAATCAAGAATACTTCCTTCAAAATGATGTCACCCAATGTCAGCGGTGGTTGTCGGACGGGAAGAAAAATACCCAAATTTTTTTTTTTTTTGTTCCCTCGGAAAGCGACCAATTTGATTCCCAAAGCTAACTGGCGTACTAGAAATACTGCCATTGTTACTGTAAAAAATTGAGAGAAAATTAACCATAGAGCAATAAAATAGTTATAAGAATGATTTTAAGTCAACGTTAAGAAACAAAAGCAGAGAAACTTCCTATAGCTCAAATCAGGCTTCATCAGATAGAGATCAATCGCAGTCACCAATTCAGACAGCCCCAATTTTTTTGCTCTGTTCCGGAATCGACGAGGGAAACGGGAAAACGCTCCCAGACGAAACCAATTCAAATTTTTTGTTCTTCTTATTTCCTCCCTTCTTCTCTATAATGTCTGCCAGACGCCAGCTATTGAGATCTTCTACCCAGCTTTCTGCTGCCCTTCGCACCTCTGCTCCTAAGGTTGCTGCTAGAACCACCCCTCTTTTGGTTCGTTCTTCTGCAAACGCTGCTCGCGCTTTCTCCACCACCAGGTAAAGTGTACCCGCCGAATGGGAAGCAATCTTTCTGCTTCAATCAGCTAATAGATGCTTTCTGATAATAGCTCCAACGGCTTCTATGCTCTTCGTGCTTTGCAACCCGCCACCTTGAAGGATGTCAGACTCTACAGCTCCAAGTGTACATATCTACTTAGTTTTTATACCATGCCACCCCGTTCATTGATGCTCATTACAGACTTTCATTTATCTAGCTTACCCATCACACACTGTCATCAACATGCCTGCTCTTTCACCTACGTAAGTAGTATTATTCAACCTTATACTAGGGACCACCTTTAAGCTGAATACCGTATTAATGCTTTGTGTTTACTTTCCCCCACCCTAGTATGACCCAAGGTAACATTGGTGCTTGGAACAAGAAGGTTGGTGACTCCATTGCTCCCGGTGAGGTTTTGGTCGAGATTGAGACCGATAAGGCTCAGATGGACTTTGAGTTCCAAGAAGAGGGTTACATCGCCAAGATTTTGACCCAACCCAACGCAAAGGAAGTCGCTGTTGGTCAGGTAAGCAACTTTCGCCATGCATTGCGGCAGTGTAGAACGCGTTTGATCAATTTTAACGTCTCATACTTGAATTTTTAGCCCATCGCTGTTTTGGTTGATGATGCCGACGATGTTGCCGCCTTCGAGGACTTCGTCGCCGAAGACGCTGGCGCTGCTCCCAAGGAGGAGGCTGCCGCTCCTGCTGAAGAGAAGAAGGAGGAATCTTCTGCTTCCAAGGCTGATGCCCCCAAGGCTGAAGCTAAGTCTGGTAGCTCTGACGGTAATTCATGATAGATAATTTTGGTGGATACGTGAAGCATTTATTTTTGCTAATATTATTTGAACGGTAGATCGCGTCAAGGCTTCTCCCATTGCCCAAAAGATTGCCAACGAACGTAAGATTGATTTGAGCCAAGTCAAGGGATCTGGACCTGGTGGCAGAATCGTCAAGGAAGACGTTGAAAACTACAAGCCTGGTACGTCCCTTGACTTTTATGAGTGAAATATCAAAGGTACAGGATTGCTAACCATTTTTTTTTGGCACATTATAGCTGCTGCTTCTGCCTCTAAGTCTGCTGCTGCTCCCAAGCCTGCTGCCGCCAATGCTCCTACCACTGCTGCTGGACCTGCTTTCACTGATGTCCCCACTACCAACATGCGCCGTGTTATCGCCACCCGTTTGTTGGAGTCCAAGACCACTATGCCCCATTACTATCTCACCTCTGAGATCAACATGGAGAAGATCAACAAGCTTCGTGAGGTTCTCAACGCCTCTGCCAACAATGAGTACAAGCTCTCTGTCAACGACTTCATCATTAAGGCTTCCGGTCTTGCTCTCAAGAAGGTTCCTGAGGTCAATGCCTCATGGCAAGGTGACTTCATTCGCCAATATCACAACTCTGATATCAGCGTTGCTGTCTCCACTCCTGCTGGTCTCATCACTCCTATTGTCGGTTCTGCTGACACCAAGGGTCTTTCTGCCATTTCCAACCAAGTTAAGGAGTTGGCCGGCCGTGCTCGTGAAAACAAGCTTCAGCCTCATGAATACCAAGGAGGATCTTTCTCCATCTCCAACCTTGGTATGTTCGGTATCCAGCATTTCCAGGCTATCATGCAACCTGGTCAAAGCGCTATCTTGGCTATCGGATCTACCATCAAGAGAGTTGTTCCCGATGAAACCAAGGAGAGCGGGTTCTCTGCACAAGCTGTTATGGAAGTCACTCTTTCTGCTGATCACCGAGTTATTGATGGTGCCGTTGGTGCTCAATGGCTTCATGCTTTCAAGACCTACATGGAGAACCCTTTGAAGATGTTGCTGTAAATACTTTAAAAGCTTCAGCATCTAATCATGTCTCCTAATTACCCTTATTGCTTTCCAAAAACCCCAAAACAAACCTCTTTTTCTTTCGCACTTTTGTGTTCATTATGACCCCTCTTTCTTTCTAAACCATCTGACCACTTTTCCACATAAAAAGGTTACGGTACATACATTCATCTTGTAAAAAGAAGATGGTGCCTACTACACAATGACAAGAATACTTGAATAAAATTTAAATGGCAAGCTTGCCTTTTCATAGATAAACAAAAGTGTGAATGATCCTTTTCTGGCCCATTGAATGACTCACGTGTTGAGGGTTATGCAATCGACGCACTTCGGCTAGAAAGAAAAAAAAAAAAAAACCTGGACTGACCATTTTTAATCTTTAAAGTCTTATCACTCTCATCATGGACAGAAATTCAGAAGGCAGACGAAATGCTTTCAAGAGCAAAGGAGTGTTCAAACCTGAAGAGATCAGAAGACGTCGAGAAGCGCAACAGGTCGAGATTAGAAAACAAAAGAGAGAAGAAAATTTGACAAAACGTCGCAATTTCAATGCTAATGAGTTTAGCGAAGACAGCGACGATGACATTGACATCAGCAATTCAGAGAATCAGGTAAGATTTTGGCTTCAGTGATATATCAAGAGTTCCATTCGATCTCAATCTCATCACCATCACACCTGCAGCTTGCCGAGATCTTGCCAGAGATGATCCAAAGCGTGTACTCCGATGATGTTGACGTGCAGCTTCAGGCTACCTCTCGATTCAGAAAGCTACTTTCCAAGGAGAAAAATCCTCCTATTGAAGAAGTTATTGCTTGCGGTGTTGTTCCTCGATTTGTTGAGTTCCTTCGATCACCCAATTCTAACGTGCAAGTGAGTACAAGGCAGGGGCATAGGTTCGGATTATAGATATCCTAATAGATATACTGATAACTGTTGATTCAAAGTTTGAAGCCGCATGGGCTCTCACAAACATCGCTTCCGGATCTTCACAACAAACTCAAATGGTCATTGATTCAGGTGCTGTTCCCTTCTTTGTCGAGCTTCTCAGCAATCCTGTCGCAGATGTCAAAGAACAGGTAAAAGAAAAAATAATAATTTACGCAAGAGTATATACTGTTGGCAAACAACCTCAGCCGACATTGCCGTTCTATTATACTAATTTTTTCGTGGTCTTGACAGGCTGTTTGGGCTTTAGGTAACATTGCTGGTGATAGTCCTAGATGTAGAGACTATGTCCTCCACCAAGGCGCTTTGCCCCCACTTTTGGCTCTCTTCACTGAAGATAGCAAGATTTCAATGCTGAGAAACGCAACTTGGACCTTGTCCAACTTTTGCCGTGGCAAGAATCCTCAACCTGACTGGAATTTGGTATGTAATGAACGACCCGTTTTTTTTTTTTTTTTTTTTCATTTGAAGTATCCAAAGTTCTCCATACTAAAGGCTTTCTCTGTTTCCGTCAATAGATATATCCGGCATTGCCAATATTGGCCAACTTAATACAGGCCACCGATGAGGAAATTCTGATCGATGCTTGCTGGGCCATTTCATATTTATCAGATGGACCAAACGAGCGCATACAAGCAGTGATTGAATCAGGCGTTTGCAGTCGACTTGTTGAACTTTTGAACCACCCTTCAACCACTGTGCAAACCCCTGCCTTGCGATCAGCAGGAAACATCGTTACCGGCGATGACATGCAAACCCAAACTATCATCAACTGTGGTGTCCTTACTGCTCTCTATCATTTACTCAGCAGTCCAAAAGAAGGCATCCGCAAAGAAGCATGCTGGACGATTTCCAACATTACTGCCGGTAATACCACTCAAATTCAGGCTGTGATCGAAGCCAATATGATATCTCCATTGGTTCATATTCTAAGCAGCGGGGATTTCAAGACCAAGAAAGAAGCTTGCTGGGCTCTTTGCAATGCCACTTCCGGTGGATTGAATCGACCTGAGCAGATTAAGTACCTCGTTAACGAAGGATGCATCAAACCTCTTTGCGATATCCTCAATTCTATGGACAATAAGATCATTCTTGTCGCTTTAGACGGCATTGAAAACATTCTGCGAGTTGGCGAGTTGGATCGTACTAACTCAGACGAAGGCCTCAACATGTATGCTATCATTGTTGAAGAATGCGGCGGTCTTGAAATTATTCAAGAGCTGCAAAACCACGACAATGAGGAAATTTTCAAGAAGGCCTACCACTTGATTGACCGATACTTCAGTGAAGATGAAGAAGAAGATGCTGATATGGTACCTGAAATGGATTCCAACAATGGATCCTTTGCCTTCCAGCAAGACGTAAACTTGCCTTCCGGAGGGTTCCAGTTTGGCTCCAAGCAATAAAAAAAATCAGACGCTTTATTTTTTTTCACTCTCATACAAATCCCAATATAAAAAAATAAAAAATATAAAAAAAAAATCCCCGTTCTTCCATTTTTTACACAAACCCTCACTCTTTTATTTGATTCAAATCCATATCAACAATATTTGGTATGACCTTGTTGCTCACCAAAACATGCCACTATGCCGTGCTGGTGGCTATCGAAGAAGGTGCGTGGACAGGTTTCGCTGTCTTTCAGGCGGTACTTCAACCATGGCCCATCGTTTTCTAATCCCATGCTGCATTCCAGGTCGTAATTTTCCTGACAATCCCGACCAGGATGTGTTTATCCAGTCAAGACTTAATCTAGTTCTGCCATCTGTGGTGGATGACTTGATTCCTCCAGCCACGCTTATAAATTCCGTACCCGTTTCAACCCATTCTCGTCCTGCCTGGCGCACCACGCTCGCATATTTTGTATCGGCCAAATTGTTACGCCGTCTGAGAAAACAAGGCGCTCAGGTACGCCTGGATGTAGCCACACTCAGCCTTGACAGTCGCCATGAAGTCATGGGTACAGTATCCTTGGATGTTAAGGACGCCAAAATGGTACTTATGAAAGATGGAAAGCGAGAACTGAGGGAAGTCGAAGCGTATGTCGTGGACAAGGGCAACTGGTTACCCTTATCCCCGCCAGCCGGTGCAAAGGCATCGCTTTCGTCACGAAATCCCGAGATCAAAGCCGGATTATTTGTTCTTGATATGCCGCAAGCTGTGAGTGATCTTGCAGCAAGGTCATCTACGCCCGTGCCTGCTACCTTCACGAAAAGGGCCCTGACCAAAACGGACCCTGGCTTAGAGCTGTGCTCAAGTAGTCAGATCATGGAGCATGATGATCACAGCCTAAGTCAGCTTTCATCGGAAGACGACGATGACGACGATGAGGATATTCCAAACCCTTCAAGGTCAAGCAGCTTATCCGCCAATAAAGCAAAACTCAAATCGTCCGGCATGCCGCGACGTGTTCAATCTCACAATAATATTAAACATATCGCCACGGAGTCGGAATATGTGCGAAAACGCTACTCCTCATCCGCATCCCAACCAAAAGTTAACCTGGAAAAACTTTCTACGGCCTTTACAGGCATGAAAATAGAACCGCATGGGAAACCTAGCCCTACTAATGGTACGACTACGGAACGACGACGACATGATCGAACGAGTTCAGAAACCTCTGCTACTACGGCTGCGTCCAATAATCAACTTCAAAGCCCCTCCTCCTCCTCTTCATCCTCAAGTCTCCCCTATCGCCAAATCGGAAAAGGGTCTAAACCAATCACTTTCTATTTCAATATTGTCCATGCAGACCATATCACCAGTCTCTTACGTGCCAAATCTTCTTATGCTCGCCGACGACCCCGACCTTTCTTCCGGTATCAATTTCTATCCAACATCATCACAGCTCCTGCTTCGTCACTCTCCTTAATTCAACAACGACAATTTAGAGATTCAAAAAACAAGGTGACATGCTGCTTTCATTTCCGTGGTCAGCCCCATGATATTCAGTCGTGGCTTACGCGACAACAAAAATTGGTGGTCACTTTGATTGTCAAATCCGATATGGACAACGAAGACGACGAAACTATCGGCGTTTGTGAAATCCCTCTATCCAGTGTTGCATTTTCGACTGCAAATGGACTTCAACGAGCCATCAATGATAACGAAGACTACTTCTATGGCTCTGTAGAACAGGATGCCATCGAACGAGTGTTGCCTGAACGAAGCTTTCCTGTGTACGACTTGCAGACGAGAGAGCTTTGTGTCTCTGCTCCTGAGGAGATTGCCCGTATCACTGTTCGCATGGGTTTAGTCGCTGGTTGGTGGAATAACGACGCCACAGCTAGTCAAAGGGAAGACCAGGGGCGGCTTAAATCGCATCGTTTGTCGTGGACTCGGTTGTCCTCTGAGAATGATCATGCCAACACTCTTAAGCGTGCGAATAGCAATGGTGCGGAACAATTTGAACAACTGCTGAAAAACAAAAAAATGAAACGCGCTGTAAGCGAACAGGGCTCGCCAAGACGATCCTCTTCTCGGCAGCAACCACTTCACGGTAAATTCATTGCCCCACGACCTATTGTGCCTTCCAGCTTTTCGTTCTCTAAAAGCGACGATCTCTCCATATCTGATTCCCTTGAGCAAGAGGAGCTGGATATGGAGGACGATCCACCCTCCGTCAATAGTCGACGACTCATGGAGCAAAGACAAAAGCGTCTTGAGAAGACCTTGTTACGTGGTCACTCGGATCTGGGGGCTTACCGCGAACGGCCAGTAAGCAGCTCGGATCGTAAGAAATCCATCGATGATGCGCTGATGCCACCACCTATGAACCTCTCGCAACACAGACGATTGAACAGAGCGCATACACATTCGTCATCGTGGACAACGGACTTGCTTGACCCCGTACCGTCTCTCACTGCTGACAGCGACACCATCAATGAGGAAATTGACGATCCTTATCAAGAGTCTTTGACCCAAATGTATTCAGAAGCTTTGGATTTAATGCGTGATCATTCAATGAGATGGAGCAAGGTGAAAACTTTGGTTACGAGCGAAGTAGATAGAGTTCTTCGTGAACGACAACGTCTAGCTGAATTTCGCAAGAACATAGAAGTGATGCTCAAGACAAAACGGGCAAGGGACCATGGTATTGCCAAACCGTCGTCCGTCAACCGTACCAAAATGGCCGAAAAAAGACTGTCTGGAAACTTTTCGTAAACCCCTCCCCGAACTGTGATTTTTAATGCTTTCATTTGTTTCTTATTGTCATCTTGTGTGTGCTTAATTACCATCAACCAAACACTGTAATTTTTTGATGTGTTGTATGGAAAAATCAGAAAAAGCCCCTTCTTTTTTCTTTCTTTTGCAATATTCCCCCTCAACCGAATTCTGTTAAATATCCCACTCTCTCCTTTACCCCATCTGTATCTCCATTTTTCTCTTTATTGCAAGGCACTGCGCTGTATTCTTCGTATATCTACCAATCTCTTATAAATATTACTCGTGTGAACAATGACTTCCGTATTATCCATATGCATTTATTATACTCGAGCTGAGAAAAACGAATAGTTGGTATTTCCGTCAAGTAAATTGAGTCTCATTATATAGAATATTGGTGTTATCAAATCAAACGTATGGTCCATGTTTTTAAAGCGCATTGGATAATATCATGGGAGGGCTAATCTTATCGACGACCTGCAGCATGAACCATTTAGTCTTTTGTACGGTTATAGGTCATAATGGGACTTATACACCTACCTGCTTTCCAACCAACTGCTCCACAATAGTCAAAGCAAATAAAAACGCTGTGCCAGGTCCACGGCTTGTAATGACATTTTGATCCACCACAACTCTGTCTTCCGAGTATTTGTATACTAAATGATGTAATTAGAAACATGAAGGCACACAATTCGCTACTGCTGAACTACAAAATCAATTGGCTTACCATCTTCGAGCTGATCCTTTACACTAGGATGTGACGTTACTTTATGGCCTTCTGGTACACCTGCAGATTTAGCAACAAGGGTGCCTAGATGGTACGATGGATTTGTGATTCAGTTCTAGACTCTCTTATAGAAGCGTTTCCTGGCAACAATTCTTACCAGCACAGATGAAGGCGACAATCTTTTGATTTTCGTAAAACGATGAGACAAGTTTCTGTACGAGTACACTTTCCGAGAGTACCTTTGCACCGCCGGCACCTCCTGGGATGATGATGGCATCAAAGTCATCCTATACATAGAGTGAGCAAGGATGCGAATCAAATAGCCCCAATCCACATCTATGCATACCTGATTCCAGCTGATACCAATGTGTTCGGCCTCCACGTCTGGTAGTATCTTAACGCCACGGCTACACTCTGCATAAGTACCGTTCTTTAGACCCACGCCAGCGGTCGTGACAGTGATCTCGGCTCGGCGTAAAACGTCCACGGGAATCACAAACTCCATTTCTTCTGTGCCATCGGCAAGTAAAACAAGTGCTTTTTTGCTGGTCATGGTTGTATTGGTTAGCTGTTGGAGATTCCACTTGGTTTTATACAAATATCCATGGTTAAGTACGCCAACGCCTTTTTATTGGTCACGTGTGGACTCTTTGGGTGAGAATGTGAACAAGTATGACGCGAAAGTTATGTAAAAAAAATACTGCAGGGCTGGTTAGCTATACATTATGGAAACTAAAGGCGCCACTGGCACTGTTTGCAGCTTGGGCACCAGCCTTGATGGCGCTCCAGGCTTGAGTTTGGTCTGTGAATGTTTCAAAATCGGTAGAGGACGGCTTGACGACTTCCCACAGCGACCATGGTACACCGTATCCATTTAGGGCCTGGATTTGAGAGGCCATACCGGAAGCTTTGGTAGCATCGTTACCAGTGACTCCCCACTCCTCCATCATGAGTAGTTTTCCTTGCTGTTTGGCTGTATTGATAGCTCCAGGCAAATTGCTATTGATTGCTGACGTGCCGTCGTAACTGTGGATACCAATGATATCAATGTCCGTACAATAGAAATTGTAGTAATTCAAGCTGTCAGTCCAGTCTGCGCCGCCACCAGTACTGACATAGATGCTGCTGCTGCCAAGCTACGCGGCATAGTGTAAGTGGGGATTAATTAACGCTGGAAGGAAAATGCATATACTAACTCACCGCAGTTCTGATTGTACCGGAGCGATGGCACCACCACTGTCGGAGGGGGATATTGTATTAAAGAAGCTGAACCTCACTCTTTTTCTTTCCCATTTCATACTATACCTGATTATCCGCCATATTCATGTGCCCCATTGCTTCGTTTTCTATGTTAAAAGCAAAGATACCATTCTATCAAAAATGACTTTGCATTAAGAACATGGAACGGCATATGTGATTTTGGGTAGCTTGTGCATTGGCTTACTGATAATTGAGACCATGGTGTACCATCAGTGTACTTGTGTGCCAAGATGTGCTTTAAGCGGTTGTCGTAGTCTGCAATTGCGTTGGCATTCGTGTAGAAGATAGAAGCATCGTTGGTAGCAGTGGCACAATTAGTAGTAGGGATGTTGTACTTGGAAACGTACACATCACTTTGCCAGCAACCTAGTTTTATGAAAGTTTATCAATGATACGAGGTGCATTCTGTTGAAAGAAATGGTGTAATTCATACCGAGAGCATATCGATCGTGAGGAGCAATAATGAGCTTGATACCTCGCGGCATAGCTTCAGAAATCAGAGTATCAATCATACCAAGGATAGTATCATCCCAATTGCCGGGTGTTCCAACTTCAACATCGTTTACAGCGCTGTTAGTGCATCCTTTGATATTTTGAGCTACCTCAGTAATGAAAATTCGCAATGTCTTCAGTCCAGCCGCTTGCATAGCATCCAATACAGCAAGACGATCACTTTGTTGAAGAGTGTACACTGTTCACAAATAAGTTAAATAATTCCGCTTGTCAAAATATGAAAGCAATTACTTACAAAAGTACGAGCTTGCGCCTGCAAAACTATTGGCAGATACACCAATTACACCACTGCTGACAATGGTTGACACGGCTCCAAGTAATTTAAATAAGCTAATCTTCATTTCGAAAGTAGTTGTTTGTAAGGTCCCACTACTAATGTAAGGCATGCAGAATATATACTTTTTTCATTCAAATTTTTATTTCCATGATATCTGTACAATCCGAAGTGTTCAAGCATTACCCAATGGCCTGGTATATAAAGGGTTCAGTATTAAAGTTTTTTAGCAATCCGGTGGGTACAAGCAATGAAGTCGTTATAACATATTGGGGTATTGTTATTTGTACAATTCACGTTATATGATCTTAGTACCACATGAAAAAGCGATACGATCAAACATTGTGCTGCTTCATTTTACTCAGGGTAACGGACCACAATGTGGGGAAAAAGCTAAATTGGGCTGCATTGGCAAGGTACCTGGACGAATTGACTCATCAAAGGCCGCCTTGCCATATACAGCGTGCAATATGTGCGCATTATCCTTGCTTGGAGTTGTACAGACAATGAAAGAATAAGGTTCTCCCGTCCGATAAATGTTGGGAGATTCCGATCTACATCATCCATATTGCGCACACATCGATACTATGAATATCATTGTGCCCATCTACATGTGCTTTTCTTACGCTCAAAAACCATGGTCACATTAAGATTCCATTGGCCGAAAGGAATCGACTCGACACGATTGATTTTAATGATGGAAGCAGTTCTGTATCAAGTCATGCAAGTAATAAATTGCCATGAAATTATTCTGGTACCCTTCACGTGCTTCAGAACAAAATTGCAAACGAGAAAGTTGAATATACAGTAGTTATCACTCTGCCCATCGACTAATAGGGCGGCAAATACAGCTAAAATTTAATAACAAATTTAAAATTAACACTTAGTAATTGATGTTGACATTTTTACAATAAAAGACAGTACTAGTATGATGTTGTAAGTCTATAGAAGGTAGTCGATTCTATTTATCCATCACGGTTCTAGGATTCATGTGGAAACCGCGTCCACAATTGGCAGTGGAATCTTCTTTGTGAGCTAAGACAGTCCGCCAAATGATGTGTGTATCGACTACGGAGAGTAGCTCCTGCTTTACCGCCAACATCACATCATCATAGTCTTCTTCGGACAATTCTGCAACCGAACACACCATATTTTTGCAGGATCGAAATTCTGATAGTAGATATAACGCCAAAAGTCTAGCAATGCAACTTTTCCATCGCTTGCCAACTGGGATAGCCACAGTCCACGTGCATGCTGAAGACGCCTGTGTAGCAAACCAAGATGTATTGATGAGCGATGGTAGACAGTGTGCTAGCTGAGCGTTTATACCAATGCACTCGAACGCTTTGGCATCTGCAAAAAGTCAATTTTAGCAACAGGTCAGAAAAAAAAATTTGGACATATATATAAGGGCTTTTTACGGATCTTACATAAGTTAAGAAATCTACGAGTGACGGGCCCAGAGTTTTTAAGCTCGACATCTGTAGGAACATTTAGTAAGAGCCATTACAATCACCATTCGCAATCCAGGTATGCGTTTACCTGGCTCAGCAATTTCTAGATATCCCCCTGGCTTTAGTATTCGATAGCTGTCATTGATGAGAGATCTGTAGCTATTCTCGCTAAGTTCGAGCTGCGATGGAGAGTGATAGTAAAGATTATTTAACCGAAAGGGGGTCAGGTATCATTTATCAGATGCACATTGTATGTCTAAACTTACAGTCATATTTCGTACAAATACATAGTCGAATGATTCATTTTCAAACGGAAGACCAGCCAAAACTGTTGAAAAAGTATTAGCAACTATCAGCAACCACAAAATTAAAACACAATGTAAAAAAAAGCTCATACCATCCACTGTTTTAAAACTGCAATTTTCAGGTATATTGTCATGGCCTATTCCAGGGCATAAAAGATCGATACCAACGACTTCACAACGCGGATAAGCAGTAGCCATTTCGATAGCCCATATTCCTGATCCTGAGCTTTTGATATGCAGCGAGAACAATAAGATGGTGTGGAAAAAATATAGCTTTCAGTTCTGTGATCTGTAAAGACAAGTATTTTCTCCAAATTTTATATTAACTCACCCAATGTCCAAGATTCTTCCAACGCCACTAGACCGCGGCTGTAACGGCGCAGTGTGAAATCTAGAATGCATTAAGCTTTCAATTGGGCGATCGTCCTATTTGATGATGCGGCCAGCGTTCTTTGACATACCCGTTCATTACATATCGCATAATGTAATGGATGACATTTTCTTTGTTCGTCTGCTGCTTGCCGGAAGGGACAGGGAACGTGTTGGTAGGTCTTTGCATCCAGCTGAAATCAGACAAAATAGTGGACTCCAGCGTATCCCCCCCAGTGGTCATCTCCACAGGGAAATACTCCTTGTCTGCACTCTGTTGGTAGCTGAGTCTGTGGTAGTGGAAGTGCTCTTCCACCTGAGTGCTACCAGTTGAAGCGGAGGCGTTGCTCATTTTGCGAATCGATGCGCCATCCATGAAATCGTCTTCCGTTCTCATGGACGATCGGCGACTGATGTCCAGGTCAGTGACCAGGTTGGGTTGGGTGGGCCAGTTAGCCATTGGTGGAATTTTCACCAGCGTTGTCACCTGCTTTTCGTTATTGGACCGAGCTAATTTATCATCGGTTGAAGGCTGATGGCGTATATGACTCTTGGGTGACGACGGTGGGAGTTCCAACTTGGAACAAAAGGTACCCATGGTAGGAGGTATCGTGATCGGACGCAGCAAACAAGAGGTGTCAGTAACAAGGGATGATATGGATCCCAAAAATAATGATCATGTCGTGGCCAAAAAGGCAGTAAAATTTAGGGTAATCCGGTATGTGGCTACCGTGCGTTGAGAGGCATTAGGAGGTCCCCTTTAAGGAGAGCTATCGTGTGCTCTCAGCAACATGACGAAAGTGAGTATAGGAGGAAAGATCGTTGTGTGAGTTTTTTTTTTCTTGGGTATTTTTATAGAGAAAGAATCATTATGTTCGCTGTTGTCAAATGAATAAGAAACATAAAGAAAGAGTGAATTAATATACATCATTTCCATTTAGATATTTTTCAAATGCATGGACATTCTTAAAAACACTCGAATGGAAAGCTTGGTGAAGTTATCAGAATACAGGAAGGACGAAGTAATCGTATAGAACGGGTGCAAATAGAAAATTCCAATGTTGGGATAAAAAAAAATGAAGGAGTTGATGAAAAGGCATAAATATCTCATTACAAAGCAAAGAAAACGTGATAGTGGAATGAACGGAACAAACGAGAAAATAAAGAGAGCTTAAAAGATATGAAAGATTGATATACTTGGGGTAAAGATATACTTTGCTAAAAGCCTATCTAGACGTCTGCACCTCGAGGATTAGCGTCGATATGTAAATTTCCAAATTGTTGTTGAAACTGCAATGAGCCTGTACGCTGATGGGGTTGTGGACGACGGTTGGATTCATTTAAGTTAAGCGACTGTTGTTGACTACGTAGCGGAACAGGTGCTGAAGCACCATAAGATGGGTGTTGTTGGTACTGCGGTGGGAATACATTCATATCGTTGGTGGGAGCTTGTACAGAACGACCTAGTTGTAAAGTATCAAAATCTACATATTCTCCGCTCTTGGCAGCTTCAAGCATTGTTTCCAATTCTTTGATTCTAGCTTGGTATCTGGCAGCATCACTTCTTAAGTTTCTGATATGATCGACTGACATCTTCAAGATCGTTCCCTTATTGATGGCCTTCTGTACTGAGCCACTTGCTGCACCAGGTGTTGTTACCACATTGGTTGAACCGGGGGGTGGATTGTCTAATAGGTGCTCAGGTAGTAACAGTGACAATTCTAGCAACATAGTTGAAGTCAACACGCGCTCTAGGTGAGTTGATGTTTTTGTCACAGCTGCTTACCTTGTATTTTATCATTAATATTATCTCTCCTCCGTCTTTCCACTGCATTGTGAGATTCGCGTCTTCGTCGGCGTTTTTCAAACATTTGTTGTAAGCTGAATAAAAAAAAAAAATTAGAGTTAGGATATAGGTCAGAGCGTAAAAAATTGAGAGTTTTCCCAAGCAAATCAGGCCATGTTCATTGATAAGATAACTCACTTTCTCTGAGCTGCCTCATCATCATCAGCGGTCCCAAAACCGTCCATCGGAGTGGAAGTGGAAGGAGAGACGATGATGTCTCTGCCCCCGAACATATTTTGACTGAATGAAGAACCAGTAGAGTCCAAGCTGGTACCAAACCAGGCTTGTGAGTTCGCAGGATCGAATGAGGATGAGGAAGGGCCGGCAGAGAGCGGTGGGCTCATGACGGAGCTGAAACTGCTTTGGCGGCGACGGGCTATAGCGGCAGGAAGAGTAGGATGACTGGAAGAGTAGCTTTGCATGGGCATGGCATTAACGCTGGTATGGGCTGACAAGCCATTGAGGGATTGCTCTTGATCAAAGAATTGTTGTTGTTGATTTGGAGAGTACATTGTGGAAAACAAGCAATGGCACAGTCAGTGCCTTGAATGGAAATACAGCTACTCGGAAGAAGAAGGGACAAGGGCGGGAATAAAAAAAAAGAGAAAGAAGACAAGCGGAAGGAAGCCGTTCAAGGAGAAACTTATTGAGGCTTTTCACACCAGGTAAGAAGTTTCCAAATCCTATTGTTCAAGCTTAAAGAAATAGACCATGGAAGCAATCGTCATCAACTTTCCATTGTCCAATCACAATCAGTCCTGCCTTATGAGACACGTTCATACCTCTCTCAAACTTGGCCCACCTTCTTACCACTTACTCTGCAGGCGGCCTAAAGAAACGGAGGTTGCACTTTGAAACTCCGGGAGTTCCATCGAGACCAATCCTCCTTGACCATGATATGACACGCTTGGACTTTCGGCATAGCCAGACTCCTTGATTATGAACAGGACTCTTTCTCATTCATAGAGACCTGAATATTTTTATTTCAGACAACCATGGCACTAAACCATTTTTGTACCTCCAAGCAGTGTGGCAGTCAAATGAACGAGTATGCGGCCATTTAAAAAAGCAAAACAACAACAACAACAACAACAACAAAAATAACAACACAACAATAACAAGCTAGGGAGATTTCAAATAATATCAAAGTATTCAAATATTTACAAAAGAGCGATAGCTACTACCAGTGAGAGATCGCTCGGTAAGGGACCATTTCAATTTTTCCCTTCGTTTTCTTTTCCGCCTCCCACTTGCGGAAGAAATTACCCATCTTTTGTCGACTTCGTTCACTCCCAACATTGACAGTGGGCACGATTCGTTTAATGTCTAAACTGCCAATGAAGGACGCGAGCTCTCGAAAACTTGAGTGCTCCGAGTACGGAATTCCATACATGGTCACAGTCGGAGATGAATACGTGGGTCGCAGTGACTTGGCGGTAAACTTGGGTACGTGACCAGTGATATACTCCAAGCTCGAAGAGTTCATGTCCATTGTTTGGGCAGAAGATGATTTGAACGTCCATCCTGTGGGTCGGAAAGCTAATACAGATGTAAAATAGGGAGATAAACTTTTGACATACGCTGTTAAATTGTCCCCTTTGAGATGCATAAGCGGGATAACATGGACTTGTGCTTCCTTTGCATTATCTGTAAGAATAGCTTCAAGCTCTTCGTTCTCTTGGCAAAGAAGGATCCGTCGCTTTGCCGAGGTAACAAAGACTTTGGATTTGAGTAATTTGGCAATTTCTTTTTGGGAAAAAGGTCAAGTGAGGAGGAATAACTCTGATTAGAATGATGACACAAAACCTGTCAAGCCAAAAGATACACATGACGTTCATTACCATAAAATATCTTTTCCTTTCCAATGGAATACGTTCCGATCACCACTAAGGTTCGGTTATGTGGTATGCTGGCTCCAGGCGAAGACCCACCACTGGTTACTTTGAAGTCGTCGGCTGAAAGGCTGAAGGATGAACTCTCGTTGGCTGACCCGTTTTGTTCGACCTGACTGACATTGTCCATGAAATCAGCGTCATAGCTGAAGTCTTCAATAAGCTCTTCCTCGTCAGGTGTATCAAAATATGACGCTTCGCCGATCTCTTCCTTGTTTGTAATTTCTTCTTTATCGCCAGAGCTCTCATCGGTCACACTTCTATTCCTTGATGAATTGAAGAAAGTCTCCAAGCTTGGGTTGATAGGGTCGCTGTTCAGGATGGAATCGTCTTTTAATACCTGCTGCTTGACAATCTCGCACGCTGCCTTTATGCTCTCTTCCTGAGCTGGGAACGCATATCGAGGGTCCAGGTACGTGGTGTCCAAATATAATATATCGATTGGAGGATTGGCTGGTTGAATGATCTGTGGATGCAAGCACATTTTTGGCGATGCTCTAAAATCGCCAGTGTGGAGGTATCGCAAACATTGCCTGCCATTGGGCTGAGGTACTTTGAATAGAAATAAGACAGAGCCTGGACAATGATTGGCATCTAATAGGGTTACAGTCACATCACTGTCTTCCATTTTGCATTCAGTATCCATAGGAAGTGATTTGACCCATTGGGAATCTACTCCGAGCTTCTGGATGACGAGGTTGGCCGTTACTTTAGAGCAGTAAATAGGCCCATGACGCCAATTCGGTGATAATCGAGTGTAGTGATCGGAATGAAAATGAGATAAGAAATAGCCAGTACAGCCACTAACTTTTCCGTAACAAAAGGCGTCAACTGTCAACGTAGTTCCTGTAGCAGTACTTAGTGTCAGTGCCGTCGCGAGAAGCAGTTTGTTTGGCTAAGTGTTTACTTACCTGGTAGCTTCTTGTAGAAAGGACAGTTCCTTGGTCCTCTCATGGGCGGAGCATTACCCTTTTTGTCTTCGCCGAACCATTGCTTCGTCGACGTATTGCCACGCATTCCAGGCGCTTCGTCACCTCGAGAGCTCCAGACCCCGCTGATTTTAGAGTGAATGTTACCGAAAAACTGAGACCACGAAGATGCTTGAGAGTCTTTGTTAAAATCTTCTTTCGGAACTGATTCGGGAGTGGGCGTTGATATATTAGAATCTGAATTGTCTAAACATGAATTGACATGCTCTTGTGATTGTTCATGTGTAAGGCGTTCTAATGATTGGTTACATATAGGACATCTCATTTGGGTCTCGGCTTTGATGTTGTTCAATGCAGGCGCAATTTCTTTTCCTTCATTTTCCTTTTGTTTGTCAACATAGTGGGAAGCGTTGTCTCCTTGTGTAAGGTCGCTGGTGGCAAAATGTTCGTTGGTTTCAATACCGCTTAGCTCGCTATAATTTGATGGTTCTGGCAAGTCTATTTTAAAAGGTGTAGAACCAGAGGGGTGTTTCTGATATACTTCGGAACTTGTTGAGCTTAAGCTTAACTGGATAGCGAGCTCCATGTCTTGTTCGAATTGATCGGTTGCTTTGGAATGGCTGTCAGGTTCTCGAGGTGGCGGATTTCTGAAAAAATCTTTCAGAGTAACGCCATTAGATTGTTCACTTCCATTGGAGCTATTCGTTTTTTTCTCTTTTAACCGTTTTTGTACCAGTGGTTGGCCTTGGTTTCCCTTGGGGCGTTTCATTTCGTCATGTGAGATTGGGTCAGAAGGTAAGGGTCGATAGCGCAGTTAGCGTCCACCAAGTTGCCCCACCTCAATACTATAAATTTGTCATAAATTTTCTACGTCACCCGCGAACAACAAAGTCCATAACTCGTTCGATTCCGTCGAAATTCCTTCGTGTAGCTCTCAGACTTTGTTGACGTTCTCGAGATGGACGACTCTCTCTATGATGAATTCGGCAATTACCTTGGCCCCGATCTTGATGAAGAAGAAGATGAGGAATTGATGGAAGAAGAGGAAGAGGAAGACGATTACGGTCTTGGAGAGCAATACGTCGAAGAAGAAGTAGATCAAGAGGATCAACAGGATACAGGAATGCAATTGATGCATATTGACGGTAGGAACGGCACTGGATATGAAAGAGCAGTTTGCTCAATTATCACGATTAAAGTCAATCTCACGCGAAATTCGTTACATTTGTTATAGATGCGCCAAACAACCAGATCGTCCTTCACGAAGACAAAAACTACTATCCTTCTGCCGAAGAAGTTTATGGACCTGGTGTCGAAACGCTTGTGCAAGAGGAGGATACTCAACCTCTTTCGGAGCCTATCATTGCTCCTATTAAGATTCGAAAGTTTCATATTGCCGAGAAAGAGATGCCAGCTACCACTTATAACAAAGAGTAAGAAAGATCGATCCACGCGTGGAACCTATCATTATTCTCACTAACGATTGATTTTTGTAAAGGTTCTTGGTTGATCTCATGAATATGCCTGATCTTATTCGAAACGTCGCCATTGTCGGTCATCTTCACCATGGAAAGTCATCCTTTGTCGACATGCTCATTGCCGAAACTCACGATATTCCAGTCAACCCTGAAAAACCTGTAAGTAAATGAAAAGGCCACGTAAGATTTTTGAACTTGGGAAATATGGCTTGACAAGATGATGCTTGTAGGAACGGTACACTGATACGCACACGCTCGAGAGAGAGCGAGGCATTAGCATCAAGTCTATGCCCATGAGTCTCGTAATGCAAAACGTCAAGGGGAAGTCTTATCTTCTTAATGTGTTGGACACTCCAGGCCACGTCAATTTTGTGGATGAAGTCACAGCTGCTGTTCGTTTGGTGGACGGTGTTGTAATCGTCGTTGATGTTGTAGAAGGAGTAAGTTGTATTGCATCGCGCAGAAGAAAATCGAAAGCGTATTGTTGCTAACGGACACTCTTTGCAATAACAGGTTATGGCCAACACAGAGCAAATTATACGACATTGTATTCGCGAAAACCTCAAGATGACTTTGGTTGTCAACAAAGTTGACCGTTTAATCTTGGAGTTGAAACTACCACCCACCGATGCTTACTTCAAACTTAGATATGTTATAGAAGAAGTCAACTCTATCATAAGGTAAGAGAGGATTATGACTTCGAGGAGATAGTGCGAACTTAGTGCTAACTTTATATGCATTCGATAGAGCAACCGCTGGTGGAGAGCATATTAAAATGGGTCCCGAGCTCGGAAACGTCTGCTTCGCTTCCTCGCAATTCGGATGGTGTTTCTCGTTGAAATCCTTTGCAAAGATCTATGCTGATACATATGGTAAAGCTTTTAAATATGATTGAAAACGACTTGGGTCAGCATTGATCCTGACTATTGCCTTCTCTAGATGGATTCAGCGCAGAAGAGTTTTCAAAACGCTTGTGGGGAGACGTGTATTTCAATTCGGACAGACGAACTTTCAGTCGCAAACCACTCGAGCCCAGCAGCAAGAGGTCTTTCATACATTTCATTCTCGAACCTCTTTACAAGCTGTACTCACAGGTCCTTAGCGAAGAAAGCAAAGAGCTGAAGCGAACTCTGTCGTCTCTTGGCATCTTCTTGAAAGAAAAGCATTTTAAGCTCAACGTCAAGCCTTTGTTGCAGCTTGTTTTGTCTCACTTCTTTGGACCTTCAACTGGATTTGTGGAGATGGTTGTGCAGCACATACCTTCGCCTGCTGAGAATGCTGAAGCTAAAGTTCAACATATATATACTGGTGACCTAGACACAGAAGTTGCCAACGCTATGATAAATTGCGATGCAGACGGACCTTTGATGATTCATATTACAAAGCTGTACAATAATGTCGAAGCAACCGGATTTGATGCATTTGGACGTGTCATGAGTGGTACTATCAAACGTGGTCAAACTGTTCGCGTCTTAGGTGAAGGATATTCTATTGACGACGAAGAAGATATGTCACTACAACAAGTTTCAGACGTTTGGATTAACGAATCTCGGTAAGCATCCAGACATAGTGAGAATGTATTCACCTATTTTTTTCTTAATCCAGTTTCTCTGTAGGTATCGAATTGATGTTGACGGTGTTCCAGCCGGTAGTTGGGTACTTCTTGGAGGTGTTGATAACTCCATAGTCAAAACTGCCACAATTACTCAACAGAAGTGGCATGAAGACGCATATATTTTCCGCCCATTGCATTTCCCCACCACTGCTGTACTCAAGGTTGCTGTTGAGCCAGTCAACCCTTCAGAACTGCCCAAGATGTTGGATGGTCTGAGAAAAATTAATAAGAGTTATCCTATAGTGGTTACTAAGGTAAGCTGACTTTTGAAAACGGTATCGGTGCCTCTAGCATTATATTGATGTTTTTTCATACTTAGGTTGAAGAATCTGGAGAACGCATCATACTTGGCACCGGTGAATTGTATCTCGACTGCGTGCTGCACGATTTGCGACGATTATATGCCGAAATCGATCTCAAGGTTGCGGACCCCGTTGTCAGATTTTGTGAGACTGTCGTGGAAACATCTGCGCTCAAGTGCTTCGCTGAAACTCCCAACAAAAAGTACGTTGCCATTGTTTTATTTTAATATTGCGTTGTTGGCTTGATATTTATTTATGTTTCATTTTCTATTTTTTTTTAGGAATAAGCTCACTATGATTGCTGAGCCCTTAGAAAAAGGCCTTGCAGAAGACATTGAAAGCGGGCGAATCAATATCCGAATGCCTGCCAAGGATTTGGGTAAACACTTAGAACAAAAATACGAATGGGATATATTGGCGGCACGATCAGTTTGGGCATTTGGTCCAGATGATAATGGCCCTAATGTTCTTATGGACGACACACTTCCCTCTGAAGTTGACAAGAAGCTCCTCGGATCAGTCCGTGACTCAATAAGACAAGGTTTCCAATGGGGTACACGCGAAGGTCCATTGTGCGAAGAACGTAAGTGATTGATAGTAATGACAATAAGCGCACGTAGCATTGGAGTTTTATACTAATATTTCCGCGACAGCCATTCGAAACGTTAAATTCAAGATTCTTGATGCTACTTTAGCCCAGGAGCCCATTTACAGAGGCGGCGGTCAAATCATTCCTACTGCAAGGCGTGTGTGCTATTCTTCGTTTTTGATGGTACGTATAAACATAGAATCTTCTGTTGTATATGATCCCTCTCACTCATTAAATTTTATAGGCAACACCGCGCTTAATGGAGCCTGTATACTATGTCGAAATTCAAGCACCAGCAGATTGTGTCTCATCGGTGTATGCTGTGCTTCAGAGAAGAAGAGGCCACGTCACTCAAGACATTCCAAAGCCCGGCTCTCCTCTCTACACAGTTAAAGCCTACATCCCTGTTATAGATTCCAATGGTTTTGAAACAGATTTACGAACACATACACAAGGACAAGCTTTCTGTCAACAGATCTTTGACCATTGGCAGATTGTTCCAGGTGATCCTCTGGATAAATCGATACAACTGCGACCGCTTGAGCCTAGTCCTGCTCAACACCTTGCTCGCGACTTCATGGTAAAGACACGAAGGAGAAAGGCAAGTATTTTTTGTACGATATGCTAGTGGTCAGTTGAGAGCAAATGCTAATCCGCTTCTCCTAAATCAGGGTCTTAACGAAGACGTTAGCATCAACAAATACTTTGATGATCCTATGTTGCTTGCACTTGCCCAGTCAGACGTATTAGGCGTCAGTCTTTAGATCCATTGTAATAAAGCCGCAAAATTTTTTCATGTCATGTTTTATCTAAGGTTGAAAATTTGAAAAGAATGATATACAAAGATTTTGGTAGGGTGGGGCACCATCAGCGTTAAATCCAATCTGCGGCCGAAGAAAATCGCAGGCTTAAATTTTTTGCCCTGAAATACTGCTGGCCACAACTAGGTGATCTGCATTCGACTGGGTAAATGGAAAGCCAAGATCCTATTGAACAGTCTCTCAATCGACTTAATCTCAGCGACAATCAAAAGCTGAAGGAGAGAGCGCAATACTTTTATTCACAATGCAGCAAGGTGCCACCGAGAGTCTTCAGCAAAGGAATGAATGCACGACCCATTATAAGCATTCACCTCGCATGTGAAAGGTACGAAACCATAGCTCTTGAAAAGGTCCTTAAATCGCTCACTCATCTTGTACTCCTTCAGTTTGGGTATATCAGACTTTGACCAGACTATAGCTACCCGACTTGCCATGTGCACACCACCTACGTACGCGAATACCTTGAATGGAGTCAGAAAATGTCTGAATATACAACCAAAAGTGACGATAAAGACGATAGGAGTTGCATTAGGTTGCACTTCCATGATACCATATGTTGAAAAATTCTTCGAAGAGTTCCAGGCACGCTACCTGGAATCACTCTCTGCTGCAAAGAGAATCGCAGCTGGCGAAGATCTGGAGCTTGCTAGCTGGAAAGCCAGTGCCTTTTATATCTGTTCAAAGGCTCTAGGTGTAAGTAAAGTTGAACATGATAGGATGTCCCAGGTCTGAATTCTAATCAATGTAGGTAATTGTAGGCTAAACTAGACAAGGAATCACTTTCCAAGTTATGCTCTTGTACATCTCTGGATTTGACGCGGGTCGCCAAAATCATGGATGAACACTGCAAAGATTTGATTGTACAGCTTAAAAAAGAAAACACCCTGTCAGCTAGACCATCTCGCAAGAAAAAGACAAATGATGATGGACAAGAAGAAGAGGATGAGGCTAAGAAGAAGCGACATCTCAAACGACAGCGCACCAAGAGTGACTTGAGTACAAAAGAGGACAAGGAAGAAAATCCAACAGAATCGCAGGCCAGAAAAAAGTCGAAGGTGGATGAACAGCCAACAGATAATGGGAAAACGAAGGAAAGCAGGTCAGAGAAAGCATCCATTATTCCAGAGAAGCGAAAGGCTCCTGTCTCTGGAATCGTCTCTATGGTAAGTTGTATATTCCCTTTACTCTCATCTTTTGATATCACTGATTGACAAGAATTGGTCTTCCCAATAGATACCTGGCCAGCACTATAAGGACACGAAGCGGTACCGTGATTATGTAGAATGGCGTGAAGCCAAAATCAAAGCCATCCGTTCAGTGTGACAGTGAAATTTTGGCCAATGAAAAAATATTTTTTTTTTCGATTGTTTGATACATTCTCTCTTTGCATTCAAATAAACAATGGAAAACTCTGAAGGCAGACTCGTCGACTTGTACATCCCTCGCAAGTGGTGAGTTTATATTCAAAAGTTATGAATGTTGCCCCGAGCAATGCAATCGCGATCGCAATCATCAGCATCTATGAAAATGGCGAACATGTAATTTGCAAGAAATCGTTAAGAGTTTTGTCAGGAACGACATGCTTGACATATGTTAATCGCATAGTCGAATAACCTACCTACAAATTGTATATGCGGATCATGCCATTTTTCACAGTGCAAACGATTGTTGTTTTGACGCCATTGCGCATTTACCATTGTCCTTGGGTCTTGTTTATTAACTGGTCTTCTTGTTTTCTTTCCTTAGCTCCGCCACTAACCGTTTGATCACTGCTAAGGACCACGCTTCCGTCCAGATCAACGTCGGTGAGGTCGATGCCAGCGGTCGTTACACCGGTAGCTTCACCACCTATGCTCTTTCTGGTTTCGTCCGCAAGGAGTCTGAGGCTGATGATTCCATCAACCGTCTTGCTACCAAGGATGGCCGTAAGTTTTTTTTTTTATGATCGTGAGTGATGTTAGTTAGGCACAATGAAACATTATACTGATTTATATTATTAGTTCTCAAGAACGTCTGGTCTTACCAAAAGTAAATAGGGCTCGTGTTTTCCACTGTTGCTCCAATAAAAAATTTACAATAAACAGAAATGCTTTCATAGACTTATCTTTGGAGACAGCCATTCTGCGTATCTAACGTCTGAAGATTGGAGTCGTCTCCTTTACTTCCGACTAAGCTGCCTACACTTGTAAAGTAGTACATGGCTGGTTAAAAATGCAGGAAGTAAGGAATTCTCAATATCCCTCTAAGAACGAAGCCCTGTGATAGCTTCACCGTTACTCGCTATATGAGGACCATCCATATCAATCTTCATTCTGTGCACTCCATAAGAAACGGTGTTAACATAGCAGCTGGAAGAGCATACTGCTGTCATTAACGACGTCGTTCAAGACACAAGTCTGTTGCACTCATTGATATATGAAAGAACGCTATTCATTTTCCATTGTGAGACTGGAAGTACACCGTTTAATATGAACTTTTTGCAAAGCATTTATTTTACGAGATCTAAATTGAATGTCAACTTACAGGCGGTAACAGAGTGAGTGGATGTGAATTTCTACCTTGGTGGCACTGGAACCACATGGCCACTTCGTAATTTGGCACCACTCCCGCTGTACTTTTGTGAAAACTGCATTTCGGAGTGTGAATTTTCTCGGTGTCTTCTTCGAGATAAAATGTACAGCGGTAGACTGCACAGCACCATAGATAGCGTATCCGCGGATATCAAAAAAGAAAAATATTGTAAAGCAGAGTCAGCCTAAGGAAGGAAGGAAGAAGTTACATACAAGCTACGGTTACATTCATTATGTCACCATCGGTCATCACTGGTATTTTGACCGCTCATAGCTTAAACGTTCAATATCTTCCTAATCGCTTTTGTGAGTTAAATGTATATCACTATTTACCCATAAACAATATCACACTGGTCTCTATCCAAAGGAGATCAGTCGAACTGTGCGGTGTGGAAGGAATTGAAATTTTTCTCATGGAAATAATTTTTTGATGGACACGCGTGCTGCCAATAGCGGTAAATCGACCTGCCCTGTTGACCCAAACTCTCGAGAACGCCTCTCTCTTCCTCTCTTTTGACTCTGTGTATTTTTACACTTTATTTTTCTTTGGTTTCCCTTGTGTGGTTTAAAGTATGCTCACACATTCAGGGTATGCAACAGCTGCCCCAGTCGACGTTTCGTCACATAGTCAGCAGCCTCAATCACCGGCATCACCCCACCCGTCACCGTCCCCCCTGATTCATCCCCATGAGCACACTAAAAATCCATCGTATTGTCAAGTTAATAATGCTCCATCACCACCATCCCAGGAGCCTCAAAAACCTGCAATGCAGTCCATCTCACAATCCCCGCAAACTTTATATCACCAGCTTCCTGCCTCAACTTCTGAAAACACCCTATCGTCTTATCACCACCTAGGACAACAACCGGACGAAAGAACAAGCTGGCACTATTGGCATCACCTAACCAGCTCTTACGTTAAAAAACCTTCTTTCAATCTGACCCATGTGGAGTTGTTAGACACTTTAGGTAAGGACTACACAGTGTGTAGAATTGAGTCGAGCGGAGTGCCAGCGGAAGGTTTAGTTGTTCTCAGATTAATTGACATGGTTTCCCTTTAGGCACTGGTACATTTGGTAGAGTTTATCTTGCTCGCCTTAAAAACTCACAAAAGTATTATGCTATGAAGGTTTTAAAGAAACAAGAAGTTGTGCGTCTTAAGCAAGTCGAGCACATTAATTCAGAAAAGCAGATTCTTTCTTATGTAAAGTTTCCATTTATAGTGAACCTGTGAGTTATTTTTTTATTCTCTACTCCCCCTTATTATCTAATGTTATTAACCAACCCCCATCCAAAGCTATTGCACCTTCCAGGATGATCGAAATTTATACATGATGTTAGAGTACGTCGTTGGTGGAGAACTATTTTCTCATCTACGAAGAGCCGGTCGCTTTACTACGGATATTACCAGGTTTTATGCCAGTGAGATTTTACTGGCAGTTGAATACTTGCATTCAAAAGATATTATATACCGTGATTTAAAACCAGAGAATCTGCTGTTGGATCATCGAGGTCACATAAAGATTACGGATTTTGGCTTTGCAAAAACTGTACTGGACCGGTAAGTCGGCTGTTTAGCAGTGTAGCTTATGATCTGCCTCCACCTCCTACTCATTTTAACTCGTTTCTGCGTGTGGGTTATAGAACATGGACTTTATGTGGAACTCCAGAATATTTGGGTAAATCCTTCCTCTTTGGTGCTGCATCATTACCCATGCCAGAATATTAACTCTTTTCTCCTTTCTTGATACATTAGCCCCGGAGATCATTCAAAGCAAAGGACACGGAAAAGCTGTAGACTGGTGGGCTATGGGTATTCTCATTTTTGAAATGCTGGCAGGGTAGGTCTTAAGATGGTATATGACAAATCTATTATGACCAATCATTCATCCGTAACCTTTGCAGTTATCCACCATTCTATGATGATAATTCATTTGGCATATACGAAAAGATCTTGGCTGGCAAAGTCATGTTTCCAGCACATTTTGATCCATACGCTAAAGATCTTTTGAAGAGATTACTGGTAGGAGACCGAAGCCGTCGCTTAGGGAATCTTAAAGGCGGTGCTGAAGATGTTAAGCGTCACAAGTGGTTTCGTGGTGTTGACTGGTTCGGTTTGCTGGAAAAAAAGGTTCAGGCCCCCATCGTTCCCCCATACCGACATCCTGGAGATACTTCAAATTTTGAAAAATATCCAAATGTTGTGGATGTCGATCCAAGCCGAATACCCACCGGTGACCCTTATGTTCAGTTATTTTCAGATTTTTAATTCTTTATATTACTTTCACTTCACCAATCCACCTTTGATACCATCTTCAACCTTTATTTTCATATTGCATGCCCATGTACCATCTACACAAATATGAAAGAAAAAACTGCCCATCCACGCTCGTTTCCTGCAATATCTCCTGTTTCTCTCTTTCCCTATGTAATTGTTTTCAAACCTTGTTCTCTCTTTTCCTCAGCTGCATGCAAAGCAAAAGGATGTTCATCCTTTCTTTTTTTGTTTTGTTTTGTCTTATTGTTATTGAATGAATTTATGTTTTAGATATTGTACAGAAGAAAAAGGTTGTGATTAGGGTGTACAGAGAAGACTCGTTTTCGCTGGGACCGCTTCTAGTGAGTAACAATGTCTGCTGCTTTAAGCATTAAATTGAGGATCTGTAAATGCTCATCAGCTCCATTGATCAAGCACAAGTCTACTTCGCCAAGAACGAGTGATATCTTTGCCTTTTTGTATGCTGATAGATCTCCGTCTGTAACGAGATGGTCATGCATCTAAAAGTAATAGGATTAATGCGATTGTGTTTAGGAAAGTGGCAAGTGGAAAGGTTTTGCTTACCTGTGACAGAATTTGCTCAGCAGAAAAGCCAGCATTCATCACTTCGTTTACAATCTTACTTATCTCCTGGTACTCAGTGCTGTACCAGGCAGCAGTAAGGGAGCTCATGACTTCAGGTGGAACAATCTGAATTCAGTAGTAAATGTTAGCGAGTGTTCATTTGGAAACTGCCACAAACATCAACACTGATACATACGCCTGCCATTTCATTGATAGAGGAAGCCACAATCTTCTCTCCTGCATGAAGCTTTGCACCGCTTTGAAGGAACATGATAGCTTTACGAAGATCTCCATTGGAAGCTTTAATCAGCGTACTAGTAGCCTTTTCCAATAAAGGAAGAGACGCATTAGTATGCCTTTCCGGTGAAGTGATTCAAACTTTGCTTCCCCTACCTCAGGTTCAATCTGTACGCCTTCTTGCTCACAAACCATGGCAATTCTCTCCTTCAATTTTTCAATCGGCAATGGCTTGAATCGAAACTTTGCGCAACGAGATGTCAATGGTTCGATAATTCTAATTAAACACGATGTTCTTGAGTTAAACAGATCGCCAATATCATATGATAATTCACCGCTCATCAATATTACCTCGAGACATAGTTGCAGACTAAGCAAAATCGAGTTGTCTTAGAGTATGTCTCCATTGTTCGTCGTAGTGCGGACTGAGCATCGGTTGTCATAGAATCAGCCTCGTCGAGAATGATAATTTTGTACGGTGGACATGGGTAATCACTGTAAACCAACATTAGTATTAGGAATAGTTGACCTAGAAAATTAAATTAGTAAAAAAGCACTTACTCTACAGTAGCGGTTACGGTGGTTCTGGCAAAGTTCTTGACTTTTTCGCGAACGATTTGGATTCCACGTTCATCAGACGCATTAAGTTCAAGAACACGAGACCTTATCAGTTCTGGACCAAAAAGTTCGCGGGCAAGTGCTAAAATGGTTGAAGTTTTGCCTGTTCCAGGAGGTCCGTAAAACAGTAAATGAGGAAGCTATGATGGAGACACGTTAAATTGAGAAACCAAAGTGTAGTCAGATTCACTCAATAGTTCGAACACAACTAGTTACATTGTTTGATGTTAATGCTTTTTTCAACACTTGTACTGCTTGTTCCTGAGATGCGATCTCGTTCATAGACTTCGGCCGACTTCGATGCAATTGTAGATCAAGTCTTGATTAGTATTTTCAAGCGAGAAGGAAAGCACTGCAAATCGGTCGCGCGCAACTTACTATTTCTCTACCCATGGTTGTGCTTCGGGAGGAAGTTGTCCATTATTTGCAGAAGCAACCCGAGCATTCTGGAAAAATGTAGACATTGTGGAGGCAGAAAAAAAAGTTCGGTACGCGTCGAGGTGAAACACTTTCGGCAAAAAATGATGGAGGAGGCGGACTTTATTTATTCCGACTTGCAAGTTTCGTCCCAGAACGCTTCATCTTCCTCCCAATGTCGTATCTCTCATCGGACAAGGCTGAGGCCGAGCTTGCTCAGAGTATCAAGAAGGCAACGTCTCCAGATGAAACTGCTCCAAAGCAGAAACATATTCGACGTAGGTAGAAACTTGCCACATCATTTCCATCCATGTTTGTTAACCCGACTACTTCCAGGTTGCATTGTCTACACTTGGGACCACCATTCATCCGCGCTCATATGGAGTGGTTTGAAGGTTCAACCTATTCTAGCGGATGAAGTACAGACTTTCAAAGCCCTTATTATGGTCCACAAGATTCTCAAGGATGGACACCCAGTGGTAAGTTATAATAACCACAATCATATTTATGCTACCGGGGTCATGTATGAATACATATCTAATGTTTGTATTCAGGTTCTGAAAGACGGTCTGAGAGAGACTGCATGGATTGAAACATGTGCTCGCAGTGTTGCAGGAGACGGAAGCCGCGGTTATGGCAGCCTTATTCGAAATTACGTAGAGCTTCTGTTGCACAAATTGAATTACCATAGACAGCACCCAGAATTCAATGGTACTTTTGAATACGAAGAGTACATCAGTTTGAAGAATATTGATGATCCCAACGAAGGGTAAGTTGGCAAATGTTAGATGGAGATAGGAAGTTGTAGATGCTCATATACGGTGTTTTTAGATACGAAACCATTAGCGATTTGATGAGCCTACAAGATCGTATTGATCAATTTCAAAAAAGAGTATTTGCGCATTTCCGACCCTCTTCAAATAATGAATGCCGAATCGCTGCTCTCGTACCTCTGGTCGAAGAAAGTTATGGTATCTACAAGTTCATCACCAGTATGTTGCGCGCAATGCATAGACGTGAGTATTGTTCAAATCTTAAGGGTATGCGCACAAAGGTAGGATATATGTATTAACCATTATTCTCAACCAGGAACGGATGCCGTAGACGCACTAAGTGAACTGAGGGCGCGTTACAATTCGCAACATTATGCCCTTCTTCGATTCTATTACGAATGCTCCAACTTGCGATACTTAACAAGTTTGATTAGCGTACCAAAGCTGCCGCAAGATCCTCCGTCTCTGATTGATTCCGATACACCATCTTTACCTGCGCGTCCAAAGACAACTACTCCACCACCAGCTGCTGCATCACCAGAGCCAGTGGTTGACTTCTGGTCCGAGAATCAAGCCAAGCAGCAACGCGAGTATGAAGATGAACAACGCCGACTGCAACAACAACGCGAGGACGAGCAGAATAAACAGAGGATGATGCAAATGCAACAACAACGCGAATTTGAGGAGCAACAAAGACTACAAGCTGAGCGAGAAAGACAGCAGCAGGAAGAATTGATGCGACAACAAATGCAGCGACATGCGGAAGGCCGTGTCAACGAATTGGAGAGAGAACTGCTTGCTATGCGCAATCAGTTTGAGCGTGATCAGATGCTCCTTGAGCAGTATGACAGAGTAAGTTCAGTGCGTCGAATGTCTTTTGAAAACTGCCTACCAACTGACTGACAATGTCCTTTAGAGAGTAAAAGCTTTAGAAGATGAGCTTGGCCAACTTAGCCAACATGCACAACAACGTGATGCATCCAAGGATGAACTTATTAAATCATTGCAAGGTGAGCTAAATGCCAGGATGGATATATATGATAAAATGTTTAAAACTAATTGGTCATGAAAAACAGATCAAATCTCAATGTGGAAGAATAAGTATGAAGCTTTGGCTAAGCTGTATTCGCAATTGAGACAAGAGCATCTGGACCTTTTGGGCAAATACAAGACTCTGCAACTTCAAGCTAATAATGCCAAGGAAGCTACTGAGAAACTGGATGCTTTGCAAGCAGAAATGCGTGCCAAGAACATGGAGCTTGCTGATCTCATTAGAGAGCGAGATCGTGCCAAGAACGAACTGACTCGTGTACAAGGAGTAAGTGTTGCCAATTTTATTTTATTTTTGCATATGCGGATGCCTCCTAATCAGTTGTCGACGTTGCAGAGTCAACAAGAAGAACTTGAGCGCTTACGCCGTGAATTGCGTGACTCCAATGCTAGAGTTGAGGATCTTGGTAAGAACAAGGGAGCCGAAGTTACAGCTCTCCTTGGCAAATTCAACCGCGAAAAGGCTGAACTGGAAAGAAGCTTGACGGAAAAGCAAGCATTGATTGACGAGTTCTTAAGCCAACTTGAACTTCAGCAGGGCGAAGCTGAACGTATTCGCATGGAGAAAGATGAAGAGATTGCTATCATGCAGGCTGGCATGGACGAATGCTTGCAACAGTTGGCTGATCTCCAGCAAAATGTTGGAAGCAACGAATCGACTTTGCAAGAACAAATCGATCGACTTGAATCACAGCAATCATACAAGCTGAATGAAATTTTAGGTATGATTGAACACTTTTACAATGCCGATTTCAATGACTCTTATCTGTTTTGACGACTAACATGGTACAACACATATTACAGACAGCGTTTTGCAAACATGTATTCAAAAGGTCAAGGACGGTGTCTTCGAACTTGAAGCTCCTGGCCAGCATGGAAATGAAAATGCTACTCCAGAGTTGACCTTGACAACCATCGAGAAGGCTAGTATTTCATCTGTGGAGTTCATGTCGGCTTTCAGCAAGTTTTTGGATGGTACCGACTCAGGCAATCATACCGACGCCATCAACTGCTCACTCAATCTGGCGGAAGCAATCGTAGATGTCATGGTTAATAGCAGAGGTATCACACGGTTGTCAGCTGGCGATGAGGAAGCTGAAGATATTATTCGCGTTACAAAGGCTTCAGCTGAGGCCGCCAATACTTACTTCCTGAACATGACATCTACCTACATCAATATGCTTCCCGCTGCCCAACGACCTGAAGTCGTCATTCAAGGCGATATGAGAGTTCAAGAAGCTTTGATGAGAGTATCTCGCAAGGCAGAAGATCTTATCGCCAAGGGCGCCACTGATATCAACAAGCTCGGTGAAAGAGAAGTGGGTGATTTGGTGGAGCAGGAAATGTCCAAAGCGGCACGAGCAATTGAGGAAGCCTCAGCCAAGATTCAGGCGCTCCTCAATAAGCCCGCCAATCCAGAATTCTCGGCAACCGATCTACAAGTACACCAATTGATCTTAAACTCTGTCCTGGTATTAACCAACGCGATAGCGAACCTGATCAAGTGCGCCACTGCATCACAACAGGAAATCGTTGCACAAGGCAGAGGCACATCGTCCAAAGCAGCCTTTTACAAAAAGAACAACCGATGGACCGAAGGTCTCATTTCCGCAGCCAAGGCAGTTGCTGTGGCCACCAACTTACTCGTTGAAGCAGCTGATGGTGTTATCAGCAAGACCCATTCTCTTGAACAGTTGATTGTTGCCTCTAATGAAGTTTCAGCGGCAACAGCCCAACTTGTGGCTGCTTCTCGTGTCAAGGCCACATTTGCTTCCAGAACACAAGAAAGGCTGGAACTCGCAGCCAAAGCTGTAAAAGAAGCCGCTAATGAACTTGTCAAGCAAGTCAAGCAGTTAGTGGCAAAACAGTCTCAGGACGACAACCTGAGAGTGGATTTCAATAACCTCTCTGTTCATGAGTTCAAGCGACAAGAAATGGAACAGCAAGTCAAGATTCTCAAACTTGATGCTGACCTTGTTCAAGCCAGACGCGTGTTGGCTGAAATGCGGTAAGTACTAACTGACTTCTTTCGTCATGAGATTAAACCGGTAATGCTCACACTACTTTATCTTATTGCAGACGAAGCGGTTATCACACGGGTAAGTCGGATAATATTTCCGAAGCTAGCCTCCATATATGACCGATTTTACTGACCCTTTTTTTTACTTGATGATTTCGCTTTTTATTTCAACAGAGGAGACGGACTAGAGAGATTTGGAAGGACGGCCCAACTATAAACCATGTTTGACTTGTATCTTATCGTTAGAGCCTCTTATTTTGAAGCATATAGTCTCAACGATTAGCGTTGAAACTTCGTTGGAATTATAAAGCGCGATCTGCAGTGTGTTGTTTTGTGCACACCTTGGAAATATTCTCCTACTTTGCTTTGTCATAAAGTCGCGTAAGGTGTCGCAAGACCCTGAACACAAGTAAGAACCCTGAAATATGCTGCACATGACCACCTCACAATCTCGTACCGTTAGCCTGGTGGTTCTGCACTACCACGTATATTCATTTGTGTGCATCGGGGGTAAGCTGTGAGAAAATTGGGGCAAAATGAACATGAATTAAACCGATCAATATGTCCACGAGCATGCAACGCGAATATACGTGGTGATATCATGTAAGTTCTGGATGAAATGTTGGGCCGGCGATATGTGGAGTCATCAGGATGGACGCTGTGTGAAAAAAAAATTAAGGTCGGAGGGCTCTATCCGTTGCAGAATTGTAACCAACTGCCGTTTCGTGGTCAAGTTTCTGAAAAAGGCACTATGGCATTAATGATGGCAATCCTTGTGGCGTTCAATATTCATTTTATTTTACGTTATTATGTGCGACAACCTGTTCGTACCAGTTTGTAGCGGGTGATCAATTTTATTATGAATGATGAGCATTGACGATTTCACCAACGTTGCTAGTGAGTTCAAAAAGCCTGCTATAATGAGAATCATTCTACGCATCCTTCGGTTTACAATAGTCTAGAGAGTGTAACACTGTACAACGAAAACCCTTTGTGATTAGCCCAGGGTCTAGCATCAGATGACTGCTGTGGTTTATGTGCATCAAGAAGTAGTACAACCTCATACGAATCCATGAAAATTCACCGCGAATTTCGGGCATAATCTAGTGGCGCTTGTAACCACACTTGCTTGATATGCTGGGAACTTCCGTAACGATCGGGCTTAAACAATATGTATTAGGTGTACGGTATAGTTGGTGTTTGGGGCAAAAAAAGGTATAAAAGGTCAGTACTGTAACTGTTGAGATAGAGATCAAACTCGCGGTCAAAAATGAAATTCACAGCTGCTCTCGGGCTCATCGCTTCGGCTACCTTAGCCAGCGCTTCAAGTGTATTGGTTGGGTAAGCTATAGCCTTCAAACTCCAAAAAAAAAAAAGGTTCCTTTGTTTAAGTAAACATCCATAGCTAATTACTCCTTGTATAGTTACTTTCCCAATTGGCTTTATTCCGATTATCCAGTCAGCAGCATTGATATGACCAAGTATACTCACATCAACTATGGTAATTTTATTACTGCTATTGTTTTGACCCAGATTGATCTTTTCATCTAATTCTTTTTTAAACCAGCTTTTGCTATATTGAATACCAACTCCACCCCAACCTGGACTGATCCTGATAACACTGTGACTCAACTCCCCAGCCTTGTCACTGCTGCTCATAAACAAAATGTCAAGGTCTCCATCAGTGTTGGTGGATGGACCGGATGCCTCAAGTACAGTGCTACTGCCTCCACTGAGGCTAACCGACAAGCTTTTATTGCATGGAACATTGCTCAGATCACCAATTATAACCTTGACGGTGTAGATCTTGATTGGGAATACCCTGGGTAAGCTTTTCATGACTGTGAGAAATATTATCGGTCCACTTAGCAATTGATTAACACTCAGTACTTTCCTACAGTCGCCAAGGTGCTGGATGTAACGGTGTTGATGAAGCTAATGACGCTCCCAACTACTTGACCCTTCTGCAAGAGCTTCGTAGTGCATTGGATACCAAATTTGGTACCGGTGTCAAGGAAATCACTTTGGCCGTCAGAGTTCAGCCATTTGATCAGAACGGAGGCATTTTGTCCGATATGTCTGCCTATGCAAAGGTGGTCACTCGCTTCAACCTCATGCTGTATGGTAAGTAAAAAACCACCCTTGGTTACAACATGCTATTTTTCATACTCACGGCATGATAATTCCAGACATCAACGGTAGCTGGAACACCGTGACAGGTCCCAATGCTCCATTTAACTATGCCGCTGGACAAGACCCTTATTCCTTTGTTCAAGCTATCACTACCTGGAAGGCTGCTAATGTTCCCGCTAGCCAACTTGTTGCTGGTATGGCATACTACGGTCGATCAACCACTGGTAAGTTGTTACTGCCGTAAAACGTCACATAGAGATAGAATATGGTTACTAATTAAGTTGTGTAGCTTTGGAGGATATGACCATCACTGGATCCCAATACCAAGCTCAATCCACTGTTCCCCCAGCAGGTGACCAAACTGATGCTTACTGGCAGGATCCTTACTGCAGTGCTGACCCTGGTGGTTTGTCTGGGCAATGGCAATGGAAGTACATGCGTTCTCAAGGTCTCTTGACAACTCCCACCACTGCTGCCTCTCCATGGGTCCGATACTTCGACAATGTCACCCAAACCCCTTGGCTATTCAACCCAAATACCAAAATCTACCTTTCATACGATGATCCAGTGTCCATTGGTGTTAAAGTCAACTACGCTGTTTGCCAAGGCCTTGCCGGTGCTATGGTTTGGGATGTGTCTAACGATAATGGAGAGCTCCTGACCGCTGTCAATGCTATCAAGACTGCAACCTGCGGAGGAGGCGGCTCAACATCTACTACCACCACCACTACCACTACCACCAAGGCTACCACTGCATCCACTACTACCACTAAGGCTACTACTACTACTACTAAGGCCACCACTACCAGCAAGTCAACTACCGCTAAGACTACCACTACCACCACTACTTCTGCATCAGCCACAGCCACAGGCTCAGCTACTTGCAGCGCCAGTAACAATGGTGCCATGGTCTGCGTTTCATCCGGAACAAGCGCTCAATACCAAACTTGCGTTAACAACGGATGGATTACACAATCCTGCGGTAGCGGAACCGTTTGCAAGACTAGTGGATCTTCCATTTATTGTGACTTCCCCTAGATTGAGACGTCGTAGCCTTGAATATCAATAACACAAAATATATAGGCATAGCATGGTAGCTTTGAGGAGCAGGCTTCTTCATCAATAAAGTAATTTATTCCGCACCCATTAATGGAATCGTAATCTGATGACGGAATTCAGCTAAAGTAACGCATAACTTTGAAAAAAAAATTTGTATGCCATTAAATCATTGCACCTCGTTGGGATGTCAAACCAGTTCATGTTTGCGTGCCAAACATCATGCGAAATGTATAAAGGGTAAAACTATAACACCTTCCAAATGAAGTTCTTGATGAACCGAAGTGACTTTGCGCAAGACAAACCTCTATGCTTGAAATTTAAGAATGCGTTTCTGAATATCATAGGAATGTTGCATCTTACACCATGCATACTACTTAATTATGATGTAGTGAGCCTTAGTGAAGAAAGATCATTTTATTTTCTAGTCACCAGAAGGAGAATAATCCTATTTGTCATTAAAAAAAGAAAGATTCGATCGCGAAAATTTCGTCCAGGACGGGCGTTTTGCAACATACTTTAGCCTGAGATACCAAAGTAATAAAAACAATACGATGTAGGCAAAAATCATATTCTCCGTTTGTTTGAATCTGCTTCCATTATGAAGTTCTCTCTCTATTTGGCTTCTGCATTGGTCCTTACCCTCACGGGTACTTCTGCGAGACCCGCAATCAAGGGAGCTCGTTCGTTGTATGTAGCTATCACGCAAGCATGAAGGACAACTTTAATGAGTATAAACAGCTAACAGAAATACTCCTGTTATTCACAATAGCGCTGCAAACAATGGCGGAGAACAGCAAGGGCAATATGGATCTGTGCCCCAAGCTGTCCACAATGCTGAACAATTACCTCAACAAAATGCTGCTGCAGATGTATCTGCAACCGTCAAGGAGTCAAACTACCTATTGACCGTTACCGTTCCCTTAGCTGAAGTGAGCTCCTCCGTTGTACTCCAGGAACTAGTTGCAAATATGCACATTACAAATGGGGTCTCTACAGCTCTTGTTCCTGTGGTAACTTCCGTTGCTTCCGCAGCCAATGTTGAGCCAGTTCAGCCGGTCAAAAGCGCATCGCCTGTAGCTGTCATCGAGGCAAAGCCTAGTTCAGATAAGCCCATTCAAATGGACGGCTTGCCTACCTTAATTCCCGGAGATATGGCCCGAAAAATGGAAGAAGTGCTTCCTGTTGCAGCTTCAGCATCTCTCAGTGGTAAGTCTTAGTGATAAAAACCGTTACATAGAGGCGAATCAGTCCTATCGAAACTTCCAGATTTTTGGAAAAAAGGAAAGTGTGGAGTGGTGAAGCATTAAAGCTGATTATATCTCCCAATTACTTAGGTAAGACCGTCGCGACGTCAACCATCACCTGTAAGAGCATTTTATAATCGCTAAATTTTTATCACCTGTCAAACTCTAACATTATCAATAACCCTATGCTTCCAGCATCTAAGACGCAAGGACTACCCACCTTCAACTTCGGATTTCTGCCTGTTGCTAGTACATTTGATTTCAATGGTCTCTTTAATCCCGCCCCAAAGCCTACCTCTACTTCACCTTCCAAATCGACATCTGATTTGAGTACTTCCATGAATCCATCCTCAAAGCCTACCACAACTTCAACTGCTACCCCTACATTTGACGTGAATGGTTTACTTAATCCCACTACAAAGTCTACAGTAGCTGCTTCTGCTACAGCCTCATCTACTACATCGACATTTGATTTCAATGCTTTTGTCTCTGCTGTACTTAACCATCCCACAAGTACTGCCACGGGTTCATCTACTATAGCTTCACCTACTACATCCACATTCGATCTCAATGCTTTTGTTTCTGCCGTATTTCATCCACCCACGAAAACCACCACATCTAAGGCTACTTCACCCACCTTCGATTTTGAGGGTCTAATTTCCGCTATCTTTAATCCTCCCACAAAGACTAGCACAACTGCTCACCCTACTTCGACTGGTTCGCCTTTCGGGTTTGACATCAGGAAATTCCTGTAAGTAAAGTTGTTTTAGGGTGAAATAATATGTTACTGTACGCTGTTCTAACGCAATCCCTCGAACTTTTCCTGAATGATGATACTAAATCCTTAGTAAAGATCTTGAAGGTACGTTGTAGTCGATCTTTTATTGCGTTCAAGGAAGTCATTCATATACTAAATTTATTTCCCATATTTTCAAATTGGTACCACCGTAAATTTAGACTTCATCGAAAAGCTTCTCGAATTCATTGACAAGTTTACCCACGACCATCTTTCCGATGGCAAGAAAATTGATACCTTCAATGTCATGGAGAAGAGCAAGCAACCGAACTTGGTATACACCTTCAAACTCTTTAGAGCTATCATTAATGATTCGCAAGCATCCCTCCATGCCATAACAAGCAAAGAGACAATCACTTTCCAAGATGTCCAAGCACTTGTTATGTCCACCCACAAAAGCTTGAACGAAGTTCGCCACTTGCAACAAGAATACGAAAAGAGCATGGGTGGAAAGAAATCCGAAATTGATCTCACTGCCGTTACATTTTTGGACCCCATCGAAATTGAGAAGGCCTTAAAAGCTAACGAAAAGGTCGATATATCTCGCATTACCATGTCTAGCGACCTGTTCTTGGAATACACTGAGCAATTTGTCCAAAAGGCTCAAACACTATTGGAATCTCTTTCTAAGGTTATTTCCTCCGGACCAGTCACAGATGTCGACGTACAAGCCGTTGCTACACCTACTGCTGAAGTTGGTTCCTCAAAATCCACCCCTAAGCCCGCAGAAGCGGTACAAGAAATTCCTCCTCAGTCCAATTTCGTTGCTGTCATTGCGTCTGAAGACAATTTTGAGGAGTTTGATAACATCGTCAATGATGCTACTATTACCGTAATGGCCATGACTGCTGAAGCAACTAGCCACTGAAAAGGTCGCTATTCGTTGTTTTCGTTTTAATACTGAGAGATGAGCCTTGTTATAATCAATAGAATCTTCAGTGCTCAAATAATATATTATTTATTTATCAATCATTTAATGATGCTCGATGTCGATGCCTCACGATCTTGGTCAGCGTACTTAAGTTAGCATTCCGAATATTCAGCTACAGAAGAAACATTTAACAGGGCGGGTCTGTCAGTTGGTAGCTTTTCGTTGTCCATGTCCTACCATTGAGCGCATGTAACTCATTCATACCTTGAAAAAAAGATATATATAAAAAATGCTTTATCGTATCAGTACAGCACAAACTTCCGTACCAAATTCTTGATGCCAAAATGTTCTCGATCTTTTCATCATAAACATTCCAAATATCCAAGCCTTTCAAAACTCTTAAAGAAATATACTTAAAGCATAATAAAAACGGTGTTTGACATACAGTTGATTGAAAAGTCAGCCAATGGTGTACGAATTTAACAGTATACATTCCAAACACCAAGATCATGCTATGAAATATATAAATGGATAAGATCAGGAAGCTAGAATTGGTAGGCCAAGTCTTTCTGATACCAATATTACTCCATATGAAATTGTCATTGTTCATCGTTGCCACTGCCGTCCTTTCTGCTATTAGCGTGTCGGCTCTTCCCGCCCAACAAGCAGACAAAAGCATCAATGCTAACATGAAGTAAGCAGTCGGATCAATACGTTTACTATTTCCTGCAGAAGTTCTCTAACGCACACGTTCACAGCAGCAATATGAAAGATGCTCGCCCCGCTGGTGTTGAGATGAAAAAGAGTGCAGCTGTTCCCAAGCTCGCTGGTGATAAAGCCAAGTCTAAGCCAGCTGTTATTGCTAATATGCCACATGTTTCTGAGAAGGTCCAAGCTACAAACCGCAAGCTTGCTGAATCAGTGTATGTTGATACCTTTCTATGTATTGTTAACTTGAACCTCTCATTGACAAATGAACCCCTTTTAATATGCATCATACAGTAACAAGTCTATGGGTACATGAAGTTTATTTTATAATTGCTGCAAATTTTTCGAGTGCTTGTCTAACGATATCTTTATAGCTACTCTTGAGGGCATCAGCTCAGACATGAACAAATACTTGGAGGACCATATCACCGATGCCAAGAACGTTGAGCGTACCAGCATTCTTTTGAACGAGGTTCAAGCAAATCCTTTTACCGTTCTCCTTGTCTTGATCAACCTTATCAGCAGAATGGAAGACGACATGAAGACATCTATTATGGCACCACTCATTCCAGGATCTCAAACCCCACCATCTAAATTTGGCTTCACTTCAGCAGAAGTCGCCGCTTTTGAGGATGCAATCAAGAAGATTATCACTGAGGCTGAAGGTCTCGTAGGAGAGTACAAGGCTGTTCTCTCAGGAAAGCCCGTCACCCACAAGTTCTCTACTATTACCTTCTTGAATGAGGCAGAGGTCCAAAAGGCTGTCAAGTCTAATGCTGCTACTGAACTCCCCAAAATTGATATCGGTAAGCTTCCCGATGCCGTCTGGCTGTCTTCCTGGGTTGAGATGGTTTCTTCTGAAGCCAAGAAAATTCTCAAAAACGTCGACGCCGCTGTCGCAGATGCTCTAGTTGCCGATACAAAGGTCAACGCTGATGAGACCAAGGTCGAAGAGCCTTTACTTTCAGTCTCTGATGCTGATATAGATTCCTTCGATGAAGTTCCCGCTGCTGAACCCACTCACATCAGCAAGCGCGACATGTTTGATGATATGGTTTTCCCAGCTCCCGTTACAGCCCCTTTTGTCCACAAGGAGGAACACGTGGAATCTCCAAAGTTCGCCAAGGTCAATAAGAAGGCCAAGGCATCACATCATAGCCACATGCCCGCTAAGTCTACCACTTACATGGCCGTTCCTTCTGATGTTGCTGACTCCTTCTCAGAGTTTGATGAAAGTGATGTTCAGGGCCCTGCGCCAACAGGATCATTCTAAAGAATGTCGTGTTCTCTCAATAACCATTGGTGTTTATCCAAATATCAGTCTTGTGAACGCATTTATATTAGATCCACTTGAAGAGAAAAAGGAAATGTTATTAAATAGACATTTGTAGATGGTTCAAACGCCATCAAAAAGATATACGCATTCTTCTATACCCGTAATAAATCACCAGTAATTTTTCCTATCAAGAACCAATGTCAGAGAGCATGGCGGCGCCTGTTATCATTATTTCATTTTTCATTTTCCCGTGCCATAGACATAAGTGTTGTTTGATGAATCCTTATCTCCTACGCAAGAAATCAAACGTTCGAATGCCAACTTTTGTTGCACCAGGTTTGTGGCAACGTTCTTGGTTAACAATAACGGCAGTCAAATTCCAATTCTGACGAGCATACTGAGTTTTGCCTGGTGGTTCAAGTCAGATTTAATTGCGGAATGCCATTGAAGAACCTCTTGTTCCATCTGTCAGAAGGGTTTTTGCTTGATCAAAGATGCTGCTACACTTATCGAAATTGCTGGTTACAATGTTGATGGTGCTGCTTATCCAAGGAAGCCCTGTCTTCAGTCTGCCCACTGACGACACTAATAACCATCGTGAAATGTAAGAAGCTTGAGACTGAGTCATCCTTATCTTATATCATGTAATAATGCCTTAGTTTTTTAAAGAGAGCGAGTAGAAATCTACCATGTCGTCGAGTCATGGCTGGATACATTTTTAACTGGTTGGCGATCTGACCACAGCACTGGGCATCAAAGCGCAGCTGCGACAGTGAAACTAGGTGAACTACCTGAACAAAAGTTATCTAAACCAAAAGACTTATATCTAGCCGCTGCGTCCGATGCTATGACTGTCACTCCGACATCTTCATCCACTCCAAGCATGTACAGGCTACTGAAGCATACAACGCCTATATAGAAGATACCCAGCCAGTCAATGAACTGAAACTAACACTATTACGGTCATTATACCATTAATATTGTCGTTCTATCGAGGAACTTACCATCACTCCATACAATATACCTATCTATACAACCAAACATTGCGTTGGCTAATACAACTGCTGTAGTTGAGGACGGGAAGCTTTTAGGCGACGGTGTAATAGCCCCAGTGTACAATCATGAATACATTCAATAGAAGATGTTCCCCTCCATTATTCCAGCGCTTGATACTATTGCAAAGACCCGGTGCTTTATGAATGAGAAAGAACATTTTTTTGTGAAAACCACCGTTGTCCAAATTGGGCAAGCGTTGGAATCCCATACATCATTTTGGTGGCTTAGTCCATAGGCCATAAATGTTTCATGGCCAGCACAAAAGAATCAGTTATTCAACATTGCGGAAATGGCTTCAAGATTGTTGCGAGCGTTTGTACCGCAAGTTCGGCAAACAAGACTTACAACTCGATTCACGTCGCAACGACTTTTCGCAACCGAGCGTTCCAACGTTGGTGAGAATGCCGGCCAAGGTTTAGCTGCCGAAGCGCTTGCTCAGAAAGTTGGCTCAAACGCAGCAAAGAAGGCTACCCTTCCTAAAGGCGACAAGAAACCCGCCAAAGCAGCTGGGCAAAAGGACAACAACTGGAAAATATATGCTGGTGTAGGTGGTGTCGCTACTGGATTGGTGGGTCTTGGATTCTTCCATTACGGTCGACCATTCGAGGATGGCCGGGAAGACAAGTATGCTTCGGAAAACGCACTTTTGGCCGCTGCACACCGCGCTCGCGACCGATATGAGGAATTCACCAAGACAATGAGCGAACCCATGTGGGACAAGTTGTTGCCAGATCCTCTTCCAGAACCATACAGACGCCCATACACACTTGTCATCAACTTGGACGACACTTTGATTCATTCAAGCTGGGACAAGGAACATGGCTGGCGTCATGGCAAGCGACCTGGTGTCGATTATTTCTTGGCTTACCTTTCCCAATTCTATGAAATCGTTATCTTCACATCGCAAAGCTTTGCAAACGCATTGCCTATTCTCGATAAACTCGACCCTTACCAATACGCTATGTACCGTCTGTACCGCGAAGCTACTCGATACGAAAATGGGCAATACATTAAGGACTTGTCACACTTGAACCGAGATCTCAGCAAAGTTATTATCATGGATTCAAACCCTCAAGCTTTCTCCAAGCAGCCTGAAAACGGTATCGCTATGAAGCCATGGCAAGGACAACCCAATGACAACGGTCTTTTGGAATTCATTCCTTTCTTGGAAGGTGAGAATATTGATTCGTGGGATAGAGCATAGGGTCTGGAGATTAACAATCCAATTTTTTTTTTTCATCGACAGCTATTGCTTTGACCAATGTTGAGGATGTTAGACCTGTTCTTGCCAGTTTCAGCGGCACCCATATTCCTGCTGAATGGGCTTCTCGCGAAGAACAAATGAATGCTATTGCTCGTCAAAAGTGGGAAGAGGAACAAAAGACCACTAAGGTCAAGCGCAACTTGGGGTCCCTGTTTGGATCCAGCGGTGCTGTTGCTCAGACCGAAAACGAGCCTCCGTTGACTTACCTCGAACAAATGCGCAGACACGTTCGTGAAACTTTCAATGCTGAGCACGAGCAGATGCAGAAACAACAGGATGAAATGATGAAGAAAGAAATCGAAGCACAAAAGCAGCAGATGAAAGAAATGAAGATGACTGTTTGGGAAATGATGGGCCAGATCTCTTCTGGTCAACCTATGGCTCCTCAACCGGGCCAACCTGAACAACCTCAGGCTCAACCACAAGCACAACAGTAAATAGCGATCCGTAGTCGGTGGTATTGTCTGATTAGCTTGATAGCATTTGTTATGCTGTATTAATCCGTGAGGGAATAGTATAATCCTGCAGCCCAAAAATAAAAATTACATAGAGATTTTCACCACTTTCACTTTGATTTGGCCAACACATTTAAATTAGGGTTGAACAGAAGAGTAAGCAGTATTATGTACCGAATGAATCTACTTTATTCTATGGCATCCAAAGCTGTTCCAAAAATATTAAGCAGTCTTTCGCCGCCTTCAAGACCAACACTAACACGAATCAAATGGCGGGCAACACCAAACTCCAAAGCCCAGTCGAGTTCGGTATAATGAGCCAAAATAGCGTAGGGGCTGGCCAGGGTGAAGTTGGTACCCAGTGACGGACCCTTTGCGATTTCCAAAGCATCGTAGAAAGCAATGGCAGCTTTCTCTGATTTAAGCACCACGGAGAAAAGGCCGCCATACCCTCCACTAGGGCATTTGAATGCTTCGTAATTTTCCTTGCAGACATATTTTGGATAAAACACATCGTCAACTTGAGGATGGTTCTTAAGGAAGTCACATAAAATCTCTGCGTTCACGTTGATTTGGTGGCATCGCTCCCTGAATGTTCTAGAGTTTCTCTCCAAAAAGATGGCATCCTCACACCAAAGGAAGTCTTCATACTCGGTGGACATGTAGTCTTTGAGTTCTTGATAGTGCTTTCTATTAGGATTGAGAACAAGACTAGGTGACGGAAAATTGGAATTAGGAGGCTTTGAACGTACACAAACAATAAAAAAGAACATGCTTCTCACCTGCCACCCATGACATTACTATCACCAGAGAACACCTTTGTCAAGCTACTGACAACAATGTCTGAGATGTCGAGTACGGCGATGTTTGAAAAGTTGCCAATGGTTTCGTCGATGATAATCAAAATATCGTATTTATCAGCCAAAGTTCGCAAACGTCGCAAGTTGGGAGTCTTTAGCAGAGGGTTGGAGGGGCATTCACAGAAGAGGGCCAAGAAGCGTTCACCGCCTTCAAGGCGGGCTTGTATATCATCAATATCCTTCTCCTCTCCTAATCCATAAAAGATACATCCTGGTCCAAACTTTTGAAGAATCTTAAGAGTATCAGTGTAAGGGAATCTAACCGCCACCAGGGAAGAAGATTTGTTGTTAATCATCAGCAGAGAAGTCAATAACACCCCGGTTTTTTCCTTTTGAGCCATTGAGAACCACGCTTACCCGTAGCATATACTTTTGCGTGTGGCATCGAGTGCACCCATAGCGAATCGGTGAGCGCTGAAAATAGCACTCATACCGCATGGGAAGAGGAACACGTCGGATTCGGATAATCCAATCACACCTCTTTCGCCTTGGCGCTTTTTCTGTTCATCAAGAACAGATAAGCTCTCCTCCAAATCCTCAACTTTCATGGTTTGCTCTGATTCGGTCATAACTCCAGCGATACGACGACGCAAGGCAACTTTAGCCTTGTCGGCAAACTTGAGATTAAGGTTTCGACCATAACGCTCCTCAACGTAGGTCAAATGTTCATGATCTGGAGTTTCGACATCCGGTGTAGCCGGGACTTCGGGTCCTTTGCGAGAATAGTGTCTGTGAGATCGGGATTTCGGCTTTGGAGCAAAGTGGAGTTGTTCAGGAGAACCATTGGATCCAGCCTTCATTTCAATTTCGGCATTCTCATCAAGGATTCTCAATGCATATTCTGCCATTCTCGAGGAAATGATATCTCCTGTATGCTGCCAGAAAGTCTTTGCAAATTTGAAAGCATCGCTTGGGAACAAGACAATGAAAATGGGAACATTTTGCATTTCGCTTGTGGTTGAGGTCGGTGAGATCTCAAACTCAGCAATTCGAATATCATTCACCGTGAGCTTCTTCTCAGCTCCATAGTATCGTTGCATGAAAGCACGGCATCGTCTGGCGGCATTGCCCGAAGGAAGCAGCAAGTTCAACTCATCCTGTGAGCCGAATTTTTCGAGCAATCGCTTTGCAAGCTATACAGAGCCAATGACGTTAGTCTACATTTGATCCTTAGAGGATACCAAGAAACAACATGGAGCGGCTGCTTACTTTTTGAATGGTGGGATGGATAAAGAATCTAGGGTAACCCAGTTGCATCTTGGAGAAGACTCGTTCAGCGCCTTCTTCGTAGTCAACGTTATCCTTCCATTTGGGGAGGTTAACAGACACGGCGTGGGGTTCGTTAGCAGGTATAGTGGATCCTAACTGTGTAGGGAATTCATAGTTGCGACTAGTCATGTCAGGCACAAGAGATTATAAATGATTGGGGTTCAATCAAGATTTTGAGTCAATCTCTCCTTTCTTGACTCAACTCCCAAATTGGCATCCAGCCCATCATCTAAGATGATTTTGACAGTCACAGCCATCATCTTTCCCCGGTTAGCTTGTCAACCATGGACAAGAAGGTAGTGAAGCTGGTGCATGCAGGCGATGCCGATCAGCTCGATAAAACCCTACAAGTTATAGATAAGGATGAAAAATCTCGCCTCTTGAGTACCATCTACACACATGGCGACTCGATCGCCCACTTCGCGGCCAGGGAGCATCAACTTGAGATCCTTAAGGTTCTCGCTCGGCATCAGTGTCCATTTGAAATCTCGAATGAAAACGGTACGATATATATAGCAATGATTTTAGAGAAAAACGTTGGGTCCGTTGAAAGGAGATGTATCTGAATTTTTTTTTTTGTTTTTGGCTTATTACTGCTATACAGGTCGACAACCACTTCACGAAGCAATTGGTTCTCAGCCATGCATCGAGTTTCTTGTTTCGGAATGTCAAGTCGATGTAAACGCCATGAAACGTGGAGACTGGACGGCAATTATGATTGCAGGTAAATAATTGTAGAGAAGAATAAGGTAAAGAAGGTATAAAAACTCATACTTCATTCAAGCTATGAAAGGATTGACTGATACTGTCAAGATTCTTTTGCATTATGGAGCACGGCTCGATATGGTTAACCGAGACGGATGGAATGCACTCCACTTGGCGGTGAAAGAAGGTGCGGAGAGCGCGACGTATTTTCGTAGCAATGTGATTGCCAATTGACTGAGACAATTTTTGATATAGAGTTCAATGATTTAAGCACTTATTTAATTGACAAGTACCCAGAGGCAAGTCTGGCAGTATCCAAATCTGGAAGGCTACCCGTGCAAACAGCAGCACGTTGCAACGAGGATAGTTACCTGACATTGTACCTTTTGACCCACTCGCCTCATGGTCCGAAAGCTATTTTAAACTACCAAGATAATTCCGGACAAAACTTGTTGCAAGATGCAGTAGCTGCTAAAAATAATCAACTTGTGCGGACGCTTATACAGGACTATGGAGCCGATGCTAACGTGCCAGACAAGCTGGGCAGAACAGCCATCCACCACGCAGCGATGATCGGGTGCATCGACATCATGGTGGTTTTGCGTGATCTAGAACGACGACATGGAACAGAGATAGATTGGGACAGGGCGGATAGCTGGGATGAATGGACGCCTCTTATGCACGCAGCGAGGGAGGGCCACAGTGAGACTAGCAAATTCCTGATAGAGGAATGCGGAGCTGATTGTTCAAAACAAGATAAACAAGGACGTACACCTGGGGATATTGGTAAGTCCGATGGAATTGTGAGATTGAGGGTTTCTTTGAGTCTGTCCTGGTTGACTTAATGTTCTATAATCTCTCTGAAATAACCTATTCATCCCACCTTTCGGGAATACAATTTTTTTTTTGAAAAAAAGCTCAGCGGTGGAACCATGAACTATGAGAATGGAAGTTGTGGATTTCCGGTGCATTACCTATGTCGCGCGCTATTTCATTTTCACTCTAACACCGGAACAAATCAGACATACATTGTCAGTATTGCAATTCGGTTGACCTGCATCCATTTTGTATAGAATTGACAACATTTATCAATATATGGGCATAAATAAAGTCCCTGATCACCATGGCTTGATGGATGGCGCCGATATCACGGCATCACGAAAGTTGGAAGCGAGAAAGTCCATTTAAAAATATAAACAAAGTTGGACTTTGAACACAAGGTGGAGAGGATGCCACTGAGCTTGAAACAATACATGTTATCGCCCCACTCCATTTTCGAGTTCCATCAGGCCATGTATTCAACCACCTCATGTATTCGCTCGAGTCCGAGCATATGTTAGTACAGCTTTCCAACTATCTGTATACCAGGAAAAGTTAGGATATTCCTGTTGTATTTAGCATCCCGCCTTGGCACAGAAGGGCTAGAAAGCATAATTCGGACGATCGTATGAACCAATCTATACTACCAATTAAGCGGAATTTACTTCCTTACAAGTATGTTCCACAAGTGAGTTCTAATGTTTGCCCACCACTTATCTTCGCTATGATCAGTCACTGGGTATGATGTAGGCCACCCATTTTTATATATAGACAATATCACCAGTTGCAGGCAGATATTCACAGGAAAAAAAAATACTACGAGATTTGGGGAGGAGGGGTGCAACAATCGTGGTAAGTGCACAGAGCTATAAATATGATATCCAATCACAGACAGTGCCTGACCCATTCAGTGTAACGAAATCTGGCAACGCACAAAAAAAAAAAATAATTACAGAAATAGGAAACCAATTCAATCCAGCACATATAAAATGCCTGCGGTTTTCCTGCACCCACCTCTTTGTGAAGCATTCCTTTCCTTTTGATTACCTCCTTTTTCTTCTCATATACATATACATAACCGTCATGCGTTTGTCAACAACCATCACAGCCTTTGTCGCCATGGCTGCCGCTGCTTCCGCTCAGCAAATTGCTCAAATTGTTGATTCCAGCAACTTCTGTATCTTCTTGCCACCCGTTGGCTCTGCCGACGTTAACATCGCCGACACCGAAACTTATGCTACTGTCCGTTGCGTTGGTGACGCACCTAAAGCTACTGGAGCCGGAACCCTTCCTTCGGGCTTCATCTTGTCTGCTCATTATGTGTCAACCTCCGCTTATGTCCAAATCACTGGACAAATCGATCCCTCAAAAGCCGGTTTGAACGTCACTGATGATGGTGGTCAATACGATGTCAAGGCCCCCGATGGTTCTTCTTGCGCTGGCTGGCAATACTATGTTAACTTGATCGAACCCTCTGGCAACGACTACTGCATTCGTTGCTGCAATGATACAGTCAACTGCAACAGAGGTATTTCTCAAGCTGGTTGTGCTCGTGTCGTCCCAGGTGACTACTCTGGTCCTGGTGTCTCTACTACTGCTTCTTCATCATCAGTTGCTTCTTCCTCTTCAACTGTTTCTTCCAGCGCTTCAAGCTCTACCCCCGTCAAGGCAGCCGCCACTGCTTCCTCAAAGGCAGCTACTACCCATACCGCAGAACCATCTTCTGCCAGCGCATTGCCTACCGATGCTGTCAGCGCTCAATCTGAAAGCGGTGCTGTCGGTATGATCAAGCCCGCTCTTGCCTCCGTAGCCGTCATGGCTGCCGCTTGTGCCTTCAACCTCTTCTAGATTTTTTTTTTTCCAAACCCTTCACCCATCCTAGCTTTGTAAAACTCTAAAAAAAAATCTCTCCCACCAAAGACATTTGTGCTTATCGCCACTGCATTTACATTCCTTCACCTAATGATACACACGTCTATTACTACCTTGATACCATCCCCCTTCCTTACCCCTCACACCATCCATGTACCTATTTTACTGCCCATTTTACCCCGATTCAGAAAATAATCAAATGCTTCAGATGCCTTTAGTATGTATTTACAACGTAGTAATATCTCATAAATCCACAATTTATGGGAATATTGAACTTTTTCGTTCTTTTTTTTTCCTTTTTGGCATTTATACAATATTGCATAAATGAAACTCTTCGAACAAACACCGTTTTAAACCACATGTCTTACTGCCGTTCTGGTGCTTTAAAGGCTATATGCCTTACATTGAATCATGGGGTAATGTAGCTTTTTATTGAACGAATGAAACACAAATGATCTATGGTGCCGTTTAGCGTGACCGATGCCTTATTCTTTCTGGATGATGATTGAGCTTGCTGCACCTCCACCGTTGCAGATAGCGGCAGCTCCAAATTGACCCGACTTGAGAAGATGGGTCAGGGTAACAATGATGCGAGATCCCGAGGAACTACAAGAAGTGTCATAAGGAGGAAGATGTAAGGAGAAAATACAAGAAAAGCTTATTAGCATTCCAAAGCAACTTCAGGAGACTCGCGAGGGGGGATCGCGGTAGAGAGAACTTACCCAATAGGGTGACCGAGAGCTACAGCACCACCCGCTACATTGACCTTGGAAGAATCAAGACCGAGAATCTAATAATAATATAACCATTATGTTTAGCATACATGGTAAAAGTCTGTCATGTCAAGGGGTTGACTACAAACCTGTTCGTTAACACGAGCAACAACACTGAAAGCTTCATTGAATTCAAACAAACTAATGTCGCTGAGTTCAAGACCTGCACGCTTGAGGGCAATGGGAAGGGCTAGAGAAGGTGCAATGGTAAAATCAACAGGCTTGGTGGCTGCATCAGCATAAGCTGTTCGGAAGGTAGTGCATTAGATCCAGTGGGGGTGGTCAAAAGGAGAGTACGGGAGGGTGGCACTTACAGACAATACGAGCCAATGGCTTGACACCAAGTTCTTGAGCCTTTTGACGGGTCATCAAAACAAGAGCTGAAGCACCATCATTGATGGTACTAGCGTTTGCAGCCGTAACAGTTCCTATAGTGGACGAAATGTTTGAGTCATTGAAAAATTGACAAGCCTTTTTTTATGAGAAGTTTCGCAATCCGCTACTCACCGTCCTTCTTGAACACTGGGCGAAGGGTAGGAATCTTATCGAACTTTACATTTTTGTATTCCTCGTCCTCCTTGATGATGGTGTCACCCTTCTTGCTCTTGATCGTGACAGGAGCGATTTCAGCATCGAAGACTCCGTTCTGCAGAAAGGTGTATCAGTGGTAGATCAAGCAGAGAGATACACTAGCTCACCCTTATGTCTGGCGACTCACCTTCCAAGCTTCAGCAGCACGCTTGTATGATTCAATGGCATGCTCATCCTGTGCTTCACGAGATATCTTATAGTTTACGGCGGTGTTTTCAGCGCAGTTTCCCATACTACAGATCAGATGAATCAATATGCGTATTTGCCTATGGTTTGGTTTTGAGATACAGAAATGTGATCAAACGTACTGGAAATTGTTGTAGGGGTCCCACAGACCATCCTTGATGATAGCATCACTCAATTGCTGATGGCCAAAGGCGATGTTGCGTTGAGAGTAGTAGCTATGAATTAGAAATGTGTCAGCGGAAACATTTGGCTCGGAGTTCGCAATGTCGGGGATAGCTTACGGAGCGTTGGTCATGCTTTCCATTCCACCAGCAAGCATAATATCACGCACACCGAGTTGAAGATTTTGAGTGGCCATCATGACAGCCTTCATACCGGAAGCACACACCTTGTTGATGGTAGTAGCTTCGGTTGATTCAGGGCAGCCTATTAAATGGACGTTTTACCAATGTCAGCACGTGAAAAATTGTCAGCAAACCCAGGGACAGACCCCTCGCAAGAGGTATCAAAACTAAGTACCTGCAGCCAAAGTAGCCTGGCGAGCTGGAGCTTGACCAATATTAGCTTGGAGAACATTGCCAAGGTACACTTCTTCAATCTGCTCGGGCTTGAGACCTGCAAGGATTCAAGATTAAAAAGATGGAGACTTGACATGCTCGTAATAAACCTAATCTAGTACCAGCACGATCAATGGCAGCTCTGGCCGCGATGGCACCAAGTTGAGGAGCAGAAAGTGACTTGAAAGAGCCATTGAAAATAGCAACAGGAGTTCTAGCTGCACTGACAATGACAACTTCCTACAATACAGAAACTACTGTCAGCACCTGTACGTAAAGTGGCCAAAAGTTCGAACTAATACACTACATTGAGACCGCGGGAAGCTTGGGTGGCAAAACCACGAGCAAACTATGGAATGGTGAGTTGGGTTCTTTGAAAACCAGATTATATCTATCTAACTTACAGTAGTTGTTTTCAAAGCAGAGAACATGGGAGAAAAGGTGGAGGTAAAACTATGAAAGCGCAAGCTGGCTGACAAAAGTGAAAATTTAAAAATAATGTAGCTTTCCCACGACCTGCTAATGCTGGCTGGCTGGGTCACATCCCAATCCTTCACCTGCGTCCATCCTCTCGCCCCAGGGCAAATTTACTCATATCTTGTTCGATGTAATGCAGATGAATTAGTTTATTCGGATAAGAGTTTTTCTAGCCAATACAGTAACACTTCGAGCACCTTATTCTTGCCCGCCGTATTACCAACATTCCATATCGTTTGGCTGCTAGTTTCTATCAAAAACGTTGATGTTACAATACCAAATGCATATACTACAAGGGTATATAGTGCAAATGTAATGGTGTTGGCTACTATGCGATCGTCTGATTTTCGCATCAGTTGCAGTACTTGAGCCTTGTCTGGCATGGAGCTCTTTCGAACTATCGTTTGGGATGGTGGTGATTGTGATTGAGAATTTAATGACGCTTGCTGATTCAGCAATAGCAAAGGTTGAGCGTTTGGCTAAGTTAGAGGAAACGATCAGTACACAGGGACGCATATTACCATGGAAAATCATGAATGCTTACATCGTTTAGGTCGTACACCAGCCGAGATCTTCGAACCCTCTCCGCTCGACGCTGTCGAACACCTGGTCGCAGGGAATTCATGTCTGAACCAGTAGAGGTTGCGCTGTGCCCGTCGAAATCCTTATCCTAACGTTAAGAGAATGATTAAAAAACAATCATAATAGTATCAAACATTGATCAAATAGCCACATACGGATGGCGGGGGTGGTGTAGTTGGAGCCTTTGATCGCAGATCAGCAAGTTCAGTGACCAGAAATTTGTTTTCCCGTTGTAGTGCCTTCCGAAGGCTGTCGAGCTCGCTTTTAACTAGGAAGAGAATCAATGGTAAGACAATGAAAGCACTTCAATGATGAAAAGTATCCCTTTGTGCTCACCCTTGTCTAAGTCCTGCATAGCATCATTTGCCTGAGCTTTATAAAAGTCCTTTTCATTTTCGACGGTTCGCAGCCGTTCCGTAGCATCCTGCTGCTCTTTCTATATAACAAGGTCGAATAAGATTCTATGCAACATTGAGGACGACTGATACTCATCAGACGGTACGTACCACCATATTCACGAACTCATCGTTGTCTCCTTGAAAAGGGTTCTGTATGGTATTGTAATGCATTGCTAGTTCGGATTGCAAGTCCTGAGAAAAAGTTACGACAAGTCAATCACATTGTCGATGCGCTGCTGGCAACAGTCATGTAAACTGATCAATTTTATGTGGAAGTGAGCCGTACCTTGATGTTATCCGCCATATCGGATCGAGACCATGACCGCTGATGTCGACTATTTCTGGCCTCGTCTAAATCATAACTTAGTTCATCAATCACTTGCTTGAGTCGTTCGTTTTCACACCTTTGCTCTTCTAGCTTCATATGAGCAGATTGTGACATAATGAGCTCTTGCTCAAGCTGGAATTGCATTTCCACTAATCGATCGCGCTCATCCATCAATTGGCGGAACTCCTTATTCATATGTGAAAATGTCTCTTCTGTTTGTTCCAAAAGCGTTTCTTTGCTCCTTAGAGCATCCTGTAACTTCTGAGTTTCTCCTGTGTAAAGATTAGATATTGCAGGTTGATTCTAATAAGAGCAAAGGTTATCAGGTCTTACCACATTTCTCGTCGACTAATTGCTTCAACGAGACATATACTTGCTTATGATCAGATTGAGAAGATTGTATTTGTGCAATATGCGCTTCAAGCTGGAAGAGTAGGCAAATAGAATGTGTTCAATTGGTTCATTTGTCAGTGCATAATACAACCATGCGAAAAAAAAAAATCGAAGCAGCTCATATTTACCGCACTGATCTGATCCAAACTATTCTTCTCTTTGCCTTTAAATTCTAAAATTTCTTTCTTCTGGTTGTTGATATTGTTGTTCATATCATCTACAAACGTTTGTAGTTGTGCGATGCGTGATTCATTTTCATGTGTCATACTAGCCAAACTGCGCTCTGATTCTTTCAGTCGCTTCGTGAGCAGTAAGGTTTTTTGATAGTAGAGAGACATCTGTTCGACTTCAGCATCATCCATCATCTAAAAAAAAAATTAAAAAAAAATGAACATGATTAGTACACAAGACTAAGCGGACGTGGCGGGACGCCATCGACATTTTCGTTGGCTGCAAAACATAGCGGGTCTAACCTCTTGTTCAAGGTCGGAAGCCGACCAAGCGGATATGGACATATTATCATCTGTGGGTGATGGCAGACTATGATTTCGAGAAACATCGTTCCACGACTACAGTCAATTTACAAGTGGTTAGTCTACCATGCTGTGGTCTTTTTGACATAACTGCCTGCTAAGAGCCATCCCATACCTTGGTATCTATATCGAATGGCTCATCCAAGGAAGGTGACCTTGAAGTTCGGAGCCTCTGTGTTAATGGTTTGATATGACGAAGTGGTGCAGAGGTCCGTGGACGTATAGAGGGGCTAGGGATATTAGAGGTATGCGGGGTATCCTGGTTACTATTATTTGGCGAGACCAACTTGACGAGGTTCATGATGTCTTCTGGCGACATATCCAGGTCAGGGTTGGCCAGGGTAAAAGGTTGGATGGCTATTCGTTGTTCTTGGGTCAATAGTGTGACCTGGTTTTCTTGTTCATACTGATCAATGAGGGCCAATAGATCTCTAGTCAAGATGGTGCCTTGCTTTCTCTCATCATAGTTTGCAACCAAACAAGTGAGCTGAGCTTTCAGGACAACCATTGGAACACCATGTGAATTCGAAGGGTCTGATGCTGGCATCAAAGGGGTCATGCTACACCTTGCTCTTAACCGAGCATTCAATGCGTTACAAATATCAGAGGTTGTTGGGAAGGTTGTTGCAGAGTGCCACAGCCAAAAACACGTGTCAGAGCTCCTTTTATTATCTATTAAGTAATTTTTTCATTCTGCAATATGTCGATGAATGGAAGCGATAAGTGTCAAAAGGATTTGATTAAAGAATGATGATTATTTTATATAGATTGCATCTTCTTTACTTAAAAGTAGTTCAATGGGTTGATACATTCAGTTTCTACGCCCCAACCCACGCCAATGCAATCCCCCAGCCAAACCGACACTATCCGCTGGCACTCAATTTCTCTTTTCTACGGTAGAAATAATGAAAAAATTGCACTGTGTACTTTCCAGGACCAACAGTCAAACAAAAAAAAAAAAAAGTTGTTAGGTTACTTGTTCATTAATCCAATGCTATGCCGACGACTCTCATGTCGTCTGTGGTGGCTAATAAGAGCTTCCACACCACCACCAAGAATACTGAGGAATCCACCATCCACTCGTTTGTATACGGTTAATGCATTGCCGAATCGCATCGCACCGATTTCACGTCCATCGGTATCGCCACCGCAGCATTTGGATAAGCACTCCAGTGAACCAACACATCCCATTGTACAACAACTGCGAACAAACTTATACCACTATACCAACAAAACGGTTAGACTGACTAAAATTTCCAATATAGCCCGACGGAGCATCCTACGAAGGGAACGACGAAAGCAACTAGCAGACCTCTATGGTCAATTGCGACAACAACCAGAATTGCTTCGAAAAATTGCCCGGAGAGATATGATAGCTTTGGTGAACGCCTTTGTGCCTAGTCAAAGTATCCAAGGAACCAATACCGCCAAACAGCTGACGTTACAAACCATCAAGATTTTACAAGACATGGAGGCTTTCCGAGTATGTCGTTTGAGTACCCAGGAGCTGGAGCTATTGATCAAACTGCATGTTTCCATCGATGAAATTCATGCAGCAGAGGCTATAGCCCATCGACTCGAAGCAAAAGGTCCGTTGAGTAGTGGTATGCGGGAACAACTGGCGATTGCGTTGGCTCGCCAAGGTCGTGTCAAGGAGTCCGATGCCATGTGCGAATCTACACCCAACTTAAAAGTATGTGCCGAGCAAGTCAATACGCTGTTGAAGATGAATGAAGTTTCCGGTGCCGAAGCGGCTATCCAAAAGCATCAGGTCACCAGTCCCGGCCGAAGTGTTATGGATTACGGTCTTGATCGACTTATTACTCACATGGTACGAGAAAGTCGGGATACCATCCTGGCGATTCACCTTTTTCAACGAAAACGAGAACTTGGTTTATCTGGGGCATCGGTTGCACGCCTCATTACCGACCGCTGTATGTATACCATGCAACCGGATCTAGCTTGGTCATTACTCGAGCTTGCTCAATCAACAGAAGATCAAAAGAGTGTCATCGGTATCGCAAATGGAATGATCAAGCAATATGTCGCCAAACAAAACTTGACCCACGCCATGGAGATTTACAATAATACACGCACGGGTAGTAAACGCAGGTCGCTACTGCCACTTGTCACTCGAAGAGATTTAATGGTGGCTTTAGCGCATAGCAACAGAGTAGCAGATGCAATGATTCTGTTTCGAGACCTCGACAAAGCAACACCCTATCGATTCAGCAATGGCGTTTATCATACCTTGTTACGAGGGCTGATTGATGGTCATGCAGCCAAGGATGTTCGCTATGTGTATGACCGATTACAACGACGAGGAATTATACCCAACCTGGACACGTTCCATGTACTAATGACATTCTGCGGGCGTTCTGGTGATACGGCATTTGCACAACTGGTGGTTCAAGATATGGCCAAGCGAGGGTTTACATTATCGCACAAGATGTACACGTCTCTCATGGCATGTTATGTCCAAGCTGGGGATTCACGCTCTGCACTTGCCGTGTTCAAGATGTTTATGGAACAATCCGAAGAAAAGCCAGATGCCCACGACTTTAACGTGCTTCTGCGAACCGTCATGACCCCCAAGGTGTCGGCTGAAATTGCCAATCAAAAAATAGTTTCAATATTGGAGAATATGAAGCGACTGAATGTTATGCCTGACGACTCTACCATGATAACATTACTACAAATATATGACAAGGTTGCACCCAAGCAAGCGGATGCATTGTGGTCTCGAATTGTGAGCACAGGAATGCTACCCAATCTCAAACCAGTTCGAGTCAGCAATGTCATGTATACCAGAATGATTCAAAAGGTGGGGGTCTTGGCTGCGGCAAAGCATTTCTTTCAACAGCAACAAGAACCTGCGCGTGTGCCTCTCGATGGTATGACCTACAAGATCTTTCTCGATGCTGCCACTGTGAGTCCTGCCACCATGGGTTTGGCGAACAAGTTCTACCGCGACATGCGATTACGAGGCATTAAACCTCCTCTGTCCGTGTATGAGAACATGATCAGCGGATGGTCGCGCAAGTGGCAGATTAGCAAGGCCAAACGAGTGATGGTGGATATGGAACAAGATTATCAAATTCGTTCTGGACTATCAGCATGGACGCGGTTAACAGATGGATTTCTGGCCAACAACCAAATCGAAAGCTTGCACAAACTTGTCATGCAGGAGATGATTGCTGAGCGTGGAATCCTCCCTGATGCATTTTTAGAACAACGTATGGTGAAAGCGCTCAAGGATCATAACCTACATACGGAAATGGATGAATTTTTGAATACCTTGGCTGTCATCCGGCAAAACAAGCAACGCAAAGCTTTAGCCAAGACGAGCCGAGACGCTGCAAGTCGATCACCCCGTCGACTCGTTCGCATTCCTCGTCGTCAACATCGTCCCTCCCATACACAGTCCACCACCACCACTGAGCACAGTGACGCTGATCAGCAGTATCAAACCAATCATTTTTGATGTGCCGCGCCCCTAGGCTATTTTGTAACATAGACTTTGGGATTGAAAGTGCATGCTTTCATCCTATTATCAATAAAAACTGAGAAACAGCTTTAATAGCACGTTTACATAAAATGAAAGTTACAGCTGAATAACGTCGCTATGGAAGCGGTCAGAGTAGGACCACGTAGAAATGCTGAGATTTTAAAATTTTAGTGGCTAATCTTTGTGCTGCCCAATGTTATCTCCTGGCTGACACACAGCAGACTGGCTGGCGCATGTCACGGAGGTTCCTTTGTCATTATGCTTTTTGTGCCTGAGCACTGCATTTTAGCCTTGGAGTATACGTGCGATATGACGACTTAGGGGATGGGTGACTGGCAAGGGTTTTTTAGCCGATGCAATGCACGGTGCTGCTCTGCAAAGCTGATGGAGGAGTCACAATGGCGTTAAAAAGTGGCCACGGGCACAGATGCGATAGGCGCTTATTAAATTTGTTGTGTATTTGTGTCCAAACCCTTGCAGTTGTGATTTTTATTTTCTTTTAGATGATCTAGAAGGGGTATACGTTCATGCGATATGTCCTTAATGAAGGAGCTGAGACCAGTCTGTATCAGTGGAAGCTTTCTTTATAGTTTATGTGGTTTTAGATAAAAGAAAGAAAAAAAAAAATAGAGCATCAAGCTAGATGATATCGGGGAGTGATGTGAGTAAATGGGAGGAGGGAAATGATTACAATAAAGTCTTTAAGCAGACAATGAAGATTCAACAATAATAGCAGTGACACGGTAAGGGTCAATGTTGGAAGCGGGTCTTCTGTCCTCAAGATAACCCTTGCCTTCCTTTGAGACGTGACGAGGAATACGGATGGAAGCACCACGGTTGGCAACACCATAGGAGAAGGTGTCAATGTGACCAGTTTCGTGACGACCAGTAAGACGAAGGTTGTTATCTTCACCATAGACAGCAATGTGCTCGTTGTGGCGCAAGCTCATCTTGTTGATAGCGTCTTCAATAGCCTTGATACCACCCTCCTCACGCATAGCAGCAGTAGAGTAGTTAGTGTGGCAACCGGCACCGTTCCAATCACCGGCAACAGGCTTGGGGTGGATGCTGACGATGACACTGAAGTCTTCAGCAACACGGTTAAGGAGGTAACGAGACATCCAAAGGTCGTCACCCATAGTGATACCTTCGCAGGGACCAACTTGGTATTCCCATTGACCGGGGGCAACCTCAGCGTTGACACCAGAGCAGTTGACACCAGCGTAGAGACAAGCACGGTAATGGGCTTCAACGATATCACGTCCGAAGACCTTGCCAGCACCAACACCGCAATAGTATTTACCCTGAGCTTCAGGATAACCGCCCTTGGGCCAGCCGTAGGGTTTTTCAGTTTCAACATCGATCAACATATACTCCTGTTCAATACCGAACCAAGGATGAGCATCAGCATGAGCCTCCATAATCTTCAATGCAGCAGCACGGTAGTTGGTCATGTTGGGAGTGCCATCAGGGTTATAGGTTTCGCTCAAGACAAGGATGTTATCACCCTTGCGGAAAGGATCAGCATAGATAGCAACAGGCTTCAAGAGGACATCAGAGTCATGGCCTTCAGATTGACCAGTGGAACTACCGTCGAAGTTCCATTCAGGCAAATCAGCAACAGACTTGGGAGCCTCCTTCAAGGTTCTAGTTTTGGAGCGAAGTTGGTTGCTACCGTCGATCCAAATGTACTCTGCTTGAATAGAGCCCTTTTGATCCAAGGACAGATACTTTTCCAAGAGAGGAGCGTTTGACTTGTAAGCCATAGTAGAGAAAGAAGTTTAAGAAGAGAGGGGGGAGTGAAAACAACAAGGTCCAAGCGAGTCGTGATGGCTGCTGATGGTGAGCTGCTTTTATACCATCTGCCCTCGAATTGCCTATCATATCATTTAAGTATAATAAATTTTTTCAGTTAAATCTTGAATAGTCCGTTATCATTTCCGTCCATCTATACCAGCCCCGACAGCCCCACACACACGCTCCAGTTGCTAAGCCAGCCAGCCTGTTTATACCTCCTGGAAACCCAACAACAACAAATTTATTTCAACCAAGCCATTCTGTCCCTTTCATTTTGTTTTAGATATATTTAGATCATGAAAGGGAGGAACGTCAACTCCTCACTATATAGATCGTTTCACCACCATCTACCGTACAGCTCAAGCTTACATCAAATCAAGATTTGGTGTTTTAGCGGGAGTATTCGCTTGTCTTATCTCTACGGAAACAGCTATCATGGTAAGACATGTGATTGGGTCACTACCATATGAGGCAGCAGATAAGATACCCTTGAGTACCTTTTTATTTCTGTGCAATGCATATAAGTACAGAGTAGTCGATGTGCGGGTTAGTCAAAGGGAGCAACTCCTTCTACCTCCTACTCAATAATGAAGACCGCTGGCGTAAATGAGCTGGAAATTTAAAAAAAGAAAATAAAAGTCATATAAAAAGGAAAAATTCCTAGGTCAGTTGAGGTAAAATGATCGGGGTGGGTGGGGTGAAGTGTTCGATTTCTTTCCTTCTGGCCCTCCTGTTCACCTGTACACCCAGCCATAGACGGATACGCATACAACCGCTCACTCATACGTGTAGCTCCATCCATCATCCGTCAGGGCAAAAACTTCAGAAACTGGCGGGTCCAGCAGCAAAGTTTGGCAGAAATTTGACCTGCCGATTACTCCATATGGTAAACCACTTGAGCCTTATCTCTCGTCAGAGTTCATGGCTGCCATGTGACCTTGTGTAGCCAAAGGATAATCAGGAAATAGAAAGGAAGCTTTTTTTGGGATGTGTGCAGATGAGATATGTTTGGGTTTGTATTGTAGTGTTATTTACAACTGGAGAAAGAATGAGGAGAGAGAAAAATGGTAAGAGAGAGAAAGAAGAAACAAATATGGCGAGAGACGGATGGAGCTGAGGGTTAATTTTAAGCTTGGTTGAGAAGGAGTTTTTTGGACTGGAGGTCAGTGTGGAGTTCTTATATCTCAACGCGATCTAACCATCCGCCAATGGCTCGATTTCGTTGGGCAGTGGGAGACACCAGGTTGACTTGATGCAGCTGCCGAGTAATATGCATCAAGTCTTCATCCAGATCATCGACCGGGTGAACCAGACCAAAGTCATGCGCATTGGTAACAAATTGATGCTGTCGTTGAAGACTAATGCTGCCTGTGCTTCCAGAGATCGATGACTCACGCGACAGGACGAGATCATCCTCATCAACCACATCGTCTGAGCTGATATTGCTCAGGTAGTGAAGGGGCGGTGATACCCTATCATGAAAGTCAAAGTCGTGCCGAACCATGTCTGTTTGAACGCCAACTGATCGGCTTGGAATTTGGCTTTCCCGTCGTAACAAAGCAATTTGATCTTGTGCCTTCATCAATTGTGTACGCAAAGACTCCACCAAGTCTTTTTGTTCATTCAGTTCGCTCACTAGCCGCTAAGGTACCATATGGAAACAGATGCATCAAAAAATAAAAGGAACCATGGGATTAAATTTTTATGAGCCAAACAGACAAGAGCTTAAAACTCAGCACTTACCTCCTCATTTTCTATGGCATCTATCGCATTGTCTTCTTCATAGTGAAATAATCGAAGCTTTAAATTAAAATTCTCCTTTTTGAGATCAGTGATGACCTAAACGTATTTGTCGAAGCAAGCATCATCAGTAAACAAGTCAAATTAGAACAAAAATTATGTCCCATTTGACTAACTGGCTATATGCCTGTCTTTGATTTCCTTGACATTATACCCAGTATGACCTTCAGGCAATCTACTTACTTTTTCAAATTCTTTTAAAGGAACGGATGATTTATGGTCATTCAGGTCGAGTGAAGAGGGCATATGACTGGGATATTGTGAGATGAGTGGCGTGCTGTTGCTGGGAGTGGGTGTGACGTGAGAGGGGGTGCCGAGAGTAGGGGTGAGGCTGACCACCCGCTTTCGATGGCTGATATCAGAAAGTCGTTTAGTAGGGGTTGAATTCGACATCACAGGGGATTGTGACCGAGTTGGACGAACGACAATGCCTGCCGGCGATCCAAATGTAGGCGAATGGAAGCGTCGGGGTGTTGCATGTCCATGCACCGTGCCACCGGACGGCTTGGCGGACGACATGTAAGAACAGAGATAGCGAGGTACTGAATAAGCAATGTGAAAAGAATGGAATCGAAGAACGACACTAGGATTCGAGCCTGGGTACTAACTGATTTATTGGGAATGTGGGTGTGTAAAGCTTGGCTCGGCCAGGACTGTACTGACGACAGAAAATTTCTTTGCTCGCTCTCGGGCAAAGGCGTTCAACAGTCCAATTGCAAAGTCCAAACCCACCAGTCAGCTATCACATCACTTGTTCTGCTTTTTCCTTTCTGTTTTCCTCAAACGATATGTAATTTATGTAAATACATTTGAAAAAAGAAAAAACAAAAGCTGGTAGTTTCTAAATGTGTCTGTCAAATGGACCGGGTGATTTTTGCATGAGAAGAGAAAAAAAAATAATGAAAGACAAGGTGTGTAAGGAAGGGATACATGTTGGTAACAGAAGATGGTTAGGGAGGGGCAAGTACAAAAACTGAAAAGAAGAAACAATGTCGTCTTGTCTTTTGGTATTCTAGCACATTTTGAAGTCGCAGTGTTCCTCACACTCTCCATTAACACCTTGGAATCGGTAGTCTATGTCGATATCCAAATCGCGAGGGTTGCTCTTGTTAGGGGCGCAGCGAACAGTTCCACTAATCTCTTCGCCAGCCTTGATAGTGACAGTCTCGGGTGTGTAGAAAACAGTCTGCTTCCAGTGAGTGTACTTGGCGTGAGGGCCGGTGGAGAATCGTACAGGCTTATGGCAAGCGGTGAAAGCAATGTCGAACCAAGCAATGAAGGCATGGATATAATCGTCACGAGCAGCAGTGAGCTTGAAGTCGCTGGTGAAAGTCAAATCCTCTTTGGTAACAGTAAGAATGTCGATTTCCTGTAACATGGCGGTCAGTGAAATGGAATTTCCTCTATAGACAGAGCGGTTTCTAACATGATTTCAATTTTTTTTACCTTGAAGGGATAAGGACTGGTAACAACAGTCTTGACATCAACAGTGTCGACCAGGGGTTCCTTGATGGCAAGGTTCTTGATAGAAGAGTAATCGAATCCATAAACATTGTCCCAGTCTGTAAAACACATTCGAAACCAATAAAGTCAATATTGAGCGCTACAGTATCATTCCATCATGGTATCCACTTACATCCGATCTTTTCATCCTTATAATCACCATCCTCAATAGCAGCAATGTACATGGTGGCCTTGTCAGGGAAGATCATACCGCCTGGAGCCTACAGCATAGATTGAATGAGTCAAACGAAACAGCAAAGAGTAGACAGAATGGGATTGTTTCAACTTACCAAGTACTTGTCACGAGCAACCAAGACAGTATCCAACATGGATTCGTACAACAAGAAGTAACCCATCCATTCGGAGATAATGATGTCAACTTGAGGAACAGGCAATTGAACTTCCTCCATCTTTCCTTGGATCAAGGTGATCTTGTCGGTCAAACCGTTATCATCGACGATTTGGCGAGCTTGGATAATGATATTGGACATGTCAATCTGCAGCGAGTTGTTTACCATTAGTTACTGTACGTTTGTTTTTTTTTCTCCCACTTTCAACCTAAAAGTTTTTTCCACGCCTCGAGCTACTCTGATCACTTACACCATAGACATGCTTGGCACCAGACTTGGCAGCAAACATGGACAAGATACCAGTACCACAGCCAACATCGAGAACAATCTTGTCCTTGAACAAGTGCTTGTTCTGATAGATAGATGCCCGGTACGACAAAGTTCGCACCTCATCCTTCAACATTTCCTAGAGAAAGGCAATGCATTGTCAGAATATGAATTGAAAACTTGATTGCCACCATGGGTCATGGCTGCTGTCACTTTGAACGCGGATCAGGTTAGTTACCTCGTGAATGCCTGAGATGAGGAAAACCGAAAGGTTAGATCAGTTGAGCTGGTCAAGGCTTATAAGAGACGAGGTACTTACCGAAGTGGGCATAGGAGTCAAAGTAGTAGTCTTTGCTTGTCAACTTCTCTTCTTCAGTGGCCATAGTATTGACGGGTTCGATAAGAAGCAAGTACCAGCCACCTGTTACCGTTTTTTAGAGGAAAAAAAAAAAAAAAAAAAAAGTTTCATTGCACAGCGCGCTGCATGGTGATTAGCAGTCCCAGGGCAAACGATCGAAATGGGGTGCCCAGAGGTGTATTTATTGGCTGTAATTTTTCTCTCTTTTTTTCTTTAAAACAATTAAAAATGGAGTATAAGAGATTGCGAGAACCATTTTGAATTTTTAAACTCGCGTACGTTGGTTTAGATAATTATATAAGGGGGTGGGGTTGGGAATCCAAGTAAAAGGAAACGACCGAGTGGAGCTTTTAGGCGGTAATTGGGGGGTAAAAGCAAGGCAACGGAAAGAAAAAAAAAAAAAAAAGAGGATTCGAAGTGGGATATCCTCAAATTCAGTCATCGTATGTACAACGAGCCCCAGGGCTCTGGTATCTGAACATATCTGGAACAAGTAGCAGCAGAAAATAAATAGTAGGGTGGAATGGGAGGAGGAAGAGATATATGGTTAGAATAGATTTTGCATGGCGTGCAGGAGACAATCAGATAGTCGCAGCGTAGCCATTAAACTAATCCCAAGCCAGTGCGGCGATAGGACGCTTGCCAATGGAAGAAAGGGACGCTGGGCGACCAGGACTAGGGGTCGATACATGAAATTGATTTTCATAATATCCATCCAAATCGTCCCTCGAAGGCAACCTAGTTCGTCGAACGGTTCGACGCCCGCCTCCTTGATAGCCTGCGGCCATGCTTCGGCGCATTACCACGACCCCGTATTTTGATTTCGAGGAGGTTGCAGAAGTAGTTTCATGCATTTCTTGGTCCTCGAATAATTCTTCAGCAGGAGGAGGTAGCGGTGGTGCAATACTGACCAAATTCTGATCGGGGGACTCCGTGCTTCCAGCCACATGGAACTGAGACATGAGGATGCGATATGGTAGTACAGTTGAACCGGAGGACGAAGCTGAGGAAGGAGGTCGTGGGGAAGGAGTTGGAGAAGGCGTTGACATTATGCCAGGAACAGTATGATGAGCGAAACGTCTGTTGGGTGTATGGACATGAGAAGATTGCCATTGCTGACTGATATCTGCAATAGACCACAGTTGCAAAAGTCGATCGTGGTGTTCGATCATGATAGTCCATAACTGAGTCCATTTGGTATTGGTTCGAATAATATCCATATTCAAAACATGATGTATAGAATGTCGCTTAAATTGCTTTTCATCTCCATTTTGCAGGGGCCGCTGCTCGAATTGCTTTTTAATAGTATTTTGGTTGACGCTGGATAGGGACTGCTCCAATCCGGTGCAGACCGGTGCGAAGACGATAGCCAGGGCTTCGTGATTCATGAGATTAAACTGGGAGTACTGTTGTACAGCCGCCAATATCTGAGTTATAAGGTATTGCAATAAATCCGAATGAGCCTTGGGCATGTCCAGTGCCAAGTCAGCAACATCCTTTAGCAGTTCTAGTCGAGAGCATGGTCGATCTAAAAAATGAAGAAAGAAAATAGGTTAGAACTCTTAAATACTAACCCTTCAGTAGATTTTAAAAAAGTAGAACCTACCAACTAGCATGAGAAATCGGTCATGGTATGGACGTGGTAAGACAGGTTGTGGCAGACTTCGAAGGTATTTTTTTAATACACCAGTAATAGCATGGATATCATACTTGGAAAGATCCAAGTATTTTCCATAAGATGGAGCTTTATCAAATTCTCTTTGTAATTTATCGACCTCTGCTGCAGCTCCAGAGAGGCGAAAGATGCCTTGTATCGTCAGACCTCGTTCCACTATCTCGGAAAAGCATCTATAAACGATGTCTGGAATTCGTAGGCCGCTTTGAGTGAGCGGGCCAAACTGAGCGGCATATTCTAGGGGTGCTCCAAAGATACCATTCACATCAGAAGGACCTATTTCATATTACGAAGAAGGGTGAGTAAGACGAAAGCGTGGTTCAGTGTAACCGCTGAGATAAGTGGTATTCTTACTTTTTTTTGCAGAGGAAGACGAGTGGATAGTGAATAACGTTTGTTTTGTCTTTGGAAAGAAGAAGGAAAGCGGGTTGCGCTGGCGTCTTTTGGGTTGATCGTGAGTTCCAACTGCCATGTTTACAATGAGTAAAGAGAAATGCAAAGCAAGGAGGCGAGGCACACACTATAGAGAAAAGAAGAAGAGAAAAAAAAAAAGTGAGGCAATACGAGCGAGCGAGCAAAAGGAGGGGGGGTCAAAAATAATGGCTGCTTGCTGTGGGACGTGAACTCAATTGGGGACAGTATACTGCAAAAGGCATCCCGGCAGCAAGTCAGCTTGCAGTGTGAATTACATGCTTCTTATTCCTTCACTTCACCAAGTGATCATTCCATAGCAAATAATAGTCTGATGCAACCAGAAAGGTGCTTCTTGTTCATATTCAAACCTGAAACTGCTCATCCCCCCAAAGTCATTTCCCCCTTTCTGCCCCCTTTTGCAAGATGTTGCCCGGGCAGTTTTAAACCCCGCGCATTTTTCATTTTGGTTGGCCTGGCTTCGTGCACGTCAAGTCAGCCAGCACAGCAGTCCCACTCCTTGGCCATTCGATCATGCATTCCACCTTGCCCTGTCTGATTCTGGCCTTCCTGGTCTCAATAGTGGCGGCTGGAGGCCCAGGTTCTCACCGTTACCAAATGCCCCACTCTAACTATGGCGAAGAGAAATCAAATCAAGAGTAAATGTTCAGATCCTTGTTAGAAAGCCTGATTGTCATTCTCCGCTGTGTCGTATACTGACGGATCTCCTTTGTAGACATATCAAAGAACATATTCAAGAACTTGCAGGAGACGACGGAGAGATTCCAGAAATGGACGAAAAGGATACATTGTTTTACGTGTTCACACTGCATGACTATAACAAGGATGGATTTTTGGACGGGCACGAACTCCGTGCTGCTTTCACCGATATTGACGACGACGATCCTACCGCTGTCGTGTCCCTGGATGAAGTCACTGAAATGGTGGATCATGTATTGGAAGAGGATGATTTGAACGGAGAGTAAGTTTAATTCTTTGGGCCATTACGTGATGTTAACGTTAAATAACATATTTATGTCCTTAGTGGGTTGATTTCATGGGAGGAATACTTGCAAAGTCAGATGTATCATGGGGTTGAATAACACACACACAGCAGCGAGAAACCTTCAATGACACAATTAATGTTGGTAGCCATTGCTACTGAATTAATGGATCTGCATTTTGTTGTGTGGCCTCATTCTTTATTATAAAAAATAAAATAAATAAAAAATTTCGTCATGTAGCTTATATTTTCACTTCCATTGTGACAAAATGCAGCTAAAATTGCGTACTTGTATCGTTCGTCGTTTCTTGACAGAATTGCATGCTTGGCATATAGCTATTTCCGTTGGAAGGAAATGTACCTACAGATGCGTACGAGCATAGCTTCCAAAGGCGACTGAATTTTGGTCTGAAATGGATGTTTTGACAGCTTTACCTGTGCATTGTTATGTAAATAACAATCGTTGCCACTGCAGCAAAATGTTTCATATACTATCCTTTTATCTCATTCATTGATCGCCATAATTGGAACTATACAATGAGCGAATCTGTAATGCATCACGGTATTTCTCTCAGAATCAACTGCTTCTAATCTTCTCTTACTCAACGACTCGTCATTAATTTTTCACTCACCAAGAAAGACATTCCTCGCCCCCTTTGACCGATATTTTTTCTTACAGGGGTGCATGGCGATCCGGGAAAGAAAATTGTAAGAAGAGGAGTTGACTTCTCGATACAGCACGTTCTTTTACAATCCATTCTTGGGTAATGTGGCGAACACGATCATCTGTTACTTTCTGATGCGAAAAGAAATCAAATGGCACGTCGACATCCAGACTCAGGTCCCTGAGCACTTGATATCACAAACAGACGTGGCGGGCTATAATGCATATACAAAACTGTAAGATGGATAATATTTGGCAGCAACAGCATTGGGTTGAACAACCCCAATGGATGCATTTGTTATATTAAGGTGTTTGCTGGTGATAACGAGCAGCATCAGATGATTCTTCTCTATTGTTCTCAAGTAGGCATGGTCTAGGGGCATTGGTAGCAGGGTTCCAGTTAGGCAGGTTCGATGGTACAAACCATCGGCTTTGCGGTCATTCCCTATTTGTAACTTACTCGATTGGTCTCCCACATGCATAGAACAGGAACTCGTGCACAAGCAAATACCCAACCTTTAATCGCCTCTGATCCGGACCATGGCATCGGCGACTACGGACTGTATACTACAAACATGATTCCGCTCGATGGCTCCGCCCGAATTTATTACCTCATTGGATTTTGTCAGTTCAACACCTCCTTTCCATCGTAGTACTTTAGAAAAGGTATAAATCATATTGTCTGCACAGTCATAAACAGCACGACGTCGACGCCATATTATTGACTTTGCGCTCAACCTTCGGTATGCATGAAATTACGATATAATGTTGCCTCCTGACTGGTGATAATCGATAAAGGAAAGAGTATTTGGTATGAAACAGCCATAAAATTTATGGAGTGAGTATTGCGAAGTTGCTGTCGCCTAATTTGCCCGCCTCAGAGACTTTGACATGTTCACCTCTGGGGAACGTTCTCGCGAAAATTGAAATGCACGTGACCGGTTCAGTGCAAGTTGGAAATTTTTTGGAACCAGAAAATTAAAAAAAAAAAAAAGGAACCAACTGCAGCAAGCACATCTGTTTAACCTATACAAAAGCAAATGGCATCCTTCAGCATAGAGCGACCATTTGGTGTTTACCTTTGGGATTACTTTAGTCAAGCATATGAACTCGTGACTGGAAAGCCAGCATCTACTTTCGCTTTCATCCAAGGTGTCACTCCGCTCTCCACCAACAATGAAGGTAAGCTGCGTCAAAAGCTCTCAAATCTCATCATCTTCCTAATCTCACTTCATAATTCAATGTTCGACAGTCCTTATTGCTTGCATTACCTACCTCGTTGTTATTTTTGGAGGACAGTTCTTCATGAAGGAATTGCCCGCGTTCAAGTTCAAAGTCTTGTTCCAGATTCACAACATACTCTTGACCGCCGTTTCTTTCATCTTGTTGGTTCTGTTGATTGAGGAATTGGTCCCAATTGTTGCTAAGCATGGTATTTTCTTCGCCATCTGCTCTCCCCAAGCTTGGACTCAAAAGCTCGAGTTGCTCTACTACCTCAACTACTTGGTCAAGTATTGGGAACTGTTTGACACTGTCTTCCTTGTTGTTAAGAAGAAGAAGCTTGGTAAGTGATAATGGCTCAATTGGCATGCCTCATATTTAGGAACGCTTTGTTAATCTTTCCCTTGCAGAATTCCTCCACTGGTTCCACCACAGCATGACTGCCCTTCTCTGCTACACTCAGCTTGTTGGCTCTACCTCCGTTGTAAGTTATTGATTGGGTAATACGCTGAAAGGGCATTGCTCCATCCAGTTTCTAACATCTCACGTTTTACTAGTCCTGGGTTCCCATTGTTTTGAACTTGACTGTTCATGTCCTTATGTATTGGTACTATTTCCGTACTGCTGGTGGCGCTAGAATTTGGTGGAAGAAGTATCTTACTGTAAGTTCGTCGCGTTCTATTCAACATCTACAGTTATGCCTAGAATTAACTAACCACGTTTCTGTTATTTAGACTATGCAAATTATCCAATTTGTCATCGATCTTTTCGTCATCTACTTCTGCACTTACACTCACTTCGCCTATGCCTACTCTGCTCTCCCTACCTTTGGTGACTGTGCTGGTTCTGAGAACGCCGCTTTCTTCGGTTGCGCTTTGCTCAGCAGCTACCTCTTGCTTTTCATTAACTTCTACGCAAAGACCTACAAGAAGGGTGCCGCTGCTAAGAAGGCCGAGGCCAAATCCAATGGTTCTAGCAAGAAGGGCGGAAAGAGCAAGAAGCTTTAAATGCTCTACAACGGCTCGAGTACTCCATTGTGTCTCTCCGCACACACATAATGATCTGTCACCATCAAAGTGGATTTCGACAAGTAAATGAGTGGAGCTCGACATAGACTTTCTTAAGAAAAAATAGAGATGCCAAATGATATTTACTTTAGACACAGACTTCTAAACAAAATGTTGCATTAAACAAAAAGTTAATAATGGCTGCTGATGTATATCAAATGGGAAAGTAATGCTGGCCAAAGCGGCAAGAAACTAGGATGGATCTGATAGCAAGGGATGCAAATGCAAAAGGAGTTTTTGTTTATGTCAACAAAAGCCGCCTAACATGAGAGGAAATTGTTGCAAGAGACATTAAGCAACCTCACGTTAATATGAAGTACAGTTTATACAAGTTATTTACAATAGGTCATGACGGGCCATCACATCTACGAACAGCTACTCTCGGTAATTAACAAAACATTATTTGGACCGTAATCTAGTTCGTCGTGTGCCAGTGGGTGGTGATATAGATGCAGTTTCTGTCGTCTCTATTGGTGCAGCAGGTTGATCCGATGTTACTGCCGTTGGTTCTTGAGCACTTGGCATATCCCCTTGGTTGCCTACGTCTTCTGTCCCATCCATCGTTGTAGTCTCCGTCATGGGCTGGTCCTCTGTAACGCCTCGTATCTTCTTCAACCATTCGGGCATAGCAACTTTGCCATCGATCATCCAGTCGGGTTGCCCATCCAGCTTGCCAACGCTGAAATACTCCCACCCTTCCGGTACTCCTTTAGCTCCACGTGTTTGACCGGGAAGAGTGACAAACGCGTTGCATACTTCAGACCATACATTCTTATGGTTCAAGCAATCTCGCAAAATATGAAACGCGTGTGGATCTGCGTATGGAACACCGGTCGCTGGATCTTTGTAGTGGGCAACTTTGGAGGTGATCGGACACAATGTTGGTTGTATAGGTCGCAACTCTTTATCCAACCAGGGTGTAAGAGCGGGTATAAGGTCGATGCGATCTAGTTCGCCATCAGAAAGATTGGACAAATCGTATTCAACATCTTGGTCATACATTTCGCTATCTATGGCAGCAGCGCGTCGACCATGAGGAATGATGGGTTGAGGAGATGTAAAGTCGCCTTCAAACGAGATCAAGTTCCTTCCGATCATGTCACTCTTTTCTAAAACATCCTTTTCCATCCATTCCACTACCTCCTTGTCGGTAATCTCTCGAACGACGTTGTTCCCATGATCTTCCTCAATCACCATTATCCTCTTTTTTCTGGGTCGCTCACTTTCCTCTCCGTCGGTGTAGGAGAAGTATCGTATGAATGGACCAATGATGCCTTGCTTTTCTCGACGTTTGGCTTTCGCCATCCGTTCTGCTTCCATTTGCTGCCAATTTTCTAATGACGCCTTATTGGCTTGTTCTGTAATGACCGCTTCGGCTAACATTTCTTCTTGCGTTAAAGTCTTGATCACAGGCTTATCGCGTTTTGGTAGTAGAGCCTAAGTAAAGATGGGTCATAGTTAGCGTCATTTGCACTGTCATTTGAGTTTTCCTTGTATTAGACGTGCAGACGGTACTAACCCTTCTATATTCGTACTCTTTAAGCTGTTCTTCGACTTGCTGGCGATTCTTCAATGTTGCTGAACGTGATGATTGTCGCGGTGCCGATGCCATGGATTCAGCCATAGACGGTTTTAAAGCACGTACTACTCTGGTCTCCTGCTGCTTCGTTTCTCGTACGGATACTTGCTTTTTAGCCGCTGTTGCCGCCGGTGGTTTGTGGGTAGGAACCACCACTTTCCTTGCCTACGTATGTTCGTTAGACCATATCTCAATCAACTTTGCATTATCTCGGTGCTTACTTGTCTCTCCTCCTTTTCAATCATTTTATCCTCTTGCTCTCCTTCAGCCTCTCGTTCAACTTCACTGTCGCCAGATTCAACGTCAAAATCGGAATCCACAATGTCTTCTTCTTCCACTAAGTGTCGAAATGGTGTCATAGTCAATAGGTGATGATTCTTATAAACCATAATCAGTATATGGCATCCATACCTGCGTTTTCGAATTCTTCGTCGCTTTCAATCGCCTCAAACAGATCTTCCATTTCTGCTTCGTCGTTTAGCAGGGCTTTCATTCTAGTGCCGTTGAGCGTTAGATCCAAAACATGTGAATCCCATTTATCGACACAAATCACTGTACCTGCTTCCTGCGTTGGCACGCCGTTCTCTAGTTTCGACTAACGACATGATGAGCTAGAGCGTGCAGGAAGAGTCGCAAATGATTAGCCAGGCCGGTGATCCTAACTTTTTTCTTTCAGCCAGGCAGGGGGTTTTTGGCCGATTTCCAACTCAGTGGCTTGCATGCCTGCCATCCATCCTACACTAGTATTCATAAATTTATATATTTGCAAGGGATTCAGTGCTATGTATTTATTAAAATTACTTTTCAGTACATAAGTGTCTTCTCTGGCTACCGCGACATCCAAGCTTATTGCAGTTTTGACATCTTCTTGTCCTTCTCTTTGGTATCACTACGGTCTTATTGATTATCGACCTAGTTACCGGAAGGCGAGGAGTGGATTGAATGGATGATGCGCCAGGAAAGGATGGAACGGATATTAGCTGGTATAGTTGCGCTTCTCCTCCTGGTGTTGGAATGAAAACAAGTGGCCGTAAGGCGGGAGGTGGCGGCTGTGAATGTGCAGTGGTAGCTGGCATGAGTTTAGGTCTTATAGCTGGGGTTGTTGTCGATGCTGGTGGCACACTATTGGGTTTGTTTTGTGCAACATCTGGCGTAGAGCCACTGTTACTAGAGGTGGTTGCTAGGGCAATAGGAGGATATGTGGTTTTTGGTTTAATTGGTTGTGGTCGGTGGATTCTGTTATCATCGAGTGACTCGTTTGTTAATTGGCTGGCAACTGACGTCGGCGAAAGTCTTTGGCTTCCTTCCGCTGTATTTGTGGGAATTAGGCCATCGTCGTTGTTGGCGGAGGGCTCTAATAAAGCTCCTGGTATTTGTTGAGCAGCTCTCAGCGCTAACGCTACTCCTGCTGCTGTTGGGTCGGCCTGCGATGGTGAACGAGCAGTATAGGTATGGTCATCTTTGGGTTTAATGCTCCTAAAAGTGGTGTTGTTTTTACTAGAAGCTCCGTATCCTCGTCTTCGTCGCTTAAGCGATTGTTTAGGTGGAACTCTGAGATGACGATGAGAAGGTGGAGCCGGTCTTATTGGGCGGGGTCGTGATGATGAGTCTGGCAGTAAAGGCGAAAGATTTGGCCCTAGTAGTTATTTCAAGTGTTAAAGTTTTTCCTTCAAGAACAATAAGTAGTACACATCGCAAATTCTAACCTTGGTACGGTTGAAAGGCGCTGGAAGGGCGAAACGGTAGTGGAACTGAGGGCGACGGACGTGGCTTAAGAACTCGAAACTTTGGAGCAACTTTAGCAGGTTTAAGGATATGGAATGATAGCGTTGGCTTAGGGCGGATTTGCCTATAAGCCGCTGGCTGTTTCTCAGACGAAGACGACTCAGGCATGCAGATCCTTGACATGAACAGAAATACAACCTTTTTATACCAATTTTAATAGTCCGCAATTTGGTGATTGGTACAAAGCAGGCGTCAGGTTTAAACTAGTCGTTTATTGGCTCCTTCGCGCAAGCTTTAAACCTCCGCCGATGTAGAGACCTGCTGGCCAAACATCACGACCAGTAGTAGTCTGAAAAGAAATTCGATTACGCTACACTGTTTCTTTTACAAAATGAGAAGAAAATATCTATATTCATGATCCTTTTATAATTTTATGATGATCTATCGCCGCAGTCGTTATAGTCTATTCTACAGTCCTTTGTGAAATTGTTTGCGCCTATATGGTATTAAGTTGAAGCTCAGTATCAAATGTTGAACTCTGCTAAAACGATGTATAGCAAGTTTTGTAAAACATGTAACCCCCTCCCAAAAATGCACGCAAAAGAAGTATCACTGTAGGAGTGATATAGAGAGATCTGAAAGTAGATTTCATAATTCTGAGATTGTCCTTATTACAGTTGACCAGTATCTGTCCTCACAAGCAAGTAAACTACACCTTTAAAATCAATTACAATTCCTCATTGCTTGTAACTTATTCATTGGACCTCACCCACTAAATATGCCATCATTATCTTATCACAGAATTCTGTACATGAAACACACTTTCTTCTCAATCTCGTTGCAAAGAAGTATTGTGCGAATTCCTCAAATTTTCGTCTTCATTAAAGTTAAATGCAGTCACGAATGTTTGCACACAACTCAGAATCAAGCATCCCAAAAAATTCAGGTGCCTGAGCGTTGACAGCTTCAATTGACATGAGAGCCGTTTCAAAGCTAAATGTTGAGACTCTGTTTCGAGGAAGAATAAGTCTACTTCCTCAACAATCAAATAGTAGAATACGATTTTTTCATTCAACGACCTTGACTCGCAATGTGATTTCCAACATGACCGGCAGAGGACTTGTTGCGTCGTTGACCAGGTACCATTGAACATACCCCACTGTACCGTACCATTCCCCTGCGACTTAGCTAACTGTAGTTTGAACCAAAAGTTCTGATGTCGAGAAGCACACGCAAAACAAAACTGCCATTTATTGCGGTGTAGATCCCACTGCTAGAAGTTTGCATCTCGGTAACCTGGTCACTTTTATGGGCTTACTTCACTTCCATATTACCGGACATCAAGCAATCGCTCTGGTAAGCGGCTCATGTAAACTTTTTTCGTTGAAAATTCAATGAATAATATGCTGATGTGTCAATAACAGATCGGAAGTGCAACGGGCACAATTGGCGACCCTTCAGGAAGACAATCAGAACGAGTTCCACTATCACAGGAAGCAATTGACGATAACAGCTCGAACATTACTCAACAAATACATCGTTTTTTTGAAAATGGTTCAGCATATGCTAAAAGAAGAGGGTGGTTGAGCAAGGAAACCGAACAGTACACTCCAAAAGTACTCAACAATATTGAGTGGTTCAAGGGTATGAGCGCCATGGAGTTCATTGGTGACGTTGGAAGATATGCCCGTGTGACGCAAATGCTCGCACGCGAAAGGTAAACAATACTTATATAGGGCATACTATATGAAAATATGATCTAAGCAATCTACTTGTTTAGTGTCAAAGCTCGCTTGGATAGCGAACATGGAATTAGCTTTACAGAATTTGCATATCAATTACTACAAGCTTATGATTTTTGGTACCTTTACCACAACCATTCTTGTCGCATACAGGTAAATATAGAGCTATCATCGCTTTGTGTCAGTCTGCCGCTAATTAATAAGTAAAACTTGCTCGCAGCTGGGAGGAAGCGACCAATGGGGCAACATTACAGCCGGTATAGACATGATCCACAAGAAGAAGCCAAACTCCACGACACTACACGTTCCAGCCAGCCAAGATGATCAAGAAACAAGACGGTTAGAAGATCGCGCCTTTGGTGTCACTATACCTTTGTTGTTGAACTCCAAAGGAGAGAAGTTTGGAAAGTCAGCAGGCAATGCTGTATGGATTGACGAAACCATGACTACTCTGTTTGATTTTTACCAATTCTTCGTTAAGACGGCCGACGAAGATGTCGAACGCTACCTGCCCTTGTTTACTCTTTTGAGCCCTGACGAAATTAAATCGTTAATGCATGAACATAAGGTAAGTTACTCTGCATGCATGAATTGAGTGCTGAAAACCGTATATGCTCATCTAATTCATATCATTCTACAGCAAAACCCGGAAAAGCGTATTGCTCAACATAAGCTTGCAGATGAAGTCACAGAACTTGTGCACGGTCGTATGTATAATATCCTTATTATTCAATGTTTTGAATATTTTCTAATATTTTATCCCTAGTTGAAAGCGTAAGCAAAGCAAAGACTGCCACCAAGGTCTTGTTCGGTGGGGATTTACAAGAAATCGGAGCCGATAATATTATTCAAGCTTTTGCCCACGACAGTCAACGCTTACGTGCTGCTAAGCGTGATCAGGTCCTTGACGTTGGACTTGATGCTATTGCAGTTTTGGCTGGTGCAACCCGATCAAAGTGTAAGTCAAATTAAGTCGATGGATGCTAATTTATTGTAAGCACTAACCTGTCGATCTAGCTGAGACGCAAAAATTGATCAAGTCCGGAGGTGTTTACTTGAACAATGTGAAAGTAACCGACCCACGAGTCAAATTACAACCCACTGACCTCCTGAATGACAAGTTATGCGTGCTTCGAGTCGGCAAGAGTTCATACCATATTCTCCATGTGGAGTAAGCCATATGATTACAGTATCGTATACTACTTGAGGCAACAAATCATGCCTTTTACCCATCATATACTACCAGTAGACTGGTTAAATTCGCCCATTGTATTTGACATACAAGTTAGGAAGCATAGTTCATGTAGCAATAAAATCTAGAGGGCCTCATAAACCTGTTTTGATAGAGATATATAATGCCTTAGGTCTTCGTGTGGTGAACTCATCTTACAGCTTTCTGAATTGTGACACGAACCAGTGCCACTTCCGCACTGAAATGGTGAAAGGCCAATATTAATTGATTTTTTGACTTTCGACTTTCACGGGTTTATTTGGTTTTATAAAAAAATACTATAATTATACAATTATAAGTTTAAAGGATTGCAATCGCGTTAACCTACAACTAGGTGATCGGTAGGTGTAGGTGATCTGCCAAAACTGTTCTGGCGATCCATTAGCGTATTGGGACGATTCGATTGCTCGTTGCTAGGTGAAGTCTGATTGAGCCGTTCATAAGCCAGCTTTTGAAAACGGTTCAATGATTGTATAAACTTTCGTCCAACCTTTGATAACAAGGGTTAATAGCTGAACAATCAAACTATACATAATTCGCATCTAAAATAAGGGATACATACTGGATGATGATCAAGGCGGTTAAAGAACTCTACAGTGTAATTTCGTACTTGCGCTGAAGGATGGAAGAGACCGAATCCCAGCGGTAAAAGACCGCCTTGATTCTGAGGTAAGTACGATAAAAGCTGAAAAAAAAAGTTAGTTGAGCCAGCTTTCGCTTGAGCAAGAAGTTTGATTAGACATACCTCCGTGATCTGATCATCGGTCTTGATGACATCCAGGAAAAGCTTAAAGAGAGCAATGACTTGTTCTTCTGGTAAGTGTTTTAACATTTTAAGTCTAGATATGTGACGGTAGACATCCATGTTCTTGATAACACTTTTGCTTCCAAGGGTAGCAAAATCCTAAAGCCCAAAGTCAATGAAAATACATGGCTTACTAAACAAATTCTAGCCAACCCACCCTTTGATAATAGCGATAAGATATCGTCTGACGCCATCCTTCGATTCGATTTGTATTGTATGCTAGTTCACGCTGTCGAGCTGTCTCATCGGTAAATACCAAACTTTGGCCATGTATACCCAATGGATCAGGAATCTTGCTTCCCATGGTTCCTATTTTAGTGGAATGGTACGTTTCCTCCTCGTAGAGCGCAGCCAATCGAACGAATCGCTGCATATAGTCTTCAAATTTGGCTCTAATGGATGCCTCTCCGTAATGTGCTTGGATAGCTGCCAAAACCTGCATGGTAATATCGATTAATTTGAAGTTTAGGACGAAGACAACAGTAATTACAGTTTACAACTTTACCTCGCTCATAAACTCGTTATCTGAATTGGTATCACTCATTTCGTAACCAAAGTTGCGACTCATAGCCAGAGACGTAGTTGATGATCTACCAATGGATAAGGAACCCATAGCAATGTCCTCGATAGCATCAGGGAATGTAGATGATGACGAGTTTGCCGGTTGGATTTCTTTGCTCACAGTGATTTTGCCCGTACTAATATTACACATCACGTCCCACCAACTTGGATGGTCTTCAAATGTTGGGTTTGTGACACCAGCGATAAAGCCAGGGCTGAATGTGATGATGAGAGTTAGAAGAATTAGAACGCAGATCTTAGATTGGTGACGAAGCTTACCACTTGGAGAGATCATCCACGGAAGTAAGATTGGCGTAAGGGAAAGCCCGTTCAGTGAAGCCACGCAACGTAGTTCCACATCCACTTCCCATGGCACATGCTGCCAGAACATAATTTGCAACCTCACCAGAAGGGTGACCATGGCCCAGAAATATGATTCTTTTTTGTGTGATAAGTGCGTTCAAGAGGATGATAATAGGGTGTGTGGTTGCACCATTAGAGTCGAGGTGTGGGTGATATGCATGTGTGGATGAAGTGATAGTCGGTGGTGAGAATGTGCTGATAAGTTGTATCAAGGAAAACTGTTGCAAGTTTGTTAATAGTGAGTATGATAGAGAACAGCAATCACCATAGCACTTACATCGCCTACTTCCTCGGTATTAAGTGTTAAGGGGACACGGATAGGAAGCTTGATGCCATCATAAATAACTTTGGTTTCGAAAAAATGACGATCCTTGCTAATGGTGGGAAGGACTTCGCGTCGTTGCCCTGAAGTCAAATCAATGTAAGTTCCTCGGCGCATTCGATCATTTGCAATGTTATTGCCATTAGATGTGGCTAATTGCATGTTTGATCCATTATATGCGGCTGATATGCCCATGTCCGCTAATTTTGCTAAACTTGCAGAGTCAGTTGCGCCATTTGACTGTTGTGCTTCCATCGCCTCGAACTTCTCTTCAAACATGTTTTTGCTTTCAGCAGCTCTCAATATCTGCCTTTCGTGAAATGTGAAGTGAGGCATCTGAGATAAGTCCATAGAGTTGACGGCTTTGTAAAGCGATTCGAGAATGGCGATGGATGGAGCAGAGAAATAATTTTCCATAGCCAGTAGTAGGACGGGCTGTACCATTGAGTAGAAAATGAGTGTTTGTTGATCAATTGTCATTAAAATGCAAACGTAGATCGACGCGCTGTTCGAAAATTACCTTGTAGATATGCAGGTACTGGTGTCTAGTACAAATTGCCATTGCCCGAACGGTAGCGCCTCTTTTGATTACATGAGCCAATTAGTACAGACCGAGCTAAACCCTTATTCTCAATAGTAACGTTGATATACCTTCTTGCATTAATGTCATGTTTAGTGCGCACAAGGTTTAGCACGTATAACAATGGCTTCTCTTCAACATCATCATCAAGCTTGCGTTGATTTGATTTCTCGGTTTCCTCAATTGTTTGGTTAAGAAAGAAAACTGTCCAATCTTCAGAGCGCATATGGGCACCATCTGGTAACATAAGTTCTGAAAGTATTCTACAAAGAAAGGTTAGCGACCAAGATCCGACTATTTATGTGCCACAATGGAGAGATGAAGGTGGGGAATTGCGGTTCAAGTTGGGGCAGCTTACTGTTCATTTGTTCCAGTTTCTGAGGGGTATTGGTGATTTAGAGATGCTCCCTTGTCAATGTCGAACTCTGCTAGCAGGATATACTGCACATGTTGTGCATCTGCAAACATGATGACAGGTACAAGAAATGATGAACTTCAACTCAACCAGTAAATTGGGAATATGAGAGCCGTTGTCAGTCACAGATACGCCCATTTTGGGTAATTTCTCCATTCCGCCACTGTTCACCAGCATAATTTTACGCTCTGCTACAGTAATGTCTTCAGCTGATTCGAACGCCAAAGCTCACGCCCTAGTGTATCAATTTTTACAATTGAACGGTTATACAAAGACTGCAGAGCTGTTTGAAAAGGAATCTCACAGCGTAGCCTATGTAGATTCACACATTTTGAAGACAACTCCAGATGTTCCTTTATCACAACTGATCCAGGAACACGAGCTCAATGCAGTGGTTGGAGCAATGAAAAATACAGATATTCACAAGTAAGCCATAGTTTACTATTTGTATAAAGGAAAGAAGGTTCTAACGGAAATATCATATTTGACACTTTGAAGAAACCATTGGGAGAAAGATTTGGTTGAAGGTGATGGATCACACCCGACAATTCTCGAAAATACACTAAAAGGCGTTCATGAAGGAAATATTCTCTATGTTTCCATTCATAATTTGGGATCCATGAAGATTATTGTTACTGCATCTGGAGACAAATCTGTTAAATTTACTGATTTGGCTACCGGCGACATTATCAAATGCTTCAACCATCATCGTGCAGGTGTTCTCAGTGTTGACTTTCACCCTCAGAAGCCAAATTGGATGCTGACAACCTCTATGGATCTACAAACAGTCATATCTGACACTGAGACGGAAGCTGTCATTCAGAGATTCACCGATCATACCAAGTTTGTAGTCCGTGGCATCTTTTCGCCAGATGGACAGTGGATGGCCACTGCATCGTATGATCGATCGCTATGTATCTACACGTGGAACGAGCAATCTGGTTATCAGCTTACCAAAAAGTTTGGTCCCCTGGTCGGCAACGTTGAAGCTATTTGCTTCCTGCCCGATTCCTCGGTTCTTGTAGCAGGTGTTCGGGATGATAACTACCTTCATTATATCTCTCTCAAAGACTTCACAGACACCCGATATAACATGAACTCCAACGGCGACGACTGGGTCTCTTTTACTCCCATGTGGATTTCCGTCAGTCCCAATGGAAAATACGTGCTGGTTTCAACAGATGATAGTAACGGACGAGTCATTCTTTTCGGCGTTCACAGCTCGGTTCAGTTACGTAACTTCTATGGATCGGCCACAGACAGTCTCAGTGCGGCACCACGACATTGCTGGGACTCTAGTGGAAAGTACGTTTATATCGCTGGTGGCAATGATTGTCGTATTAGGGTCATTGAGGTTAAGACCGCAACTGTTTCATACGAACTCTCTGGACACACTGCTATGATTCGATCTCTAGCTTTTGATCCGGTTACTGGCCTTGCGAGTGCCGGCTTCGACAGAACGGTACGCTTGTGGCGCTCAGAAGACACCACCATGCGATAAGATTTTTTTTTTCTTGTTAATATACAGCTTTAATTGTTTTTGGAAAAGAAGTAATAAACTTCTGTTGAGGATCACGTTCTACTACACTAAATGTGATTGACTTCACTTCAGCTCAAAAGTGATACAAGCTCTGTGAGCTGTGCATTCATAGCCGATGTATAACGAAAAATGGACACCATTAAAAACAACGTTGACTTCCCCGCAGAACAGAGTGAAGCCTCTTGAAAATCTTTCCTGAAGCAATTTTTCATGAAGAACAGGCCAGAGAGCAAGGATAACATGAAAGTACACTTTTCCACCAAAAATGTTTAAAGAGACGCGATATTCTTTGAATAACAATATGCCATACCACCTTGAAAACGTCACACAAAACGTCCCAGAGTATGAAAGGGTAGTTGGACGGATCCAGAGACTCTCAACATATAATCTTTCTAGACCCCATAAGACACACTATAGACACTTTCCAATTGGTCACAGCCAAATGTAGATTGATGAAACCTCAGGTCAATACATCACAGAAGATTCTATGAAACACTAAGATTCGCAGTCAGCGAACGAGACGGAGGCACCTCGGCGACGACATCCTTTCACAAAGCATCAAAAAACTTAGGCGACTCGCCATTATGAAAATTTCATAATCAAGGAGATGGAATCCATAGCCAGACTTACTGCGTCAAACACTGGCCAGAAACCTGATTCGATCAACCATTTCATTGAGCAAGAAGCTTCAGGACAGAAGCTCACCCTTGACATCTTCATTATCGGACGGGTCAATCAGCCGAGATATGAAGGAGCGACTCTGCGAGCGGCCACTCGAAAGTGGAGCGCCATCATCGAATTGTTATCTACCTCTGCATATGGACTTAGACCCCAATGAAAATTTGCGACCGATATGCCAGGGTACCGAGCAAGCCCCAACAAGACGAGGATACAACCACAAAGTCGTACTTGATGGTAAGGCGAAACAGCTGTATTGACAGCAATTGCTTTATTTCAAAATCAAATTTCGAAATCATTAACACTAATTCATCCACGAGTTAAAAGGAACATAAAACAACACAAGTTTACCGTAATACAGTAACATTTAACATAATGAGTGGAAACATAACCAGTGGAACCTCAATTACAAAATGCTGAGTTTAACTTTATGGTTTGGATCCTTTCACTCCGCTATTTGTCTACACTTTTTTCTTTTGTCATTCCTTCCTTGTCCCATTTCAATGACTGCAACATTTCAAATTCGCCCAGCAAAGCCTTCCGACGCCGGCTTGATCTTGAGTTTCATTAAGGCTTTGGCCGAATATGAAAAGCTTGCTCATGAGGTCACTGCCACCGAAGAGCAATTGCACAAGAATCTCTTCGAGCACAAGTACGCTGAGGTAGTTATTGGATATCACAAGGAAAGCGATGCCAGCGAAGAAGGTATGTGTGATACCCTCATACATATAGTGACTAGTATTTTTCTAATGTATTATGACGTCTAGTTCCTGTTGGATTTGCCTTGTTCTTCCACAACTTCTCTACATTCGTTGGCAAACCTGGTATTTACCTGGAAGATCTTTTCGTCTTGAAGGAATACCGAGGCTTCGGATATGGCAAGAAGCTTCTTACCCATCTTGCTAAACTTGCAAGGGATCGGGATTGCGGCCGTTACGAATGGGTTGTTCTAGACTGGAACGAGGTAAGTCTTCTCAACGTCATATCGAGAGCTTTTTGTTTGTCGGTCACTTTGACTCATCATTTTTTGTTACAAAACAGCCTTCTATTGCTTTCTATAAGGCTCTGGGAGCTGAACCTCAAAAGCAATGGATCATCCAGCGTGTAGATGGCAAAGCATTAGATGACTTGGCCAACATGTAATATCCCTATAGACAATTCCAAGATACTGATGGATTGTAAATCAAAAAGTCTTGCTGTAATAAAATCATACTTGACAGTCCGCAAACCTGTCAAATAGAGAAATGTTGCATTAATGTCGACGGTAACCAAACATAAAGTATTCGTTTACTTCTCACGACTGCCCTTATTACATAATTAATAATTAGAAATAGATTTATTTCATATTGTTATTTACAAACTTAAGGCCGTAATGGCATTTAAAAAATCAAATTATTGATGCTGCTTTTCTGTGGTGACAGCATCTAGGTCTTCTTCTTCGAGGATGACTTGTTCGCCATCGACGACACGAACTGGTCCAGTGAACCATTTTCGGGCAAACAAGTAGTAGTACAATGTTGAAGCGCCCATGATGACAACGAAAGGAAGGATAGCGTAGTTCATGTTCTCAGCATCGATAGGAGCGACGGTGGGCAGAATGAAAAGAACGCAGGTAAAGAGAAGCCAGCTGCAGGAGATAACACCAAGAGGAACGGCGAAAGCACCAAGTTTCCAGGGACCAGAAACAAAGGTCTTACGAGAAATGGTGATGCGAAGCAGAATAGGGAAGAAGTAAGAAAGTTGAGAACCAATGGTGTTAACGGAGACAATAGCAGTGTATGCAGTGCTGTTGATGATGAAGAGAAGACCAAGAAGACCAGCAACAACAATGTTGAACCAAACAGCCCAGACAGGAGACTTGGTCTTTTCGTTGAGGCTGTGAAGTTTCTTGGAGAAAGGCATAGCACCATCACGGGAGAAAGCATAAACCATACGAGAACTTCCTAGAGTCAAAGCGGAACCAGAGAAGAAGATGGAACCCATGACAAAGATGAGGAAGACCATAGTCCAGGCAGGGCCAACACCGTCATGGAAGACTTGAGCCAATTCAGGAAGGATAGTAGCATTGGTGATTTGAGCATCGAAGTTCTGCACCATAAAGCTGCATGCGATCAAGAAGATGAAACCACTGGCACCGTTGGCAATGACAGAGAAAAGCATACCAAATGGCGAGCCACTTTGGGAGTTCTTTGTTTCTTCAGACATATGGGCGGCTGAATCGTAGCCAGAGAGGGTATATTGACTTTGAAGAATGACAAGGAGAAAAGCATAGCCGTCGGATGCAAAGCCAGAGTTGTTCTGGAAAGACTCGCTTGTGAACTGCGTACAATGAAAAAAATGTCAGGAATGAAAATTCTGCACTTCAGTTGTGCTTTCAAAGTAATTTTGCTTACCACCCAGCTACCAGATGCCTTATTAGGTGTAAGGGCCAAACCGACGATGACAATGAGTAAAATACCAAGCATATTGAACCAGACTATACAAGTAATTTAGATTAGATTGATTGTTGTCATTGGCAATAAGAAAAAAAAAGAAGTACTTACAAGAAAGTTGGTTCATGATACCGTTCCATCTAACAGCAACAGATGTGATAATTCCGTGAATGATAAGAATGCCAACGAAGATGCCATATTCCATATAGACTGAGGTGTCAACTTCAGGTTGCCTGAGCAAATGAAAACAAATAGGTGTTAGTTATTTGGTTTTTGATTTGATTATTTTGACTCGATTCGGTTCCTCTATCAAACATACCAAATATTGATAACTGATCCGATGAACTGAGCCAGACCAAGATCGACAGAAGTGATAGCGACTGAGTTTCAAATTAGCAACGATGTCAATCAACTTACTATATCAGACGAAAATAAGAAAAAAAATTATATATCACTTACATGCCAAACCCATCCAGTTGGCCCATCCAGTGAGCCAGCAGGCAAGAGGAACCCAGTCGGCAGTAGCAAGTCGACTCACCCAGAAATACAGACCACCCGTAGTAGGATAAGCACTGCAAATCTCCGCCAAAGACACCGCAACGCAAATTGTGAACATCGTTGTGACGAACCAACCCCAAATGACCGACATAGAGCCAGCTTCATACATGGCGGTACCCCACATCTACAGAAAACAAAAGTGCGATGCTTAGTAAAAGTATGCGATGCAATCAACTCCTGACGGGAAACTTACAGGAGTAAGACCTGATAGAACTGAGCAGCAAGAAAAGGCAATGGCCATGTTCGAGAATTTTGATAGGTTACGACTCAGATCCTGAATTAAACGAAGGCTATAGGTTAAACGACTGTGTAGAGTGATCGCCAGACTGCCAAAAAAGATATTGTCTCCTTACCTGCTGGTAGCCCAAAGATCTCAACAACTGTTCGTCCGCGTCCATTACTTGATGGCTTTCATCAGCTGTGGTGTGCTCAGCATGTTGTACGTTCGCTTTGTTCTCGCTCTCGTGGCTTGTGAGACTAGTCATAGGAAAACGCCAGGATGATTTTGATTCAACTAAGCGGGGGAACAAAAAGAAGACGTGGTATTTATACTTTCGCGACAGGCCTCCACTCAAAATGCTTTTTCCGATAACGGATGTAGGACGAGTTCAGCGCCATAACGGGTCACATGTAGATAAATTGCCTTTTACAGCATGTTTCGTGAGAGTTTGAGTTATTAGACTTTGGGTAAAGGACGTATTTCAGCTCTGCGTTTTGGCTATTTATCCTCTAAAATAGCTGTCACGGTTACTTCTCTTTCCTTGAAAATAACAAATTGTAAATTTAACGCAAGCTCAATGTTGAGGCACGTAGTTTTATGATATCAAGCTATGAAAAGCTAATCTAACAATGCCCGAACCGCTATCTGCCCGCTTCGCAATTGTTCCTTTTTAACCCAGTGCTCACGGATTTACCATTTGTCATCTCTCGAATATTATTGGCTGATGGTCAAGTTATTCAGCTAGCCATTGGACCGTCGTTTTCTTTCACATTCCCTATCACACTAAATTACCATTCATGGCTTTGGGCTGGTAGACCTTGCAATTACTACGTACCCATTTCGATAAGACTATGAGCTTTTCATTAAGTTTTGCCTTTATTAGTCCCTCTGCCGCATATGTCTTCTCACAGGCATTGGCTGACATTACATTTCGTCTGGGAAAACACTGTGTGAGAACCTTAATATTTCAAATGTTACCCAGAAGAGTTGGGCTGATCGTTCATGAATCGGTCCCACACATTGTCATTTCCTTACGTCTATGGTTTCATTCTGTCTGTCTATGGTCTATTTAGTTATGCGCATACAGAACTCACCGGACTTCCATTTCGCCTACTAACTTTCATGGCTCTCTATCGTATAATAACGGTCAGATGGATCCAATCTGCCTTTATTTATGACTGTGAGCTTTCTTCATATGTCTTATTGGCTGTCAGTTTATACCCAATTAACCCACCTATACGGAGATAGTTCCAAGTCGTACAAGTAGCTCATTTTATCATTCATGTGTTTTATGCTCCATGTATAGTTGAAGCGAGTATAGATATAAATGAATCAGCATCAACTCTCATTAGCAAAGTATTTGGCTCGATAAGTATATTGTGTAAGCCAGGAAATGTCAGGTTAAATAATTTGGTGGTAGTAGAAGTGGCACAGATGATAAGCGGCAATCAAAAATGCTCCCTGATAGCATTAGACAAATCTTTTGAATCTTCTCCGCCTTCGTTACTCACTTTCAAAACGGCGATGCTTCCAATAGCGAACTCTTATCATATCAGTACTCTAACATGTGCCAAATGTACATCAAAGATGATCGATACAGCCGATATGGATTGCCATCAGCTATTACGCTCTCTCTACATGCGTTCAAAGTTGATAACTCTGCTGTATCCATGCATATAAATCGTCTATTTGAATCTTGAAATACAACTATCAATCACAATATGATCCGGCTTTCGGAAACATGTATCTGGTATAGTTAGTATCTCCTCAGTACACTGACATGTAACGGGTCGACTATTACAATACGCAAGGGGTTTCGTCCAACTTTGGAATAGCAGCATCAGCTTCTCGGCAAGTCTCCATATCCATAGATATTTCTATATTGGATAATAATTCATCGATACAATATAGTTGAGCAGTATTTTCACAGAAAATGGAGTGTATGTTGTAGCAATCGCTCCTTTCCAGAATCTGCAAGTGTTCTTAAGTCGATGGAGTTGATGTATGATAATTTGCGATATAATGGAGATGCAGCCAACCTTTTGGTAGTCTATTATAATACGTTCATAAGTTCTTTTTTTTTATGCTATAAAAAAGCTCTCTTGGTAACATTTTTATACCAAAGGCCGTAAACAAAACTTTTGCCCATGTTGTGGGAGATGGGGCACTGAATTATCAGTCTTGGAAATTGAGCAAGAAACAGTCACTGGCTCTCAACAAACACCCCTTCAAGAAAAAAATCCATAGTCCTGCCACATTCCGCCGTACACCTTGGCGCCTCGACCTATATGATCCCTCGCCAAATCCGAGGATTCTCGCGACTTACCACAGTATCCTGTACTCGGAATGCATCTGAGAGGGTAGTGGTCGCTAGATTGCCCAATGTGCGATATTCATTCCCGCACGCTGCATCATCTCTGCCACGGGCTATCTCCAAACAAACAATCTCGGCTCAACCCCAATTTGCAAAGTCATATACAACCAAATCAAGTCCTCTGCAAGAACTAAAGGAGGCAACAAATGATGGTGATATACCACGGATACATACGGCCTACAGAGCTTTGGTATCTGGAGCCAACCCACAGTCACTTGACAAAGAAGCGTTGAGGAAGCTTGTTTTAACCCTTCGAAAAGGCAAAAAACCCTCCGATGTACAGCTGCTCCAGCGAATTATAGCAGATATGGAACCTGTTTTTAATCTTCCAGTTTCTCATTTCGAATTGCATGCTCTCATATACTGTTATGGCGTGCAGAGAAATCCAACAGCAGGTTATAAAGTCCTCCAAGACATGCAACGACGTGGACTAATTCCAAATATTTATACATACAATACAATGATGGGTGTATACAAAGCAGTCAAGGATTCTTCAAAAGCCATGTCGTTACTCAGAGAGATGCAACAGCAAGAAGTCGAACCAGACGTTAATACGTACAACACCTTGATTAGCCTACTTGCGTCGAATTCAGAATATGACAAGGCTCGGTCCATGTATAATGACATGGAGCAACGTGGAATCCAACCTAATCAGTACACTTTTTCAACACTTTTGAAAATTGCAGCAAGTACACACGACGAACGGTTGGGAAATAATGTACTCGAATATATTTGTGACAATGAAGCAAAAAGGAATGAAACGGATATCACCACCTTCAACAGTATGCTCCTGTTCCTCAGCGATATACCAAGTTCCTTTCATAAGCTGTTCGAACTTTATAGCACAGCGAGCTCGAGTTTCCCTCACCTTCAATTCGATCTCATCACGTACAATACAATGTTGGATGCTTGCTTAAAGCAAAACTTACCATCTGAAGGCGTCAAAATAATGGACGACTTGTCGCAAGCTGGCCTGAAACCAGACGTGGTAACCTACGGTATCATGATTGACGCACAGGCGAGATCAAATAACATTGACGAGGCAATGACGCTATACCGCGAAATGTCTGAGCGAGGCATACGAGCCAATGAGAGAGTACTTTCCAGCTTAGTCAACGCAGCGGCGAAAGGTGACGAACGACAAATTGCGGATGTGGTGAATACTATTGAGACCACCTCATATCGAGAAAGCATTCGACCTGATCGGCTTGCTTTCAATGCTTTATTAAATGCTTTGACTCTCAAAGGAAAAGCAAAGGAAGCTCAGCATTTGTTTGATACGGTGTTCCATGAAAAGAATGCTTCCCGATTTCACCATCCTGACACAGCTACATACACAAGTCTGATCACCGCTTACACGAAAAGCGGCGATCTCGACACGGCATTGGATATCTATTATGCTGTAAAAGAGAAGCATGTTCCTGCCAGACGTCGTAAGGCTGATTCATCGAATACCATAACTCTGGACACGCAATTCTTTACGGCTCTGATCACCTCCTTCACGCAAACGGCTACAAATGCCGTGTCCACTGACAGCGAAAACGACAACCAGTTATCATACGCTCCATCTTATATTTACTCGGTTGAGGAGGACGATGATAGAAGACACTTTATAGATGGAGACGATCATGGCTCTGCAGCATTAGCGACAGCATTGGCGTTGTTTACAGATATGAGACAGTTACAAATACGACCTAATGCACATACTTATACGACTCTTTTGAACGCGGCAGCCAAACATCAAGATGATCTTGCATTAGAACAAATTCACAAGCTTATCAAAATGGATTTGTATCTCGATCCAGATATCGCCATCTATAACGGATTGATGAATGCTTATAATCGAATTGGACAAGGCCACGAGGTTGTTCAAATCTGGGACACGCTGAGTCTCTCGTCGACTCCTACACAAGACAAGAACATCGACCAAGCGTCGGTGTCTATTGTACTGGATAGTTGTGCGCACAATGGGTACGGCTACAAGGCGCAACAGATATGGGATAGTCTGAAACGCTACCAGTTCCCGCTCAATACCAACAACTATAATTCCTACATTGAGGCATTGTGTCGAATGAAAGGCGAAGAGGGTTGGGAACAAGCATATGCTATTGCTCAAAAGGAAATGATACCGCAAACCAGCCAACGCTCTGATTCGGGTATTCCGATCGATACCAAAACCGTCAATACGTTGATCAGCTTTGCTCGGAAAAAGGGGTTCTCCGAAGAACGGATTCAACAAGTCATAGAGTGGGGTCAATCTGCACTTTTGGAGAACCAGTAATTATAATAAAAGCATTGTGAAATAGAGTGAAATTCTAAGAAAAACAGAATTAACCAGCTTTGGGCAGAAGTGGGTATGTTTTAATTACATGATTGTACAATATTATAATAGTTGGCCACCTAAACCGCCAGCCATGCCTTCGCCATTGTCGTTCATTCCCATGGGGTTTGCAAAGTTGGGAGTTTCATGATCATGACGACATTCCTCCCACAAACTTAGCTGGTACAAAGTGACCATCACAAGTAAATGGAGAAGTAAAGAATAAATGATGAAAAAGTAACGCGACCACTTGTTGGACACAAAAAGCCGAGTAAGAGAAAGTGTCACCTTCTCTGCTGGATTAAGGGACTGGTACCGTCTGTTTTCCTCCTATAGATGATGATAAGTCACTTCATTGTTTAACTGATATGCAAGCGTCATTCAGTACATACCCTTCGGTGGAATTGCGTGAATGGGTTCATATTTTCTTCGTAAAGTTTCCCGTATTTGTCGGCTGGGTCGTCGTATTTCCCATTGGATGTACCTTCCCCTCCGCGACGATATGGCGAACCGGCAGAATCAGAATTCATATTCACGACAGCAGTATTGCCCTATTCATCAAAGTATTAATGATGATGACCAGACATAACGGTTTTCTGCAGGGTGAAATCGCCTAGTACTTACTTGTTTGCCATGCACTCTCTCTTCCTTCCACACATGCACAAATTTAAGCTTCTCATATAGTTTCAGGTTATCCTGCTTGAGCATATCCACTTCGCCTCGGAGATCCTCCATAGATGATTCTTGTTTTTTCAACTCTTCTTCTAACTGCGCATTTCTCTGTCTGAATCGATCCCTCTGTCCGGTGATAATGGGCAGAATGCTCTTGTCTTCCCTTGAAGAGACATCAAAGCTGCTTCTAGGAGAACTCATTGATGGCTGCGACAAGAAATTCAGGTTCGCAGTGGATGATGACTGCGTGAGGATACCAGATCCTGCTTCCGATTTCGATTGATCCATGCGGTATACATCCTCTTCTAATTTCTCGATCAATGATTTCTGCTCTTCTACAGTTTTCCGTACAGCTTCCAATTCTGTACGTGTGACATCTAGTTCCTTCTTGCTCTCCGCCAGCGAACTCTTGAATGCAGTGTTAGTGTTCTCGAGCCTCTTATTCTTGGTCATCAACCGTACTTCCAACGAATCTCTGCTATCTTGACTTGTCTTGAGAACTCCTTCGGCATCGAACTGGTATCCATCATCGTCATCGCCAGTTGAGAACTCCACATACTGTTTGATATCTAGTTAAGTACTGGTAATGGCGAATCGCCGTAAGTTATATTCATTGGCACTAACCTTCATAATTTCAAGCTCTCGCTTAATTTCCTCGTAGTCTTCATATTTCTTCATTGATTCGCGCATAGCATCTAATTCCGAGGACTAGATTTTATGAGAATTGTCAGTTATCCAAGGACTAAACAATTCGTTCATAATGATCCAACTGTTATAACTTACTTTGGCTGTAAGCTGTGTAGTCAAATCCTTTATCTTTTTACCCAGTCGAGTTTCTGTTTTCTGCAGTACATCTTTGTAATTTCCCAAGTCAGTTATAAGTCGCGTCATCTCAGCTTCTTTTTGTTTCGGTACAACAGCGCTGCAAAGAACATTGAGCTCAGTATGTGAATCATCATGCATACGACCATAAATAATTTACTCACTTTTCTTGATCTTGAGCCTGACTCTTAAGTTTGACGATTTCTTCCTTTAGCTTTTCCTATATTGAGTTTCCGATTCGTTAGCGTAAAGGAGGAACCCATGACCATTATGCCAGTCGCTTACATTTTTGCTCTGAGCTTCAATCACTCTGGCATTGGCTCTTTCCAAATCCATTACGACGATATCAAGCTCTGCCAATTTTGCTACAACTTCTTCATCTATTGCATGGAGTGTTATTCGTCAGCATACGAGACTTATAAGCCGGCTTCCTTATAACCCACCATATTTGGAGCTGTGATCTATCAGCTTAGCTTGTGAATCGTCATGGCTATGCTTCAATTGCGTCAATTGGCCATGAGCTTGACTGAGCTGCCTTTGCAAATCATGCTCGCTGTAAAGGGTTGTTGGTTTAATGTATGGCATCAAGCTCGAAATTGTCAGTGAGTACACGTACCGTTCCTTATACAATCTGATTTTTTCGTTCAATTGCAGTTTGTTTTCCTGCTCCTTTTCATCGACCTTCTCGTTTATGCTATCCTGGAACTTAGATTCAAGCTGCTCGTACTTTGATTTCCATTCAGATGCGTCGGATGCAGATTGCGTTGTAGCAACCAATTGTTTGTTCGCTTCCTCGAGCTGTTGCCGTAACTTTTGATTCTCTGTAATAAGAGAATCCTGATCAATCAGTTTTGTACTTTGATCCTATAATAAAGGCAATGGTTTAATCCTATGGAAAGCTAGTATACGTGGTTCTGTAGGTGCTAAACTTACTACAGCCGCTTCGAGGAAGGGAGTGGGGTCGGGTGCATCTGCTAACAATTTATATATTGACAGGAAAGAGTTCTCGGAATACTTCGTTCGTTTTGTGAGAGAGTCGATTTCGGTCTGATATGCTGGTACAGGAGGTTATCAGTTGGACTAGACGTGAAAAGTATATCTTTGCAATGGAGTCAGAACCTACATTTTAGCAGCCCTTTGATTTGTTGTAACTTTTCTTCATCTGTTAACTTCTTGAAATCTAAGCAATTGCAATCATATTATACTATTAGTATCCAGCATTATTTGTGAATGTCCCTGTTTGTTGCGGTTGTACCTCGTGTTTGCTCAGCGAGCTTCTTTCTGGATATAAGGCCATCCTTTTGCTTTTCGACGATCTCTAAGCCCTGCTGATCTAGCTCATTCTGCAAAGAACTAAGGTTGGCGTTCTTCCAGAAGCTTATGGCAGAAGAAAAACTATCGACTTCTGCTGCCATGATGTCCTAGTGGTCAGAGTGAGTTCCACGTCCCAGCCTGCCATAAACGAGACGGCTTTTCCGTGCACCATCCATCTTGAGGTTAAAACTCCGATATTAGTGTTTGTGGCCAGCTTGGCACTTTTACGCACAAACTCGTTAGTCGCCCATGACTGCAGCGATATGTTGATGGATAATGGCACATGGAATAACACCATAGACTCCAGACATGATTACATAGTTCTTCAAGATTTTTGACAAAGTAACTGAACAAATTCATGCTCTAAGAGATTTGACACTTGATGTAGAAAGAATTGATCATCATGTTAGAGACACGTTGCAGCCCCGCTTTTCTGATCCAGGTTTATCTGTTCAATGAACATTTTCTCGATAATATCTGTGAAATACTTGGTAATCTTCCATGTTCAGTCAGTAGCGCATTTTGAGACATTAATTAACGATGTGATCTGGTCCCTAAAGGAACTACCTTTGCTTTCGAGAAAATAATATCGATGGACTCCCACAATGTAGCCCTACCATCGTCAGTCACATATTACTTCGTGATGGCACATTATATATATTCTATGTATGTCAACGTTAACCGAGTTACACTGTTTATCAAAACAGTAAACGATGCAAACTAAGTGCAAGTTATTCTGTTTTGATCTGCAAATCGCCCCATTCAAAGGACATCCGAATTTGACACTTTGAGAGTCGCACAATCATATCACGCCCGCCTGCATTGCTCATTCCTTTAGGTTTTTTCAGTATTTCATTTGCGTTTTCCAACTTTGTGAATATTGAACCCGAAGCGCAATTTTTCTTTTCGTGGTCCACAGACTATCAAAAAATTCCCGCTCAACTTCCGTTAGTTCTTGTGTGTTCCTGAATTGCTGAACTGAGAAGGAGGTCCCCATGCTACATACAAATTACAAAGAACCAATTGTCGTTTGCACTGAATGCGAATAAGGGCTGTTCAAAAGGAGGTAGTGGGGATCTGACAACGTTGTTTGTCAGTATTCCTCGTGCAAGTAGAGGGCGGAGGGATCCCAATGGGCGGGGCTTGATTTTGATTGGCTGGGCACTAAAGCGTGTGTAGCGTAGAAACTCCTGGCACCAACAGCAGGTGCTCCTTCTTCTTCCTCCATCCAATCAAGAAACATTTTTCATAATGGCACACGTAAGCTTCATCTACACTTGTTCGCGAGATCTTCAGTTGGATTAGTCGAGTTCAACCATTCACCGCCAAAATTTGACTAACAATCCTTTATGTCATGTCATCATCACAATCAACAGAGACTAGGCGGTCGTAGAAAGAACGTGAAAAAGGGATTCCAATTCACCTTCATGGTAGTTGGTATGTGTTTCTATGCAGTTCAGCAACTCACACTTCTGTTATCATCTGAATACTGAACTTTTACGCATAGGTGCCTCGGGAACTGGCCGAACCACCTTTGTCAATACTCTCTGTGATTCTGGTGTTCTTCCCAAAAAGATCTCTGATAACCCTGAGGAAGCCCACAACGAAGCAGGCATTAAGATTAAGCCTGTCTCTGTTGGTAAGTTGCTCAACTTTATGTTATTGTTTGTCACGAAAAGCAATCGCTGATCTTTTGTTTATTATTGTATCAGAACTCGACGAAGATGGTGTCAGGTACAACATTTTCAGCCAGTTTCATCGACGGGAGTGATCGCGTTTTACATCGATCCTAACTGGAATCTTTCTTTTTCTTTCGATAGAATCTCTTTGACCATTGTTGATACTCCTGGATTTGGTGATAACATAGACAATGAGAAATGGTAAGTGACTCATCGTGGGGGTAGAAATCGAACTGGCCCAACTGAATTTTGTGAACGGTCCCCACTCACCCATTGCCTATAACAGCTTCCAGGAAATTGTTGGTTATTTGGAAAGCCAATACGACGATATTCTCGCCGAAGAAAACAGAATCAAGCGTAACCCACGATTCCGTGACAACCGTGTGCATGCATTGCTTTATTTCATTGCACCCACCGGCCATGCGTGAGTAATTGTTTCGAATGCAGTAACTCAGTTTATCGATAAATGTCAATCCTTGCTCACCACCTCTCATATTAGTCTCCGAGAGATTGACATCGAGTTGATGCGTCGCCTCAGCCCTCGCGTTAACGTTATTCCCGTCATTGGCCGCGCTGATTCACTCACCCCACAAGAATTGCGCGACTTCAAGCGACGTATCATGGAGGATATTGAGCACTACAATATTCCCATTTACAACTTCCCTTACGATCCTGAGGAAGATGATGAGGATACCGTCGAGGAGAACAGCGAATTGAGGGTCAGTATATGTCGGCTTATATAGATGTTAATGTATCACAAACTCGTAGTGAACTCTCTTTTTTTGGATTAGACACTTCTTCCTTTCGCTATCATTGGTAGCGACGAAGAAATTGTTGTTAATGGACGTACAGTTCGCGGTCGTCAATACCCATGGGGTGCCGTCGAAGGTGAGTTATCACCCAATCGCCTATCGCGCTGCTTGCCTCTCCCTAACAATGTTCCCTATAGTTGACAATCCCAAGCACTCTGATTTCGCTCGCTTGAGATCTGCACTCCTGAGGTAACATCTACAACGTATTTTTGCTCTTGATCCTAACATCTCATCGCTAATAATTTTCCTACCCATTCGCGTCGTATTAGTTCCCATCTCCAGGACCTTAAGGAAATTACTCACGACTTCTTGTACGAGAACTACCGTACCGAGAAGCTCAGCCGCACAATCAATGGTGGTGACCAAGAGTATGTATATTTTGACTATGGATAACACTGAATATCCGCCGCATAGCTAACAACCTCTCCTTTTCCGTTCAAAGTGGTGCTGCTCTTGATGCTGACGAGATGGCAAGTCAAAGCGTCCGATTGAAGGAGGAACAGCTCAGGAGAGAAGAGGAGAAGCTCCGTGATATCGAGCTCAAAGTGCAAAAGGAAATTCAGGAGAAGAGACAGGAACTTCTGGCGAAGGAGGAAGCTCTACGCAGTCTCGAAGCCAGACTTGCAGCTGCACAACTGCAAGATGCAGCCTAGATTTTTTCTCCCTATCCACCTCTTTTTTTTTACGTCTTTTTCTGCCTGCTCATCTTCACGTCCAATGCAACCAAAAAAGGATTTCCCACTTTTACCATGTTTCTACTCTTGTGAACTGCGCGACACTACGCGTTTTTCTCGTAATTCTGTTACCAAATTTATCCCAAACTTTTTAATATATTGTTTGAATTTTTGAAAAAAGTCGCTGTGTGAAAAGCTTGGGGAGGCCATTCACTTTTCGTTTTTGGCCCTATGCCTGTGAAAATTATCCAACTGCCGTCCAATTCGGATACCCCCATTGAGGACCATGTGTTTAAAGGCATTGCAAACTTGTTGCCTCAGCTATCTCAATCTGCACCGCCTTTAACTAAGGACCGCTTGCAATCTGTTCTAGCATCGCCACTAACGGTAGTTCTGGTCGCCATTGATGACCATGCCGAGATTGTCGGCATGTTAACGTTGGCGTGTTTCGACGCTGTTACTGGGCGAAGAGCCCATATTGAAGATGTCGTAGTTGACGACAAATGCCGTGGACAAGGAGCTGGAAAACTCTTATTGTTAGAAGCTATTCAGATCGCCCAGCATAAATTACATGCAGCCACCATCGATCTCACTAGCCGCCCCGAACGCGAGGCAGCCAATCGATTGTATCAAAAGGTTGGATTCGTCCAGAGACAGACAAACGTGTACCGTTATGCAGAGTAAATTCGACACCTAGACATAAATATTTATACCATGTTTTCTTGTTTCAATTATTTACTATTGATTGAGTTATGATTATGTGATAAAACGAAGAGAGTGAACTTGCTGGTGAGAATGATCCTTCCCAGAGTAAGAAAATTTTCTTTCATCGTCTTAATCTTCCTTACGTGGAAATCGATTGGTATTGGAATACCGGGATTAAGAGTTCAACTTTCAAGAGAAATAACGTTGTGCAAACAAAAAGTACGATGCCACTATTACAAAGTGGCCTGCATCTATGCCATATTTTGCTGGGCTTGCAAGCGAACTCTCTTTTCATATTGCGGGCGGTCCTTTCTGCAAACGACAAATTGTTAAAGGCGTTGATTTAATAGCGTCCGTGCTCAACATAAAATCACGTACCGGAAAAGAAGATATGCTTCTGACTGTGCAGGGCTGTCTGGGTTTGGATCATCCAACAAGTCCTGGATACCTAGCAAAATCTATTGAAGCAGCCCCATAAGAATTTGCTGAATATAATAACACTATGCTTCTAGTGTTCATGTAGGACGGTTATGGATCTTTCACGTACCTGTTTGATGGTGATGGCGGGTTTCCATGCTTCCTCCTCGTTCAATATAGATAGGCAGACGGTTCCGGATGGATAGACATTAGGGTGGAATAAGGGTGGAGTAAATTTACCTGCATATGATTGCTTTTGTGTTACTACCTCGCTGGCGAAGTCCCTGAGCTTAATACAGAGAAGCACTTACATTTTGGTGGTTTGCTTGGATAATCTGTAATCGATTTACGAGAATGTCAAACGATGAGAAACTCCTATATCATTTTGGAAATATCAATTGTTCCATTGCATTACCTTCAGGAAACAGCATGACAAGCTTATAAACAGCATTCTCCCACATAGTCTGAACAATGGAATCCGATCAATACGCTGGGTGACATGAGAATCATTCCATAACCATGTGGTCTCTCTTACCCCAGTCTTGCCGGGAATTCCACAGGACCAGTTCATCAAGTCCATTGTGCCGTCGTCGTTTTTACCTGGTCGTGCCCAAAAGCCCTAAATCAAGGAAATGTCAGAAATCAAGGAAGGTAGGTGGTAGAATGTGGTCTGGTATTTACATGTGGATGATCTTTTCGCCATTGTTTTCGTTCTTCTCCCTGTCATTGTCAAGAGAAGTGGACCGTTAGCCAATATTTTATTGCAAAAAACGCCTATTCGACAAGAAAATTCGTCTTCGAGTTTGCTTACCAGGCGTGCTCGTGCAATTCCAGTGCTCATTTCATTCACTTGGGTGTCTTTACTCTCAGTGTTCCAACCACTTTCAATCCCTCAGCACAAAAATTTATTGAGCAGGCGGAGAATGAATAGAGCTTGCTGAAGTGGAGACAGTGTACCAATTTCACGTCTTTCCCGCGACCGAGCCGCTGAGCGTTTGTGTATGCTGATTACAAGCGCTAGCGTTCAAATAACAAGGAAGAACGCTTAAAAAAGCGCCTGATCCCATCTTTCGGTCAAATTCTCACGCAGGATACTTTATATTTTCGATTCTCACCAGCACGAAAGTCCTTTTCGATCACAGCGTCATCAACGGAGCGATCGAGTTTTGTCATACATGGTTCTATGTAGATCGATAAAACCACGGTACCTTTGATACAGAGGTTGAAGGTACCACAGATAAGAGACTCCGTTATACTTGCTCAAACAAAACGCATATTGAAAACGGTGCTGACAATGAGCACCCAGATTGCCAATTATTTCATAGTGTGGGCCGATGCATATCGCTTTATGCAACCACCAATAAAATCGACAGATTGCATCACGAAGAGTTGTCTGTAAACGCCCGAGTAAATGAATAAGCAACCGTGCGTTGGCAAATGACACTACGAGGGACATTTCTTTCCAGCGTCACCCCAACCACACGGCATCGCCTATTTTTGTATAGCATATTTTGTTATGATTGTCATTGGGGTGTCAGCCGATCCATACTGTCCTTTATCTTGCCAAATTGCTCCAATTCCACCGAGGCTTTTCGAAGTTACAGTAACACGGTTCCTGTGCCCTACAACCGTCACGCCCACATGGCAAGATTTTTGCCCAAACCATAACCAGAAAAAAAACCGTCATGACACATCCCTGCTGTAACCGAATGTGAGAATACACAGCCCTATCGCAACCCCCATCACAAACCCTCCTGACGCTCCATAGATGAATGCTGACCTACTGATGTGAGTTTATTGGAAATGATTTGACGATAAATTCACTGCTACACCGAGATAAACCACCTTTTGCCCGTCGGTATGGAGTTCCGGTAAGTGTGTCTGTTTGATGTAAATGCCAAAGGAAATGAAGAAAGGAGGTTTGTCTATTGAATAAAGTACTGCCAGATAGCAGCAGTGATGGGTTTCCAACAGTGATTGTGGTCCGCTTGCCGATACTTTGTCTAATGAGCGTTGGATATAAAGAGTAGGCGCCTCAATGGCGAGGTGATACCGGACAATTCTTTACGGATGACAAAAAAATTAGTGCACGCGGCCAGATGGAGGTCTTGAGATAGGACACAACTTACCCTAGTCTGATGTCGTTTCGATCCGCATATCGCGCATTTAACGAATCCTGCATTTGAGCCGTTCTTTGGTGCGTCTTGCGATCCAGAGGTGTGAGTATTTACAATCGCGCCACCAGGGCACAGGGAGGGAATCATATACAAAAATTCGGAGGGTGCAGAATAGAGGACGCAAGAAGGAATTGAAAGAATCAATGTCTTTTTATACCATTCAAGTTGACACCAAAAATAGAGGTACAGAAAATTATAATAACAAAAAAAAAAAAATGGTGATAACCAGAATGGAATTATTGTCATACAATATCGAAACACCATTCTTTGACTAATATTCGTAATGTTCCAAGTAAGGGACCCCGATAGGTTTGATAGAGCATTGATAGTAAAAAAAAAAAAAGTATGTTTGGGAGAGGATCGCTTTCAAGCACATGCTAGTCGCCTCCACTATAGTTTCTTATTTAAGTACAGATAACCATCTGAGTAAATCTTCATATCGTCAGGCATTGTTCATACTCTGGACTATAGGAGTAAGAAGTTATTGCTATCAGATTCGATACCTTCATTTCCAAGCTGGCACGTCGCTGGAGGATGCATAAGCCGAACCAACCAAGAAGAGTAATTTTGACCATTGGCCAATCGTTTATCTTTATTTATTCGGCGCACGATAATGAACGCCGTTTGCCACACGCTTTTTGCCATCATATTGATAGTCTCATTCGATGATTCGAAAAGGAAACAGCAGGGCAACATGGGATGACATGATCAAAATCGATAAAAGAAAAACATGCTATTTTCAGCGCTTTGTGCTTTTAAAATCAAAGAAATTTAATTTAATTCATAAGACGGTACTGCTTTCACTTCTTATCGTAAATATTATCTCTCATTATGTCTGGAACATCACACGGTGCCCGCTGGAAAAGTTTGCCCAATAGTCCAATTGGAAGAGGCGAGATTTGAACACAATCGTTTGATCAACGGTGAAGATCACGTGCATCGCTTGAAGCTGGGACGATTGGATCAGGTTAAGCATAATGATAGCCGGCTGCATTCGGGAATACGGTGTTTCCCGCATCGCCGATGTTTGTTTGAATGCAATGGGAGGAAGATCTGACTACCAGTGTTATGATGTTCGCTCGAAAAAAATCCACACATACACTGGCCATGTTCTGTTTGGCTGGTAACTTTCTTTGGCAATCTCCGTAAGTTGCACCAAACTGTAACACTGGTATGTCCAAGCGGTAAAAGTCGCGTGTTGCAGCGGGATGGCAGTTCTCAAAATCGACATTTCCGACAATAAATCAAGTACCTGAAAAAGTTTTTAATCCTTTTTATTAATGTTTTATTAGTATGATCATTGTTATTTTTTGCTTTTACTTTAATAACACTTATATACGACGACGATAGCGACAACTTTCGATTAGGTCATAAAATGCAAGAGAGAAAAAGAACGGCGGCGTGATATAGCAAACACTGGTTGTCCGCCTCACCTCGGGTTTGTTTTCGTGTTATCCAGGTTTCTAATGTTTTTCATCCACTCTTCTAATTAAACTTCAAATTCCTCCCAACACGCAGCCTTCAACCAATGCTTTATACTTTAAAAGCTATTAGATTTTCATTACCGTCGTTGGTCGGTACTGCCGAAGTGCAACGAAATTCCCCCCGCTTGTGACTGCTTCTTACATTATGCCTGACAAATTCAATTAACGACAATCATGTCAGCTTTTCATTCTCTTCCCCACTATGCTCGCTGTTACTTTAACCAACGACGTACCTGCTAACGCTGCAGAAACAAAATACAAGCACTCCGTATCCGTCGGAAAGATTGATACACCAAAGCCTGTGCCTGGAAAGCAGGTTTTGGTCAAAATACAAGCTGTCAGCTACAATCACAGGTAAGCACACAAAACTCACACGCTGGCTGAAAACGTATAATGATTGCGACTGATCGGTCAACCCGAAACCAATTGATAGAGATAACTGGATTCGTCAAGGCATGTATCCAGGAATCCAAGTCGGCTCAGTCCTTGGCTCAGACGGTGTAGGCGTTGTTGTCGAAAGTGATGATGCATTGAAAGGACAAAAAGTAGTTATTGTTCCTGGCAAGGGATGGGATAGTGATCCTCGTGGACCCGAAGGAAAATATGGAATTCTAGGTCTACTCCCTCATCCTGGTGAGAATACATTTCTGTTCAAAGGATATGTGAAAAGCGTCGTATTTAGCAAGGTATTAACTGATTTGCTCACAAAACAAGGCACGTGGGGAGAATATGTTGTTGTAGACAAGGAAGATGTTGTTCCATGCCCATCGCACCTCTCGATCTCGCAAGCTGCTGCTTTTCCGCTTGCTGGACTAACAGCCTTCAGGTATGGAGAAAGATGGGGATTATGGATTACTCAGCTAGTGACGTTAACGTGACGGTTTACTTTTGTTTAGGGCTACCTTCACTAAGGGAGAAGTCACGAAGGGTGACAATGTCCTTGTCACTGGTATCGGTGGCGGCGTGGCTCTTTTCGCACTTCAATTTGCTGTTGCCGCTGGTGCAAACGTCTATGTTACATCTTCTAAGGAAGATAAGATCCAACGTGCAATCGAATTGGGAGCCAAAGGAGGAGTCAATTACAGAAAAGGTATGGTTGTCGACGGAATGAAAGGATAAATGTATAACACGTTTGTTACTAAACTTGCACGTGCAGAAAATTGGCACAAAGATCTACAGGCTTTGCTCGGAAAGGGTCAAATATCAACCGTCATTGATGGAGCTGGCGGCGCCGCTTATGGTGTATATCCTCGAGTAATGAGCGTAGGTGGTATCATCGCCAACTATGGCCAAACTTCGACTCAGCACCCAGTGACTTTCCCGATGACTTATGTTTTGAAGAACATCGACCTTCGTGGAAGCACCATGGGTTCCCGCAAGGAGTTTTATGACATGGTCAAATTTATCGATCAGCATAAAATTGTGCCTATTGTATCTCAAGTTTGGAAGGGATTGACCGTAGATAATATTGAAGATGCTTTCTCCGTGATGAGGTGAGTCCAAAAGGGCGAGCACTATGAAAAGGTTCATCAACATGTTTTCTAATCTGGTATTCTATAGAAATGGAGAACAATTTGGAAAACTTGTCATCGAGATGGCTGATACCACTAACACCAAATTGTGAGCTTAGACGTAAACCCGTAACGTAAATTATGAACTGAAATGAAATGAAATGAAATAAAATCGTTGTTTGCTTTTGTAAATCTGGTTGTACAGTAGGTTAAAGTCTGAAATAATGTATTATACAATGTACTGAAGATTCTAGTAACTTTTTTTAAAGCTGAATGATGGTTGAGGCAGCTTTCCTCAAACGGTTCATCACTGCCATGCCTTCACGGTCTTCCGATATGCCTTCTATAAAAATGTAGTCTACTCCTTGCGAGTCTAAATGTCTAATTCCAACAAACATAGCCTTAGCTACTTCTTCTGGATGGCTAGCTCTACCCATCTGCTGGCTGATGATTTGAGCCTTGTTGTCGCTTAAATCTTGAAACTCGTCACTAGTATGCAACACGCCCACCTTGAGATTCTGCTGCCCAGCTTCTATCAATCGGTCGATCTCCTTCTGAATGGCAGCAACTGTATCGCGGCCATTACTTCCATCTACGGGGTGTTCAAAGAGCACAACAGCTGCTTCAGGGGAATAGTGGCGATATTTCATGCCAGGTGTAGTGGGCATCATCTCCAATTGCTTGTCGACAAAGTGCTTTCGATACACTTGAAGTTTCTCCATACCTGGAAGCTTTTGTATGTCTTCATAGGTGCAGCCTCCTGGTCGAAGGATAGCGGGTGGATTCCTTAGCCCATCCAATACGGTGCTTTCAACGCCAAAATCACATTGACCTCCGTCCAAAATCAGCGGAATACGATTATTGAGATCGTCCATAACGTGAGATGCAAGCGTAGGCGATGGCTTTCCCGAGGAATTAGCTGAAGGAGCGGCGATGGGAAATCCACAACGCTCGATCAATGCGCGAGCAACAGGGTGAGACGGAAACCGAATGGCAACAGTAGGTTGCCCGCAAGTGATGGCAGAAGGTATAATGTCGGCTTTGGGAACAATGATAGTAAGGGCACCGGGCCACAGTTTTTCCAAAAGTGGAAGATAGATAGGGGGGATGCGATTGTCAGGCATGATGCTTTCCAGCATAGACAAGGATGATACATGGACAATAAGCGGATTATCTTGAGGTCGATTTTTGACCGAATAGATCTTTGAGATACCAATTTCCGATAAGGCGTTAGCTGCCAATCCGTAAACAGTCTCTGTAGGCATTCCAATGACTTCGTCTTCCTTCAAAAGCTTGACAGCCTCCATGACAGCGGCTTCTTCGGATGCAACTGAGAAGATCGATTTGGGATTGTAAAGCGGCGGTTTGTCGGATTGGCCGGGTTGAAAGGTGATGTTTTGAGGCCGCACTGGCTCAATTTTGGTCAACATAGTAGCACAAGAGTACGATCTAGATAATGTTGGTATGAGTTTCGTTAACGGTGCTTTCGATGCAAAGGACCAAAGCATAGACCTTCTCAACTGGCACAGTCCAAAAAAAAAAAAAAAAAAAAAAAAACTGGACTTTTGACTCATATCACGTGGTTGATCGCCACATCCCACCATGTCTTCAACAACTATAATCACTTTATATTCAGTTAAATTGGGGATTACATTTACATACAATGTACAGAATGACTCTATCTAGAAATCCATGGAGTTGAACATTAGATTGATGTCAAAATAATCAACGGGTATCTCCAAATCTGTTGCGTTCAAGACCAGTTAGTAGCGGTGAACTTAATTGTTCTGAGTACCATTTGGCAATTCTCGAGGAGGTAAAGCAGGTTTTTCAATCTTTGCATGTTGCTCGACAATTCTAGGAGGTACAGGTGGTGGTGGTCTTTTGGGTTTTGATTGAAGTACTGCTGGTGCTTGCTCCGTCGTGGCATTTGAGGCTGGATTCGTACGCTTCGGCGAGTCCAATACTTCATCGTAGGTTGGTGCTCTTGGAGGAACAGGAGGTGGAGGTACTGGACGGGACTTCGTAGACGGTGTTGGTGCGGTAGGTGCATGCTCCAATTTTGATTTATTGGGTTCTGACACTGCATCCGACTGCCCATTGGACCGGGCCGTATGTTTTACTTCAGGCTGCACAACAATGTCAGTCTTTGCACTTTTGGTAACACTTGACAAGGTTGGAGTCGTATTGGATTCTCTTGAAGCATCGCTCGTTTGGTCACTCGCAACAACAATTGGTACAACCTCTTGGAATTCTCTATCACGTCGGCCCAACGCTTCAGAGGCTCGCTGCTTATACTTTTGAGCAGGCGATGCCGCCGTGGGCTCCAGGTCTTCTTCTTGGAATTCAATCAACGGAGCATCATTTGCAGTGCTCTTAGAAGTACTAATTGGTTGAGTATCAGCCGAAGACGAGACGCTAAAGGTTGCTGAACGATCCCTCTGAGCGGTAGACGTATTTGAAAGTGGCGGTATTTCAAGCGATGATACCGAAGATCTATCTTGACTCGAAACACTATTACTTCGTAGTTTGTCCTTGCTACTTAATTTTTCGATCAGCTGTATGCTCTTGTTGTCTGGATGTCGTTCGCGAAATTCTTGCAAGTTCTCCTTTCCCTTGATAATAAGGTTACCGGCCATGGCTCGTAACGCTGCGCGTTTTCCAACTTCATTAGTGCTGGCGGTTGTCACTGTATTTGTGTCATTATCGTCATTCAGTTTCTGTTCCAGATATCCATTCATACGACTAATAAAACTGCTCCTATTGCGACCTTCGCTGTTGCTCAGTGTTGAGGAACGAGAACGTGACTTTTCTTGACCATCTTGCGATCCGTTATCTGACAATCGACGATTTGATTTATCTGATTTTTCAGAACCACTCAAGTCACCTTGATCGCTGTCTCCACTGTTATCCTTAATGATATGCTTCTTCAGTTTAGAAAGGGTCGAGGACCATCGCTTCGGTGTATCGACCTCTTGGTTAGAATCCAAAGTCTCTTGTGACTCAGTTGACTCAAAAGAGTGAATGGTGCCAGTCTCTGAAGATAGAGCTGGTAGATCGTGTGACAAAGACATTGTTCCGAATAGATTGGGTGCAGATCGTGATGCTTTACGGTCGTTCATTAGATTTTTGGACAAATCTCTTGGTTGCAAGAGGTCTTTATCAGTAGCAGATCTTGGTGGTAGTGAACGATGGTCAAATGGTCCACCAAGGTCGTCATACCCAGTACTTGACCGATTGCTGATGGAGCTTTGGTTATCAGGATAAATAATACTATTGTCGTCAGTTAATTCAGTAGAAGGTGTAGATGATGTCGTAAATGATTCTGCCTGTAGATCTTGAGCAATCTTTTCAACGTTCTGGGACACTTCTTGAGCTTCCTCAACTTGCTGCTTCTTTGTAGCCTTTGTCCTCTCCTCCTTTTCTCCAAAGATTCCACCAAGCCCATCAGTCTCAAAGAAAGGAAAGTCGTCCATGTTTGGAAGCACCATATTTTCGATCATGAACTCACGAATTTTGGATTCAATAGCATTTGTGACCATGGTGAGCTTGATAGGCTTGTCGGAGACAATTGGCTCAATCTTCCATTCCATATGTGGAGCCTCATAGAAACCAATCCAAATACGGTTGGTGGGTGGTGCTTTAATTTTCACCAATACTTTACCAGTCAATTTTTTGAGGATGACAGATAACACAACATGGACTTTGATAGGCTTCATCATGGATGAATAGCTCCAAGTAATGTCAGTAGCTATCTCAAGGCGGAAGCTTCCTGCATAGTGAATGTTCGCCTGTGCTTGTAGCTCGCCACTTTGGCTCATACTCAAAAGTTTGGGTCGGGTGATATAAGGCAACGAATTTCCTGGCTTGACATTCTGCACTGAAATTTCTCCGATGAAGCCAGGTCTCTTTACCTTCCTTGCTTTTTTGGAAACCTTGTGATAGATTAGCTCATTAATGCGCTCTGTCTTGTAAATCGAAAGGAATAGTCTGCCAAGAATGGCATTTAACCATTGCGCATGACGGTGACTAGAGTCTTCCTGCAGGGTCTTGATAAGCTGATTAAGGGCTATTTGGTCAAAGCGTGTACTATCCACATATTCTATATTTGGAAGAGTTGGGTCCTCCGGCATTGAACTGTTTGCTTCCAAAAATGCAAAGTACCAGTCTTCTTTATCGATAGGTCGGTCACAGAAAATGTAGAAAACATCACCAGCAGCAAAATCCTCTTCATTTGCTGTCGACTTCTTCTGATCTGCGACAGGAGCCGATGCCAGAGTGACTTTTTCAGGGTCTTTGGGGCCGATGCGGGTGAGTTTAATAGCATTCGGTCGAGCGTAGACTTCATGATCTAACAACTTCTCCGGATACAGCGATGCTTGATAGTTGTGGATCGGAATGAGCAATTTACATTCGGAATCATTTTCACCATCGAACAGAAATAGCGTGCCAAACTTGAGCAATGCATAGTACTTTTCTTTGCGTTTCTTCTGCGTAGATTTTCCCGATACGTAGGATTGAATACCAGACATGATACTAGCGGAAGCATCGTCGGGTTGAAACTCTGTACGGATCCGAATCCATCCCCGTCGATACTGTCTTCCATCCGCTTGCGCGTGTTCAAGCACTTCATCTTTCGCGTCCAGCAGTGGCCGTGATTCCTCTTTCCTTGTGTCGCTGTTGTGAAAAAGCGGTGGCAAGTGGTGGTGGAAAAGCCAAATCAGAAATAGAGCAATGCCAACTCCAAGGGGAATTAGCGTAATTCCTCCCAGGAAGTATATGATCAGAAAGGCCTTGAGAGTGATCATTTAAAGGTGGAGATCTCGCCGTGTGCCAATACCAGAGTGCAGAGAAGTACGGTCATTTTTTATATACGCTGGAGGGTTTTTGATCGGTGGTCACATGCACACAGCTGCACGCCCAAATGCGGCAATTTTCTCCACCTCATAATACTTTATATAACGACGCTGGTACCTATTCTTTCACATCCTACGTGGATATACTATAATACATCTGCCATCATGGACCTAACTAATGAGTTCTTTGTTGAAAGAATTAAATGTAAACACAACGAGATCAAAACAGTATATCGTACATAATGAGTAGCCGATAACTGACGTCAGGGCGCCATCAGAAACTCATCAGTGGTGAGTGCTGTGTTCCACGGGGATAGAAACACAAAGTGGAAAGGAAAAGTCCCACTGTGATTCCCATGGCTGCTTGAATCATAGACATAGCCAGGCTCAATCCTTGTCCGGTATCAGGCTCACTGAATACTGCTAAACCACTTCTTAATCCAATGCTCCCTACAACGGATTATTAGTCAGTGAAATACAGCCCGTGCGCAAAATAGGACCGTTTATTACCTGGTAAAAGGAAAAAGGAGCCCAAGAGCAAAGCATCGAAAGACCATTCCTTCCTCCATTTTGTCCAACCGTTACCAAGAAAGCCTACTACAAATGCAGGTACAAGCTGAACAACTTGCTGTGAAGTTTTCACCCAATTGCTTAAGGCAAATGACGTGGCATATCCTGCACAAGCTACTGTACTCATAAGCAAGTAGCGTCGAGGCATTGCGCGTAGATAGACGCAATAGGTAATCTGGGAAAATATGAGAGCAATGTGGTGAGAAAAATAGTAGACACTCCAAATTATTGTCATGCTAAGTTAGGCTTACTGAAAAGAGAGGTACAAGCAGGAAATTGAACCACTGGCTAGGAGCGCCTGGGCAAACGTCAGGATTCTTAATACTGACGCTGTGATCCACAGTAACATATATTTCTTCACCCAAGCTTAAGCCATAGCCTAATAGAAACGCATACAGTATAGCATATACCATACGAATAATGCCGCTAATCCAACTTCGACTTGCCACTTCAATTATAGCACTGAAGTGCAATGTAAGTCTCCTTGGGGAGGAGGAAGTGTATATCAGCTTAACTATTTACCTTGTCATGGTCCAACCAGGGAGCAGCATAATGACGCTTCCAAATGAAGATGGCACAAAACAGAAGCCGCCGTGGGTAGCAGCTGTCAAAGATCCAAAAGCAGAAAAATAGAGTCAATATACTTTCCCACCAAAGTTTGCATCTGTCACCATCGTTTTCGGGTTTACCTTTTGCAGTGAATCCGATAAAAATCGCGATGGTAATTTCGAACAATGGACCCAGGCCAACCACGTAAGTGGCAAAAATTTCGTAGATGGATAATATAAAGCTGAGGCCTGCTGCTAAACCACCATCCTTCCAGCTGCCTCCAAAAAACAGAACAGCTGATGCAAAGCCGCCTGCAGCATAAGACAAAAGCATGGCCCATTTTGGATAGAATTCTGGTTTGTTCATCACAGTATCTATGTATTCCAAGGCACTCTCAACTGTCACTTCTCCATGCAACAGAAGCTTCTCTAGTCGATAGATCTCTTCCAGTCGACCCATATCAAATCCTTGTAATTCTCGAACAAAGTAAGTTTCAGTGGTGTGGGTTGAAGAATCCATAAAGCTCATTAACATAATATTAGGGATGTATACAAAATCTGCTTCAATGCGTACTGTCTTGGACACTTGACGAATGACGATTTCTAGTCGGTGTGATGGGCAACCATACCTCATCAGACAGCGTGTCAGCTGCCTTATTAAGGCTTGCTTCTGCAGTATGTTAGCGATCTCAAACGTCAATCGAATTCTGTCATCGAGAGAGATCGGTTCAAATTGCGACGCAGTTGTAGTAACACTGTCAATGGATCCTCTGCGTGATGCAGCAGTTGCTTTTCTCAAGCTAGGGACAGTGTGCAACTGACTCGACATCCAACTATTCCTGTGTTTGTTGCCCAATGTAGGTCGCTTGAACGATGCTGGCAAAGCGGAACTGGCGGTCGAACTCAATTGGTCTCCCAAGTCCATCATAATTCCAGATCGACGCTTTTTCTTCGAGTTCATTAGTTACATTATTCTATCATGATACCATGGCTGGCGAATTCAAACTCACTTTTCTAGCTCCTTGTCGTCGACGAAATTTTCCTCGTTTTTGAGACTCTTCTAAGTGAATCAAGGCCGACAGAACACTACCGTTAGTGGTCACATTCGAATTGAATCGAGTTCGCTTGTCATCCCACATTGAATTGACTATCCGTGCCGATTCAGCTATGTGCTTCGCGTATTCTTCGCTGAAACCATCGAGCTTTGCTTGTTCTAACGCAGCTGACACTAATTCGCTGTCTGGTGGTTGTTTCCATTCCATATCATCTTCAACTGATGTACCTTCGTAAAGTGTTGAAGGGGTGTCGGATGGTAGCTGGTATGTATCTGTCATGTCAACCGTTTCATGAGAGAAGCGAACACTGGGCGTTTCCAAATCGCTTGACGTAGTTTGCTTGGGTATTTCTTCTGCTTCATCCTGGAACGTTACGTGCGGTAATATTGGCCATGACGATGCGTGCCGCAAAGACTGGCGCTTCTGCATAGTGGAGCAGAAAACGTTTAAGGTTTCTTTTCTTTATAATAGCACCAGATTTCAACTTGACAAACCAGGTTTAAGCGAAGAGATTATAAAACAGGAAAGAGGAAAGACAAGTTTTGAGACATCAATTTAACTGCATTAAATTTTTTTCATTTGCTTTGCCAAGAACTAGGAGGTAACAAAATTTTCTGCAGGTAAACCGCAATTCACCGACGTACGTCGCAAGGGCTTGCCTGAACATGGTGCCTTGAATTGAAATCGTGATGAGATAAAAATCGACAGTGCACATATGCATATTCCAGCATATGATCGATTGACGTGATGGTGGTGCTCTTTCAAATCTGTACTCACACAGTCGTCACATTTTACGATGACGGCCATTGACAACACTGCATAACTGCACCATTCGAATTATACTTTTGCAGTGTTACTCTCTTCAAATGGTAATTTTAAAAATTCTAGCGTGATATTCGTCCGTTTTTGAATCCGTTTCCAGATAAGTCTCACGATCAAACCTACCATTGACGAATGAAAGTCATTATCATTGTTAGTAGTGCAGACCATGTACTTAGTTAATTGCTCCGGCCGCATACCCGATAGAATATGATAAAATATATAGCGATGTTACTAAGATTAGTATAACTTCTTCTTCTTCTTAGCAATGATCCAGAGCAGTTTCGATTTTCTGCTACTGTCGCTCCTTTCCATTCCCTTTTCTTATGTCAATTATTTGTTTCTCATAGAGGCAATTAAACCCTTGACTCCTCTTATACAGCAGGCCTGTCGGAGATTGCAAGATTTAAGCAGCTTGGATATTCGCTACACTTATTCACTCATCGTCAAGCTTAATTCTCTTTCATGCTCAGTAACAAAACTATACGAAGAAGTCTTTAAAGACACCTTTGGGTCTGTGTTAATGGCATCCTTACTCGGGGCTACCACTACCGCTGTTGCAATTTTATCCATTGAAGCTGGCCGAAAGCACGCGTATCGTATTCAAGCGGTGGTCGTTCCAATAATTTTGCTATCCGGAAATACATTCGGTATCTCTGTTATCTTACCACTGGTATGGATTCCATTGAATGGAATCACTCAATACATGAACAGATACAAGAAATCCAGCAATCATAATTATATCCACCCATTTCGCGTAGTGGCTATCATGGCAGCCGTTATATTCGGACAAATTTTGGTATCAGCTCTTCCTTTCATGGCCAAAAACCCAAGCCAGTTCAGAACTGCCTTGACGATACTACAGTTTGGTCCCATCATATATTCGACAATCGAATGGGTTTGCACCTTCCTGAGTCGATCTAGTTGCTTTGCACACGAAAATCAGCAACCAATTACTCGTGCAGACGCTATGCAGAGTAAAATATTTGTACAGCAACTTTACATGACACTGACAGTAGCGAATCTAATTCTTCATTACGGTATCATTGCCTATATATTTCTTCAAGACCTTAAGGTTGTGCAAACCCTAGCAAGTATGTTACGAGCTCAGCCATGGACTGCGGCTAATAGCACTGGTCTGAATGCTGGTTCCTTATATATAAGTATCAATCTCATTGCTCTCGTATGTACCTTTGCGTACTGGGCGGCTCTAGATGGTGGATTGGATGGTCTTATTCTCTACGGTTTATCTTGCCTCGTGCTAGGTCCAGGTGCTGGTTTAGCCGCCTACTGTTGGGTGAGGGAGCAGTCCAAACACGATCAGTATATACTAGGTAAAGCCTGAGCTAATAGGCTATACACAATAGGGGTTTTCTAGCTAATTAATTTTTTCCAACACTACCACTTTTTTTCAACACTACCAATCGCAAGTTCATAGAAAACAACTCCGGCAATGAGAGAATAAAGTTAAGCAATTATATGACTTTTATGTTGATAAATACATAATGTACATGAAGCTATTGCATCGTCACCGAGTTCTAGAACTGTCAATACCATTATCCGTGTAATCTGCGCTGACGTACATGCCAAACTTCGCTCGTCGTAGTATTCGTAGATTAACTAGCTCTGCCAATTCCGACTGCACACGCTTATCATCGAATCCTTCTGACCTGCAGATATCTTGTTTTGTCCACATGGCTGATAGGAACATTTCGAGTTAGAGTATGTGCATCTGTTCTAACGGGTTGGTGTACACTTACGTTTCGTTTCAAAGAGTGCCAGTATTCTAGCTCCCCATGGGCTGAGATCAACATTAATTGTTTTGTCTCCTATTACGACGTCGACATTTGCCTTTGCTAGCGCTGGTAGCCACTTCAGCTTCCTGTTTGACTTGAGTGAGTTGTATGAATCGCCATAAAGCTCCATGTAAGGTGTAAATTCCTCTGGAAGTTTGGCTTCTGATTCTGCATCTTTCATCTCTGGCCAATAATGCTTGGAGAGAATAACACCATGGAAGTCAGTTGCAATATCGTCATTTTGGTCATGGATCATCTTATCAACTCGCTTTCCATCATCAATATCCTTTATCATGACATCGCATTCATGGAATTTGTTGGCGCCAAAACTTCGCTTCAGTAATTCCAGTAGTCGTACTTCATTGTCTGTATCATAGTTGCGAGTTACAAGTAGGTTTGTCGCTAGGAAGCGCTTATAATCTTCCAAAAATGCTTTCTTGGATATGCACGTTGCAATCAACAATTGGACAGGATTGGACGAAAGCTTTTGAATAAAATCATTGTCTGCAAGTAACATGATGTAAGTCACATACACTTTCCGTGCATTGCATTCATTTCGGAATCACTGCTCTTACCTACTGCAAGGTTCGGATCTTCCAAATACCAGCTTACTTTGGCTGGTTCAGCTGAATTTCTTCCAAAGGCACTGTGTTCATCATCATCATCGTCGATTTGGTCGAGTGCTTCGTCAACATCTTCATCACCCAGAGAATCACGAAAAGCTGATAATTGGTCTCCATTTGTAATAATCGCAATAACTTCTGCTGCTGTATCTGTGCGGTACGATCGAAGATAGCGCACAAACATAGCCAGGACGCTTCTATTTGTTGATGGCGCCACCTCCAGCATTTGAAGGCACCGGATACAAGACAAGAATTGGTGTAAAATGTCGGAGGTGCTAGCGCCTTGATGTAGCAGCCTGCTGCTAATTCTTTATATGTAGAAAAGTCAATACTGGTCGATTAAGTCAGTGGGTTAGACACTTGCTACTCACTCTGAAAGTAACTGGGCACGTAAATGGTCTTCTCTGCTAGTTTTCTCCAGAGCAATCTGCATTCTAACTCGTTAGTACCGCAAGTTTACATTGAAGAATAGTGCATCCATCATAATTTGCTGATACCTTTAGGTCTTCTATCGCAGGAAGCGAAGCAGGAAAGTCGACTATGATACCAAAGATATTATCCAGTCTAAGGAATTCGAGGTATAAGCATAGGAGTCGAAAAGTCTGCATTCAAATCAAGCATACCTTGATTGCACGAATGCATGGTAGAAATGATGTTCCAAAATGATCTTGTGTCTCAAATACTGCAGCCAGGCAGGATCTTTGACATCTGTTGTAATGAGCATGAATAACTGGGAAGTTTCTTTCTTTGCGCTTCAATGACAATTCCACTTACTTGCATCCACAGCATGGTTTTCTATGCAAGACACAAGCGGCAGTATAAACTCCCTTACCCATGAGAGACCTTTCGTCAAGATGTTTTCATCCCAGCACTCTGCCCAGTCATCTCGTTGAAGTCGCTTGGAGATAGAGTCCTTGCAAACTTGCATCCAATTCAGATCCAAGTCCATCTCACTCACTTGAGCGAACGTGTCTCGGAACCGTTGCAACATTTCTTCACTTTGCGCATATAGTTCATTTGGCATTTCAGCCTCGTCGTCGGCAGAATTTTTTGGGGTAGAGTACGAAATCCCTTCCATGTTATCTTCGCTTAGCTTGGACAATCGTTTGCAAATTGAAATAAGATTTTCAGCTTTCGGAAAGAACGTATCCGTAAATGGCTGGTTCAATTCATCCTCCAGAGTCGTGGAAAGTATACGTCGCAGTGTTGTCCAGCGGTATGGCAAGGATGTGATGCTGAAATTGATTAGGAAGTTGTCCGATTTCTTCAGGTAAGGCTGGACGTTTTCAATTTGCTCAAATACTAATTGTATATAGCTTAAACCAGTCACCTCAAAACCTTTTGGCAGCAATGCTCGTAATTGCTTTTTAAACACCTGTCGGTATCTCCCATGATAATCTGTTTGCATTAAAATCCCACCAGGCTTTATGCTCTCTATTGGTTGTTCAAGTTTGAGAAAAAGGGAGTGAAGTTCAGCAATGTCGTCAGGGAAACCTGCCACCATATCACTGTCATCTATTGCCTTTGAATAGAGTATTTTAATCACGCGGATGTCAAGGTGTTTCAAGCAAACCATCACCAAGGACATACCATCATATCATTTTGCTTTTCTTGAAAGTGAGATGTTATTGCATTGTCTAAGTATTCCTCAACTTGATCTGAGGTATAAAAAAGTCAACACCAAACATTCAATTCCTTACCAATATGGTGTCTGCTTACCTAAGTACCAATCTAAAACTTTAGTGGAGCTTATGCCTTCTCTTCGTAGAATTTTGAGGTTATCTCGGAGTTGAACATGTCGCACTGTTGTAAAAGATAGACAATAAATGGCTGGGCTGGCAATACCGCAAAATGAGTAGTAAAGTACTAACAAGTCCAATTGTGCGAATCAAGATTGTCGATCTCGAGTATAGAAGTTATATTTTTCCAGGCCTGTTCGTTAGCGCAAAAAGTAAGTGCACTGTTTTAAAAAAAAAGAGTGCACCTCTTAACTTGAAGACGTGTACGTTACCTTGCCTTTGACGGACGTCGGGGCAAACTAGATGTACGTGTTAGTCAATTGCAAACACAAATGCAATAACCTTGTACCAATTACCTTTGCAGGATCCTTTTTAGCTTCTTCATGAGCCAATTCTTGTCGCCACGTAAAGTACGGGTGCGCGGCAATAAGATCCATCGCGGCAAGAGTGACCGATGGAGACCTGACCTTGAATAATGGCCATAAATTTCTCGATTTGACGAATTTGCCTGGGTTTGCTTTTTATTTTTGACATCTGGTTTTAAAGCATGCCTACCAAGCGAACTTCTGCCGCCAAATCGAAGGCAGAATCATCTGATGCGCCAGAAGCGTCTGTTCCTGTCGAACTCAACCCTAAGACTACCTTTTATGAGTAGGTATCTTCATCTCGAGATCTGAATCTGTACAAACCTTAACACAATCGCTTGTAGGTTTGGAGGACCACTCGGAGCTGCTGCTATGGTGACGTTTCTGCCTCTACTTGTACTCTTTCTTGCAGTTGGATGTGACAAGACAGGCTATCCCAGCCAGAAAGTCTTATCAATGACCAAAGATGATTTCCTAGCCTTGTTCAGCGTCGAATCACTCCGCGCTCTGATTGATCCATTGGCCATTGGTGGCTACCTTGCATACATTCTCTGGCTCGTTGCATTCACTCTAACTTTGAAGGGAGACAAATACCCAGGTTCCAGGCTGAGAAATGGGAAGGTTTTGAAATACGAGTGCAATGGTTCGTATTTGGGCTTTGAAAGCTCCAATTGTAGGTTTGTCTGTCAGAGGTGCCGGTCTGACCATCTTGCCATCAACAGGTTTTTCTGTGCTCCTCTCATTCTTTTCCCTCGCCATCTACTGCGCAAAGGGCCCTGGTATTGCACCTGCTATCTGGGTATATGAACATTGGGTTGGCATCAATGTTGCTTCTATTCTCTTCTCATTTGCCGTATCCATCTGGGCATACAGTAACAGTTTTGAGCCCGGTGCTCTTTTGGCTCTCGGAGGAAATACAGGCAATACCATCTATGATGTAAGTTTTATACACCTGCAACCATAAAGCTACTTATAATATGCTCATCCACATCACAAGTTCATGATTGGCCGCGAACTGAACCCTAGAATTGGAGACTTGGATGTCAAGTTCTTTGTTGAACTTCGACCACCGCAGATGGGATGGCTTCTTACAAATATTTGCATGGCCATTACCCAGTATCATAATTTGGGAAGAATAACTAACAGTATGGCCTTGGTAGTCATTTTCGAAGCCTGGTATTCAATTGATTCCATTTGGAACGAGGTAAGCTAGCTACAGTACGTATACAGAGTAACTACCGACGAATTGACGCTGATCATATTATTTCAGCCTCTGGTATTGACGACCATGGATATTACAAATGGTAAGCCTTCATTCTGTTATACTTTTCTTCTGATATATAAAGTCCCGTTTACTTATACATCTTATAGATGGCTTTGGATTCATGCTGGCATTCGGTAATCTTTGCTGGGTCCCAATGGTTTACGGCCTTCAAGCTCGCTACCTGGTTGATTTCCCTCTTGACCTTACCATTGTCCAAGTTATCCTTATTATTGCCCTTCAGTTGACCGGCTTCTACATCTTCCGCTCTGCCAATTCTATAAAGAACAGCTTCAGAACGAACCCCAATGACCCTGCGCTCAAAGGTCAGCAAAACCTTAAATTTTACTCTGCATCAATGTGCAGCACACTGATTCTTTCTCATTTGTAGATATCACGTATATCGAAACCAAGGCCGGAACCCGCCTTATGACCAACAGCTGGTGGGGATACTCTCGTCACATCAACTACTTTGGTGACTTGTTGATGGCCCTTTCATGGTGTCTTCCAACTGGTTTCTCATCTCCCATCCCTTACCTTTATTTCTTCTACTTTGCTTTCCTACTTTGGCATAGACAAGGTCGTGACGAGCACAAGTGTCGTCAAAAGTATGGTGAGGATTGGGTCAGATATTGCAAGATTGTGCCATACAAAATCATTCCTGGTTTGTACCATTTTTTTTTATTATGACGAACAGCAACTCGTATCCATTTACTAACATGTATCTCTTTAACCCAGGCATTTACTGATGTTCTCATATAGTCAACTACCATAGTTTATTTTTTTTCACGCCTAGTACTTTCAATAAAAGCAAGAAAATTGCATAAATGTCTGCTGGTCCGGAATTTCAAATGAATTGCCTCTGCCGCTTTCATAATGCTGAATCCTACAGCAACCGAATTTCAACCGTCAGGTTCATTTCAGCCGCAACCAAGCAAGTCCAACCCTCAATCCAACATAAATAGTACTCCGCAACAAAAGTCAAAAGCAAAGAAACAAACCGTCGATAATGGCAAGAATGTTGGTACAGAGAGAAGGCACAGTAAACCTAGCCAAAATAAACCAGAGGCAAAACGACAAGGATCTGTTCCAGATGCAGCGCATGGTAGAAAAGGATCTTCATCGAAACAAAATGAGACAAAAGCTAGAGTAGACGGCGGTAAAAGCCGACCAACCAACAATAGAGTCGCAACCGCCGGCAAAAATAAAGCATTAGACCCAAGAGCCAACCTTATAGCATCATCTATCAAAACGAAAAGCACCAGCAAAGTTCAGCACATGGAGCCTACAAGCTGTATAGCCATTATGGAAGCAATAGAGCCCGTTAACCTTGTGACTGGAGAAGGATCAGCCCTAGCCATTGCCAATGGATGTGAACTATATGTACAATGGGTACGTTTGACAGCACCAAGATATCACCATCAGAGATACTTTCGTCTCATCATTATAATTATCACAGATTGGACGCTGTTTACAGAAGCATGACGAGGTTACGCTCATTGGATTCGATCAAGGTAGTTGCTTTCGATCTTTCAGACTACAGGTTTAAACGACTGTAGTAGCACGGGTTTCTCACACTTGTAAATTTAATTTAGCCATCAGCGACGCCATAACAATTGTCAGCATTCTCCAAGATTCGGATATTGCCAGATACCACGGTAGGTACTTATCAAAGATGATGTACCTCGCAACATTATCACTGACTTGGATTTGATATCTGTAGAAGTGGAGACTTTCAGCTTAGAAGAAAGCCGTGGAGTGATAAAACCGTGCCTGTTATTTCGATTGCATATGCTAAAATAATTATTTTTAAATTAGCCAGTTGTGCCTTTTTAAGCCTCGCTCTTCTTTCCTCCATTTTTAACTCTAGCTTTTCACACTGTCTTCCTACGCAGGAAAGACATGTCTGCGGAAATCTCGGAAAAAGAGACACCTCCTGTAACTATTGTACAACCTGATACTTTGTATAAAACCATTTTTGAAATGTCGAATTCTCCAAACTACTCGCCGGTCGCCTCCACCGACATCACAAAGCATCAACGAGACGGTAGTCTAGATGTGTACATGCAAATGATGGATGGACGAAAGCATATAAAATCAGTCGCATCAGACGACGATGAGGAGGAAGACAGTTCTTGGAGCTCCTCAAGCGAAGAGAAACGCCCGGAAAGGAACCCACCTGGAAGTGTAGTGTTCCAGTACTATTCTCCCACTGATAAGGTCGATAACTCCGAATTTCACGGCAAAAATGCTAGCCAGGAAAGTCTGTTAGAGATGCAAGATCGCAGAAGTACAAGCAACCTGCTTGGTGGTGCTCGCCATTATGAAGATGATGACGAAGACGACAACGCCGACCGTCCGGATGCATGGTTGAACGATAACCTGGAGAATGGAAGGAGTGGGAAAAGTTCCAAAACGCCGATCAAATGGACATGCACTGGATTCTTTGTTGTGCTTATAGTGGGATGGATGGCATGGGCTTTTGTTCTGCTCATCATGCCTCAACAAGGAGAAGAGCTAACTTCGTCTGGCAACCATATTGAATTCAATGATGTGTTCAATTCTTCTTTCAGGCCGTCTCGCCCTAGCCTGGTTTGGGTTCAAAACTCGCAACAAGATGGTGTTTTTACATATGTTCAGCCCAATACTGGCGACATTATCCTAGAATCTGTTGAAGATCAAGTTAGAAGCACGTTTGTCAAAGCAGACGAACTTCAAATCAACAACAAATCAGTGACAGTGGACAACTACTTGATATCTGCCGATACAGAGTATTTGATGATCTGGACAAATAGGACCAAACAATTCCGCCATTCTTATTTCTCAAACGTTTATATTTTCGACCTGATTGAACGCACCCTTACCCCTCTGAATGATGCCAGCAATATTGATGAGGAACCACAAATCTCATATGCTGTATGGAGTCCAAAAGGTCATAGTGTTGCTTATGTCATGAACAATGACCTGTACGTCACTGACCTGGTGAAGCACACACGCATCACTTTTGATGGTACCGCAACTATCTTCAACGGTGTTCCGGATTGGGTCTACGAAGAGGAAGTCTTCGGCACCAACTTCGCTACCTGGTGGTCTCCCGATGCGACTCATATTGCCTACCTTAGATTCAATGAAACTGAAGTTCCCGAATTTAAGCTACCTCTCTATGCCAAATCCAACGATTCATATCCGCAAGAGCTTGTTATCAAGTATCCAAAGGTAAATATTATCTGCTTTTCTTTATCGCTCCTAGACATTGTTTTTTTGATTTTTTTGCAAATATCTATTAGGCTGGCTATCCCAATCCCACCGTGTCGTTGCACGTATACTCATTAGCCGACGACACCTCTGTGATGGTCAATCAAAATTCAACTTCTGTTGGAATTGCTGCTGTGGACGATGAGGTTGTTGATTTTGCAGATAACGACCGTTTGATCACTCAAGTTGTATGGACCACTACAACTCACGATCACCTTGTTTACAAACAAACAAATCGCGTACAAGACCATGAGAAGACGATCACTGTCTCTCTACCAACCACCGGTAAAACAACAGCCACAGCAATGACATCGAAGGTATCGAAGGAATACAAGCCTGAAGATGGAGGCTGGGTAGAAGTAAATCAGGATATCAAATTCTTTGGACCACAAGACAAAGACGATACGCCAAAATACATCGACATCGCTGACAACGGAGATGGTTATATGCACTTGGCATTGTACGCTGTTAATGGAAGCAATGAACCAGTTTGGCTCACCACTGGAGATTGGGAGGTTATCAGCGGCACAGTTGTCGTGGACAGTGTGAACCGTTTGATGTAGGTAGCATGAATTTTGAAATTTGGACTAGAAATAATACTAACCGTTCGCCCGACAGCCATTACATTTCTACCGAAGTGTCACCTTTGGAGAGACATCTCTATATGCTCAACATCTCTGACACGGATGATATTACTAAGCATTGCATAACCTGCTTTGAAGATGAGGAAGTCCATGGATATTACTCTGCATCGTTCTCACCAAAAGCCGGATATTACGTCCTGAACTACGAAGGACCAGAAGTCCCCACTACCGTCGTCAACAAGGTTGGAGATAGCAATTTCAGCAAAGTCCTTGAGAACAACACCGCTCTTGTCGAGCTATTGAAGCAATATAGCCTTCCCAAATCTCGCATGGTCACCGTTAAAAGCGGTGGTGTTGGTAAGCGTTGGTGGTTTAAATGTTATAAAAGATGTGACAGACGGTTACTAAACTCTACCTCAACCATTAGATATGAATGCCATCGAAATTTTGCCTCCGGACTTTGACCCGGCACAGCGATACCCTGTGGTCTTCCGTGTATATGGCGGTCCAGGATCTCAAATGGCTTCTTACCGATTCCAGCTGGACTGGCACACATTTATCGCAAGCAAACTGAGATACATCGTTGTTATGGTAGGTTTCATTCATAGCTTTATTACTCTTGTAAGAGCGACTTATTAAACTGTCCATTTGTTTTACAGGCTGATGGTCGTGGCACCGGTTTCAGAGGCCGCAAATACAGAGTAGGAGTTCGAGGTCGCCTTGGCGAGTTGGAAACCATTGATCAAGTCAATGCTGGCAGGTAAAATTTAATAAGGCATTATAGAACATCAATTTGGTAGGCTTGCTTTCTTAACGACGTATATCTCAGGCACTGGGCAAGTCTTGACTACGTTGACCCTACACGACTTGCTATCTGGGGATGGGTATGTATATGTTATTGCCTGAATACAAAACGTTACAAGCGACTCATGGATTCATTATTTTAGTCTTATGGAGGATTCATGACGAGCAAGGTCGTTGAAGCCGACGACGGCGTCTTTTCCGTTGGAATGGCCGTTGCTCCCGTCACTGATTGGAAATTCTATGGTGTGTATTTTATTTCATGTATATGGGCCCTTTCAATCTCAAAACTCTCATCTTACTGACCTCTTATCTTTAAGATTCCATCTACACTGAACGCTACATGCTTACCCCCCAACTTAATGCTGATGGCTACCAACGAAGTGCAGTCAATAATATGACGGGCTTCAATCACACCAACTATCTCCTTGTTCATGGAACAGGCGATGATAATGGTAAGGCGAGACTTGAAGTACAAGCGATGTGATAGCCCGCCTCTCATATTGACTCATTATCGTTGACTTCTTTTTTGTTAGTTCATTTCCAAAATGCCGCTGCGCTGATTGATCGCCTTACAATGGCTTCGGTTCATAATTACCGAGTCCAATTTTATACTGACAGCGACCATTCTATCAATACCCACAACGCCAACCGAGAAATCTATTGGCTTTTGACAGACTATGTTTGGGAAGGGTGAGGCCCGACGATAGTTTTCTGCTTGAACATTTGTATGATTTTGCCATATTAACCGTCAACCATATCTTTCATAGGTTTGGTGGAGAGGAATACGACCATGTTCGACGAGAAACGCATGGACAAGTTATTGGCCCGGTAGGCAGCCATTGAATAGAAAAAACCTTCACTCATCTTGCATCGAATTGAGTTTTGATTCTCAGTTACAAAAATGACTCAGACTGCAATCAAATTTGAAATAAAAATTGGCAGAATTATCTCGCTTCCATCTTTAACTCCTCTTTTCCGTTAAACATGTTTGCAAACCGATTCGTTTCCAAGCTACCCCTTCGAGCATACTACTCTACATCTACAAAATATGCGCATCTGTCAGCGCGAAAGCAGTCATTTATTCCTACCAGTGGCACGTATCCAGCAGGTTTCAATGCCACGGGTATTCACTGTGGTGTCAAGAAAAAGCCTGAGATCAAAGATTTGGCCCTGATTCTATCCGATAGACCATGCAGTGCTGCAGCTGTATTTACAACCAACGCTTTCCAAGCCGCACCGGTTCTTGTTTCGCGTGAGGTTTTGCAACAGAAGAATGGCGAGAATGTATTCGGTGTTGTAACCAATTCCGGTTGTGCCAATGCCGTGACGGGAGCCAATGGCCTTGAGAATGCGAAGCGCATGAGCAAGGCTGTCGACGCCTTTACTGGAGTTGAGCAATCGTCTTTGGTCATGTCAACAGGTGTCATTGGCCAGCAACTACCTATCGAGAAGATCGAAAAAGGTGTTACTAAAGCGCACTCGACCCTTGGAAACAGCCACCAATCTTGGATGGATGCAGCTGAAGCGTTCATGACAACCGATACTTTCCCTAAACTTCTCTCAGGAAAGTTTAGCTTGTCCTCAGGTTCAGAATACACTATGGCTGGCATCACCAAAGGTGCCGGCATGATCCACCCCAACATGGCCACTCTGCTTGGCTTCGTGGTCACCGATGTTAATATTGATGCTCCGTTGTTGAAGAAAGCCCTTCAACACGCTATTGACCGAAGCTTCAATTCCATCTCAGTGGACGGCGATATGAGCACCAATGATACAATTGCTGTTTTGGCCAATGGCGCCAACAACGCTCCTAAGATTGTTGATGAAACTTCGCAAGATTACGTCGATTTCCGATCAAAGCTCACTGATTTCGCTGCCGAGCTTGCTCAGCTGGTTGTTCGTGATGGTGAAGGTGCTACCAAGTTTGTTACCATCAATGTTAAGGTTCGTGATAGACAATATGGGTAGAAATATCAAATATCTTGTTAACATGATTCGTTTAGGGCGCCTCAACATTTGAGTCAGCAAAGAAGGCTGCATCACATATCTCTACCTCCATGTTGGTAAAGACCGCCTTGTTTGGTCAAGATGCTAACTGGGGCCGTATTTGCGCTAGTTTGGGTCACAGCGGTATTGAAGTGGACCCCTCTAAAGTCAGCGTAGCCTTTGTTCCGGCCGACGGCTCTCCCAAATTGGACCTTATGATCTCGGGAGAACCCGAAAATGTTAACGAGGAGCGCGCAGCGGAAATCTTGAAAATGGAAGATCTCAATATTGAAGTGGATCTGAGCCTTGGAAAAGAATCAGCAAAATTCTGGACATGCGATCTTAGTTACGAGTATGTTAGCATTAACGCCGATTACCGATCGTAAACCGTAGTTTTCGCTTATTGCAGCTAGATGCAATTGTTCATAAAATGAAAATAGATGTGGCATTGACTAAAAGGCACTCTGAACTAAAAATGCTAAGACTTAATTACGATTACATGGTATAATAGAGACAGGCCATGACTTTTATATAACAATTTTGGGTCTAATCGTCGTATTTTTGGCTTTCTTCCATTGCCAAAACGCCTTCTTTACCACCACCTCCATTGATACCGAACAACACTCTTACAACCCATATCGGGAATGCTAGAGCAACCACAGCTACCACGATTACATACTGGATATAACCATTTCCTGCACCAATAAATGGAGCGATGACCAAGAATGCAGCAACGACGACGAAGATTAAGAGTAGCGGTAGAGGTACTTTGATGGCACGTTTTTCCAATCGCTCGGAGTGGAAGATCCTCATATAACAAAGCCCGACGACGGCTGCGCAATAAAATATCCATTGGACCAGCGTCACCATTTTGCTCAAAAATGTGAAGTCTCCTGGGGCGGTCAAGGCACTTGTGATGACAGCTATGACGAAGAGGGCAACAATTGGAGTCTTTCGAGTAGGGTGGACGTAAGCGAGGAATTTCGGCAAAAGAATTCCGTTTTGAGCCGTAGCAAGCAGAACTCTTGATGCTGAGAACATGTTACCGTTAACAGTACCGAAGGTGGAGAACATGACAAAGATTGTCAAAATGTATGCTCCTGGAGGGCCCATAGTATTAACACCTACGTTCTATTTCATTGATGAGTACTATGATTGCGTGGGGTTTCATGTAAAATTACGGGTATGCAAATGCAACTTACTAGAGCGGTGACTGAGCTAGTCTTGATGATATCCAAGGGAAGAGTTGCGAAATATGCTACGTTCGTCAAAACATAAATGAATGTTACTGATAAGGTGGAGATGGCGACTGCAAGAGGGATATTGCGATTAGGATTTCGTAATTCACCAGTAGAATAAGTGGCGTTATTCCAGCCATTGTACTGTTGAAAACATAATGATTAATTCGAGTAGTGAGATTCCAATTGCCCACTGAGCATTTCATCTTACAGAAAATAACGCCAAGTATATGCCCGTTCCATATGGCCAAAAAGTGGTACTGGATCCTTCGAATGCGTTCTGAAAGTGAAAGAGGTAGGTACCCTTGGCCAGCCAAACGATCCCCACAATGCAAATGATAAACAATCCAATAAATTTTGCAACTGCCGTGACATTTTGTACATAGTTTCCACTACTACGAGACACCATGTTGAAGATGGCTACAGCCCATATGCATGCAACTGCAACAAGCTTTACGGCGTAGTTTGGCGGAGCAGGTATCTTGTCCGCGGCCATGCCAGGGTGATAGTAGGCAAGGTAAAGCAAGTACCTAAAAATCCAGCATAAATAAGTCATATCTTGTGAAATCAGGTAATGGCCCAATAGCACTTACTTTGCAAATACATTGGCGATACTTGCCATGGCTAAAGGAAAGGCAACAAACGATGCCGCCCATGCAAACACAAATGGAATGGGATTTTTTCGGAGTGGACCGAAAGCTTTACGAAGATAAATGTATTCACCTCCTGAAGCTGGAAATGCTGTTGCCAGTTCAGCATAGGCTAAGGCTAATGAAGCAATACAATATCAAACATTTAGTACTCGCATGAAGGAAAGAGATCATCTCGTCAGTATCTCTAGTTACCTCCAACTGCCGTAATCATTCCTGTAACCGTCCAAAGCACCAACGCCATGCCAACACTATTCACCTGGGCGAACAGAGGACCGGGGGATGCAAAAATTCCAGATCCAACCACACGGCCAACGATCAACATGACCGCGCCAAATAATCCTATGTGATGACCTATAGGATCATTGGTTGACGAAACGCCTTCGTAGTCGGTTATTGAGTTAGCAGCAAAGGACTCGACGTCAGACTGGTGATCGACCACTTTATGCTGTACGTCAGTCATGGAAAGAGGTAAAGAATAAGTCAAAGTGCTTATCTGAGGGACTTACCTTATATTTATGGTTTCGTCCGCTCATCTGGTGCCCATTATCTAACGCTAGTGCGACAATGGACTTCATTGGCCCCAAATTACGAATGGAGCAAAATTTCGTGAGACTTGATTCGCCAATTTGTATTGTGCCATTTTGCGAAAAAGTGTTGCAAACTTATTACATAGCGTAATGTTCGCGAACCGCCCAATTTCAAAAAATCGTCGATCGGTCAGAACATCCTAAACTTCCTTGCGACCAAGACGGAACATACGTATTTATATGTGCCTCTGTATATGTTTCAGTTGGTTGGATACTAGCAACAGCTCGATGCAGGGAAAATGTAACCAATTTCAGTAACCTCAAATGGGTGCATTAGGCAATTGACACCGTCAGTCGCCGAACTAATCGAATAATCTTTCTAGCTAGAGCAGTCGCAGTCCAGGTGGTGTTCTTAGATGAGCAACATGTTCTTATCGGAGAAGCACCTACACTTGTTGAAAATCCTAGCAGCACGGACATTTTTGCTTAAATTTTGTTGCGATAAACAATATCTCCTTGAATACGCCATCAAATCTACTTCTTGGTGGCCTCGATCATAATGCCTTATTAAGCAAATGCACGATATATGAACAAAATGTGAGGATTTGCTTGTGAGTCCTAAATGGGCAATGTGCCGAATGTGTATCTTCGATCAAATCAGGGACGTGATTTTCGCGTCACTGCATAATCAAACTCCCCATATTACTGTCACAATTCGCCTTTATTATATCTTATACAAACTCGTATATCAACTACAGTTATTAAATATGTTACATGTTGTGCTTTATGCGTCATTCTCAGAAGCAATGGGCGGCTTTTCATCAGAATGGGCTTGCTTGGAGTAGGTGACGGTAGGTACATATCCCTTTGACCTCCAGGCAACAGGAACATTGTCGTAAAGCTCGTCTACTTGTTCCAAAGTCATGTTCTTGGTTTCATAGATCATGAAGTAGGAGAAGGCGATGCAAACAAAGCAGGCAGATCCCCAGACGAAGAAGACCTTGACTCCAAGGTTAGCATTTCCTGGACCACTGTCAACCATATAAGGGGTAGCATAAGCAATAGCCCAGTTGAGCAACCAGTTGGAAGCGGTTGTAAGAGACAGACCCTTGGATCGCACCTTAAGTGGGAAAATTTCACCTGATAGAACAAACCGTCATTAGCAAAAAGGTTGACAAAAGATCTTCAGCATCGATCTCAAAATCAGTACTTACCAGTGACGACCCAAGCAATTGGACCCCAAGAACAAGCGAAGAAGAAGATGTAGAAGCATACAAAGGCAATCAAAGCTTGTGAAGCGGCAAGAGTGGTTGAAGCGACACCGACGGCAGCGATAATAAATTGGCAGACGCACATGCCGATAGCTCCGAAGAGCAAAAGTGGGCGACGACCCCATTTCTCAACAAGGTATAGACCAGGGAAGGTGGAAACAACATTCACAAGGTTGGTGATCAAACTAATGAGGAAAGGCTGAGAGAATCCAGACGACTTGAAGAAAGTGGTACCATAGTAGAAGATAAAGTTGATACCAGTAAGTTGTTGCAGCATCTGAAGGAGACATCCAGTAATGAGACGCTTTCTCAAATGGCCTTCATTAGAGAACAGATCCTTATAGGAGGATTCTCCAAGAGAAAGTTCATATTCGTGGTTGGCGCGAATTTCCTCCAATTCTTCAAGCAATTCTGGGTGATCGGTGGGCAAGCTTCGCAGGCGGCCTGTGCAGAACAATCAGGACAAAAAAATTATTAGAACAACTTATACTTTTGCATTTAAGATGACTGCATTGTTTGCACTTACTGAGGGATTTGGCGGCTCCTTCCATATTGCCCTTCTTGATAAGATATCGAGGTGTTTCAGGCAACAGCAACATACCAACGGTGATAATTAAGCCCCAGGCGAATTGGACGGCAATAGGTACTCGGTAGGCACCGCTATCAGGACGATCCTGAGTAGCGTTATCGACAATAGAAGCAATTAGAAGTCCAATGGTAATAGCAAGCTGGTAACAGGCAACGACGGCTCCACGGATCCATTTGGGAAGCGCCTCAGACTGACAAGGGGTAATTTGTATCAGTTAGGGTTCACATGGTGTATAGCGCAGCTCGCGCATAGGAATTAAAAAAGTAAATTTTATACGTTACCTGGTATAATGGTACAAGAGAACTCATGATACCTACACCAAGACCAGCAAAAAATCGACCAGCGACAAACAAGGGAATGCTGCTTGAAGCCATTTGAAGGATGATACCAAAGTTGAAGACAAGGAAAACGGCAAAGATCAAACCCCATCGACGACCAAGGATGTCACCAAGGGGACCGGCGGAAAGCGCACCAAAGAAAGTACCAGCTGACAATATGGAGACGACAAGTGACGATGTAGAAGAGGTGATAACTTTTTCACCCGTGGCTGCATCCATTGTACCAAAAGTATCGACAAATTCCTTCATGGCAAGGATACCAGAGATAGTTCCAGTATCGTAACCATACAGAACACCACCGAAGGCAACGAAAGCACTAAGAAGAGAAGATATGTTAATTTGCATTCCGGTCTATGTATAGGAAGCGGTTCCTGGCGCGTACCCCATGAGGATGGCAGGAAGAGCCGATCCAGCTACATTCTCTGGTTTATTCAATCCTAGCATGCTTGTTGGATGGAGATGAAGTGTTGTAATGAAGAAAAGAAGGATTCGATGAAACGCGGTATTTATATCTGAATTGAGCAGAGATCAATCTGATCCCACCCCTCTCTCCACTTTCTCCATGGAATCCACACTTGCCCCACCCCAGAACTCAACCATCCATGATGCTATCCAAATATGGACATTAGTTGTAGGGATGAAACTCAGACGAGCTGCCCCGTCTTTAACCAGCATTGCGGGGCAAAGATCTTTAAAGCCAATCTGAAAATCTCTGCAGTCATGCCGCGGAATTGTTTTATTCAGAGATTTCCCACCATTGCCCGAGTCAATGCTTCTACCGAACGCCACTCGTATCTCTCCCATCTTTTGTTATTATTACTGAATTGGTCATTGCTTTCCTGTAGATATTGAAGATAATGTCTTTCTTGCCCACAGAACGTTCCGTTCCTTAGTGTCCTCTTTCATTTGTTTGCCGAAAAAAATAAAGAACGACAGTCGCCTGTTCCAATTTGCGCCACTAACATGCTGCATTAAGCGGCAGAAAAACATGTCTACTTGACGAACCGCTAAATCGGAACCGTATGATTTTTCATAATCAGCCCGTACGATTTTGGTTTCTTCCGACTGTTTTCAGTTAGAACTCTCCTAGGTAATATAGAAAAGTACCCCGCAAGGACATAAGAGAGATAATCATCTCGTGAGTCGGTTTCTGTGCTCGCTCATCAATGTCATTGTGCATGATCTGCTTGATTGAGTTTCTAGTGGTGCTGTCCCCACCAATGTCTGTGCAAAGTTCCAAGAATGGCTTCACGGACTCCACATCTTTACTCTCGCCAAAACACCCCAATTCGGTCACGAAGATGGGATCTCTTCTTGTATGACTTCTTGAACAAAGGGCAGTCTCGTTACACCTACGATATATGGTATATACAATTCATTAATGTCCTTATAGGGACACTTGTGTAAGGTTGTCCTGTCACTGATACAAGACCATACCGTACCATCTTCTGTCATAGAATGCAGAGATTTCAGGGCAGCTAACGTTATGCACGTCAGCCAATCTTGTTATCTACGTGCAAGCATAAACTGGTTTAACTAATTCCGCCAGCTGGGAGTAAAAAAAACTCGGGATGTCTGCCTCTGATGTGAGCGATCGTAGACTGGGAATGAAAGGCATACATAACCTTAACAAACTAATGTCCAAATTAAGACGAGTTACATCCGAAAGATTCATTGATGCTGTCTTCAGTATGGGAACATTGTGATCCAAGATCCCATCGTACCCCACTGAAAACATCTAAACACCATATTTGAGCGTAGGAAATCTTTCGAATTGACTGTTCCAGCGCCATCATCATCTTATCTTGTGCAATAAAGAGATATTATCGATAGTGCTTGTCCTATATGTTAATAACTAAGTGTCAGGCTGAAGGTGGTGAGCATCTCTCATGATGCCAATGAAGTCATAATATACCAAATGGGCTACAGTTTACACAAGTGTATAAAATATATTACAGAGAACCAAATCAAAGGTTACAACTTAAAACTATGCTACGAGGAAAGCTAGCGTGTATAGGCGAGCGCAACAAAGAATTGTTTGCTCAAAGCATCATTCTGTTCAGTTTTTCTGTACACAAACCACAGTATTTGAACGACTTTTCTATGCCAGGCAGAGTCACATGATTGACACAAGCGTTACAAAATACCCCACCACATGTACGACAATGGACTCGACGTTCTAAAAGGAATGAGTGAGTGAGTGCTGATCATGATTCAGTCACGGAATTAAAAAAGCTAGCTTTACCTAGAACCGAAAATATCTTCGAACAATTGAAACATTCTTTCGCCTTGTCCTCGCGAACATAGTGGAAAGTGGTATCACAATCTGGGAGTGCGAAGGAATGAAGTTTACCAGAAGCGTCACCAGCCAAGAGCAGTCGTCTAATAAACGATGATTAGCTTCAAAACTCTTCACAGGAAATTGAGCAATCGATTGACTTACTTGGCGATATGAAGCGATGTAATATCGGTGTACGAATAGCACATGTTAGCTCGGTCTTCGAGCTGCAAAGTATGTACAGGGGTAAGAGTCCATTCATGCTGGGTCTTCTTATCGGCAGGAGCAAGTGTCTTGTGCCAAAATTGAATCTTTCCTTTGGAATGTCCAGTGACAATAAGATCCTTAGAGAACCAGTCATTGCTTCGTCCCTGAAATTGCATGTGTTACTTTCAAGGTAAACTTTCAAGTACAAACCATTCAAAAAGCTTACGAGATAAAATGTGGCAGTCAAAATCGGATCAGAGTGAATATTAAGCATCATCAATGGTTCGCCATTGACCGACCAGATTCTCAATGAAACTGAGCATATGCTGATGATTTCTCCCTAGGGTGGCATTTCCATTAGCATGAAGTTTCCTACATATCTCCACAAAAATATGAAAAATACTCACAGTTGTGTCGTTCACCGATATGTCGTTGATTGCACTTTCGTGTCCCGCTACAGTCCTAACGTACTGCATGCGGTTCAAGTCCCATAATATGATGGTTTGATCCTACAGCATACATGTCAGTATGTTTAAATGGAACGTGGCCGTTTCATATATCGTTAACTCACCAATGATCCGCTGAGAATCAAACTGAACGGTCGCGAGGCTGTGATGACTGTGATAGAGTCCGTATGGCCTCTCAAACACTCCCTAAGCACGAAGTCCGTAGTCTTGTCAAGCTTGATATTCCATACACAAATCATCTTCAGCAAAAAAGCCATTACATTAGTTTTGATATAACAAGCCAATATCCTCTTTTTTTTTAAAAAAAAAAAAAAAAACCTACATTGTCAGCTCCACCAGTGACGAGGGTTCGAGGGTCAGCAAACGTTGCTGCAGTTAGCTCATCCACTTGCATATTCTCAAAGATATTGACCAACTAAAAAATGGCAATATTGGTTAGCTCTACTCTGTTTGTCAAAGAATTTCAGCTTTGCATTACTTTACCTTTTTTCCTTCGCTTGAATGGAATCTCAACGATTTATCCGAAAATCCCCACTCGATGTATTTAGCACCATCGGGGAGCATGAAAGCTTGTTCCTTGGTTGCAGCAGTTACCTTTTCGCCGAACAAATGTAACTTTCGAATGCCTTCACCAACATCTAATGTACCATAAAGTAAGTATAAGGCAATGTTAACACATTAATTTGAGCGTAAATACTAACCTTGTAGAGGCATGGCAGATTGAATCAATTTATCGACATTGGAGTAGAATTGGTATCGTCCGCTTGATAGCGGATCAGCAGGAGCAGGCTGGCGACGTGGATGCGGTCGCTTAAACAGCTGTCGTGGCGTCTGGCCAAAGTTGTGAATAATGCCAATGGTTGCGGTTTTTTCTATGGTATCAGTTATGGCATCAAGATCAACAGCATTTTCATAAGACAAATGGTGGAAAACATTCATTGCTTTGACAGCAGTTGGGCCCTGTTGCTTGCATCCAAAGATCAAATCAATCCAATTGTGCAGGTTACTACTAACGTAATCACTTTCCAATGCCTCGCGATGCTTGTGAATAAACACCGCTGGATCCCCATGCGCCCAAGGAGGCAAAATGACTGAATCAATGGCCTCGCCTGTCCCTTGTTTTGTACCAAAGTTGAACTTGTTGACATTTTCCAAAAATTCAGGCAAGTAAAAGAACTCTGGAATAAGTTCACGAACATCGCTCATGTTCCTCATGGAAGCGGAATCCCAAGCCTTTCCAATGGAATCGAACAATCTGTCTGCATGATCGAATGTACCACCTTGTAGCTTGAGATAATGCTGAGTGAATGGTTCGAGACGAATCAAGAATGAACAGACAATCATGGCGGAGGAGTAATGTGTGCCATAGTGGAAAGCAGGTGCTGGGTCGTCGGTCTCTCCCCATTGTTTGTATCTGTCAGCGAACTCGGCTTCTCGCTCAGATGTTTGAGCACCCATTGGTTTGCTGAGATCTCTGAAAGTCGATGGATTCTCCAAATCTAGTTCTTCACTTTCATAATCCGCTAAAATCCAAGGAAATACAGGGTACTGAGTAAGATCGTTATAAGAGCGTCCAGCAATGGTGTTGAGATCCATTAAATATTGGAAATTGGTGATCTCTCTTCTCTCCCATCTTTGCGTCAACTCTGAGAAAGATGAAGATCCAAAAATGTTGGTAAGTCTGAAAGGATTCGTACTCTCAGATAGCTTTTCGAGGTCATTGCCACCAATCACATAATCCAGCGAGTTAGCGGACGGGTTTATTCTTGCCAGCAGCTTGCTATACAAGTTGTCCCTTTCCGAAGTATCCATGGCTGTGATCAAAGCATTTTGACCATCTGCGAAAAAGATTTCCAAAGCGACGTCTCTAAACAGGAATTTTCGCTTGAATAGTTCCTTCAAATCCTCAATTGGCCATTTGCGACAGAAATGAAGATCTCCAGATGTAGTAACATTAGGCGCAGTATCCATACCAGCATTTTGCGCGAGAAGGATGAGGTATTGATCTCGCTCTTCCTTTGGAGCATCCCAAATTTCGACTACTTCACCATCAGATCTCTGGAAAAAGTTATCGATCAAATAGAGATTGTTTTTGCAAAGCAGCAACAAGCCTTCGCAAGCATCAAGTCCTGATATCTGGCTGACATTGAGTACATCGAGGACCATATCTCGACCGTCGAGAAGACGTAAGACTTTGCGGTTTTTATCTTCTTCGTAGGAAACTTCATCCTCCTCTTCATCGATGGTTGGAGCATCTTGATGATCCTGCTGTTCAGCTGATTCGCCGTCTCCTTCATAAGCTTCCTCGCCGGTGGTAGCTTCTTCCACCGCATTCGTTTTCTCTGATACAGTATCTTGTGACATTTGTCGTTTCATCTGCAAATTATCTGCAGATATCATATACAGAAAAATTAGCACTTAAACAGGCATTGTATACAAAATCGATTAAAGCCATGACAAACCTGATAACTCCAGTAAATTCGTCTCCTATACATCCGCAAAATGTGAAATGGAAAACGTTAAAGCAGATATCATTTCTGTAATATGGAATTTTTTGACATACCTCTGTTGAATCCAGGATATCTGTTGCCGTTTGCTGCTTTGGCAAGTAGGGGTATACATGGAGATTTCGATTGGGTTGCATCTTCAACCGCATACGGCATCGACTTTCAGTCAGATCCAGTTGCCACTTGGTATGAGAATCGTTCTGATTTCTGCCCCAAATGGCACGTTCCTCAAACAAGTGTCCGGATATCTTGGCCCATTCACTACGGACAAAGTTCTCATGGCCGTCATTGTCTTGGAGAGCCTTTGTAAACTTGCTGAGTTCGACTTTCTATTAACATGAAAATCATCAGTCTCTTAGTTCATTCAAAGTCATATACTTGCACATCATCAATAGAACAAACCTTAATCCCGTACAGCCACGTAAACGTCTTACTGACATACTTGCTTAAACACTCTTGCTCAGCACCCAATCGCTTCTGGAGCTTCTTCAATCTGTTGATTCGTTGAACGCATATTGCCTTCAATGCGTCTCCACTGTTCTTATTTTCGATAGCCACAATGTCCTCCCAGACCCGGATAATATGATCTTGGAAGAACATGGTGAGCTCCCTCTTGCGCGAATCCATCCACAGTAAGAACGAATCGGTATCCTAATATAATATATAACCGTCAATTCGTTGCTTTGCTTTAAAATTAACAGACCTTTGTAAATGAATTTAACTTACCATTTCCAGTAAGCCATTGAAGCCATTGACGAGATCTTGAGATTCTGGCAGAAACAAGTGGTGGAAGTAGTTTATGAGTTAGTATAACATACAAACAGATCATCAACCTGGTATAAAAGGCTGTAAAACTATGCTTACCAACTCCTTGAACTGAAGTACGCAGCATTTTGGTCACTTCGTCAGATTTTTGTAACATCAAAAGCTTCCATAACTAAATATCATAAGGAGCGAAAGTTGCGTTAATAAATAGTTGTATGTCTTACTGTAATAACACGCAAATATATACGTACGTTCATAGTAGTGGCTTGGACTGTAGGATCACGAATTCGCATAAAGGTATACAAATGGTAGCAAAAGCATCGTAAAAAGTCCATATCAGTGTTGGCGGAGCTAAGTAGCAACTTTTGGTAGTGAACGCAGTAATTCAAGAAGTCGACAATTTGATTAGCAGAAGCCGTGGTGGCGTCAAGGTCTGATATTCGTAAAAGAACCATGCGATTGAATGCCTTGAATAGAACATTGATAGCCTGCTGGGAGGAGCTGCTGTATTTGTCGTTTGCAGTTGTTTGCCAAGTCTCAAGAATAGTTGCCAAAAGATCATAGGTTTGCTCCATACCATTCGTAAATAAGCCTAATAAGTTGATTAGAAAACGTAAATGGGTGAGGGAAACACAGACATTTTACTATACCTTGAACGACTGTATCAACAAGGTACTGTGCATACTTTGCAATGTTCATCAGCATAGCTGGACGCTGCAAGACACTTGTGTCAAGTTGAATCGAAGTTTTTAGCGTCAAATTAATATGCGTGAGCATCAAGGTGTTGAACTGAATTTGACCAGCTTCGGTGCTTGGAGGAGCATACTAAAAGAAATTCAAATGTCAAAGCCAAGGTCATTTTACTCAAGTCACATCAATGACCCCCACTTACTCTTGAATATAGTATAAAAACAGCCTCAGCTCGAGAGTTATCAGAAATGATAGCGGCTACGATGATTTTTGTCAATAGCTCGACCAGTCGATCGGATGCCGTGTTATCAGCAATGTAATTAGACCGTCTTGCACCCGAAGCAGTGCGGGTAAGTCGCACAGAAGTGCTTCTACAATGGAATGTCAGTTTTACATACAGTCAAAGGCGGTACAGCAAACCAAGTCATTACCTGGCTCTTGTCAACATGGATTTAGATCGCTTGACAGCGTGAGGGGAGGTTTTTGTAACAAGGGTGGATAGACCGCCGCGTTTTAGAATGCTGCTTTTGGACGGTCTTTCTGGCATTGGACCGTTATCCTCTTCATGGCTTGCATTCACTTCGGTATTAGACTCTGCTACATCCTGATCAAACATGCTTTCTTGATCTTCCAAGCGCACAAGCTCCATTTCGGCCGTAGTGCATTCGTTTTGACAAGCTACCCAAAACTCTGTTGTTACCAAGGTCTCGATAATATCTAGCCGACAGCATATATTTTGCATAACGTTGCTCATATCATGTAGGTCGTTCAGGAGGCGGAGAACACGAGTCAAAAGCTGTATGGATGGAGAATTGTCCGCGTCTGTATCGCCTTCGTTAGCAGCAAGAAAACGCATCTAAATGGTCATTATCATTGATATGTAACTCACCAGATTTCGTGAGGCCGTTTTGTTCTTTAAGGCCATGATCAATTAGGGCTAGTTCTACTCGCATCAATTCGGGAATAGGGATTTGCCTATGGGCATTTTGACTGTGCAAGGTAATGATTCTGGAAAAATCGACTGAACTTTGAAGTGGTACATCTGAGATGTCCATTCCGAGAAGTGTTGTAACGAGCGCCTCATGCACTTGAAGAACGTTCCAATGATTTTTTAGCAAGCTCTGCATGATGTACATACCATCAGTCCCGCTACGAAACTTCATCATATAAGCTGGGCCCTGAAGTATCAATAACCGGCACAGGATCCTCAATGCCAGTACAACGACATAAGGGTGGACGTCTTTTTCAAAAAACAATAGAGCCCATTTGTTGGTGATGGTGTTTGAGTACTTTGCAACGAGATCTTGGTTCTGAGGCTCACAAAGGATGCCATGAAGCATTTCCATGACAATAATGCACATCTGAGTCTTTTTGTCGGTGCTAGGAAATCCTTTTGCATCGAGAATAACTTCTTTTCTTGCTGCTGAACTTTGTGGGTTTCCGAAATCCTGGTTCTCCGATCTCAACTCTCTGGTCCTGGGTGAAGAGGCGGATGAAGGAGTAGGTGAGGGTAAGTTGCTGTTTTTATCTACGCAATTTCGAGATCTAAGGTGAGTACATGATGATATGAAAATTTTTAGCTGGAAAGACGTGGGTGACTTACAATCTGGTAGACATGATGCTAAGAAAGTGGCAACAGCACGTATGCTGTCTGTTGTCCAGTTGTTCATCATAGCTACCCGTAGGGCAGCAACAGCCGACGGCACCAATTCCTTAGAGTAAACGCTTAATCGAAAAGCTAAAAGCATTTTCTTGACCAAATCTAGAACGCCATCGCCGGTTAGTTCCCATCTTACACGATGCTAAGAATCACCGGGTTGCTATGAAACTTACGAATGTTTTGTAGCCGTTTAATATTGAAATTCCTGAACTTGCTCTGTTGTATGAACAAGAAGAATTGGTCAAGATGAGCCTTCTGTACAGCAATCGATGTACGTTTCCAGATCTCAAAGTTCAACACAATATATCGATAAGCGTATGGATTGTTGATCACAGATTCGCTAATACAGTGCAATTAGTATGCGATAATAACAAAAGGCATGCATTTCAGGTAACTTACTTTAAGTAGGCACCATCTTTTCCAATAAAACTTAACAGTCTCTCCAAGTGGTCAATTTCAATGATGTCCCGCTTCTGTTTCAGCAAATATGCCAAAATTTCGTATCCATGTAATCTTTCCATATCTTCTGAATTTCTCCAAGAGCATCGCACAGCCTCAAAGAGAATACCCAATGTTTTGTAAAGTGTACTTGGGGTCTATTGTGGAAAGGTCAGCATTACCTACAAAGCATGAAATTATGCTTTAAACGACATACCTCCGCCACTTCAACAAGTTTTAGAACCGCTGAAAATCCACCAACTTTCCACAAGACATCATCCACTGATGCTGGTCGAACAACAAGGGGCGATCCAAGCAGATAAGCTAATCCGTTCGGCTGCCAGAGTGCCTTGTTGATCTTTGGAACCGCAGAGTTGAGAGTGACATCGCCCAGATTAGTTTTGGATGCAAGGAAACGTTTTATGCCTTCATTACAGGGGTATATCATTCTTTCTGCATCTTCAGATATCGTATTTCCAGCGAACAGTGCTACCACAATTTTCTGCTCAGGAATGACTGTGCTTCCAATCCCGCGCATGGCCTCTACAAAGGCGCTGTGACTAGAATCGCCTTTGCTTGAAGCTTTGGACAAGGACCTGAGCTTGAGGAACAGGGTAGTGGATGTTTCATAACTTTGAAATTGTTTTAGCGAATCTTGAAATAATGCGGTATATCTTGCTCCCACGTTGAATAGTAGGTTAACAATATCACTATCCAAGGTATCTTCAATGATGTAGGAAGGTCCAAGGTCCCATACTACTTGTCTGTTTTCTACAGGAAGTGTTTCTGAAGCTAATCCACCGAAGACCAGTTTTGATTGAGGTGACCCACTAGACAAGTTATACGGACAGCGTATCTGTTCGAGGAATGATCCATTGACGTACAAAGCCATGATGCTGGAAGTCAGTCCAAGGCGTGATCTATTGTGAACAAGGGCAATGTGATACCAGTAGTTCGGTTGAAACTGGAAGGCATTAAACGACATGATTTGTTTTCGACCTTGGATCTCGATATGAAGGTGTCGGTTCTGACCATCAACAGTTACGCTAAGCTTTGTCTCGCCGTTTTGTATGACATCAAGAATGGTCAACCTTGATGATTCTGACTGCTTTTCAATGTGTATCCAGAACAATAAAGTGTATCCACTGTTTGGCGGAAAGGGTAACACATGATCCAAAGCAATAGCAGAGGTTTCTTTCGCACTCAAATCGAGGTGAATGAAGTTTGGCCAGCGACTACTTTCGACGCTATATCGTAGGGTGTCCAGAAAGATAGCACTGCTCCTTTTGGTAAGGCTAACTGTCTTGGATTGTTGATCCTCGAACGCCTCGAACAGATATCGAAGCTCCGCATATGACAAGCCAAGGGCGGTCAGTCTTTGGAGCAAGCTGGTCAATATCTGTCGCTCAGCATCAGTAAGAGCATGTTCTTCAAACACATCCGAGAGCTCGAACACAGTGGGTTTCGGATAAAGCCTCTCAAGAAGATGTAGTATCATCCCATTTCGATTCAGTAAAATTTGGTTGTGTCTGTTGCCATATGCAAGAGTAAGCACGGATGTGAATATTTGCATCGACAATTCGTGATTTGCTCCAATTTCTTTTTGCAAATTCATGATGCTTATCATAACATCTGCATTCACCAATCGCACCGAAGATAAATTGAGCCTTTTCTCTATGGATACAGTTATTGCATCATTGGTAACTGAAGGTTGGTTCTCAGCCAAATGATCGTTCGACACAAAGATGTTCTTGAATTCATCCCTATCAGTTGCAAAAGCAAGCAAGGTGCCGAAGAGCTTGGAAGTTGATGATAAATTTTGCAACACACCCGTCATTTTGATGGCATTCTCCAGGGATCCATAGGTCACATTTTTAGTAAAGTGTCGGCAGTTGATGGGTGAGCCTGTCATTGACTTTCGTAGTAAATCTAGCACTGCCTCTACTAGATCATCTACTTCCTTCTCTTGTATCGCAACGCCTTCACTTGTGGTGATACCGTCGGCAGAACTTAATTCAGTGTAAATGTCCTCCAAGCTGACCAATACAGAAATGAGCGTTACATAGCCACCAAAGGAACGGAAAGAGTTGCGCATGCTTGGAGTGGTTTTGAACGCATGTGAAATGATGTTAAGTATCTGTGTTTTGAGCAAGATCTCTCGCTTATCCAACGTTTGGGCCATTTCCATCAATTGAATAACCTGATCTTGAGCTCCAGATAAATCGGAAGGTGAGGTAGGTGATGTGTCTCCTCCGGATGTTTGCAAGGGAGCTGCCCGAAGGAGCAACTCAACGAGCGACATGGCACTTTTTCGAGTCTTATCATTCGCAATCAAATCTGTGATATTCCCTTTCAAACTGCAAATGTATAATAGTGAGTGAATGATGTTAAAATATTGTTATGTATACGGTCGTGCATACCTTCTCAAGAAGAGCTTGGCATTTTCACCATCGCGAAGCATGTGCACTAATGTATCTGAGATGGCATCGAAGCTGGCAATCGCATTATCAATGAAGCCATCACCTTTGCCCTCGCTAATAACGATCTCCCCACTACTCAGGCGTCTTTGGTGCAGGACTGTGATAATTTCAGAGAGGGTAGCGGCAAAAACATTCACTAAGCCAACTTCCCTGAAAACGCTCTGAAATTTGTCCGATTTGGCTAACAACTTCTTGAAAACTCCACATATGAGTGGAATTGCGCGGCCCGATGATGAGTTGCCTAACGTTATACATTTTTGGTTAGTGGATCCTCAAACCGTCCAGAGCTCGATAACGTTGATACCTACTTTGTAAGTGTAGCGAGATGACTGCCAGCTCTTTAAACGGGACATAGTTAAGATCCCACATAACATAACTGAGAAGATTCAAAATGACCGTCTAAAAGAAATAAACGATGCATCAGTTATAAACTGTACTTAGGAAGGAGTACATGTTGCTAATCCAATCACGTCCAAACTCACTTGTGACTTCTCATCAAAACCATAAAGCTTCTCCAAGAGCAATGGCAGAGCGTTGACTGGAACGGTAATGAAATAATTTACAGGATTCGCTCGGATACAGTGATCCAACGATTGCAACATAATCAGCCGTATCGAGCTTTTCTGGTTTTGCTTTGTGTCATCTGTCGTTTCACTGTTTGTGGACACCATGGATAGGATGGAATCAAGCAGAATCTGAAAAGCATCAACATTCCGTATTCTTGATTCTAAAATGACAAGTCAGACGTGAAGAGCTGTAAATGTAACTGCATCAAATGTTACTGACCTTCAGGATATTGCGGTATGACAAAATCTATATTGATGTACATGTCAATCAGCTGGAGGCAAATTTGTAAACTAGCTACTCGTTTATACAAGAGCATTCATACCTTCGTGCTGATATGGACTTCCATCTATGTATGAAAAATCAACTTTGTCTGGGCCGACGTATATCAGATTTTCCATAATGTTGTAGATCTGGGTCTGATCATTAAATTAGTAAAAACCGTCAGCAATCTAAAAACAACCACCCTTAGACTCTAACCTGTTTGTCAGAAGATGACTTCCCCGTTGAAGTTTCTATGACCATATTAACCAAATAACCATATCCTCCAGACTCACTAAAGTCCTTGAACAGCGTATCACTGGACGCTTTAAACGACATCTGCAGAGGCGTCAGTTGATACATCCGGCCATTGAGTACGCTTCGACCCACTATGATATGTACATACCTGCAGATAGTGTGCAACAAGCTCTACTTCCATCTCAATATGCTCCCAAGGTGTTTGCTGAGAAGCATCCTTTCCAGAATATACCTTCCAGCTTTGAGTAACCATTTGCATCAGCTGTTTCCCGTGCAAATATCGTACCACCTCCCAATCCCCATCGGTAGAGATTAAAACAGAGAATATACTACAAGCGCAACATAATGAGACTGAGATCACCTCCTAACTTCACATTGTTCAATGTACATACCACTTTTTCCACATGAGGTCATACTTTGTTTGTTCTCCATCTGCGGAAGTTTCCAAAATTGCTTCATTGGGTACATTAGGCTTAGTGAGAAACGTTCGGAGCAAAACGAAGAGGTTGTCTTCGACCACAAATCTTCTTAGTGCTTGAGGCTTCCGGACTAAGTTTCGCAGTATATCCGCCAAAATATCAGCTGTCTCCGAGACCGAAGCGACTGTGTCTGATTCCTTATCAACCTCACTCTCCATATCCTTAAGCTCGTTGTTTGGTATGTCAATAAACGATCTAATAAGTTTGATCATCACTGAAGGTATTTTTTGATGATAGAGTAAAGCAATAACAGAATCTCTCTGGATGGGAAGGGGAGCTACATCAACACTCAATCCTGGTTGACAAATATCGCATTGAAGACCATTTACCATTTCTTTTGTCAGAATTTTAAGCACGACAATGTGATAATAGAGATTATCTTTGGACTGCAGCTGATTCAACAGATTAAAGCTTGTCCTTAGCTTGCCGAGTGCCTCAGGCACCTTTCGAATTCCGGTTATAAATGATTTCGTGATCAACGCCGCAAGATTTCTGCTGTCACCAACGCTATTCTCGATATCATCAATGTATGTTTCATGCAATTTCACAAATTGCGGAAGTATCTGGGTTCCTAGCATGTCTGCTATGTCCTAGTGATGTATCGAGTTTTGTCAGGTTTGGATGAAGGTAACGACCACCTTGAAACGAAGTTATGAAGAGGACGACACTTACATTTTCAGTTAAGCCTTCAGACCTTTCATAAGCCTTATTACAAAGTAAACGAAGGGCTTCTTGTTCTGTTTGTCGTCTGACAGGGAATGGAACGTTAGGGCCATGTACAGAATGTCCGGGCGATCAGTGCAAAGGTCACCAAAACTTACTGCTGCAAATCCGATGGACTCAAGTGTTTTTCAGCATCGTATAAGTGCCTTTCTGTCTCCTCGGCGTCTGTAGTCGCTGTGTTGAGGCGATCTACCCAAGACCTCCACATGATGAGAGGAACAGGCAGGAATAGATGACTGCTCTTTCTGGGCGGACGATTCCCCAAATACAGCCAACGTGCACAGCCCTTCGGATATCCCCAACCTCGGCCAGGTTTCATAAACACCAAAGCAATCTCTTCAATTTATTGTTCTATTAAACAGTTGGTTTTAACTATAGATTATATAACATTTACATTCGTCGTCTTAAAGGCACTACACATAATTTACTGTCCGCCAAGACGCGCAACAATCCAATCTAAGCCCTCAAATAGCCTATTATGCCAAGGATTAGTTGATTGCCTGCATCAATACTTGTTCCAGAGAGAAACTCAAATAACCTACCCATCTCCTGTCAGAGCCGAACATGCCTATCGAATGCCGATTTGTCAAGGGGCTTGTCAATGAAAGACGGTATGGATTCACAACTTCAACTTTCAACATACCTGAATGTGCCACTGTCGATCCTTCAAAGTCACCAACCCCAACGCATCGGAGACCTTCGCTGAGTTCAATGCTCCTTTAACGTCCTGCTTATTAGCGAATATTAAGATTGCTGCGTCCGCGAGTGACTATGTTGGAGATGCCGTCAGTAAAATATTATCAAGATTGAACCCCACACACAAGGTATTAATTATCTTTTTACCTCGCTTTCAACCATTTGATGCAACTCCCGCTTGGCAATATGTAATCGATCGGTGTCATTACTATCTACGACCATGATGACCGCCTAAAATGTGATGGTATGACGATAAGCTTCGTTGTCTTATAGTACACAATCTTTCCTGATGATCTTCCACTGACCTTTGTATTGGTATAGTATGTTTTCCAAGACGTTCGTAAGGACTCTTGGCCTCCAATATCCTGATATGAGATACAGTCTGTTAGGCGTACAGATGTAGACTGCTTAGCAAAAGAACTAAAGATACTTACCCACATCAAGAACTTTATGTTCTTGTAAGTTATTTCCTCTACGTTGCTACCGATGGTCGGAGTGGTCGTCACCACTTCGTTCAGAAGGCTAAGATTCCAAATTTGTTGGTCAGGCTTTGTGACTGATCAAGGATTATGCGGAGCTATGGCACTTACAGTTTGTATAAAATGGTGGTTTTTCCGGCATTGTCAAGACCAACTATGATGATCTTCACTTCTGCTTTAGAAAACAGTTTAGACCAGAGACTACTGAATAAAATGCCCATCTGGGATGATCAAAGGATGGCCAAGCAGTGAAGGGAAATTGAATTTTAACTCTGTGAAAGTTAAGCGCTGACCGCAAAATTGGGAATGCGGACAAAGTCCGACATTATGCTAAAGCTTCTGGGAGGACATTTTCCAGAAAGCACCGTTCAGAAGATCGACACTTTACTTGCGTAATATACTACTGAAGTGGAGACAGGTCAACACTCACTCACCTAAAATCTATTTTCTTTGACAGCGTATGGAATCGCAGATATTCAAAGATTTATCATTACCTATCGATGGAGTTGCTCACTGTGTCAAAAAGTTGAATTTTCGATATAGTTAGCACCCTATGATTTCTTCCTTCGCAAGCCTATAGGTGAAGTCATGACAGGCTGATATTCATTGGTGTTCGTTGGAAAGACGAATAATAACTTGTATTGAACCGTAGATTAGATGTGGTGCTCGACATCATAACAAGCGGAAGCTTTTCTAGAATTTCGTATCCCTGGCTCTCCCGTGGAACTAGGGGTTTGAAAACCTGACAAGCCAGAGCTTCTGTCATACTAATGGAGGCAACCATCAGCTGATCATAGACAGTTCAGTTGACCTGAAAGTGTCAACTTTATAACCAGCACATGTACTGTACAAGCTCTTTCTATTCTAAAATCGTTCGTGAAACACACTCTCGGCGTTGCCTCCCGGAAAGCCAACGAGGCAAGAACCGAAACACTTTTCATGCCTGTAAAGGGCATTTCGACATCTTTGTATAACAGAAACATTGCTAAACGCAAATTTAGAAAAGGAAAATCGCTCTTAATCATTTATTGTAAAGCTAAGCGAAGTGTCATGGCAACGAGCATGCGAACCCAATATTGCCTGTGACCTTCTGAAACGCCGAATCTATGGCAATTTAACCTCAGTTCAGCCATACACGCGAATAGTATTATTATTCTGTACGATCGCCTTCAATTTGGAGTCTCACGGAAGGGTTGATGTTTGGTGATTTTGCAAGCAATACCGCTCACGTGCACAAATCAGTCAGCTTGCCGTCAGCAATTATGTCAGCCAACGTGTATCCAGAACGACTATAAAAGCAGATCAGGGAACACACTCTTTTCTCTTCGTTACCCATCTCATTTTAATATTATGGCTCCCAAGGTAACTCTACTTTCAAAATAATAAATAATTGATTACCAATATATGAAACTCACATTGACATATATCCTTTAGATCGCAATCGTTTACTACTCCCTGTACGGACATATCGGCTCTTTGGCCAAATCTGTTGCCAAGGGTGTTACTGCCGCTGGCGGTGCTGCAGACTTGTTCCAAATTCCTGAAACTCTCTCAGGTAAGCAAAAGCAAAACACATAGAGTAACATGTATGTGACAAAGTATACTAATACGAGACCCCGCCGCGTAGCTGATGTGCTTCAAAAAATGCATGCTCCCCCAAGGTTTGTGGCGTGATTTTCGTGATCGATACCTCACTTCTTCGATTGACCTTCTGTTTTCCCACCGATAGGGATACCACCATTCCTGATATCACTCCCGAAAAGCTTGCAGAATACGATGGCTTTTTGCTCGGTATCCCGACCCGTTACGGCAACAACGTTGCTCAGTGGAGACAATTCTGGGATCAAACCGGAGGTTTGTGGGCTAAGGGTGCACTTCATGGAAAGTTTGCTGGTATCTTTGTTTCCACCGGAACCATGGGTGGAGGTAAGTGTGCTTAGTAGTGAGTGATGGTTAGGAACAGATTAATGACTAAGAATAAATTGACACTTTTTGCTCAGGTCAAGAAGTGACCGCTCTCAGCACTATTTCTACCCTTGCTCACCACGGAATCGTCTATGTTCCTCTTGGCTACAAGAACACCTTCCCTCAGTTTGCTGATGTCAACGTTGTTCGCGGAGGCTCAGCATGGGGTGCTGGTACCTTCGCTGCTGCCGATGGCAGCCGTCAAGTGTCGGACGTTGAACATACTGTAGCTGAGATTCAAGGCAAAACCTTTTACGAAACTCTTGCCAAGCACCAATTTTAAGCGATTGATTGAAGCAGATTGAACGCAGGGGTAAAATTTTAAACCAGAATAGCTCTATTTACACGCTTTTGGATAACACCTTTTCACGAATAAACTGAAAATATTATGTAAGAGGAGATATATGTCATGGGTATAACGGTAGGGAGATAAGTGATGAAAAAATAGCATATAATACAGTGTATGGAGGTGATATGTCAAATGTACATAGTTGGGTGGTACAATGAAGGAAGAGATTAAAAATCAGGATTCAAGTATGGCATACAATCCAGCTGTTGAGCAAAACATGCCAGTCGCATTATGGTTCATGCGAGGGACGATTTCTATATCTTGGTTAAAATTAGAAAGCGGTAGGATAGAAGTAATGTAACTCCAGTATGCAAGGCCCCGGTCTATGTGAGATACACCTTGCGCTTCAGCCTCGCATCCAGTATCCAGCGCGTTGCCCGAAGTGAAGTTATCGTATTGACCATTCATATAAACAATATCGCGTGCTGCGAATGTCTCCAAGGCACTTCCTAAATCCGTTAACCCCTTGACTCTTTGGGATTCTAGGACATATCTAGGAGGCTTAACGATCCCGTACTTCCAAGTATTCCAGTCAGGGCAGCGGATAGGATCGACGTTGCGTGGTCGGTACTCATTGAAGTATACAAATGAGCTTGGATTGGCAATTACATATCGGAGATTGATTCCATCCGTGCTATCGTTTCCAACTAGTGAATAGCGTTGTACTAGTTGCGCTCCACCGCTATGGCCAGTAATAACCACAGAGTCGAGATTTGGGAAGCGATTTTTATCAGAAAAATGGGAGACAAGATAATCGAGGACTGAAAAACTGCTGATGGTGTAATTAATTGCATCTCCACCGTCCATCCAAGAGTTATCTGTACAGGTTTCAGTGTGTCAGTTATTTCAAAGTTACAAAACAAAACGTATCGGTTTACCGAACTAGAAAAAACTTGATGACCAACCTTTCCAAATTAAAGACGTCGGTTTGGCTAAATCCAAGTCCCAAGTACTCAAAAATAAGGGAGCGATAATGAAAATATTGGATGCGTTGACAGCCGATACTTTGACTGCGCTCTGGACAGCTCTGTAGTAATTCCAGGCATCTCGATGTTTACCATGGACAACAATGACAGCTCTCGTTATATCTTGACGGCTTGCATTAGCTGTGTGATAATTGGCAATATAGCGATGATCAGCAATATACATAGAGCCAACTTCGGCACCTGTGACAATTGGATATGTTTTTTTGCTGCCGATATTGAGCTTGATCATTTCAGCAGGCATAAGCATACATGCCAACCACGTAATGACCAAGACCGCCAGCTTCATGGAGGAGTCGATTAAAGAGAGGCAAACAAAAACTAAAAGAAGAACAGAAGAAGTAAAAGAAATAAAAGTCGAAATATATATAAAATATAGGAACTCCCATTATAGATCATTTTTATAAACTTGATAAGGAGCAATTTTGCCCAGCCCGCAGCCTACAAGATCACCTTTTTTAGACCACATTGAATTGAACCAATCTGACCTTCTTTTGAAGATTCCAGCTTGTACTAGCATCCCTCCTTGATGTCAGATAACGTGATAAACTGTAGGCAACTCAATTCATCTCCAGAAGACTTTTTTTGCGTTTTTTAATGAATATAAAAGTTTGCAATGCATTATCAGGTAGCTGTAGACTTGGCAAGGGGGGCGCCGACTCTACAACAGTGTATGTAATGCAGCTGCACGTTGCGGGGGGGGCATTTGCCTCGACAGCGTAGTGACCCTACGACTGAGATTTAAAAGCTACTTTATTGCGTACGCGGGTCCAAGTCAAATTTGGAACGAATGAAATACTTGCTTCAAATTGGATTGCGGAAACATTACAAACCTGTATAAAAAAACAAAATATGCTTTTCTTTAATTGCTCATTCATACTATTCTTTGATCGACAGTTCCTGATACTTTCATTACATCCTGTCAATATTTTAGCTGTTTCAGCTGGCAGGGGGGCGGTGCGTCTTGGCACGATGGTTCGGCTGACCTGTCAGGCCAGCATACGGTCAAAAGGTTGAGCAAAACAACCCTCGTTTATATGATATGCAACGTTTGGAATGCATCAGCTTTGCAAATAAAAATCCATCTAAATGAGCACTATTTTTTTTTTCTGTACCTGCTAGAATTTCTGACAAGCTCGCGATCGCGAAAGGAAATTGTCTGTCGTCAGTGACACGGCCTGAGAATGAACTTTTGTTTCGCTTCAGCGGTACCCAATTCGCCGCGCGCAAATCTCGTAATATGTGAGCATGTGGCAAAAATTTTCCATACTTTGCAAATCTCACTTTCACTGGCAATTCTTTTCTTTTCTTCCGTCATGAAACGGATGAAAAAGGAATTGCTCATCAGACAAGCACATAATATCGGTTCATTGTAAACTGCCAGCAACAAAAATGTGGCTCAAAATAGATGTCGGATGTGAGCAATATTCGTACGTCATGACGTTATAATCGACCCTTGGATGGCTCTGCCCAATCGACAGCGGGAGTGACTGCTTACAATGTGAACATGGCCAATGAAACGCTGGCCCATCGACAATTTTCCAATTCTGGGCTCATCTAATCAACTCCGGTGCCAACCGTATAACTAAGACGTCTTTTGGTGTTTAACTATCTTCCTTTCGTAATCCTATCTCGTTTCACACGATGGCTCAACCACCACAAGATCAGGAGAGAAAATACAGTGCTGCTTCCAGGGAGGAAGTTTTTGATGAAATCGACAAAGAAGAGAAGCCTCCTTCACTTGTCAAAGGCTCCGCTGTATTGTCACGCACCAACTCCATAGTCAGTACCATCAGCAATGAAAGCGGTAGGGACATCAAGCTACGAACCATGAGCTGGAAAAAGACAGCTGCCGTGCTGTTCGGAGAGTACGTGTGCCTTGCCATTATGTCGTTCCCAGCCTCTTTCATGGCACTGGGTATGGTGGGAGGAATTATAGCAACCCTAGGAATTGGTGTGATTACGCTTTACACATCCATGACCCTCTGGAAGTTCCAAATGAAGCATCCTGAATGCCGTGACATCTGTGACATAGGATACAAGTTATTTGGCAACAGTCGTATCGCATACGAACTGACTACGTTTGGTCTTTTGGCCAACAATCTCATGATTTTGGGTCTACATACATCCACTGGAGCCAAGGTTTTCAGCACCTTGACCGATTCACAGCAATGTAACATCATATGGGCTGTGGTAACCATGGTCATTTGCATTCTTCTTTCACTTCCAAGAACCCTGACGCAAGTCTCCTTCCAGAGTGTCATCTCAGCCAGTAAGTCTCCTCGGCTAATCACTTTTGGATCAGCAGCCTACTAACAAATTCTCCTTTCAGTATTGATGTTTACATCCGTTATGCTTTGTATGGTGTTTGCCGGTATCGAAGACGAGCCTGCTGGTTACGTGGAGGGCACTGTCGTTAAAGCTTCAGCATTGGCTCCTCCCGGAACGACCTTCGTAGCAGGGTTTAACGCTATCCTGAATATCAGTGAGTGTTTCACCTGACGAAGTACGGTTTAGGAAATCTAGCCCCGAACCTGACTAACCTTATTCTACTCTACTTTTCAGCCTATACCTTCATCGGCCAGATCTGCTACCCTTCGTTTATTGCAGAAATGGAGAATCCAGCAGACTTGTAAGTGGGGATGAAAAATTTCAATGATGGTCACAAATAGCCACTAACATGAATGTTCAGTCCTAAGGCCTTGTACGCATGTACTGTAGCTGAATTTATTCTTTTCACAGTACCTGGCATTGTCATGTAAGCACAGGGAAAAATCGTATGTTTGGAGGCTGGCGGTAAATGATCAAAACTTTAATGAGTGTTGTTTGTGTCGCAGATATTACTATATGGGTCAGTATACCGTTGCACCAGCATTTGCTGGATTACAACCACTCTACAAGAAAATTGCTTTCACTATGGCACTTCCAACCATCATCGGTAACTATCAAAAATATCTTGCTATTGTGTTTGAGACGCTTGTATCTGATCATTTTGCGCTGTCTTAGTTATCGGAGTAATTTATGCCAACATCACCGCAAAATACTTGTTCAATCGCATATATAGAAACTCACATCATCGATACAGGTAAGAAAAAAAATTTCAAGTCGTCTGTATCACTTAAGACAAAATGTCTTACCTGTTTTTCTAGCAACACTTGGCAAGGATGGTCTATGTGGGTAGCACTGATTGTTATCATATGGATTCTTGGCTTCATCATTGGTGAAGCTGTACCGTTCTTCGGCGACCTGTTGTCTTTGATTTCTTCTTTGTTCGACAGTTTCTTTGGTCTCATCTTTTGTAAGTGTCTCATCTATTCTTTAGATCGCCCATGTACAATCGTTTACTAACCCGCCTTCGATTCACCCAGGGGGCTACGCTTACTTGGTTCTGAATAAGGGTAACTGGTTTACCACCAAAAAGCAAACATTTTGGACAATTCTCAACAGTAAGTGGCTTTACTCATACGGGATGATGTTTGTTGCACACCAATACTGATTCGGGTCGATTTTATTTAGTCCTCATTATCATTATCGGTATCATTGTGTTTGGTGTTGGTACTTACACCTCTATCCAGTCTATTCTCAATGACTACGCTGTTGGAGCTGTTCGTAAGTGGAAGCAAAAACTTTATATCTGTTTAAGCTATAATTGAGATTTGGTTTTCTTAACCTGTGATTTCTTTCCATTAGGTTACCCATTCACCTGTGCTAGCAGTGCTATCTAAACACCCATTTCCTCTCAACATCGAATTTTTTTCTCTTCGTCTGTACTTTTTTGTCTAATCTGTAATTTCCACTGTCATCTACTTGATCATTTTCTTTTTGTACCAACTGCTCTTTATATATATCCATCATTCTTTGATCAACGCCAATAATAGAAGCACGAGGAAGGAGAAATGGCAATTGCTCGCGCCTGAAACTTCTAAAGGTGAATTCGAGCAGCCAAGTACATCAATCCCAATCATCTAGATATGGCATCTTCAAATCAAACGTTTCTTCTGGATGACCTTAAACCTTGGCAGAAGGAGTTTTTTTTCTTTTTTTTTTCAATGGTACATCCCTAAAGTTCAGCTGGTTAGGGATGGTGCTAGTACTTTTTCAGCAAAATTATCATTCTCATCATTGAGTAGTTGGTACCTCCTTGTCTTGTCGGGAATGCTCTAGGAGATACTGATGTTGCTTTTATCTTTACATGTCTGAACCTTGCCCTGATGTTCAATGACATCTCTCATTACCCAACCTTTGGCCTTGCCTCCTTTAATTTAGGAGCTAACAGGAGATTTTTCCATCAAAACGAACCCAACAGTGGGTAAACTTACATCCTTTACTCTTAATGCAGCTTGCCTAAGGATTATACTCCCATGAACTGTTTACGAGCTGATTGAAACGATGATCGAAAGCGAGTTGTGACATTCTCATGTTTTGCCTCTCCCCTTACCCAGTTTACCAAATTGGAGTCGTCGCTTGCTGATAACAGTAACCATGGCGTTTTACCTCTTTGGTGCTCTTAATGATGCGCTTTCATCGCCTTGTAAATATGAAAGCATACTTTACTGACAATCCGAAACCGCTCTTCTGACTACAGAATGATTCTCATCTAGTTATTGAAAGCATTTGAGTGTGGATTCAGTGTGTTATGTCTACTTTAGTAGTGAACGAAGGACTATGTTTATTGATGTTCATGTGGCAGATTGCTATTTTTCCCGGCATTGGAACCAAAACTTATTTTGAAACTGTGGTATCCAATATTGACTATAGACGTTTGAGCAGCAACAGATGAATCAATTGGTAATCAAAGGGAATGTGTAAACATTATTTGGCTTCGTATTATAATTCTTTTTTTTCTTCGCGTGCAGCACTTACCCAATTCGTTATAACACTATGAAAACTGTTGTTTTATTTCATTGTCCTTATGATTTCAAAGTTCAGTGCCATTTCTGCTCAATATTCATATAATGCAAGGGATTTACAAACAGCAACACTGTGCTGCTGCGCAAAATGCGATGACTCTTGCTCAACTGACCCTGCCAAAAATAGGTAATTTAAGACGCTATTTTTGAAATTGTGTGTATCCCGGGAATAGTCATGAAACCAGGGTCTCCATGATCAAACAAAAAAAAATCATATAAAGAGAGCTACAGCATGCAAGACCATAGCGGTATTATAAGTAGTATCTACAAGTATGCTTGGTTCCAAGTTAGCTCTTTTGATGGTTCTCTTGGCTGTGGGTGTTGCCAATGCTCAAACTTCAAACAGAAAACCCAAGAGTTGGAAGATCGATTTTGTGGATGCTCAAGGCACTTTGACCTCAGAAAGCGGCTACGGAGAACGTGAATGTACCACTGTTACTTCGGGTGAACTTCCAAAGGACTGGACAAAGTATAATGGCCCTGCTCCTGGCAACGTCAAAAATACATGCTGCATTCAACAATACAGTGATGCTGGCTGCAAAGCTCAAATAAACAACATCTGTGCACTTCAAAAGTCGTTGAAGAAGACATCATCGTATTATAAAATCGTGAACTGCTAACTATGGCCATTGCCATTTAGCCATATAAAATCACAGAATAAATTGGGGACAAAATATACATTGTCTTTGTCGTGTGGCGCAGACGTTTACGCGAGATCCTTGCTGAACAGATCAAAGCCTGAATTATCTTAGATGTAAATACACGATTCGCTTTATTCATACTCAACATTTCTCAAAATGTACTACAAGTATGGAGAGATTTGGATTATAGGTCAAGTCCAGACACTTAATTCGTAAAGAAGTATAAGCTATTGCAAAAAGGCTTGCTTGTTCTTCTCAAGCCAAGCTTCCAGTGATTCCGGATCACGACCAAGAAGTATAGGCAGACCACGTGTTATATGACCTTGACCCTGCGGGAAATATTCCACAAAAGCGTATGCGGTGTCGTGAGGCATGCCTACGCTTCTGTTAGCCTTGTACTCTTCGGCAGCGCTGCGTTCAACGTACTTGATATCTTTGCCGAGAACCTTGCTCAAAATTTGTGCACGCTCGTTTCCTGAGAGTGCTTCTGAGGTCATTTCATAAGCACAATCGTTATGGTGCTCAATAGGCTCGGTCAAAGCGTTGACTGCCAATGCGGAGATATCGGTAGGCGAGATCCACATTTTCTTTTCATCAGGCGGATTGCAGCCCATAATGACATCAGCGTTACGAATACTGTGGATGTCACCCATGAAGTGGTTGCTGAAGAAAAAAGCAGGACGGAGGGCGACAAACTTTCCTCTGTTGGGTATGTTGATAACCGCTTCTTCACACGAACGATGTTCCTCACACACTGGGTTTGATCTCCACGCAGGTGCCATCTCCTGTGTGCAAGATATATCCACGATCTGCTTGACTCCGGCTTCATATGCGATCTTGGCAAAAGCATACTTGATTCCGCGCATATTGCCGAAAGACTGTACCATCAGGAAAAGGCGCTCGTGTCCAGCAACAGCAGCCTTGAATACATCGAGATCATCGTAACCTCCTTGGACAACATTCAAGTTAGAAGACTGTGCAAACATCTTTTCTGCCTTGCTGGCGTCACGAGCGTAAGCGGTGACAGAGACGTTCTTTTCCAATAGACCTTCCACAACAGATGCTCCGAGTTGGCCGGTGGCTCCAAGTACGAATACTTTAGACATTGTTATTTAAAATTTTTGACTATTTGATTTGAAAGCCTTTTGCAGGCGATATCATATTTATACCATGTACAGGTGAAAAAAAAAGCATGCACGAACCCCAATGAGAACTTTTCAATGCTGCGGATGATGCCACATTGCTCTGTTTCGGAATTCCCAAATTGTAACAGATATGGGCGTTCCTTGCAATTGTAATCACATCGGATAATTGGATGCCATTTTCTTCGACATATAGATTTACTACAGTTGCATTAAAGAGTAGAATTATTGATAATACCAGCAGCTTCAGCATAGTCAATGTGTGTATATTATTTAAGCTACATAAAAAAATCATATGGCTTTTCTGATCCATCAGCCAGTGATAAGTGCGCACAACTAAGGTAGTAGCCAATTAAAATTGAGGGCCACATTTGCCACACACATCGCCAATGGGGGACTGTCGGTAGTGCCTACAAGCGAGAGCGCTCGGTGGGGACACTCGGTGCTGGATTCCTACAGATTTATGTTGCTCCCTCCTACGCATTGAAACTGAACGGATTTATATTATTAATACGGCATAGCTGGGCCGCATTTGCATTGAAGTGCTATTGATAATTAATCCAAGTGAGTTTTGCTCAATGCAGAAGAAGTGTGTATCAGCTTCACACCTATTTGTACGATGTTTCTCTCAAGCCATCCTTTGTATTCAACATTTGACGAACAGGCTGAAGCCTAAGACGTTTAAATGCAAGATGGTGCTCGAGTCCTGGCTGTTCTTTTGACGAGATAGCGAAGTGTCGATTTATGAAGGTTGTGTAGTGCTATGTTTTAATATAAATACAGGTACGGGTGTACTTATGAACCGTACCAAACCCGACAAAACCTAACCTGGTAATTCTTTTTTTTAAAATTCGGTGAGTTTACCAATTTCTCCACGTAAGGTAATTTCTGCCCAAACGTCGGGGGTTTCGAAAGACACAAGTCGCCAGTAGCCTCCCACCCATTATTTAAGCAGACTACATCTTCATGTTCATTTTACATATGTAATTTTATTCATACTGAGATTTTTCACGCTATACGAATAGAATAGGTATATCAAGTTATGTCTAGTCAGGACACTCCAATTGTAAGGGAATACTGCCTTATTGCAAAATGTTTTGCTTGTTCTTCTCAAGCCAAGCTTCGAATGATTCTGTATCACGACCAAGAAGAATAGGCAGACCAACGTTTACATGACCCAGCGAGAAATAGTCCACCAAGCCGTATGCGATGTCGTGTGGCATACCATGACCTGTCAGAGCCTTGTACTCCTCAACAGCGCTGCGTAGAACATACTTGATATCTTTGCCGAGAACCTTGCTCAAAATTTGTGCACGATCATCTCCCGAAAGTGATTCCGAGGTCATTTCGTAAACACAATCTTTGTGTTGTTCGATAGGCTCGGTCAAGACGTTGACTGCCACCAAGGAGATATCGGTAGGTGAGATCCACATTCTCTTCTCGTCAGATGGAACACAGCCCATAATGGCGTTAGCGTGACGGACAGTGTGAACATCACCATGGAAGAAGTTGCTGAAGAAACCAGAGGGACGAAGGGCAACAAACTTTCCTCTGTTGGGGATGCTGATAATTGCTTCTTCGCTTTCGCGGTGAACCTCACATACTGTGTTTGATCTCCAAGAAAGAGCCATCTCCTGTGTGCACGATATATCCACGATCTGCTTGACTCCAGCTTCGTATGCGATCTTGGCAAAGGCATACTTAACTCCACGCATATCGGTGAAAGATTGTACCATCAGGAAAAGACGCTCGTGTCCAGTAACAGCAGCCTTAAATACATCGAGATCATCGTAGTCTCCTTGGACAACGTTCAAGTTAGAGGACTTTGCGAACATCTTTTCTGCCTTGCTAGCGTTACGAACATAAGCAGTGACAGAGACGTTCTTTTCCAATAGACCTTTGACGACAGCTGCTCCGAGTTGGCCGGTGGCTCCTAGTACGAATACCTTAGACATAATGATTTGAATTGTTGAGTGTGTGTGAGTTGTCCAGGAAGCCCACTGAATCTCATTATATATATATCAATCGAACACGGCAAGATTTTTCCGGATGAACAAGCTTTTTGGTACGATACCAAGAGGAACGGTGGTCAATGCTTTCAATGGGGTCAAATTGCTACGCTTCGGAATGCGAAAAGTAACCGTCATACGCTGTGTGGCTAGGCTGACATCGGATAATTTATTGCCGTGGTGCTTGTTTATATCTGCTACGTTTCCGTTTTTAAAAAGGATTGAAATTAATGATATGATCGCTGACGAAGAGCCATTAGATAAGTCAATGCGTATAATTTATTACCGAGGTAAGAGACATCAAGTTGGTCCCTCTGATCCATCGATTGGCGACTATTTACAAAATCGATGTTTGTTCGGCCAATTGGATTTGAAAGACATCTTTGGCAACGCGCGTCCCCAATGGGGAGTATCGGGTTTAAAGCTCGGTGTTAGGCTCGGAGAGCTTGCGTAATACTTTCCCGGCTTGTAAATTATCCTAATTCTCATAGTATCAGAAACACTTGCTCAGGATCACTAATCAATCTTCTGCTACCACGACGTGCCCGGTGGACATTGACATAAGCTATGATATACATAGAATATTGAAAAACAATCAGGATGGCGATTCATGTACCATACCGGAGACTGTAGACTGCATATGAAGTTTGCGTTTGATCGATGAAAGGTTTTGAACTTGCATGGAATGGCACTTTCTCGAGCAACTACCGGTTTGTGTTGTTTCCCTTCTTTGCATTGAAACTGAATGTGTTCCTATTATCAATCAGGCATCGCTGTGCCGCATTTGCAGTGAAGTCAATTGATAATTGAACAATGATCTAAGTGGGTGGCCCACGTATAAAGCTTATAGGTACAGGTTGCTGTCTAACAATTGAGTTTTTACGGTCTAAAATTTGCATACTAATATATCATATTGATGAAATAAATTTTGGGAGAGAATGTTCCCATGAATTTTCAATTGCGAAGTGGAAATATTGACGCAATACATAAATAGGATCAGTACTTCAGCGAGCAGTGCAAAATAACTGTGTACTGGCTCTAAATCTATTTGCAAGATGTTTCTCACAAGCCAGATTTCTTAGGCAATACTTTATGAACAAGTTGAAGATGAATCTCTTTAATGCAACATGGTGCTCGGGTCCAGGCTGTTTCTCTTTACGAGATAGCGAAGTGTAAATTTATGTGGTTGTGTATAGATACAGGTACGGGCGTGGTTATAACCCGGTACCAAACCCGACATGTAACGTACACCTAACCTGGTAATTCTTTTAAATACGGTGCGTTTACCAATTTCTCCACGTAAGGTAATTTCTGCCCAAACGTCGGGGGTTTCGAAAGACAAAGTCGCCAATTAGCCTCCCACCCACCATTTGAGCAGACTACACTTCATGTCCATATCACATATTTGATTTATTCATACTGAGATCTTTCATGCTATACGAATAGATTAGGTATATCAATTTATAGGTCTAGCTAGAACACTCGAATTGCAAGGGAATATTGCCTTATTGCAAAATGTTTTGCTTGTTCTTCTCAAGCCAAGCTTCGAATGATTCTGTATCACGACCAAGAAGAATAGGCAGACCAACGTTTACATGACCCAACGAGAAATAGTCCACCAAGCCGTATGCGATGTCGTGTGGCATACCGTGACCTGTCATAGCCTTGTACTCCTCAACAGCGCTGCGTAGAACATACTTAATATCTTTGCCGAGAACCTTGCTCAAAATTTGTGCACGATCGTCACCTGAAAGTGATTCCGAGGTCATTTCGTAAACACAATCTTTATGTTGTTCGATAGGCTCGGTCAAGACGTTGACTGCCAGCAAGGAGATATCGGTAGGTGAGATCCACATTCTCTTCTCGTCAGATGGAACGCAGCCCATAATGGCGTTAGTGTAACGGACAGTGTGAACATCACCATGGAAGAAGTTGCTGAAGAAACCAGAGGGACGAAGGGCAACGTACTTTCCTCTGTTGGGGATGCTGATAATCGCTTCTTCGCTTTCACGGTGATTCTCACATACTGTGTTTGATCTCCAAGAAAGAGCCATATCCTGTGAGCAAGATATATCCACGATCTGCTTGACTCCAGCTTCGTATGCGATCTTGGCAAAGGCATACTTAACTCCACGCATATCGGTGAAAGACTGTACCATCAGGAAAAGACGCTCGTGTCCAGTAACAGCAGCCTTGAATACATCGAGATCATCGTAGTCTCCTTGGACAACGTTCAAGTTAGAGGACTTCGAAAACATCTTTTCGGCCTTGCTAGCGTCACGAACATAAGCAGTGACAGAGACGTTCTTTTCCAATAGACCTTTGACGACAGCTGCTCCGAGTTGGCCGGTGGCTCCTAGTACGAATACCTTAGACATAATGATTTGAATTGTTGAATTGTTGAGTGTGTGTGAGTTATCCAGGAAGCCCACTGAATCTCATTATATATATATCAATGAAAAACGCCAAGGCTTTTCTGGATGGACAAGCTTTTTCATGCGAAGCCAAGAGGAACGTTGGTCAATGCGTTGAATGGGGTCAAAATGCTATGCTTCGGAATGCGAAAAGTAACAGTCATACGCTTTGTGTGGCTACGCTGCCATCGGATAATTTATTGCCGTGATGCTTATTCATGCTTGCTAAATCATGCTTGCTACAGTATCCGCTTCCAAAAGGACTGAAAATTAATGGTATGAGACCGACGAAGAGCCATTAGATAAGTCAATGCGTATAATTTATTACCGGGGTAAAAACCATCAAGTTAGCCCCTCTGATCCATCGATTGGCGACTACTTACAAAATCGATTATTTGTTCGGCCAATTGGATTTGAAAGACATCTTTGGCAACGCGCGTCCCCAATGGGGAGTATCGGTGTTAGAGCTCGGTGTTAGAGCTCGAAGAGCTTGCGTAATACTTTCTTGGCTTGTAAATCATCCTAATTCTCATAGTATTAGAAACACTTGGCTTAAGATCACTAATCCAATTTTCTGCTGCCGCGACGTGCTTGGTGGACATTGACGTAAGCCCTGATATACTTAGAATACTGAAAATCAATCAGGATGTGATTCATGTACCTTACCAGAGACTGTAGATTGCATATGAAGTTTTCTTTTGATCGATGAAAGGTTGAACTTGCATGGAATGGCACTTTCTTGAGTAACTACCGGTTTATGTTGTTTCCCTTCTTTGCATTGTGTTGCTATTATAATTAAGGCATCGCTGCGCCGCATTTGCAGTGAAGTCAATTGATCATTGAATAATATACAAGTTTGTTGTCCACATAAAAGCTTATAGATACAGGTTGCTGTCAAACACTTGGGTTTTTATGGTCTAAAAGTTTGCGTACTGATATATCATCTTGATGAAATAAATTTGGGAGAGAATGTTCCCATGGATATTCAATTGCGAAGTGGAAAAATTGACGCAATACATAAATAGGATCAGTACTTCAGCGAGTAGTGCAAAATAAATGTATACTAGCTCTAAATCTATTTGCAAGATGTTTCTCACAAGCCAGATTTCTTACGCAACACTTAGCGAACAGGTTGAAGACGAATCTCTTTAATGCAAAATGGTGCTCGGGAGCTCGTTACCCTTTTTACGAGATAGCGAAGTGTAAATTGATGAAGGTTGTGTAGTGCTATGATCAATATAAGTACAGGTGTGGTTATAGGCCGTACCAAACCCGACATGTAACGTAAACCTAACCCGGTAATTCTTTTAAAAATTTGTGGGGGTTCACCAATTTCTCCAAGTAAGGTATTTCCTGCCAATGCCGGGGTTGTCAAAAGGTTAAGCTGCAAGCCAAATCCTCAATCCATTATTTACACAGACTAATACCTTCATGTCCATATTACCATTTTTTTTTTCATACTGAGATCTTTTATGCTATTCGAATGAAGTTGATAAATCAAGTTTTTAGATCTAATCCAGTCACTCCAATTGCATAGGAATATTGGTTCATTGCAAAATGTTTTGCTTGTTCTTCTCAAGCCAAGCTTCGAATGATTCTGTATCACGATCAAGAAGAATAGGCAAACCAAGATTTCGGTTCGGTCAACGCTTTGAAACAATTTATTTGGCCCTATCGATATTACGCTGCAAACTGTTCAAGGGCATGTTACTGCGGTGCAGCCACCATGGAAACTTATGTACAGGAGACTTACACCAAGACATTTTGAATTGTATCGCAATATTTGTTGACAGCAGCCTTGTAACGTCTGTGCAAGTTAATCATTCGAAATATATAACATGTATAAGCTGCTCGGTTGACAATTGCTATGCCAAAGTTCATCAATCTATAGTTTAGGGGCAACGGAACTATTAGGTGCTATGGATGTTTGTTTCAAGTTGTTCAGGGCATCTTACTGCAGTGCAACTATCCTAATAACTTTTGTGCTGCAGACTTACACCACTCCTTTAGTCTGCTGTATACCACAAATCCTGGGTTATGGAGCTGTTTTGCCGTGGCCCACAAAGAAAACAACGGAGTGCGGTGTCAACATCTTTTAACCAGACTTTCTTTGGTGCTGGTTTTCAATTCAGTTTTGAAAGTTTTCAAATTCCATCTTCAACTGTGAATTTTGCTCCACTAATTGGCTATAAAATTACTTGCTAAGTCTCTCGTAGTAATCTTGATGCATCACTTCGCTGCATTAAGGAAGTATCGTTCGGTTTTGGTAACAGCATTCCGTGGGACTGCTGAACACCAGAAAAAAGTGGTATTCTGCACGGCAAGTTTAACCTGTGACATGCTGGCTACCGAAACGGCTACCTAAACGGAAACAAGCAACCAATATTTTTCCATTTTCAAAAGCTCAAGGCCAATATAGAGGGGTTGACAAGCGCCGTGGCAACAAATACTTCAAGCAGGCTTTTCATGTAGCGCCTAAACGCGGTACGCGCTCCCAAACGCGCTGGAGTTGAAAGGAGGCCAAATAGTTTTTAACTCCGCATAAGAATGCGCGTCGAGTGCGTTTGTCTAGATGTCACGCTTTTCCTTTCTTCCCCCTTTCAAGTTTAGCCAAAGGTACGTTTGAACGACACGCACTCTAGCTCTTCCCGCTTCACCCCATATTAGTGTACTAAGATAGCTCTGTGAAGGAGTTTGGCGCTATATGTCAGACACATCCATTTACCATGCTCTTCCACCATCGACTCGACATGAAAGCATGTGCATGCATAACAACATATTCAAGGTAAACCATTTCAATCCATGTCAAAATATGAACAGTACTCGCCAGCTGACACCTCAATCCTCTTGTTAAGCATCTGAACGCGCTCAAAACGCGACTCAACTACGCAAGTTTCAAGTTAGAACATGGATGGCAGGATCGCGCACTCACGGATTTAGAGGTATCCTGGAAGATGCATGACGACAAAGATTACGATACTATACCCGTCCCAGCGACAAACTCTCGAAAAAAGTCATTAGAGAACCTTCGACGACCGCATACGCCGAAGCGACGAAATAGTCATAGACGGGGAATAACGCAAGCTGACATTATTGATCGCCGCACATTTGTTGCCGTGGCGCAAAACAAACCAAAGCTGAAGCGTTGGCATTCCATGAACGCTATACCCGACGGAAAAGTAAAACAACCACGGCCTAAGGGTCGGCCACGAAAAGATGAAGAGGCAAAGAAACGACATCCTGCTGACGAGCATGATGACATGGGCAACAAACGGACTAAGATGGAAGAAGATGGATCACCGACGGCCAGTATCAGTTCCAGTCAAGTGATGGATGTTCCGGAATCCGTGCCAACCAATTCACTGGACTTTTTATCATTTGCCATCGCCATGTCAGAAAAGAAGCGTGATGCCGCAGAGCGACTGACTCAATCTCAGCCTTTACCTTCTATGGCACCTCCATACTCAGATGACGAAGATATGGATGATGAGCCAAGCGGTGGTTACGAAGAAACGGATGGCGCTCACTCCTATATGGATCATGACAGCCATGGTAAATCCTCAGAATCCTCAGACACATATGATTATGAGGACAATGATGAATTGGATTGTCCCAGCTCACCACGAGCCGAGGCAGCTGAAGCCATCATGATGTTTGTAAGAGGTGGGCCGCACCGATGAAGTTTATAAAGAAGAAAATTACTGGTAATTTGTTAGCGCTAGTTTTATTAAACCCCTCAAGCTAGCGAAATGGGAACATACTGTGAAATGGATCCCCATGTAGTAAAAAACAAGCCCAAAGTATTAAACCTGTTTAAATATCGCATCACTGACCAAACATACATGGATCATATCACAATGGTAAACATGTTGGAGCATAAATCGGTGAGATGGACTTGTGTGTTATATAACACTTTCACCTTAAGGAGTTTATTGACTACGATCGCGGGCAATACTGCGTAACAGCTTGCCAAAATCGCTAATAGCGCCTTTCGTCAAATGATTCCTGCGTTCAACAGATGGGGTGATTTGGGTTTCGCCAAACACCACATCCATTTCTGACATTTCCATGTCATCCACGGCTGGTTTGTAGTCTTGTAGAACAGACGACGAGTCAGCTAAACTCTTGTGAGTAGTCATGCCTGGCATGCGATCGTTGAAAACAGATACCGAAGCTGAAGTCAAAGGTTTGAATGTTCGATGAGGAGGTGTATATACAGGGACATCTGGAGGATACACGGGTATCTTGTCGTTGGTCTTTAAGAAGGAAGGAGGAGGAGGAGGGTTGCGCATGCCTTTCGTAAGTGAATGACTGACGTTGGACTTTTGCCATGGTTCATAGCGCTGTTGCTGCTGATTCTTGTGTCGCCAAGTCGGTTGAGGGGGAGCAAAAGGTCGACGTTGATGTGCTCCAACATGATACCCTTGGCCACCGACTGAAGAGGGTTGAGCTGTTTGAGTCGACGATGTAGAGTATCGCTTGGAAGAACCACGCATGTCCAATGTGGGTATATGGTTCCTGCGCTTGGCAGGTGGGATGTATTTTGGTACGGTTTTAATCGGTTGCTGTTCATCACTGGACGCCGGTGCGGCAGGTGAACTAGGGCTTGTACTAAGAAAGCTTTGAGGAGCCGTACTATCGGGTTCATCTGAACCAAATCCGCTGTCGTTATCGTCTTGACCTTCTTTTTTGGTTTCATCTTCGCTAGTTTGCGGTGTATTCTTATCAGCAAAAGAGATAGGTTCGGAGAAATCCATCTCGCCCTCCTCAGTATCAAAGTCGAGTTCCTGAGACCAAGACTTGCTATGCTGATGGTCAATACGAGGTGAGAAGTAAGTGTCGCTGCTTTCATGACCACGCTTGCCTGGTGATGACATGGGAGAAGGCGGTAACATAGAAAAGAAACTGGATCGACGCAATCTGGCCGATAGAGCCGATTCCTTGGACTTTGCTGAATTGTTTCTGACGGTTGATAGACTGATAGTCAAGGGTAAGAATCCGATTGTTTTCTTTGGTGTAGTAGGTCGGTTGGAAGTGTCGTCTGAAAGTAGTTTCACCAGATTTTTACACCATGCTTTCCACTCTGCGATTTTGACTCGGCCTTTCTTTTCGGAACAAAAAACTCGGTCGGCTAGGAAAGTGGCCACAGACCTAGACATGCCATCGAACCGCTCTACTAAGAAGTCGGTGGGATGTTGTGTAAAGGATTTGTAGGCTGGGCACGAATTGTCGGGCCGAGACCAAGGAGAGCGATGCCAGAATAGATTGATAAATATAATACCAAGAGACCAGATATCGGCTTGAAAAGCATCATAGTGAGGATTGTCAGGATTATGACATTCGAAGCTCATATAGGGCTTACTGCCACAGTCAAAATCAGTGGGATAGTGTTCAGTGGTAGCCAGACCAAAGTCTATCAGCTTGATGGTTTGGTCTAAGGTGATCAAGAAATTCTAAAATGGGAGTAAGCATGTGGGCTCATGGGAAGCACATTAATGTCATACACAGCCAATAAACATAATATACCTCTGGTTTCAGGTCCCGATGGGCGATTTTCTTGGTATGAATAAAATGAACAGCTTCCAAACACTGTACAAATAAATTGGAGAGAACGGTCAGACGTTCCAAAGTATCCAGCTTTCTGCCGGTTGCAGAGTCATAATGATCATTTTTGTGAAGGATCCACCAGTAAAGATCCATGCCTTGAATATATTCCAGCAGAAGGAACAAGTATTGCTCAGTTTCGAAATGACTGACTAGGCGAGCAATACGGGAGCTTTTTACGAGTGAGCGATGTATTTCGATTTCCTGCTTCTGCACCTCCAAGTCCTCGTTCGATATATCCATTTTGCTTATACATTTTAGAGCGTAAAATTGCCCATCATGAAGCGCTTGCGCTTTATAAACTATAGCATAGCTCCCACTTCCCAAAGCTTCTATGAGTCGGAGGTTCAGTCCTTTTTGTGTATCGGTTATGACTGACCCGAGGCTGAAGGGAAGAGGAGGGTTGGCGGACATTAGAAGTAGTCAGAGCTTGGGGGGGTTCGAATGGGGGAGACCCAACTGGATGAAAGAGACAGGATGGTGCAGATCAGACGGGGAAGAGATGTGCTCTTTCTGGTGATTCTTATACTATTATTTTTTTTGAACTTTTTTTTTTTGGCAGAGAAAGAGAAAGGAAAAGGTTGGACGAAATGGAAGAAGGGAGAAAAAGGGAGAGTGTGAACGTTTCGCAATGGGCAAGTTTGAGAGTGGACCGCAAAGCACACAACCGTGGTCAAAACTGCTGTGCTGCATTCGGCGTGAGCTTAATTTACAACTCGAAATGCTATTATAGAGGGCTTTTATTTTATAATGACTTTACTCCTTTTTCTCGTGTTCCTCTTCGGCAGTGGAAGAGCTACCACCTCCTCCCATGAGTGCCGCCAGAGGGTTAGAATCGGCCTTCCATGGTCGCTTGAGGTCTCCTTCAGCAGCATCTCCCCAGAGGTGAATGATAACGGGCTTGGCGATCAAAAAGTTCTTAAGAGGCATGATGGATTGAACCATCAAAGGCTGGTTAACACCGAACTTCCAGTGGAGAACACTGATGACAGCCAAAGAGGTGACAGTGGTGGTGATAAACTTTTGCAACTCGGCTTGATCATAAGCGCTGTTGGTAGTTGTAACAGTCTCCTCAGTGGCAGCAGCCTGTGCACCGAAGGAGGACTTGGGTGGGGCGGCATATGTCAATGGGGTACGATCTAGATCGCATAATCTCATCTTGTCAGTTTTCCACAAGTACTGATCAACTAAAAACCCCCCTGACCCATCTACTTACCATTCTTCTTGGCCACTGACATCTTGAGGTAAAAAGCCCATAGAATAACAAGCAAGTTCATTCCATAATAAGCAACTCGGGCATACATCAAAACTTGGGGATCTTCAAACGGGATCTTCTTGACCAGTTGCATACTACCCAGCATAACGCCGAGGTTGAGCATTGGTGAGGTTAGGAATGCTGGAGGACCCATGGATGATGTGTGATGTAGATGAATAAAGAGATACTCTTGTGTTGAAAAAAAAACTTGGGTTCAAGCCTTGAATGTTTTTTCCAATGGCACTCCGGCGGGGACTGAAGCCGCACCAATCGCCGGCGACCAAACTGGTTGGCAACACTTAAGTTGCTGTCGGCATGTAAAGCACGTAAGATAGGCCACGTAACAACACGATAAGGCTCATGGAAGCCATTGGAATCGCATGGAGAATATTCAAAAATGACTTGTCATTACTTTCAATAGTCAACGCTTGACAGAATTTCTGAAACAGACTTTAGGAACGCTTTGGCCCTCAGGATGAAAGATGACGTAAATTCAAACTCTTGGCTTAGAAAAGCCAAAGACTAGCTCACCATGGGGGGAACTTTAGCCTTTTAACCCACCATGTCCAATTCACCTTTCGCGGCTAATGACCCTGGGAGGCACAGAAGAAGCTCGTCACAGATATTAAGTTCAGGTATGATAGTCTCTACGTGCAACTTTTACATTCATCGGGCAAAAAGCCATCTAATATAACCCCCTTCACTCTTTCCCCGTGAACCTCCTATTCAGTACCCGGCGAAGAGAACTTGACACCAGAGGAACGCCATATCTATCCGCAGCTCTTTAAGGCGGCAGATATTGATGGAAAAGGAATTGTACTTGGGGAAGAAGCTGTAGAATTCTTCAAAAAGTCGGGTCTTCCATCTCATGTATTGTCCGAGGTATGCATAGACCATATGGCAGTTGAAAACGACACGCCCACCCCTTTATTCATCGAATGTAATTTTGATTAGATTTGGACAGCGGCCGATGATGAACAGAGAGGCTTTTTGACACAACAGGAGTTTTACGTTGCGCTGAAACTTATCGCATGTTTCCAAAACGGTCAAACGGCTGCAGTCCCTGTTTTCAGCACAGTAGGTTGGTAAACGCCTATAGTCCTGTGAGGAAAGAAAGGATACCGAACTAAATGTGCCTTTTTTTTTATTCACCAGTACCTCCTCCGCGTTTTGATGGTGTTTATGTTGAGCCCTACCCTACAACTCACAACGGCGTGTCGGCAATGGCGTCACAATTGGACAGCATTAAAGCGGACGAACGAGAGAGGTTTATACGAATTTTTCGAACGAATAGCTCTCCAGATGGGTTCATGGAAGGCACTCATGCGCACAGACTATTCGAAAAATCAAATTTACCACCAGATACCCTTAGCAAACTTTGGAACTTGGCCAACATGAGGCGGACTGGTTCCCTTAATCAAACCGAGTTTGTTATTGCCATGTTTTATATTTCACGCCTAATGGACCATACGCTGGATAGTCTACCATCCTCCATTCCAGCCTCCATTTACAACTCTGCTGCGGGTCGTCCTGGCTCACCCACCTTATCTAGGCAGAATACCATAACGTCACCAGTCCTAAGAAACAATACCGGACAATCCGTTGCAGCTACATTTGGACAGGCTGCGTTTGCGGACGTGCTGGATGATGCTTGGGCTATACCACACGATCAACGAACAAAGTCCAAAGCTTTTTTCCAACAGCTTGACCCTCGTCAGACTGGCTATGTTTCTGGTACGTGCTTTTTTAGAGCAAGGGGATAGAAGGATGAATATATCTAATTCGCAGAGTTTAATAGGTGCCGATGCTGGTAACTTCTTCCGTAATGCTGGTTTACCTCAGACCGATCTGGAGCAAATATGGTCGTTGGCTGCTATTCAAGGTGGAGACCGACTGTCGGCAGATGAATTTACTGTGGCCATGTACCTTATACACGAGCGATTGAGCGGGAAACCCATCCCTTTAACACTCCCAAGAGATGTCATCCCTCCAAGTCTACAATCACTTCGTAATAACCTCGTACGACACAACACCATCTCAAATCCTTTTCCCACTTCTCCAACATTGGCGAGACCATCCTTACCTGCCACACCGTCCCCTTTCCAATGTAAGTCGTTTTCATGGGCTGTGGATACTCAGCCTACCTCGGCGAGGCACGCTAGTTTTATTAACCTGCATACCTTGCCATCTGTATAGCAACTACTTCGGATAACCTGTTTAATGACGTGGATGCCCTTCAAAGTGCCCAGAACACCATGGCTAGTCAGAGAAGAACACTGGAGACCAAGTTTGCCACAATGAAGACTCAGACACAGACAAACACGATTCGACTTGAACAAGTTCGCAATTTGTATGAATCTGAGGCCAGAGCTGTTCGTAAGCTTGAATCGGAAATTGCCACGGAACAACCTGGTTTTGATCGAGCCAAGGCAGAATTGGAACAAGCAGAGTATCAATTGCAGCAACTTAAGCAACAAAAAGAGCAGTATGATCAACAGCTGATGAATGGACGGAACGAGTCGGAAAGAATGAAACAACGAGTCAAGGTGATATACGAAGAATGCACTCAAATTAGAAAGCAACTGGAGCTATTGGAAAAGGAAGGCAAGCAACAAAATGTAAGACTCAATATCGGAAGAGAACAAGTCAATGCAGCCGAAAAGGAAAAGGAAAAACTGGCACAAGGTTTAACGGGCAGTACCTACCAGTCCAACAACAAAGCGGAACAGTCGCTTGGTAGCCCGCAGAGCACTACTACCTTTAAGCCATTTGAAGCTGTCAGCAATAAGATTCCCACGTTAGACACCTCCTCCTTTGCTGGATCCACGTCCCCCACCAACAGCACCAAATCGCCTATTCAAGCATCCAGGCCGTTTAGTGACCCGTTTGCTGAATTCACGAAAACCTTTCAGGGTACTAAACCGCAACAAGGAAAGCAAACTTCATTGGATTCCATGTCTGACTTTAAATCACACTTTTCCGACGTTGACAAGGTTGGAGAGTCATCTGAGGCCCAGTTGTCTCCGAAAGTGACAACGAAGCAGCCAAGCCCAAAAGCGCCAAAATCAACAAGTGTGGATATCAGTGATATTGAAACAAAATTCCCAGACCTTGACACCATGGATAAGGAGTTTCCTACACCCACTGAAACAAAATCATTCTCATTTGATAGACCAGCTGTGGTCAATGCTACCTCTCCGGCCGTGCCCAGTGTCACTGATAACACTCTCAGTGAGAAGAATCCTACATTAGATGACCCGTTTGGAACCAAAGCCAATAACAAGACTGCTGCGACCAATCTATTTGCAGACGCATTTGCCAAACCACGGCAGTCAGATACCAACGCTAAACCCAACTCCAAGTATGGATTCGATCTTTCCGAATTTGAAATTGCTAGCCCTCCTCAAGAAGCAGCGAATAATTCAGCAACGGATGATTTTGATACTCTTTTTGGCAATAAGCCGGCCAAGAAGGTCAACTTTGACGACGCGTTTGGTTCTTGGATGTAATAATAAAGAGTGAGTCGATAAGAGGGAATTATGCGAGGGATCGATTGTGATCAGGCTGTTAGTCAACCGGAATTTCGTCTTTTTCTGCGGATTTTTGGCACAGCTGGCCAGCCGCGCTTGCTGAATTTTTTTTATTTTTTGGCCCATGTAACACACAATCATTATGAAAAATGAGGGATACTATTTCCAAATGACCTCATGGGAATCATTCTGTCTTTCTCGCTGTCAATAACCAATGTATGACGATTCACTAAACTTTTCATTATTCGCCTTCAGTCGACAACCCTTGTAAAAAGCAAGAAGTACGCTTGAAAGCAAGTGGATGTCTTGGGAAGTAAGGTGGGGTCAAAGCGCCTCAAGTTCACTGCTTTGGGATGTGCCATCGATAACGGACTTTTACTTTTTTCGCCGTCATACCTTTTCCGACGGCTGCATCTCTCTGCTGCTGCTGTACGAGTCAGCAGACGGAGAAGTTATTGTGTGTGCAACAGCCGCTGTACCTTTTTCTCTGTTGTTCCAAAGGATTTTTCTCATCTTCCACGGGGCAAATGTCATAATGAACGGGAGACCTCTGAGATTATTGATTATGCTTGTTATCTGCGACAACGACCGAGAGCCCGCTGAAACAACTACAATCAAAAACCCACTCACGGTCCCAAAAATTTCTGTTGTGCACATGACCAATCACCATCTCCATGTGTAATGTAATCATCATCAGCTAAGTTATTCTTCTTGAGACGACAGACTGTCAACCATAAATCAAAGGGAGCTTTTAGAAGCTACGTGAGTTCTCGGATCGATATTATAGAATTCGTGAGAAGGTTACTGGGGTAATGGCAACGGAGTATAATCAACAGATTGACTTAACGAAATTTCTAGTAATTTCACCGTGATAAAAAAAAACCTTACATTTCTTTTCGGACCCACTTGGTTGGCCACACACCCCCCGAAAATAAATCATTCGAAAGGCCCATGATTTATTGTCAACGAACAGCATGAAAAAAAAAATTATATAAATAATAGCTCCACATCTTTACCCCACGTCACATTTTCCATTTTGTTTCAACTCACCATCCTTCTTTCCTCACCCATCATTCAAATCAATCACCCCCACTGCTGAACATGATGTATACTGTGGCGCGTAAGTTTCTCCATAGTTTTGGTTTTAGTTTTACCACCTCCACCATCAGATTCGTATTAATATCCTCATTGAATAGCCACATCAACTCTTCCTATCAAGGATAAGCCAGCATCCTTATCTAACCTCATGCCATCTGCTGATAAGCTTGCATCACCACTGTCACCCCACAAATCGAAAGTCTCACTTCGAATCGAAACAAAGGCTACAGAGCCTGTGCCCATTCCAAACGCCAGGTATGGTCCCACCGGCTTCCCTTCGACCACCGTTCCACCTGATTCTCCTCCGTTGACCGCACCCGCGAGCACGGACAATGACTATACACTTTTGGACCACCTGAAAAATGACACTATGGTAGAAACCATTGCTACCATTCAAAGTACATTCTTGTGGGATGGTATTTGCCGTGGCCGGTTCTTGTCTTTCCCTCATCTCGCCCTCCATGGTGATGCCCAGACCTCCCATATCATGCGGGTACTTGAGCGGTGGCTATGCGACAAGTTAATGCAGCCACAGTTGGGTGACCGACTTCCCATCCTTGAAGAAAGTATTCCTGATTCGTGCCGTTCTATTATGGCTACGATGCATCAAGGTATGCATGCCCCTTTTTAACTATCCATCAATGTTTATTTTGAAGCGTTGGTAAATAACATGTCATTCCTTCTCACACTTTTTCTTTCTAGAGAAACACCTCTTACGACCATTCCATACTTGCTTGATCCAAATTCGCTCCGGTCATCTCTATAATCTACCGCTCATCAGTAATGGAAATACATTCATTGATGTGGATGAATTCATTCGAGACTATCCACTTTTCGTCGATGTTTGCATCAAAATTATTCCTCGCAGCTTCAGACCTGCCAAGAATATGCCTAGTGGCGATGCTGAGCACTGCCGCTTGCTCTTGTCTTTTGAGACCATTGTCGGTAAAAGTGACGAAATCGAACAACTACAGCCATATTTGCTGAGCGAATTGGTTGACATTACCGATTGAAATCAAGAAAAAAAGAAATCAAGGAAAAAAAAAAATCATATTCACGACATCGCTATTTTTTTTTCAAGCGTCTCTCATCAAAAAAGAAAAAAAAATCTTGGCTATGTCCCTTTTGCATAACAATCTCTTCGCATATCTTCATCAAATTTTGTATACTGTATCATGTCATGCACTCTAGCCTTCTTGATATTTTTTTTTTTCGCCACCTCATTTTGCCTTTAGCTTTACAAAACCTAGTAATATCTCTCAAAGCCCATTTTCAATTCCAAGGAAAAAAAAAAACCACGCTATTGAAATAAAAGCAAAAAGTATTTCCCCATTGAACTAGGACGAAATGGTGAATCGCACGGTGTGCTTCTCACCGTGCGCCGAGTTCATGACCGGTTTTTACGCACGGATGGAACAAGGAGGTGACAGGAGTGTCACTGATTAATGGCACCACGCGGGATTGTTTAGGACTTTGTCGTAAGATGAAAAACTTCCGTGCGACATGTTTAAGTCACCAACCATTGAGTTACAACAGGGTTAACGCAAAGCATGCGGAAAGCGAGGATTTTGTCAGCGGCGGTCGCTCACTCGAACAAGCTTACAGTTTTGGTAATAGCCAATGTGACGAGATGGCCCAGAAATGGTAAAATACCAAGCAGAACTGCCCGCCTTGGTCATGCTCATGGACAATAGGTGCGTGTCATTATGGAAAAATGACATGGGGAAAATTCCAGAGACATATTGGTGGCATAAAAGAATGTCATGACCCGTAATTTGGCAGGTTCTAAAACTTGCAGATAATGTGCTTATTGGCTCGCTCAACATTTTGCCGGGGCGTGGTCCATTGGCCATACTGCTAACCTGCATAGGAGAATGACCAGGTGAGGGGAAACAACTGTGGGAAGTCAAGAACCTTAAAGTCCATATTTGTTCAATTTGGTTGATGATCAAGTTGATGAACCATTTGATTTCGACAGAGAACGTCGTGTTCGCCGCGGACATCTAAAATGCTGCGGTAAGCCCATGTCATTTAAAATTTCGCATCATCAAATATGCTACAGCACGTATTTTGAAATAAAAGATTATGGTAACCATTTTATTGTTCGCGGAGAGATATATAGATGACATTACTAGGGGAGAACAGTCATTCAACAACACACTATTTTTTGGGAAATAATATGAATATGTATGTTGTGTAGTAGCTACCAAGGCTACGTTTTTGATAAAGGACTAAGAAGGGATGATTACAATGGGTAGAGGGTCATAATGGGAAGAAGATTAAGGAATTTATGCAGTAACATCGGCGGGCTTCTCGTCCTCAGTGGCTTCAATCTTGGCAGCCAATTCTTCAGAAGCAACATGGCTGGACTTCCAAGCAGGAACACCAGAGGTGAAAAGAACATCGACCTCTTCAAGAGTACGTCCCTTGGTTTCAGGGCAAGCCAAGTAGACATGGATACAAGCCGCAAGGTTCATGCAAGCATAGAAAAAGTAAGCCTTGTACTGGATGGCCTCCATCATAGGGGGAGCCCATTCAGCAAGACCAGTGTTAAAGGCCCAGTTGGTAGCAGTAGCAAGAGCGACGGCCTTGGAACGGATACGAAGAGGGAAGATTTCGGCGGGGTAAGTCCAAGAGCAAGGACCCCATGAGGTAGCAAAAGAACAGACGAAGAGATAGATCATGACAATCAAGGCAATGGAAGATGACTTATCACTTGGGTCCAAAGACCAGTTGACAGACGGGTTATCAGTTACAACAGCATGGCCGCGACCTCCCATAATAGCACCGACGATGAACAAGAAAATGGACATAGCAGCAGCACCGTAAATCAAAGTAGGGCGACGACCCCAACGATCCAAGTACAAAATGGCCGGGATGGTCATGAGCACGTTGAGAATGTACTGAACAAGGGAAGCGGTCAAGTTGGCAGTGTTACCTTGGAGACCAGCCCCTTGGAACACAAAAGTGATATAATACATCATGACGTTCATGCCAGTCAATTGAGACCACATCTGGATACACATGCCGAGAATAGTACGTCCGGCATAACCTTGCTTGAAGCATTCGATGTAAGAGTTGGCACCTTGTTCACGATCGAACTTGACAGCAGCTTGAATTTCACGGTACTCGAATTGAACTTCCTCATTGTTGATGTCACCACCGGCGTGAAGGTCAGCAAGGGTGGCCAAGCATTCATCCCAACGGTCCTTGTCAGCCAACCAACGAGGGGATTGAGGGAAACCGAGAATGAAGATGGCAAGACCAATACCCCAAATCATTTGGATACCCCATGGGATACGGAAAACAGCAGTGTTGCCAGTGTCAGCGCCGGGGACGTAAGAGCAACCATATTGAACGAGGTACTAAAAAGGAGGGTGAAGAAGTCAGTCTATGATATCCCAGTGATAGATTATTATTATTTTTTTTGGATAAAAGGACTTACTTGAATAAGGATACCCCAGGTAATGGCCCATTGCTGGAAAGAGACAATACGACCACGAATGTTGCGAGGAGCAATTTCAGATTGGTAAACAGGGACAACCATAGAGGCACCACCAACAGCAAAACCGTTAATGATACGACCAACAATGAGCATACCCAAATTCTGAGCAGCACACATGAGAGTGGAACCAATAATCCAGCAAATGGCAGCAATCAAGATAGTTTCCTTACGACCAAGCTTGTCGGAAAGAACACCAGCAACCAAAGCACCAACGAAAGAACCAGCAGACATGACGGCGACAACAGCACCGGCCTTGGCAGGAGAGTCTGCGACTCCAAAGTAATCCATATAGGTCTGGTTACTGACCAAGCCGGACATGGAAGAAATGTCGCATCCAAAGAGTAGACCACCAATGGTGGCGAATAGGCCAATCACATACACGTTTGTGACCTTGAACATATCAAGTGTAAGTTGTAGTGAATAGATAGACCGAAGTAAAGAAGTTGGACGTGGGGAGAGATGGTGCTTATATTTATAATGTTTTCGCTTGATGAGCTGAGGGGTAAGTTACGGTGCGGGGTCAGACTTATTGGGGGGACACATACTAGTCAGAAAATGGAATGACTACAACAGAAACAGTAACCGCTTGAAATGGGGTATTCAATTTTTTTTCCCAGATATACCTGTGGCTTCTTCAAGGTTTTTTGCAATCAAATTCTACAAAAAATCATGTCAACATCTATTGCTGCCCTGCTCTCGTCCATTTCACTGACTGAATTGGGGGTTCTTGAGTAATTCCAATATGAAACTCGGTATTGGCGGTGACGGAGGGCGGGCCATGAAATTCGGTAGACTAGCTGATGTCAAAAAAAAACATTGCGGCTCCGCGCATGTCCTGGTTTGCCTTATGGAATCATATGATGTAACTTGAATACAATCGAAATGGAATGTACAAGTGTTCAAACCTATATCGGTACACTTAGAACGTTACATCCACTATGTCACGCATTGCTGTCATGGTTTATCAACGAGCCATGGTTCTGCCAAGTGAAGCACACATGGAAAAAAGTTTGAATTTTTTTTTTCTCTCCCTACATGCCATCAGGTAAGCAAACATGATGCAAAGGGTAAAGAACGCCGTCCTTCCGCGGTATCCTTATGAAGGATGCAGGTGATTGGTGAGAAACTGCAATTAGTTAGAAGCTGGGAACTCGCGGTCTGCCAACCTGCAGATCTAGCGGTCTCACACCAAAGACACCAATCCAGCAAAATTTCAAAACAGTCATCTGCTCCCACTCTAGAGTATTATGACCTCCTGTGACCGGCTCGGGTTCTAACCATTTACCCTGATTTTTCCTGTCCTGTCCTGAACAGCCCAGGCAATTTACCGCCACATGCTAGCCATGTGTGTTAGAAACATGCACTCCTGCACAAAAGAACTCCATAGGCATGATAAAGCACAAATGTGGGGTTGGGGATATAGCGTCTCATCCAGCATCCATAAGCTAGACCATTTCATTATTTTCTCCCCCACACCCGTTAAGTTCCCCAATGACAGCAATGTCTTTTCGGGAAATGGGTATTTTTCTCCCAGATGACGTTTTAATTGGCTATGATTTATTTATTGCCTACCCAGCGGAAAATGGCGGGCTGAATCATTCCCACTGGTAGCGTTGGTTGGTCTATCCGTATTGTATTCCCGAGCAAACGGGGATTACCTAATTGTTAACAAGATCCGGTCCCATACCAACTAACCCCGCAGCGCACGATATTACCGTTTCTGAAACATTGGAGAAGCCATGCTCCAAAATTCCGTTCGATGGGTCCCTTTCTGAAAATGCGCCACCAATACATATTGTGATGGACCCTATCATTGACAATCATACCTTGAGCGTCTTCGACATGGCAGAGTAAAGTAGGATAACCATAAAATGCCACAGGGTAAGATTTTATGTCGGACGGAGCTCGTGAATATGACAAAAATAAATGGTGAAAAATAGATTGTGCAAGTACGGTTTGCACAAATTACTACGGTGGTACCAAAACGTTCACAAGTCGACCCCCGAAATCGCTTGCTAGAGCTGTTCAAAATGAATAGGGATCAAACGATGGAGAGGGCTATCTTGTCACTGGCAGTCATGCTGTAGATTCAAGTGAAAAAACCATAAACTCGGCGTGGCAAACTTGTTCGCAGGAGAGATGTGTGAAACTAGCAGGGGACAAAAGGATTACCCAGTATACCAATTTCATACGTATGTGGCGGCCATTCAAGTTTTGTTAAGAAGCTGCTTGCCAGGGTTTGCGTAAGCGAGATGTGTTGACACAAACCTCCTCCTTGGAACGCATAAACGACAAATATGTTGCCATGCATGCATAAGAGCTTGAATGTGGCGGGTCCAGCATCGAACCATGTGTTGATCCCTGGAAGACGTGAGATATATATTTTTTATTCCAATAGCTGTTCATATCGTTACACAGTGCACGAGATAAACTGCCATAGACTTCCCTCTCATTTGAAAGTTTCGACTTGTATGGACTGGTCAGAGAACACGACATAGGCTATAGTGGAGTACAGGGACCAAACCACATGCTCGTTAGTCCTCGAAAACGCATCTTATTGTTAAAGTTTAAGACTTGCCCGGTCATTACAAAAGCAGGGGTTAAACTCATCCCCGCGCAAAAGTATCATGTAAGCAACCTACCCTTTTGTAACATGACACTACTTCTATAGCCACAGACTGCCATCTTTGCATTGAGTAACCGCAAAATCGGGAAACCAGTTGGGGTGATCATCTGCACGTTGTTCACTATATCAACTGTCTTAAACTCTACCTCGTGTGTAAGACTATGGAGAACTCTAATGTTGTGTTGAGCAGTTTACAGGGATTGAATTTACCCGTTGCTACTTTACGTCCGCAGTCGTCGTGTTTGTGGCATACCTCAGTCTTTAACCTAGTACGTTATGTTTAGTGTAGTACAGGAAGAATATTATCTGTACGTTTTCTACAGGACGTAAAAGGTTTTCACATGGAATAAGTCTGACACCATGTGGGCCATTCGAAGCGTTCTAGCAATCGTAATAGGTTTCTTTTTGCTAGTCTGAGCGTAACAACTGCGTTACGCTCAGACCAGGCTGGTTTCCAGGGATACCATAGCGCAAGCTCTATCAAGGTTTACTTGCTTTCCGCATTATATCGATGTTAATTGTGTTAATGAAAAGACCTTTTTTTCAGGTGTTCATATGTCGAAGAAAGCGACCCAAAGGTTGCCTGATACTGGAAATGCGTCAGTGGCAGGTTGAAAAGAGAATTGGCATAAAGGTAAGAGAGTAATGTGACCATAGAATTGAATATATAAATTGGAACGGGTGGTAGATAATGGAGTCATATAGGATAGGTAACGTTTCTGGCTTTATTGAGCAGCGCACTGGCATATTTCACCCCTCTTGAAAAGACCAACTTTGGCTGTGAGCACGTGACTGTTCCAAAAATTCTGTATTTTTTTTGTTTGGCTGCCAACTCCACTAGCTAGTCAATCACTAAACAACATGTCACTCTCGGCTGGAAGAATCGTCAAGCATTTAATTGCGACTCGAGGACCATTGACCACCAAGGAAATTGCTGCTCAAGTCACTGAGTTTCCCCAATTAGTTTCTGGACGTTTTCTCAAGACTCGTGTCCTTCGACCCATGCAAAGCCGTCAAACATTGACCAAGGTTGTCCTGAAGCAGGAAAATGAAAAGCCTGTTTGGCAATGGCACTTGGCTGACGCTGAAGCTGCTGCCAAATACAAGACCCTGGAACGCTCATAGATTTTTTTTTCAGGCGCCCGTCTGCCTTTATTACCTATACATCACATTTTCCGCAAAACCAAGCCATTGTACCATAGCCGCCTTCCAGCACATTAGATAATAAAACCGAAAAGTGCTAACAAATCAACCAAACGATGTTGTGCATTATAAATTCAGTATCTTCAACGATGAAGGGAAAAGCTACGCTTTCACCACATTTTTCATTAGTTTGATCATTCCGCTATATACAACGTAGAATTTTTTGGTCTCATGCTCATTTCTTCAGAAACATGGCTCTAAAGTCATCATTGCTCTTTTTTTCCGTAGGTGCACTTTGCTCATTGGTAGATGGAGCATCGCTAGCAGCAGCATTGTGATCGGTTTTCTTTGGTACAGCCAGTCGCTTTGCTGGGCCCGCCTTGGCTCGTCCTTGACCACCGCGTCGTGCCGCTCCGCCTCGTCGCAGCATAGAGGGAGGGATGAGCCTGGCAGTGGGCTTAGTTTGATCATTCTCCTGAGCCTGCGACGGGTCTTTGCTCGTTTCAGCGTCTTCCGTTTCATGGCTCGCATCATGCTCTACTTTTGGTTGTTTGTGCGCTTGGACTGCGTCGCTAGCTTGATCGCTCGATCGTCGGCGCTTGAGAGATTCTGTCGCTTTGGCTTCATCATCTTCAGTCTTGCTTGGCTGGTTATCATCATCAACTTCCTGCTGCCCTTGTTCCTTTCTTCGGGTTTCTTTCGCTTTAATTTTTCCCTATAAGCGAATACTTAGCCTTCTGACATATTTGTTATTCTTCTCCCAATGTCCATTTCACTCACCCGCAATTTTCTAGCGCGCTCCTTCTGCCGTCTCTCAACTTGCTTAGCTGTCAATTCTTCGTTGCTTTCGTACGTTGCACTGTAACCTGCTTCCACCTGCTGCTGTTCTACATGTTCGGTTTCTTGGTACTAGTAATGGCAGTTAGTTACGGTACCAAAAGTGAACAATGTTTTTAAGCTATCTCACCTGCTGCCATTGAATAGAAGCAAGCTTTGTCTTGCGCCTCATCGTGGTTCGGGCATCTCGATAGCTGGACGCCGTTCCATACTCATGTTCAAATCTAGTCCATGCTTCCATCAATTTTTCCGGGTAGTCCAATTCCTTTGTGAACGCTCGCCTGAACTGTTGTTGGCAGTAGTGGACATTGTTACCTCGAACCCTACATATAGCATATATCATTAGCACCTCTAAACGTAAGCATCTCAGTCAATATATGCAACTTACATCTCATTGTCAATGAATTTTATCCATGCGTCCACCTCGCTCAAGTGCAACTTGATGACCTTTTCCCAAACTGCTCTGGCTTTCACACCATTGCCAACCTTCGTCTATTGAAAGAAATATAGAAGGTCATTTGGGATATTCCATCTCAATTTCTTAAGAGTTATTACTTACCTCGACGAATATTTCGTACTGTTCCAATCGGTAATATGGATCATTGGTCTTTGGAAATACTATTTTTAAGTACCATTAGAAAATGTGTGATGCAATAGACACACGTGTTATTGCTGTGGCTTCCTTAACCTACCTCCTGCCACAAAGATACCGGCATCCTTGATACATTGAAGCAATTGCTTTGAATCTTCGGCAAGATTATCTAGAGTAACGTATTTGGTCCGAATCAGATGATGCCACTATCCAGCCATCATACAATAACGCAAGCTTACCACTACTCCAATCAATTTGTCGTCGCTCGAAATCACACTTTGCAAGTAAGGTCTTGATAAGGTCGTCATAGGATGCTAGTAGTAAATCGTTCGTCAAAGCTCGTTGAAACACAGCTATAAAAATGAAATAGTCAGTCAACTGAGATCTGGATTGTGTCATTAATGCTTTGAAGTCCAAATATTTTTACCTAGCACTTGTTCATTCGACGCCTGGAATTGTTCCTGCATAGTTGGTATTAGCGTATGCACCTTTTTTTTCGACGTTAATCACCTCACATATAACTTACAAACACTCCAGCATAAAGACTCCATAAATCTCCAGACCATGGACAGTTGCGAATAGCTCGTTCTGCAACACTAATGGTCTTGTCTAATTCGGTTTCGTCCTGCTGCATCTGTAACCATATCAAGGTTACGATTCGTACACGTCACTTTCACTTTAAGCCCGCACAATGTACATACCTGGAACAAAAGATAGTCCTCCCACAAGCCAGCATCCGTGCAATGCAATGCAACAGCACGTTCGTACAAGCCTTGCATCAAAGGCACCGACGACTTGGCGCGTTCTTCCTTTTTAATGTACTCGAAAAAGGTGATCAGATCATTCTTCTTCAGAACCTATGATAAAAGCATTAAGTCCCACTCAAGCGTCATCAAGAACACAAAGAACACCTACCAGTTCTGACTCCATAAGCTCTCTCTCGCCAACTGCTTCCTTTGTACGTGCACATTTCTTTGTGGTAAGGACCATAATCTCTTCGTAGTTAGCATTGTCGTGGGCGCTGATAAAGGTTGAAAATCCTTCAAACGTTTGATCCCAGGCCATGTGTATGGTCTGGAGTCGATCGAGGTACAAAGAGCGCACACGTTCGACATTATCTTTCGATGGATCGAGATCGAGCAGTTCCAGTTCAAAAGCCATGTATGCATTCCAAATTTCATGGCTTTGCACAATGTGATAACGAGTTGCATTAATGGCGGTGAGCAGATCGGTTCTCGTATCCAGGGTTAGTGTTTCAAGATCTTCTTTACTCATATCACCGGTTTTCTCTTTGTGGCCCTCGTCATCCGCTGTGATTCCAGTATCAGCCTTGTAGTTTGAAATGACATAGTCGACATATGACTTCCAAATAGGAATAGCTGTACATTCGGATGATAGGGAATTGTCGATTGAGTTTCAGAAGCTGCTGCATTGTATTCCAACTCACTCATTGTGGCTTCACTTACATAGATAATCTTCCGCCGCCTCCAAATACAGGGTTTTAATGCGTTCTCGATTTTCGGGATCATGAGAAATTGCTTTCACGTCTTGGATCCATTCAAGCCACATGGCTATTGAAAAAATCCGCTGTTAACAAGGCTCATGTTCAAAACCCCTTGTTCCTTTAGGTATAAACGTACCTTCGGTGAGCGGGTAAATCTCGTGCATCCTCTGACGCGTGGCTTCCAGTTCCTCAGCCATATCAACTTTGCGAAGCGCTTGAATGAGCTGAACGTGAGCTTCATACTGCCAAGGCTGCTGAGCAAGCTGAGCAAGGTAGTAGAAGCATTAGGACAGAGTCTGGTATATTTTGTAAGTGCAACAATAGTTACCTTGTCCATTAGCTCGGGTATAGCTTGCAAAAGTGCCAACTGCTCGTTTGCAGCGTCGGATTCTGCATCCATTGGTTGATCAGCATTCTCGAGCTGTACTGTTTCAATCTGTTCGGCAATCGTAGGTTCTTGAGCGTGATCTATTTCGTCGGTAGATTGCATGAAATTGGAAGAGTGCAGTGCAGCAAGAGGAACCAGCCGACAGTGACTGGTTTCGATTTCTAGGCCGCAGCGGCACTTGATTGTGGCTATGGCCTATATAAATGTCCTGAGTATGCGGACCCTGAATAAACACCCTTCTTCTCTCTTTATCCCACTACCATACCCTGGTGCAAAGTAAAACTATCTTTTGAAGTCAAATCTCCTGAGCCTCCATTGCAAAGTCTATTATTTGGTGCTCACTACAAGGAATACACTAACGGATATCACATACAGGTAAGTCAATGGTACTTCCAAGGAGCTTTACACTGTACATCAATCTCTGAATATGCGAGCAACCAAAGCAATGGATAAGAAACCATCAAGGATCCCGTGGCAGCGCGGCACGCCAAGAGGCTCAGGTACGGAGGTCCGCAAGAGTGATTCTGGAGCAAGATATGCGATGGGCTTTGATGCTGCTGAAGTGTGCCTACTTGGCTGTGCACTCGCTTCTCTAGTACTCGGGGGGCATTTGTTGATCAAACTTGTACTTTGGATGGTGTACAGTTGTTGGAACAACCAAATTTATGAAGATTCAGATAAGCAGGTCATTGATCCAAGTCTGGCCGAGTGGGAATCAGTGGGCGGTGTGTTCATCAAGAATCCAAGAATGTTTCTGCCCGGTCGACTCACTGTGGAAGCGGTTTTGCGCCGTGGTTGGCAGACATCGCGTTTGACAAAACAGGAGGCAGAGTGGCTCAATGGAGACGACCTCACCCAGCATCGTCGTTGGTTGCTCGCTATCTTTGAGAAGTCTAGATTCACCGACCCCAGTGTGGGACAGAGCTCCGCCCCACTACCTCTGCGCCCCGTGTACGACATAATGGCAGGCCTAGGAATATTGCACAATGTCAACGAAGAAAATGGTATGTATGAGCGGGAATGGATCGGGGCGCCAAAAGAATTGGTGCCGGGACTGCTGTCAAGGCTGAGGCGCAACGCAGACCGTGCTGGTAGACAGTGGCTGGCTGCCATTCCCTCAGCAACAGACAAGGGTGAAGAAATGTTGCAGGAGTTGTTGCATCTGCCAGAAGTGCGCTGCAGTGCCACCGCTGCCAGAGCAGCGCAGAGGTTGGCCCTCATGTTCGCAAGAGTATGGTTGTTGACACTCTCAGGGGAACAACTGCCCTGGAGCGCGCAAGAGCAGGACAAGTGGTTGCGTGCCTCAGCATTCTATGCACACACCCTCATTAAATTTTCTGCATCATATGCAGGCGCAGTACGACAAGCGGTCTCATGGGTTGTCGCTACTGAGGCAAATGCATTTTCTATAAGCGTGTTGCGGATGATACGTACTAGTTACGACACGGTGGTAGCACGCGAGTACGTGCATGAGATGCACGTTGCTGCAGGTTACTCAGAGGCGCTTGCATCCCGTGCCGCCACAGCCGGAGAGTTTCCACTTGAGCCCCCTCTTCCAGTTGTATTTAGCAGTGAAGCGGAGGGCCACATTGAGGGCTGTACGACATGTGAGGAATGTGTATTTCAGCCTTTGAAGTATCAGCAGCTGTTGATATCCTTTGTTAAAGATGAAACCCAGCATGTAAGGATGGCCTCACAACCATACGTGGCGCTGTCACATGTCTGGTCGCACTCTTTTGTGAGGCAGCCACTTGGACCGCAAAGTTGTGTGTACATCAACAAGTGTGTACTCGTGGCTTTGCGGCGCGCTGCGAAACACAATGGTGTCGAGCACGTTTGGATTGACTCAGCGTGTAACCCCTGTGATGTATCAGCGAACAAACTTGCTGTACTTAGCATGGATGTGCTCTACACTCATGCAAAAGCTGTTGTGGTGTTAGACCGGGATTTGGTGCGCTGCAAGGTGGCCGATAGCACTGAGTGGCTGCGTATGATCGCAGTGTGTGACTGGTCCACTCGTGCCTGGACATTGCAGGAGGCCAATTTGGCCCAAAGGGTCACGGTGATCAATAGATTCAAAGATGAGCACATCCAGTCTCGCACCGTTGTGCAGCCGCAGTTTCAGGGCCCCAGAGCACTGGCGTTGTACATGAGGCTCGGTTGGCTGTTCCTGCCAATAGATGGACATCTGACGGTGCATCAAGCATATCAAGTGCTTGAAGGGCGCAAGATAACCAATCCAGATGATTGGTGGTTGTGCATCGCTGGGCTCAGCAGGCAGATCAAGGCTGCTATATTGGCAAAATTTGACGACCATCCAGCTAAAGCCGTGTCACACTTATTCGGGCGGGTGGCCATTCCTCCATTATTGGCACCTGGCGCTCGCACCCAACAGGATGGACTGTGCTGGTTGCCATATCCAGGGGGCCGGCATCAGCTCATGCTGACAGGGCCAGGGCCAATGGCAGGTGTGGTGACGGACCACGGCCTCATCGTGCAGGTTCACATGGATGCCATAGCAAATGAGATGTGCTCTGTTCTCGGTGCTTCAGCCTATGCGGGCACAAACGGGCGGCATTTGTTTAAACGAATGACGCAGGGTGGCATTCCAGTCTGCTATGATCTGGTGTCAAGCAGAGTCCCCAAAGGGCAAATGTATGTGGCATGGGTTGCAATGCCCCAGAGACCAGTCATGCAGTGTTGGGTCGTGACAGCGTCCCCCGATGGGCGGCACCATGTTGTTGGCACTGGGTTGCAAGTGGGTGAATACCAGAGACAGCTACAACCAACACAGCAGATCACGCTGGCTGGCGGCAGTGGCTTCGAAGACGCTTATGCTGTCTTAGCGAGTCACTCTTCAGGGCCTGCTATTGGGCTTGAAGAGACGATATCTGCTTCGTGAGCGGATTTCGGTGCTTGACGACGTTTCGAGGGGAGGCCGTGATACACTTCTATAGTGTAGAGTGGCGGTGAACGTCGTCTATCACCCTCCTTATTTTTTTCCTTATATTTTATCATGAGCCGCCGCGTGGCGTTTCCTTTGATTGTCAAATTGTTTAAAATTCACTCGCCGGCGCTTCCAGAGAGCATAGGGCCTAGTATTCAAGTCCACTTGAGATATAGCGGTTGTTTTTATTTTGAACCATCCATTTTGCATTTATTGCATGAACGTTATATTAAGGTTCGGCCAACATTCTCAAAGTCAAATACTTCAAGCTTTGATGACACAAATACGTTGATGGCTATGATCATGTCCTTAGTCTCTACATTCTACTGAGATTTCGGGACAGTTGAACACTGACTTGCGCAAGCTATGCGTTGATATCGGTTTCACCTAGTATACACATTTTCCTACAGTTTCAACTTCATCACAAGAAAGCATGCAAATTTAGAAAAATGAAATATTGACTTTCGTTGGTTTGCAATGGCTTTTCCATGTCTGCAAATTCTTCATGGTCAGTGCTGCACCACCCGTGGCACTTGCTTCCCGAAATACTGACAATGCATCCGTAATTAGAGCCCAAATGATTGAAAAAGGAATTGCGCTATGTACTTTAATTAGAACTTTTTATTTTTATTATTTTTCAAGCTGTGATCATTCAAAAATGACGATCATGTCAATCCTGCATGCACATTGTCTATTTTGACAGTCGGTATCCAGCTCATTAAATATGTTATAACCTTTTTAACGTCATAATGCAGAGTGAAGCATGGACAGGCAGTTAACACGCCATTTGGAATAAAAGATTTATGTTATCATACGACTCCGTCCTTTTTGTTCATCTTTCTGTGAATGTTCTATGGCACAAGTGGGGTGGTACATGCCAAGAGATTATTGTCAAACTGATATCTTAGCTGTAAGAATGATTTTAGCCACTAGCACCAACACTATAAACCAAATTTTAGTTGACCTCACTCTTGGCAACCAAGGGTATCCGGGTTAACAGCAAGGAAATAAAAGACGGCTGTTTGGCAAATAAAATCCCTTATTTAGAAGTTCTGGCAGGCAGCAGTGAAGCGAATCTGACGACATCGAAGACCAAAAAGTTGAAACCCATTCATTTGAAACATAGGATAATCCCGTACCCATCCATAGTGTTTGATAAAACTTGGATAAATGATTAGGAAAAGCACATGGAGTTCGTAGCCATAGCACTGCATGAGTAAGCGCGCACTTTTAAAAATAATAATATCAGGCAAGAGTTGCAACAACAACAAGGCTGGGGGCCAATGTTGGACAAACGTGACTGTTGTACCACCCATTATCGCAGCGGATGTGGATACCGACATGAAATTCTTCTCTTTTTTTTACAATCCTTAATAGATAATCTTTTTTTAATCCTCAACTTAATATCAATACACGATGGGTAAAGGTAGACGATCATATACCATTAACACCCCAGCTTTAAGCTTGACACCGCCTCGGTCGTCGGCCGACCATTCGTTCAGCATTTCACCGCCCGATTTCTTAAATTCCAACCTCCAGAATGACAAACTCCAGCCTTTGACCCCCGAATTCAAAACCACTGCCGCTCAAAGACGTAATTCCGTTGCTCAACAAAAGAAATACGATGACCTCGAACATAAGCTGGAAGCAACACCCCTATATGTTCTCATCTGTACCTATCTCAACTACTTTTTGCTCATCTGCTTTGGTCATTTACGTGACATATTGGGCAAGACATTCAAGCGCCACGAATATAAGCATCTTTTGATGAATAAGGTGAAATACTGATAGGCCCATTGTGCACTACCCTTTCGACTTTCTGTCACTAACACACTGTGTTAACTCTCCCTCAGGGTTACGCTGCATTGGTATCCGACTTTGACTCCTTCTATACTCGTCGTTTGTATATCAGAATTCGGTAAGTGCACTATTATGTAGTGATGACATTCCCTTTGGCCCTAAGTTCTCAATTTTTTCTTTCTTTTGTAGTGATTGTTGGAATAGACCTATTACTGGTGTTGCTTCTCGCACCGTTCAACTATTGGAGAGAGAGAGCCCTGATTATAATAGAACTTTTAGGTAATTTTTCTCTCTTACTTTCATTCCCTTATTTAAAACCGCCCGCCTCGCCCTGCTGCATACTAGGAGTTGGTTCAACCCCGGAGTTTCCTATTATATGCACATATTCTTATATCCTAACAATTCCTTTGTCTGGTATTTGTTTACCTTTGCAGACTCACCGGCAGAGTGACTGAAGCTATTAACTTTGCTTCATATAATTATCGTAAGTTTAACCATGATGAGGGTGTTGTCGACCTATAGACTCATTTTTTTTCCCCATCTTCCAGTTGGCTTTGCTCAATCCTCGGGACCATGCGCTGACGCAGTAGAAGAAGCTACGCGCCGTCTTGGCAACGTTACCTGTAGCACCCGCGCAGAAGCCGGTGGCAGTGACGTCCATAATGAATTGGAACAACTTGTTGCTCGCTTTGTTGGCAAAGAAGATGCCATGGTTGTTTCTATGGGTTTCGCAACCAACTCTACTACCATTCCTGCTCTCGTCGGCAAGGGATGTCTAATTATCTCCGACGAACTTAATCATGCTTCCATTGTCTTTGGTGCTCGACTCTCTGGTGCTTCTGTCCGTGTCTTCCAACACAATAATATGGGCAGCTTGCGTGAGCTTTTGCGAGAAGTCATTTCCCAAGGTCAACCTAGAACTCACCGTCCATGGAAGAAGATCCTTGTTATTGTTGAGGGTCTTTATTCCATGGAAGGTACCGTTGTTAATCTCCCCGAACTTGTTGCTCTTAAGAAGGAATTCAAGGTATGATTTTTATTGGACTTGTAGCTGGCTCGTCTTGTACTGACCCTATCTATTTGCATTGGTGCATTCATTTCACTATCAGTTCTACCTTTATGTCGATGAAGCTCACAGCATTGGCGCTCTCGGCGAAAATGGCGGTGGCGTTTGTGACTTCTTCGGCGTGGATCCTGCGGATGTCGATATCTTGATGGGTACCTTCACCAAGTCTTTTGGTGCTGCTGGTGGTTATATCGCTGGCGACAAGGCTGTCATTGATCACCTTCGTGTCCGCAACCATGCTTACATTTACGCTGAAACCATGTCGGTTCCCGTTGCTCAGCAAGTCCTCACCAGCACCAAGATCATTTGCGGTGAAGACGGTAGCGATGACGGTCGCCGTCGTATCAAGCAACTGGCTGAGAACTCTTTGTACTTTGCTGCCAAGTTGCGTGAAATGGGATTCATCGTGTATGGCGACCAAGGTAGCCCGGTGGTTCCTTTGCTTCTATTTAATCCTGCAAAGATACCGTAAGTGATTGGGGGAAATTTTCCATTCCATTCCCGTTACTGTTTTGTTTTCTGATGATGACTGTCTCCCAAAAATAGAGCGTTTTCTCGTGAGTTACTCAAACATGGCATTGCTGTTTGTGTGGTTGGATACCCTGCTACGCCAATCATTACCTCGCGTGCCAGATTCTGCTTATCTGCATCGCATACTAGGGATGACATAGGTAAGTTTAAATCGGAGTTCCCGAATTTTTTTTTTTTTTTTTTAACTTGACAGTTTAACTAATATTTTCACCTTCAGATTGTGCCCTTAATGTTATCAGCGAGGTCGGGGACCTACTCCTTCTTAAAGTCAGCCAAAGCAAGAATCAATAATTTAAGAACGAATCGCCAACTACTTTTTTCTAATTAAATTGGCAAAAACTTTCTTTGTATCATTCTATTTTTTTCTAAATACATCTTCCCCATTTTGCATCTGTGAACACACCTTTTTTCTGTTATTCTAAAAAAAAAAAACCTACCCACCAACCAATTAATAATCGATTAAAAGAAAATAGTTGAACGAAATGTTCCTATAAGAGGGAAAGATGGGTTGACCACCATGATGTCAAAAATTTGATTTTAAAGATAAAGCTATTGTTTCGGAGTTCCGATCTATTTCATACAACGCTGGTTTGAAGAGAGCGGTTGAAAAAGTTTTTATATATATTGAAAAAAGTTGGGCTTCGAGGTTATGTACAGAAAAAGAGAAGAATGGAAAAGAAACCAGAGAAAAAAGGGGGTGTGGTGAGGGTATAGATACAGTATAGAAAGCGTTTAGGCAATAGGGACAGTAGCCGGCGCCGTGTTCGACGCAGAAGGATGGGGACCCGCCCCTCCTCCAGGAGTAAAAATGTGCTTGACATTATCGTCCTTGAAGTAATCGCCAATGGTTTTACCACTCTGACCAGTGAGTTGTTCCAGATCACGGGTAACCTCGAATCGTCGACCCTCCAGGCGTTGCTGCAAGCCCCACATTTCCAACAGGAAAATAGCCTTATCGTCCGAACCCATGGTCTCACTAAGCACATCTCTGAGTCGTCGCATATCCATGGCATCCACCGGTAAGTCTCGGCCCAAGCCGGCTGACACACGTTCGCTCAATTCTTGCAAAGTCAACAGCTGTGGACCGGTCAGCTTATAAACGCTGGAAGAGTGTCGGGTGGTGGGGGAAAAGGCAATAAAAGACACGGCTCTGGCAATGTCTTGCATATTGCAAGACTCAACGGTGATTTGCAGTTGCTTGCCTGGCAGAGGGAATGAGTTATGCGTGATGATGTGCTTAGCAAAGAACACCAAATGTTGATGTAGAATTCCTGGATAACGCAGAATAGTGATTTGAGATGCAGGAAACTGCAACTGCAAGTGAGACTCGACCATCAAGAACTGTGATCGGTAAGATGTTGCTTGAGAAAGTAGGCTGCGCTTTTGACCATCATGGCTGGGAGGTGTAAGTGGTGGTGTAACATTGGGAGAGGTTGAGGGATCCAAAGGACTGAAGGGAGTCAAGAAAATGACGTGGCTGACCTTGGCTTGCTTGGCTGCATCAATGTATCTGCAATCAGGATTTATGAGTCAAGGGGTGTCTAACATGTATCAACGAATCAAAAGGAAGGTGACTCACGCTCTAGCATAATCAAAGGCGTTGTTGCGAGTAATTCGGTCACTAAGAGGATCCACTACCAAAATAAGCTTGGCCATGCCCTGAAGTGCGTCGACAGCCTTCTCGGGTTGTTCAAAAATATCGAATTCTACAAGATGAGCTCCTTTTCTTTGAAGAACTTGAGCGTTGGATGTTGAAGCGTCTGGTACACCAGCAAAGACGGGATAAGGTGGTAAATGGGGATGACGCTGCGGCAGGTCCAAAAGATGTTGGACAATATGTGAACCCTTTTCGCCATCGGCGCCTGACACATAGATGGAGCCCTTGCCATCAGACGTGGAAGGTGCACTGTAGGACCGTAACAATGAAGTGGATGAATTCATGTTTGCAGTGAGAAGAAAAAAGAGAAGGGTGAGAGTCAAAAACTGCCTGGCTGAATATTAAGGCACGTTTTTATAAATTAGAATTTTTTTTTGTCTGGCTTATCTAGCCAATCAACTGGTTGCGAGATAAGAAAATTTTGTACCTCTTTTAGTTCTCCCGTTCTCCCGCGCTTTCCCAAAACCAAGATAAGTGGAGGGCAAACCGATGCTGTTTGTTGATATTCCAACTGAGAAACACCATGGCATCATACTGGGTGTTAGCATTCAAATAACGCATAAGCAGAAGGTCTTTAAATTGTTAGCTCGTTGAGCTGCGTCATTGGGACATTTCACTTATCAACTTGCCTAAATTGCCAACTCAGTGACACACAACTCATTACGCCACGTGTAGACTTTTTGCTGAAAGAATTCAAATTGTAATCTTGTGGAGACATGGGACCAATCATGTTGCGTCCTCGGTTGCACTTGTGGGATGACCGACGTTTGCCGTTGTTTACCCAACACAGGCGGCTAATCCGAGGTGATAACATGGCTACGACGTGGCCAATTTGTAATCAGTACTGTTATTTTTATTTATGCCAAATCGCCGGTGATCTGCTATCAAATGGACAAACAAAAGAAATAAGCCCGGAGAAAGTTTAGTCCAGCTCACTCCAGCTTGACCGTGCCCTTTCTGAATACGATGCCGACCGAGCTGTGAAGCCGAACTAGACTTGGGCCAAGCCATTCTATTTCAGCGAACACCGATGGACGGCACCGGGGCCAAGGGAAGCCGGCCGGTTAGTTCCAGAGATGGTGCAGCACTCAAACAGTTGGAAAAACGTAGACAGCTTGTAAACCTGCGATTTTGGACAGCCAGTCTTTTCACGTGACGCAGACGCTTTAGGTATTTTCTTTCCAACTCTTTCTTTTTTCTTCAATGAGTGGCGGCCTTTAAAATTTCGACTGACGTTTCTCCTCTCAATCACCTACTCACAGCACACAATGGCAACTGACAATAAGAAGGCCTTGGTATACTCCATTATGGAGTTTTTGGAAAAGTCTTGCAAGGATGGATCAGTCAAGGAGGACAGTGTTGAAGGCATTGAAGGTAAGGATCTTTGAATAGTGTTCGTATTGTTGCATCCCCCCGTACCAATCTGGACACCTTCCCCTTTCATCAGTCGCCATTCAGTGCTTAGGTGAAGCATTCGACGTCGATCCCACCGACGCCGAGCAACAGAAGCAATATAGCACCAAGCCCGCTACCCTTCAAAACATTTTTGATGTATACCTGAAGACCAAATCGAACAAGAAGGTAAGCAACACGCCTAATACCCAGGACACGTCGAGCAGGGGATCAACTTTGGACTCATTTTTTTTTTCTACAGCCTGCTGCTCCTTCAGCAACTACTTCCAAGTCTGCACCAGCCGCCTCTTCATGTAAGTCTATCACAGTCTATTTCCCATTCGCTTTTATATTGTGGCGCACTGACACGTCTTCTTTACAGCCGTGAGTCATACATGCATTGATATATTTCACCAAAACTCGAAAATACTCATCATTTTTTTTTGCAACAAAAGGAGGTTTCAGAGGACGATAAGAAAACTGCTGAGGATCTCAAGGTGCAAGGTAACCGTAAGGTGGCCGAGAGAAACTACCCTGAGGCCATTCGTTTGTACAGCGAAGCCATTAGCCATAACCCCAACAATGCTGTGTTCTACGGCAACCGGTGAGTAGTTTACATCATAGCGAAACTTTCAGAATGATCATTTCATTAATATGTCGGCATGGTAGAGCTGCAGCCTACAGTCAACAGGGTAACCATGACCAGGCTATTGAAGACTCCAAGACCGCCATTGAGCTTGATCCTAGCTACAGCAAGGCTTACAGCCGTATGGGGTAAGCATAGACCACTGGAAGCCAGCCGAAACCAAAAAAAATTTTAACCTTTTTTTTTGTTTGCTCGTACCCCTCCAGACACGCACATTTCTCCCTCGGTAAATACGACGAAGCCATCACTGCATATGAGAAGGGTTTGGAATTGGATCCTAGCAATGCTACTCTCAAGTCATCCATCGAAGCTGCTCGTGGAAAGCTTAACGCTACCTCCGTTGAACGATCAGCCAGTCCTCCCTCCGGCGGTGCCGGTGGCGGTTTCCCTGGTGGCATGCCCGACCTTGCTGGTCTGTTAAACAACCCTGCCATGATGAACATGGCTCAACAAATGATGCAGTCTGGTGCCTTCAACGATTTGATGCAAAACCCCGAACTCATGTCCAACATGTAAGTCAGCACATATCGGGGTCATACCATAACCATGATTAACCAATTCTGATTTTACTTTGTAGGGCCCGACAATTCATGGGTGGTAACGGAGGTGGTTTGTCAGAGATGATGCAGAACCCTGAGATGATGGACAGGTATGTTGACGATTACATATAACCACATGCACTTATTTTATATGTCCTATTTCAAAATGGACTAACTCTTGCTTTTCCAACAGAGCACGTCAGTTCATGGATACAATGGGTGGACCTAACGGTGGTGGCAATGCTGGCAGCAACAACAACAACGAAAACAACCAATAAATTCCATAATGTAGGAAACGCACTATCTTGGTTTCTTTATATAAATTCTTCACAATGGCATTAGAATCAAAAAAAGCAAATTTTTTATATGTGCAAGCAGGTTTGGTTGTGAAAGAGTAACAGAGGAACGGAAGGGTAAATGGGGGGCAAAATGGATAAGTAAAAAATCTAGTAGAACCAAGTAAAAAATTATGGGTTCAGCGTAATCTAGCAACAGGCGGTTTCTTCGTCGTTTTGACGTTGCTTCTTATCAACGTGATCGTTCTCGTCCAATGTAGGGACTGGCTGTGCCTTGAGCGCTTCTTCCTTTTCCCGCTTCCTCTGTTCGCCCTTGGCTTTGCCATGGTCAGAAGGCAGGGTAGGGCGGAAGTAAGGTTGGCATCGCCAATGACCATATTTACGTATACCATTTTCATCCGATGCTCCATTGAGCTCTTCTTCGCCGATGTCCTCCTGATCCTTCTGCAAACGTTCCTTCAGACGATCGACAATGGAGACGAGCGTGTCCAAACTGCCAGCCTTGGCAAGCTCGGTGCGTAAATCGGTGTGAACAGGAAGACTAGGCTGAAGGAGTTTGAACAAATGGGCCTTCATGACGCTGACTCGAGTAGGGTTGGTTTTGCAAATGTCCAGGTATTCTTGAGCCATTTCCCAAACAGCGGGTGGCATGTCGCGAGGGGTGAAAATAGCTGGATTGTAAAGATTTCCTTCAGCACTCATGACGCCGTCGCATCCAGTGTGTTCTAAGCATCGCTGTACGTCTTCATAATACAAAATATTGCCATTGGCAATCACTGGAATCTTGAGGGCTTCCTTGACGGCCTTGATTTTATCCCAATCAGCCAACCCAGTGTTATGACCCTTTTGCTCTCTCAAACGTCCATGGACCGTCAACATCTGAGCTCCAGCAGCTTCGATCATCTTTGCGTATTCCAAAGTGCGCTCCAAAGTGGGGAAAACTCGGATCTTCACAGTAACTGGAATAGCTAGCTCACGGTGCAAAAGAGACACCATCTCCTTGATCAAATCCCACTCGTCTTGCAAGTAAGAACCGTATTTTCCTTTGCGAGCGATGTGCTGAGGGCACCCCAAATTCAAGTCCACAGCGTCGCAGTCGTTCTCTACCAGCTTGGCTGCTCTCAACAAAATCTGTGGGTCGTTTGCGCAAAACTAGTTTGGGTAAAGTTAGTATGTTGGCACCGCAGTCTGTCCATTTAAGTATGGGATGGTACCTGAACGACCAAGGGCCGGTCTTCATTGTCCGTGCTCCACTGCTCCTGTCTATACTTGTGGCCATTGTCGGGGTCACTGAAGAGCCTTGCATGAAACATGGGAGTGAAGCACAAGTGAGAGTTGTAGCGACGGCTAAGAATGCGCCAGGCATGCTCCGACTGGTCGACCATGGGAGCGACAATGTGCTTTGGGGATCCGATAGACCGGAAAAAGTCGTAACCAGACAGCTTTTGCTTAGTGACAGGTTGTTGTTCCATTGCGATAGTAGTGATGGCAGATGAATAAGCTTTAGAAATAGTTTTCCAACGAGTTGATGCCAGGATGCTTTTAAGCATGAACCAAGTGCCTAGAAAACTCGAGCACAATTGGAACCAAAAAAAAAAAAAAAAGACAGTAGAGATAATACACAGTCACAACTTTTTTGAGGGAAAATGGCAGAGTCAATAGGAGAAGGACGAGAGATTTGCCAGCTGTCGATCGCCATGGCGAAAAGAAAAAGAAATCAATCAAGGGAGCCTAGTAAAGAGCGTAAAAAGTCAAGCAAGAAGTCCAAAATTGATCCAGGTATGTATTCTCATGCCACTCGCACTGTCTTACGCTGTTATTGCACGAAACTGACACACTCCAGCCGTTTCAGGCCCGTCTACGCATCTACGAGAAAAGGATTTCACAGGCGATGACTCAGACAACAACGACGACTATATTGCCTTCAATGTTTCCGACGACGACGAGATTACAAAGAGCGAGCCCGAATCGGTACAGGACAAGTCGTCTCGAAGAAACACCGACGATGAAAGCAAAAAGACCAGCAAGAGGCGACCAGATGAGACGTGGAAGCGCTACATCGATGATGGACTAGAACGGCCGTGGGCCAAAGACTTTCGGTACCGAAAGGCAAGAAACATAGGAGAGCGACTCAATATGGAAATGACAGATCTGGTGGAGTACTTATCGCCCACTGAAGAAGAGCACACCATGCGGCGGTTTGCAGTGCATCGTATACGACAGTGCGCACAAATGGTGTACCCTTCTTGCACTATTGAGGTGTTTGGCAGTTTCGAAACCAAATTATACCTTCCCACAAGTGACATTGACCTTGTCCTGTTTTACGACGGGAAGGATGCCAGAGATACCACAAGAGTATTGTCTCGATTAGCGGATGCGTTAAGGAAGCAAGGCATCGCCTATACCGTTCAAGTGATTGCGAAAGCGAGGGTAAGTCATGGTTCAATCAAACAAAATGTGTGCGTCCTATTGAAAAATCCGCTCCTAAACGTATGTTTTCTTTCTTGCCCAGGTGCCTATCATTAAGTTTGAAGAAACATTTACTGGATACCAGATCGACGTTAGTTTGAATACCGCAAATGGAGTTCACAGCGCCGAAGTCGTAAAGGAAATGCTAGTGCAAGCGCCGGCGCTTGGACCGCTTACACTCATTTTCAAACATCTACTAGGATTGCTGAAACTCAACGAGGTGTTCACCGGTGGTTTGGGCAGCTATGCAGTTGTACTAATGGTCATGAGTTGTCTGCAGACGCACCCAAAGGTCGACATGTCAGATGCCATGGATAATCTTGGAGTCATCTTTGTGGATCTTTTAGAGCTATATGGCCAGCACTTCAATATTTATAATGTTGGTATAGATGTAGCGAAGAAGGGATTTTATGAAAAGGTAAAGGAGAAAGCAACTGTAGTTGATCGACATATAAACCGTATACTAACGTGCAATCTTTTCTACCTTGTGTTTCTCGTTCATTTTTCCTCTGCCCGTCCATTTTCTTCTTTTTTATCCTTTAGATGGAAACAAGAAATACATTTGCTGTGCGAGACCCGACCGATGCAAGTAATGATGTTTCACGTGGTTCGTTCAACTGCCAACAGATTCGAATTGCCTTGAAGGACGCTTTCAACACTTTGACGCGGGCTATCACTTCTCTCAACCGACAAGTATGGGATTTCCATAAAAAGGACGACGGCATCTCGCTTTTAGGATGCATCATCCATGTTGACCGGCAGGCCATCACGCACCGTAGCCAGGTCCTTGATGCGTATACCAGTCAGCAGTGGAAGGACATGCCAGGAGCAGAGACATTTGATGCCAGTGATAACGAATCGTCCATATCGACCACCAAAGAGCAAGTGATTGTTCATAAGCAGCACGATGTCTTTGACAAGAAGGGAAAGCGACGCAGCAAGAAGGATATTGTGTATGTGTTGGAAGATGAGGACCCGGAATTCAAAGGGAAAGGCAACGCGTGGTCGTCTGAAGAGGATGATCATGGCCTGAGTCTCCCGCAATTAGCATGAGCCTATACACGTTTGTGGATAAAGACACAAGGGAAAAAAAAACAATCGTCAAGACTTTTTGGTTGATATGGAACGTCATCGCCAAACCACATTATATACATATAGAGCAGGGAGCTAGATAACCCTTTTGTCAGAGACTGTAATGATACTTTGCGTTTTATGTTGATCAGCATCGTAATAGCAAAAAAAAGTAAACCAATGAGAAAGTGTAATGAAATGAGCGAAAAAAAAAAAAGGAAGAAGAGTAGAGTCCCTCTCGTGCTATGCTTATTTATATCTTTTATATCTACATTGAAAAATGGGTGGGGGAGATGTATATAGGGTACGCACACCACATTCTAGTACTAAAAGGTAAAGGGTAGATCTGTCAACACCTTCTTAGCAGACAGGCACATTGACGGCAAGACCACCTTGACTAGTCTCCTTATACTTGGACATCATATCCAGACCAGTTTGGCGCATGGTTTCAATGACTTGATCGAGGGTGACACGATGATCGCCTTCACCGTTGAGAGCAAGCTGGGCGGCGGCAATGGCTTTGACAGCAGCAAGGGCGTTGCGTTCGATACAAGGGACCTGAACGAGTCCAGCAATTGGGTCGCATGTCAGACCAAGGTTATGTTCCATACCGATTTCTGCAGCATTTTCCACTTGATCGATTGAGCCTCCCATGACGGCTGTAAAACCAGCAGCAGCCATGGAACAAGCAACGCCGACTTCGCCTTGACATCCAACTTCGGCGGCAGAGATACTGGCACCACGCTTGAACAACATACCAATAGCAGCGGTGGTCAATAAAAATTCCATGACATCTCGTTCGGGATTTTCACTGATGAATTCTAGGTAATACTTGAGAACAGAGGGTATAGTACCAGCCGCGCCATTGGTAGGGGCTGTCACGACACGACCGCCACAAGCATTCTCTTCATTGACAGCGATAGCATACACGGAAAGATAGTCGAGGGCGGGTAAGAAGAACCGCTTTCGCTCACGCTTAGGCAAAACTGACAATGAAAGTGGTGATTCGGTATGCGGAGTAGTATGGCTTGATAGATCAGAAACAGGGTTGGAGGTTGGGGCGATTTGAGTGTCGTTGTACTGCTTGACCGAGATAGGGCCATAAAGTCCTTTGAGCAACTTGTTATAAAGCCCGGGAGCTCTACGCTTGACTCTGAGTTTACCAGGGAGGTAAGCTGCCAAAAAAAAAAAAAAACAAAAAAAAAACCGTGTGAGTTGATTTAAGCATATAATAAACCAATCTGTCAACCGTCTTACCTTGAGTGCTAGCCATAACGCCATTACGAATGCTTTCATCCATGGTATTCCAGATCTTAAGCAGGCGGTCTCGAATCTCTTCAGCCGATCTCCACTTGAGCTCATTTTCAAATACAACCTGGGCAATGGTCATGTTCTCGCGCCTACACACCTCCAAAAGCTCTTGAGCATTCTTGAAAGGCAAGGCAGCCACTGCGATATCTTGTTGTTGACGATCAGCCAACGATGCCTCTTCACTGAAATCTTGCTTGTAATAGACATTCTCTCCATGGTCCATCTGTGTTTTGTCATTCACCACAAACCCGCCTCCAATACTAAAATATTCATTGGTCGCAATCAAATTGGTGTCCTTGTCATAGGCACAGAAGCGAAGACCGTTGGGATGTTGAGGTAAGCTTTGAAAGTAATTGAAAATCAAATGCTTCTCTGGATCAAAATGGATACGATGGGTGCCGTTAATGCGAAGACTCTTGTTGGTATGAATGTCCTGAACTCTTGATTTGATAGTACTGGTTTCGACGCTTTCTGGGGCTTCACCTTCCACGCCCATCAGGATGGCATCAGGGGTACCGTGACCATCGCCTGTCAAAGCCAATGATCCGTACATGTCTAACGGCGGCAGAAATAGGAGAAAGTAAGTACTGGATGATAAGATAAGGTTGGGCTGGGCTGGGCTTTACTATCATACCTATACGAAGGCTAGCAACACGTTCTAGCATATTGGCTTCCTTTAGATCACCGATGAAAATCTTAGCGGCACGCATGGGACCCACAGTGTGAGATGAGGACGGCCCGACACCAATGGAAAAAAGATCAAAAGTGGATACCACTGCGTGGTGATCGGATGCTTCATCAGGTACGGGGGTTTCTTTAGCAGCAGAAGTCATGGTGGTATAGCGAGTTTGAGCCAAAGCCAGATGATAGGGTTTCAATGCTCTACCTGAGCTGTGAATAGCTTTGTTGAACAGCCTCGGAAATGAGAAAGCTGAGGACATTGTTGAGAATGACCTGGATTAGAAGGGAAGGAAAAGAGAAGAAGTGGGAGGAAGCGGGGAAAAAGAAAAAAAGAGGTATGGTATTTATACCAGGAAAGCAAGCAGGCAGATCTTCCGGACAAGTTATTTATAAACGCAGCTTGGAAAAAAATGAGATATCTATGTCGTCTTGTGTACTTCTTTTGCTTTCACCGTGTTTTTTCAATATGTTAACTCGGTGGAATGTACTGTAATTTGGTGTGAACTGAAAAAATTCTTGCGGATTCTGAATCGTGGGAACTGGGCCTCCAAGCCACCCTGCTCCGACTCAACGGCCCATACTGAAGGTATAAATTAAAAATGCCCATGGCTAGTTTTTTGGGTGCTGTTTGCCAATTAGTTTTTTTAAAAAGTGAATACTTCAATCATTTCATCATTATAGATAGTGTAACATTGTGAATGATGTAGCGCTCACAAAGCCCTCAGTCCCCATTTAGTTTGTATGGACATACGGCGCTCTATCCGTACCAGGCATTTTGAAAACGTAGCCAACGGCAGTGTGATGAAAGGTAGAATGAATTTCTGGCTTTTTTTCTACTGGTTCCATGTAAGCAGAGTGGCCTGCAGAGCTAGGTTGTAAAATGGACGCCATGAATTGCACTCCCACAGTGGGAGGCAATTTCTCAGTCGTAACCAACCCCCACCGTTTATGACCGTCTGCTGATCATATGAGCAACGGAACCACAATGAGAGCATTGGAGAACCTCCCATAGAAATGAGGGTATGGAATCATATGTGCTTAGCCATACGTGCAGGGCAAAGTCAACTTTCTTAGACTACACGATGGGCATTTTATGGACGGTCACATTTGACCAGTGCTTCTCAGACCTATGTCATGGCGTGCACGGTTGACAATCGCATACCACAATTCGCCATAGAACACCACGATATGACAGCATCGTCTTCTAGTACAGCCGAGAGAGCAGTTTCAGGACGAAGATGCTTATGGGTTATGAAACCTCCTCGGTCATACCGAGTACATCCGACAGTCGAACATGTCACCTATCATTTCCTTATACAATTAAGATTCATAAACGGAGCCTGTGTCAAGGTTTAGCCACCCCACACGCTTATCAGTTATCTCAATCCAATCATGACTGTCAGCAACATAGTAAGAACACGTTTTTTATTCCCTGAGCAAACCAAGACCAGCCAACACACTGTCTTCATAGTCGGTCTCCACTCCTAATCTACATACCGCACGGTGTTCTTATTCATCCGTGCGTCATCTTTACAAGTTCTGCTTGATGGCGTCAAGCTTAGCCTTGAGTTCATCCTGGCTTGGCTTGAGTTGAGTCCATCTCATAGCCAAACCATCCTCCTCCTTGTTCTTAGGAATGACGTGGAAGTGAACGTGAGGTACCTCCTGCAAGTGGCGATAATAAAAAAACATAAGAGCCGTGTTCGAAGCTGCAAAAGAGGGCTTGTCTATCGGAGTTCACTATACCTGATGAGCCAACTTGCCGTTGTTCTGATGAAAGAAAAAACGTTAGTTTCGGCGAACATCCATCCTTGTTTTCCGTACTGCCGCTTTACCTGCAAAATGTTGTAGTACTTGAGACCGCTGGCAACAGCTACCTTCTTGGCCAAGGGCATGGCATCGGCAAGGTATTCATCGGGAACCTCGTGCATGAATTCGGCGTGGTCTATTGGAAGCAAAAAATGAGTCTTCATGACAAATGGGTGCCTTCGTAACCGGGGTGGGTGCTTACATTTAGGAATGACAAGCTATGGGATAATAAAGAAGAACGTTATTTGATATTAGAACGGATGTATGTCAAAAATACCGTTCGGCCAAGCGCGAGCACGCGGCTGACTTACAGCATGGCCCTCGCTCAAGGGCATGATATCCAAGAAAGCGTAACTATAAAGTCGAGTGAGTTTAATATGGGATGGAATGAAACGAGACGCTGCATAGTGACGTGCGGCTACGCGTACCTCTTGTCAGTTTCGGCAATCTTCTGCGAGGGGATTTCACCACTAGTTGTTGTGCATTGAAATTAAGCAACACTCGGGTGAATACTTTGGTGGTATAGACGCGATAGTTTAGTCATAAAGATTTACCGAATGATCTTGCAGAAAATGCAGTTGTCGGATAGATGAGAAGCAGACATTTTAGAGAATGTACGAGTTTGTAAAGCAGGTATACGAGTTTGCAAACGAAGGATATTTGCCCGCATTACCAGCCGCTTCCGATTTCTCCACAAGAGACAAAATTTTAGACTAGCTCGCACAGGCTGTCCTTATCCCCCACCCTTGACCTATATCTCAGTCAAGAAATGATGAAACAGTATTGATATGACTTTGCCGCCCTTCTACAAGCTGCGTTGTGTCCCCTCCTTCTGCATAATTATTTTTCCTCTGCGCTGCGCAGCAAGTGATTCCATTTTCAAAAGATAAATTTTAAAACTACGCAGTGTGTTATATAAATTGGTGACTCCAGAATGGGTGACTCCAACTTTTTCGTATTCCCTCATACCGTCAAAAGTGCTTATATGAAGGACGTTAAAATTCTTCGCTTTGACATAAACGACTCGACCTCCCCAGACGAAGTTAATTTTGTTTGTGTCAATCATGCGGCGCGAAAGCAGATTAACGGCAACCTGTACCTTCAAGTCCTGAAGCCCACCACTCTCAAGCAGATAACGATAAAGTTACAGGGCGAGTGTCTGACCACATTAAAACAAGTGACTCCCGAGATGGTGTTTATGAGAGAACAACTGTTATCTGTGAAATGTCATCTCATCAATGCTCAAGAAAGCATCCTCGATGCACCTAAAGAGTTTGGAGTCGGGGAGCACTGTGTGCCATTCGCCATTAGTATAAGGCAAGATTTGCCGTCGACACGAGATTATCAGATGACCAATAAAGTAGTTTCCATCAGCTATCGCCTTGTAGCAGCGTTGGAAGCACATCACAACTCTCTATCAACGCTGGTTCGCAATGCCAGCTTCTCCAAACCCGCAGGCGACGCTCATCTTCCCATCAAATTGATGCAATTCACATTCAGGTCCACCACAGATATGTTCCCGGTCAAACAAGTCAATTATAAGGGCAAAAGAGAAGGAAAGATCGAGTATGGCATCGTGGTGCCTGAGAAAATACTAGTTCCGCTCGAGCGTCTCCATATGCGAGGCAGTGTGTTACCGTTGGATACCGAATCTGTAGTAGATCATATGGTGGTCAAACTGTGTCAGCAAAAGGCTATATCGTAAGTACTATGGTGGGGGTTCCCAAGGTGAGTTGAGTGCATACTAAACCCGCCCTCTACGCTAGACTTGTTTCCAAAGATCCATTGCGGCCATCGACCTATAATATGATGCATGCTGATGCTGAACTTAATGTGGTGGTGCTGGCAGGTGAAGTACTTTTTGGTCTATGCAGGCAGATACACTAGTGTCAACTAATATGGTATGGTTGGTATTTGTAGAACGACAGTTCAAGTATGAACCCAAGCAAGGAGCAGAACAAATCGATCTAGGTAAGCAATGGGAAGCATTAGTGCAGTTGAAACAATGAAAGAAATACTAACCCTGGCGGCGACAGATTTTGATGTGTACTTTAAAAAGGAGGACGTGGTCGCCACGTTTGACTCGCCCATGTTCGAGGTTAGATACTTTGTGAAAGTGACTATAGAGTTCGCGAGCGAGCAAAAGCGATTGTCATTGAAGTTCCCCACCGCCATGGCCACCGTCATGGAATCGTATGATTTCCCTGCATCTCCACCTATGGATCAACCGTTACCAGAATACACTGTGAATGAAGAGGCTCCCTCTTACGATGGCATCTCTTCTAGCAGTCCGTGAAGCATTACCTGTATACTTTAATTGAATTCATCTGCTGTCGCCCTACTTTAAATAGATCATCTTTAATAATAGCATACAGTGCGACGGATATTTTCCTTACATAGCTCTGTGCAGATCCTTGGTCGATCGCATCCGGTAAAGCCGATATATATATATGGGGCGGGAGGAGGTTTTTTATTGCATGGTGGTTGAGAGTTACATACAAGCGAGATGACAAAGAAGCGATATGCGATCAATAACGAGAATGAGCCGATCTAGTTATTGGCTAGTCTAACACGAGAAAGCTAATGTACAGAAGTTGGGGGAGGGGGTTTATATGCCAGTCGGGATGACACCGCTTGAAGTGATTGAAGCGAGAATTGCGCCAACGCCGGCAGAGCTTGCAGCGCCTGCCACTCCACCAGCGGCGGATGAAACAGCTGAGTTGCCACCAGAGAGACCGGCAATGATAGTACCCAGCTCACTTGGAAGATCATTGCTCGAGAATGGGCAGGGGAATGTCGCTGATTCACTGAGGGTAGGTGAAATGTTGATGCCCAATATGTTAATGGTGACGGTTACTTTGTAGTTGACGGTAAGATCGGATGTAGCTCCTCCCAATATACCGCACTTTTGGAAAATATCCAACATCATGGCTTGCGACCCCGACTGCGTTGGATCATATTCGATTTGGAAAGGGAAGGTGATGTTGGTGATGGATTGTGAGCCGATATGAACGTTGTCTTTTTCTCCTTCACCAACAGGAACCGTCGGTGCAGTAGGATAATAAACCTAAATCGGTAAAGTGAGTAAAATTGAAGGTCCACGAGACATACGGCGTCAATGCGAAACAGCTGACTGAATTATTACTTACAACCGCTTTGATACTGGTGAAGGTTGCGCTCTCAATGTTTGGATTGACCACGCCAATATTAAGATCAAAGTTAAAATTGAATCCGGTTCCGTTCAACTGAATGGGCTGGGTGCTGTTACTTAAGGTAATCCCGTTAAAGCTCACTTGAGGCTGTTTGAACAGCGCAGCCAGCACGCCGATCGTTATACCCAAAGCCAAGATGATGATCAAAAGCCCACATGCACACCATCGCAGCCACATGGGACAACAACCGCAACAGCAACCGCAACAGAACCAGTTACAGCAGGTACGCTCGTGCTGACTGTCCCGATCATCGTCGTCTTTATCAAAGTAACTTTGCTGTGGCGGCATGGGAGCTAATCTCTTGGTATCTGAATAAGCATAGGCGTTGTCCTCGGCTGGCATTGGGGTGCTAGCGTTGGAGGTATTGTATTCATTGTGTGCCGAATAATAAGGATCATGGTGGTTGGTGGGTATTGGGTGCATGGCGTAGTCATCCTCATAATACGGCTGCTGCTGCTGAGGAGGCTGGTATGGATAATACGACGGTTGATGCTGGTAATCCTGATGGTATGCCATGAAGTGAGAATACGGAAGAAAGAGGAGGGATAAGAAATTCGCAAGAAAAAGTTTCAATCAATTCTATAAAAAAATATTTTGGTACAACATTGCATTTTTTCCATAGCACCAGGGGCACGGTTCCCCTCACCAACCTCTTGCACCTCTTTTTATCTCCTTTCTACAACATTTCCAGTCACTACTCACCTCATACTTCCTTATATTGTCCATTCACCACCCCCCATGACGATGCAATTTCAACCATGGCCATATCAGTAGACCGGAGCTCAACTCTCATTTGTACGACGGAATTGAAATTCCATAGTCTGGCCCTTCTAAACACTATGATTTATTCCTTTTCCGGGTAATTATGCCAATGATAAAAAAAAATATGATACACATTATTTGCAACGGACCGCCATTGCTAAGTAAAAAGCATGAAAGTCATGCTAGTAGAAGCGAGAAGAGATCTGCCACTTATTATACAACTAAAAGAAAAAGGTTTCCAAATTAACCCTCAGATACCAGGCGTGATTGGCCAGCCGCCTAAGGACCGACGGAAACTTGGACAGCGCTCTCGTATTGTGGAGTATACTCTGGCAGATCAAGATCAACTTGAACACCATCATCCCCAGATCCAATACCAGTAGCCGTGTCTTCTCCAATGGGAAAGTCAGTGATGATGATAGGTATTTCAACCACCAAAGGCTCGACATATGGCATACGTGCATCAGGAGAACCAAAGTGAAAGGTGATTCGACAACGATGGGTAATTTCCACATAGTTGGAGTAGTGTCTTCCACGAAGCGCAGGTGGAATAGGAGCTCTTATGAGATGAGTTTCATTGATGTCTTGTGAGAAGGTGGGAGGAGGATAAACGGACGCAGGGAAGCGTCGAATGATGGGCGGTAATTTGTGTACAGCATCTCGCGTGCGATACCTGCATGGAGGAGAGGCGGGGATGAAAAAATAAACATTAGAGTTTTCGGGTTTTACAGGGTTATTTTCGAAGCACTTTGGTTGGTGGTGTTCAAAGAGAAAAAGCCTCACCTATAGGATTCAATCTCTTCCAATTGAAAATCAACCGTCCTGACATCCATACGCTCCTTCTCAACACTCCAGCGTGCAGCCAATACCACTTCTCCAGCCTCAATGGCACAGGCTCTAGGTGTTTCAATGTTATACTCGAACCAGCCTTGGACTTTGGCGAGGGAGGCAGTGGGTATCATGACGCTGGAATTGGGCAAATAATGACGCTTGACAAGAACATTTTTTTGGATTTTGTGCTTCTTGTAGGGGCCGCCAGTGAGGGTGGCAATTAAGGTATAGACGACAGAAGCGTGCTTGGTTTCAATAGAGGGAGGTAAGTTGTGGGGAAGATGCAAGCCAAAGTTTATGGCTGACTCGCCAGTGGGAATCAGTTCTTTTTCGACTTCACAAATATTTGTCGTGGTAGTAATATGACTGGGTTGCCCATTGTCGTCATGTTGACCTGGCGCGGCAATGTTAAGCTTTGTCACTCCCGTCAGCTGAAGGGTAATGCGAGTCCATTGGACATTAGCATGAAAGACTATGGACCCAAGTAACTTGGAGCGGACTTGTGCCATGGGGTTGGCATCATTGGCAGGGCCGATTAAAGACACGGCTGCAGACTCGAGGCACAACTCTGCAGGCGGGCTCTGTGGGCTGGTGGACCTTCTGGCAGGCTTAAGCATTTGGTAATAAAAAAGAGTGGGAAAAAAAAGGTTAAAGGCAGGGAGTTTTATAAAAAAGGGATATCTTATCCAAAGATTTTTAAAAAACTTAGATGCTGGGGTTAGGGTTCGCTAAAACGCAAATTCTTTTTGGCTGAGACACACCTGACACGGCCCAAATCTTCTTTAAAGAAACATAAAAAAAATTTGTATGTAATAAAAACAGAAAAAAAGAAGAAGAATAGAAGGAAATAAGTAGGAAGTTCAGAAAAAAATATAATATAGAATTTTGAAGCATTATTCCTGGCCAAACCCAACTGTTTCTTCAACAGCGAGGGAAAGTTTGGCCACAAGCGCATCATACGATTTGTAAGGTGGCATGTCAATACGGTTGAAGCAGGTATGAGCTTTTGGAAGTTGTGAGACATCGCCACTCTTTTCAATGGTAAATCTTCTGGGACCATCACTGCCTTGCAAATCCTTGAATCCGTTGACTGGAATACGGGAAGTACCAGTGGTGAATTGCAAAAGGCGCGATTTCTTTTCGCCGTCCCATGATTTGATGCACTGCGGAACACATAATTGGTTGAGTGTGATGGCTGTGACAAACCATTAGGAATGCTGACTCTTACCTTCCAAAACCACTGTACCACATCGTCTTGCTCAGTGTAGCCACGATAATCAGTATGCTTCTTCCAGTCTTCGACATCAATCTCAGCAATACCACCAATAAGGAGTTCCAACTCACGCTCATCAAAGACGTTGATGAGTTCTTGAGGAATCAATTGGTTAAAGCCTTCCAAAAAGGCTTTGAATTGCTCTTGCACTCTCTTGGAAACACGCCACTCTGTAATGAGACTGCGGCAAAAGCAGGTCAAAAAAAAATTGGTTGGTCCTCATGTTACACATTCTGGTTTGTCTTTTTCTGCAAACTTACTCCACATATTCCTTCTTATTTTCTTCAGTGACTGCGATATCCTCTCCATTTTCCTTAAGATTGACACTGACGACTTCGCCAAACTGATCATCATCGGTCGAGAAAGTCAATTCGAGAACATCCGTGATATCATTGTCACTATACGGAAGGGTGAGTTGTGGGGGACATTAAAAGGTACATAGGCTGTGTTTCATTTAAAACTTACAGTATCCACTGAAGACTTCGATGGAAATCTGCATCAACACTTTCCATATCCGCAAGCGTGACCTTTCTGTGCAGGATCATCTTGTAAAAGGAAACAATAAAGAACGCATCTAAAAATCGTCGGTGGAAAATGGCAAGGCCGACCACGCGGCCGATGAAGCGGAAGTAGTTGAGATGTTCAGGGTTAATGGCGGAGTGGGGGTTTATCTGGAGGGTATAATTATCGTGTGCCGAGTATTCAAACAAGCTAAAGGCAAAGGTGAAAGTAAGAAATGAGATCTGAACACCGTTACCCTACCCATGCGCCAGACTTACCAGTAGAAGGGGTTAAACATTTCATGAGAGAGCAAGAAAAAGTATTCTCTCGACAAACCACCATAATCAAGACCATCTTCGCCATCAAACTTGATCATCAAACGCTTCTTAAGATCAGCAGGAGTCTGTCGCATAATTTCGGCGTAAGAATCTTCAAAAATACGATTTCGTCTAATTTTAATATGACATTGTCCTGGCACTGGTCGTAGAGCAGGTTGCGAACGGAAATAGATAAGTTTTCGTCGGAAATCGCGCTTGTATTGCGGTACATTTTGATCCAAGCTGCTAGGCAATCTTGGATCATCCCAAGTAGTGGTTTTGGTATTGTGATCAACAAAATAAACACGAGCCGTACTCGTCAGTCGCATTTCCCACCCAGATGGGAGAGGGCCAAGTTGTGAGACAGGTTGCACTTGCACTTGGCTGCCATTGTTACCAGCAGTACGAATATACTGTTGTCTTCGAGGATCTACCCAGGTGGTAGTACGGGTATTGTGGTCAACAAAGTAGGGTCGACCTTCAGGGGTTGTTCGCATTTCTGGTGCAGGTAAAAAAGGGAGTAAAATTAAAAAAAAAACATCGTTGGCAACAGGAAAGAGTAGTCTGTTTAACATACCCCAACCAGCAGGCAATGGGCCAGAGTTGGTATTGGATGATGCATTGGAGGTTGCATTTGGTGTAGTTGGTGTAGTTGGGGGGACAGTGGAGGAATTGGGTGTGGAAGGCTCTGGGAGGGTAACTGAGCTATTGGATGCCGATGGTCGGTCTTCTGGCAATGTTCGTGCATTGAGTCGTGATCGTTCCATGGCGGTTTGGTTTTCTCGGTCTCGAGATCGATCGGCCGAGTTTGTTCTATAGGTGAAGAATAAATCAATATCTTTGGGTTGGAGCAAAGGATCACGCATATTTCAACTTACACTGGTCGATGCCATGTGGTAGTACGACTATTGTGATCGACATAGTAGGGTCGGCCAAGGTGATCAACACGTCTCTCCCAACTGAAAGAACGAAAATGAGAAAAATTGTAGACATTGGCTAGGCCGAAACATTCACTACTTACCCTCCAGGCAAAGGCTCCTCGTCTGACGATGTGTGGGAAGCTGTTTGCGCAGTACTCATGCTGTGAGCGTTAGCGGGGGGAGGGACAGACAATTGATTAGACTCCTCTCTTGCCAAGGACGAAGACGAAGGCTGCGACGGTGTAAGTTGGGGATTACTTGGCACAATAGCATTGTTTCCATTACGTGCAGGAGCGTTCACATTGGTAGAGAGGTTGATGATCAATTTACCATGAACGGTTTCGTTCCCAGTGGATTTTTTAAGCTCCAAGGTCAACATTTCTAACACCCAAATTATTTTTTTTTAGAATGCATAAAAAAAAATCCCCCCAACTTGGCAGCGCGGCCAGTAACTTACCATCCCCTCCAACAGCAACATCAAAGACATTGCTCATCTGCACTGTGACAACACCAAGGAACCCCTGATCCTTCTTTTTGAATTTTTTCTGGTCAAAGACTTGGACGCTAATAACGCTTTGATTCGTCGCTTGGCTGTGGAACGCCAGGAAAAGGAAATTAGATATCGACATGCAGCTAGACAAGATAGATGGAAAAGAGCCGAAGAAAGGGTATTTATGCTTACACGTCGAAGCTTTCATTCCAATAAGGGTTGAGAGTTTTCTTCATGATATTGGTTTTGTGCGTTTGTTCGCCATCGATAGTGAGAAAGGCAATTGGGTCGGGTAATGCTATTTTTTGTTTGAGAGAAAATGAGCGATGCGCCTTGCAGGACGATAGTAAAGATAACTCATAATTCAGAATACATACAAAAGAGATCTTTTTTGTATAGGGAATCAGCAGCAATGACTACATGGTACGAGAAATGTTAGAGTGAATGCGGTGGGTGGGAGGTGCGGTGTTAAAGTCGACTGATTGAATAAGGCGCTGCTTGATTCCTACCTGTTACCCTGACAGTTCGCCTGAATGAATGTAACTGCTTAGTACTGAATGCAGAGGTGGGGGGATTAATACAATGCATTGACTCACGTATTGGCCGCCATGACGGAGGGAAGTGATAGAGAGCGAGCGCAGTTCCAAAAAGGCCGACAAGGTCAAAAAGGGCAACAGTGCAAAGGCAAGACTTTGCAGTGGTAAAATAAACATCATCGGGTGGCTTTTCTTTCATCCTAGCCGTGTGGAGAGCCCACTTCCTATTGGACATCAGCCAGCCGGGATAAAAAACTTTGGATCGGAAGAGGTTGACCAATCCCCGGTCGACGTTTCAAGTTGGCTTGAGCACCCCGTATTTAAGGCCGACTAAAAGTTGAAAATAAATTTTCTTAAAACCCTTTCCTTCCTCCCTCCTAATATACCATGAGACTCTTCAAGACTGTTCACGACTTCGATTATTCTTGGCACACCGTATCTGCTGCTCAGTGGCAAAAATACCCCAACCCAGACTGCCCACACGTTCAGCACGTCGATGTCTTGGACTCCAGTGTCGATCCTGAAACGGGTGTCTTGCGAATTGAACGTCTGATATCCGTTAACCAGAAAGCTCCTGCTCTCATCCTTAGAGTAAGTTTATACCACATTGCTTACAAATTAACTATACTGGTTACTTACATTACTTTTTAGGCTATTGGTGCCTCCAGTACTCAATACGTTCGAGAAGTGGCCATTATTGACCCAAAGACCAAAACCATGACGTTGAGCAGCAAAAATCTCACACTTTCCAACATTTTATCATGCGAAGAGTCCATCACTTATACACAACATCCCACCATCCCCGAAAAGACCTTGTTCTCTCAGCAAGCGACCATCTCTGCCGGCTCAGCAGTATCCCGCATGGCCAGTATGATTGAAGACTGGTCAGTTCAACGCTTCCAGCAGAACGCTCTCCTCGGAAGAGAGGCTTTCTCCAAAGTGTTGGAGAGATTTGTTGTTCTGGCTGAGGCAAAAGAAGAGGCTGCCACCAACGCTTCCAAATAATCATTGGGAAAACTTTTTTTTAGATCCGCAATCCATCATCCTAGAGTGTATCTTTTAGATTCATTTACCATTTAGATCCCTTCCATGCTGTATTTAATGCCCTTTATACCCCCCACCACGCACGCACTCATTCAAAAAATCATTATTCTGTAAAGCTTCATCTATCCATAAAGAACTCTGGACAAGATCTTCACTCGCCCTGAATTTAAAAAATTTATATTTTTTTGTTTTGATTCATATTCAAGGTTTGAAAGATAGCCAATGAAATGGACCGGGATGTGTCAAAGTCCGTCAAACGAAGCCATTCGTTTACCAGGGATAGTATCAGGGACAGCTCAACACCATTCGAACGGTTCCAGTTCAGTGAAGGTTGACTCTATTTATATGTGAACCAAGAGCAGCGCTTTCAATCAAGCTTAGGCTGACCGGCATGGATCAACCTAATTGTTACGCAGCGGGATTGGAAATCAAGATTTTGAGTCAAAATGGGATTCCGAAATTTGATGTGACAAATCTCAAAAGCCATTATCACGGGCCATTCCCCCACTGACCGTCATTAGCTACAACGTATACACCCTTGTGACAAGGCTAAAGTATGTGGCCGTTGGAAAACGTTTACCACTGTTAATATTGAGAAAACAAGTGATATTTGACCTCGCGATATGGAGTTTTATGCACTGGATATCAGTAGAGTGTAAAATGGTTGAGCAGTGTAGGCTACATGTTAAAACCAAGAAGACAATTGTACTTTGATGTGGGTTTTTTTGTTGTTGCTTTGTACTAGACAAGCAGAAGACAACCATTGCCTTAAAGAAAATCACAGTCGCCTGCCACCAAGTTCCGACAGCAAGGTACTTGACGGGTTGTGAAAATACTGGCAAGTTGTAACGGCTCTCATTCCAGCAGGAGCAATGGATTTGCCTGCATTCTGGGCTCTCGATCCTCTGTTGAAAACGCACGTGAAGATCTTCACGGCTGATATCGAAAGACTATCCAATATACCAGATTATCACGGTAACTGGTCATTTCTTTTCAGAAAGGCTGACCTGTAACTGATTCACTCATTGAACCTCATTGGCACGTACAGAGCAATTTCCAGATTTGTACAAGTTTGACACTCGAATCATTAGCAATGTAGAAATCGCAGGCACCATTGTTGGCCTTGAACAGAACAATACAATGATAATATATACAGGTAATAATATACGTTCTACAAAGATCACAAATCTTCTCCTCAACTGATATGCTTTACAGTCGATGATGGTTTCGGAACAATACCTTGTTGTAATTGGGCTGTTCGAACATACGCAGAACCCGAGTTCGAGCTAGGTCAAAGTGTGAGGGTTCTGGGCCGAATCAGTGACTACAAAAATCAGAGGCAAATCAATATCCATGAAATTTGTGAGTATTTAGGCATAAACCATTGATTATGATGGCAACCCTATGTGTTGTACGGTGCGGCTAATGCTGTAACAGACAGGATGGTCGATTACAATATGGAAATATTACATTGGCTACAAACCATCCGCCTTCGGGAATCTGTATACAGCAAACCATTTGACATCCCAAAAGACATTCTTGCCCACAAAGATGAGCTCGTAGCCATGCTGAAAACAATGGATCAAGATATGATTATGGAAAGCGAAGACAGTCAGGCAAGTACATTACTTAGCGACCGTAGCTTCAAGTCCAACCATTCAGCGTTTAATGTTTAACATTCACTTAGACTCAAGAGGAGGATATTGAGATCCCTGATGAACAGGCGTTCCTCGATACACTGTATAAATATATAGAGGATTTAGCAGTCGATGGTAAAATAGAGTATAGGGCTATCCCGAGGCTGCCCGCAATTCAGAAGATTGCTCGCCAATATCTGACAAACTCGGTAAGCTTGATTTGAAATGGCGTCGTGGTGGCCAGGTTATGATTTGCCTAATAGTTATATCATCCCAGATTCCAGCTGCATCCATCGACTATAACAAGATAAAACTTGCTATTCGACAAGCATTTGCTACACTTTGTGCGGACGGATCATTGTTCGTAGTTGATGCGGAGAACGACATTTATGAAATCGTTCGTCTTGATGGGCAGCTTCGTGAATTAATCTTAAGTATCATTCGAGACGTTCATGTGGATCAGCATGACATACATCACGGTAAGCGTGCTCATTGCAGTTACTGGCATATCTGAAAAGTGGTAAGAAAAAACTCTGACCTTATGTTCAGGTGGTGTCACGGGAGCATACATCACGACCAAGGTTAAGGAAGACAGTCGATTTGAATCTATAAGTTGGTCAAAGGTCTTTGAGGCATTGCAATTACTGGTACTTGAAAGCATCATTTACCAGGTCAACCCGCACGAGTACAGTTTAATCCAATGAACGAGCAATCAGTATGGCGCCATGTTTTGTTCAGACGCCAATGTCTTGAAGGTTCGAATTCAGCCCATGTAGAGCTCCGTTAGTATGAAGTTCGAGCTGATCGATCGTATGGCAGTTATGAATTGTATTTTTGGATCCCTTTATGTGATCTTTCATGTTGAAGAAATAATGTAATATATATAAAACCCTTTGTACATTGGTGGTGATTGGTATCAAACGTGAACCAGTAAGTAACAAACTTTGTTTCTGTGATTGTCTGACCACGAAAGGCAAAAAAAAAAAAAAAGACAGCGAATTTTTTTATTTTTTTCCCTCCGACTTTATATAAGTTCTACTCCATAACCCGCTCTCCCTGCAACTTACGCTCTTCTTCAAATGTCCACACAGCCGCTCACTCAAGTCAACGGTAAGCGCATTGCCCTTCCCGTGCGCGTCGAACCCAAGGTCTTCTTCGCCAACGAGCGTACTTTCCTCTCATGGCTCAACTTCACGGTGGTTTTGGGTGGATTGGCTATCGGCTTGCTTAACTTTGGTGATCGCATTGGCAGAATCTCGGCTGTCTTGTTCACCTTCATTGCCATGTTTGTCATGCTTTACGCATTATACACATTCCACTGGAGAGCAACCAAGATTCGCAACAGAGAAGCTGCTCCTTATGATGATCGCGTTGGGCCTACTGTTCTTTGCATTTTCCTTTTGGCCGCTGTTATTGTCAACTTTTATCGTAAGTGAATTGCTTTATTTCATCGATGTGGTGTGATCGTCATTATCTAACTGTCTGTGCAGTCCGTCTAGCTGACAAAAAGTAGAAAAGTAGTCTGTCGATCAGATGCTATCAAGCACATTAATACTACACGTTTTCTGTGTACATGCAGATGTTTCCATCTCTGTTCTTTTTCTTCGTTCTATCTTTTATATTTCCGCATTCTCCACCATGTTCACAAACTTTGTACAGCCTTTTGGACGTTTCATCGTAGGCACTTTTTTGCATCTCTCAATCAAAAACTTTTTTCTTTCTCTTTACTTTGCTCCAAAATCTGATAACCGATCTGGATTCGGCTTTTTATTTTTCGGTGTTGGGATAGACCACATGGTTAGAACGCAAGATGTTATTTGCTGGCTGGGATGAAGCGGAGTTCAGCTACCGTTCTCCGAACGTTTACTTTTTCAATGGAACAAATGAGCTTTGGTTGCTGACTGCAAAAAATCACATCATGCCACAGAATGCGACAGCAGTAGCTATGCTGATGCCTAGGATGATATAATATGTGCGGAACTCTACGGGCGGTCCAGAGTTTAGGAAACAAGTAGGACAAAATCGCGCTGTAGTTCCCAAAAAATATCAAAACATGAGTGTTTGCACAGGCATCCAGTAATAGAAATGGTTGGTCTTACAGTCTGTCCGCGGGATGTAGGACTCGGCGCTGTAGAGTCCCAGCGTTAAGCGTGAGTCAGGCATAAGCTGGCCAGGACTTGGGATAGCAGCAGGACCTCGTTGATCGTAGATGCTCACTGTAAAGTAGCCTACCATCAATGGCTTGGTTAAGGCCATCAAGTTCCATGTGGCAGATGTTGCAAACCCGGGTAGTTCTGCAGCTACGATGGTTTCCTTTTGCGGGCTAACAATGGCAACTGTCAGATTAGAAGGTATGATCTGCAGTGCCTTCATATCAACGCTCCACTCCATTGTTACAATCGAGGCTCCGATTTTATACAAAGGTGGGTATGCCGCATTCGGTAGAGGCGTCATCCAAGTAATGTAAGCAGGCGGTCCATCCACTTTGACGCTAGCAATTCCAATTTTGGTAGGGCTCGACTGATCTGTATTAGTGGGGGCGTCGGCATTGGTGCTGCTGGCGGTTATTGTTGGTGCAACTTGTCCCGAGCTCGCTTGAATGGCACTCACAGCATTACCTATTTACATCGAGAAAATAGTTAGCTATGACTTGGTGCTCCGTACAACAATGCCTAAAAAAAAATTCAAAACCTTCGTCTGTGGCCAGGCGTTGTCCTTGCCCAGCAACCATCCATGCCCATGCCAGTAGTATCCAAATGTACATCGCTTTATTGAAGGGAATAGATCAAGCGAACAATGAAATGTAATTAAAAAACGAGATTCTCTCTTTCTTGATTAAATATAACATTTTACAAGGGGAAATCAGGGTGTTAGCAATTGAAAGAAAAAGGGTTAAACGAAGGGGGTACTTTGCTACTGTTATGTGGACTAGTCGCGAGACAAGTAATTTACTGAGCCCAATTTGACTTGATGTGACTGAGAGAGCCCACCTGTACTTGCAGTGAATCCAATCCACGCTTCTATATCACCTCCAAGGTATTTTTGGATGTCTATATTTTTTATACTTAGCACTGGTTCATACTTGTTGCCTATACCGGTCTGTTCATTTCCTTCGTCTGAGAATGAGACAAGGATGGCTTGTTTTTTGGTCAGCAGATGAATTCTGGCATACAACCAGTTGCCAGAGTTCATAGGGGGGATATTGGAAGTATGACCATGTGAGTACATATGATGAGCACTGTTGCTGTGAGGTGGAAGGCGACCATGGACACTGATATGGTTTCCAGATGGGTCAGCGCATCTATCTGAGCTGCATTTTGAAAATATTTAGTCAGTGAACAGAGAACGGCGACGCTAGTTTCAGTCATGCCTACCTATCATAGGTGTCAAATTCAACAGCAATACTGCGGCGGAAATGAGTAAGTGCGGTCGGTTGCGATGAACACTGATACAAATGCACCTACCTTTTGCGCAACCCTCCATAACCCAAGTCACATCCACCTTAAAGAGCAATGTCAGCGTGAGGTCAGTTTTGTGCTATCGTGGGACTCCCGAAGAGCAGTCAGGCTTACCTGAACCTAATGCATTTTCTGCATAGCTTTGTATTACAAAAGCAAGGCCATCAGCGCCATCAGCTTTTCCATCGTTTTCGTTAGCGATTTTGAAAGCAAAATCAATAACAATGCCTTCGTGTCGTTCAAGAGAAACTTTGTTTCGCGCAAATGCACTTCCAGTTTGCGACGTCCTAGCAGGTGTTATTTGTATACATTCTTTCGCGACCTCAAAGCTACTGCTTCCGCATGAGGCTGTATGTATAGTAGCGGATCCCTGTAATGAGAAAGCGCCTGTTTCGACGGTTGCTATAGAACGATATGAAGGAAGCTCTGCAACCAATTCAGTATCAAGCTCCTTGGTATGATTGATCTCTTTTCGAGCCATTCGCCAGTCTAATGAACCTATAAAATTTGATGTACATTGGTATCACATATCGTACAGCTATGCAGGCTAATTTTCGTTCAATTACCACTTATTCTTCCAATAAGCTCGTCGTCTCGAGCTGTAACTCGCTGGCTTAGCTTCTCCAATTCCTTCTCTTCCTCTATACGTCGAATCTTCAATTCTTCCACTCGACTAGCTGGTAGCGTACTATATCGCTGCTCCGTCAGATCGTGAATTACCTAGAGTTTCCTCGAACGTCAATCTAAGATCTATCGACCATACGACGCATGAGATAGCCTCCGTACCTTGGATAACCCTGACTCTGACGTCGCATGCCTTCGTGTCAAGACTACAGGCCAATTGGTGGTATATCGTTTCGTGACGTCCATTACTTCCTCCGCCGAAAACGCAATACAGTAGCTTAATGACTTTCCCCATCCAGCACTGTACAGCAAGGGCTGCAGGAAGATTAGTGATTATAATGACCTACAGAGAGGCTTCCCAAGTTTTTGCGCAAATTACCCTATCGAATGCATTCTCACATGGATCGCAATGTACCCAACGCTGCTGAGCCTGAGAGTAAACTTCAGTCCATACATGATCTGGATCTGGATTAAAACGTATTCTAAATGTTCAAAAGTATTGGGGCATCAAGTATTACCTGTCGTATCTAGAATGTATCGAGCCTCCGCTCCCACCGCTCTGCAACATAGAGTAAAGCACTAGTGCAAGCCATAGGTAAGCATAAGATTGCAATGGCCACCTTATGCAAGAGTCACTCACATTTGCCCATTCACCACATCTGCCTTTACGAGTCTCCAAGAGCTTTGAAGGGTTACTAGTTTGAAAGTGGTTTCAAGAATTAACACTGTGGTCATAGACTAAGACTCGCTCAGAATGAAACTGTATACAATACTTGTATCTCGGAAACCGGTTTGTTTGATGACATTGTTGACATTGATACACTTCAATGACGGAAGCTCCATGGCGAATATCGTCCACATTTGGCTTTCCTCTTCCTATGGCTATGGTTGGAGACTGCCATGTGAGGACAACGATAAATATATGGTTTTTTAAGCGGCTACTTCGAATGACGGAAACGTAGGTCTTACCGAGCAAAATTGGCAGGCAGGTTGGTCAACCCATGAGAAGAAATTCTTAAACCAGGCAAGAAGTTTGATGATGACAACATCCTCTAGTCCCCAATCTGGGTATTGCTCAAGATCAATTTCTGCATCGTCATACAGCTGTGCAATAGGCACATATTCTAGTGCAAGGTCCTTCAAAAAATTCAATACGAAAATAAAAGAAACCGCAATCCGTTATCCAGTTACATTCATACCAACAAGTCGCGATCTTCATACACCAGCACTCGTTTGCTCTCCTTTGCTAGTTGCCGTTCGAATGCATTGTTGGAAACGGGGATCAAACTGGCGTCAGTGAGCTGAGCTGCCAGTTGTCGAACCAGTTTCTCGTCCTCAGAAGATACAGAGAGGTTTTCAGCACGTTTATTTCTCGGCAAAGCTAACCATTGGCGTTGCAATGATTCAGCAATGGCTAGAATTTGATTCTTTTGCATGGCAGTGTTGTTGTATTAATGGCCAAATTAGGAGGACTTTCTAAATTAGAGCTCCCCCTTATTCGGTCGTTTATTTTTTCAAGTTTTCTTTCTGCTTCAACGCAGCTCAGTTTACATTTCTTTCTTTCTCTCTTATTCAATCATGTTTTCCAATACTATCTACCGGTTCATTCGGACTGGTATGGTACATCCATATGCAGCCTATATGACATACAAAGCTTACAAGTATAAGGACTGGCCTAAACTGGAGTTCTGGCTCTTGTACTGGATGGTCATGGCTGCTTACATGGCTGTTGAGCTATTGGCCGATATCCTCATCTCATGGTATGATATACGTTTGCAATCACAAGAAAAGTTGAACTTTACAAAGTGGCTCATATTTTACTTTGTTTGAATGTTACTAGGCTACCATTCTATTGCACAGCGAAACTCGGTGTATTGATATGGCTCACCACATTCCGAGCAAAGGTAAAACGATATCTTCCCCAAAGCTATACGATGATAGTTATTGAACTAAACACCTTACATTCTATTAGGGATCAACGCTTGTTTTTCGTGAAATCATTCTTCCTCAACTGACTGCCAATGAATCAAAAATAGATGAGACTTTAGCAGTGTTAGGATCACACGCCAAGAACAAACTATATCGTTTTGGTAGCAGCGCCGTATTATTAGCAGAAGGCTTTATGGGTATTGCATTGGTGAGAGTAAGTATGCCGACCATTGATGTTTCATACACCATCCGTTTTGAAAGTCACTGAAACTGAATACATCCAGGGCTACAGTATGATGCAAACATATCTGGCGCAGAGGGGCAACCCATATCAGCACAATAGCGCAGCAGCTTCTCCCGCCGACCAGAATTACAACTCTAGATCGCTAACACCTATTCAAGAACCTGCTGTGCAAGGCTCAGCTACACAGCTGCAATCACAGAAACCTGAATTTCCAGATTCTAGGAGATATTTATCTCCAGAATTCCAAATGCCAGCGTCTCAGCTACCGTCTCCGCCGTATACACCCAGCCCTAACCAATACGCGCAGGAGAGATACTTTGAGTCGCAGAGACCGCTATTTGCTCCGCCCGTCGAGTCACCACCTAGAGACTACGGTTCAGACAGTACAGACATGACGCAAGACGATTTTCGTAAAATGCAAGCATATCAGAGAGTGCGAAAAACATCTGATGCCTGGAGTGAGAGGCAACGCCTAAAAGCTGCTCATCTTGTGCCTCCTCGACCTTATTCTGCTGCGCCCACGCCTCGAGGATGAACGCAAGGCGGCATCTACTAGTACTTCGGCTATTTTTTTTTATTTACTTCTTGTCAAACCCAGCCAAAAAAATATGCCGAGTGGTAACGAAACGTAAAAGATAGAACTGTAAATCTCCGAGTAGATCAAATCAAACTTGATGTAAAGCTCGATGTAAATATCACTTGTAATCAATGGATTAGTTTATTTCATTTCAGATGTCACATATCCTTAAAGACTAAAAAACAAATTGTCCCGCTTTCTGAATTATGAAAGATCCAGCTTTCTAAATTTTGTTATCCGTGATATGGTCCTTTAGTTGTAGGACATAACGAAGTTGTTGAAATAAGCATACTGGTTGGTGGGAGAAGCCCAGTCGCTGGTGGAACCACCGAAGAAAGTCTCGAAATCAATACCAATGGTTGACCAATCGCCGCTTTGGAAGACAAGATTGCTGATTTGGAAAACTTGTTTGCCGTTGAAAAAGATTTCCAAGGAACCATCACTTTTACCAGGGGAGTTGAGTTGGATATTTTGCTTAACATTGTTCCATTGGCCGGTCTTCCAGGTGAAAGAGCCGCGACCAAAGCTGTAACCATACTGTTGGTTGCAAACGACACCCTTCTCTTTGCAGAGGTTGGACTTTTGCGAGGACTTGTCAATGTAGGCATACACTTCACCAGCACCATGTTGTCTCCACATGAAACGGGTACTCCAGCAAGAGTCAGCGTTGTTTCCACCTGAGCACTCAGAGTGGCCACCGTACAAACCCATCAACTTGCCTCCCTTGTTGAATTGGAATCCGTTGGGGAAGTAAGCATCATAGGACAATGACACGCTGCTGGCAGAGCTTGGGACTTGGAGAGGAGAGGCATAGAAACCAACTCCACCAATCTCGGTGCTGTCAGCAGGGTTCCAAGTACCCTTGGGGTAAGCAATTTGCATGACTTGTCCGCTAGAGTTGGTAGGATTTTTAACAAGGTTAAGATTGCCGTTGTCGCCGGACTTCTGGTGAGGTTGAGGGTAGGCCCATTGGCTAACACCCCATTCTTTCTTCCAAGAGTTGTTGTCGTGGCCGTTGAAATCTTGAGATTTCCAGTGATTGCCTTTGGAGGCCATCACTCCTTGAGCTGCAACCAGTGCGCATACAGCAACGTTGAGGGTGGTCGAGAAAAGCATGATGAGAGATAAAGATGACTTAGTGAATGGATAGGGGGTTTATTCGAAGTGGGAAGGAGTGAAGTGAAGGATAGGAATGTGTTCTTTTGTTCGGTTGACGAAACGGCCGACGTTATATAGTGATTTTTCTCTCAACCTGCCGTTTTTTTTTTTTAAACTATTTCTTTTCCAGATGGCATACTTTGTGGGAGCTGGCTTTCTATTTTGGTGGTGTTCTGGCCAGGCTCAGGGATCTGAGGCGTACCACATTGCCATTCAATCAATGTATCATGGCACAGGACCAGCTTACTTTCACAGTTCCATGGGCCAATATCCGCGTATAACACGGACTTGCATAACATGATCCGTTTTTTTTTTCTTTCGCGCGTTTCGTGTTTCGAATGCTGTTGGTCTCAACCATAGTACCTGGACCCATGAAACAAAAACGTTACACAATTTAAGCGCAGCTCATAATTTCATTGTTTTGCATGCTGTTATACCCGCTTTTGTTGAACAATGGAACGTGCTACGAGTCACTTTTTGAATCGAGACGCTGTTTTTCATACTTCTTTATTCTAAAGAGGTACATGATCATCAATCTCTTCTTTTTCATGTCGACATAACAGACAAAATAACATAACTTTAGGTTTCCGCCAACTCAGATTTTAATTGGAGTTCGCCAAACTGCTCAATTTGTTTCAGGTCGGTGTACCTGAGAGCGAGAATGTCTCACTTCGGCAGCCGGGGGACGATCCAATGACGGTTAAAAGCGCTTTTGAAAGACGTGACAGGGAGTCAACTCCTTGCCTCTGATCCACGTCACAGGGAAGTGTCCATTTAGGGCGAATACGTACTAAATATATACACACTTAGTCTCATGTTAGTATCAAAACCACAAGTCATGGTCCCTAGCGATGGACTCTGATAATCCGTACTAATTTTTTTTTATTTCTTCGATCAAGGTAACCGGTACCTGTATTTTCATGTAAAGATGATGCCTATTAGCTACAGTTAAATATCAAAGAGGGTTGCCTTCGATAATAAAATATGGATTTGGTGATAATGGATTTCTTCACGGTCAGTTTGCATACGACCTAGTTGTATGAAAGAGATAGTCCTCGGTAGTAAGTGTATTGATCTGTAGGTGTAGCCCACGCACTTGTAGATCCGCCAAAGAACGTTTCGAAATCTAGAGAATAAAAAATACGTTTTTTTTTTTTCAGAAAGATTTTTTATGCTTAGCATGATTCAAGCAAATGCGCTAGATCAGCGGTGTCAGAACTTACCAATTCCTGCGACTCCATAGTTCGATTGACGGAACACCAATTGACCAAGACTGAATGCAGTTGAGCCACCGTGTACTTCAGTAATGGCACCATCCTGCTGGCCAACAGTGTTAAGTTGAAGAACCTGAGTAATGGTATTCCAGCTGCCAGTAGTCCAATCAAATGTGCCTCTTCCAACACTATAGCCGTAATCAGAGTTGCAGATAATAAGGGAGTTGGAGCAGATGGAGCTGACTTGAGCATCCTTGGGGATATACAAATACGATTCACCTTCGCCTGATGTTCTCCACATATTGCTAACAGTGGACCAATGGTTAAATGAGTCAATTATCCCAACAGTTTTGACCGACTGATTCTAACTAACACTCACCGAGTAGAGAAGCAGGTTTCGGCATCGTTACCTCCACTACAGTCATCATGCCCACCGTAAAGACCAGGAAGTTTTCCACCTATGGGACGTATATATGAATGACAAGGTGATGTTTCCGAGTCTAATAATTGTTACACATCATTACCTTCGACAAAGTTATATCCGGATGGAAAGTATACTTGGTAAGTAAAGGTGACTGTATTTGCACTGGCTGGAATCTCGAGGGGGGAAGCATAGAATCCTATACCACCAACCGGGGTATTGGAAGGTTTGAATGAGCCAGCCGGGTAGAAGACGCGAAGTACCTTCTCACTTGAATCGGTGGGATTGGCAACAATATTGTGGTTTTCACCACTTGTATGTGGGTATGCCCAGTTGGTGATATTCCAAGCAGCTTGCCATTGTGCATCAGTAGAATCTGAATAAGAATTCCAATTAGGCCAGGACCATGATGCTCCTGAGGATGTACTAGTAGCTTTGGCCGTCGACGATGTTTTAGTAGAGGTCTTGGTGGTAGTAGTCTTGGTAGAGGTCTTAGTGGTAGAGGTCTTGGTAGTGGTGGTTTTCTTGGTGGTAGTACTGGCAGCCAAGACTTGTAAGCCCAGGGAAGAGATGAGTAGGAGAGATGCTAGAGATCTTAGAAAAACCATGGTTGATTTATTGTTTATTGCCCAACATTACTCTGCAATATATATACAATATCTTTCTTGTGCAAGCGGAAATGAGTGACCATGTATGGAAAGTCCGCAATAAAGGAGGATCGAGATGAACGCAGCGCAGAACATCATAATGGGACGGGCAGTGTAACAAATCACAAGCGAGGGATCTGGTTGTAAGGGAAACGGCATGGATACTAATCTTGGTAAAACTACTAGTTCAAGACCCGGGAGAAAAATTCATCTTACCCATTTTTTAATATGTATCGCATCCCTTCGACCTACTAAGCAGATTACGGCCTTGTGAGATGTGTACCGTTCCATCACAAGATATGCAGAACTCACGCGGAGAAATACCAACCGAAGGGTTTATGGTAACACCAATATCTTCAGACATTAGGATTTTATTATTAAATGTTTGCCAGAAATTTGATGATTCTAACAGTGCGGTATCTTTGAGCAGTTTGTACTCACTATGGAAATAACTTGATGGATATCTGGCGCAACTGAGCGGCAGTCACGAAAATGTACAGTATCTCCACATGTGCGACATTCCCAGGACCCTAGCTGCTCGGTAGCAAAGGTATTATGCTAAGGTAGTATTGCCGGAGGTCATATCATAGATCTATGTAAATGTAAATTAAAATTGCCCTGTGTGGAACAATTCCTTGAGAATTTCGCCATGTTGGGCAATAGTACCTAAATCGTGCCGTCGTACAGTGGATCCAGAGCACAACCATGTTTAAAACTATGGAGTGGATCATTTTGCTTTGGTTGTTGTTTATATGTTCATGTCTTGTAAAATTGAATACAATATTGCCCTATTGCAAAAAATAAATAAAATATAAATAGAAGAATTTGAGCATACAAGTATAGAAAGAAAGCGAATTGAAATCTTGAGAGTATGATAAAAGAGGCATCTGACGATACTGTCAAACCCATGAAGAGAATAGATGCGGTTTTGTTTTTGGAATATTTTCTTTAAACGTAATGATTATAAGTTTTGGGACTATGATTGCTGGCTACAAACTCAGTTTTGAGAAAAAACGCACATAAGGATGTGCAAATGAAAAAAATAGACGGGTTTAATGTTGTTAAAAAAGCAAAATTATAAGTGTGAGCGTATTGTGCCAGCCAGCAGTGAACATCAGTCGATTTTTTCATCGGAAACCAGGCAACCAAGAAGTTCTCTTGTCCTTCTTGTCTGATGATGGAGTTGATGGAGCGTCGCTAAAGCATCAAACATAAGTCGTTAACGTTACGTACAATGGAGTGGAACATTGGTCATGTAAAAAGGAAAATTACCTGTCAGCCACAGCACCTCCTCCACGCAATGGTTTGGCAATACGGCCAAAGTTCAAGGCTGCCATGGATGTTTGGCTCTTTTGAGATCGAGCTTGTTCAAGTCGCTCACGAACCGCTTGAAGCTGAGCTTCGAACCTTTTTCAATTGTAAAGGGGACAGCGGTTAACAATGGTACATCTTGTAGCTTGGCGCCATTAAAGGTTCCACGTATTATCTCATTACATCACAATGGGCATGGATGACTTACTTTTGGTTTTGGCTGATCAGTCGCTCTTGAGCATCCTGAAGAAGGGTTTCCAAACTTTGGATACGTTCATTACGAGCAGTGAGCTTTCTCTCGGCCAAGGCCACCTCCTTCTTGAGCGAAGAGTTTTGTTCAACCAACTGAAGATAACGTATTAGTGAACTGGTAGGGATCGAGTACTATCTAGTGATTATATAGATGGGATTGTTAACGATAAACATACCTGCTTTTGTACATTAGTGAGCTGCTCGAGATTTCGCTCCAAGAAAGCCATTTTCTTTTGTTGGGCCTTGTTGTTACTTGCCCGCAAAGCGTTATTGTATTGCTCTCTTGTTTCATCAAGAGAGATTTCTAATTCCACCACTTTTTCACATCGGTTTTGAAGGTCTCGCATCAGGGCCTTCTTCATGACTTCAAAGTCAGCCAGTTGCTGAGCCATGGATTTTCTCATTCTCTCCAAATCCTTTTCCTTTTCGCTCATGTTTCCGGTGGAGCTGGGCTTGCTTGCAATAGCAGACTGCAAATCTTCATTGGCTCTCTTGAGGTCGGACATGGCTGAGCTCAGCTTTTGATATTCCTCGTTCTTTCGTTCTACTTCTTTCTTAAGCTCCTCGATTTCCTTGTGTTGTAGCTCTTTCTTGGCTGCATACTGGTGTTCGAGCTTGACCTAATGGGGGGAGGGTGCACAATATGAGCGGTGAGCATGCGACATAACGTAAATGCCACAAGGTGGCCTTTCATCCCTGCGAAATCCAAATTTCCCCTACCTTCAACTCCGAAATGGTCTCTGCAATATCAGTGTTGCGATTGAATGCTTCCTCTTCTTCGGCAATGGTCTTATCCAACAATTCTTCATATTCCATCTCCAAAGTAGTCAGTCTTGTCTCAAGATCGCTGCGCTTGGTTTCCAGACCTTCTTTATCTTCATTGAGAGTTTTTATCAAGTTCTCATGTGCTTCCAGCATGGATTTAGATTCGGCGAGTTCCTGTCGAAGTTGAGCAATGTCCTCCATGGTCATAGGACCATTAGACTTTTCTAAATCGAATTTGTACAGTGCATCGCGGATTTGCTTTTCCTTTTCTGAAATCTCGCCCTAAGTGACAATAAGATGTTAGTAAGTTCAATGCAGTGATTGGAACGCCCCGGAAGAGATAGCCTTACAGATGGATCAAAGCCGGCCATCATCTCAGCCATCTTGTCAGCCTTTCGCTTCATCTTTTCTTCGTCAACATTCACTTTCTGGGCAGATCGAACCGCTTCCAAGCTCTTCTTCAATTCCTCAAGCTCAGTATGAAGATCTTGGTTTGTTTCCTTGAGTGACTCTACGTTGATGGCACTCTCTTTACTTTCATACTCTATCTTTTGCAGCTGAAGCTTGACATCACTGAGTTCCGTCGACATAGCCTGGTTCTCAGCTGTGAGGTTCTTTTCTTGATCCTTCAAGAAAGTGAGCTCTTCTGTGATTGTTTCAACAAGTTTTTCACCATTGGCCAGCTCAGTTTCCTGTTAAAAATAAAATAAAATTATATGCATTAGTACACGCTTTCTCTTTGTCTGGACACGGATCATTCACCCCATCTCATCACCGGCGACCTACTCACCTTTTCGGCAATCTGATCCATAAGCTCATTTTCTCGTCGCAAAAATTCCTCTCTTTCATCCTTTTCTAATACCAATGCCGGTGTGGCAGGTCTAGAGTCTTCCACGAGGGGTTTAAAAGCGGTGGCAGTCGTTTGCTGTGGTGAGGCAACTTGCGGCAAGTTGCCTTTGGTGGCCTTTTCCATGGTGGCCCAGCTGGACTCGGGTACCTGGCCACCTTGGCGCCAGATGATGACCTCACCTTCAAGGGCAGTAATATATTGTTGGTAGGTGACTGCTTCAGACTTGACTTTCTTAAGAAGAGCCTTGAGTTCAGCAGGAGACAAATCCGCATTGACCTTAGCCTTGTTCTTGATTGTCTTGGCTCGAATACCGAACCGCAGTGTCCCGATGGTCTCTTGTTCATTGTACGACGAAGGCGAGCAATTGATGATAAGAGTTGTTCTGGAATTTCCTCCAAGTGATTCTTGCAGAATTCTCGTAAGTTTACTGTCGCGATAAGGAATATGGCTTGACTGTGATGTATTGAAAGAGATGCGGTCAACTGGATTGCTTGATTCAATATGCTCGTTCATATTACTTGCTGACTTTCACTTACTTTTCCATCCGTTAGGTTGTTGATAACCATACCCAGAGCAGTCAAGGATTTATTGATCTTCTTTGCCTCTTCAAGAGTTTGTCCCGAAGCACCTGTCTTTCCGACCTTTTCTGAACCAGCCAAATCTACCAAGTACAATTTACCAGATTTAGCAGCACCTGTGTCCAAGTTCTTCTGAGTGATGGTGATTTGAACAATTGAATGCGATCTAGAACTTTCAGCGTTCATGTCTATGATGAAAGTCAATCATCAGATATTCATGTGCTAAACAAAACAAAACAAATTGAATCAAAGCATAAAAATGAAAACAGGCTTACTGGTATAAGCAACGACTCTTGCATTGCCGCCGCGACGCATGACTTCAAACACTTCTTCAGTGGATGCAACATATACTTCCAAAAGTCCCTTGACGTAGACACCCTTGGCCTTATCTTCATGAATTGGGAGGTTGTCTTGAGAGGCTGTTGGCGTTATAGCAATGAGAATGGTAAGCGGGAGAAATTGGCGGGCAGATTCAAAGTGAGTGACTTACGATTGAGCAAATCACGAACTTTCTCCATATAGATTTCCATATATGATACTTTAACAGTAAACTCCATGTTTGCAGGTGCCATCATAATACTCTGGAATATTTGCTCGACAATACGAGGAATGATACCCTTTGATCGCTCATCATCGATATCGGATCCCTATGACAACAGTGTCAATATTGCCATATGATATGCTTATGCACAACGACGTAATTGCTTTTCCTCCCCCGAAAAGAAGCTATACAACTTACCATCATGGTGAAGGTTTTACCAGATCCAGTCTGGCCATAGGCAAAGACAGTTCCATTGTAACCAGCAACAACATCTGTGGATGGTTGCAGACAAAATAAACATCAATAAAAGAGTTTGACTATCAGAACAACAACATGCTAAAATACGGATACCCACCATCGACAATGGACTTGATAGAATACTCAAAAATTTCTTGCTGCTCGGTTTCCATGCCAAAGACCTTATCAAAGGCAAACGAGTCTTGAGCTTCCCTGCCCTGAAAAAGCAAGCGGCCAAAGTGGTTAGGCGGGGGATAAAATACGACAACACCGGGGCATCACACGAGAAAAATCTAACCTTGAGTTGAACGGCTACACCATCTGTGATCTCAACGATGGGTACACCGCCTTCCCTTATTTCAAGGGAATTCTGCGGTCTAAAGCGGCAAACGACTTTGATGTTGTTTCCTGACATTGAGACTCAGCGTGGATGATGGGCTGGGTTGAGGGTATAGCAACGGGCAAGTAAGGGGGGTTTGGGGTATATTGAAAAGGGCTACAATACTAAGCTTGGAATTGAAAATGGACAATCAATTACGAGCTTTGGCTGGTTTGAAAGGCAAGGAAAAGGCCAATTGGAGTGTGCCTTGAATTTGTTTCGTGAGCTGATGAGCTCTTTCGCTGGTCAGACTGACTTTGAATCTCACGTGCCCACAACAGCCTCTGGCCAAATTTGTTTCTCTATTGCTTATTGTCTCTGCCAGGCTAGCTACGTGTGGCCAGCCAGAGAAAAAGAAAAGAAAATGGCGGCATTCTCTGCACGTTTAGGTTAGCGACACAGAGCTATATCTCTCCAAGCAAAAAACACACCGGAGTGTTGGACAAGAGCGGCTATGCCACATAACATTTCGCAATACTTCGATATTGTTTGTTATGGAAAGGAGAGTCGGGTATACCTTAAGGATCAGGACTCCCATTAAGTTCGCTATGGCGTGAGGAACACAAACACTGTCGCCAATGGGCCACGCCGAAAGACTCAAAGCGGAGGCCCACCGAAAAGGACCAATCGATCGCCTGGAACAGAGTCACGGCGGGACAAGATTATCTAAAATTTTTTCTACCGATGACACAATGTGATAAAAAAAAAAAAAAAAAAAAAAACTGGTTAAATAGTCCAAGACCTCCACCACGTTTATCTCTTCTTCCTTCTTCATTAAAAAGCTACCTGCTTCTCATCCCGTTTCTGATCTTCTGCTAACAGATCAAATTCAACAAAAAAGAGACTCACTAGCTCTTTACATGTACATTCACGCTCACGAAAAGAACTCTGCCGATTACATTTGCGATCACAGTACGTCGTCGTATCCATAATAATGAACTCTTTTTCGTTGGCCTCCATGCTCACCACATCGTTTCTTTTTTCAGTCTGGAAGTCCTCTGGTGCCAATTAAATTACTCTCAACCAAACCAAGCTCTACAACTTTTAACTACTGAATTTTTAAAACCTCTTAAAAAAATCATTCCAAACATGCCCGTTCTTACCAAACTTGCCCAAGCCGCTTTGCGCCCATCCTTGTTCCCCAAGAACACCCACAGTCTCCTTGCCATCCGTGGTTTCGCTGTTGTCAAAGATTCCCCTGTGTCTCAGCAAGCCAAGCCTACTCAACCTTCAGCCAATGCTACCGTTCCCGCGTCTTTGAGACTTCAGAGCGGTCAAGTCTTCCAAGGTACCTCTTTTGGTGCCGAGAAGTCTGTATTCGGTGAAGCCGTTTTCACTACTTCTGTTGTCGGCTACCCTGAGTCCATGACCGACCCTTCTTACACTGGCCAAATTCTTGTTTTCACCCAGCCTCTCATTGGTACGTTTAATACTCCGATTTAGCCATCTTCTCCCCTAGTCGGTACTAATTATCTTATCCCCCTGCGCCGATAGGTAACTACGGAGTTCCTGGTGAAACCCGCGATGAATTTGGTTTGTTGAGATACTTTGAATCCGACCGTATCCAAGTTCAAGGTATCATTGTCAATGACTATGCTGCTCAATACTCTCACTGGACCGCTGTTGAATCTCTTGGTCAATGGTGCCAACGCTTTGGTGTCCCCGCCATCACTGGCGTTGATACTCGTGCTCTTGTTCACTTGTTGCGTGATCAAGGTTCTACCCTTAGCAAGATTGCTGTCGGTAATGATGCTGTTGTTGACCACTCGGCCGAAAACGTCAGTTTCCCCGATCCCAACCAGGAAAACTTGGTTGCTCGTGTCTCCACTAAGGTTCCCCTTCACTACAACCAGTCCGGCGATGTCAAGATCGCTGTCATTGATTGTGGTGTGAAGCAAAACATCTTGCGCTGTCTTGCTGCTCGTGGTGCCGCTGTCACCGTTCTCCCTTGGGATTACGATTTCAACAAGGTCAAGGACCAATACGATGGTCTTTTCATCTCCAATGGTCCTGGCAGCCCCTCTCTTCTCACTGAGACTGTCAACAACTTGAAGGTCGCTATTGATACCTGGAACAAGCCTATCTTCGGTATCTGCATGGGTAACCTTTTGCTTGGTATGGCCGCTGGCCTCCAGCCTTACAAGCTTCCCTTCGGTAACCGTGGTCACAACCAGCCTGCTATCTGCGTTGATAACGGCCGTTGCCACATCACCTCCCAAAACCATGGCTATGCTTTGGATGACCGTGTCATGCCTCAAGGTTGGAAGCGTTTCTTCGTTAACGCCAACGATGGCTCTAACGAAGGTATTCGCCATGAAACCCGCCCTATCTTCTCTGCTCAGTTCCATCCTGAAGCTAAGGGAGGACCCCAGGACACTGAATATCTCTTCCATGATTTCTTGGAAGCTGTTCGCGCCGAAAAGCGCAAGAACACCACCTACCCTGCTTCCGATGAAGTCAGCACTCCCGTTGCTGCCTACGCCTAAACTTCCAATGTGATCGCAAATTGATTTTTACGAGCAGGTGGAATCCCCCCCCACCTTCTATTATTTCACGCTTTCATCCTATAAGTTACTGATTTTTCCTGTTAAATATTGCATGCTTTACCATCCACCCTTCTTTAAATCAATAAAAAAAATATGTTAGTGCCAAATTACTAGAGATTATTGTTTGTTAGTGAAGGCTGGCCTTGCTCAGAGAAGAGAGAGTAAGTACAGATATTATCTAGCCAGTGTGATGCTGCAGAATTATTTTGTGCCAAAAATCTCAAATTTTCAGGGTAAGCTCCAATTTCCACAACACACAAAGCAGCATTTACTCATTTCACTGTCCTGGATCCTACTCAGCGGTCTGCTACATGCACAATTAAGAAATGTCCTTTCCACATAAACGACCCAAGCCGCGATTCAGCCTGTTTGCAGCTGATCCATTGGATCCACCAGCACCAAAAATCCGTCTTGCAGACCGAATAAAAGCATCAGCGAGGACCATGCCGGGGATCAAGGTGACCTCGTTTATTTTGGGCCTAACTGGCGGCATTCTTGCCGCAGCCATGTTCAAGCATTCTTGCTCAACATCAGCCAAAACGTTGACAGCGGATGTCACTAGCAAGTTGGACCACATGAGACGGCAGCTTGAAAATGGCGGCGGCGTACCACATTCTCTACAGGACGAGGTGAGTACCGGGCACGTGAAAAGATAGCGAAGGTGTCTTAGTAGGTTCGACATTAACCTTTATTCTTATAGGAATTTGTCCGAACGTCCAGTCAAGACTTCACTCGGGACCTAGGTTTAATGGCCACTGTCAAGTATCATTGTCAACATGGATGGAATCAAGGAATAGAACACGTTGCAACGGTATTGAATTCCTTCATTGAGCGATAATTATGGTTTTTTTTTTTCCTTTTGGTTGGTTGGCAGCAATGAATAGACGTAAAATTATAGTATCATGTAAATAAAAGTATTCCTTCCACATCAAGTCTGATCGTGTAGTGCAAAGCCAAGGAAAGTAATAGGGCAAGGTCCTCACGACTGAACCGACACACCAGCTGGACCCTGACAAGGGACCTGGGACACTTCAGCAAAGATCTTCAAATGTGGTTTAGCAGAATGGGTTACTGGCGATATCACTCGAATCTGAAATCCTTTGTAACCGAGCTGCCTTTTCTATAAGAATGACAATTGGCTCGAGTAGAACAAGGTTGGGTTTGAAGCCTTGTCTTTGGAAATATAAGGCCTTCTGGCAAGTTTATCTGAAATTGTCGGTGACTTTCAAGCCATGGTAGGACTGCAAGCGCAATTGGATTCTTATCATCCAGTGGCGCTAGTCCGTGATCTTGGATTCATCCAACAACACGATCGCCTTGCTGCCAATAGACCACGCAGTCACCGTACTGTGACACGGTGGTGCCGACGATCGCCGTTCACACAACAACTCCGTCATCGTTCGAGAAAGAGCAGTACATTTTCAGTGTCGTTAACGAAAACACGAACAGCATTATAGTGTCTTCATGTATGAGAGATTGAGCTATTGGTTCACCCTTACTTGGTTTTTTTTTTTTTTTTTCAAAAAAAAATCTATTTCTTAGTGATTGGTATTGCGCATTCAAAGTTGACGAGAGCTACAAAAAAAAATACAGCGATGCTAGCGCGGAAGTTGTGTTCAGGCCAGCATAAATTAAACTGAAGCAGTTCCTGCAGACAGTCTGAGAAGCACAGCAAAAGTAGCAATAGCTTAAGGGATGTTGGGAGCCTTCAGTGGTAACTGGTGCCAAAATTTGCATTTTTTTTATGGCACGCTCGTACAAGAGCTCAGCCGGCGTCTTTCGAGATTTTTCCACCGCATCAACATGAATACCACCATCAAGGAATTAGGAGGACTAGAGTTTGTCAAAGGGGATCCCATTACCATTGGAGCCGACACAGCTAACAAAGGTAAACACTGCCTGCATACTCAAATGGCCACCGGCTGCTGTGCTAACCTCATGGAGATTTCCAGTGGTGGTGATTGAATTCTGGGCAACGTGAGTCTTTCAAAGTAGCCTCGGGGTTACGAATATCCGCAGTGTGGCGAACTAAACATGGGAGAGTACCCCAGTTGGTGTCCACCTTGCAGAGATAGCATCCCTCATATCAGTGATTTGGCGAAGAAGTATCGTCAGAAGAATGTGGTGGTGATTGGAATCACCAACGAGCAAGATGGAGAGGTAAGGGGGAAAACCTTATTCCATTCTTAGACCGGCCGGACGAATAGGAAGAGTTAATTATACCGTTTATCTGTCTTTGTTCTGTTCATATGAATTCGGGTAACGTTGTACATGGGGGACTTTTTACTTTAGAAAGTCAAGCAATTTGTGCAAGGACAAGGCAGCAACATGGACTACGCTGTAGCGATTGATAGACGTGGAGAAGCGAACAAAGGTAGGCGAAAGGAAAGGGGGAAACCCAACCAGTACAAGCCCATTGCCATATGCAGCTATTTCTAACAAATGCGGTGATTGCCAGCTTTTATGGAGCCTACAAACACCAAAAGTATCCCAGCTGCATTTATTCTGGAACATAACAAGATAATTCACCATGGACATCCGATGGAACCACGTTTCTCGGATGTCTTACAAGCAGCTGCGGAGAGGGCCATTCCTCCTCCGACTGCTTTACCGCTGATCACCGATAGCCGAGAGGATTTGTTAAAGAAGAGCAACAAGGAATTGAGACAGATCTTGAAAGAAAGAGGCATCTCGGATAAAGATTGCTTGGAGAAGACAGAATTTGTGGATAAAATCATAGCAACCTGCAGCAAAATTCAATACTACGCTTAACATGATTCGTCCGTCTATTTGAGCGTGCGTGACTCACAAATTCTCTTGGAACCCAGTCTGGAATTTTTTTTAAACCACTGGGCTTTCTATCTCATTTTAAAGAAGGGGGAGTATTTCCAGAATATATAATTTATTCATATTATATATATTTAAATATATATATATCCATTATATATATGTGTTGTCGTTTGCCACCACTTCCTTTCCACACTTCTTCTCTTTTTTAAGCTTTTCCTCTTCGCTGCATGCGCTCAGCCGACATGAGAGCTTCCGGCAAGCGCTCAACCGCATCGTCGTCCCGCCACCATGAATGTGATTGTGATGATCCTTCAAGCTGTCGACATGCCGTCAAGGGAACCGATGCTAAATCCCAGGCCAAGGCTAAGAAAGCTCAGCATGACGACCTCGAGGCACTGCAAATCACATTTTACGAAATTGAATCATGGATTGAGAAAACAACCCCTGTCTTGAATCGTATGACGAAAGAACTGGAGAAAGCTTCGGTTCATTTTGATAAACGCAAGAAAGACGTCGAACCACCCCCGGTGGAAATGATTCCTCCGCTGGCAACCACGTCTGCCAACCCACTCCCTACCACCACCCCGGCCACGTTAGACGAGCAACAACGAAAAGTGCAATGGACCTTTTCATTCGAGCCTCAAGGAAGCATGAGTTTGGAAACCAACATTACCAGTATTGATCAACTGGTCGATGCCGTGCACAAAATCAAGCTTTTAGCCAAACCAGAAGAGATACAGCAAGTAGAAAATGATTTAATCAATGTACAAAATAAGAACTTTCAACAGGAGGTTGATCCTCAAGATGATAAGGAAATAGAAGAAAAGCCTGCTGATGTAGATCCTACTTTGGAATTCTGGTCAACCGCTCTTGGCTTACGTCCTGAGCCTCAGTTTTTCGACAAGGGCGTCAACGAAACTGCACGTGAAGTGGCCGATCAGGTATCGCCGCAGGTCTTGCAATATATCTGTCAAATCTATTGGGATTGCTTGCATCCTAAATTCTCGGGAGACTGGGATACTTTTTGGCACCGATCCGACGACCCCAAGCGCAATCAATTATGTGTCGATTCTGCCCTGGCTATTGTCTTTTTGCATGTGGTTCGTCATGACAAAACCATTTGCCCCAATGGTCATGATATTGCTCGGGTTTATTTTGACCGCGCTCGCGAGCTACTGACCGATTGCTTCGATACCCCCGACTGCTCTACCATCGAAGCCCTCATGAATCTTGCCATGTTCTTGGTTTTGTGCAAAAAGCATTCACAGGCACGACTCTACATGGGCCTTGGCATTCGTATCATGTTGGAGCTTGGCATGCATAGGCGAAGAAATTTACCTGAAGACCTTGTCCTACGTAAAAGGTATCTCAAAGCGTTCCTCGTGGTCTATTACAACGATCTGGTGTTGGCCGCCTACATGGTGGATTGCGCCCAATTGGACGACAAGGCATGCGATATTGATTTTTACGAAATGCTCACGTTAAACCAAGAATTAATGGATAACGACTTGGCCAAGTTTGACGATAAAACCATTGCCAAAGAAACGTTTTTTGTCCATCTATTGGAGTTAGCCAAAATCGGCAAAAAGGCCCAAATTTTAACAGATGAGAGAGCCCAAAGCAAAGGCGAACCAAGTTCTCGCTGGATTGAGAAAGTCGCAGTGTTAGAGTCTTCTCTCAATCTATGGTATCGTCGTTTACCGGACTATTTACGCATCGACCCATCACCGTCTACGTCGACTTCGTCGTCATCATCCGTGTCATCCAATCAATCGTCGTACTATCCACGACGACGAAAACAACATCAGCACTATGTATCACCGGGCATTACTCCTTCCCCGCCCGACACTGCTTCGCCACCGGATTTAACTCAGTCCATGGATGCCCAAGAGCTCCGGGATCAGTCGGCCCTTTTATTGATGTTGCAATACCAAACACAATGGATCTTACTGCATAAGTCCTTCTTACCAGCATCTTTATCTCGCTCGCCTGTCACTTCTCCTGCTTCAGAGTCGCTCCCTCCCCGCGTCTTGTTTCAATCTTCTAAATCATCTCCCAACCGATACGCTAACTTGTCCCACGCTATTTGTACGGACGCCGCAAACCGTATCGTCGTGATCGCAGATCTGATTACTCAGCAATATGGATGGTGCGTGTTCCAACAATTCGTCAATTGCTTATATCAATCAGCTACCATCCATTGCCGAAATACCTTGAGTCGTGACGAAGGCATTCGGCGCAATGCTAGATATATGATCAAACGGATTCTCAAGATTCTCAGTAACGGCAGTATCCATTATCAAGGACTTCCAGCCGATTTGACGATCTGCCTTCAGCAGTTCCTCACTTTACACGGAATGCACATGGATGTGGATGGTCAGGATACCTATGGACTGGAATCAGGTGATGTAGGGGATCTGTGGGGAGATGACTTGACCATGTCCAGCGAGATGCCTTCCACCGGAGCGCCTACTCCGAACGCCCCCCTTTCACAAGAAGCACTTCAAAAGTTTTTGGTGGAAGGACAAGTTGATTCCGTCATGATGGATTATCAAGTTGATGGGTTGCCTGTCAAAATGGAACCCGAGGATGTGTTCATGACCGGCATAGCAGACGATCAAATTAAAAACTGGAGGTATGCAACGTTTATATTTTTTAGGTGATAGGATGTACAGTGGTAATTGACATGACGAAAAAAATCTCTTTTTTTTTTTTAGATGTAAATTCTCCTCTACCAATGCTCCTCACTTGGCTCATCGCATTCCCTAAACTGCTACTTCTTTTTCTTCTTTAACGGCTATTGTATTTCGGTTGCCTTATTAATGCTGCTGCTGCTTAAATCTATTATTCACATCCACTGGTTTGTATCATTATTACCTTCCGTTTGCTATGTTGACAGACATGGCCATTGTACGTCCGTAGAGCCCCCTTTTTTCTTTCTTTCCTTCTTTACAACTTAATGCCTTTGATCTTGCCGTGCTCTACACCTTTACCCTATTTTCGTATCAGTTTTTGTATATTTTGCTGTTTTTTTCCTTCCCGCTTTTAACGATTTGGACTTTATCATTTTGTGTTTCTTCAAGAAGTATAGTTAACTATAAACTCCTTTCCATACTCAGTTACAATGGATGATCTGTTGTTGTATTTTATTTCTGGTAAATGAATTGCGGGTTTTTAAAAAAACAGATAGGATTGGAGGATGAGAAGCAAATACACATTATTGTAAACGAAACGAAAAAAATGGGAGGCTAGGTACTATTTTTTACTTGATGAGGCATAACTGAGCTTCGTCTAGAACAGCAATGGAGGCACCTAAACTCCAGCCGGTTTCAACGTCGTTGATCTTTTGAGCGGTCTTGACCATACGTTCATCAGGGATGCCGTAGCCTGATCGCAACAACTCATGCAGGTAGGTCAATTCAAGGCAGTAGTTGGGGTTGGCACGAACAGCTTCAACGGCACCAGGGTGGTGTTCAATAGCAGAGAAGTTTTCAGCGCAAATATTCTCAGCCATCTCGCGAACGCTTCCAACGCTGAACTCAGTAGGCATGCCCAATGGTTGGGTTATGTCATAGAAGTAGGAGAAAGCGAATAAGTCATGACTGGCAAAGGTATCCTGCAAGGAGGGCTGGTAGACACCATTGAAGGAGCAAGGCGATAAAGCACATTTGGCATTCTTGTTCATCATCTTTTCCACCACGCCACGGCATTGGGTATGGCCAGCTCCAGTTCCAACCAAAGTCACTTCGGATTCGTCCTTACGCTTAAAGGATTCAGTGTAATTTTTGAAGAGACAGGGATGTTGAACGGATGTATGCTCTTCCCAGGCGTTGACCATCTCTTCTTTGATGGTGTCACGAGCATAGTTGAGCCCATAGCCAAGGTAAGAATGTTGGTAGAGATCGTAACTTTGACCAGCAAAATTGAGCTGATACTTATGTTCACCTTCGGCCATGCGGTCCGTATCGAGATATTTGGGTTCAAAAACAATTTGTGTGGAGCCACCGCCCAAGTCAAAAATAGCAGCAGTTTCGTGACGGCTTCCCTTAAGGTTGCCAAGGAGGTAGTTGACGGTAATCCAAGCGTAAACACCTTCGTCTCTACCTTCCATGACCACCACACCGTCCTTCTTGACAATAGGGAATGGATAGTCATGTTCGAGATGATTCTGAACCGCTTTGAGGATATCGTCAGCCTTCTCAGGGCCAATAGCTCGGAGACCAGCAGTAGCCTTGACGGCAATCGGGGTACAGTGATGAAGTTCCTTGGGGACAGTCTTAAGAGCAACTTCTAGCAGTTGATCCAAACTCTTGGCAGCGGCAATAGGGTCATTTTTGTAGGTAGAAAGACCGGGCTTGATGGGTAAAAAGACTTCGTCTTCCAGCTCGGGATCAGCCTTGCAATAATTGAATCGATAAACATGAATTCTAGAGCCTGATGAACCAGCGTCGATCATAAGTGCATATTGAATTAAGGGTTTGCCTGGATGAGGCTGCGTGCAATGACTAGACGTTAATTTTGGATTGGCGGGCTGTACATCTTTATCTACAAAGAAAATCCCATTAGTGAGTGGCATTACTTGGCATGTGCGTTTAGTTGACATTACCTTGTTCTATAGGTGGAGGAGGGGGGAGTTGATCGGCAACATCATTGGTCTCGCTTGGCATCTGCTTGACAGCCTCTTTCAGCTGATCGTACTGCTCGGTGGGGAATAGCATCCACAGGATGAGGAGGGTGGCACATGCCGCGAGAGCACAGCGGATTAAGAGGGATTTCCGCTTGGTAGTGGAGGTAGCCGACGTCATGTGGTTCATCAAAAGTGATATACGGTTTTTGTGTCCTTTGATGGAGACAGAGCTTTTCCTCTGATGTTGATGATGAGGAGTGGCAGAGGGAATCACTATGGACAAAGCTTGGGGGTGGTGGTTATAAGAGAAGTAAAAAATTTAACCCTGTTCAGGGACCGAGGAATGAAATGCCAGACATCCCAATTATGGACTGGTTCCAGAGGCAACACAACGACGTCAACATTGAATCTGACAACTTGGAATTCGCTCATAAAAACACTTTCCTTGCCTTGCGATTGGGGGAGCTTCCATTGAATTCAAGCGGGCCTGTGCACCGATTTGTTGTTGTTAGCTAAGGAAAATCCGTGGCCCTTTTTTTCAGCTCATTCTTCGTTTTCATCATGCAATCTCTCAATAGCATGAAAATACCAGGTACTTATTCAGGTTGAATCTATCCTTTTTATGATCTCGCCTACGACGTCGACGTATTTTTCATCCCTGGCAACACTTTTCTTCGCAATGGAACCAATCAATGTCCGGTAACACCTCCCATTCGTCCAAACCGACTTTTCTTCATTGCACCAATTCAATTGATCAAAACCTCATATCATCTCAATATACTTGTCGCCTTCAGCATGTCCCCTTTGACATCATCACTAAAATCTCATCCCTCTTCTCAATTGGATCACTTTAGGAGACACTGATCCTCTGCGTATTATATCAGTAGCAGCAAAGGATGGTAGAACCGGTCAAGACATTCAGTTGAAATATACCAATTACAAAATTATTGGTAATGGCTCTTTTGGTGTGGTTTATCACGCCAAACTTGTTCAGGGTGGCGAAGACACCGCCATCAAGAAAGTCATGCAGGATAGGCGATTTAAGGTAGGGCAGTTATGGGCTACATAACTGAAGGTCATCATGGAGGTTAACTGGCTTGTTGTTATACAGAACCGTGAACTCCAGATCATGCGTGTACTAGACCACCCTAATATTTGTTCTTTGCGCGCTTATTTCTACAGTCAAGGAGACACAAAGGTGAGGGTCAAAAAAAAAAAGAAAGGCAAACAAATGCCTAAGCTATCAGCATCTTTGCACAAACGGTGGTTGGTGAACATTTTTTATTTATTTACCTCAAATTTTTTTTTCATTCTTCTTGGGGGCTAACGTAGAAAGACGAAGTTTACCTCAATCTCGTCATGAAATACATGCCGGAAACTCTTTATCGGGCATCTCGCCACTACGCTAAAGTCAAACAACAAATGCCGATGCAACAAATCAAGCTTTACATATATCAGTTGTTTCGAGCACTGGCATACTGTCACTCGCTCGGCATTTGCCATCGTGATCTTAAGCCACCGAACTTGTTGTTGGATCCAGTTACAGGAGTTTTGACCCTTTGCGACTTTGGCAGGTATGTAGTTCACCCGTCATTATGTGATACAATGGTCATGATGTTCTAACCGCATTGTACCCCACTGCAGTGCCAAGATTTTAGTGCAGGGAGAGCCCAACGTCTCGTATATTTGCTCAAGATACTATCGAGGACCAGAGCTTATTTTTGGAGCGACAAATTATACTACAGCTATCGATAATTGGTCGGTTGGATGTGTTACAGCAGAATTGTTGCTAGGAACGCCGCTCTTTCCTGGCGAAAGCGGTATTGATCAACTGGTTGAGATTATCAAGGTGCTCGGTACGCCCACCAAAGAGCAAATTGCCACAATGAATCCTAATTACACCGAACATAAGTTCCCACAAATCAAACCACACCCATTCTCCAAAGTTTTCCGATCACGCACTCCGCCTGAGGCTATCGATTTGATCTCCCATCTATTGCAGTATAACCCTCATAGCCGTTTAACGGCTATAGAAGCTATGATCCATCCTTTCTTTGATGAATTGCGACATCCCGACACCCGTATGGCAAATGGTCGTGAACTTCCTCCCCTCTTTAATTTTACTCAGCACGGTAAGTGACAGTTTCGTTGTGTGGGATTAAAGTTTATGGGCGATCGGCAAAAAGTGAGGTGAGATGGGATGAGGTACAGCGTGCTCATGAATTTTTCAATCCGTTTAGAACTTTCCATCCGTCCTGATCTCATACCACAACTGGTACCTGCACACTGTGAGCAAGAGCTCTACTCACGAGGTATCGATCTGAATAACTTCGTACCAATACCAGCCGAAAAACTTCGATTGGTATCCTTGGATTAGACAAAAGGAGCATACACCCCCAATAGGATGATCTCTGTCGTGAGCAAGGTAGATGCCTCCGGACAACTCAACAACCAAAAAAAAAATTTTTGGATCCTCCCCTCCCTTTTTTTTGTTAAGACTGAAAGACATATCAACCGTGACAAGTCATCGGTTTGTTGCTTACTATGTCTCTTTTCTTCCCATAAACTGTTATAGTCCGCCCTCTCTCACCTTTTTTTCTTGCTAATATTCTTTCTATGAATTCATTCATACACCAGTATGGATACCATGTGTAATAAAGTGACTTTAACCGGTGTGTGCACATCGGATGAATCAAGTATCAGGCGTATTAGTCATTGCCAAGTGTCTTGAGTCGCATCATCATGCCGGAAACCCCATCCCAAACCTTGTCTGCTTTTTTTTTTTTACTTACAAATTTTGATCCCATTTTTATTACAAAAAAGAAATAACAGCAAGTTTTGAAGATCAGCATGAAAAAAAAAGACCAAACAGTAAAGACCAACGCTGTGGATGCATACGTATACTATACTCGAGGCAGGGAAAAATCTCGACCCGCCTGTGTATCTAAACAGCGTATCTAATCTTTTTTATCATCTGCTTCTTCTTCACCAGCTGGCTTGTCCTCATTATCGTCGTCCAGGTGTTCGTTGAGTACTTCAAGAGCTTCCTTCACCTTTTCGTCCAAGGCGCTAGGGTCATCCAACAGATGGAGCAACTCACCAGTTTGCATCTCCAACAACTATAAACACGTGTAAGCCATCATTGTATTGAACCGTGCGCCAACAGAACACTACTTACCATGCCAGTGATCTTGCCAGCGTGCTCAGCATCCTGCTGATAGCTAATAGAGTGATGGGAGGGAAAGGTCAGGACAAAGCGCCATGGCCCATCATCATGGTTTAGTGACCGTTACTTACATGAGCGGGTACAGTCTCTCGCCCAGCATTTGCTTCTGGATCTCCGGAGGAGCAGCTGCCAAAGTAGCGGCTGTCAACTGATCATCGTCTTCAGCACCTGTGGAACCTTGTTGGTTGTTTGAAGGTGGGGGACGGTTTCGGCCACCACGTCCAGTAGGAGCACCACCTCGACCACCGGCTGGAGCACCGCCACGACCTCCGCCACGAGATGGACGGGGCATACCTCTACCAGGTTGCATGTTGGGCATGTAACCTTGAGGCATGGGGGGATAACCAGGCATGGGTTGACCTTGAGGAGCAGGAGACCATCGTGGTCGGGGAGGAATCATACCACCTTGAGGAAACATGGGACGTTGGCCTTGAGGCATAAAACCTCCACCGTAGAACATGGGAGCTCCAGGCATATAGGGAGGATTTCCTCCTACCTTCATTTGCTAACAGTGTCAATATGTGAACCCATGAGAACATCCGTCTGTGGGGTTTCGTTTACTTACCATGCGCATTTGACTGCGTTGCTGGAGTTGAGCTTCCAATTGGCTGCGTCGGACCTCCTTACGTTGAGCCAGGGCGACATAGATAGGCTTAGATCCAATCATGCGTCCATTCATCTCGGTGACGGCACGAGTAGCTTCATCAGGAGAGGAATAGCAGACAAAACCGAATCCCTTGCTGACGTTGTTAGACTCATCGCGCATGATTTTGGCACTAGTGATGGTACCATAGACAGAAAACTCCTGACGCAACTTCTCGTCATCAATATCATCATCCAAGTTCTTGACATAAAGATTGACACCTTGATACTTGCTGAGCTTCTCCAACTTGGCTTGCTCATACTGCTTTTTCAGCTCCTCTTCACGTTCGTTCTTCTTTTGCGCACGCGAAACGAACAAAGGCTTGCCCTTGAAATCCGATTCATGCAAGTCGTCCACTGCTTGTCTAGCATGCTCGTGTTCCTCAAAATTGACAAAGCCAAATCCTTTGCTGGTACCATCATCATCACGTTGGATAACGGCAGAACTGACAGGTCCATATTTGGTAAAAAGTTGCTCGAACTCCTCGTCTGTGACTTCTGAGTCAAGGTTCTTGACGTAGATGTTGGTGAAGTTGGCCTTCAACTCATCAGCCTTGGACAAGCGTTCTTTACGGGGAATATGATGTCCAACGTAAACCTTCTTATCGTTCAAAAGCATACCATTGACGTTCTTTATGGCGTTATCGGCAGCTTCGCTGGTTTCGTAGTGAACAAATCCATAACCTTTGGAATTGCCTTCATCATCCACCGCTATCTTACAGGAAAGTATGTTTCCAAAAGCGGAAAAGGTATCATGAAGCGCTTTGTTATCAATAGAAACATCAAGGTTCTTGATGAAGATGTTTCCAGAGCCAGTTTTGCGCAATACCGGATCGCGCTGGGACCACATGATACGGCAAGGCTTACCCTTGATCAGACTGTAATTAAGAGTCTCCAAGGCACGCTCACCTAGATAAGAAATGATACCCTGTGAGAAACGAATGCTTACATGGCCTCCAGAAAAAAAAAACCTTACCATCTACCGCATTGTGGAAGTTGACATAAGCATAACCAAGACTGCGGCGAGTGACAGCATCTCTACACACTCGGATGCTGGCGACAGGGCCAATCATGTTGAACATCTCGAACAGCATAGCCTCGGTAACGGACGAATCCAGCTCGCCTACATAGAGAGATGCAGGTGCTCCAGGAGCAGGAGGAAGAGGTTGCTGATCCTGCAAATCGAAGGATTGCTGAGATGCGGAGTCTTGCGACTCGGGCTTGGAATCGGATGTTGCGGACATTGTCGGAACGGTTTTTTGAAGAGTTTTTTGGTTCGTTAAAGAAGAGTTACAAGAGTTTGAAACGATGTAAAGAAGTGTTTGATAAGATTTTAAAACAACTCAAGAACACACTGGCTTTTTAGGTTTTGTATTTTAAGGTGTTTTTTTTGGAATATAGTCAAAATTGAAGAAGAATGAATCCCTTCAATCGCTGATGTTAATATTTTTTTAGAGTTTTAAGGGAACAAGGTGACGATAAGACCTCGTAGAAGCAAGTTGCTTTTGCTGATTGGTTGGGAGGGGAAATGGTAAACCAAAGTTCGAAAGAAATGGCTATTAAAAAAAATATTTTACTGTTGACAGTGAGACGTCATGAGTTTGGCACGACCAATTCATGATTTCTTATCAAAGCGTACGGGTTTCTTGCCTATCACTTGAAACAACACGCTTAATTATGACTGTTCTGTGAACTAGAAACTTGTTGTCACCGTATATTGGTAATAGGAAGAAAGAAAATTATATAATTTGGCTGTTGTGCTAACCCATTGTTCGATATCGGGTTTAAGTATATTTGCGTACGTGGTGGCTCCGGTCAATTTTCTCCACAGCGAGGGCCATCAAAGCCACACTCTCAGGCAAGATCTTGACTTTTTGCTCGACGATCGTCACGATCACTCCATGGCATTGGCATTGTGCTTGGCCCAGTAAGTTGTTTCTCGACGGAATGTGGCGAGCTATGAGCGATTGACTACAAACACCCACGACGAGAGCAAAAGTCTTACAACGGAGTCTGGAAGAAATCTTTTCCCCAGTTGTGACCTAACGACACAACATGCGCAACCTATTGCGCGTATCTAACCACAGGAAAAGGTTCAAACTACCTTTACTGTGATGAACAAAAATACATGTCCCTCTAGTCACTTCACCCTGAACATACAATGCACCCCCATATGCAGATACTCATGAAAATAAATAAAGCATCCATTGCCACATTTACACCACCTCGCTGGCTTCACGGAGTAACAACATTGCATGTAGTTTATTCTAAAGGGAAAAAAAGAGCGGATAGCAGCGCTGATAGATTGTCAACATTTCAAAACATAATAAAACTTGCGCTCCAGCAGAACGAAAAACTTTTCGTTTTCCTTACATAGAAAGTCAATGCTCAAATTGGGTTTATCCGGAATTATGCTTTGAAGCTAAGCAATCTGGACCATTTGAAAGTCGATCTCCCTGTGTTTGCCTGCTTTCCAAAGTCAAACTGGTGATCGCCAATGGACTGTTTCGTGTAAATCAGCCTATTCACGAGAGATTCCTTACGTTTCCTTCCACCAACACCGAAGGCTGGCATGGATTTTGCATACAGATAAGCTTCAATTTCCACAGCTCCGGGGCCACATATGAATGTGTGACCAATTTCCAGAAAAAAACGTTAACAGCACGACAGCGCTTGTAAATCGCCTATCAAAAACGAACTGTACATTAGTTAAACAAAGTACCTAGAAGACTTCTGCTCAGAAAACTACGCAACTTGATAACGCGTTGGATGACGGGTTCTGGATCGACAGAACAATAGGACACGCTTCATCAGGATCTGTCTCGTGATGGGCGAAGAGAGCCAACCATCTACTTGCCCTGCTTCCCAACGTGTGCTCGTGTGACCTCCATATTTGAAATTCTCTGTGTGGCCGATAAACGCCCTTGCAGTCGGCAGTGCAACCTGGATTGTCCTATTTGTTGCCTTCAGCCTGTTCAAGAGCATAAACACACCTCTCTTCTTCTCATCCCTTCTTGATCAATTTCTTCTATCTTTGCTGCTTTTTTCTTCATTTTAAAAAAAAGCTTTATCATTTGCTTCAGCGAGTTGTCATCACCTTTGTATCTCATTTCATTCTCATCTTTCATATTTGTGTGCATTTGTATTAGCCATCATGACAGCTGTTTCATATCGACGTTCCGAATTGCCTGTGCCAAAATCGGGCGATTGTAGCATTCGCATGGAGCCGGCCTTCGATGCCGCATTTAAAAGAAGATGGTCAGATCAAATGGTTCTATCCTGGAAGTTTTACTACTTTGATTTGGATCGTATCAATACTAGCATGGAAAACAACCTATGCACTGAAGCGATCGCCGAAGAGTACACAAAGGTAAAAAGGGAAAGGAAAAAAGTGAATTGAAACTGTTTGGTCAAGCCAAGTCTCGTAGAAAAGCTTGTTGTCCAAGTGTTAGCTGACGCCCTATCTTTTTTTTCTTTTTACTGGAAGGTTTCCGATTTTGTCAAAGTTAAACTCGGAGAATTACAAAGAAGGATTCAGCATGCCTCCAGACAAGTGACGGAGCAAACCAGCTTAGCCAATTTCATAGATTTCGAGCGAACCCTTGACGACATTAGTGCATCCGTCTGTGATCTCCAGTTGTTTCATACTTTGCATACGGATGCACTCAGCTTATTGCGACAACATATCAACCCATTCTTTGCTGAAAATCTGGGCATGCTTTACACCAAAGATACCCTTGATAAGATGGTTATGCAAGTCTGCAGTCTCTATGATTCGCTGCGTGCCAATCGGGCTCCACCGGAATCGCCTCCCTTGTCACCTATCTCCTTAACTGGAGAGACCTTTATTTCTCGTCGTAGCCAGGCGTGGTGGGTTCATGCCGATAATTCAATGAATCTCATGATGCATTTTCTCAAATATTTGTCCCTAAACTCGAAATTGGTGAATGGCGCCAACGACTCTATCAGTGTGAAAGTTACATCCGTTGTGTTGGATAAGCCAACTCAGCCTGATCATTCAAAGATTGTCAAGGTACAATGGACCAACGCTGGCCAGGAAGTCTTCATAAAAGCCATGGATGGTGAAGATCGTACTAGATCTATTCGAACGAAACAAAAGTATCTAGAACGCTGGATAAACAAAGAATGGAGTTTATATGATTTGCTTGATAAATTGCGTGCTAACGGTCACGACATGGAGGATGTTGAGCCTAACGCAACTTTCATTCAAAATCTTGTCAACGATGGCTCGACTCCAGGTTAGTATATCCCAGGGCTTCTTTTTTTATATATGGGAGGTTTAGCCTCCAGAAAAAAAATGTCGCATGTGTATTCATATGTTTGTGCGGCGGAATTTCCTCATTATTTCATATTAATAACAGCTTGTAATTATTTAGTACTTCGCACTGTTTGTAATCGTGTCACCTTCCAATCTACCAGTTCACCTTACATCAAAATTACAATGGACACTAATTTGATGATACACCGTGACCAACTCCCAGACGGTGGTCGTTGGTTCAAGACAAGAGACGATGACGGCGATGAAGATCAAAACAACTTGGACAATTGCCAAGACGGCATGATTCGTTTTCCATTTGACGTGGTCAAGGTATCATTTGGCGATACCGAAGATGATTTACCGTATTGGTGGCACGAGCTTATTCGCTCCAAACTGGTAATAGATAGGGACGGGGTAACGTGAGGTAGTGCGACACCTTGTTTATAAAACATCACTGACATTACTTTTATTTCAAGCTTCAACAAGTTCCTGAGATTTACAACGGCATTGAAGGTCTGGCAAGTTTCATCAAGAATGATATGAGCAGCTTAAAGTCATGGGTAAGTTTGAATTTGTTACCAGTAGACCCCTTTTGAAAAA